GTCAAGTCAGGCTCAAGTATTACATCCGTGAAGGCCTGGGTTCAGGCTCTGTAGGCGCTGAACCTCCAGCATCAAGACCCTGACCCAATCCCACAGCCAATAGCACAGCAGTCCTGGCTTCTGATAGCCCGTTTCTCCAACTGTAAGCTTGAGGTCAGAGCCGTCTTTCCCATAGGGCTTAGTGGTGTGTTGCACCAGGGCGCAGGCCTCTCAGGGGCGCCCCAGCAAGTGGAGCTGCGTGGCTTTGCTGGCAGCCTCCCCTTTCCCTGCACGCCTGTTAGCTGCGCCCCGCCAACCGTAAGGCTGGCAGGCGCGCAGCTTGCCTCCCAAGCTTCTGCGGAGCTCTCCCGCAGTGGCATGGGGGAGAGTTGTCCCTCCCCCCCCCCCCGATGGCTGGCAGTGCGCAGCTATGGCCACCCCAACACTATCCGTGGTAATTTGGGGCCGCTGGGCTAAGTTATTTAGGGCTTAAAACACTAAAGTGAGTACTATAAAATGCAGCTCTTAGAACAGGGCCAATATGAGGTTATGTTCAGAGTTTATTTTCATACAATCCAGTTAGAGGGAGTACATGGTTCTGGGACAGTATTTAAGTGTGCTCTGTATCATTCTGTTCAAAAAGACATAGTGTATTATTACTATTATTGTTGGATAGTGTTCTCGAAGCTACCAGCATGAGTTTGACCAAACTGCGGGAGGCAGTGGAGGACAGAAGTGCCTGGCGTGCTCTGGTCCAGGGGGTCACGAAGAGTCGGACACGACTAAACGACCAAACAACAACAAAATTTTATTGGGGGTTTTTACCAAGGTTATTCAAAGCAACTTTCAATACAAACACATACATTGAAACCAGCAGAAAAGAAAAAAATAAAGACCCTAAAGGAAAATCCTATTTTAAAAGGCAGGATTAAAACATTCCACCCACTCAAGGCCAAAGATAATTAAGAGGCAAAGGCCTGGTTAAAAAGGATTTTTATATAGTGATGGTGCTAGAACATTCCACAAACAGGGAGTCACCAATGAAAAGATTCCTTCTCACACTACCACCTTCCAGATCTTCCAGATGATGAAAGCCAGGTCCAGGGTGCTTTATATGGGGAGAGGTGGTCTTTGAGGTATTGGGGTCCTGAACTGCATAAGGCCTTATAGGACAAAAGCAGCACTTTGAATTGGGCTTGGAAACTAACTGGAAGTCGGTGTAGTCAGGCCAGAAATGGTCTCATGTGCTCAAACTGTCTTGCTGGTTTGGGGGTGGGGGCGAGGAGAAGCTGGGCCTAGGAGGGCTGTGCAGTCCAACTGGTTTTTTTGGGGGGGAGATCACACACTGGTTTAGGGGTGGAGAGGAGAGGAGGGAGGCCAGAAGGAGGCAAGGCAGGATGAAGACCACCAGCAGCATCTCCTGCATGGCTTTCTTTGACAGAGGGGGTGGAGGGAGAGAGGGGGAGAAGGCGGAATCTGCATTGTGATCACCTGCACAGCTCTCTTTGACAGATTTCAATTGGGGGCAGGTTGACAAAAAGAATTCCGCACCAGGTACCACTTGACCTTCCTACACCACTGTGTCCTCCCTAATATGAAGTTAGGCTCGCGGGCTATTTTATTGAAACGATTTGACACGTGTCTTTAGCTTCTTTCCCCATCCCGTGGGAAGCAGGGTTTCTTTTCTTTTTTTAATAATGATTTGTATTAAGTTTTCCATTTTAAGCATCCAATCAAATCACATTAAATATTCCAAATTATGCAAATACATATCATAAAGTCCTAATATTTTGCCAAATTATAAAGGGAAGTGGGGTTTCCAAATCAAGATTGTTTTGTTTTGTTTCTTGGTTTCTTCTGCCTCCAGGTTTGGGGAATACAGCCTCGCTTGCCTCATAGGGACGTTTTTTAAAAAAAGAGTTTGTCCTGTTTCTGGTCTTTAAAGCGTGCGCAATTTTGCCTCTCTCCTCTAGCTTCAACTCCCCGCCCCCCCTTGTGAAAGGGAGACCGGCAGGTGAAGCGGATCTCCATCAGCCTCCCCATTCTCAAAGGGAGACAAGCAGCTGATTTCAATCGGTCCAGCTTGTGGTCGCGGACTGAGCATCTACGTCCCCAGCGGACCAATCGGAAACGGCCCCGGGGGAAGTTAAATGGAGGGCCGGGGGCGGGGAGGGCCGAAGCCCTGTTTCCCCAAGAGATGGGGGAGGAAGGCGACGGCGTCCCTGTCTCTGTGCTGCTTGGCAGGTGAGTTTCTGGGGGCGGGAAAGGGGAGCTGTTAGAAAGTGGCGCCGATTCCCGCGACTCCCAAGCCTGCAGCGAGCGGCGAAGAGGCGCAGCTCCGCGGCTGGAGGAGGCAGGCAGGCAGGCAGGCAGGCAGGGGAGAGGGCGGGTGCCGTCCCTGCAGAGGCGGAGGAAGGCGGGCGCCATCTCGGAGGGGGGGGGAGACTCGCCAGGAGAGGCTGGGACTGGGCAGGAGCGCCCAGCGGTTAGAGCGAGCGCTCTGCCCGGAGGAAGGGAAGGGCCCCTCGGGGGGTTTCCCTGCCGTTTCCTCCACAAGAGGAGGGGGACCCCGTTCCCCGCTGCTGCCGTCAGGCTGCTCCGCCTCTCTCTGGAAGCCGCCTCGAGTCCTGGCCAAGGGCGGGAAGCAAGAATCTCCTGCGAGCAGCGGGGGGAGGCGCTCTCCAGGACCGGGAAGAGATGCCCCGCTCCGCCTCTCCAGCCCAAGACGCTTTGGAGGCGCTGCCGGAGCCAAAGGGGTTTAGCAGTTCCTTCCACGAACAAGACCAGCGCTTTGAAAGGGAGCGCGTCATCCACGCGCTGAGAATCCGATGCAGCCAATCGGGAAGCGGCTTCCTGCCTGGCCTGACCCACCCGACGGGGCGGAGGGGGGGGGAAGAACCGAGGAATCTTTTTAACCCCAGCACCGCCAGGGCCCTGTGAAAACAAGGCGAAGGGGGAAGCCAGGGGAGTATCCCCCCCCCTTTCAATCATTTCCCGAGGGACGAGAAGGCGCCTCGAATCTCTCGAACCTCCCTCTGGGCCTTCCTGCAGGATCGAGCGCCCTTTGTCTCCTCGCCTCCCCCCGCCCAGGCGCCTGAGATCGATTCGCCCACCCCTCCCCTTAGGCATTACTGCGGAGCAACTTGTGGGCCGACGTCTCCAGTTGACCAATTGGCAACGGCCCCGGGGGAGGTCAGAGGCGGCTTTTTCCCCAAGAGATTGGGCAGGCAGGGAGAGGGCGGAGCCATTCCGGAGGGGGGGGGCATCCTCGCGACGCTGGCCCCGCCCCCTTGGATGCTCGCCCCGCCCCCTCAGGCGGCGCGAGGAGGATATTATTATTATTTATTTTGTTTTATTTTATTTTACATTTCCTACCACTGGGCGATTTACAATATAAAAAAAACAAAAAATGCCATAATAATTAAAAATAAAAATAAAACACACACATCGTTTAAAAGACTATAGATTGTTTAATTAGCCAAAGGCCTAGGAGAAGAGGGAGATTTTTGCCTGGCACCTAAAATAGGTAACAAAAGCGCCAGGCAGGCCTCCCTGAGGAGAGCATTCCACAAGATGTGCCAGTTCTAGGTTCTGTGGGTCGAGGGCAGGTGTGCTGCTGTATATACTGACCCACACGTTGCAAACTGGTATTAGTGGTGGCTGTTTTTGTTGGTCTATAATCTGTGATGGTAAAACAAGTTCACAACTTTGCTTTCTTTTTTGAAAGATAATTGAAAGCAAGAGATAGCTATGATGGCGCAGTAATGATATCTCACTTGGTGAGTTCTTTGAAAGATAGAACAGAGGTTTGTAAATGAGGGTTGGCAGAAAAAACTACCATTGGAGAATGCTGCCGCTTGTGTGCGTTACAGGAACATCCTGCTGGATCAGACCAATGATACCATGCATAATCTTATACACCTCTGTCAGGTCCCGCCTTTCCTCTGAAAGCCCCAAATGCTTTAACATTTGGCGGAAAGAGGTTTGTGTGCCAAAGGACCCGCTCTGTCCCCTAAGCTACACTGCTGCCCTAAGATGAAGTAGAGCAGGGGTAGGCAGCCTAAGGCCCGTGGGCCGGATGCTGCCCAATCGCCTGCTAAATCCGGCCTGCAGACAGTCCGGGAATCAGCGTGTTTTTACATGAGTAGAACATGCCCTTTTATTTAAAATGCATCTCTGGGTTATTTGTGGGGCATAGGAATTTGTTCATTTCTCCCCCAAAAATATAGTCCGGCCCACCACATGGTCTGAGGGATGGTGGACTAGCCCACAGCTGGAAAAGGTTGCTAATCAGGATTTTGTCTTGGCACCAATCTGGTTGACTTGGCTATACTGAAAGAGGTGGGGTGGGAGGAGTGCCATCTTCTGCTTCGGCTCGGGCAGCAAAATATATTGGGCCAGCCTTGTGTGGTTTCTGCTTGAGATGTAGCCGGCAGAGCCAACTATATATTGGGACTGTGAAAGGCTCATGAACTTCTGAAGTGTTTAATGGGGCTGTTTCTGCCTGGGAAATAGCAGCTGCAGAAATTCAGTTGCTCTGGGTTTCAAGTCTGTTTGGCACAGCAGTCCTAATGCTTATTCAAAAGCAAGTTCCATTGACATTGCTGGAATGTGCTGAAGAGGTGCAGACTAAACAATGCCCATGTTACTACATTTATATCCTACCTTTCCTCCAAGAAGCTAAGAACCTCACAGAGTGTTTGTTGGGGGGGAGGCAGGGAAAGGAGAATGTTAGCCGCTTTGAGACTCCTTAAAAGGGAGTGATAAAGTGGGATATCAAATCCAAGCTCCTCTTCTTCAAAGAAGGCTGCAGTGTCAACTGGAGCCTCTCCATCTTGGGCCAAGTCATCAAGAAGCTTTGTGCCAATCAGGCTGGGTAAGGACAATACAGTTAAGAAAGGTTCTTTAGTTTGTGCTGTATTGAAGTGTGTTCTCACTTGATTCTAGACCAGGTAGCCAACTTAGTGCCATCCCTAGGTTGTTTGACTACAATTCCCACTACCGCAGGCCATTGGTCATCTGTCTGGGCCTGGTGGGAGTTGTCATCCGACAACTTTTGGAAGGCACCACATCGGCTGTCTCTGTCCTAGATGTATAAGATCGGCTCTTGGGCCAGTTTTGCCTCTACTTAATAAGTAAAAACCTCCTTGTTCTCTTTTTGGTCATCCTCCTTCACCAGAGACTACATTAACTACAGGGGTAGCAAGCTGACGTGGATTCTCCAGAATTCACTAGATGGAAATACTAAGACGGTGATTACGGTATCTGCACAGTCACTCAGACATCCTTGGAAGAAACTCTTAGCACTTTCCAGGTAAAACTAGACAGTTCCGTTTCCTTCCCCGAAATGTTTTGTGGGCAAAGTTGCCCAAAGTAGCAAGTAGGCAAGAAGTTCTTTCCCTCTTTAAACTGGCATGCTTTGTTCTAGTGTATGTATCTGCAGTTATAGAACTGTGAGAAATCAGACTTCCTCTTCAAAGGGAAGTAATATAGCACTTCCCCTAATAGCTGGGGTGGATATTGACGTTTGCAGAAGCAACCCAACCCCTCCATCTCTTAAAAAGAGAGTCTATGAAGATTAAGCTTTCATGGTAGTCAGGGAGTCTCGAATATCAGGCAGAAAAGGAAAGGTGGGGGAATGGGCTACTTGAGCTCCTGATAGCTTATCTGTTGCCCTCCAGATGTTGGAGGACTCCAGCTCCCATCAGCCATGGTCATCATGGTCAGATGATGGGAGTTGTAGTTCAACAACATCTGGAGGGCACCAGGTTGGCTAACCTAGGCTTCTCCCTTCTATGAGAGGTGAAGGTATGCTGCAACATTTCGTTTAATGGGTCCCTTTTGTATTTACTGTAATAGCAAATGTTGATTTTTAAGATTCCATACTTCTGTAATTTTCGAAAAGAGATTTTAACAAAGGTAATTTTTTCTGACTTCTCCTTCAAAGAGTGGTTCTGACTGCATGTGCCTATCTCTCCTAGTTTGCGAGTACAGCAAAAAATGTGGAAAATCTTAAGAGAGATCGTTGAAATGATGCCTAGAAGAAGTAAGTTGTTTACTTTGAAATCTGAGTTCTAGGCTGGAACAGGTCAAATTGCATCTATATCGTTTTGTTTTGTTTTGTTTTGTTTTTAAATAGGGCTCATGCTCTGTTTTGCCAGCAATTGCACCTTAAAAGCGTAGCATTCTTTCAGTTGGTGACTCGGATTACAAAACTTTTTCTGTTTTGGGTCAGCTGCCTATACCAAGTGAGGAGGCCGTAATCTGTGTTTAGACGCACTCTCCATTTTAAGAGTCTGGCCGAATTTTAATGGCAACCCTCAATAAAGTTGACAACCATTTTGTGCAGGGATTCTATTCCCGGCCCCACATACGTTGGAGGGGCAGGTATAAGTGTACCCCAGCCCTGTTACACCCTTTTCGTGACATGCTGAGCAAAGTTTTTGGGTCACTTCCAGGTTCGTTGCCATATGCAATCGCATGTCTTTCGGATGTGAATTAATCGGTTGTTGCGTGTATGCAACCCTTTCCGCACTGGGGGTGGTGCAGACTTAATTTCAAAGAACTGACTTGAGGAACTTAAATGCTTTCATTGTTTAATGCTGATGTTTAACCTTCACAGCCATTAGTACTTACAGTACGTTATTACCATCACAGTACAGTGGTACCTTTGGTTACGTACTTAATTCGTTCTGGAGGTCCATTCTTAACCTGAAACTGTTCTTAACCTGAAGCACCGCTTTAGCTAATGGGGCCTCCTGCTGCCGCCGCACCATCGGAGAACAATTTCTGTTCTCATCCTGAAGCAAAGTTCTTAACCTGAAGCACTATTTCTGGGTTAGCGGAGTCTGTAACCTGAAGCGTATGTAACCCGAGGTACAACTGTAATATACAAATTAACAGCCACAATCCTCACAAGCAAGAAGGGGTCTACACCAAAACACACAGGTATCCTATCCTTACTAGGAACATCGTGTGCCTTTCAACCTTTGGTACTGATGCTTTTCCTTTCTGGTTTCATCACAGTCCCAGCTGGCACAGATCCTTGAAGAGAAGAAGGCTCTTGAAAACGAGCAGCAGGAGAAAATAAGGATTGTCACCGAGATGCTGGTGACACCATCTGCTTCTTCTGCATCAGCAGAGGAGTTCAAGTTAATATTTAAACATTTAAATGTTGTGGTACCTTCGGGGGAAGACTGGTGGCTCTTCCACATTTCTTGTCTCAGCTGTTATTAAGTAACCAAATTGGGCGAGGGACGCCTGGGAATGGCTAGAAGGGTGCCACTGTAGAAAAGGACCTTCTGATGTGTGGAAGCTTAACCTAGCTCAGTTGAGGCATGCTTGAAGCAGGAAGTTCATCCCGGGAAGCTGGTATATCTCCAGTGAGCTGGTGGTGGTAGCCTTGCATGTATAATCAATCGGTGGAGTCTCCTTCTTTGGAGGTCTTTAAGCAGAGGCTTGACAACCATATGTCAGGAGTGCTCTGATGGTGTTTCCTGCTTGGCAGGGGGTTGGACTCGATGGCCCTTGTGGTCTCTTCCAATTCTATGATTCTATGGAACACTATTGTTTAGTCTTAGCCAAATGCCTTGAATTCTTTAGTCGGTTTGTCAATTTTAATGTAATGCTGCACCTAAACCCCCATCAAACTGGGAAATGGAATGGTGTGCCTAAACACCTTGCACTTCTGGTGTTTTTCCTCCTTCTTGCTTTATCAGGAGGAAGTATTGTCAAAAGACTTGCAGATCAAGGAGCGAAAGAATAAAATTGAAGCACTGGAAAGCCACATTAGTGAGCTACAAAAGATTTTGAATAACACGGGGGCTGAAATGGAAAAAATGAAGCAGGCTCTCAGTGATGCTGTGGCAGTGAGACAATGGTTAACAATCACCAGCAGTTTAAATGCCAGATAGAAATAGGCTCCCAAAGTTGTACAGTAGCAGCAGCAACTTCCTCCTACTAGACAAGAATAAGTTATTCACTTAAGTAAACTTACAGAGCCTTCGAAGCACAGCAAAGAACTTTCAAGCAACCCTTTGAATGCATCCTGCACTGCTTCCTAGGCGTAGTTTCTTCAGTATTGCGTTAAGCACTTCAACTTGCAATGAAGCAGCAGCAGCATGAGGCTGTGTGGAAGCCCTTTCCCTCAAACACCTCCCTGCTGCTCCTGAAACCTCTTTCAAGCAGAGAGCTAATTTTGATTATTATTCTCTTCTATTGCCTCTTGCTCTCTTTCTGCCTCTTTCAAGAGCCTCAAACTCATAAATGGATATGTTTGCCTTCAGCTGTCTGAGCTCACATACCAGCTGCTCTTTCTCTAGTCGTCATAATAATATAATATTATTATTACGGTACAACGACCCATAACATAGATACAGAATAAAATACAGACTCATATAGACAACCCCCCACAGGAAAGGTAGACCAAAGTGTTATTTGTTTAGTCATGGGTATGTTGATCTTTGATTCGTATGACTACTGAAAGAAACTTTGCCACAGCCACTGTGATATCATTGGACTTGTCCAGAAGATATTTGATATAGTAGGCTTCAGATTGAGCCAGCCGATTTGCCAGTAGTGGTTTAATCAATAGTTCCCTCGCTTGATCATATTGTCCGCTATGCAATAAAATATGCCTCATGCAGTCGACATCCTGAGAGCATACACAGATCCTATTTTGATAAGGGATACCTCTCAGCCTGCCATTTAACACTTCGGATGGGAATACATTTAATCTGGCTTTGGTGAAAAGACGCCGATATGTTGGTACAAATTTCTAAGATATGCTGGTGTTTGAAAATTGAACCCATAGTGAATTCCTACTGCTAATGGGCCACAGTTAACATGAGATTGAGATCGGAGATCACTATGTGATATGTCCCAGAGCCTTTGCCTCAGAGATTCAAGGGCGGTATCATAGCCCACATGGTACAGGAGAGAAGGTGGCATACCAAGCCAAGTGGCTGTTCTAACCATCATTTTCATCCATGAGCTGGTAAACTCCTCGTTGCTTAGGTATGGAAGTAACCCCTTCCCTAGGCCAAAGACTGAGATCTTGAGCCAGTATCTCAGGGAAGCCCACCGTGCTTTAGTTCATAGAGGACATTCACCTGTTTCTAAAAATAGTTTTGCATTTGGAACACAATTTGGAACTTGTAGGAGGGACTGGAGAAACTTTGCCTTTCTCACACCATAAATATGCATGCCAACCAAATCGGTTGTCATGTCCTTCCGGATCTAATAAATCAGTATTTTCTAATTTGATCCAGTCCCAGATCCAAGTAATGCAGCTTGCCTCATAGCAAAATTTTCAGTCTGGAAGACAGCCATTTTTTCATATGTGGTGGAATTGTAAAAATAATTATTGGGATATGATTTATAATGAAATGAAAAAAATGTTCAAGTTAACCTTTGTTAAAAGTTCAGTAGCATTTTTATTAGATATTGTAGGGCAATATTTACCAAAAGATAAGAATCTATTTATGTATGCAACAACAGTGGCCAGAATTCTACTACCTCAAAGATGGAAAAGCGACAAAATACCAACAAAAAGGAAATTGGCAAGAAGAGTTGATGGAATACGCTGAAATGGCGAAGTTAACTGAGAGACTCAAAGTTAAGGACAGTAACGACTTTTAAAAAGATTGCGAACATTATACACACACACACACACACACACACACACACAGAAACAATGCACCGAAATGAACTAATTTGCAGGATTCGAGTAATCCACTTACAATGGACATATATAAATAGAAAATAATAATATGAGGTAAAAACGTTAAGAATAATTAATAATACAATTTTAATTTCAGTATATAAGGAATCAAAACTATAAGCAGAAAAAATAAATATGTTATAAACCAAAAAGGGAAGTTGGGGGAAGTCACTGGGGGGGGTGTTAATTGAAATTGAAAAATGTGCGGTAATTTGATTTTTTTATTATGTTAAAATTTGTAAGCTTAATAAAAAATTTTAAAAATGATTGCCAAGCATTCCAAGATCAAGTCCTTTGTGAAGGTCTACAATTTGCACCAATAAATATTTTTTAAAGCCCCTCCCCCCAAAAAACTGTTCATGGTTTTTATACTTTATATGTAAAATACTTATTTTTAATGTGATTTTAAAAGAAGAAATAAATAATAGACCTTTGCACAAATATTTCTGTTGTTGAAACTGAAGTCATCTTTCTAAAGTGTGGTGGCATAGAGATAAATTGAGATGTGTGTGAGCTCATCATGACAACCAGGACTCCATAGCCACATCTCCAAGGGGATCAGTGGTTTCCAAACTTCCATGGATCGCTTGAAAATTGCTGAGGGTCTTTGTGGACCATTTAATAGCCTTTCTGCCTGTTGTAGCAATTGTAACATTCTGCGATGAGACAATGTATGGTCTTTCATTGAATTTCTATTGTTGCTTTTATTTATTGTGTTTCATTGTACTACAGTTTGCATTCCATTGAACTCAAATAATACAATAAACTACAATATGAGAAATAAAAGAAGCAACAAAAATTATAATTAAGAATTTAAGTGCCGGGAGGTGCCGGTCTACCTGGTGGAGGGGTTGAGAGCATTACCAGGTCCAGCAGCCCATGGCCTCCTTGAGACCTACAGGTCCACCTCATGCAGAGTGTGACATTGTGTCCAGTGCCCCAGGGTCTACTCCCTGGGAAGGCTCGTTCTTCCCAGTCCCCTTTGGAGGAAGAAAGGCTTCCCTAAAGCCCTAACCCAAATCCCTAACCCTAAAACCCTGGCCCTAACCCCTAACCCCAACCATAATCCCTAACCCAACTTTAGTCCCCTAACCCTAAGGCCGAGAACAATCTAGACTTAATGTGCTTGCTGGTAAACATTTGCAGCCGTAGAGTGGTCTGTAATAAAAAGGCAAAGAGTTCTAACATTAGAGAAAATGAAATACGGTATTTTGTGACTGATCTTTACTAAGCAAACCAAAATGGTCAAAGGCCTGGAAACGATGCCTTATGAGGAACGGCTAAGGGAGCTGGGCATGTTTAGCCTGGAGAAGAGGAGGTTAAGGGGTGATATGATAGCCATGTTCAAATATATAAAAGGATGTCACATAGAGGAGGGAGAAAGGTTGTTTTCTGCTGCTCCAGAGAAGCGGACACGGAGCAATGGATCCAAACTACAAGAAAGAAGATTCCACCTAAACATTAGGAAGAACTTCCTGACAGTAAGAGCTGTTCGACAGTGGACTTTGCTGCCAAGGAGTGTGGTGGAGTCTCCTTCTTTGGAGGTATTTAAGCAGAGGCTTGACAACCATATGTCAGGAGTGCTCTGATGGTGTTTCCTGCTTGGCAGGGGGTTGGACTCGATGGCCCTTGTGGTCTCTTCCAACTCTATGATTCTATGATTCTAAGCTGTTTTCTGTTTGCAGCTTCACGTTTCTTTCCTGATGTGTTCTAAACAATGAATTGGGTGCAAAAGCTACACAAACAGAAGGCTCCTGGTGCCGGGATGGAATGTGGCCTTCTCATTGGGAAGAAGTTGCCTCCACTTACCTTTGAGCAATTTATTCCCCATACTGTGGCTCCCTGCATCACGACCGTGTTTAGGAAGATTATCTGGCAGAAGGCTGTTCTTTATCATAGAATCACAGAACCTTAGATTTTGATAGGAGCCCCCCGGCAATGCCAGATTCATTCTTATTCCTTTACCACATATGTTGACACTTACTCACAATGTTTTAATATAATGTTGCATTTGCAATTACTGAAATACCACAAGTCTTTCAGTTTGACAGTTCGCCAGTGCCTGATACAGAAAATGGCTTCAGCTGTCTTATGGCAACCTGCACATGATGTGCACCTCCTTCCCCCACATTCCTAACAGTCTTCAATGTCATCTAAGTGAAAAATGCCATCAATATTTGCACTACTTTGTTGGCCAATGGGGAATACAGTTTGATGCTGCAGAGATCTTCCTTTATCTGTTTGTGTGTGTTAGTATTTTATATATTAATAAGAACACATTTTTTGCTTGACTCTTAAAACTTGAATTGAAAGCTGGAAAGCTGCAATCTTTTACACTTACTGAAATGTAAATCCCACTGCAATGATTTTTACTTATGAACATGCATGGAATTCAATATCAAGGGTACTTCTGTGACATATTGCAATAATTCAGTTTTATTGCACTCTATGTGAATAATAATAATAAAATAATATAATATAATAATAATAATAATTTTATTATTTATATTCCACCTGACTGGGTTGCCCCAGCCACTCTGGGCAGCTCCAAACAAAATATTAAAAGCATAGTAAAACATCAAATATTTAAAAAACTTCCCTATACAGTGGTACCTCGGGTTACAGACTCCGCTAACCCAGAAATAGTACCTCAGTTAAGAACTTTGCCCCAGGATGAGAAGAGAAATTGTGCAGCGGCAGCGTGAGGCCCCATTAGCTAAAGTGGTACCTCAGGTTAAGAACAGTTTCAGGTTAAGAATGGACCTCCGGAACAAATTAAGTTCTTAACCTGAGGTACCACTGTACACGGCTGCCTTCAGATGTCTTCTAAAAGTCAAATAGTTGTTTATTTCCTTGGCATCTAATGGGTGGTCATTCTACAGGGCACGTTCTGCTGAAATAGTAATGCATCTCCCCTCCTTCCTCAAAAGAAAATTGATGTTGAAAATTGTAAGTCCTGCCATACTAGCTGTTGGGGGAGACAAACAGTAGAGAGGACTGTTGCATTTCCAGGTGGCCACTGAAGGGAGTAGAACACTAAACTAATCAAACACAGATCAGTTGTTGGTCTGATTCAAGACTGCTCTATTTAGGCTCTTATGTAACAAATGCTATATTTGTATTCTTCTTACAAGTTTCATTTCTGGTAACCCACATGAGGTGGGTGTACCACATCCAATCAGCTTCCTGTTTTCAATAAAACAGAAAACAGCACTCCATAAACCAACTAACTAAAAATGAAACAAGCAACAGATCCAACCCTTTGTACAATGAACAATGAAGAGCTTCACAGAAGTCTGACTGCACCAAAAAAAGTGGCATCTCCATTCAAGACTATCTTGGCTCCTATGCGTGGAACGGTGAGCTGAAGCTCATCCCCTTCTTCTAATTTTGCAATACCTGCCAAGAGAGTTTGAATATCCTTACAGAAATGTAAACATATAAACATGTACAGATTGTTATCAGTCAGTCCAGAGACACCTCTTTGATTTAATGTTGTTATTGTTGTGTTGCTAATAATAAGGTCCCAGGATGTAAAATAAAACTTATAATGCAACAAATCAAACATTTTATTTTCCCAAGTACAGCATAATACCTGGAAAGAGACTGTGTGGGTCTCCAGCAAGTGTTGGGAAGCAACACCTTTGTGACACATATGGTATCAGTCTGGGTGGGTGACTCTCTTCCTAACTCCATAGGATTTTTGAGAGGATAAAGGGATGGACAATTATATACACTGCCTGAGATCCTTGGAGAAAGTGCAATATATAAATGTAATAAAATATAAAAAAATAAAGATTGACTTCTAAAACTGAGGCCCAAGTTGGTGGCCACAGCTTTCAGGTCATGGAACAGGAAACGGAAGCCCTAAACTACCCACAACAGATCTTAAGCATGATGTGAGCATTGCTTATAGACAGTTAATCATGCAAGTTCTCCAACACACACTTTTCAAGGGCAGGAAGTCATGTGAATTGTTTCTCCACCACACAGAGACTGTTTGTCACCCAGGTAAGCATTTGCACTCAGGCTTCAAAATTGCTGAGCACATTCTGCTGAAAGTAGCTTGAAATACCGGTAACAGCCACAACTCTACTGAGGAGAATCTATTATTGTCTTTGAATACTGTTCACAGGCAACCACCACAGAGTAGGTAAAGATAAGGAATTTAGGAATTTATGTATGAAACTTAATGAGTTCAGTGAGTGGTTGCAGAAATATGTGGTACACACCCACACCACTTAGAAACACCGTGTCAGATATTTTTTTAAGCTCCTTCTCATTCCAGGTGTGTGGGACTTGACAAAAGGTATTTAGGACAGGTAACGTATTTACCAGCAGTATAACAAGAGTTGTTTGGATTCGTGAGAGGCATGTTTTGGATGCAACGAAATAATGTAACCAAACTGAGATCATCACCAACTACATGAGCTTTTTTCCTCTGGATCCAGTGTCCCATTGCAAACATTTCATCTGTATACAAAACCTGAAGAATAAAGACAGACAAAACTGATTACACTATGAAACTTTAAGAAAACAGAACAAACTCCAGGAGCTTACTGAATTCTTTACCTGACCATATATGAAAAAGTAGCCAGTTTCTCTGACAAGTATTTTATTTCCTTGCTCTTCAAGAGCAGTTCCTCTTTTAAAGCTAAGAAGCCATGGAACTATACTTGAACCATCTAAAAGAAACAAAAAATATATATGTAAGAATAAGCTAATCAGTTTATGGTTCCTTTTAGTATCAAAGGCATGTTGCTGACTTTTGAAGAGAATCAGTTGGATTTTTTGAAATCGGTCGTTTCTACCTGTAAGATGAGATTCAAAGAGCTGTGGTAAAAACTACTTTATACCTGCTTGTTTTCTCTTGAGTTACCAGGAATAAGGCACCCTCTCCCCATCACAGATTATTCATGTTTTCAAAAATTTCTGGAAAGTTGCAGCAGTGCAGCAAAAATAGAAAATGTGGATTGCCCTAGTATGCACAGAAAATTTCAATATATGCACCACTTGAGCTGGTATGGCTAACCTTTCTCCAGGCTGACAACCAGACTGACCCAAGGGTCAATTATCTAAGTAGGCGTGGCCATTTTTTCCAAAAAGAAAAAGAAAAAAGAACAATTTGAGGGGTCTTGAGGAGGGTCACCTCTTGGCATCACAGAAACACAACAGAGGGCATGTATTTAACATCTTTAGAAAAAGAAATTGACAAATTTGGAAGGACAAAAATCTTTTGAAATCACAGAGGGGAACAGAAGGAACGAAGCCAGGCCTCTTGGGATGCGGTCTGCAGCCCACAGGGTAGCAACCCCCGCACTAAAACAAGTGCAGCAACGGGACAGAACTCAGATACAGTGCTCACCTGAGCATGTGCTCCAATGAAGCAGCAGCTCACAGGATTTGAAGACAGGGTCACCATTTCAGCATAAGGCTGCGCTGGCAAATTCCCATTGGAAATGTGAAGGGATGTTACTAATGGAAATGAAAAGCTGAGCACAATTTGATGTTTCTTGCCCTGTAGCAAGTGAAATGGAATCATAGGTGGTGCTGCCCATTTATTTGTGGCAAGAGTAAAATGAGATTTAAAAAATGCTGCTTTACCATGTTGCTGAATGTCACGCTTGCTGTCAGCCATCAACTGAAGACATGACTGTAGAACTGAAGGGGGAAACAGAAGGAAGAAACTAAAATATACATCCCAGCAGCCAAGACACAAAAGTACAATTCCCCTGCAGTGGCCGCAGAAGCAGAACAATATTGATGGTAGGTTCTCTGTGTGTGTGTGCCGTCAGGGGCAGAGGAAGAGGGGTGCGGTGGGGGCAGGCCGCCCCAGGTGTCACCACTGAGGGGGGTGACAAAATGCTGGGCGGCACTCACTGCGGGGCCTGCAGCGTGTCTGAGCCACGCGTCTCTCCTGGGAGTGACGTGGTAGCTTGGGCGCCCGCAGGCTCCACGCTGCCCCAAATGGTCCGCCCGCCACCACCTCCCCCTCAGCTGTAGGGCAGCGGGAGAAGCGGGAGGAGCGGGAAGAGGCAGGCAGACTCCGGAGGCCCCGTGGAGTACCCTGCCCCGGCTGGCCCTGCTCTGCAGGTGGCTGGCCCCACCCCTGGGCACAGGGCACGCACGCCGCCCCAGACACCCGATTGGCTTGCTCCGCCGCCGCCTGCCGTTCCCTCTGCCCCCTGCAAACACAAATTACTCCTCCTAACTAGTGTTGGGGGACCTGCAGCCCATGGATTGTCAAGGCTTCATGTCATTGTGATGCCAGGTGACCGACATGTGACAAGTGGCCTCACCTACCTGCCAAAACGTGGCACAGAAGGGCTGAGGATAAAGATCCTACCAAATTGCCAGATCCAGTTTCCCATACCCAACTTAAGTTATTGCTGTATTTTGTAAAATAGTGTTTTCTAATATTTATTTTTGCTATTTGTACCCCCTCTTCAGCCCCAAAGGCTCCCAGAGCAGGCTACATACACACAATTAAAACAAGGCAGTCCATGCCCACAGGCCAACATTCAGAACAGAACAAGTCATGCAAGGGAAAATGGTCTGGCAAAGAAGCAGGAAACTTGTTCATCAATGGACTCAATTTAGGGATGAATTTAGGAGGTCAAGATGACACCAAATTATTCAGTGTGGTAAAAAACAAGTTACTCTGATAACTTGTTCATTACAAAAATGAAATTTTATTTATTTGGGTTTTCATGTATGTTTTTAGATTTAATATTGTAATTGTTCTGGGATGCCTTTGTAGGCCTGCAGAACTGCTTATAGTTCGTATGAATAGTCTAAAATGGAAGATTACCCTCATGCAGCTGAGTGTAGTACAGAGCTCAAACAAATTACAGTGGTACTTCAGGTTACAAACTCCGCTAACCCAGAACTAGTACCTCGGGTTAAGAACTTCACCTCAGGATGAGAACAGAAATCGTGCGCCAATGGGGTGGCGGCAGCAGGAGGCCCCATTAGCTAAAGTGGTGCTTCAGGTTAAGAACAGTTTCAGGTTAAGAATGGACCTCTGGAACGAATTAAGTTCTTAACCCGAGGTACCACTGTAAAAATTAAACGTTAATGGAGAATGTTTTTCTGTCATCAGATTTATTTTCATGGCATTAAGTTCAGGTATTTGCAATTCTGAACATAAATTAATTCAGTTCGCAGAATGAAGTAAAGCAAACATTGAAATGAGTACTTTATTGACTACCTTTTGAGGAATTATTGTTTTAGAAAGACCATACCAAACCAAAAGCTCCGAGCTTCAAAATTTGCCCCTTTAAATACAACAGATATAGAAAGTGAAAGGCAGCTATGGTAGAGATGTTAAGTTGAGCAAAAATGGGATTTAACCAACACAAAACATAATGAATCTACTTTTCCAAAATAGTACAGATTTTTATGGTGACATACCACCAGCTTCTGAAAATATTGATCTATACAGATTCAATATTCTAATTTTTTGAACAGATTAACCATTACAGTGGTACCTCAGGTTAAGTACTTAATTCGTTCCGGATGTCCGTTCTTAACCTGAAACTGTTCTTAACCTGAAACACCACTTTAGCTAACGGGGGCTCCTGCTGCATGATTTCTGTTCTCATCCTGAAGCAAAGTTCTTAACCCAAGGTAATATTTCTGGGTTAGCGGAGTCTGTAACCTGAAGTGTATGTAACCCGAGGTACCACTGTGCTTATTTATCTGCTAATTCTGTATTGTGTCTTTCCACCAAATCGTGTTGCAGGCTAATAGTAAAAGACTACAAATATATTGTAAGAGAGAAAACCAGCAAAAGGTCCCTTACTGTTTACAAATTTTAGCAATGTGGCTTCAATGAATCTGCGTAGTTAGTTTGTTCACCTTCTATAGATAAAATAACACTAGTGAACCTACTAGGTGTGAAGTGTTCCCCATGTGTGAAAACAGTAGATCAGACCAGGTGTGAGGAACATTTTTCAACCTAAGTGGGAAACTTGAAGGAGACCACCAGCGGAGCAAGCTGATTGGGCGCCTGGGGTGGCGCGCATGTCCTGCACCTGGGGGCGGGGCCTGTGGGGCGGGGCCAGCTGCCCGTGGGGGCGGGGCTAGCTGGGGCAGGACGCTCCACGGGGCCTCCAAGGAGTCTGCCTGCCTCCTCCCACTCAGTCGCCCAACAGCTGAGGGAGAGGGGGCGGGTGGATCGTCTGGGGAGATGCGTGGCTCAGGCGCGCTGCTGGCCCCGCGGTGAGTGCCACCCGACATTTTGTCACCCCCCTCAGTGGTGACACCCGGGGTGGCCCGCCCCCGCCCCCTTCCTCCGGCACTGGAGGCCACATGCTAGCAGTGGGCAGGGCCAGAGGTAGAAGGGTGTGGAGCAAGCAAGCACAATTCTAGGACTCATTGCAGCTAGGCAAAAGCTCTCAGGGAGCTGGGAGAGCAGGGCTGGTGAAAATCATGACCTGGAGAGAGTCCTAAGGAATGGATTGGGCCGTTTGGTCCCCAGGTCTGAGATTTCTCACCCGTGTGTGTGTGTGTGTGTGTGTGTGTGTGTGCGCGCACACACACACAGGCATGCACACACATACTGTTTTTTTCCCTTTAAAATGTTTAGGGGTACTCTCATTTTCCTGCTCATATTGAAATACTGCCCCTCAATGAGGCCAAATTCAAGATTCACAAAATGTTTAGGGGTATGCGTACCACTGCACCCCCCCCCCAGAAAAAAGCACTGTGTGTATCAATGTTACATTTTCCAAAACCACATTCACATTAAAATAAACATTTCCCCATTCATATCTTTCTTTAAAATAAACCAATCATTTACGACTTCCCTTCTTCCCCCTCCCTGGTTCCTTTAATTCTCCCACCTATTCTTGTATTTTCATTTAATTCCCTTTATCCTTTATTATTCCTTTGTTATGTGTTAGACTGTTGAATTTACCTTACTCCTACTAATGTTTTCACATGGTTATAGTTGTTTTCCACTCCACAACAATTTTCCATTCTTCTTTATATACTTGATCTTCTTGTTCTCTTACTTTATTCGTTAAACCTGCTAACTGCATATTCTGTCATTTTTAATTGCTAATCCTCCGTATTTAGGACATCACTCACCCGCCATTTCTGGGCTAACAAAATCCTAGCTGCTGTAGTATAAAAACACATAAATAGTTTTTTCTGAGACCTAGGTACTTCCGTCTGTACTATTTTCAAAAGAAATGCCTAATTACCATAATTTTGGCTGTATGCCACAATCCCAGCAAAAAGGCTTACCTGCCATCTCTGGCTTTCATATTTGTTAGCCCATTTACTCATTGGGGACCTGTCTTATTTACTAAGCTCTTTTCACTTACCTGCTTCTCCTGCATGCAGAGGAGACCTTTTCCCCCTGTGTTTTTCTCCACTCCACATTATCTCTTCACTACTTTGATGTGGTCCAGAAGAAATTTGCTGCCAACAACATACGCAGAAAGTCAATATTAGGGCTGTGACTCCTGTCCTTCCCCAAAGCGAATGGAAATTGCAGAACACCCAAAGAAGTATACATTTCCTTCCAAATGGTTCTGCAGCTCACCTGACTAGAAGCACCTTCTAATACATTCAAGTAGGGAATGAAGGAATTGGCCTCTTTGCTCTTTTCCAAAGACCTCAAGAGCTGTGGAAATGATGTCCTTGTCTGGACCCTGCAGTTCAGCTTGCTGCTCAGCAATGCTAGTTCTGATTTTAATGCTGTAACATAGTAGAAAGAGACTGCTGCAAGGCAAGATGACATGAACACTGCAAGCCCCAGAATTATTAGTAAGAACCCTTTAGGATCCAAGCCATTAAAAGGATGGGAGGTGGCGATATGGCTCTTTCCTCGTGTGTAGGTCATAAATGCCATGCCTCCTTCCTTAAACACCAGATGAAAACTTCAGCCGATTCTTTCTGGTGAATAACCACATCTTGCCAGTTGCATCCAAGATATGTGGCCAAAATGCAGACAGCACTTACTTCCTGTCATGTGGGTCGGTTGATGCTATATGCATGACATTTAATGTTTGCTTCTGCTTTATGGCTCTGTTTCTGTAGTTCCCCAACTTACCTTCCTCATTTCAGTTTCAGCTTCACGTATAGCAGTTCAGCTACACAGTTTTGTATGATCTTCACCACATCCAAATGTCTGGTCATTTTGAATTCCATTGCACTCTTAGATAGCAAGCTGTGTGGGAAACTCTTGGCAAGGTGTAGAGAATACAATGTATTGGCTCTGAGTACCAAACATGACATAATTAGATATTTTCATTTTCCTCATACACAGTCATACCTCAAGTTGAACGTGCTTCAGGTTGAGTGCGTTCGAGTTGCGCTCCGCGGCAACCTGGAAGTAACAGAGCGCATTACTTCCGGGTTTTGCCGCTCGTGCACGCACAGACGCTCAAAATGACGTCACGTGCATGCGCGGAAGCGGCGAAACACGACCCGCACATGCGCAGACATGGCATCATGTCTTGCGTTCCATTCGGGATGCGAACGGGGCTCTGGAACGGATCCCATTCGCATCCCGAGGTACCACTGTATAATCCAGTGACAGAAAGATTAAAACTCTGACATCATCAAATAAATCCTATCAAACTACAGGGATTAACAATGCTACTCTTGTTTTTCAAAAGTCACTAAGAAATAATTATGTTAAAGCTCCTAGACCATGTATGTCTTATTGATACACTAAGGCTGAGGCCTAGACCAAGTTATGGAAATGGCTCATTGATCACAGTGGGGTTTAGAATCATAGAATCTTAGAGTTGAAAGGGACCCAAGAATCATCTAGTCCAATCCCGTGCTATGCAAGAAACACAGTTAAGAATCTCTGATAGATGGTCACCCAACCTCTGTTTAAACATCTCCAGTGAATGATGGTCCACCACTGTCCACTGTTGAACAGTTATTTCTGTCAAAAAGTTCTTCCCATTGTTTTAGTTGGAATCTCCTTTCTTGTAATTTGAATCCATTGGTTTGTGTACTGTCCTGCAGTGCAGGAGAAAACAAGCTTGCTCCATTGTCCATGTGACAGCCTTTTAGATATTTCAAGATGACTATTATATCTCCTGTCTTCTATTTTCCAGGCTAAACATACCCAAATTTCTCAACCATTTCTCATAAGACATGGTTTCCAGGCACTTTACCATCTTGGTTGCCCAAGTGTTAAAGAGATTATTTTCCACTGCTGCCCAACTGATGGCTTATTCTACATTTTGAAACTACAGGAAATTGACAGATAATTATACTGAAAACAAAACAAACACACAAAAAAGGCTATTAGCAATTGTAGGTGTTATCAATTTATTGCATATGTTAGTACATAAAAATAGAGGTTATGTAAAAGGAAAATCAATCTACTATTGTAAAAAAAAACATTAAAATGAAAATGAAAGTGCTTAATTAAATGCATGTCTAAAAATATGAAATGACAAGTATTGTTTTTAATCTGTAGAAAACATACATATACCAACAGTCTGGCCCTAAACATGTTTACTTATAAGCAAATCTCACAGAACTCAACAATATTTACTTTAAGTGAAAATACATATGGCTGCAGTTTTAATTTTTGTTTTGATCTAAGTGAAACATTCAAAATTGAACCCACAAGTATCTTTAATTCTATTGCATGCAGCAATTTTTTTTTTTTTGGCAAGAGTTCTACCATAAAGTTTTGTGTCATTTGCAAAAAGTTACACAAACAACAAAAATCTATAGATGTTTCCCTATAATTATTTTCTAATTGAATTTTACTGAAATTTCAGTAGCCTTTATTTTGTGGATCTGTCAAAGCAGAAGTTAGGGTATTTAACCTTAGCAAATAAATAAGAGCACCAAAAGGACATTTAAATATCCTTACTCTGATTTCAGTATCACCTTGTGCCACAATGCACAAACCCTTGAGTACAGACCCTCAATTGGTCCCATATATTAATCCAGATTTTTTTGCTGAATTATCAAAGATAAAAATGTATTCAAAACAATACACCTGTCATTACAATTGGACCCAATAAGCTTGTGCTATAATATTTAAAAGCCTGACCTTCCTGAGGGGTGACATCTGAAATAGAAAGGGGCTTTATACAGTTCCTATGCAAATACTCATTGTGAAAACAAGCACAAATTTCATACAAGCATCGTACTCCAGCTCTGCACAAGTACTTACTTGAAAGCATAAGCTTCTCTTATCTCTTCAGGCATAACTGGGGAGTCAATGAATCCTTCTCCATTCAAAACTAGACCATTGCTAATCTTTCTGGAAAGTACCACAGATTTCAGAGGCAAAATTTGAAGCTCAAGTCTCGGCTGATTTACTGTCCCACAAAAGGCTGTTCAGTTGCTCTTATATAAAAGATAATGTAACCTATATTTTTTCTACAAGTTGATGAGCTCCAAGCAAAGTCAAAGTGCACATAGCAAATACACATATCATTATAAAAAGATGAGGGGAAAGGGATATATCTACAACAAATGCTATAAGATTAATAATTACTGTAAGATTCTCTTCCAAAGCAATACTCAGGCCAATAATATACTGATCATTGTCGTCTAGGGTGTCATTGCAGCATTCCTGCACTGTTTTAACTTCACACTTTCTACAACTGTGGATGGTATGATCTACATCCTACAGTGTGCTATTGCATGCTAACGCTGAAAGTTTTGTGTAAGGATTAATTTACTTTCTGTGAACACTAATAGAGGCATGTTTCCAAAACTGATGAAGCTAAAATAGCATACCACAAAAAAGAATGGCAAAGTACAAATCCTGTAGTTGCTGAAATATATCAAATTATTTAAGAGTTTATTTGCAGTTTCTGTGTCATGTAATAAATGTTAATAGGATGATGAATGAGATGTTGGAAGAAGACTAAACAGGAAACAATTATGTCAGAGAAGATAGAGGAAAAAACAGAAAGAAAATGTCCTCAAATAAATACTCAATATTGGTTCTAAGGGGCAATGTCCAATGTTAGTCATACTCAGCAGACTCACTGAAATCAATGGATTTAAGTAATTTCAGTCCACTGATATCAGTGTGTCTACTCTGAGTATGACTAACAATTAAGTATTACCCATTAGTTTTCCACTTCCTGCACAAGCATATGCATAATACCTTGATTTATGCGCTTTTCAAACAAGCACAACCAGTTTCAAAACTGACTGTTTGATTTTACTACATCTTAAAAAATGAGTGGTTAAAATTGCATTCTGTAAGATTCTGGAGCACTCTAAATGGGTAAACTGTTTTTTCTCTTTCTCGGAAAATAAAAAATAAGTTTTTTGCAATAAATGAATTGTTTATAAAGTAAAAATAAAACAACACACACACATACTAGATATCCTAATAGAATAAGTAATTTGATTTTGTAAAGTATACTCAATATCAAACTCATTATTTAATACCGTCTTCATCACTTAGTCTGGCCCTCTTAATAGCTCAATCCCAAGTATATTTTCATGAGGAAGTCCTGTTGTTTGGTGGGACTTATTTCCTGAGAAGTACACCTATGATTCTGGCCTTTAATAACCAAAATATTTTCAGTTTTATTCATGTTACATGACATCTGTCAACAATGTTTAGAAAATGACAACCATGCTGCAATGAAAGAAAACCAATTCTCCTACAAGAAAACTTTTTAATTAAACGTTTTAAAATAGTTAAAGAGGAGTTTGATATGAAAAGCAGAAGTAAATGTTAGACAGTAGATTTTTAAAAAACCCTTTCCCTGTAGTCCAGCTTCTCCCAATTGCCATATTCTTGTTTAAGTAGAAAGCAATATTCCAACCTGACTTTAGGTTTGATGCATTTAGCACTCATGGCTTCTAGGGGAACAAGCACAAGAGGCAAAATGCACAAGCGCTAAGGGCAGTAAACCTTTCAGTATAAGGATAGCAAACATAGCAACATGAACACTAGTCAGCCCGTCTTCATGACTGGATGAGAATATCAACACTAATATATCATTAACTTTAAATGCATCTTTTCTCCATTCATCCTGCATGTGGATGTAATAAGCAATGAATGCAGCCATGTCATACTGAATAGAGTGTATTTCCATAATTTTTTAAATTCCTACCCTGCCTTTCCTCCCAAAGGAGCCCACGGGGCCATTAGTGCTACTTATAATATTAAGCACACTACACAATCTGAGATGCATAACAAAAGAATTCAGGGGTTTATCATGCATCCCAAAGCTCTAGCTATAGTGTGTGCCGCTAATCATGGTTACCTATGCAGCCAAAACATACACTGCATGCAACAGCTCTGTTCTTCTCTTAAAACCAGTGGGCAACATCCAATGATGTCTGTCTGCCTGCACAACAGAAATCTTCTTGTACAACAGAACTTCCGGTTTCTCTTCTCCCTGCCCCATCCCACCCTGCCCTATGAAGCATCCTATAATCCTCTGGAGCAAAATTTGGGGGGGGGGGGGGCGCTACAAAGGAAAGAAGTCCCATTGCACAAGTGGATTCCTCTTGCACCACATCAGATCTCCCCAAGGGTTAACTTAATTTTTACCAATAAGTTTATTAATGTGTCTTAATCTAAGAAATGGAAATTAAGATTAATTTTATCAAAAACATCACTTATTTATAACGCTAAGTGTAAAAACTATCTGGCTCATAATTTATTAGATCTCTCCATGTTTAATTTTGCTCTTTAGATAAGTACAAGACAGAGTACACACTTTAAAAATTGTCATTCTTTATCACTTTCTACAAATCCAGGTACAATGCAGTTGTATCAGACAGAAAGACTGGAGTTAGTTATATTATTGTTACGTTAGATGACATTTTTGCCATTTCTTCAGGGGAATAACTCTTTGCAACTTCTTTGATGAATTGTTCAAGGGCTGTGAAGTAGCCCTGGCACTGCCAAGTGTCATTATGAGTTCCATCTGGAAATATTGCCAATCTCTTAGTCCGAGCAGGGGAAAGCTCATAAAGCTGCTTCATCATAACGGGAGGAATCAGCTGGTCAGCAAGCCCAGAGATGAAGAGTGAAGGCATTCTGCACTGAGATATTTTTCGATAGGAGAGGAACTTGTTTTTATAGCACCACAAGGGAAGGTACCTCATCGGAAAGAAAGAAAACAGAGTGCTGGCCATATGCGGGATACTAAGGAATGTGTTCTCCACGATGATGGCAGAAATCCTATGGGAATTCTCAGATGCTAGGCGAATAGCAACTGCTCCCCCCAAAGAACGTCCAAAGAGAAAAAATTTTGTCTTGTCAAGATCAGATCTAGTCATCACATAGTCTAGCACAGCCTCAGAATCTAAATAGATGCCATCCTCGCTTGCTTCTCCTTCACTTTTTCCATAGCCTCTATAGTCAACCAGCAATAAGTTTACTTTCAGGTTTACCAGCATCAGCAAAGCATTGGGTAGTCTGTGACCAATGTTTCCTGCATTTCCATGAAAGTAAATGATAGTAGGTGAATAAGAGGAATTGTCTCCTGTGTTTCTGAGAAGAATCAGATTGAGCAACACACCATCTTTGGTTTTGATGAAGATATTTTCATGTGGGATGCCAGTAGGCATGGGGACATAGAGTCGTGATGAAGCAGGTTGCTCTGGGAAATAAAGCAACACATCCTGGAATTTATATAATATACCTGCAATAGATACAAATATTAACAGAGGTAATATCATGCCTCCATACAAATGAAAAGTTACTATCAAAGGTAAGAGAGAGATACGGCAGAGGCCCCAGGACCACGAGACCAATGCAAGGAGCCACTTTTCAATGAAAGTCCAAAGCATCCATGATTTTTCCATTATAGTAGTCAATGAATCTTTAGTCCATATGAAGCCTGAAAAAAGAAAATAAATAAGCTTCTTTAAAAACAACTTTTAAAAGGGACAACAAATGTATAAGGTAATTCATACCTATACTTTATGTAGTGCAAAAGACGCGTGGGCTCCAAAATAAATTTAAATAAATAATTTAAATAAATAAAAAGACGCGTGGGCTTTCAAAATAAATTGAAATACAGTTGGGGCAAGGAAATCTAGATCTAGAATTACATTGTGTGTAATCAATGCCATTAGTATTTCTTCAGAGAGCATAATGTGTAATAAAGTGGGGAGATGACCTTCTACAAGAAATAACTCCAAAGCTCAATAGCAAAAGCAGAAAAAATTCTGGAGCTGCTTAAACGACACTTTTCTAAATACAATCACTAAGTACAATTTGATTAGCATCTTTCAAACACCCCTACCAGTCGCTATGCCCCCCACAGCAGCTACTACCCTCACAAACAGTACAGTATGTCTGGGAGTGCAGAGCAGGATTAGGGAATCAAGAGAAACTGTTGGAAACAGATGTGCCTTCACATAATGAGGCTCTGGATCCCAGCTAGCATCATATAGACCAGTGGTGGCCAAACTTGGCCCTCCAGCTGTTTTTGGATTACAACTCCCATAATCCCTAGCTAACAGGACCAGTGGTCACTGATATAGACAATACACAAAATGCCTAAATGCTTCAAACTAAAGCCATTCAGAATAATAGGATAAAGTAACACAGGTGCCTGGTAACTGAGGACCAATAAAATAAAAATATAGGACTACCTAAAACGATGTTGTTAGATTTTATGGATCTTTGTAAAGCAATTAAAGACAAGATAGGGGATTCAGCTGAAGATGAAATAAATTTTGTGTGCAAAATATGTCATTTAGAGGGGGTAGTTTCCCAAACCTGTATCTTTATAAATTTGTGAACAACTGTCAAGGAGCTATCAACAATCCAGGCCAACCACAGGGCAGGCACATACATGAAAGGCACGGAATGCAATTAGCTCCTTATTAACAGAAAATAACACAGCAGATTCCTCTGGTTCATCTTAATCCAGCTAAAACATTGCTGAAACTGCCCACTAGCTCCGAGCTTCCCACCTCTAGCCTTTCACTCTGAATCTCTCCCAAGAGGACGAAGTCTGCATTGAGGGGGCAAACTCCTCCTCTGGGCCTGCCTGGCCCGTTGCTCAGCAATGTGCAGGACTCTTTTTGAGTGGGGTGGCAGAGGGGGAGGCAAGCCAGAAGGACTGAGACTGTTTTGCTGCTGTGTAGCAGGGCCAACCTCCGACTCCTCTTAAGTTGGCACTCACACTGTGACTCTCAGTCTCTAAGCCTGTCCTGGAAGGCCCTCCTTCTCCTGACCTCTCTTGATCACTCAAACTCCCTGCTTCTAGGGGGCCCCTGCTTGCATCTCCCTCATGCTCTTCTAGTCACCCCCTTCCATCCCATCCATGACCACAGTTGGTCACCCCATTTTGAACAGTGTAGCATCAAAGACACTTTGATGCTCAAAAGGCCAGGAGCGACATTGATTTGAGTTAATAGTAGTGGTGGCAGCAGAATATACAATACCAGAAAATTTAAACCTATAATAATAAAACAACTCATCAAACCAGCAAAACCACCACTTAAAACCTGCTAAGCTACCTGGTTGAAGCAAATAGGATTACAGCATATGTTAGGTAAAAGCCATCTGAAATAGACTAATGCTTACTTAAAAGCTTGCAGTCACCTGCACCTGCACCACCACTCATGGGAAGTTCCATAGTCCTTTAGGTCCATAGCCACACACACACAAAATATACGATTCAGCCAATTTGGAATACTGCATATGCTGTAGCTGTAATTGCTCCATTTCAAGTGAATACTGTATTGTTAGGCCTTCATATCCAGAAACAGGACATACAGCACTTAAATTAGTACCGATGGTGTGCCAGGTTACAAAAGGAAGTGTATTAGCCAGTATTGCCTCACTATCATAATTGTTAATTTTGAAAAACAGGAATGAGGCTACATTAATAACTGTTAAATTTATCAAATAAGTAATTGCAGCTTCGGAAAACATCTTGTATCAGACATCATTCTTATTAATTTCCAGTTAAGAGTTGCTTTTTTAATAGGGCATTACAGGCTGCAGTGTTCATATACAAAAGAGAACTCACAAACTCAACTATGCATCCCAGAGTGATGCTCCCAGAATGATGTGATTTTTCACAAGCAAGTTTTTAGGCTATTAAATAATATTTTAAACAATATATTACCCAGACAGCGTTCCTGGATTTCTACTGTGGCTATCACCAAAGCTTCTGGAATGACACCATCAAGCCAAACTTTTGCCTTCTAATAGAGTGGAGGCTACATGCATTATTACTTGGAAAAATCAGGACTTCCAGGTAAACATGCACAAAGCCATTCTACCACCGTGAACATACTCACATCGAAGCAAATCCCAGTGAAATAAACTGGAACTAGGAAGCACACTTATTTCAGATACTATACAAACTCAGCAGGGCTACATTCCAAAGAATGTCATTTAGAGCTAAGTAATGAGGCTGCCGGCAGATCTTCACGCAGCGAGGCCAGAGAGAGAGCGGCAACCGGTCAGAACCGACGGCGCCGGGCTGCGCTGCCCTCGAAGGGCGCGGGCGTTCGGTGCGAGGCGCGGCAGCCGCCTGGGCGAGACAAGGACGCGGGATGTGGGTTCTGGGCAGGAGGGGGCCGAGGCAGGGGTCAGCCGGGAGAAAGGGCCTTCCTGCAGCACCGAGAGCCGCCGCCGCCGCCGCCCGGCCCAGGAAGCGCCAGGCAAGCCGCGCTTCGCCACCTGCTGCGAGGCGGAAGGCGAGAGCTCCCGGGCGCTGGCGCAGGGCAGGCGGGGGACGAGGCCGTCCTCCGCGAGGAGCGCAGGGCAGAGAAGAGAGTCCCGCGGCTCCCCGGCCGCCCCTCCCCGAGCCTCCGCTGCTCCGCTGGGGCGGATGGAGCCCCGAGGCGCCCACCTCATCGCGGTCCCGGGCGGGACATGCCCGCGCCCCGCTCCCGCCTCCTCCGTCGTCCTCCCCGCCCCCCGGCCGGGAATCTCCTCGCCCACTCACCACTTCCGGGAAACCGGCACGGACGGCAACGCTTCCGGGTCAGAGTTCGAAGGGCAAAGGTTTCCAACGAGCGCCGCGACGCAGCCTATCAGGGAAGCGCCTGGTGGTGGAGGAAGGAAGAAGGAAACTCCGCGAGAACAGGCGAGGTTTCGCGCGTGCGCAGAGCAGAAAGGCCTTCGGCGCTCTTCCTGTCAGGCTGCGCTTTGGTCTCTGGGCGAGCGGCGGAGGTGGGCGAGGAGGGAGGGAGCCAGAGCCCTGGGCCCAGCAGGCCGGCCGCGGCTCCGCGGGGTCTCTCCCCTCTGCGTGTCGGCAGACCCTCCGGCGCCTCAGGCCAAGGCTTGGACGTGGGAGGAGAAGCCCCCGGGCTGCTCTTGCTGGGTCGCCTTCGCCGCAGGGACCCCGAAGTGGCCTGGACACACCTGCGGGCAGTGGCAGCTACGTCAGCATGTGGTTTCTGGATCGGCGTCTGCGACGTCGTGCTCCTCCCACATGTTAAAACTACAGAGATTTCAACGTTGTTCTCCAGTATGAACCTGGAAATACGACCTATCCAGACGGTGAGATACTTCTTTCTCTCGTGTGTCTCATGTTCTCTCCTCTTTCGGTCACTCCATTGCAGTCATCTAGCTAGACCAGACCACTGACCCCTCAAGTCCAGCATCTCTTCTCTCTAGAAGAAATGCCCACACAGGAGATGAGAACAACAGCCCTCTCTCTCCTCACTTGCGATTCACAGCAGCTAGCATTAAGAGGCAAATTGCATCTTACTGTGGGGGGTAGAACATTCCCACTGTGGCTCCATGAATTTATCTAATGCTCTTTTAAAGCCATCAGATTTGGTGGTCAGCGCTATGTCTTGCAGGAATGAATTCCATAGTTTAGTTGTGCACTGTGTGAAAAAGTACTTTTTTGCCTTTCTTTTCAACATTCAGCTTCACAGGTGGTCCTGAGTTATGAGAAGAGAAAAACTTCCTAAATCCCTCCACAGCTATCACCACATCATGCATAGATGGCATACTAATAAAATGATGCATGTATCATCTTACCATTTTTCTAAACTAAAGAGCGAGATGAGCGCGCAGCCCCAGAGTCATCCGTAACTGGATCTAACGTTGTGTAATGAAACTGAGATTCATTTTAAATGTAGAGCTATGTGGCTAATTCAAGGAAAAGCAGGAATAAGGTGGGAGCTGTACTATTTGAAAACAAGCTTGCTATTTTCTTTCTTTTTGTAGTGAAATACTCAAGATGTCTTCCATCTCTACTTCCTGTTCTCCTTCCCAACTAACTGTGGCATCACAAGTTCCTTTTGAAGATCTCTGTTCAACATTAGAACGAATACAAAAATGCAAATCCCGACCTGAGAAAACCAAGAATTTCAAGGAGTTTTTAGATTCCTGGAGGAAATATCATGATGCTCTTCATAAAAATGAAAAAGATGTAACAGATTCTTTTTATCCAGCAATGAGGCTTATTCTTCCACAGTTGGAAAGAGAAAGGATGGCTTATGGAATTAAAGAAACCATGCTTGCTAAGCTGTATATTGAGCTGTTAAATTTACCCAAAGATGGAAAAGATGCTTTAAAACTCTTAAATTATCGAACACCTACTGGCTCACGGGGAGATGCTGGAGACTTTGCTATGATTGCCTATTTTGTGTTGAAACAAAGGTGTCCCAGGAAAGGTCAACTGACCATAAAACAAGTGAACGATATTTTAGATTCCATTTCTAATAATAATGCTGCCAAAAGGAGGGATCTGGTCAAGAAGAGCCTTCTTCAGTTAATAACTCAGAGTTCAGCACTTGAACAGAAATGGTTGATCAGGATGATCATAAAAGATTTGAAACTTGGTGTCAGCCAGCAAACCTTACTTTCCATCTTTCATCCTGATGCTTCAGAGTTGCACAATGTTACAACTGATTTGGAGAAAGTCTGTAGACAGTTACACAATCCTTCTGTATTTCTTAGTGATGTTTCTATTACATTATTTTCTGCCTTTAAACCGATGCTTGCTGCTATTGCTGATATACAAAAAATTGAAAAACAAATGAACAACCAGAGTTTTTACATAGAAACCAAATTAGATGGTGAGCGAATGCAGATGCACAAAGATGGAGATGTTTACAAGTATTTTTCCCGAAATGGGTATGATTATACTCAGCAGTTTGGAGCTTCTCCCTTGGAAGGTTCATTGACTCCATTTATTCATAATATCTTCAACAATAATATTCAGAACTGCATTCTGGATGGTGAAATGATGGCCTACAATCCCACCACACAGAACTTTGTACAGAAGGGTAGCAAATTTGACATAAAAAAGATAACAGATGATTCAGAATTACAGACATGCTTCTGTGTGTTTGATGTTCTAATGGTTAATAATCAAAAATTGGGTCATGAGATGTTGAGCAAAAGATATGAGAAACTGAATGAGATGTTTACACCAATAGAAGGTCGTTTGCAGTTTGTTCCTAAAAATCAAGCTAACACTCAGAAAGAAGTAATAGATTCTCTAAATGAAGCAATAGATAACAGAGAAGAAGGAATTGTGATAAAAGATCCCATGTCAATTTACAAGCCGGACAAACGTGGGGAAGGATGGTTCAAGATCAAACCAGAGTATGTTAGTGAACTAATGGATGAACTAGACCTTTTAATTGTTGGGGGCTACTGGGGAAAAGGTCTTCGTGGTGGCATGATGTCACATTTTTTATGTGCAGTTGCTGAGACTCCTCCGCCTGGTGAAAAACCATCAGTGTTCCACTCCATTTGTCGTGTTGGTTCTGGTTACACTATGAAAGAACTTTATGATCTTGGCTTGAAATTAGCCAAATATTGGAAACCTTATCGTAAAAAAGATCCTCCTTTAAATATCTTGTGTGGAACTGAGAAGCCTGAAGTCTATATTGAGCCTTGTAATTCAGTCATCGTCCAGATTAAAGCAGCGGAGATTGTGAGCAGTGATATGTACAAAACTGATTATACATTACGTTTCCCTCGTATTGAGAGGATAAGAGAAGATAAAGAATGGCATGATTGTATGACTCTTGACATTCTAGAGCAACTCAGAGGTAAAGCTTGTGGAAAGCTAGCGACTAAGCACTTTGATATAGATAATGATGAGCCACAAGGAAAGAAACGTAAAACTGTGCCCAAGATTAAAAAAAAAATTGGTTTAATAGATCATTTTAAAGCTCCTGATCTTTCAAATGTAAACCAGATTTCCAGTATATTTGAAGATGTTGAGTTTTGTGTTATGACAGGGACACAAAAATATTCAAAATATCAGCTGGAAAGTAAAATAGCGGAATATGGTGGCAGCATAGTCCAGAATCCTGGTTTGGACACCTATTGTGTGATTGCAGGAATTGAGAATGTCAGAGTGAAAAATATTATTTCTTCTGACAAGTATGATGTTGTGAGAGCGGAGTGGCTTTTACAGTGCTTTCAATCCAAAACATTTGTACCCTGGCAGCTTGATTTCATGATTCACATGTCTCCAGAAACAAAACAACATTTTGCCTGTGAATATGACTGCTATGGTGATAGTTACACAGGTGATACTGATATTGCCAAACTAAAGAAGGTGTTCTCAAGAATGAATAACTTTCAGGCAGAGATCTCTCAGGATGCAATTGCTGACATAGAAGCACGTTATTCATGGGAAAGCTCTCCACTAAGTATGTTCAGGCAGCACACGATTTACGTGGATCCTTCTGATGAATTGAGTAATTCAGGTGCTAGGATTAAACAAACAAAACTATCAACTGCGCTGATACTTCGATTTCATGGAGCAAAAGTGGTTCAGCAGCTTGAAGAGGGTGTGTCCCATGTAATCAGTGGAGATCATGCTCATTTGAAGGAGATAAAGACACTGAGAAGAACGTTCAAAAGGAAGTTTAAAATTTTGTCTGAGCAGTGGGTAAAGGATTCTATAAAGACTGGCAAGTTACAAAATGAAAATGTTTACTTAATTTAAATCATTTCATTTAATAGGAAAATAATTACTTTGATTAACTTCATTTATCTATTTAATGAATTATGCCAGGCTCCTTTTAATACTTCACTTCATTTTGAAGTTTGTAGATAAAGTTTCACAAGTATGAACATGGAAGAAAAGCTTTCAGGTATGGTGCTGAAAATTAGGTTATTTTTTAAAAAAACAATCCTCCATTTTATTGAGCTGCGGCTAGCACATTTATATAGCTGCTTTGGTCAAATATTTGTTAAACATAAACCCAACTTGCAAATGAGATAAACTGGAGAAAGTGGACCTGAAGTAATTTAGTCAAACCCAATAGGACTATAAACCAAGCAAGTGTAACCACCTCCAGTACTGTGGATCTAGTCCAGGCTTCCTCAACCTTTGCCCTCCAGATGTTTTTGGCCTACAACTCCCATGATCCCGAGCTAGCAGGACCAGTGGTCAGGGATGATGGGAATTGTAGTCTCAAAACATCTGGAGGGCCAAGGTTGAGGAAGCCTCATCTAGTCACTGTGCTGGGCTCTGTAGAGCTCTGCCGGCACAGCTGCCAGTGAGGATCCAGGCGTCTCTACTGTGGCAGCCTGTGGCTCATCCCACATAGGTATTTTTAGACTTCAGTCCTACGGGGTGGTACAGAAGGTGGTTGAACTGCCTTCTCCAACTCTGCTCTTCCTGGCAGGAAATAAATGAGGGTGGATAAGTGATCTTGCACTCCTGTCCTTTTAACGGATGTTTTTATAAATAACTATTTTCCTCCCACTGGGAAAAACTTTAGGGGAAACTGGGGGAGAGATTCACAGCAGCTTGGGGCCCTTACCAATGTTGGAGCTTCAAAAGCTGTTAGATGTCTCCATAACTGTTGTGTGGGGGATCTGACATTTTATTTCTCCATCATCGATGGACAAGGAGCTCTGATGTTTCCTCAGACTCTTGGGATATATTTCTGGGGTCACAGGATTGCAGTTTGCGGATTATAATTTGAATTTAAAAGTCTAAAAAAATTAAATCGGGGCATTCATCCTTTGAAAGAAAGTTCTGTAAATAACTATACAAATAAAATACTTTTTTAAAAAAAAACTGCTTCTGATTTTGAAATCAGAAAGACTTGCTGAGAGTCCTTTCTGATGTATTTCAAGTATACTAGGAACACTTTTTGATATATTTTGGACGCTGACAATACTAATGTTGAAGAGTCTTTGTTATCCAAACATTTTTAAATTTTCTACTAGGTGACATAATCACTCATTAGGTTTTGAAGCCAAAACACTGTATTAGGGAAGACACTAATACAGTATTGCTGTCTTCTTTCATTCCAGATCAAGTTTGGGAAAAGGTTTGATATTATAGGCCACATACCAACTAAAATACACCAACACATACCCTTTCTTGCATTGTATTTATATTTCACATTTATATTTGCCCCCCCCCCCTTCAATAAAATGTCATACATGCATTGTTTGTTCATTTGCCACATTTCACGGCTTGGTTTGGCCATATCAGGTCTCAGTGCGAGGGATAGTGTCAGTGAGCGAGCTAAGGAGGGGGCAGCGGGAGGCAGGGGTCCAGGACCAGGAATCTTCTTCACCTGCTGAGCAGCAGCAGAAAGCTCCAGCTTTTGTAAGCAGAGTTTCCAGCCTCAGTTGCTGGAAACAACATTCGTTGTTCCTGGCTGGACCTTGCTTCTTACTTCTCGTGACTTCGGCTTGGACGCTTGGCTTTCTTGACCCTTGGATTGTCTGACTACGTGAACTGAGATACTCTGGACCTTGGACTGGACCTTGGACTCTGCCTCCAGGCAAGTACCCCCTTGAGGTTGATTCTCCCTCCACTAAGCTCTGCCGTGGCTGACAGCACAGGACTAGGACACTAGCCAATCCAACAGTCCAGAGTTGCCCCTTGTACTTAAGACACTATGTTTCTCAAAAACACTATCCTTTTTTTAAAAAAGAAAGAAAGCTGGAGCCAGCTGGCTCTCATCAGGAGCAAGAAGGCTGATCAGCAGCTGGTGGAGTCACTTTGCCTTCTGCTCCTTCAGGCTGCTGCCCAGCAGGTGAAGCTGTTTCCTGGCTTCTGACAGCCGGCAGATGTGGCTTCTCCCTTGGCGGGTGGCATTTGTGGAGAACAGTGGGCTAATCCTTCCCTGGCCTAATCCTGTGGCAGAGAGAGGGCACCCAAAGGCAGCTGCCTCATCAGCAGCAACTCTCAAGTCAGCCTCGTGTGTGCATCTCACCAGCTCGGCACAGCCCAATCCATAATATATTTGTAAAAGTAGCACGGGGAGAGAGAAGGTCACAAAAACTCAACTCTTCCTCCCTACCTGCCTGGCCACATGAAATAATACAAAATGCATGTCAGAAAGGATCCTTGCAACTAGGGTTGTCATCCATTCCTTAAAAACAGGATAGTCCTGTTTAGGGGGCATGGAGTCTCCTGTCCTGTTTGACCCCCAATTTGTCCCGTTTTTGAAGTCATAAAAATTGGCATTTGTGTGCTCACCCAAACTTGCTTGTAACATACTAGCTGCTTAGAAAGGTGAGCCCTCCCTCCCCTCCAAAGATTGACACTCCAGGCTTGCCAATCATGGGGCAGCAGCCTTGAGAAAATGCCTGTTCATTGCAGAGTAGGGAGGCAGAGTGTTACTGAAGTTCAGTAAGGAGTGTTTAGATTAATCCTGCCAATTAATTGTTTTTAAAAGATGCTTCCCCCCTCATTCTCACAAACAGAAATAAATGCATATTTTACGATAGCACATGTCACTTACAATTGTTAGAATTGGTGTGGGTAAAAAAAAATAATCAGCATTTTTTTCAGCACTTAAACCCCTGTATTGCAAACCAGCCTTGTTACCCCGTATATTACAAATGCAGAGGGAGGAAGCAGAGACTGGCAGAATCACTAAAAGTTAGTGACTTTCCTCTAGGCCAGACGTTTTAAACCTTTTTGAGTCCCCGGCTCCCTTGATCAACTACATTCTTTCTGTGGCTCCCCTGTGGGGAAACAGGCTCCAACCTTAGAAGCTGAAATAAATAAATTAAGGTCTTATGTATATAATAAAGTCCCATGGACTGTGCAAGAAGATCAAACCTATCCATTCTTAAGGAAATCAGCCCTGAGTTCTCACTGGAAGGACAGATCCTGAAGCTGAGGCTCCAGTACTTTGGCCACCTCATGAGAAGAGAAGACTCCCTGGAAAAGACCCTGATGTTGGGAAAGATGGAGGGCACAAGGAGAAGGGGACGACAGAGGACGAGATGGTTGGACAGTGTTCTTGAAGCTACAAACATGAATCTGACCAAACTGTGGGAGGCAGTGGAAGACAGGAGTGCCTGGCATGCTCTGGTCCAGGGGGTCACAAAGAGTCGGACATGACTAAACGACTAAACAACAACAAAAAAGGTTCATAAATGTACCAAGCAAACACGTACATAGATATATAGGCCACATGTCTGAAGCTGCACAGGAGAGCAGCCATTAAGCCATTTTGACTCCCAGGCTGACCAGGTGTTTTCTCTGCAAGGTCAAATGGAAGAGCCTCCCCATTGTCTTTTCCTTCACAAATCCTGTCTTAAGGGTATGTCTGTGTATGAATAGGGTGAGCCTGTGACTTGGCTCAGGAACTAAGTACTTATCATTACAAAAGACTGGCCAGGCTCCCCAGGGTATCAATCCAGTAAACATTAACAGGTAACTTGCCAGACAGGTAAACAACCCGCTCAGATTTCTGCCTTAGCCCGTCCTTTCTGTGATGTAGGTATGATGTATCTGGGGGGGAGGGTCTTGAGCTGCACCCCTTCTGTGATGTAGGTATGATGTTTCTAGGGGTGGTCTTTGACTCCAAGGTGGGCAATTTAAAATGTGTATTAAGGGTGGACACACCTTGGTTCTGGGTCCTCCTCCTTCTCCTGTGTGTGAAGGGGGCACCCTGTTGCAACAGTTCAATAAAGATCAGGCTTACAAGCTGCTTTGCTTCTCAATATTCTCTGGTTGGCCTCTGTTTTTTCCTCCCTCCAAAGGACTCTGTAAGGGCTCGTGTCCCCCATAAGGGAATAAGGGCAGATTTTTCGTTTATTACAAAGCCCAGTTATGTCACCCCTTGTCTGCAAAGCCACCTCTCCCATCCCCAAAATAGATGTCTCCTCGCGCAACCCTCCTCTGGTTGTATAAGATTCTGCAAAGTACACCATTGAATACACCAAAATACACCAACCTGGTGACATTAAACATAGTCCATATACAATTATAGACCTAAAATAAAGTTAAAATAAAGCACAGGTATGTGAAGGTAGCAACTAGAACTATTGTTATAGATGTGCGGGGGGGGGGGGACCTCCCATTAATAAATGGTAGAATTTTGATTATTTGGAATATTGAAGGGGAAATTGCAGGCCAGTAGAAAAATGCATTCTAAGCTTCCTTTCCAAGCCAGGGCCACACCTCAGCAGAAAGTGAGGGTGGTGTCCAGCTTCTGTACTTTATGGATGAACAAAGGCAAGGTTACACAACATGAAGCCTATTATTTTAAGGGAAATAATCCAAGTATTCAAATGTCCTGAGTTACTATATCAGCCATATTCTTTCATAGGCCAAGGGGGTTTCTTGGCCATGTTCCTCCTTACAAATAAAGCCAGACCAAACGGGTACGAAATTGTCATTTCTTTCTTTGGTCTCTTTGGTCTTCAAGGACTCTCTGCTTGTTTTGCCAGTTAACACTGCAGGTTCTTTAAAGGATCTTTCATAGACAATATGAGGGAAAAGAGGTTTTTATTTGAACAAAATAGGAAAACCTCAAACAGCAACAAACCCCACCCCCCTCAAATAGTATGCCTTCTTAAACAGCAATAAAAAACCTTACACTAAGAAATAAACAATCCCCCCACCAGACCTTCACCCACATAGAGCACCCGATGCAGCCATAGGGAGTATTTGGTCCATCATCCTACTCGGCTAAGTCGCCCTGCACCATTTGGACCTGCCCCAACCAGGCGGGGCTGGATGTCTCCACGGCTGTTACCTGTGGCAATTAGGGCTCCTCACCTGGGCAATCCAGCCCTAGCTGGACCACCTTCAAGGGCAGGAGTGCTCCTACGGGGACTCACATGAAGGGTTGGTAGCGCAAGGATTGGAGCAGGGTGACGTAGTTGGAGAGGATGACAGACCAAATGCTGCTGAGGCTCCCTATGGCTGGATCTGGTGCTTCTATGGGGGTGAAGGTCTGGTGGGGGAATTGTTTCTCTGCGATTGTTCCTCTGGAGTTATTTCTCAGTACATTCATACCTTGGAAGTTGAAGGGAATCCGGTCCAGAAGTCTGTTCAACTTCCAAAATGTTCAAAAACCAAAGTGCGGCTTCAGATTGGTTGCAGGAGGCTCCTGCAGCCAATCGGAAGCTGCAAAAGCCCTGTCAGATGTTCAGCTTCCAAAAATGGTTCGCACACCATAACACTCGGGAGCGGTGTTTGGGAGCCAAAACGTTCGAGAACTAAGCTGTTTGAAAACCAAGGTACAACTGTATAAGAGAGTTTAAGAAGGTGGTGGCACTCTGTATGTCAAAGGGCATTAAACCCACAAGCTAGAAATCCCAAAAGGAGCAGAAACACAGTGGTGTGATACATAGCACCAAGAGTAATTTAGTACTCTGGACTAGTACTATCATCCCTCCAACCAAATTGCCCAGGAAAGAGGAAGTGTTGTACTAGGTAGATGCCTGTTCCAGTCATGCCAAAGAGGTAAAATGCCTTAAAAAGGACAGTGCCCTAGAACAATTTGTCATGAAACCAACTAGTGGGGCAGAGTCCATAGATTTAAGATTAAACTCTTGTCAATGACCTGGTGTGAGATGCAAATATTATTGAACTAAATGGGAACACTGAGCATGTAGCTATTAAAACCCAATGTGGAAAATTGTCAAGTAATAACAAGTGTCACATATGACTACAACCGTGTATATGTATGTTGTGTTTAAAGATGTGTTTGTCAGCACATATGTGTGTCATCTGTACTTTACATGTTTGCTGCACAAATACTCATGAAAACACATTCGCCACAAGCATGTGAAGAGTTTCCAATTCTTTATTTATCCTAGTTACAAATCTGGCCCTGGTTCCCAGTTGTACGCAGCTTGTTAAACGTATATTCCAAAAGAAGCTTTCTATAAAAAGGAAGTGTATCTATTAACATAACATTCATTCCCACTTAGCTGCAGATAAGTTTTTGTGGCACAACTGTTAGAGATAACACATGTTGAATGTTTTGTACACTCTAAGGCACTATGTACCGTATTTTTCGCTCTATAGGACACACTTTTTCCCCTTCAAAAATGAAGGGGAAATGTGTGTGCGTCCTATGGAGCGAAGACGCCATAGCCCCGCGACCCTCTCCCGGCTGGAGAGGTGACGCGCGGCTATGGCAGCAGCCTCTCCGCTGCGCCTTTCCGCTGCTCCCTGACCTGCTCTTTGGGGCTGGTGGTGGGCTTCCCCCCGCCAGCCCCAAAGAGCAGGTCGAAAGGAACCTGAAGCCTGGAGAGCAAGAGGGGTCGGTGTGCACCGGCCCCTCTCGCTCTCCAGGCTTCCAAGGTAGCCGCCTGAACGCACCTTAAACGGCACCTTGTTTTAGAGCGGGAAAACAAGAGGGGGGAAATTCTCCCTCTCTCTGCGCAGCGCCTCCTGCCGCTTCGCTGAAGGGGCGCTGGGCAGAGAGGGGGAGATTTTTTTTTCTTGTTCTCCCCCCTCTAAAACAAGGTGCGTCCTATTGTCCGGTGTGTCCTATGGTGCGAAAAATACGGTAAGTGCTAAGATTGTAACATTCAGATCCCCACTGATTTTAGTAATGCATTTCACAGTAATATTTAAAAATGATTTCATTTAAATATAAATATGTGAAGGAGAACAATGCTCAGCTCTTTGAATAAATTTTATTTGCTACTCTAAAGAATACTATGTCTGCCCAGTACTAAAAGAAACAAGCATTTATTAGTTCGTATACAAATCTACATGGTATTTTAAATTAAGTACCAGAAAATCATGAAGACAGTACTTTCATAGTGATTAAATTACAACGTTCAAAGAGCTTTTGCTTTAGAAAGCACAGGCTGTAAAAATGCACTGTTCATAAATAGTGAGCAGTATGCTCTAGTTCATTCACTGTACTTCAGAATATAAATATATTTGATATACTGCATATACAGAATACCTCAACACATTCATCTGTATTACCATAGTATTCTGTGCTACATGAATTGTTTCTCTTAAAGTTGCCCAGTAGATACTTCTGGGCAATGAAGTGCTAATGCAGCAGTTTGACTTCACCCCTGGAGGTGCACTCCATTGTCTCCTGAGACAAATGCCAACAATATGTTACTAAGCCTAACTGTTAAGTTTATCATTGAGATCAACACAAGCTATGGACTTTTTGGTTTTCTATTGGGAACACACATTTTCAGCCTCAAGCATGTATTTCCCCATATGAAGAGCATCTGTTTCTGTAGCTGTAACTGAAGGAGAGACTGCAACTAAGTATTTAACTTTTTTTTATTACAGCAAACACTTTGAATATTAACAGGAAGGTGATACAAGCTTGCCTATCAAGCAAGTAAAATCTTCACACACATAAAAGGAGTAAGAAATAATAGAACAGTATTTTAGAAAGCTGAACACAACAAGGGTTTGGGGAACATGAACCATTACATGTCTGATCAAATTGGTAACTGAAACTTAACATCCACTTGAGCTTGCTTTGCTAAGGTGACTATTTCAGAGAGTTTCACAACCTAAAAGACAAAACAAAAATCACCTTGAGATATTTTGTTTCCATAAGATATTAAAAATCTTCAACAAGTACAGGTGAAATGACAACAAATAAAAAGTAATTTGGGTGATTAACAGTATGAATAACTGCAAAATGTTACAGCTAAGTCAGATGGAAGAAATAGCTTACAGAGTGTAACAAAACCTCAGAAAGGAAGTCATATCAGTCTAATGCACTGAAAGATGAAGTCATCTGACTGCTTAATATGTACAAGGATGAAGAACCTCAGGCCCAGGGGCTAAATGTGGGCCCTTTGGAACTGATCTGCCAGGCCTGAACTTGGGAAAGTAATGTTAGCCACATCGTTGCCAGAAGCATGCGTGTGGATTCTGGGCACCTTGGGAGCTGCTGTAAGTGCGTGCTTTTGTCAATAAAAAATTAAACTATTGTCCGTTTGTCCTCCTTGGTTGGGTGTGCACAGGACATGGGAACATGAAGAGCAAGTGAAGGTGATCTGAGAGCGAGGGGAAGGTGGTCTGAAAGCAAGCAGAGGTTCAGTCTGAGTGAAAGGCCCCCACACACAAGACAGCTTCTTCCTAAAGGTGGGAAAGCTAAAAAGCAGAATGTGCTCCCACAGTGCAAGAGAAACTGGCTGCGCTGGACTGCTTGACTGTCTGCACTGGCACGGGGATATGGCCTGAACGAGTCCAGCATCCGTGCCATCAAGGTGTGCAAAGAAGGAGATCCATGGGGCTGTGGCATCAAGTGCTCTATTACCTGCCAAGGTGACCAGCCAGGGGTATTCCAAGGCTTTACCACTGTAGCAGGTAGGACGGAAGGCTGTAATTCTCTCATCCACTTCTCTCTCTAAGCTGTCTATTCACTCTACCTGTGATCTCCAACTTTCCCTCAGAGCCACCTAACAAACTCCTCCTCAGACACTGATCAGGGCAAAAAAGGGTTGTGCCTCAAGCACTTGCTTCCCAGAGTATCATTAAGTTACTATGCATTCATCAGTTTACATAATTATATGCGCATTCTTTCAAAACATGTACAGCTATATGCATGGTCTCTTATCCTGAATAAGGTAGGAGTCTAGTTATAAGTATATTGATTATGAACAGATGTAGACAGAAGCTGCCCTCCATGGGTTGAAAAGTCAAACACCACTAATCGCAGGGTTGTGGGTTTGAGCCTCACGTTGGGCAAAAAAGATTCCTGCATTGCAGGGGTTGGACTACATGACCCTCGTGGTCCCTTTCAACTCTACAATTATATGATTCTATGACCTGCAGCGGGGAGTTTTCTGTGCCTGTGGGGGCTCCCTGCACAATTTAGACCCCTGGTTTACTCTGTGGTTCAACTTGCACAGGGAGCCTCCACAAGCATAGAAGGCTTCCTGCTGCAGACGTTTGCCCTCCAACATGGTGAGCAGCAGGCATAGAGCAGGGATGTGGTGAAGCCAGACGGTCCGATTTAGAATTGTGTGATCATACTGAGAGCCTTAACAGGACTAGATTCTTACAGCCACCTGACTGTGCGTACGTACATTTTGCGGTATACTACAGTATGTGAAGAATCCTATAACACTGAAAGCTTAAGAGTGCCATTTCATCATGTTTAGGTAAGTTAACAGTGCTTATCAAAAATGTGTTACAGCAAGAATTTATACAAATAAATTTTAGCTCACCATTTTAGCAGCTTCATCCAAGTCATCACAGGCAAGTATTTTCAGACCGCTGGCTGTTATTAAAGCTTTAGCATCATCAACTCGTGTACCTACATAGTTAAGATTTTATATTTCAGGATTCACAGGTTATTTCTGTCAATGTTATCCAGACACAGGACATAGTAATTAGTACAACAGTGTGGCCTTGATTGAAGTAGCTACAATGCTTCTCTTTCCTTACAACCAATCTTTTTCAAAATCATATGACAATATATTTTAAGGCTAGAGTGGGAGTCCAGTTGTCCAAGAGGCAAAAGCTTTGTCAGTTTTGGGTGCCCTTACTGCGACATGGCAGGCAATTGTATGTGCACCAACCTCTGCTCCGCTAACTTCAGAGTGAGATTTGTGCCGCTTATGTTCCAGTTTTTGTCCAGCTTCTTCATAGCACATAGCTCTCTAGAATGCCAAGGAGTTACCGTAATCAGGCACTGCAATGCTGGAAAGAACACTCAGCAGTGATCAGGCACTGCCTGCCTCATCTCTCCATTACAAAGGAACTTTGGAAGAATCATCCACTTTTCCCACTGGAAAATTCTCCAGAGTATTCAGGAATCTATCAATTTCTGCCACACCCCTGCCAGTCCACCCCCTGCTACCACTTCAAACCTTACTAAATATTGGTGACATCTGGAAACCAGTCATTGAGATAATTTGGATTCAGCAACTCTCCTGACCAGGAGAGTTTTAAACTAGATCTTCAAGGGGGAGGGAGACAACATTACAAATGACAGAAGAACACCTGGTATTTTGAATAATAGCTGCATTTATGCACAAAAAATAAGGTGGCATTTCAGAAACCTGCTAAAGGGCAAGAAGCTACAAGAAGGAAGCAGCTGGAGGGAACAACACATGGTTTCAGTTGTATCTAAACAAATGCACAGAGTATGGGAAACAAGCAAGACAAACTGGAGCTTTTAATACAGGAAGGTAAATATAACCTGGTTGGTAATAATAAACTCTCCTTCCTTGGACGTTTTTAAGCATCTGTCATGGATGCTTCAGTTGAGATTCCTGCATTTCAGGGGGTTGGATTAGTGTCTCTTCCAACTCCACAATTCTATGATTCCATTAATGAACCCCAGTGCTTAAGTCTATATTTTTAGCATCACTGACTGATATATCTTGATATATAGGAGGAAAATATAAGCTTGCGGTATGTCAATGAATGTCTAACTTCAACAGTAAAAGGGACTCTGTACAATTATAAAAGCTACAGATTTAAGAGAAGCTGTAGAAGATTATTCATTGTGTTACAGGCTCTGCTTTTCTATATTCTGTACTACAAAGCATGCAGAAGCAGCATTCGAAATTAACCCATCACCAGCGGCTTTTTGTGACTCAGGGGTGCCACCTAGCAACCAAGTTGAGATTTGCAGTCACATGGTTTGCGACTACCGTATCTTTCGCACCATTGGACGCACATTTTCCCCTCCAAAAATGAAGGGGAAATGTGTGTGCGTCCTATGGGGCGAATGCAGGCTTTCGCTGAAGCCTGGAGAGCGAGAGGGGTCGGTACGCACTGACCCCTCTCGCTCTCCAGGCTTCAGGAAGCTCTGCGCAACCCTCGGGAGACCGACTCCGAGGGTTGCGCAGAGCTGCCTGCAGTCCCGGGCTCAGCGCAGCTCTGCGCGGCCACCGGGAGCCGGGCGCGAAGTCCCGCCCAGCTCCGGATGGCGGCGCAGAGCTGCCTGCCATCCCTGGCTCAGCGCAGCTCTGCGCGGCCACCGGGAGCCGGGCGCGAAGTCCCGCCCCGCTCCGAATGGCCGCGCAGAGCTGCCTGCCGTCCCCGGCTCAGCGCAGCTCTGCGCGGCCACCGGGAGCCGGGCGCAAAGTCCCGCCCTGCTCCGGATGGCCGCGCAGAGCTGCCTGCAGTCCCGGGATCAGCGCAGCTCTGCGCGGCCACCGGGAGCCGGGCGCGAAGTCCCGCCCTGCTCCGGATGGCCGCGCAAAGCTGCCTGCTGTCCCCGGCTCAGCGCAGCTCTGCGCGGCCATCGGGAGCCGGGCGTGAAGTCCTGCCTCGCTCCGGATAGCGGCACAGAGCTGCCTGCCGTCCCCGGCTCAGCGCAGCTCTGCGCGGCCACCGGGAGCCGGGCGCGAAGTCCCGCCCCGCTCCGGATGGCCACGCAGAGCTGCCTGCAGTCCTGGGATCAGCGCAGCTCTGCGCGGCCATCGGGAGCCGGGCGCGAAGTCCCGCCCCGCTCCGGATGGCGGCACAGAGCTGCCTGCAGTCCCAGGATCAGCGCACTTCTCCCCATCGCCAGCCCCACAAGCTCGGGGGACAGCGGGGAGGCAGAGCGCACCTTCCCGCTGTTCCCTGACCTAGTTCTTCCAGCCCCGCACCTGGGGGGGGGGAAATAAAAATATTTTTCTTTATTTCCCCCCAAAAAACCTAGGTGCGCCCTATGGGCCGGAGCGTCCTATGGAGCGCAAAATACGGTAGCTGAGCGGCAGAGCCGAGATTGAGATTCCTGCATTGCAAGAGGTTGGACTGGATGACTTCTGGGATCCCTTCCAACTCTACAATCCTATGATTCTTTTATTGTAAAATGCTCACCTTGTAACCGTACAACAATAGGTATTTTAATCTCCAAATCTTTTACTGCCATAATTATTCCCTGTGAGATCACATCACATCGCATAATGCCTCCAAAAATATTCACCAGAATAGCTTGCACCTGTGTAAAAAAGTATATAGAACTGTAAACATAATGGAGCACAGATTCATTCTGTCTTCTGATAAAAAAAAAGCCTGTTTTGCAAAAGGAAGATCATTGAATCGTTTGCTAATTTGTAGACATTATGCAATTATGTGGCTGCAAAAGAGCATATAATTGGTAATATGTTTTTCTTAATACCTTTGAATTTATAGTTTTAGGCAACCATGCTTGGCAGGCATCACCACATGTCCAAACATATAAGAGACTAATGCAGTCATAACACTGGGTTTTGGAAATATATCTTGCCTTAGAAAAAGACACACACACACAGGCAGCAGTTTTTAGGAGGGAGCCATTATGAGAGACCCAGCCCAACGGGACAGTCAGGGTTTTTACTTACTTTTACCCACCTTAAACCAAGGCAGCTGTGCAGTGATTCAGACTGGTGGGACAGGGAGGAGCCACTGACAAAGGGAACCAGCAGGGAAGCATTGGAGCCAGAGATTGGGGGTGAAGGGGACTCTGATGTGGGCACAGACTCTGATAGGGACTCTGCAAGAGAGCTCTGTTCTGGGCCCTCCCCCTCCCCCTTTCACAGCTCAAGAACGGGGGTGGGTGGGGTGGAAACTTAGCTCCTCTGAAGTTTTTGTGTGTGTGTGTGTGTGCTGACTCTCTGGGTGTTAAGCAATAAAAGTTAAGTGCCATCAAGTCTCATGCCCGCTTCTGATTTACGGCATCAGGCAACAGTTTGCAGAGCTATTCTGGCATTCTACTTCTTCCCTAAATCCTTGTATGGAGGTCATTTCCATTTCCATGTGACCATCTGCTTCCTTCCATTGATTATTTCTTGATCCAGTCTTCCTCCCAACTTTTCATCAATTTGATCTGGGGCATCTATGTATTCTCCCTTTCCATTTTTTACCTCATATTCCTCTGGCTCCTTTTTTTTGCATCACCATCTGGCTAATTTTCTTTATCTTCATCAAACATTGATCTAATCGTTTTTAATTGTCCAGCTATCAACTGCTGAACAATACCAACAGTCACTTTTATCGTGTTGGAAACTTTGAATGTTTTGGTTATTATTAGTCACTCAATTCACCTCAACATAACTTCATTAAAAACCAAAGTATTGACATTCTGCAGCTGCAACTGTTATCTCAAAACAAATTCTTTTTCTCATGGCTAGTGATAATTACTCCACTTTCAATTTTTCGAATTCTTTAGGTGGCAGGAAGCAAAAAAAAAAAGATAACGGAATTTCTATAATCTCTCTTGTCCACCATAAATCAATCTTACGCTTTCCTTTAGATAGTTTAACAATCCATTTACTTTCTGTTTTTTCCAGCAACAGAAAGTGGTTTTTTAAAAAAATATTTATTAATTTATAAGAGTACAAAATACAGCACTGAAGAATAAAAAGGAAGGGGAAAAAAGGGGGGGATAGATACATTACATCAATCCATAATTCTATTCCATCAACTTCCCATCCATGGCTCCCTAAATTTCCAATTCCTGCTGCATATTCTATTTTTTCTAACTATTTAAACATTCAAATTCTTCTCATTATAAACTTTAACTGCTGAGCTTACTTCAAACTGATTAAAGTTCTAACATTTTTACAATGGTTTTTAAGGTAGTCTAGAAATGGCTTCAATTTCTCTTTTAAAATTTTCTCTTCTTGCTCTCTAATTTCGCTGGTTGAGCTTGCTAATTCTGTGTATTCCACTAATTTCATCTGCCACTCCTGCTTTGTGGGTATTATCTCCTCAACAAAGTGGTATTCACAGATTTTCAGATGGTAGATCTTCGCCAGCAGATGGAGAGGGAGGGAGGGCTCTCATTACAGTTTTCTTATCCCAAAGATGTTTTAAAGGGTTTTTAAAAGAGAGGGTGCAATTCAATTGCCTGTTTTCAGGCAACTGCGTGGCATTTGGACATGATGGCATTCTCCTGTTTGTCAGCCTACTGCCATTGACAGCCATAAATTTGTCTAATCCTCATTTTATAGCCGCTGAAATTTCTGCCCACCACTATCTCTTGTGGGAGCAAATTTCATAGTTTAACTATGCACTGTGTAAAGCACTTACTTTTATCTGTTCTGAATCTTCCAGCATTCAGTTTCACTGAATGTCCCTCAGTCAAGTATTATGAGAGAGGGAGAAAAAGTTTTTTTCTCTATCAACTTTCTCCAGACTATGGCAAATTCCAAGCACCTCTATCATGCCACCTCTTACTGCTTTTTCCTCTAACTCATTCCCTAAGGGGCAGGAGCTCACTGCACCAAGCACACATCCATCACTTCTGTCCAACAGGCAGACAGCTGCACATGTGACAATCACTGGCATACACCATTGCTGCCTTTTTAGCTGTGTATCTATTTGGTAGTTTGAGTTAATTTACCCTCTAGCTCAAGGAGAGGTTCCTATATCCCTGGCTAGCTTCTACCACCTGCTACTACAGCCAATGAGATCAGGCAGTGTGGATCAAATCCCTAAGAGTAGGAATTTGAATGAGATGTGAATTTAGATGGGAATGGGGAACAGACAAGAGGGGAGGCGTGAGTTAGAATTAATCCCTGTAGAAGATAGCTTCTATATATATATAGATATATGTATGGTTTCAGCTAAGTCTTATTTCCATCTAAAGTCTATACTTTTAAAATGAATGAAACCTGAAAAAAATAGTAAAGGTTTTTAAAGCTCAAGTTACCATGCAGTTTTAACTTACACTATAGATTACATCAACGGAACTAGGACACGACTGTGCTTAGAGGTCAGGATGTTCCTTGAAAGAAGATGCCTGCTCATAGGAGAAAAAGTAACCTGCATTTCTGAGTAGCAGCAATACTTGATTAACTAAACATCAGGTTAAACAGAGAACTCTAAATAGCAACTGTGTTCTTACCTTTTTATCTGATGTAATCAGTTTAAAGGCCTCTGTTACTTGTTGCACTGTAGCACCACCTCCAACATCAAGAAAATTTGCTGGGGTGCCTCCATGAAGTTTAATTATATCCATAGTGGCCATTGCAAGACCAGCTCCATTCACTGAAAGAGGGGCAGAAAAAAGAAAACAGTAACTATTGAAGGCATTGCTGCATCTTTAGTTCCTATATTCAGCATTCACCACGCCCAACATACCAAGACATCCGATGCTTCCATCTAATCCTATATAATTGAGATCTGCTTTGGCTGCATCTCTGTCTCGCTGGTCTTCCTGGGTCCAGTCCTGCAGGCCGAATATTTTCTGCTGACGATAAGCCGAATTGCTATCAAAATTTATCTTTGCGTCCATACACATCACTTGGAAAAACAAACAAGTTGTGTTTAGACCCCTTAATGCTAAGAACAGTAACTTCCCAAGTTATCTATGTGGGCTAGTCTAAACACAGCACAGATTAAGGTAGCAGAGTCCTGGGCCAGTTTAACATGAAGATATTGTATTTCCAAATGTCCCATAACATGCAAATTCCCTGAAAGCAGAAATCAAGCCTTGCATGCTCTCTGATGTGCAATAATATGTTTCCTGCCTGCTGTGCTGGTTTTGTGCATGCAGGGAACTTTTAACAGCAGTCAAATTCAGGAGTGGCATTCCCCCATCTGGAACCTGAAGCGATGCACTACACTCTTTCACCTCATCCTGCTACATGTATAGACCATCAAAGTTACGATATTTCTTCCCAAAGCCAAGAACATACACGAGAAAGTCAGAGAAAATGGTGTGCGTAGAAGAGGCTCCTATACAAAGGGTACAAATGGGAAAGCCAAACTGATTTAACTCGGAAGAGCCAACACTCCCCCCCCCCAAAAAAAAGAGAGAGAGAGGAATCAGATTGAGCACATTTAAGGGATACACTGACCAAATTTCTTAATCTTGTCACGCTACATGTAACTGACAGTCCTAAAAATGTCTTCTCGCTGCAGTTTGTAGATCCATTTAAAGCATAAGATCGCTTTTGGACAATGCCAAAACACATCTTAAAAAGGTAAATCTAGTTTGGGGTTTTGTTTTGGGTTTTTAAATCCTCTTAATAAAACATGAGCAAAAACTCAGATATCCTATTTTGTAATTAAAGTTAATAAATTCCACAATTAAGTTTTCAAAGTGAAACAATTCCAAAAGAAAGTACTTTACCAATCCCTGTAGAATCTTCAACCATGGGGTTAATTTCTACCATAGTAGCATCAAATTTAATGAAGAGGTTGTAAATCTTAATCATATTATCAGCTGCTTCGTTTACCAAATTAGCAGGAAACCCCATTTTCTTGGCCAGCTGGAATTGGAAAACAAAAACACAGAAGGAACCTTTATCAATCAAAAACAAGAAAACTCAGAAAGAATAAGCACATTTCAAGCTACCTTACATATAAGCCAGAGATGGGAAACCATCCCCCTCCTCAAGTGAGCCACTCTGCTACACACCTACACACAACCATCCTCTGTTCTAACTCTTACTAACACTTTTGGGGAGGTGGAAGATTCAGATCTAGACTATGGCATCAAGGAATGGGGGGGGGGCTTTAACTTTGCCCCCAGCTACAAAGATCCAGACACAAGCATTCCTCAGACTTTAAGTCTGCTATTGGTATTGGAATAAATGTTCCTATTGAACCAAACAGGAAGACAGACTGCAGGGACTGCAGGGATTGTGGTGATCTGAACCACAGTAGGGAGCAAAGAGTTATAAAGAACCCTCCTGCCCCTCCACCAAGATTGGGTTTCCATGCCTACAATTAGCTGTATTTCCCTGCTAGCCACAAGGAAAAAAAGCTCCTCCCTGAAGTCAACACGGTGGACGGAGCAAAGCCAAGACCGAGAGGTTCTGTGGACAAGATGGAATCATCCATGGGTGGAATTAGGCCCACTCCTAGTGAAGGTTAATCTGTTGTTGTTGTATTATATACCGTATTTTTCACCCTATAGGACGCACCGGCCCATAGGACGCACCTAGTTTTTTGGGGGGGAAATAAAGGGGGGGAAATTATTTCCCCCCCCCCCAGCCACGGATATCTGCCCGAAGCGCGGGGCGTACCCTCAGGGCTCCCTAGGCTGTGGATGTCTGCCCGAAGCGCGGGGCGCTCTGCTTTGGCGCGCCCTCTGCTCCGGGCAAGCAGGCTGCGGGTGTCTGCCCGAAGCGCGGGGCGCTCTGCTTCGGCGCGCTCCGGCCAAGCAGGCTGCTATCCGCAGCCTAGGGAGCCCTGCGAGAACTCCCGCAGGCTCCCCAGGCTTGCTGATAGCTTCCTGATAGCTTTTCCACGCTTCAGCGAAAGCATGCATTCGCCCCATAGGACGCACACAGATTTCCCCTTCATTTTTGGAGGGGAAAAAGTGCGTCCTATAGGGCGAAAAATACGGTATCTATTTATGCCCAACCTTTTTCCCTGACAGGGACTCAAGCTGGCTTACAGATAAAAATAAGAACCCCTAAAACATATTAAACACATTTTAAAAAATAAAACATAAAATAAACATTGATAGAATTAACACTAACACCACCCTGAATCACTGTCAGGAAAAAAGGCAGGGAATATAATTAACATAATACCATTACTGTACTGTACTGTACTATACGGCTGCTGTTGTCTTGCTTTTTCAAGGGAAATAATAGTCCTGCTCTATTTGGCCTTGGTTAGACTCCACCTGGAGTCCTGTGTCCAGTTCTGGGTGCCACAGTTTAAGGATATTGACAAGTTGGACCATGTGCAGAAGAGGGCAACCAAGATGATCAACGGTATGGAAATCAAGGCTTATAAGGAATGGTTCAGGGAGTTGGGGATGTTTATCCTGGGAAACAGGAGACTGAGAGGAGATATGACAGCCATCCTCATTTATCTAAAGGGCTGTCAGATAGAAGATGGAGCAAGCTTGTTTCCTCCCGCTCCAGAGTTGGACCTGAACAAATGGATTTGTGTTACAAAAGGAGATTCCAACTAAACATCAGGAAGAACTTTTTGACAGTAAAAGATGTTTGACAGTGGAATGGACTCCCTTGGAAACTGGTGGATTCTTTTTCACAGGAAGCTTTTAAGCAGAAGTTGGATGGCCAACTGTCATGGATGCTGTAGTTGTGCTTGCTCCAGCAGCATATATGCTAAAACTGGAACAATACAGAGAAGATTAGCATATCATCAATGCTTCAGTTGAGATTCCTGCATTGCAAGGAGTTGGACTAGATTGTTTTTTTATTATTTTATTAGTTTTATTAGCTGCTTTTTCCACAGGCAACCCAAAGCAACTTAAATTAAAACCAGAAAAGAAGAACAAAAACACATTAAAAAATCTCACCCCCTCTAAAAGGTCCTAGATCATAAAAACCAGGGGCTGGTTGAAGAGGAATGTTTTTGCCTGGTGAAAACTCTATGGAGCAAATGTTTAGGGGCACAGGAGGCTGCTGGAGCAAGGTGGAGGGGGGGAGTAGAGGAGGAAGGAGCAAAAATATCCTCCTCACCTATTTCTACTCGCAGCAGCATTCACCCCACGGGGTTTTTCTCTGCACAACTCTAAATCGAAACCATTAAAGAACCTGAAGATCCAGTGTTATATCTTTTAGTTAAACAGACCATATGTGTACAGGTTATAGAGAAGCTGTCGCTGAACAAACAATGCATATTTCAGTACCCTGACGGCCTGCTCCTTTTGAATGCCTTCTACAATGTCAACTGGTTCCTTAGCTATGGCATCAGGATTCTCTGCAGCAACATCTTCAATATTGACACCACCCTGGGAACTGCCAATGAGTACAGGACCCTGAAAAGAGAAACACTTTTCAACAAGGTCTTTTTACAATCCCCAAAATATTAAAGTAATTTTGTAACACACTTGTGGGTTGAATATGAAAAATATACAATTAGATACTACACAGAAACTGAGTGTTCAGTTATACGCCTAGAAAAACCTAGAAACACAGAATAACTCATTTACGATAGCCTGGTTGCCAACCAGCTATTTGAGTGCCGGTTGACTGAAAGGTAAAGGTTATCAATTAGTCAATAAAAAAACTATAGGTGTGGCAGCTGGAAATTTACAGGCCCCTAATTCAGTCCTGGAGACTCGAGTCTTTCTTGCTATCATATCTTAACTACCTTCTAAAAACCAGCTGTCTGAAAATATTCCAATGAATGTGGTTGGGAAAGGTGGTTATATCATTCACACGAGAAATTCTTATTTATGTGCTTGTGAACTTTCAGAGAAAGGCAGAGCAGAACTCAAATCTAATATTTGCCCCCCAAACGACTGGCCAGCGAAACAAGCTACTAAAAAAAGTGGGCACCGCTACCCCCAGTAGGAATCAATATATTTTTAGAAGAAATTAGTCGTGATCAGCACTTTGGGAAACTCCTAAAGCGTTTTATGTTTTTATAAATTCATTCTTGGAAGACAATTGAAGACACTGGAGGCTTAGTACCAACATGCAGTGCGTAAGATAAGAATTTGAAACAGATTCTGTAGTTTTCATTTTACAGTGGTGCCCCGCAAGACGAATGCCTCGCAAGATGAAAAACTCGCTAGACGAAAGAGTTTTCCGTTTTTTGAGTCGTTCCGCAAGACTAATTTCCCTATGGGCTTGCTTCGCAAGACGAAACGTCTTGCGAGTTCTTGCGAGTTTGTTTCCTTTTTCTTAAAGCCGCTAAGCCGTATAGCCACTAGCCGCTAAGCCGCTAATAGCCGCTAAGCCGCTAATAGCCGTGCTTCGCAAGACGAAAAAACCGCAAGACGAAGAGACTCGCGGAACGGATTAATTTCGTCTTGCGAGGCACCACTGTATGTGAAAATGACTTTAATCCAAGCCAAAGAAGAACCCCTCTCCTGCTCTCCACTACCACAGCCAGTTAGCCCCCCCAAATTTGCTACCACCCATTATCCAGCCTGGCTCCATTTCTGCCAGGGTAGGCTATAAAATGAAAAATTGTATTCAAGTCTAAGTATTTTAAAATCTTATTCATGTCCCTAAAGCTGTGCTCTTATTTACACTCTTGTTAAGCACAAAAGAAAAGATGATGGTTTAAAATGCACCCAGTATTTTCTAGGAAAGGACCCTTTCAGCTGCTCCCCTCAAGAGGACTCCAAAAGGCTGCTGTAGAACTTGTCACAGACGCATGCATGGTATTTCTCTTGAAAGGACTCTTGCCTGTTTACTAAACTTATACAGGTAAGAAGCTATTTGGGGATTTACTAAAGGCTACTGCAGAAAAGGAAAACCTCTAAAAAACTCAGATGCTCAGATATCAAATCAAAACCTTACATTAATAAACACTTCTGTCACCAAGCACCTTACAATTCATATGTCCTATGAGGCACCTAATTGCTTCATACTTTAGTAAATAACACTGACAATGTTTGACAGCAGAATGTTGTTTTTTAAATACATACTAGAAAAACAAAAACAAAAGATTTTGCCCAGAGTGAGAACTAGGGTACTACAGTTAAACCTCGGTTGTCGAACATAAACCATACCGGAAGCCCCTTCACAAAACAGAGCTGTTCAGGAACAGAGGTTTGACTGTATAATCCATGTTTTGCTCTACTAACTATCCTTCTGAAGACAGCTTAAAAGTCTTTGTCCCAACCAAAAACACTAAACTCTATGATAATAATAATAATAATAATAATAATGATGATGATGATGATAATTTATTATTTATACCCCGCCCATCTGGCTGGGCTTCCCCACCCACTCTGGGCGGCTTCCAACAAAATATTAAAATACTGTAATGCATCAAACATTAAAAGCTTCCCTGAACAGGCCTGCCTTCAGATGTCTTCTAAAAGTCTGCTAGTTGTTTTTCTCTTTGACATCTGGTGGGAGGGCGTTCCACAGGGCGGGCGCCACTACCGAGAAGGCCCTCTGCCTGGTTCCCTGTAACTTGGCTTCTCGCAGTGAGGGAACCGCCAGAAGGCCCTCGGAGCTGGACCTCAGTGTCTGGGGTGAACGATGCGGGTGGAGACGTTCCTTCAGATATACTGGACCGAGGCCGTTTAGGGCTTTAAAGGTCAGTACCAACACTTGGAATTGTGCTCGGAAACGTACTGGCATAAAAAGCATTTCTCCTCAAATAGACTACTCACCTGAAATGATCGTTCCATGGTTATTGCAAAATAGTACTCTCTCCTGGGATATCTGCGCTCACAGATAAACACTTGATTGCATATTCTGCCCTTTTCTCCTGTCTGCTTTGTATACAGTTTTTTCCCAATCATTTTGGAGGAAATCTCTCTTGCTTCTTCTGGACTAATAAATAAATATCATTTATTAATTTTATTTATTTGTGTAGCCAAAGCCATCACAAAACAAAACAAAACACATTAAACAGAATAAAATACATTAAACAGAATAAAATATATTACACAATTAAAATAATTATTAAAGTATTATTCTGTCAGATAAGAGTTTGCTTCCCCAAAGAATTTATTATCCCCACAAACATTTCTTCTTAAAATTGCCACTCTAAAGGCAAACAGGCCTCTTTTTCAGAGTTGTAGGGTGACCTGTCCCCTAATAAAATAAAAATAGTATTCACAAAATACTAGATCACCCTAAGATCCATGTTATCTAATCTACTATACCAAAAAGAGATCAAAGTCCCAAAATGAAGTTGCTGAAGTTTAAGTAATAGTTCAAGCATTCTAAAAATACAAATACTGAAACAATTCTAGTAAATAGTTACGCATAGTAAATGCCCCTGGGCTATTAATGCTTTTGCTTTCTGTGTTAATTAATTAGAAGCTCAACTTACGAAAATACTATTTTCACTCCTCCTTTAAGGCCACCTTCAAAGGTTCCTTTCCCTCTACCACCAGCTAAAACTTGTGCCTTTACAACAAGGTCCTTTGTACCTGGAATAGAAGGAGGGTAGACAATAATTGTTTCAAATTAAATAATGTACAAATACTATTTGAGGGTTTTTTTTTAACCTAGGCAGATCTAGGTTTTAGAAAAGAGAATGAAAAGCTTCTTTGCAGTAGCCAAGACAGGGGCCTTTGACAGCATGTTGGGCCTAAACAAAACTCTTGTACTGAAGTACAAGAATAATCTCACCCTGGGTCATGGTATCAGAAGCAGAGGATATTACAGCGTTTGAAGGATGTAGCATCCCCAAGTAGGCCTCTGGAAGCCCTGACCTGAGGGAACCGGAACAAGGGATAGCCCCAAAGCAAGGAGGACGAAATGCTACTTTTTTTTTTAATTCAGGGAGCCTTGCAATGCAGCAGAGGAACAGGCTATAAATTAGCATGACTAGTAGTATATACAATTGGAAAGTGTCAGTAACAAAGCTAATGTCAAAAAGTACATCTAAGTACTTCACAGTTCACAAATCTCTGAATGGTATTCTCTCTCCTACAGTGATTTTGTAGGATCTCAGAAATTGAGAAAGAAGTAAGAATTTGAAAAATGTAAGCAGTTTTACCACTATCTATTAAGTCTCTAAAACTTCGTGCATGGAGAATTACCTGGGGGAAAACAACAAAAAGAAAACATTTACTACATCTATAGACTTCAGTTCTATACCTATTTCTTTTGCAATGTTGTAAGCTTCTTCTGGTGTCTTTGCAACCAATCCATATGGAACAGAAATGCCAGCTTCTTTTAATAGTTCCATACTTAAGTATTCATGCAGCGACAAGCTCCTTCGTTGCTGCACTTGGAACACATAGCTAGGAAACAAACCTTGTCTTCCACTGAATACCTAGGAAAATAGGAACACGACTTTCAGTTTAACAAGTCTTCATTTATTTACAGTTTACACACTTTACTATATAAACAACCAAAACGCGATCTTTTTACAGTGACACAGCCAAGGGATAAACAGCAGCTTCACCCTCTGGTTGAGATGAAGGGGATGGGGGGGTATGTAAATAATAATGAAATATATCAAACAGGGAGAGAAATGGCAAAGCAATACAGTGGTACCTCGGGTTACAGACGCTTCAGGTTACAGACTCTGCTAACCCAGAAACAGTACCTCAGGTTAAGAACTTTGCTTCAGGATGAGAACAGAAATTGCACGGTGGTGGTGTGGTGGCAGCAAAAGTGGTGCTTCAAGTTAAGAATAGCTTCAGGTTAAGAATGGACCTCCAGAATGAATTAAGTTCTGAACCCGAGGTACCACAGTACTGCTTATTATGTTGAGGAGACATTAACAATCTTAAAGTAATTGCAAATCATATTTTAGAATATACAAGACAGAAATAAGCTTAACATGAGTCAACAGTATAATGCAGCAGCAAAAAAAAAATCTAATACTATTCTAGGCTGCATTCAATAGAAGTCTAGTGACAAGATCAAGGGAAGTAATAGTACTGGTCTATTCCGCCTTGGTCAGACCACCAATTCAGGACACTACAATTTAAGAAGGATATTGACAAGATGGGGTGTGTGCAGAGGAGGGCAACCAAGATGATCAAGAGTCTGAAAACCAAGCCTTATAAGGAATGGTTGAAGGAGCTGGGTATGCTTAGCCTGGAAGAGAGGAGACTGAGAGAAGATATGATAGCTGTCTTCAAATAACCCAAGGGCTCTCACATGGAGCAAGCTTGTTTTCTCCTGCTCTGGAGGGTCTGACCTGAACCAATGGCTTCAAGTTACAAGAAAAGATTCCAACTAAACAGCTGGAAAAACTTTCTGTCGGTAAGAGCTGTTTGACAGTGGAACATACTCCCATGGGAGGTTGTGGACTCTCTCTCATTGGAGGTTTTTAAGTAGAAGGTGCATGGCCATCAGTCATGGATGCCTTAGCTGAGATTCCTGCCTTGTAGGGGCTGGACTAGATGACACTTGGGGTCCCATCCAATTCTATGATTCTATGAATATGTTTTAGAATGCCATTCTTTTCTGTCACTGTGTGCCTGGGGGCAGATTATCTGCTTTAGAGTCTAAATAAGTCACAATCAGTGTTAGAAAGTCAGATATATAAGCTAGGTGCCAAATGATAATACAGTGGTGCCTCGCAAGACGAAATTAATCCGTTCCGCGAGTCTCTTCGTCTTGCGGTTTTTTCGTCTTGCGAAGCACGGCTATTAGCGGCTTAGCGGCTATTAGCGGCTTAGCAGCTATTAACGGCTTAGCGGCTATTAACGGCTTAGCGGCTTTAAGAAAAAGGAAACAAACTCGCAAGAACTCGCAAGACGTTTCGTCTTGCGAAGCAAGCCCATAGGGAAATTCGTCTTGCGGAACGACTCAAAAAACGGAAAACTCTTTCGTCTAGCAAGTTTTTCGTCTTGCGAGGCATTCATCTTGCGGGGCACCACTGTAATAATAATAATAATAATAATAATAATTTTTATTTATACCCCGCCCTCCCCAGCCAAGGCCGGGCTCAGGGTGGCTAACAAGCAATAATAAAAACAAGTTGAATGAATACAACTTAAAAACAAGATTAAAATACATTAAAATATTGAAACATTAAAATATTAAAATGCAGCCTCATCACAGGAGGAGAAAGGTAAAAGAAAAAAGAAAGAGGGGGAGGGAATCAAATTGGCTCCAAGCCAAAGGCCAGGCAGAACAACTCTGTCTTACAGGCCCTGCGGAAAGAAATCAGATCCTGCAGGGCCGTAGTCTCATGAGGCAGCGCGTTCCACCAGGCTGGAGCCAGTGTTGAAAAGGCCCTGGCTCTGGTTGAGGCTAATCTAACTTCCTTAGGGCCCGGGACCTCTAGGGTGTTGCTATTTATGGACCTTAAGGTCCTCCGTGGGGCATACCGGGAGAGGCGGTCCCACAGGTACGAGGGTCCTAGGCCGTGAAGGGCTTTAAAGGTCAAAACCAGCACCTTAAACCTGACCCTGTACTCCACCGGGAGCCAGTGCAGCTGGAAAAGCACTGGGTGAATATGCTCCCATGGCAGAGACCCTGTGAGGAGCCTCACTGCAGCATTCTGCACCCGTTGGAGTTTCTGGGACAGCTTCAAGGGCAGTCCCGCGTAGAGCGAATTACAGTAGTCAAGCCTGGAGGTGACCGTCGCATGGATCACTGTGGCCAGGTCGGGGCGGGAAAGGTAAGGGACTCCTTAAATGGCTCCTTAAACCAAAATGTAATGCCTGGTTGCCATTTGGGGGCAAGGCAACTCCATTAAACATATGGCTAGTTCAGATGACAATCTTGAGTTAGGATAAGAACTTTGAAAACTTAAAAAAGAAAAGTCACTTGATGCAAGGACAGTCCACATATATATCGGCCTATTCCAGCCTCTGTTTCATAACACAACTGTGAGCAGGGCAGTGGGGTAAGTGAAGACAAGCTACATCAATTAACTACTGTATAACATTGTTCACTGCTCCTGCTCAAACATTTTTGTTCCTGAAATTCATTCTGATTGTGCAGATAAAATATAACTGATAGAATTCTACAGGATGTGGTATTAGTGTATGAAAACTGTCAAGATCCAATGATCCCCAGGCATGCACCTCCAGACGGTGGAGATGTCAGGCACCATCCTGGCCCCCAGGCAGCTTCTCTTGGTCACAAGTGGCTGATCATCAGGTGCAAAATATGCCTGGCACCTGGCTAATTTTGAACACTGTCCTGTCCCCTTTATAAAGATCTGAGGAATGAGATCATCACCCCACTCCTACTTACCATCACAGGCCGCCCATCTGCAGCTACATTGTTCTTTCTTTTATCAGATCTAAATGATCAGACAACAGCAAAGGTTGCTAGGTTTATTGAGGGTGCAATGAGATTAAGGGCCACTATCTGAACGATAATCTTGGTCATTTGATTGCCCTTTTTACCCATTGTTGTCTTTTAAATTGTATATAGTGCTTGTTTTATGTTGCTATGGCCATTGGCTATTGTGAATAAAGTTTAAAAAAAACACCACTGGTCACAACATTTTCAACTAAAGCCCAACAGCATTGTTGAGTTCATGGTTGAGCCTGCACTGCTAGAGTGGACCAAGAATTGGCACAAAGAGAATCTGTGTGAAAAGAGCCATGAGCGCTAAACAGGAACAGGTATAATGAGCCCCATTCCTATTAATGAAATGGCATATATTCAGTGGGAAAACAAATCATCTGAAGAGCTTCCATATTACTGGTGTGATAGGAATTTTATGGTCTTAGATATATGGTAATGTTCATAACCGCACATACATAGATCAACACAGGAAGGCCAACCTGGAACCATTTTGATTCCTAAACTGACCAAATGTTTTCCCTGCAAGGTCAAACTGAAAAGGTCTCCCCATTGTCTCTTTCCTCACAAATCCTGTCTTATGGACACATTTAAGATATGATTAAGGTGTGAGCCTGTGACCTGGCCCAGGAAATAAGTATTTTACCACTACAAAAGAATGGCCAGGCTCCCCAGGCAATCCAATCAAGTAACTTGCCAGTCAGGAGATAAACTGGGACAGGAGAAAAACAACATGCAAATGTTCTGTTTCAGACCGCCTTTTCTGGGATGTATCTGAGGGGTGGTCTTAGGTTACACCCCTTCTGTGATGAATGCATAATGTTTCTGGGCGTGGTCTTGATTCTAGAGGATGGGAATTTCAAAAGTCTTTATAAGCCCTTGCACAGCATTTTTGGGGGTCCTCTTCCTCTCCTGCGGGTGAGGGGAGCACCCTGTTGCAACAGATCAATAAAGATCCAGCTTACTAGCTGCTTTGCTTCTCAATATTCTCTGGTTGGCCTCTGTTATTTTCTCCTACCAATAGGGAACCTATGTAAGGACTCTATATGGGCTCTTGGATACCCCATAAGGGAAAAGGGCATATTTTTATTTACAACACTGGGGATAGCTAACATGGTGCCATCCAGAGCCTGTTGGACTCCAACTCCCATCAGCCCTGGGCACCACAGTCCAGCCAGCATGGCCCACAGACAGGACTGTTGGGAACTGGAGTCCAGCAACATCTATATAGCACCATGCTGGTTACCCATGTGCTGACTGGTATCAGAATCCAACAGAAAGAAACCACACAGGCAAAGAAAACATTTTGGTTGCCACTTTCATTTACAGCTTTTAGCAGCAGCTATGTAATCTGTATTTATGATATGCTTAATACATAGGTACCATTGTATTGGGTCTGTTTATATTGCAAAAAATTCATTAAGGGGAAAAAGAACCACCAAAAGCCACACAGGTATTGTAATTAATAAAAAGATACAGCCACATAGAAAACAGTAACTCTGATATTAAGAACATAAATTATACTTCAAAGTTTGTGACCAACGCTAACACATTTTACTTCAATCTGTAATACCAATTTCCCAGAACTGTACTAAGGGACTGACTGCTTGAGATCTGCATAACACTTACTCAACAGCCTGCACAACAGGTATAAAGGTAAAGGTAAAGGGACCCCTGACCATTAGGTCCAGTCATGGCCGACTCTGGGGTTGCGGCGCTCATCTCGCTTTACTGGCCGAGAGAGCCAGCGTACAGCTTCCGGCTCATGTGGCCAGCATGACTAAGCAACTTCTGGCGAACCAAAGCAGCGCTCAGAAACGCCGTTTACCTTCCCACCAGAGCGGTACCTATTTATCTACTTGCACTTTGACGTGCTTTCAAACTGCTAGGTTGGCAGGAGCAGGGACTGAGCAACGGGAGCTCACTCCGTCGCGGGGATTCGAACCACCGACCTTCTGATCGGCAAGTCCTAGGCTCTGTGGTTTAACCCACAGCGCCACCCGTGTTCCTGCACAACAGGTATAGTCAGGGAGAAAAGAAAGTACAACCTCTTTGAATTCTGTGGTTTTATATATCAGGACATAACAACAATCATCTGTTCCTTAACAGATCTTTAAAATAGGTAAATACAAACCTCAGATAAACAACACACAACACATTACACCGTGTCTATATTTATTAAATCAAAATAAAGCCAAAATGGAGAAAGAAAAGAGCCTCCACAAAGTTGCTACAAACAGGAGGAACAGCATCTCAAGGTACTAGCTCATGACACACCACAGAGACTGACATTCCAGCAGTGGGAGAGCTGGGAGTCAGAGTTCATGCCATAGCTCTGCGGTGACAGCCCAGCCCAGCCCCACCAGGTCTCCTCTCAGCTGTCACCCAGGGGCAGCTATGGCACCCAGCTGCCTTAGCGGAAGAGACAGGAAGCAGGGCTCGTTTCACCCACTTTGCTAGAGGCCCAGCTCCCCCGGGCACCTCCTGCCCCTTGAACTGGGCCAGCTGGTCATGATGGGAACAGCTCTTTAGAAACTGGTGCCTGAATTCTCTGCTGCATTTCCTCTTCTCTCGCTGATCCTTTTCACTTGTGTCTTTTTGCTTTTTTAGATTGTTAAGTCTACAGATAGGAACTGTCTTGTTCTTTGACTGTATGTAAGCCATGCTAGGAGCCTTTTTGGCTGAGGAGCAGGGGAGCAAACGCTCTGAATAAATGAATATTGCACAGGCAGGATGGTGGGAGGCTGAGATGTGTGAAGCGAATGCTTCCAGCAGAAACAGTAGCATCATCTGACTGTTTTATGTGAGGCCCTCAGAAATACAAGCTCTAAAGGTGACGCATGATCACGAAGAAAGCAAAGGAAACCCAAAGTACGCGATGACCCGTTAATTGCTTTCTTCTTCTGCAAATATGCCGGCCTTTTTGAGTTTGGGGCGAGGGACAAGAAGCCGGAGCCTCCTTTCCCTGTCGCGGATCCTGCGCGGGGCCGGGCGCCTCTCCAGGCAAGGCCCGTCCCGATCCTCGCCCTTTCCGAGGGGTCTCCCCCCGGCGCCCCTGCCCCGCACCCGGCGCGCTCCCGCTGGCTCCGCCCCGGAGGCCTGTCGGCGGGGCGCCCGGTGACCTTCCCTCGCTGCCCCCGCCTCCGCCCGCCCGTCCCCTCGCTCCGTCCTCCCTCCGCGGGCGCGGCGAGCAGGGGAGGCCCGGCCCCGCTCACCTTGGCAGCGGCGCTCCGCTCCGCGCAGCCCCAGCCCAGCAGCTGCTTCGCCGCCGCCGCCGCCGCCGCCGCCCGGGCGCCCATCATGGAGGCGGCCATGATCCACCTCCTCCCTCCGGACTGGCCTCGGCGGCAGTGCGCGTGCGCGGCAGCGGGCGGGCGGGCGGGCGGGGGCGCAGACGCGCTGAGTCCGGCGGGCCGCTTCTCTCCCCGAGCGGGGCCTGCGGAACTCCCTGCCACGGGACGGCTTTCCAAGAGGAGGCGGCGAATGCAGGGCGGGGGCGGCGCTGTCGCTGGGCCACTAGGCTCCGCCCTCCGCGGTCGGGGCAACGATGCTCTCGCTGTTTCCCCGCAGGCATCTGGCGGGAGGCCCCGGCCTCGGCCTCATCCGGCAGGGCTCCTGCTCCGTCCTTGCGCAGCGCCAGCAGAAAGCCAGGCCGCACTTTTCTGGCATCTACAGCGGCTTTTTCCCCTCGCCGCAGGACTGCTTCAAAGCTGAGGTCGCTTCCAGAGGGTCGCTATTTTCAGGAGGAATTCAATCTCATGCTGGCAAATTGAGGCTGCATAATTAAAGCTGCTTTGGAACGCTTAAAAAACAAAAACCCCATTTCCCCAAAGGTTTATGAGACCTTTTGCAACAAGGAAAGTGACAGGGAAATGCATTGGAAAGTGTGGGATCACACTTGTTTTTGTTAATTATTGTTATTTATTAAATTTGTATACTACCCTTCAGCCGAAGATCACAGGGTGGTTCACAACATAAAAATACAAAATGAAAACAAAAAATACATAAAAAACCCAATCCCCCTTCAAACACATTTTGAAGGCCATAGATTTATTAGTATTTATTAAATTTTATTTAATGTGTGCTCCTCCTTTGGTCTGAATCATGGCAAAATGGCTATGCAAAATGTGTTGTTAGATTATTACTCTGTATAAAGGGATATATATCAGAAGAGATTATTTGCAGTACAGGTATGCTATGAGACATCTTAGTGTACCTGTAATTGTGCAGCAAACTGTATTTTTATGATTGTTACCCGCCTCCCCTACTTTTATATGTAAGTTGGAAAAGCAGGTTATAAATAAATATACATGAAATGCTACTACTATCCCTGTTGGTTAGAGGGTGGTGCTATGGTTGCAGGTTTGATCCCCGTATGCCCCCAACATGAAACTTGCCCTCCCCAACATAAATCCTGGCTATGTCCGTGACTGCTGCCCATTCATTTTTGTTACTCCAGCTCCATACACGTAATATAAAAATATACGCATGGTGCACGTAGCACCTACGGGATCGGCTCTCCTGGTATGCCCCATAGAGGACCTTAGGGTCCATATATAGCAACACCCTAGAGGTCCCGGACCCTAAGGAAGTCAGATTAGCCTCAACCAGAGGCAGGGCCTTTTCAACACTGGCCCCGGCCTGGTGGAACGCTCTGTCTCATGAGACCAGGGCCCTGTGGGATCTGATTTCTTTCCACAGGGCCTGTAAGACAGAGTTGTTCCACCTGGCCTTTGGCGTATAATCAGTTTGATTCCCTCCCCCTTTTTCTTTTTCTTTTTCCTTTCTCCTCCTATGATGAAATTGCTCCCTAATTGTTTTAATATTGTATCTTAATCTTTTAAATTATATTTTAATCAACTTGTTTTTCTTATTGGTTGTTAGCCGCCCTGAGCCCGGTCTTGGCTGGGGAGGGCAGGGTATAAATAAAAATGTATTATTATTACAGTATTATTAAGCAGCTACCAATTTTACCAATTTTACGAAACAACAACAACAGCTGCATATAAAAATGTTGCAGTAATACTAAACTCAGGGCGACGCAGAAAAACAGCGGCCCCCTTTCTCTCCCGCCCCCCTTCGATTCCGTGGGGCTGCAGCCCCGGTTTGCTCCGCCGGCAGAGGAGAAAAGGGGGCTTGGAGCGGGAACCTGGCGCTTGCCTGGCAGGGAAGCCGTGCTGCGCCGAGGGGCCGCCAGGTGGCGCCGCCTCCCAGCCGCCCCGGCCAGCTGCCTTCCTCCTTCGCTCCCTTCCTTCCGGTCGCTCGCTCCTCCTCGTCAGCGGCGCGCTCGGCGGAGGCCATGGCGGCGGCGGCGGCTGGCGGAGGGCGGAGCAGCACCCGCGAGCGGCTCTTGGCTGCGCTGGACGACCTGGAGCTCCTCGCCAGGTGGGTCGCCAAGGGAAGGTCAGCGGCGGCGGGAGAGGGGCTTGTGCGCCTGCGCGGTGGCGGCGGCGGCTTCCCCCGCCTGCCTTACAGTCGGTCAGCCAAGGCGACGCTCCTGTTCTCCCTCAGGATTTACATCGCAGGCTTAAAGGAGCAGTTATTTATTGTTTATTATCATCATTAGGATTTGATTTCAGGTTTAAAAGAACTCATTTATTTATTATTTCCCCCGGCAGGGACTCAAAGTGGTTTACAGGTTTAAACAAAAACATGGGAAGGGGGGAAATATATATATATATTTAAAAATCCAGTTAAACATATAAAACTATTATATGTTAAGTTGAAGGCAGCTGCGAAACAGCCATGCACCCTGGTTCGCTCTGAGGTTGCCAGGAAGGCAAATTTATAAATATACAAATGTAAACAATTGCTGCATAGTTTAGATTTTTATCAAAAGCACCTTGTTACCGATCTGCAGAATCTTAAATGATAATACATAGTTTTTATTTCATGATTTATTAGCAGACAAAAATAAAATCAATAGGTTGCTTTTATATTAAATTGACCAGGATAATGCAGGAATGGACTCAAGGTCCCCAAATATACAAATAGCTTAACCCCCACTCCTTTTTAGTATCCACTTTTTTTTTTAGTATCCACATATGGAAAGGCTCCAAAGCAGCGAACCCAAGTCTGTGCATGCATGCTCAGAAGTAATCTTCATTGAGGTTCATCACTCACTGAGTTCAGTGGGACCTTCTGAGTAAATATGAGTATGTGCATGAAGGACAGGTTGGTTTTTGTCTGTCACCTGGAAGGAGCCCTTGGAGAGAGGAGTATAGTGTTTGCACTGGGGGAGAGCTTGTTTTGTGATATTGGGGCAGTTCTCCATTCTCAGTCCCCCTTCTCCACATCAGGACCATTGAGAAATGGAGTAGAAATATGTCCACCAAACAGAAAATTTTAAGAGACATATTTTTGACTAAAGGACATGGTATAAATGCTGTAAGTAAATAAATAAGTGATCCAAACCAGGCGTTACGGAGGATGAGGATGGTGAATCCTCAGCATCTGAAGCCAGGTTGATGGGCACCAGAAGGGGAGAGGACAATTTACTATTAGGTTTTTGCCACAGCTACACCTTGTTTGTGCTGTATTTAATCTGCGCAGTTTCAATGAGCAGGCTTTCAACTGTGTAAAGTTGAAATTGCACAGGTTAATTGTGCACCAAATGCAATCATAATGTATTTCAGATGCTTTTTCCACACAAAACTTTCAGGAAGGCTGTTTTCTTTTTTCAAGTTTTTAGAGATACAGATTAACAGAGTGAATATGTAACAAGCCAGGAGATTGAAAGCTGGAAATTCAGGCCAGTTATTAGCCCAAAGAGATCCAAGCAAACCCTAGAAAACTGGGTCTTACGGTAACCCATATTTTTCTAGTCAAGAAATATGGACTTAGTTCTTTTACCCTGAAAGACTACTAACTGATACAGTTCTAATATACCGTACTTTTCGCACCATAACACTCAGTTTTCCCCCCCTAAAAGGTAAAGGGAAATGTGTCTGCGCGTTATGGAGCGAATGCAGGCAGGAGGAGCCACTCTTGCTGGCTGTTCGGCAGCCTCTCTTCCTCCGCTTGGCTTGCTGAGAAGCCGGCAACAGCTGAGCAACAGCTGAGTGTGAGGAGACAGCCTCTCTTCCTCCTGTCTGCCTGCTCTATGGCTTTTTGGCGAGGTGGGAGAAGGGAGGCAGCTCGGAAGCCGGCAAGAGCTACGCGCAGCGTGTAAAAGCCAAGGTGGGGAAAGGGAGACAGCCTCTCTTTCTCCTGTCTGCCTGCTCTATGGCTTTTTGGCGAGGTGGGCGCTCGGAAGCCGGCAAGAGCTGCGCGCAGCGTGTAAAAGCCAAGGTGGGGACAGGGAGACAGCCTCTCTTTCTCAGCGTCTGCCTGCTCTATGGCTCTCCCTTACACAAATGTAAGCGGCTCTTACTCTGCTTTCTTTACAATGAGCTGGAAGGAGGGACAAAGAGGGCATCCCCTTCCGTCCCTCCCCCAGCACCTCACCGGTAAATTCAAACAAAGCAGCTTACAAGGCTCGTGTCCCTGAGTCTCCTCCTCCTCTTTTTGCTCCGGTTTGAGGCAAGGCAGCTGCACAAATGTGAGTTCCCCCTCTCTCTTCCTTCCCTCCCTCCCTCCCTCTTCCAACTTCAAAAAATATTGGGGGGACAGCCAGGTAAGCCCCACTCACATACCACAATGGGGGGTGGGGGATGACTCCCTCAAATATTTAATGGGGGGGTGAAGGCACCTAGGCCCATAGGAGTTGGCTGCTTTGCCTAGGACAAGTGTGAGCTCCCCCCTCCTCTTCCTTCATCACTGTATTGGAGATACCATACATTACTGACAGTTCCTTCATTCACGTGGTTACAAAGCATGGATCCACATGGATCCTCAGGATTTTTGCACTGGGTCACCCCAAATTCACCATCAGATCACATAGCATGTCCATGGCTACAGCTTGCACCAAAAAAATCACGCACCCACTGTTGCCTGGGGCCGCAGTGGTGCAAAAACGTGGTTACAAAGCATGGATCCACATAGATCCTCGGGATTTTTGCATTGGGCTACCCCAAACTCACCGTCAGATCACATGTCTGTGGCCACAGCATGAACCACAAAAATCATACATCCACTGTTTCGTTTAGAATTTTTTTTTCCTTGTTTTCCTCCTCTAAAAACTATGTGCGTGTTATGGTTGGGAGCGTGTTATAGAGCGAAAAATACAGTACTTGCTTTGCATAAGAAGCGAACATTACAAGGATTATCATACTGTAGGTGGCAGTGTTTCATTTATACTTTTGATACGACTTCGCCAAAATAAGTGGCATGGACATGGTACTGGAGTGTTTCTGTGGATCTTTCTACTTAGACTTGTTATTTACTGTGGAGGAGTGAAGTTTTCAGAAACTGCAACTGACTTTTTCCATTGTGTGGAAACTTTGCTTCAGGGAGCTGATTGAGATGTTGGCCATTTCAAGAAACCAGAAACTTGCACAACCTGGGGAGGAGAGGCAGGTAAGCAAACTGATAAAGAGCTCATAAGGTCTGGGTATATTTTTGTTGGGAGAGGCCTGTACAAGATGCAAGCTGTATAAGGCTTTACATGTTAAAAACAGCTCCTATAAATACTAGTATTATTGGTATTATTATGATTTATTAGACTTGTTTGTCACTTGTTACCTGAAGGCCTGGCAACCTAGCAGTTTGAAAGCACGTCAAAGTGCAAGTAGATAAATAGGTACCGCTCCGGCGGGAAGGTAAACGGCGTTTCCGTGCGCTGCTCTGGTTCGCCAGAAGCGGCTTTGTCATGCTGGCCACATGACCCGGAAGCTGTACGCCGGCTCCCTCGGCCAATAAAGCGAGATGAGCACCGCAACCCCAGAGTCAGTTGATTCATAGGATACAGATGTTATTTCTTATTTCGAATAAGCAAACCAGCTCAGCCTTGGCTTAACTTTGCCACAAGGTGCTTGTGCAGGGAGTCGTTCTGAGTGACTTTTACACCTTGCCTCCGGTGTGTAGCTGCTGCCTTTGGAGCCTGCACATCAGGTTGTAATAGCCACTCAAATCTACGCCCTGTGAGGACCGTGCAGTGAACTGTCACCAGATCTGCCACCAGAGGGTGGTTCCCAAGTGTTAAAATGTAAGACTCAAGCCGTTCTGACATTTGGTTATAATATGCCAACAAAACAAAAAGCCTTATGTGGTATTCATCATACCAGTTAAAGATTTAAAGCAATAATTGTTTTGGGTTTATCCATAAAGCCTGCAATTCAGATACACAGGATTCATAACCTACTTGCAGGTGATGACCCACAGTTTAGGAAATGCTGATTCAGAGCAGAATTATTTCAGTAAACTGCTCAGAAATTGACAGTATATATACTTTCCAATTCAGCTTTGAATTTCTACTTAGCAATCAAAAATTGCAATACACATTGGTTGTTGGACAGATCCTGGAGTTGTTGATTCAGAGGGATAAAGAGTTCCAAGAATTAATGAAACTGGCCCTCGATCAAGGGAAAATACATCATGAGATGCAGCTATTGGAGAAAGTGGTGGAGAAGAGGGACAATGATATCCAGCAGCTTCAGAAACAACTGAAGGAAGCAGAGCATATATTGGTGAGTCTGTGAATAAAATGGCATGTCGGAAGATTGGCATGACACCCTTGTCTAATAAATCTGCCATGCAGTGAAGGGTGAACATTTTAATTAGTCTTCTAAACACAGTTAGGGGTTTACATGTCTCAGTCATAATAAGATACACCGCACATTACTTTACCAGCCTTTGAGTGCCTTACTCCAGTTACTATGGCATCCTCAACCCAGGTCCAGGTTTCCTTCAACTCTCTTGAGAAGTCTAGGTTCTAAGACTCTTCCACTTCAGTCATCCCATTCATTTGAATTGTTCTGTTCCCTTTTTAACCCCAGGACCTCTGTTGCCATTTCTTCTCCCACTCTTGCATTTCTCCACTTTACTGGAATTGGCGTCCCTAAATTTGTCTCCTCCCTCTAGTTCCATGTAGTAATGTTTCCTGAAGTCTAGCACCTGGCAATAATTGCAGGTGCCACAGAAATTCTACCTGGTGATCATTTACAACCATAGTGGATATGTGGACAAGCCTTGCTGTGGATATGTGGACAAGCCTTGCTGTTGATGTATCCCAGGGAGGGTATGCTGTTTTAATATTTTCTCTGCAACAACAAAAGCTAGAAGTATGTGTTGTCAATCAGTGTAAGGTATTCTTAAGATACTGTCAAATGTTTGGTCAACTTGCAAAACATTTAGTTCAACTAGTATGGGAATTATCTTGTACTAAACTCTGGTTGCATATTTGTTCACCAACGAATGTATTTTTTTAATATAGGCCACAGCTGTTTATCAAGCAAAAGAAAAACTGAAAACAATAGAAAAGGCAAGAAAAGGTGAGCATTATATTTTCAGTGTTTTTTAGGAAGTTCTACAGTCGGTTTCCACAACTACATTTGACATGTGATGATTATATCTCTTGTGTAATAGCTTTCCAGTGAAAAACTGCTATTAAAGATCATCTAAAAAATAAGAAAAAAGCATTTAAATGTCAACTAATGACAGATCTTATTACATGGAAAATATATCTTTACAAATGTTAAACAAATTTTTGGATTAATTTCCAAAGAAATCTAATTCAGCTCCCTGTTGGATTTTATTCAGTCTGTTCTTCTAGCATTTATATTGTTGCGTATCTAAAAACCTTTTAATTGTCTCAAGTAAATGTCTCAAGTAGGAAAGGGTGGTAAGTAATGTCCCAAGAAAAAGTTCAACAGTCTTGTTTTCTTTAAAAAATAAAACAAAAAACCCAACTTTGGCCACCACCCCCCAAAAAAATTATATATGCGTGTGAAGTGTGAAACGTATATAATGCTTTTTCAGTTTTATAAAGTTACATCTCCCAAGTCACACATGGCAGTTAGATAAACAGTTACAGATACATACAAACACACAAACATACCTGTAGACATAATTTCCTAAAATATATTTTCAGCTTAGCATCCTGGACATGATGACACTCTTCTATAGATATTTGAAGATGGCGAAGAGTTGTACTCAGCTACCCTGAGATCTAATGGGCTTAAGTTACAGAGGAGTAGGTTTCATTTGAACATTAGGAGAAACTGCTTGATGGATAAGAACAGTTTGACAATACTGCCAATTATTTAAAAGGCTCTTTTTGAACAAGATGGTCTACAAGACCCCCTTCCTGACTCTATGACCCTGAAAGTATCCAAAATAGGAAAAAAGGATGTAGTTGGCATCTAGATGCAACACACACACACACACACACACACACACACACTCACTCACAAACTTCAGCTAGGTTTCTGATTACAAACCATGCAACAATTAGAAACTTGCTTGGTTGTTAATCACTGCCACTAGCACACACAAATTTAGTTACACCCATGTGTTCATGACTCTGCATAGGAGTGCAGAACAGAATGGTTTAATAAACAGGAAGGAATTGTTTTAATTTGGAAACTTCCAGGCAGCCACCTACATAGTAGCCATAACATACGAACATATAGTGATCTGCCCTTCAAAAAATCCACAGTAGTGGTCTACAATGTGTACAAGTCTAAAAATCAGTGTGCAAGGATGGGAAAATGAGGGGCAATTGGTGGCTCAGGAAACGAGCAGTGACAGCTTTTACATGTTTCCTCCTGAAACACTGGCTTTTGAATCTTGTAATGCAGAGATGAGGCTTTTTACCTACTGCATTTTCTCTCTCTACTTCTCACAGGGGCAGTTTCATCTGAAGAAATAATTAAATATGCTCATAGAATTAGTGCCAGCAATGCTGTTTGCGCTCCTCTGACATGGGTGCCAGGTAACAAGTTTCACAATTAAACGTTTGACATACTGTATTTTCACTGAAAAATGGATCTAAAAATGTTTTATCTCTGTGTATACTTTGTGTACAAATTTCGGCTGAATTTCACAGGCAGGTGGAGTGAAACACACTTTTCTATGTACCAAATATGCTATGTGCTACTAGGTGAACAGTGGTTAAAAGGAAAGATGATTGATGGAGATTGGATAGTTGTCTTGCTATATATATATATGTGTAGGTTGTTGTTATTGTTTAGTCATTTAGTCGTGTCCGACTCTTCGTGACCCCATGGACCAGAGCACGCCAGGCACTTCTGTCTTCCACTGCCTCCCGCAGTTTGGTCAAACTCATGCTGGTAGCTTCGAGAACACTGTCCAACCATCTCGTCCTCTGTCGTCCCCTTCTCTGTGTGTGTGTGTGTATTCAGAATTGCAAACCAACCTCCCTCCACCTCTTTCCCCTCTTTCCCCTCTTTCCCCCTTTTCTTCCTAATGTAACACTAATGTCTCACAACTAATGAAACTGATCTCTACAAAATTCAACTTGAAAAAAGAGACATTGCACATACTTTTCTAAACCAATAAATCTTTAATAAAAATCTATTTTATAAAATAAAGAATTGCAAACCAATTGTTTATTTTTAAGGTGACCCTAGGAGGCCATACCCAACTGATCTGGAGATGAGGAGTGGTTTGCTGGGTCAGATGAACAACCCATCAGCAAATGGTGTCAACGGACACTTACCAGGCGATGCACTTGCAGCAGGCAGATTGCCAGGTAATGGGAAATGAGAGAAATTAAACTTCTCCATTGGCCAGTGCCTGAATCAAATAATTTGAGCTGTTTCAAATAGTGTATATTATTTCAGAGATGGAGAAAATACATGTGCTTTAGTTAGCCAACAGCTAATTTAACAGGGAGAACAAAAATACATTTATGATTTCAATTTTATTAAATGTTTTATCAACAAAAACAAGATGGTGAAAGAAGTGATATTTGTTGTGGATAACATTCTGGTACTGCTGATTGGCATGCAATCACTAAGCTAAGGGTGGCTTAATATGTTTGAAACAGTGTAGTGGTACCTTGGTTCTCAAACACCTTGGTATTCAAACATCTTGGAACCTAAACACTGCAAACCCGGAAGTGCTCCGGTTTGCGAACTTTTTTCAGAAGTCGATTGTGCTCCATTTTGAGTCTTACACTTCCCATTTGAGTGCCACACTTCTGTTTTGAGTGTTACTCTGAGATCTGTCTGTTTTTGCTATTTATTTAGCGTTTTGTTTTTGCGGCTCTTTTTTTGTGTGACTGTGTGGAACCCAGTTCAGCTACTGATTGATTGATTGATTGATTGATTGTATGACTGCAGTACATTGTTTATTGCTTTCATTTTATGGATCAATGGTCTCGTTAGATAGTAAAATTCATGCTAAATTGCTGTTTTAGAGGTTGTTTTTAAAAGTCTGGAACAGATTAATCCATTTTGCATTACTTTCTATGGGAAAGCATGCCTGGGTTTTGGAACGCTTTGGTTTTGGAACTGTCTTGCGGAACAGATTAAGTTTGAGAACCAAGGTACCACTGTATTTAATTGTTAAACCATAATATGGCAATCAGGACAACCACATTGTAGCTCCTGCTCATCCCTTGAACAACTCCCTCTTTGGAAATAACTGTGCTTTGCAACAGTATAGCATTAACATTGAAGCCATCGTCAGAAGCAGAATTAAAGGGTTTTAGGCTAGCTGTGATTAGCAAAAGAAAAAAGTGAAGATGGAGGGAGAATAGCTTGTGTGAGAGAGACAGAAGGGCATTCTCAATTCCAAAATGGGCATTTGAATGGGAAGGAGAGCAAACCACAGTTCAACCATTAGGCTGTGTAATGTCTATACCAATCTTCCTCTGAAATCAATTGGGCCTAAGCATTTAACTTTGGTTGGCTTGTATTTTCATGGTTTGTCTTCAGTTGAAATGATATGTAGTTTTATTGCATAATTTGCAAATATTTACAGTGGTACTTTGGTTTACAAACTTTATCCGTTCCGGAAGCCCAATCTTAAACCAAGGCACGCTTTTCCCATAGAAAGTAATGCAAAATGGATTAATCCGTTCCAGACTTTTAAAACCAACCCCTAAAACAGCAATTTAACATGAGTTTTACTATCTAACAAGACAATTGAAATGAAAGCAATAATCAATGTAAAAAGGTAAAGGTAAAGGGACCCCTGGCCATTAGGTCCAGTCGTGACCAACTCTGGGGTTGCGATGCTCATCTCGCTTTATTGGCCGAGGGAGCCGGCGTACAGCTTCTGGGTCATGTGGCCAGCATGACTAAGCCGCTTCTGGCAAACCAGAGCAGCGCATGGAAACGCTGTTTACCTTCCCGCAGGAGCGGTACCTATTTATCTACATGCGCTTTTGAACTGCTAGGTGGGCAGGAGCAGGGACCGAGCAACGGGAGCTCACCCCGTTGCGGGGATTCAAACCGCCGACCTTCTGATCGGCAAGTCCTAGGCTCTGTGGTTTAACCCACAGCGCCACCCGTGTCCCTAATAATCAATGTACTGTACTATAAAATAATTAAAACAGTATTGTGGATGATAAAAATTAAAATTTATTACCTGCACTGATGAGTCATTGTTCGGATGGAGGGGGGGCTTTTATCCATTTCCGCAGTCACACAGTCAGTCAGTCAGTAGCTGAACTGGGATCCACACAGATCCCACCACCACCACACTGCTGCAGGAAATGCTCCCTAGAGCACGCGCCTCCCGCAGCAGCATGGGGGGGGGGGGGAGTTGCGCACCGGCTGACAGGTGAGCGGGCACGCAGCTTCCCTCCCTCGCTGCTGCAGGAAACGCCGTGACGGCCCCCTTCTCCGCTGCCAGACAACGGAAGTGTGGCACTCAAAACGGAAGGGCACCCCCGAACAGAGTATGTTCGGATTCCAGAAAAAGTTCACTAACTGGAACACCTTCCAGTTTTGAAGTATTTGTGTTCCAAATAGTTTGTGAACTAGGATGTTCATAGACCAAGGTACCACTGTAGTTAGAAATAAAGAACTGCATAGTTACGTGAAACTTCTAAACTGTGCATAACAATGGACTGCAAGTTGTTAAAATACATTGCTATGAAAATATCTGGATGTGTGATTTTTGTATCATTTCATTTTTCCTTTAGATGTACTCGCACCTCAGTATCCCTGGCAATCAAGCGACATGTCAATGAACATGCTACCGCCTAATCACAGCAATGACTTTATGCTGGAACCTCCTGGACATAATAAGGAGAATGAAGATGATGTGGAAGTCATGTCAACAGATTCATCAACCAGCAGTAGTGACTCAGATTAGCAGTAGTGACTCAGTCTGTTTGGTGCACATTATATACATCATTAAGCACCTGCTCTGCAATCCAGATAGCCACAGTGCAAGGGGAAAAACTGTCTACAACTTTGACATTTATTTCATTATATTTTATGAATTGCTGTTTATTCAGAATAACCCAGCTATGGCTGGAAACAGTCTTGGAGAAAGTGAAGCTTGTTTCCAGCAGCTGTAACACAATTTATTTCAATGTGTAGATAAATTCTTGAAGATGAAATAGAAAGAACAACTGCAGGAAGTGGTAGCTGATAATCCTTTAATTTGTGGAAGGGGCTTTTTTCTAGTGGTGGTGACAGCAAACAGACTGAGGAAATTTTCACTAATTCCCCTAATAGCCTTGTCAGAATAGATAGTTGGAGGGCATGAAGGAATTTGGGGAAAGTATTTGCATTTCCATTAACAGAAATATTATTTGGGGAGAATTTCACTCACAGAATCTCTGGATTCATCTCTCTAACTTTTCAGAGAATATGCAATGTGAAAACAGTTAAACTTTTGCAGATATTTGAAGTTAGTTGCTGGATTCAACTTATGACCAGTTTATAGAATATAAGCTTGAACTAACTTTGGTGTATTATGAACAGCTTTCCCTCAAACAAAAGCATACCACTAGTCATCTTTTTTTCTGAAAACGATGGACTAGGAGGGCATAAAGTTGTACCACTTGTTGCACAAAATAAAGCTGATCCAACCAGTCCTCCTCAGCTCAACCTACTCCACCCCACAAGAATCTTTCTGAAAAGCCTCTCCATAGGGCTGAAGACCCTTCTGAACATCAGGGGCTGTGCTGGCAGCTGCTGCCAGCGTGGGGGAGAAGCACCTAAAATCAGGTGAATGCACACACAAAGTGCCTCCGCTACTTTGGATTATTCTACCCTCCCACCAGAGCCCCCCACCCCACCAGTGCCCACACACACAGTGCACATTATTCAGTAGGGCCTTACAGCCCTCTGGAGGTTTTACAGGGCAGTATAGGGGAACGCTAGGTTATGCAAGCTGCTTTCTGTTCAAGCAAACCTTGGATACAGTGCTAAGAGTTCTATTGTACATGCGATATTGAAGATTGCTGTACTATTCACAGAAGAATCCTAACTCCCAACCGGCTGTGCTGGAAGGGGGTTGGCTGTGGCAAAGGAACCCTTCCGGTGAGTGCCTGAATGTCACCATGTAAACAGTGAGTACCTCGGGTTAAGAACTTAATTCGTTCCGGAGGTCCATTCTCAACCTGAAACTGTTCTTAACCTGAAGCACCACTTTAGCTAATGGGGCCTCCTGCTGCTGCCACCAAGCGATTACTGCTCTCATCCTGAAGCAAAGTTCGTAATCCAAGGTACTATTTCTGGGTTAGCAGAGTCTGTAACCTAAAGTGTCTGTAACCCGAGGTACCACTGTATCCCTGCCATGGCATTTGGGGAGTTGGCATTGGCCAGTACTGGATCCTGAGCTGGGTCATGCTATGGTGGTAATGGATTTGATTTCAGCCTCTCTACTGTGCTAGCCTGGGGACCACATAGCAGACACATTTTTCCTGTGCCAGAGACAGCTATGGATGTGGCAGTGGCTACACAGTTCCAACCTCCACTGCTGCCAGCCATGTATTTGGATTGCACCCTCAAGTTGTTTGCAGTATATATATGCTCAGTTTTTTATTTAGCCTTTGAATGTTAGGTGTGTTGCTTGCTGTGGGGGGGGGGAGTTAGTGGGTGATTTAGAAAGAAAAAGCACTGATAGGGAGGACTAGCATCACCACTTAATTCATGCAGTATGTTACTCACAACTGTCCATATTCCAGGACCTGCAGTATTGAGGCTCACCTTCCCTTGTAGCCAGCTTTCCAGGAACCCCAGGGGTGGGCAGGGCCACGCAGCTCTTCCTCACATACCACAGAGCTGCACCTCAGCATGGTCCAGCACTTGGCCCCTGCCACCAGCATCCCAGCAGCCAAATCCCTGCCCAGTGCTTTGTCCTTTTACGGAAACTACTATCCCCATCCCAACTCTTAAAAAAAAAAAAATTTGCTACACTGACAAAAGGCCAAAGTGTAGTTTGAACTGGGTGAAATGTCTAGGAAAATGAACTTCACCTCACTTCAAAGGATCCCCCATGGACTGGTATATAGCTTCAGAGCAACTGAAAGAACCAAGGAAGAGAGAGCCACCAGTTAGGAGCCCAGTTTTGCTCCCAACTGGTTCTTGCACACCTCCACTCAGTGGTGAGCAGGTAGGAAGTCAAGCTGGTAAAAGCAGCTTTTTGTGGTGGTGGTGATGATGATGATGATGATAATTTATTTTTTATTCCCCAGCCACCCTGGGCGGCTTCCAACAGAATATTAAAATACAATCATCTATTAAACATTAAAAGCTTCCCTAAACGGGACTGCCTTCAGATGTCTTCTAAAAGTCTGGAGGTAGTTTTTCTCTTTGACATCTGGTGGGAGGGCGTTCCACAGGGCGGGTGCCACTACCAAGAAGGCCCTCTGCCTAGTTCCCTGTAACTTGGCTTCTCGCAGTGAGGGAACCGCCAGAAGGCCCTCAGCACTGGGGGTGATCTAGGACCCTTGGCTAGTGCAAAACCTGGTGGTTGTTGGGCCTGCAGAGAAGGTATGTAAGCAGGTATCTTAACTTCTTCCACCTCATTTAATCTTTAATGCCTTGTTCACCACAGGCATGCAGACCCTCAGCAGAGGTGGACGGGGAATTGCCCATCCCAGCCTGGAAGGTGTAGGACAGTGGGATGCCTATCTAATGGTGGCAATGTATATGGAATTCCAGGCGTCGTTTCTTTTCCTTTGCAGCAACATTGCATGTTAGCTGCTTTATCTCCATATTTTACGCTTCCTCTGGTCTTTTCCCTCAAGTTAGGCAGTCCTATATATATATTTAATTGCTTGCTTCATCTTAAAAAATACTGTGTGTGTTTTGCTAAGGCAGTGGTGACTGATGCATCTGGTCGTCAGATGTTGCTGCTGCCCCACCTTTAAAAATTGCATGTCCTGTTGTCATGGGGACTGCTCTGCCAGCTACTCTAAAATAGGTGGCATCCTGTGGTCCTCAGTCTAGAAATTTCTTGTGGGAGTGGGCAATCTGGAGGAAGGGGCCAAGATGAATAGTGATGGGAGAAGCGGGGGGGGGGGGGTAAACCTTCTGTAAGCAATCATTCCTGGCACCAGCAATCTATTATTCCTGTGAAAACCCTTTGGGGAGAGGAAAAGGGTGCCAATGGTCACTATGGATTTGGCAGCACCCACTAGTAATGTGTCACTCCTAAATATTGTCAACAGAAAAGTTTTTCTCACTGCTTTCCTAAAGGCATTCAAGCCTTCATTGTCAGATAATGTGTGTTTTAGCTTTCTTCATGGCTGGAAAGGGGAAATTTGGGAGTTTCTCCTACCTGAAAAGCCAAAGGTGCCCTAAACTCTGTGTATTAACTACTTTTCTGTGCTTTGTTTTTGATGGTAACTCTCCAAACTGAGACAGAGAAACTTATTTTGGTGAGGAAGACACAACATGAAACATACAACACAATACTTGTTTATCAAAGACAACATTCAAAAAGCAATCAGCGTGCTATCACACAGGGTATGGAAGGAACAACCATGTATTTAATAAGGTAAAGGTAAAGGACCCCTGGACGGTTAAGTCCAGTCAAAGGTGACTATGGGGTTGCAGCGCTCATCTCGCTTTCAGGAAAGCTGCTCTACTGCATCCTCTTGCACACTTGCTTTGTAATAGTGCATATCTATTACATCAAAATCTTACTTGCCATTATAGATTGAAGAGTAGAGGCAAAAAAGACAAACACTGATTGCAAAACTGCTGCATTTTTGTGGCATGTTTAGTGTCAAGGATTATTGCTACATTTCATGGAAGTAGCTGACTTCATGCTTAGATAAAACTACCCCTTCCCAGGTGATACAGAATTCATTTTACAAATAAATGTCTCTGTAAAAACACATATTTCCTATAAAGTAAATTTAGCACTCTTTTTTCACATAATGATTTCCAGTGTATCCCACAAGGTGATTAAATTCTTCTGTGAAAGGATTGTAACCTTGTTCTTTTAAGCAGCATAAAGCCCAAAACAGTTGATCTGCTGAAGGAAACTCTTCCCATTTTACCCATTCCCAACCTGTAAACAAAGAAAAAGAGAGAAATGATGATAGATACTGCAAGTTCAGAAGTCCTATGACCTGGCTCAGGTAACACCCAAATATATTTCATCCCTAGGGTCAGGATGCATTTGAATTTAAGTGCTTCCATCCAGTTTATTGTGTACTTGGTGCCACTCATGCATGCAAGTATTTTGCAGCATCCACACAATGTGGTCCCCATCAAAATGCCATCCCATCTTGGAAAGAATAGAGCCTAATCTAGGGTTGCCATACGTCTGGCTAATCCCAGACATGTCCTCTTTTGGGGGGCAAACATGCCCATCTGGGGAGATTTTTACATTTTAAAGGAAATGTCTGGGTTTAGGAGTTATTTATTTTTCTCTTGTGCAACCGCTGCTCTCAATGCCACGGCCGCTGCCAGCCTGAACCAGGGAAAGAGACGCACATGATCTGCATGCCCGGCCACTGCCAACCCAAGCTGGCGAAAGAGGCATGTGGGTGCAGCAGCGGCCCTGCGCATCTGTGCCCCTCTTTCTCCATCTTGGGCTGTCCTCTTTTTTGCTCTTTAAGATATGGCAACCCTAGTCAGTATACTCCCAAGGTAATACTTTATAAGATCGCAGCCTAAATCTCACCAAAAACAGTAAAAAAATCAGTGTATGTGACAGCATTTTCATACGTGATACAAGAAAAATATAAGCTTACATTAATACTACGCAGAGAATGTGGTTACAGAAACTACCTAATGCTCACTGAAGAGTAAAAAATATAATATCCTACTTTCATTTTTATCAGGTTCCAGATTCCTTGGTTCAGATTCATAATTCACATCCACCTCTCCTTTCATTAAGATCGTTACATAGTGGTAATTATCCTTCAGACTAACAGAATTTACAGTTGATGCAAAGCGAACATTTGTTAGGTGCAAGGCTGTCTCTTCCAAAACCTCTCTTTCTGCACATTCTGCCAAGCTTTCACTAAACAGCAAGAAGAAAAAAGAAAAACTATTTCTACTGAGAAGGCAATAATCAGTTCTATTTGCTTGAAGTAAGAGCCCAGCTTCTTAGCCATGAAGCCGCATGAAAGATGGTAATTGAATGGCTTTGCCCTCCCCCCCCCCATTTAAGGGACAATATAGGCGTGAAGAGGGGGCTCAAAAGAATCAAAGATATGAAAAACATGGCTCCATTAGGTCATTTAAAATGGGGGGGGTGTTTCCCCTGCACTCAAGCAACTGGCCGTGACCAATTCTATTGGGTTTGCAGGGGGGAGAAGTCATCCAGTCCAGATGATTAAATATAAATATACCATAAGAAGAGTCTGCTGGATGTGGCTCATTCTCTTCTCAGTGACCAACCAGATGCCTACTGAAAGTCTGCCAGCAGGACCTGAGCGCAATAGGAGTCCGCCTCCCTGTTATTTTCAGCAACTAATATTCAGCAGCAAACTGCCTGCAACCATGGAGGCAGAGCATAGCCATCATGGCTAGCAGTTCTTGGTAGCCTTATCCTCCATGAAATTGTCTAATCCTCTTTTAAAACCAACCAAAATAAAAGTAAAATAGTAGAGAGAACTCCTCTTTGGAAGCAATCCCCTGCACACATCTAGGAGTTAGCTCACTTGAACACAAGTGGGGTGAATTAGAGCTGTACTAATTTGAAAGTAAGGGACGCGGGTGGCGCTGTGGGTTAAACCACAGAGCCTAGGACTTGCTGATCAGAAGGTCGGAGGTTCAAATCCCCATGACAGGGTGAGCTCCTGTTCCTCGGTCCCTGCTCCTGCCCACCTAGCAGTTCATAGGCATGAAGTGCAAGTAGATAAATAGGTATCACTCTGGCGGGAAGGTAAACGGCGTTTCCGTCCGCTGCTCTGGTTCGCCAGAAGCGGCTTAGTCATGCTGGCCACATACGCCAGCTCGCTCGGCCAATAAAGCGAGATGAGCGCTGCAACCCCAGAGTCAGTCATGACTGGACCTAATGGTCAGGGGTCCCTTTACCTTTGATTTGAAAGTGGGGAAGCAGAAAGCATGACCCTTCATAGTGCAGTACTAAGATGCCTCAGTCTGGTGAAAGGAACCAAACTGTGATGCCTATGAGACAAGCACCACGTCCCCCTTTGCGGACATTTTATACTTCCTTATATAACTTCACGGCAGCCTTTTGCGGTAGATGAGGTGATTGGTCCAAGTCAGGAAAATATAAATATAAGATATTGTTCCCAAAGAAATCACTACCAGCAATAAGGTCTGGGCTGCACCAGAAGGCGAAGTTTGCACGAGCATAGGGGCCTGATTTAGCTTTCTTTTTAGGACACTAGAGATTTTTCTGAGTGACTGAAATCGGGGAGCAGATCCCCAGAGAGCTCGTTTCTGCCCGGCCTGCTGCCTCCCAGCCCCTCAGCGGAGGTCGCCTGACGACGACGCAGAATGGCGTCATCGCCCCGCGCAGGCCTACCCGAACTCTAGGTGTCCTCCGGGGAGCTGGAACAGGCCGGCGCCGACAGCGCTCTTCCTCTGACCGAGGAGGACGCATCCTGGGTGGGCAGAGCTGACGACCACCACTCCGACGCCCACTCCGGGGCGCCCCCGGCCGCAGGCCATACCGGAAAGGGCGGGGCTCTCCTCCGTCGCCTGGCCCAATTGGGGCGGGACCATTGCCTCAGCTGCTCCAATCGGCAGTGAGCCTCCGGGCCACGCCCCTCCACTTTTCCCGATCCAAAAATGGCGGCTCCAGGTTTCGTAGCGCAGGCGCAGACGGGGCAGGCGGGCAGGGAAAAGAGCAGAGTGAGGGCAAAGCCGCCCACCTGGAAGTCTTTGGCGAATATACGCTGTGTTCATATTATTTTGCTTTGGATTAAAATAGTCATGTATTGTTTGCTTCCAAGTGTTATTAGAGTCCATCAAATTGTTTTCTCTATATCATATGCATTTACATTAGTTTGCAACTTTTTTTTTTAATATGAACGTTGAAAACATAAACAACACATGGCATTTATTTGCTGCACGTTTTACACATTACTTTAGAATAACTCTGTAATAACAAAGTATTTATATAATCTTTTCCCAGACTGCTTAAGTCTTTCATAGACCTGATCTCAGTAAACCTTTAAAGGCAATATAAGGATTCTCCAGACTGAGGCTAGTGACTGGGGGGGCGGGCTGGGGCTCAGAGAGAGCAGCTTGTCTGGAGCTATGCAATATGTACATAATTAAAGTTAATTTCATTCAATACAATTTCCTTTTAAAAAACTGATTTCCCTCCCCTTTACAGAATATGTGCAAGATGTATCTCCATTGTGTGTCCATTGTCACTTCAATGTCTAGATGACATCATTTCACTTGCCATTGTTGTTCATTCATTCAGATGCCCTTTTAATCGCCTGACAAACAGCAACTGTTTAATCCTTAATATATATAATCTGTGACACGTGGTATGTTGTTACAAGTTCAGTTCTTTGTCTGTTTAAGCACTCATAAATTGGGGTTGCTGAATTAGTAGAGATTGCTACAAAGGTATGGAGACAGAGAGATGATGTGGAAGTAAAGGAAGCAGAGAAAAGGCAGACCTGCTTGAGGACAGCAGCATTTCAAGACAAAGGACGCCCAGAGGGGGGGCTCAGCCCAAGATTCACAATAGGCGACCCTCTCCATGAAAACCCCTAGGGCCCAAACGGTGTGCCTATAGTAAGGAGCAAGGGCACTGTAAAAAGAATTGCCCACTCACGAAAAGAATCCCAAGGTCTTGAGAGCACTCAGGTTAGAAGAAGAGTCGGATGAGTGATGGGGACCAGGGTCTGGCACCTCCCTATGGCAAAAAGCGGCACAGCCTTGCCAGGCCACAAAAAAAGAAAAAGACATTCTCCCTCTAAGCGGGCCAGGAAGCTTGCTGAGGGGAGTCCGGCAGATGACAAGAGGTGTGGGACCCACCTTTTGCTTCCTGGGAAGCAGTGGCATACCAAGGTCAGGTGGTACCTGGTGCAGAATATTTCTTGTCACCCCCCTACACACACACATTGAAATTATTAAAAGAAGGGAACATAAGATACTTACTCAGTGGCGTAGCTAAGGCTTTTGCTGCCCGGGGCAGTCACTAAGTTTGCTGCCCCTCTTGCTGTTCCTCATGCAGGAGTCCTGTCGATTTGCCACAGTCCTCTCCTCCTCTCTGACTGTACTTCCCTTCTCCCCCCCCCCCCAAGGGTTGGGAAGGAACTCAGCTCCTGTCACCTCAGACTCCACCTCTTCTTTGCTTTACTTAATGCAGGCATGTCCCCAAAGTCTGTTTAATCTGGCCCCTGCGGCAGTTAATTTCCTGGGGTAAAATCCTAAAAAAACCTCAACACCTTCAATCCTAAAAAAGGCTCAACAACTTTGGAGTTAAGTCATTAAAAAAGGTCAAGAACTTTGGTCGGCCCTCACGGCCCTTCACTTCATCAAATCTGGCCCTCTTTGAAAAAACTTTGGACAGCACTGATAATGCCTCATCATGTTCTGTTTCTCTTGCTTCAACCACAGACAGAGCTCAAGCATCTATTCCTGCCTGGCAAAAGCACCCAAGAATAGTGCAAAGTAGGAGCAATAAAGAAGGATGTAATCTCTCATATCTGCATGCTGCTTCTGTGAACAGCCATAAGAACAGTGCTGAAGTACAGGGGATTGAGGTGGTGTCATAGGTGCCCACCCCCCGTGCCTGCAACAAGCCCTGTTGGGCCTTTTCATAGCCCACAGCAGGCGTGGGAAAGCCCAATGGGGCTCGTCGCAGGCGTGGGAAGGCCAGTTCTGGGCACCACAATATAAGAAGGACATTGACAAGCTGGAATGTGTGTAGATGAGGGCAATCGAGATGATCAAGGGTCTGGAAAGCAAGCCTTATGAGGAGTGCTTGAAGGAGCTGGGTATGTAAATTAAGAAACTGAGAGGAAATATGACAGCCATCTTCACATTTTTGGAGGGCTTTCACATGGAAGATGGAACAAGCTTGTTTTCTCCCACTCTGGAGGGTAGGAGACAAAACAATGGCTTCAAGTTACGTGAAAGGAGATTCTGACAAAACATCAGGAAGAACTTTTCTGACAGCAAGAGCCCTTCAACAGTGCAACAGTCTCCCTTGGGAGGTTTTGCACTCTCCTTCCTTGGAAGTATGTTATTGGAGGTTGGATGTTCATCTGTCATGGATGCTTTAGCTGAGGTTCCTGCCTTGCAGTGGGTTGGACTAGATGACCCTTGGGGTCCCTTCCAACTTTACAATTCTAAGATTTTATGAAAGGTCCTTACAGCATAATGCAATTTAGTCCCATATGATTAAGCAATTATAAATAAATTAGTCTCACTCTCAATCAGCAATATTGAAAATTAATGTAGCAAAAGTCTCTCCCCTCCCCCCCCCCGCCGGCACTGTGTTCCTCCGTTGTGTCAAATGGTGGTCTTTAATCATATTTTGCCTATGAGTTAGAAAACAGAAGTAGTCGTTACTGCTGCATCGTCGTTTAATGTGAGCGTTTCCCCCCACACTAAAAAAGCTCAAAAACTTGTGCTCTGCCCCCCCCCCCCCCAATCTCAACAACTTCATGGGTAAATCACTTCCAGAATTTTTATATTGGGAGTAGATCGTAGTCTCTTGTAAGCTGGACGTGCCTGGACTAGATCCTCAACAGGGTCCCTTCCAACTCTACAATACAGTGGTACCTCGGGATGCAAATGGGATCCATTCTGGAGCCCTGTTCACATCCTGAACCTAACCTAAGACGCGACAGCGTGTCTGCACGTGCACAGGTCACATTTCACCGCTTCTGCACATGCGCATGACATCATTTTGACCGTCTGAGTATGCGCGAGCGGCGAAACCTGGAAGTAACGCGCTCCTTTACTTCCGGGTTGCCGCAGAGTGCAACCCGAACGTGCTCAACCTGAAGCGTATTTATCCCGAGGTATGACTGTACTATAATTCTAGGGGGAAGGATCCGAAAGGGCAGAATCGCTTCCCAAAGGTGTCTTTCCATGTGAGAAAGGATTTAAAGTTAATCAGGAAGATGTGGAAAGGTGGGAGGCGGCAGAGAGAGAGAGAGAGAGAGAGAGAGAGAGAGAGAGGGGAGGAAAGTCACCCTGTTAATTTGTTTGCAACTTCAAAACCACAGCCCATTACTCAGGAAAAGAAACCCATGAATACCTGAGTGTAAGAAGGCGTGTGCAGGCACAGCATGAAGATTTACACAGAGAGGAACCCCACACGGTTTCCCCGCACGTAACGTAACAGGCAGGGAGCCAGCTCAGATAGAGAGAAAGGCAGCAACCATTTTCTTCCCTTTTTAAGCGCCGCTTCCCTCACACCCCACCTCTCCTCCTGTGCCTTCCAGGGTTTGGGTCCTGAGTTGAGGGAGCTTTTGTTTCTCTCCTTCCAGGTCCCCAACACAATGGGACTTCCTTTTGAGCAGACAAGTCTAGATAAACCACTTTCTCGGGAGTGGTGTCTTGTGTCTGTGTGCGAAAGAGACAGAGATCGCATGTTACAATGGTGCAGCCAGCCGTGGTTATGTAGTGCCACAATTTCTTACAAGGGAGTATGAAATTCCAATTTTCAGTACGTGTCCTTTGTGCTTAGGGAATTAATCTGCCTTGAATATAGAAAATATTAATCTTTAGGAGGCTTCAATCATACATAGGTACACATTCACTGAGGAGTGTTAATAAATCCAGTAGGTCTGCGTCAACATACTGCATTTGCAGCGCCGCCCCCAAAGTGACCCTTTAAATCCACTTGACAGTCCAGCTGTAGGCGATCGTCTTCCAGGCCGAATGAAAGGCGCACCCACCAATCCCGCTTCCTTCCTCTCCCCTTCCCACCCGCCTCCATTGTTCGCTCGCCTGCCTGCCTGCCTGCCTCCTCCAGTCGGGAGCAATGGTGCACCGAATGTCACCCCCCCCCCTCAGGGATGACACCCGGGGCGACCCACCCCCCTGCCCCCCTTCCTCCGCCACTGCTGGCAAGGAGGCTGGCAAGGCAACCTGAAAGGCGTTGGGGAAAGTGGCGCAGCCTGGCCCAGCCTAGCGGAAGGCCGACCCGAAAGGAAGAAGAGGAGGAAGGTGCGGAGAGGGTCCTGTTTCCACCCTTTCCTGGCTCGCCTTCTGCAATAGGTAGACTCTCCCCAGGGAAGTTTACAACATCAACTGGAAACATCAATTATTTGTGCTTAGTAGAATTAATTAATCATGCTAAATATCTGCTTCTGCATATCATTGCTTGCTGCATGCTTTTCTTAAGGTGCATTTGTTGACGGGACAGAGAGAGAGAAGAATGCAAAGAAACTGAAGGAGACTGAGGTCAGATAAGATTGGTAATAGAAATGTTACAATATGATGGACCAGTAAAAGCAGCATCGGCATTTCATTATATTTAGTTTATTTGTCAAAAGGATTACAGTGTTTTAAATGGGAAGATTGTTCCAAAAATGTTTAACTTTATTATGCCTTGAATTAAAGTACATCTTGGTGAATCTTGGTTTAAAAAAGGTAAATCACAAAATACACAACAAGCCATGTGCACTTCAAAAATATTCTAGTTTTTCAAGCAAACAAGACTTAATAGAATGTATGGCTTTACAGTAACATCAATTTGTCAACTTAGTTGTACCAATAAATACTTAAAATCTCTACCTACAGACTTACATTTTGATCTGGTTTAAACAGTACAGAAAACAAATAACAATTGAAAATCTGCTGCAAAATGCTGAACACCTCGGTTGTCCAACTATGTGACGTTTGCCCGTTCATTTAGAGCCTGTATGTACAGGTGGAAAAGAAAGGGTTAAAAACGTAGACCAATAGGAAAGCTGGAGGCGGAGCCTACATGTATAAAAGGGCTTAGCCCGAGGTTTGTTAGAGTTATTGGTGGGCAGTTAGTTGGTTGGGAAAGGCAGTTGGAGAAGCAGTTGGCAGGCAGTTGGGAATAGAGAGACAGTTAGGGCAGTGGGTTCTTGAGTGTGGGGAGGTAGAAGAGATAGAGAGAGGAAAATAAGACTAAGAAAGTAAAGAGTAACAATGTTTGGAATGCCGTAAAAGTTTGTGTCTGAAATAAAATACACTCTTCTTTATTAACTTGAGAACCTGACTGAGACTGAAGTGATTTTACTGGGGAGGACCTGGTTGGTGTACGGGTCAACAGTCCGTGAGACGACAGGGGGCTCCGTACGAACGCCACAAAATTGGCGGCAGCGGCGGGATAAATAAATACGCCCGTGGTGGAATAAAAGAATACGCCCGTGGTGGGAGAAATAAATACCCCCGTGGTGGGATAGATTTATATGCCCGTGGCGGGATTGATTTATACGCTCATGAAGGGGAAGTTGGATCTGGGAGTGAGGTTATTTTGGCAGAGGTATCGGACTTGTGGCTGGAGGAAGTGTCTGTGCAGGGCCAGTGTGAAGACCCAGTGCAAGGCTTCAAGGCCAAAGTCCAAAAGAAAACCTAGCCAGAAAGAATAACTTGGGGGGGGGGGATCTCTCAACTGACTCTATTATGCTCTCAGACCACAAGTGCTCACCATGCCACCGAAAAAGTCAAGAAACCCTGTGAGGGAACCAACCTATGAAAGCTCCGAGGGAGAGGAGAATGGGAATCCTCAGGGAGAAGGGCAGAGTTTAGAGGAGATATCAGAAATTCCTTCTGAGGCAGTAGAGCCTAGACTCTCTTTAGAATTTGAAAAATGGAATACAAATTTAAATTAGAGAGAGAGAAAAATAAGACTGAACAAGAAAGAGATAAAATTAAGGCTGAACAAGAAAGAGATAAACTTAAAGCTGAACAAGAAAGGGAGCAGTACTGTCTGAGGGAAAAAGAGATGCAATTTCAGTTAGAAATGTGGAAAATGGAATTGGCATCTGTGGGAAAACCAAAATAATAATAATAGCACAAATGATCAAAGCCAGCTTAAGATAGACCTCAAGCGTTTTCCCGAATTCAAAGAGAAGGATAATCTGGAGGCTTTTATCGTCTCATTTGAAAGAGCATGCAAAGATTTCCAAGTAAAAGATGAGGAAAAAATGATAATATTAAGGGCTAGAATTAGTGGAACCTTAGCTGAAATATATGTGCAAATGCCAGAAGATCAGTCTAGAAATTTTGACATGTTTAAACAATTAATTTACACCTGATTTGGAATAACCTCAGAACAGTTAAGAAAGAAGTTCAGGAGTGTGACAAAAATGAGGGAAGAAACGTTTGCTCAACTTGGAGCCAAAATTTCAATTTATCTCACAAAGTGGCTAGAGCAGGAGGGTGCCAATTCAGTTCAGAAGATCAGGGAGATTATCGCACTTGAACAATTTTATACAACCATCAATAAGAAACTGAAATATCTGATAAAAGAACGACATCCCAAAACTATACAGGAGGCAGCCACTTTACCTGACCAAATTAATGAAATTAGAGACCATGGATTTGATGGTCCGAAATTTGGCAGGAAAGTGTGGGAGTGCCCCAAAAACAAATTTCAATGTGCCAAGGAAAGCCCTACCTCAGTGACAAATAAGGGAAATATGCCACGAACTAAAAGTCCAACTGACAAGGCCCTGACTAACATTGGTCCCACTGAGGGAAAAGGAAATAAAACTAATTATACTGGGTACAGGGAAATAAAGTGCTGGACGTGTGGTAAATTAGGCCACAGGACTTTGGACTGTGGGGATGGAAAGGGTAAAACTGAATTCTGGTTCTCAAAAACAGACTTATTGTATCCACTCAGTGGAGAACAAAGAGGCTAGGCAGGTTGCCAGGGAAACCGAGGTTTAAGCTAGGCCTGAGCCTGAGGAAAATTTTGAGGCACGTGTGGTACAATGTTAGTTGATTAAACAGGATAGTTTCCTCTTGAGAAATGCTGGGGAAAACATCTGGGTTGATGATAAAAAGTATCTTGGGTTAAGAGACACCAGATCACAGATTACAATCGTCCATCCGGACATAATTTCCACTACTAAATTAATACCTGAAAAAACAATAAAATTAAAAGGAATTGCCAAAGAACCAGTGATCCTAAAAGTAGCTGAAGTGGATATTAACTTCCGTGATTGGTCTGGGAAGTGGCGGGTAGCCATTTCTGAGGAAGTTCCAGCAGCAGTTCTTATCGGCTGGGATCTCCTAGAGCATGTTAAGAGTGCATTTGTAGTTACTTGCTCAAAGGGGGGCCAAGAATCACCCACTACTGAGGAAACTGAAACAGTTGTCAGTGGAGGCACGGCTGGGAAACCTCTCTTGGAAGGCTTGGGCGGAGCAGAAACTGAAGCTGTTATAGTTCCTTTTAAAAACACCCATAAGGCTAGTTTTGCTAAGGAGCAAAAAGGGGATGTTGGCTTAAGCAGTTGTTTTGAGGCAGCTAAGTCTGCCGCCCCTTTAACCCCGAATGCCCAGAGGGATTCTGTGAAGAAAACGGGCTGTTGTATAGGGAACTCCTTGCCACACCGTATAGAGGGGGAGGAGGAATCCGTAAACAACTGGTAATCCCTCACACCTATAGAGAAAAGATTTTGCAACAAGCCCATAATAGCATTTTTGGTGCACACATGGGAATAACGCGCACTAAACGAAGGGTTGCGCAGAACTTCTACTGGCCAGGCATGGGGAAACAAATCAAGCTATATTGCCAGGCATGTGATATTTGCCCAAGACGAGGTACAGGGCAGGACAAGACAAAGGCCAAACTGTGTCCTTTACCTGTGATCTCTACCCCATTTCAAAGGTTGGGGCTTGACCTAGTAGGGCCATTGCCAAGAGCCACGAAACGGGGCAATAAATATATCCTGACCATCATAGATTTTGCAACCCGATATCCAGAAGCGATCCCATTAAAAAATATCGAAACTGAGACAGTAGCAGATGCGTTGATTAATTACATGAGTCGCCTGGGGTTTGCAAGTGAGTTGGTCACGGACCTAGGCACCTCATTTACATCCCGGCTCATGAAAAGATTGTGGGAAGCGTGTGGCATCACACATATAACTTCCACACCGTACCATCCAGAGACTAATGGATTGGTTGAGAAGTTTAATGGAACTTTGATCCTATGATCAAAGCCTACGTAGCAGAAAACCCTAATGACTGGGACTGCCAATTACAACCCCTCTTGTACGCATACAGACACATTCCACAAGAGAGTACCGGGTACAGTCCCTTTGAACTTTTACTAGGGCGCAAGGTCAAAGAACCTTTAGATCTACTCCGAATGAATTGGGAGGATCACTCAGATAGTGATCCAGATTCAGTGATGGAATATCTGTACAAACTGCAAAACACTTTACGCCATTCCTTAGAAATAGAAGGAGAAAATTTAAAAGCCACCCAGTCAAAGCAAAAAATCTGGTATGATAAAAAGGCCAGAGAGAGAACCTTTGGGCCAGAAGATGAAGTGTTGCTGCTAAGGCCAATAAAGGGAAATAAATTGCAATTAGCCTGGGAAGAGACCGTAGAAGATTGTGTCCAAAATGAATTATGTGAACTACATTATCCAGCAGGGGGATGAAGGGCGCAAAGTGGTTCACGTGAACATGCTAAAACCCTACCATAGAACAGAAAGCTGGGCTCTATATGCTATAAGAGAGGACCCAGAAGAAACAGACCACATACTGTGCTAGGAAGGGAGAGGGGAGCAACATTGTAATCAGAAAGAAGTGAATCTAGCCCCTTCATTAACCCAATCACAGCGGGAGGAGGAAGGAAGTATCCTACAAAAATACAAAGCCGTCTTTGGAATAGCAAAGGGAGTGGTCCATCGCATAGACACTGGGGGTGCTAAACCCATTGTAGTGACCCCTTATCGGATAACTGGGACATACATGGATAAAGTCCGCAACGAGGTGCAGGAGATGCTGAAGGCAGGGATCATAACCCCCTCAGAGAGTCCCTGGGCAGTGCTGGTAGACAAACCTGATGGCTCGATAAGATTTTGTGTTGACTACCGAAAGTTAAATCACGTCACTAAGGCGGATGCCTATCCAATGCCCAGCTTAGATGACCTAATTGAGACCATAGGCAGGTGCCATTTGTCTAGACTTGACAAAAGGCTATTATCAAGTAAAAATGTATCCTGGGGACCAGGAAAAGTCCCCTAGGATTATATGAGTTTAAAGTGATGGCCTTTGGGCTAAAAAATGTGCCAGCGACCTTTCAAAGGCTAGTGGATAAGATCCTGCATGGATTAAGGGAGTTTACAGTAGCTTAGCTGGATGATATTGCAATTTTTAGTCAAACCTGGTCTGAACACAAAGAGCCCCTAGAGTTAGTGCTACAATGAATTAAAGAGGTGGGCTGGACCATTAAGGCTCGTAAATGTCAGACTGGGGACTCAGAAATCAAGTACCTTGGAGATATGGTGGGTGGAGGAATAATAAAGCAGGGGGAGAAAAAGGGTTAATATGTAAACCAATAGGAAAGCCGGAGGCGGAGCCTACCTGCATATAAAAGGGCTTAGCCTGAGGTTTGAGTTAGTTGTTGGTGGGTAGTTGGTTGGTTTTAGTGGGTTGGTTGGTTGGTTGGTTGGTTGGGAAAGGCAGTTGGAGGAGCAGTTGGCAGGCAGTTGGAACTAGAGAGTTAGTGCAGTGGGTTCTTGTGTGAGGAGAGGTAGAAGAGACAGAGACAGGATAAAACAAGACTAAGAAGCTAAAGAGTTTGGAATGCAGTTAAAGTTTGTGTCTGAAATAAACTACACTTTTCTTTGTTAATTTGTCAACCTGACTGAGACTAAGTGATTTACCGGGGAGGACCTGGTTGGTGGCAGTGGATTAGTGGTGTACAGGTCAATAGTCCGTGAGATGACTGGGGGCTCCGTACAAACGCCACAACCATGTACAGTGGAACCTCGGTTGTCAAACTTAATGCGTTCCGGAAGCCTGTTCAGCTTCCAAAGTGTTCGAAAACTGGGACTCAATGGGGCGGTCCGCAAGCTCCATTCCAGTCGAGAAACATGCCTCGAGGCACGTTTGAAAACAGAAGCATTCATTTCTGGTTTTTCAGAGTTTGGGAGCCGAAACATTCAGCTTCCGAGGTTCCACTGTAGATCACAATGTAGTTCTTCCTGATACAAGAAGGTACCTTACCTGGTGTTTCTTTTGGAGGCTGTTCTTTTGTCTCCTTTCTCGTTTCCTATAGAAAAAGAGCAAAAGGGTAATTTGACGGTTCATTGTGTTATTAATATTTTGATGGGAGCTGCCCAGAGTGGCTGGGGCAACCCAGTTGGATGGGTGGCATATGAAAAATATAATATAATAATTAAAATAGAAGAAATATGGCCTCAGGTGATTTCCATGGAACTGGAATCATAGAATCAATCCATCTGACTTATTTTTTTACCTAAACATTTCAGCTTTAATAGATCACAGCTTCAGAATTATTAAAACACCGGAAATGTAAACACATGTCATTTGCATTTAATCCTAAGGCTTTAGGAAGAAAGGGGGAAAGACTCATTTAAGAGAATTCATTCTGCCGGTTTCTTTGTCTCAGAACGCAGTATACAGAAATATATTTTTAGCATCACCATAACTAACTGGGTATTGCCATAACTTATTGAGCATATGCATTTGACTATAAATCTCCTGCTCGCGGCAGCAACCAATCCCACGTCCCCCTATTTTTTACATTAATTTCTAAGAAAAAAACCTCATCTTATAGACCGTATGTGACTCACCATTTTGGCAATTTCAAACATGATGCCTATTTTTTCCCCTTGTATCTCTAATATTTCCTCTGACGTAATGATTGGCACATATGCCCTTCTGGGTATTCTTTCCTGAAAGAAAAAAAAGAAAATGAATGTCCCCCTGCCCAATTATCTCATCTCTGACTCTAATACTGGAGAAGACCTGCCTGGCTTCAAGCATGGTGGCAAATGCAGTGCTAGGTTCTCATGGTCTAGTTGCTTGGGGGGTTGAGCTGATTCCTAGCGGCCTTGCGTTGTGCCAAATCCTTTCCTGCTTTCAGTTCAACCCACCATTCCACCAAGCCTTCACACCAGCCCCTTTCCTTTCCTTGGCAAGTGTCAGGAAGCAGCTGGCATGGGAGTGTCAAGAAGGAGGTTTGTCCCCTTCCACTCCTCCTCCCTCTTCCTTGCTCAGTTGTCCTGATTAACAGCATGCTGGGTTACCAAGCCTGGGGACTTCCAGTGTGGGAAGTAGTTCTCCTCAGGCTGAAAAGTAAGAAAAGGAAAGAGCACCGTTACCTGTCTGCTTCATTTTACCTTGTCCTCTCTTGTGCTGCGTGCCACACTTGGCCCAGGCAATGGGAATGTGGGGCACATCTGGACAGGAACTAGTCTGGCTTCAGCCTATAATCAGGCCTAGCTCTTGAACCGGTTTAGCAGCAGGTGGAGGCTCCATGTCCTATGCAGGTGCTAAGCGCTGATGGGCAACTTCAAGGCCCCTCATCTCACGTCTTCGCCCAAGCAGCCGCTGCGGTAGAGCAGCAGCGCCCTCCTCCCCTCCCAGCGCCACAGGGCAGCAGCAAGCTTGGCACACAGCAAGCCACCAGGCTGGTAAGCCATAGCCTTCAAACAGAGGACTGTAGGGCTTGGCGGTGGGGGGCAAATTATAGGAGAAGGGGGGGCAGGAAGGAAAGGACATATCCGGAGTGGAAGGAGGAGGGGAGGGGTTCAATCTTTCTATTTTCTTGGTAGGAGGAGGGAAGGAGTTCGATGGTGGTTAGTTCTTTGTTCTTCTTTGTTGTTGTTTTTTCCCCTTTTTCTTCCTTCGGTAGAAATCTGAAAGGCAAGCATGGACATGACTTAGAATGAATCCACCGTACTTTAATTATTAGCATAGCATTCCTAATGTTAATTGATCAGATTAAAGCATAAACCTGTCTGTCTGTTGGAGGAGCCCACCCTGCCCACTAAGTCCCCTGCCTTTTGGCCCCCCCAAAACAGTATTCTTTTAACTCATTATTCATATCCCCATATGTTTTAAACCTAAGCTAAGAAATGGCTGTAGGATGGATCTGTTTCCATCTACCAAATTTATTTAGGGGAAGGCTAATTTCTTAAAGTCAAGAAAAAGAGAAAATGTAACACTATTCAGCTGGCAGCAGTGCATATTAAGGTATCTTGCCCATGCCTAAGCTGGGAGGGGAGTCCCTGAAACATAAGTGCATCTGCTGTCCTGCAAAGTCTGTGGCTGGTGGCCCCTCTGCATGCTCCGTTCCCTAGGCAGGTGCCCAACCGCTGATGGGCAACTTCAAGGCCCCTCATCTCACGTCTTCGCCCAAGCAGCCACTGCGACAGAGCAGCAGCGCTCTCCTCCCCTCCCAGCAGGGACAAAATCAAACTCTAGAGATTTACCCTATTGGTTGTTCTTAACTCCTTTTAGGTTTTGACAATCTTTCCCACACGGAGGGGGAAGGATCTTCTTTTTTAGCTGGTGGGGGAGCTGTTGGAAACAAAATGGTGGGGGGAGAACGCAACCCGAAAATGCTTAACCTGAAGCATATTCATCTTGAGGTATGACTGTATGTGACTCACCATCAGCGCCCTTTCCCAAAGTAGGTCAATCTTCCTTCCTTCGACCTCTAACACTTCTGCTGAAGTCACAATTCGTGGGAATCTGTATTTTCTTTCCTGAAAGTAAAAAAGGAAAATGAATGTGGTTCTTGCTCTTGCTAAATATCTTTTAACCTATTGCTACTACCAGGATGGGTTGTAGCTTTAAATAAATGATTTTCAGAGCAGAGCAGACCTGAAGTATTTGTGTGTGGAAGCTAATTCCTAAAATACACTTCTATCCCAAGGCATGCCAGACTCTGCAGTTTGGATGGCCTTACTCATTCATAATAATAATAAAATGATTCATTGCAACATGTGAATTCTGAATACATTTCAGTAATAGTGTGCCTTGATCTATTAAAGCAGGTAGTACAAGGAAAGTAATAGAAGTAACAATCTACATGCAGTTTTCTTGTTTTGTTTTTCAAAACGGGAGTATTGTCAATGTGGGAAATGTTTAAACTCCTAGTTGCAAAGGTTTCTAAAGGCAGTGAACACAGCCGGCTGTCTAGCTCTTCCCTGCACAGAGTTGGTGGTTTATCTAGGATTACGTTTATAATCCTTTGTTATTTCTTCTTTGAATATTTTCTTCTTTTTCAAAAAAAATTATTCATTTTATAACACAAATAAAAAATAAAAAACACAAACAGAAAAACAAACAATACAAACAAATTCTTGTCATATCCTTATTTTTCTAAACATTGTTAAGTGGGCTTCCCCAAGTCCCCCCTGTGTGATTTTCATTTTACTTCATCTTTAGCAGTTTACATATATCATAATTTCTAACCATCTTTTTTTTTAATCACACTTAAAATAACTTCACATTTTATCACTTACAAATATTTTAAAATACCCTATCTTCTAGCTTTAACCCTACAGTCTATATCCACTTCCAAAGCTATAGATAACAAATACTTACTTCCAATTCTGCCTCACTTGCGAGACTCTTCCCCACTACATATCTGCAAAAGATCAAGATTATATATCAAACTCTTTATATATTATTCCTAGTTTCCATAATTTTTCCCAGTCTTCTAGCTGTATATTATAGCCAAAATCATTATCCCAATGTATCATCACCGACGACCTCTTCATCTTTCACATGCCATACCACCAGAAATTTATACATTTTTATAATATTTTAACTTTATTATTTAATATTTCCATTTCAAATTTCGATTTAGTATAACCAAATCCATTTTTCTTTAAATCTTCTTTGAATATTTCATTGATATTTCATACATTTGGCAATGGTTCTCTTTAGGGGACTTCCAGTACTGTTATGAATAATGATGGTGACAGAGGACACCCTTGTCTTGTACCTTTCGTAATTTCAATATTTTCTGTTAGCACATTCTTTACTATTAATTTCGCCTTTTGATCTGAATAAATCGCTTTTCTTCCTCTTATAAAGAATTGTCCCATATCCATTGATTCCAACACCATTACTGGCCCCAACAACATCAAACAGGGTCTGGTGACTTCTGTTTCAGTGTATCTGAAGAAGTGTGCATGCACATGAAAGCTCATACGAAGAACAAACTTAGTTGCTCTCTAAGGTGCTACTGGAAGGAATTTTTTTGTTTCAAAAGCAGGAAAACTTACATGTGAGGCAAGTGGGGAAATCTGGCCGGGGACAACTGGTGTTTCACTGGCTCCATATTTTTTTTCATCTGTTATAAAAAAAAGAAGGAATTGTCAGCTTTTTCCATCAACATCCATCTCTTCTGGATTCTAGAAGAAATGCTTCTTGGCAGAGGCGTAGCGATGGGGGTGCGGTAGCGGCGCCACGCCCTGGGTGCCACCACTAGGAGGGGTGACAAATCCCAGGCGGCACTCTGGGCGTGCGCAGGCGCCTCTCCCGAAAAGGTTCCCCTGCTGCCTCCCCCCCCCAGCTGTGACTCGTGGTGTGCTTAACTGGACCTAGAAGCTTATTCGGATGGTTGCAAAAAGTGCCATTCTTAAGGCTCGGGAGTTTGAGGAGTGACGTGGTGGCTTAGGCGCCTGAAAACTTTCCTTTTTTCAGATATTTTATTTGACAAAATATCTGAAAAAAGGAAACTCTGTTGCTAGACTTGTCTTTAAAAGAAAGATTAAACAGAAGTTTTCCCCCTAGAGGGAGACTGTGAAACTGTAACCAACTCCTGGGAGCTGGCACCTGTTACAGATTACAATCGTGGGAATAGACATCTGACCTTCAGGACAATGTATTCAGAAGCTCTGTTGTGTGCTTTCTATAAAACAAATGCCCTACTGGAACAGGTACATGAGAAGACGAATTTGATGGCTGATTCGATTAGAAATTTTGAACAGGCAGTGGGAAATTTTGAACAGGCAGTGGGAAAATATGTGGAGCCCACCCAGGAATTAAATCAGGAGTGTGTCCTGACAGAACAGGCCCTACAGGAATATGAGCTTTTGGATTTGACAAATGAACTTGGAAAAAGCCAGACTTGGAAAGAAAAAGTTTGGTTTGGTTTGGAAATGGGGGGTTGGATAGACCCTCCTATGCAGGGATGTTTGGACTTTTCAAGTCTGGCAATGGGCCGTGAGGTGTTTGGGATTGTGGGGGCTCTCAATTTTGGAGGGATTTTGAAACATGTTTTTAAATACCACATGGAATTTAGTGTCGATTATGGAAAAGGGGCTGATCTGTCGAGAAGGGTCAAAAATATTGCTAAGTTGGAGTTCCCACGAGCGAAAGGAGCAGGAGACAAAGGAAAATACAGCTATAAATATAAAGAAGAGCAGCGGAAGGGACATGGAAGGGACTTAAGGGCCTCGGATATAAGATTACCAGGTTAATGCGCCAGATCGATGGGATAATAAGGACTGACAAAACCTGGGACCAGGAGGAAGGGACGCTGGATGAAGATTGGATTTGTTTTTATTTCTCTTTTTTACTACTAGGACTGTTTTATAAAATTGATGAATGTTAGAAAAATGTTGGAATGAAATTACTTGGCTTTAGTAAAAATGTTTAAAGAATTATGCAAAAATATTATGGTTATGAGAAGTTGGTAAAAATAAGATTTAAGTTTTAAGTCTCAAGGGTTTTTTTTATACTAAGATAAGATTAAAATAGTTTAAGGTAATGTAATGACAGAATATTATGAAATATGGAGAGGATTTGCTGTGACAATTAACAAACAGGATACAAGGAAGGGGAGGAGGAGGAGGTCAAGGAAAGAGGGTAATGACAGTTGAGGAGTTGAGAATAATGGATTTGTTTTTAAATGTGTGTGGTGTATTTTTGTTTTTTTGTAACTTTAAACCCCCCCCCAATAAATATCATTAAAAAAAAAGAGAGAGAGAGATACTACAATTCCCATCATCCCTGACCACTGGTCCTGCTAGCTAGGGATGGTGGGAGTTGTAGGCCAAAAGCATCTGGAGGGCCAAGTTGGAGGAAGCCTGCCATAGAGGAACAAGAGGGAAGGAGAAGGGATCTTGCAGGTTCAGGTGTGGAGCTTCTAGGCGAGGGAGGTCATGTGCAGAGCTTAGGATGGAAAGGGGATCAAGCAGAGGGCAGAGCAAACCTACCTCTTTGCGGAGGCTGGACTGCCAGAATCCAGATGCTTGGGCCATCTTCTTAAAGAGCTGAGCACGGTGGGCCCAAGAGGCCTTCCTCTGCTGAAAACAACAGAAAAACTGCCTCTTTTGATGTCACCTGATGTCATCGCATTCCACAGGTGCCCAGTGTTCCTTGTGTTCTAGATGTGGTCATAGCTGTCAACTTTCAGATTTGAAAATAAGGGATCAGCAGCCTCACCTGTCCCGGGGACAGTCTACGGGATATCTAACAATCTGGGATAGCAGCGGGAAATGGCGCTGGAATAAGGGAATTTCCCGCAAAAAAAAAGGGAAGGTTGACAGCTATGGATGCGGTTCTTGAGCACTGCGATTTGATCTCGCGAGGACAGGGCATAGGTGCCCATTCAGGTCAAAACCCAAACGCACCACAATTCCTGTTCTGCCAAGCACCTACCCTCACCCTTCTGGAACTGGGCAGCGGCCTTGTCCTGTGCTGATGGGACTTGAGTTCAGGCCAGGCCAGACCTGTTTTCCTTCCTATATATTTTGGGACAAACTAAGCCAGCCTTCCCCAACTGGGTGCCCTCCAGATGTTGGGGACCACAACTCCCGTAAGCCCCAGACTGCACAGCAGGAAGGCCGCAGGTGGGGGGAAGGCTGAGCTACAGAATGGTCACCAACCCCCCACCCGCTTTCTGGGTGATTGCACCCTGACTCTGGGAATCTGTTCGCCTGGGCCTCTGGAGGAGTTGCTTAGCCTACCCTCCGCTTTCACCTGAATCTGTACTGCCATCGTGGATTTTTAATTGTAATTGGTGCTAATTTATATATTTTTATTACAGTGGAAACTTTGGGGTCTTCTATATGGAGAACAGCAATAAACTGACTGAATACAGGAAATTATAAAAGACTATTCAGGAGTGCATAAACACTATCAGTGGTCTGGATTAATAAAATTTGATGAGACCCAAAATTTAGTGCTACAGTGAGAAATTAGGCACCAGCCAGAATCAATAATCCAGAATCCAAATCTCAGTTTGTATCCTGCAGAATCTTGAATTTTGATTTGCTGGTTCTAATATTTGGAAATTAGCGCACGTTACTAGTCATATCCTAAATTGGTCATATAATACTAGCCCCCCACCACCACATCTGCTCCCTGTCTGCCCCATAGAGAAAGCCAGGGCCCATATGGGCCCACAAGTGTTCCTCTTGCTCTGCTAGAGAGGCAAAAAAAGATTCACGGTTAAACTATAAACAGTGTTTGCCGCTGCAGCAAAATGGCTGCCAGTGCTTCTGCTGGGCCAGTTAACCTGGCTGCCTTTCCTCAAAATACACATTTTGATGCACTCTGGTGTCAAATACTGCTTTTGCTAGGTTAAATTTTAGACAAGCTGAATGGGCACAGGCGGGGGGGGGGCAGGGTCTTGGTTTGTTTTGTTCTTGTTCTTCTTGTGCATTTCATGTTTTTTATCTTGTGTTCTTGAAGGAGGTGAGGACAGGTGCCCCACCTAGGCCCGAAGTCACCCTAGGCCTCAAAACTGTCCAAAATTCCTTTTCTCTCTTCTAAAAATCCACAGTTAAAGTTTTCCTCTGCTTTCTCACAAGATGCTGTTGCAAAGGCAAAATGTTATTCTTTGATCAGTACGAGGCGGCTTCAAAAAGCTAATGAGTAGGCTCTGTCAAAGCAAGCCTGGCAACTGACTCTTATCTTCTTTTCTTTTTAAAAAACGCGACGCCCCCCAGGCGACGGCCCCTGCCGGCCTGCCCGCCCGCCCTCCGGCAGGCGGGTCTCTGGGAGGGAGCGACAGACGCCGGTCCGCGCTGGGGGCAGAGAGAAGGCGGGAGCGGCTGAGCTCCGGGGCCGCCTCCTTCTCGGAGGGATTCCCCGGCTCAGCGAAAGGCGCCTCTCCGCCCCGGCGCGCATGGCGGCCCCGCGACTCCCCGGCCTCCCGCCGCCGCCGCTCCTCGTCCTGATCGCGCTGGCCGCCGCCGCCCAGCCGCCCCACCAGGCCGCCTTCCGCGCGGGACACGGCGCAGCCTCCCTGCCCGCCGCCGCCGCCGCCGCGCCCCGGAGACGGTGAGGAAAGGCCTCGCGGGGGCCGGAGGGACAGGGCGGCCGCGGAGGCGCCCGAGGGAGGCCAGGCGGGAGGGCAGCCGGAGGGAGGGGCGCTGCTGGTCGCCTCTCGCCCCGGGCCCCGGCCCCGCCAGCCAGAGTCCGGCGAGGGGGCCTGTCGGGACCCCTCGCAGGCGCCTCTCCGCCTCGGCCCCGCCGGGCTCCCGCCGTCAACTCGGCGTCTCTTACCTCAGGCGGACACGAAGCGACTCCCGTGGGAATCTCCCCTCAAACTGATCTAACAGATTTTTTTCTTTAGTAAAACAATTCATGTATCTATAGGCAGCAGAGGATATCTGAATAGCGAGTTCTCCCGGCTTGAACAGAGTTTAAAGGGTCCCATCCTGAGCAGGGAAGTTGAAGCCTGGCTTGGAGCTAGGAAGGGCCAACTCAATGCAATGATCCTAAACGAGATGGGAAGGGGCAGTTGCTAAAGGGTCTTACAATTCAGGAGATTCTGCAAACACTCAGCTAATTTGGGCCCACTGCAAAATTCCTCTGATTGGCACAAAAAAGCAGTAGCTGCCCTCTCTTTGGAAACAGAAATAAATTAGTATTAGAAGCAGCAGTTACTGTTTATAAAACTTATGAGAATACAGTGGTCCTTCCAGTTGCGGACGGGATCCATTCCGGAGGTCCGGCCCGATCCCAAGGTTTTCACAACTGGAGAGACCACTTCTGCGTGCTTGGCAAAAACCCAGAAATATACTTCCCAGTTTGCCGCTTATGTATCCCAAAATTTACATAACTGGAGGGATAGGTAAGCAGAGGTACAACTGTATATGAACAGCAGGACATAGAAAGCTGTCATAAAGTAAATCAGACCTCTGGTCCACCTTAGGTCTGCTTTATTGACACTGATTGGCAGCAGCTGTCCAGGACTCCCCATCCCTTCCAGGAGATGCCAGGGGTTGTGATTTCTGCATGCAAAGTGTGCGCTCTACCGTTGAGAAGAGGAAATATAGTATAGGTCATGACGCACCTGACCATAAGACGCACCTAGTTTTAGAGGCAGAGAACAAGAAAAAAAAATTCTCTCCCTCTCTGCACAGCGCTTCTCCAGCAAAGCGGGAGGAGAAATGGAAGGGGCTCCGTTTCTCTTCTGCTTTGCTGAAGGGGCGCTGCGCAGCTTTCCCTCTCTGAGCAGTGCCTCTCCAGCAAAGCGAAGTCAGAACAGCAGCTCCAGAGGCTTTGCGTGGCTATCCCTGAAGCTAGGAGAGCGAGAGGGATCGGTGCACACTGATTCCTCTCGCTCTCCTGGCTTCAGGGATAGCTGCGCAGCCTTCATTTGCTCCATAAGACGCACACACATTTCCCCTTTTTAGGAGGGGAAAAGTGTGTCTTATAGAGCGAAAAATACGGTAAGTAGACACCAACTTGGGTGGTCTGGGTAGATGCAGATTGGATGGAAAGTTCCCCCTTAGAATAGTTGTCTTCCTTCTGTTCTAAGATTCCCTTCCCAGATGGTGAACAGAGCAATCCAAACTCTTGGATGAGGCAGGTGCCTTGTTCATCCTGGCTTAGTGAAGGGACCCTGTTCTACCCACCCAACTTGGCTGGCATAAACCTATGAAGAAAGAGGGTGGGGGTTGGACATGAGTCAGCCAAGTTGCTGCTGCACCCTAAGCCAGTCCAACTACTGGCAGTGATGGAGGTTTTCGGGGGGGGGGGGGACTGAATTAGAATGATTTGCATTAGAAAATTCCTGCTCTCCCACACCTTCTATTCCGGCTGGCACAAGCCAGATGGTGGTTATGACTCCACGGTTCTATTTAGTCCCCACTGTTTTTCACCAGGGGAGAAGATTGTACCCCAAACTCTGTATCCTCCAAAAGCACAGCTGACTGTGTATCTGCCTTATTCAGAACTAGGAAGTCACTGGAGATTATAAATCATGACTTTTCTTTAGCTTTTTCAAGTAACTTTATTTTGTTATCTCCAGGTATCTTTTGTATGATGTAAACCCACCGGAAGGTTTCAACCTCCGCAGAGATGTCTATATAAGAGTTGCTTCGCTTATAAAAACTTTGTTGAAACATGAAGCCTGGGTATTGGTTCTGCCTCCCTGGGGGCGTCTCTATCACTGGCAGAGTCCTGACATTCATCAGATCCGAATTCCTTGGTTTGAATTCTTTGATGTTCCCAGCCTCAGTAAAAACATACCAGTTATTGAGTACGAAGAGTTTCTTGCAGGTAAAATATTACTATTAAATAATCAGTATTCTATGCAGTCTTGAAGTAGTTTTGTGGTGGGCTTTTCTGCTTGCATTCAGTTAAATGAGGTGTTTGAAATTGATAACATTTCTAAAGTAGAATTCCAAATGAGGATATGTTACCTTTCTCACCACTACTATCTCTCAGGGGGTAGAGGGATATCTACTATTATGAAGGCTAAAATATATTAGTAGGTACATGCTAGCTGTTGCACAATTGCATGTGTATGCCCTTTAGCAAATATTAAATGAAACAATAATATCTTATTTGGGCATGACCATAGTTGCTTGGAGAAACAGAAGATACAGATTTTTGTTAATGTGGCACCCATTTTTGCAGTTGGCATAAGGGCTGCATCATACAGATGATGGAGCAGATTTGTAGGTAGGACTAGAAGCGCTGGTTTAAATTATAAGGAAGGGGATTTAAGCTAAGCTGAACATCAGAAATAATTTTGCGATGGGATGAGTTGTGGGCAGTGAAACAGACTGCCTTGGAAGTAATGTTGTCTCTTTCGCTAGAGGTTTTTAAGCACGGTCTGGATGGACACCTGTTGGGGATTGTGTCAGTGCGTTTCTTGAATTGGCACAGGGTTGAGGCTCATGCCAACTTAATAAAATCAAAAGGTGCTTTTTATAGAAACATCTGATATAACCTGCAGCTCTCTTCCGAATCCTCTCCAGATTATTTGTCTTTTTCTGAAGATGCAGTTACCAGATTCACAGGGCTCCAACTCAAACCCCCTTTCTATTAACTGACATTCTGGTTTCAGTAGATAATTACTTTGGAAGTAACTGTATGCAGCTAGAGATAATGCTAGTTGCTCCACTTGATATCTGCTGTATAAAATGAAATACATATAGATGTTATACTCATGTGCTGATTTTTGTTCCTTATTCAGAGTCAGGTGGCCCCTTTATTGATCAGGTGTATGTTTTGCAAAGTTATGCTGAAGGATGGAAAGATGGGACTTGGGAGGAGAAAATAGATGAAAGGCCATGTATTGACCAACTAATGTATTCGACAGACAAACATAAATACTACAGGTAATCTTCTATAATAGTAGTTGCATTATAATTACAGTTGGGCACCTAGAATGCAGATATTTTCTCCCCAAGTCCCTAAACGTCCCCCCTGAAAAAACTTTCATTGGAATTTCTAACATTAAAACAGTTTTTTCTCTTGTTCAATGAATATTTTCTTATTGTTGCATCAGCATGCTCTTCCTAAATGAAAAATATTTATTTATGTTTAAAGATGGGCATCTTCCATTCTGTTTACAGTAAAACACAGAATGGTTAACAGCACAGAAATTTAAATAGTCCAAAAACATAGCCAGTGCTGCTATTGTTCCATATTGCTACCTACAGTGGTACCTCTAGATACGAATGGGATCCGTTCCGGAGCCCCGTTCACATCTAGAGGTAAACGTAACTAGCGATGGCACGTCTGCGCGCGTCGCTTTTCACCGCTTCTGCACATGACGTCATTTTGAGCGTCTATGCGCAAGCGGCAAAATCCGGAAGTAACGTGCTCCGTTACTTCCAGGTTGCTGCGGAGCACAACTCGAACACACTCAACTCGAAGCGTATTCAACCCGAGATATGACTGTATATCAATACTCTGGTGGGGAGAGTATGGGAATCAAGACAAATTGGAGCTTTTAAGACGAAGTGGAAGTATTCAGAAACTTGTGAGGAAGTGGTCGTGTCCTGGGTTTCATGATACAGATACAAGGGAAAGCTGAATACATTCAGACATGCACTCTCAACTTTAAGAAGGCCAATTTCAAAAAGTTTAAGGAACTAATGAGTGAAATTCCATGGTCAGAAATACTCAAAGAGAAGGGAGTCCAAGATGAATAGGAGTTTCTAAAAGCAGAAATATTGAAGCCCCAAATGCAGACAGTTTCAACAAGAGAGAAAAGTGTGAGACATCTAAAGAAATTGGCGCAGCTGCATAAGGAGCTTACGGATGAGCTGAGATTTAAGAATGGTGTGTATAAGAAGTGGAAGAAAGGGGAAATCACAGAGGAGGAGTACACACAGGTAACCAACAATTGCAGGGTGACAGGCAGGCTAAAACTCTGAAAGATTTCTTTGTGTTCAAATCAGCAAGATTCTTTTAATTTCTATTATATTGTATATGCCAATCTATTAATGATTTTCACCTTGTTTTATAGGGGATGGTTCTGGGGCTATGAAGAAACACGCGGCATGAATGTGGCTTGTTTATCTGTCCAGGGCTCTGCCTCTGTCATAGCTCCTCTCCTTTTGAACATCTCTGCTCGGTCAGACACAATCTATTATTTTCTATCTCAAATGTTTCCATATTTGCTTTGCATAGAGAAAGGCAAGCTTTAAACCCACCCCTTTCACTCTTAACAAGTATGAAGGTTTGTGTTTTTTGTAATCTCACATTGAATCCTATTGCAGCACCACTAAGGCAGAGAAGGAGGAATCCATAAAAGCCCTCAGTTTGTAAATGATTCCCCTCCCCAAGAAATCTTGAACTGTGAAATTTTCCACTGAGGAAAATCCAAATTACCACATGCAAACTTTGGCTAATTTGGATAGGTTTATTTTCTTTTGAAAAAATATAATATCCTAGACTGAGAAATTAATGTAGCCTTTTATTTTACTTTCATTTGGTAAAGAAATGAAATGTTAACTGCTGAGCTCGTCTAATACTGTATTTACAGTTAACATCCATGCATTCTTACCAATTAACTTATGAAACAGAAAAAATATATATAGAAAAACAAAGCACTGGAAAATTATCGATGGTGCCCACCTGTCTTTAGTTACAAGCCAGAAACAAGGTGTCCCCAAAGTATGTGATCAACATTTCCTCCACAGAATGCTAATTGTTGAGCTGTCTGGGTTTAGGATTTTCTGGGTTAAGAAAGCTTTCTCAATTTTCACCCACCCCACCCCCCGAAAAATAAATTGCAGTGTTCATTTTTGTGCATCCATGGACTTCTCTGCTTCCTTAAACTATAAATTGATGTAAGCTGTTTTGCAAGGGAATGTACACTTGGTTTTATCCTTTTTAGTAGGTCAGTGATGCTAGACCGAGCTGAAAATCTTCTTCATGACCACTATGGTGGCAAAGATTATTGGAATGTAAGTATTTTCTAGCCTTCTTTCCCATATGATCCACTTATTTTTTGCCCCTTGGCAAACATCGTCTCAAGGCATTTTGTATGGCATAGGTACCATTAAGAAAAGAGGATATATACAACCTGGCATTTTCTAGGCACTTCCACTTACTACCAAAGCCTTAAACTTAAGCATTTACTGCAATTATTTTATAAATGATCCCAGAATATTATTTGAATTAAAGGTATGGTAATGCACCAAAATTCCGTTGAAGGAAGACCTATGCTGTTTTCTCCTGTAATCACATTACACATTTTTTAAGTTATCTTGCAGTACATCACCTTCCTGTTATCCAACCACAGTATGGCTTCTAATGACATAAATAGGCCACAGTAGTCTGTATCAAATCATAGATTATCCTTACCTGACCAAAACTTTAATAATCCAAGCTAATCCATAAACTGTTCTCACACTTGGTGCTGCTAATGCATTGTCCTAGTTCTTTATACTTGTACAGTTTACCTGAATTTTTTCCGTCAGGGAGATCCTTAGGTATTTTGTTTTTTATATCCTGTTATATGAAGTAGTCTTGCCAGTTCTTGTTTTGAGGTCATATGCATATCCAGAACAACTAATCCTAATTTATTTAAATTGATTTTGGCAAGGCATTCTGAAGCTAAGAGAGCAAATTTAGCACAGCTTCTAAATCTTCACCTAGAATGAAGTATTTCAAATACTGCAGGATTAATATTTTAGGGTTTTGGTAGAGTGACTATCCCATCCTTTCAGTAATTAAATTTCCAACTGTATTACATAAAAACTGGATTATAGGGTGCTTCCCTAATATGCGTATAAAATCCATCCATTGAATTTTGCTTCTCCAGTAGTTAACTTGGTGTTGTTGGATACATCTGGATTAATCTGTGTGGTGCTAAATAACATTGGGACTGTGCCTTTAAAGAATTTTTGTTTTAGATCTTGGAAGAACTTTAATCCTTTATCATTTTATTTTATTTATTTTTTGTGGCAGACTCGTCGAAGTATGGTTTTTGCTAAGCATCTTCGTGTGGTGGGGGACATGTTTAGGACCAACTTCTTAAATTCTACTGATGAGAAGGATAGGACACAGTATTCTGAGGACTGGACAAAGATGAAGGTAAAATAGGTTTGCCTGAATATTTAAACTTAGCTATTTTCTGTTTTAACTGCATTTCTGTTGGGAGTGTCTATATGAGGGTCATATAAAGGAATGGAGCCCATGTGTTTTAAAGTGTGATGGGATGTGCTATAGAAAGGGAACATTGGCTTTTCTGGGAATGCTGGTTCTCATCAGGGAATGGGGACTTGACTGAGCCACTTACTCTGCCTTGCTTGTAAGGAGCTGCTTCTTCCCTTCATGTGGAAAGAGCCCACTCCCTGTTCAGATTTAAAATAAAAATTAAAAGGAAGGAGGATAAGGCAGTAGGTCAGCTGCTGGGAATTTCTCAAGAGGAGCGAGACAACCAGTCACCCGGTGCCGCATTTTCTGCTGCTTTCCAGACAAAAGCCCCCAAGTGGCTTGCAGGTGTTAAAAATACACTAATCAGAATCAAAAGAGCTGATGGTATCACCTTTTTCTTTCAGAAAGTGCCACCAAAAAGCCTATTGCTCTGAAAATAGATGGTTGGTAGGCTGGACTTGGAGCTTTGCAAAGTTCTGCTAAGCATCGACCAATTAGCTTCTTAGACTTCTTCCTTTAACAATGCTAGAGAACATGTGTTTATCTGCAGGATGTTTTCCCACTGAATCAATGCCATTTTATTTCAGTTTCAGCATGTACTGGTTCTTCTGTGCTAGGTAAAGCTGGGTACGGCCATAGGGGGCCCCTATCTGGGAGCCCACCTCAGGCGCAAAGACTTCATCTGGGGTCACAGAAATGACGTGCCTAGCATACAGGGAGCGGTGGAGACCATCCGAAGCCTCTTGAAGTTGCACAAACTTCAGAGAGTCTTTATAGCCACTGATGCCGTTGCGAAGGGTATGTAGCTTTTTTTTAAAAAAAAACCCCAATACTTTAATGTTTTGTTCTAAACTGAATCTACTCACTTAGATGCAGGTGCTGCAGCTACAGTGCGTATTTATTTGTTCTCCAGTACCTTGGACAATAGGGACGTGGGTGGTGCTGTGGTCTAAACCACTAAGCCTCTTGGGCTTGCCGATCAGAAGGTCAGCAGTTCGAATCCCCGCGACGGGGTGAGCTCCCGTTGCTCGGTCCCTGCTCCTGCCAACCTAGCAGTTCAAAACACATTCAAGTGCAAGTAGATAAATAGGTACCACTCCGGCGGGAAGGTAAACGATGTTTCCATACTCTGCTCTGGTTCGCCAGAAGCGGCTTAGTCATGCTGGCCACATGACCCAGAAGCTGTACGCCGGCTCCCTCAGCCAATAAAGCGAGATGAACACTGCAACCCCAGAGTTGGCCACGACTGGACCTAATGGTCAGGGGTCCCTTTACCTTTACCTTGGACAATATGTGGGAGGCTTTTGTAGGCCACTAGAAAGGGCTTCATGAGCTGATGGCTTGCCCCTGAATTAAATGTTTTTACGGGACAGTGATCTACCGCAGTAGATCTTCAGCTCCGGACACCCTTAGACTCCCTTTTTTTACCGTGTGTGCCCATTTCTCTTTATTAAAAACACCAACACTTAAATAAGCAGGAAGAAAATGGTAGTTGTGCTTCTAGTGTGACCCCCTTTAGAGTGGGGACCAGCTGAAGGCCACTGACGACGTAGTGTCCCTTTTCAGAGACTGAAGAGTTGAAGAGACTTCTTCCAGAGATGGTGAGATTTGAACCTAATTGGGAGGAGCTGGAACTCTACAAAGATGGAGGAATAGCAATTATTGATCAGTGGATATGTGCACATGCCAGGTGACTATGGTTTGTGTGTTGTTTTCGTTTTACTTTTCTATTAGAGCAGTCTTCATGCATACGAATGTGCTTGCCCTAATGAAGAGAGGCTTATGGCCAGCTTGTGAGGGCGATTTGGGGGGAGCGAGCATTGTGCTTCCCTCCCTATGCTGGGCAGAAGCTTCCTAGGCTTTGGGAAGAAGGCACAGGTGGAACATTTAGGAGACGGGCCTAGTTGTCCCCCGGTCCACTGACCGCATGCCACTGATTGAGAGTTATGTTTTATATCAAGTTAGGCCAACTTCACTCATGCCATGATAGGCAAAAATAAAGCATAGGAAAAAATTCAGATTGGCACCCATCTTTAAAATTTGCTTTATCAGAAGTGGCTTCTGCTGAGTGGAGCCACCGGCCCATCCAGGCCAGAACTGTCTTTTCCAGGTAACGATATTTGTGTAACATTCTCAGCATTGCTGCCTGAGGTTCTTTTGACCTGCAGGTGCTCAGGGTTTAACTGTGTTAATTTCTGCGTATGTCTGTGTTTGACTCAGCAGGCATAGCTCTTAAATGGTTTACAGTGCAACTGTTTTAAGCAACCAACTTTCCCCTAACTTTGTGAATTAGTTAACATGGCTGTTTCAGAGAGGAGAGTTTGACAATTGGTGTCAAGTGGAGGTTTCTTTGCATGAACCTTGTACTCTTCTCACGGCCCCCTGTGGACACATCAATAGCTGGTGTCAGAATGCAGCCTAAAAATCTGATTTCCATATCATGAATGTGCAGTAGAAACTTCTCTTACTTTTTTCTGTACTTCACAGATATTTTATAGGTACCTCGGTCTCAACATTTTCCTTCCGCATTCATGAGGAAAGAGAGATTCTGGGTTTTGATCCCAAAACAACTTACAACAGATTTTGTGGCGATGAAGAGAGTACCTGTGAACAGCCAACTCACTGGAAAATTGTATATTAAAATATACTGGTCCATGCAACTGTAGTCTTTAGGCTTATCAATGCAATTAAACAATCATTTTTGTAGAAATAAATTTATTTTGAATGTTGGTTTTTAATTTCTGGTGCTAAGCACATATGAATGGTGGAAGTCAGGTGCATTCAGCTCACTCAGTATTATCAATGGCAGCTCTTCTGACAAGATACCAAAATGTCTCCCTTTTAAAAATTGATCATATGATATTTTCTGATGTTAAAATATTATTCTGGATACAGAACATCAGTTTGTATTATCTTCAAAGCAGAAGAGATATTTTCTGTTTGGCTTTCTATGTTTACAAGAAATAAAGGTTTCTTTGTTTTTATTTTGAGAGTTGTGTGCCTCTTGCCACTCTGTAAGAAGTCTTCACGCTGTGGACTGGCAAGAAAATACACAGTTGTATGGTTAGTCTGGTAACTGATCTACCATAGGTAAATCAAGGAGGTTATATGGATAATCCACCATCAACTCTGTTTAATATTGCGTCTGCAAATGGAATTAGGTTTATCACACCTCCAGACCTAATATTAATGTGTAAATCTCTGGTGTTTATGCTAGAACTGTGAGTGGCTTCCCACTGGAAATCCGACTGGCCGCCTTCTCAAAAGTGTGGGGCATTGCACTGTCAGAACACCTGATACACAAATGGTTAATGGTTAATCAAAAATAGACCACATTTATTTGACTTGGTTTAAGTTTTTCTCCTGTTAACTCATCCACACAGCCCACTAAATCCCCTGCTCAACAGATAAAATATATGGAGCTTTTTCGATAATTAATTTGACTCACCTTTCTTTTTTGTGATCAATTGTATGTGGCACTGCGCACTCAGTTGCCTCCCGGTTTTCCCCTCCCCTCTAATCTAATTTCATTTCATTTTACTATTTTTATTTGTTACACTCATTATTCTTCCTGCATTTTGTATGTGCTTATGTCAGTCACCATTCTGTATGAAAAATGACCATCATAGTAGTAACAGTTTCTAAAAAAGAAAAAAAGATACCTTATGCAGATTTATTAAGACTACTATTTTTCATGTATTGCTTTAACAAAGTTCTAGTTATGGGAACAGTACTGGTTACCACCAGGTTTCACCTGCTTTGAAGACCAAGGTATCTGTTACATTGTAAAGCAGAATGAAATTAAGTTCACTTATTTTGAAGGCTCAAATCATGCAGAAACAGTGAGGTATTAAGCAGCAAAACCTAAAATACTTTAAAAACCAATTCGTTGATATTTTAGGTCCTTTATATTTAGAATGCAACAGCAGGCTCCAATTATAGTTGTGTTCATTTTATTTGTAAGCTTGCTTCATTTAGACATTTGGATAACTTTCGTTCATCCCTTTCCCACCTCCCAAAAGGAATCCAGGGGTTTCTCCCCAATCAAGAGTTTGTGCTTCAACTGCAAAGACATGAAAAGAGTCTTTGGATTGGTAAGAGCTTCCTTTGAGGGAAGGCAAAGATTTATTTTTCAAAGTCTGGAGAACCGTTACCACATTGTAACAAAAAACAAAAATAAACCTCCATGGCAGTTATGTGACAACATCATTATCTAGGTATTTCAATAGTCCAGTTTTTGTTCTATGAGGAAAGGGGCTGTTTGAGGGAGAAAAGGAAGAGAAACTCGTCCCCTCCTGCCCAGCATATGGAAGCATCCTTTTCATTGAGATGGTACAGAGTTGTTGCCCTGCTGATCACAGAAATGAACATAAAAACACATAAATGGGACTCGTGATTGCTGTTTATGTAAGATTCTAGTTACAAGGAACTTTTCACCGCACATCCACTGAATTCTTTTCTTGACGGCAGGGGCGAAGAACCCACAGACATCGCTATGTTGCTGGACTTCAGCTCCCACCATCATGGCATGGGCTGGTGGGTGTTGTGAGTCTTAACAGGGTCCCAGGGTCCCTTCCCCTGCTTTACAGGAAGGTAACATTGTTGGCTGTACAGTGCAGCCATAGGAACAGGCCTATTTGGTCGCAAACAAATAGGTTGCCCCAGTGAGAGATACCAGACGCCCAGGCAAAGAAGAGTTGTCTCTAGGAAAGCTACTAATTGCATGGTCGTGAAATCAGCAATTAGGCAGCTGTCGGCTCCAAATAGTCACATCACGTTCTTAATGCTCACGACAGTAGAGAGCTCTGAGGCACAGACGGGTTGGTGAAAAAGGAGCAAATCTGGCACACTCACAAATGAGTAAAGCAGCCCATAGGCTACCACCTCTTTCCCAAATAGGACAGAATTTCCAAAGCATTTACTTTCTGTTTTAAACTAACCAAAGTTAATGGTTCTGCCCATGACGGGGAAATTCTGGTTAATTTAAACACACACTTTAACAAGCCAGAACCAAAAGCCGCCGACTGGTCTTGGCTTGTTTCAATAAACCATGGTTTAAACCAACTAGAACTTTCACAGGATGGACGTAACAATAGACTCTGGTTAGTTTAGGTAAGTGTGAAGGCTTGCAATCCCCTTGTTGTTGTGCTGGAGAGAGGAGGGCAGAGTTCATGAGGCTCTGGCTCACTTCTGCTCACCCTGTGACTTGGTATTATGTTCCAAGCAAGCCACTTTGCTATTGGAAAAAACACTAACACATTCGCTCTCAAGCTATAAAATGCAGCAGATTTGCTATACATTGTGCAATCTTCACACTTTAATTTCATTAAAACCGCTATAGTAAAAAACCTCTCAGCCAGCTCATAACTGGGGTTGCCAATCAGCCAGAAGAAAGCAACAGTGTGGACAATTTTATTTATTTTTGCTTTTGAGCCAGGTGTCAGAAAAGCCAAGGAGAAAGCTGCTATTTTCCTCCTTACCTGTGCTGGTTTGGTTTTTAATTTAATTTTGGCTCTGCCCCCAGACCTCTTGACTTGGGTCCACCCTAAAAAACTGTGTCATCAGCAGACCTACTCTGGATTCTACGTCATGTAACGGAGAGCTCTGTCCCCAGGCCCTGACCAGGTACCAGACTTTTTTTAATTCAACACTTGGCAAGCCTATTCATACTCTTATTTTTCTTCACAGTTGTCTACAAATTGGCCTTGATCCTCTGAACTGGAATATGCTTCATTGGGACTATTCATGTGACCATTTTAAGCACGTGGATGTGTTGATTATGTTCTATATACAGTGGTGCCTCGCAAGACGAAAAGAATCCGTTCTGGGAGTCTCTTCGTCTAGCGGTTTTTTCGTCTTGCGAAGCAAGCCCATTGACGGGATTAGCGGATTAGCGCTATTAGCGGCTTTAGCGGCTTTAGCGGCTTTTAGCAGCTTATCAGCTTATCGGATAAGCAGATAAGCGGCTTAGCGACTTAGAAAAGAGGGGGAAAAGGGGAAAAAACCCAGGAACTCGCAAGACATTTTCGTCTTGCGAAGCAAGCCCATAGCAGATTCGTTTTGCGAGGCACCTCCAAAACGGAAAACTCTTTCGTCTAGCGAGTTTTCCGTCTTGCGAGGCATTCGTCTTGCGGGGCACCACTGTAATTCAGGCCACAGTACTGCAAGAAAATGCCTAGTAACAATTTAAAATGCCATATAAATTATTTTCCTTCACATAATAAAATTCTGATTTATTCTATTAAATTCTATATTAACTTATTGCTATCATGCCTTTTTCTCATAATATTATTTAAGTGAACATATTATATATCTATTTCATTTTAAAGGAAGAGGAATACCAATTACAGCATAGGGCTTTCTGGACATGCAAAGTAACTTCGTAAAGTTTTTGTAACTATCACCACAATACTATGTAGATAGCAGTACCCAGACAATACCCAGAGGTGAGGAGCTAGCTACCGTGTCTACCTACTACATACAGTCGCACAAATATTTAAAAAATACTTTTGAGCTGATGTGATACCTTCAATATGAACATCACATCATGTAGAGGCCAAGATATATGTGATATACATATAGTATTACAACTTTGATTTCTGGCACTGGTTTAGCAAAACATGTAACCATTAATTCGCTTTAAGCATATGGAAATGTTGAATTTGCTAAACCTACAATACATGCTTTCTTGGAATGTAACTACTGAGATCAAGCCCAAATTTCTACCATGATTGTTATGAATTCCTTCTTATTTTTATTGGAATAATATGTTAGCAATATTGCATGTTTACAATTAATGCCGAGGTATCAGTCCCACCACCTATTTCATTAAGTGCAACTTTGCTTGCTGCATCCTATCATAAATTATCAGAAAGACAATACCTTCTGATACCTTGGCGATGGGCAGGAGAGTCAGATTTGCTGGCTATAGCACCTGGACATTTGCAGCACCCTGCCTCTGGGACAACCCTTCCTGGCGCCAACTGGCTCTGAAGCACAGGCAGCGGAAACAGCTGCCCGCCAGGGTCCTGCGCTTTGGCTCAGCATAGAACCTAACTCTCTCAGCCAAGGACTGCTGTCCTTGAGAGATCAGATCCACGCAACATGCTCATTAATGGGAGATGTCATCAAGATATATGAACAACGTTTTCAATATTTATTCCTATTATACTAGACCAAACAGATCATTTCAGAATAATTTGGGTTGGTACCCTTATATTAGTGTGTGTAAAAGAACACAACAGTTCCGCCGAAAATAAGTTAGGTCTCTGAAGTGCGCAATTTAAAAATTATTTTGCCCTTAGTAGTGTTCGTGTGTGAATTGGTTTTTGGCAAGGCAGCGTATTTCCTCACAAATGAGTGTTTTGAAATTGCCACATCACTGGTAATATTACTGTTGTACTCCACTGAGTTCCTGTGAAACACAATCCGCCTATTTCTAAGCTGGTTTTCATACATCAAAGTAAAAAGAATTTGTTAGCTTACAAATATTTAGTTTCCAGTTTACAATGGTAAAAAAACAATAACTTCACAATATGTGTAAATGGGAAGTGAAGACAAGTACTTTAAAAATGGAATAAAAAGTGGTATGTTAAAAACTGGATCACACAATAATAAATACATAAATCAGAGAGACAAAGTTTTCAACAGCTGGTTTTTAAAGAGCAAGGAAGCAGGGAAAAATAGCTAGCCAAACTCCAGTCTGGTTCTGTGAGCTCAATTATTTAAAAAATAAAAATCTATAAGAAGCACATAAATAATCTGTCTCTTGGGCTCTAAAAGAACACAAAAACAAACCACTTAGTCAAAGTTTTGTGTAAAATCCTAGGTGGTTTACATTAATCATGCACCTGGTAACAATGCAGTAAAATAAAATTTAAATTATCCAGATGTATCACTTTGAATTGCATTGTGGGTTCCCCCACCCCCTGCAAACAATAGTTCCTTAGAAGGTAATGGAATAATTTTGTATTATTCTAGACTAGTTATTGTATTTATCAGTTTTCCAAAGGTTTTAATACTTTAGCAAAAGAAAAAAATGGTCTCAAGTCAGCCTCTCCCCAACAGAAAACAATAATAAAAATCTAAGATCTGCTGTTTCAGCTGTGTAGATGAAATGTTGACGTCAGGGTTTCCATCCTATCCGCTTTTCCAAGCAGAGGGCATCCATGGATCAGACTACAAGGGAAAACTGATCTTGTTCTATGGGCTTCTCCACCCAGGCGCCAAGTCCTGCCTTTGAAAATGCTTTGAACAAACACTCTTTGGCAGTTTGATATTCGGAAGCTGCTTGCTTTGTTTCGTGGTACATGTTTGGTTTACTGACATTTGAACGAAGACTGGAAGAAAGCTGGAGAGATTAGAAAGAAAGAGAATCCTGTTACATATAGCAAATATTTTATCATTTCAATATATGATTTTTGAAATTGCGCAACTATAAAACAGTTGGCAAAATAATACCTAGGACATGTTTTGTTTTCTTTTCTCTTTATTTATGAATCAGAATCAAAATCCAAAGCTACGACCCAAACTTCCCATCTCTCCTCCCCCCCATTTTGTGTTTTTTTCAAACTGTAATGCCTGCTAACCAAGAAAAATTAATTGGATTTTAATCCCACCTATTCTGCTCCAGGCAGCTCTAATTCAGCTTTGATGGAGTGATTTGTTCTGAGAGAGGGCCGTGGAGAGTACAGTGGTACCTCGGGTTACATAAGCTTCAGGTTACATATGCTTCAGGTTACAAACTCCGCTAACTCAGAAATATTACCTCAGGTTAAGAACTTTGCTTCAGGATGAGAACAGAAATCGTGCTCCGGCGGCAGCAGGAGGCCCCATTAACTAAAGTGGTGTTTCAGGTTAAGAATGGTTTCAGGTTAAGAACAGACCTCTGGAACGAATTAAGTACTTAACCTGAGGTACCACTGTAGAACAATTCAAGGAGGTTTTTCAGGAACACCAGGGCAGGTATAGAAAGATGATCCCTGCCCTAAACTCATTCCATGCAAGGGACACAGAATAACTATGCCATAGGCTTGCTACACTGTCTGGCTGGCTCTTTTGCACTCCTAGTAGGTAGGGTCTCTTTAGAAGGGCCAAGTCTTTTCCAGCCGCAATGGAATGATCCTTACTGGAGATCCTTATGCACAAATATCAGGCGCTCCACCAGAGCCTCCAGGCCAGCCCTCTCCACTCGGAGCGCCCTTCAAGTCACACATGGGACATGGCATGCCTTGCTGGCTAGAGCAGTGCTCTGATCAAACAGGTGCTATAGTTTTATCTCAACATGAAAATAAAATAAAAACTGGCCGTGAAGAATAGCAAGAAACATGCCACATCACTCAACAAGGCAGTTCCTAACATTCCATGTTTTTAAAGTACAAGTTTTTAAATCACAACTTACAAGTGTCACATGTGCAATTTCAACTTTACGTGGCAGAAGGCCAGACAGTTGAAATCATACAAATTAAATGCATGGAAAGTGGAGAGCTTAAAAGCTCTTTTTGCTCAGGGTTTTCCCAGTGTGGAGAGAGCTTTCAAGGTCTCAGCCTTGAGAGGCTCTTGCAAGATCTCATGGGAACATGGGTGGCCCTGCAAAAACTCACGAGAGCCTCACTGAGTCCATATGGTACATGAGCAGTGCAGAGCAAAATAGGCAAGGCAGAACTTTTTTGCATAGAGTTTTACCAGTGTGAAGGGAGCTTTCAAGCTCTAGATTTCCTTACTGGCCGCTTACTCATGAGATCTTGGATGGACACGTGTGCCCAGTAAGCAAGGGAGAGAGCTTAAAACCTTGGGGGCTAAGACCCATTTGATGCACCAGCTCCAGAATGTAAGACTGCTTGCATTGGGGGCAGTTCCAAGTGAGGGGCTTGAGTATTTGTGTTTTTGCGTCTACGTGCCATCCCAGGAACAAAACCCCTGCATAAGACACGAGTTACCTGAACTTTTTAATATGGTACTTGATTAAATTTTTTACTGTTTGCATAAAGAGCAGGCATATTTTTATGTAGTTGAGCGGTACTTTTTTATTTCCTTCTTAGGCTTATTAAAATTCTATGGAATCTGTTTTCAAGCAGTGTAAAAAACTTTTTAAATCTTTAAAATATTCCAAGTTGGGACCAATATTCAAGTTAGTGTTTTTGACTGAAACATCTCCCCATCAAATACAAATAATGGGGAAACCAAACTTTTAACTTTCTTCAGTTGATCATCACCTATTGTTTATTCATGTCAAGAATGCTTTAGCTGAGATTCCTGCATTGAGATGACCCTTTGGATCCCTTCCAGCTCTACAATTCTACGTCACTTATTGTCACCTTGGCAACAAAAGAGAAGACCTAATAGAAGGGGTGAACTCCCTACACACCTTCAGATTACCTTCACAGGTTGGAGAATTGGGCCAAAACTAACAAAATGAATTTCAATAGGGACAAAAACCTCCAAGGAAGGAGAGTCCACAATCTCCCAAGGGAGACTGTTCCACTGTCAAACTGCTCTTACTGTCAGAAAGTTCTTCCTGGTGTTTAGTCAGAATCTCCTTTCTTGTAATTTGAAGTCATTACTTCAAGTCTTACCCTCCAGAGCAGAAGAAAATTTAAGGTTCTGCACCTAGGCAGGAAAAACCAGATGCACAAATATACGATGGAGGACACCTGGCATGGCAGCAGGAAATGTGAAAAAGATCTAGCAGTCTTTGTGGACCACAAGCTGAACATAAGTCAACAGCATGATGCAACAGCAAAAAGGCTAATGCTATTCTAGGCTGCATCAACAGAGGTATAGTGTCCAGATCAAGGGAAATAATAGTCCCACTCTATTCTGCCTTGGTCAGACCACACCTGGAGTCCTGTGTCCAGTTCTGGGCACCACAATTTAAAAAGGATATTGACAAACTGGAAGGTGTGCAGAGGAGGGCAACCAATAGGCTAAAGAGTTGGGAAAACAAGCCTGATGAGGAACAGTTGGGAGAATTGGGTATATTTAGCCTGGAGAAGGGCTGTCACATGGAAGATGAAGCAAGCTTGCTTTCTGCTACTCCAGAGGGTAGGACCCAAACCAATGGATTCAAATTACAAGAAAGGAGATTCAAACTAACATTCATAAGAACTTTCTGATGTAAGAACTGTTTGACAATGGAACAGACAATCTCAAGTGGTCAACTCTCCTTCCTTGGAGGTTTTTAAACAGAGGCTGGATGGCCCCCTGTCTGACATTCTTTAGCTGTGATGCAGGGGGTAGACTAGAGGGCCGTCTGGGTACCTTCTAACTCGACCATTCTATGGTTACAGAAAGCCAATGTATTCGGGCACAGTGGGCACCATTCTTGGAGAACAGCAGCAAATATCATTTCTTGGCTATGAGTTCTGCAAGACCTTCTCCTTGCCTGGCCTGGGACGGTAGGGCCCTGAATGACCAGCTACAAAAGCTGAGGCTGCTAAACAGACTCTTGGGCTGGGATTATGTTTGGGGGGGGGGGTTGAGATCTTGTAATCTTATTGTGATTTATGTGGAAGTTGTTCAGTTTGGTTGTGTATTTTAAATATATTCATCGTAGGTATGCATTTTTCCATGTTCTAAGCCACCTTGAGCATTGTTTGAACTATGGAAAGGTGGCATACAAATAAATTTATGGGTGCATCAAACTTCTGATACATTCAGCTCTGACACAGCTTGCCCAGTAAATGATAGACTCAAAGCCCAAATGCTTATGCCCTGTGGATACAGATGTAGTGCTGAATTACCCATTTGCCAAAATATACCTTTGCATAAGCTCGCATCCAGCGACTGTACAGAGCATGCTTACAAAGACGGGATGCACGTCCCATTTCGTCCTTGCCTGTTGTAGCATTAATCACTTCAAGACCAGCATCTCCTATGGTCCAGTTTACACTGAAATTAGGTGCTTTTCCTGGTTGGCGGGCTTCGGCATTACTGATACCTGCAAGAAAGAAGAAGGGCTCTCAACAAGAAGAAATATTCACATACCTTGTATAGCTTCTCTTTCCAAAGAAAATGAGTGCAATGTAACATGTCAATCATGTTATGTCACACTCCTTTAAAACAATGGCTGAAAAACTGGAACACTCCTCTTTTGAGGTAGGACATAAAGCCATGAACATTCTGCTTCCATTACTGGAGAATGTGTGGCCAAAATATTCCAACATCATTAAGGCAGGTGTGGAGAAATGTATGTTAGAATAACATAACATAACCTTATTAGGAGGAGCATTTGCATCACATTTTGGTTAATCTTTTTACAATTCAAATCTGAGTGCAGCTAAATAGCTGGATAAAGGAAAAATGACATTACTTAGTGGTAACTAACAGTCTCTAAAATAAAACTGCCCATATTGTACCTACGTTTGCAAAACAACACTTTAAAAACCCCTTTCTGATGAAGTGGCAGCAGCTGGCCACTCCATTAGAGCGAAGCACAAGCAAAATTATGTCAAGCTCAGCATCATTCAGATGCTTTTATGTCCCCTCTTTCTGAGATGTGGATATCCAGTCAGGTATCACAACTCCAGGAAGAGAAGGGAAGAAAGTATGGATTGACTAATCTTATCTTATTAGCAAACTGCCATACTTCATTTCCCCCACATTTAGGGAAGAGCAAAAAGCAGCACTTCAGTCCTCAAGGGCAACTGGAAAGAGATCTCTATGGAAAAGAAATGGCAGCCCTGCTCTTCACCCCACAGAGCTCCAAGAAGAGAAACGTGGGGGGGGGGGGGGAACCAAGGGAGCTTAAAGGCACTAAAGCATAAGAAACAGCCACACCACAAGGGGGGAAATGTGTGGGACCACTGTTATCAGTAGTGCTATGTTATGACAACAGAAATATACCAACAAGCAATAAATTGCTCTAAGAATCTCTGACTACATCGTTATAGTCAAGAAGCCGAATGATTTCCTGGTTTAAAAAAAAATAACAACGCAAAAAAGCCCTTAATGCATTTATAGAGGCTGAGAGAATCAAATGGTACAATAATGTTGTCTGAAATTTATAAAATTTATGTCATACAACCTCTGGCATTTTCTGGTCTCTTAGTTTTATATATATATATATATATATATATGTTCACATTCTTCATTAGATAACTACCTTCTGTCTGTATTCACTGACAAGAAGTTTTTGCAAACCCCTTAAAGCAGAACTTTATCCTGGGTCAGTCAAGTCATTGGAAGTACAACCCCATACATGTTAACCATGAAGCCAAACTGAGTTCAAAGGCACTTCCTCTCAAATAAGTGGATGCAAGATTTCATCCTCATTATCTCACAGAAATCAAGAAGCCGTTTGCAAAGTTTGGTTGTGCCAGGCCAGCCCACCCACAGCACGAGACACTGAGCCGGGGCGGGGGCAGATTACACCTGATTTTGATACAACATTTTCTCTTCATACTGAAGTATCTGCTTAACCGGTATCTTAACTGGAAAAGTAACTTTTTAAAATTAATGATGGAAGTTGTGATTTTCTTTGTCCCAAGACCCCATATTTCTTTCTGAAAAAAATGAAAGCATGCTATTTCCCTTTCAAAAACTGAGAGTCACATGCTAGTAGCCAAGCTCTGCAAATCAAAGCAGTGGATTGGGCGGGGGGGGGGGCACTGTTTCACTTCAACTTTCAAGGTAACTGTTCCAACTTTTTAAAATGTAAGGGGTTCAGTATATACTGTCAAAATGTCCTTGAATGCAAAACGCGGTCTAAGTTCTTTAGATCCCCACCTATCCCATCAGTTGCTCCACCACTGAAATCCTTCTCAGTGAGCCCTCTGAAGCACAAAGGACAACTGCACCCCAGAAGCTAGCCAGAGAAAGCAGGAAATATGTTGATGGGACACTAAGATCTGTTTCAGAATATGTTTAAAGTATATTTAACAGGTATGTCAATTGGTTCTGAAAGCAGCCACCAGAGCAGCAGGAAAGTTATCCTCAACCCTCGAAAATGTCCCTAACCTTACTCTCTTTCTTTTCTTTTCTTTTTTTGGATAATTTAATTCAAAAAACATTTATTCAGAAGTTACAATACAGTTGCAAAACATTTTCAATCCCTATACCCCTCACTCTTTAAAGCCCTTGTCCTCTTCCATGCAACTTGGCCCAGTCCACCCTGTGGTTCCCCCCCAGAAACATATTTGCCTAGAAGAGACTTTCTACTCCCAATCCATATATTCCCCTTCCCCTTCCCAAAGCAACGAGTGATTTTTGAGGGTTGGCTCTTTTTTATGCGATGTGTCATGCAGGCTAATGGGCTGCCATGCTAACTGAAGCCAAAGCAACATACAAAAGCGTCTGATGACAAGAAGGAAATACAACCAATGGCAGCTGGGTAGTTCTCTCCATCCATTTTAGTTGATTACTGTTATAGAAATTGTGACTCAACTGTCAGACTGCTAAAAGACGTGAGTTGCTCAAGTATCTGCAATAGTAAGAGAAGCAACAGTGAGACCTAGCATGCCACCCTATGGGTGGAAGGGAGGAGCGATTTCACCAAACTGCTCTTAAAGATAAAATTATCCAAAGCACTTTCGCAAGTATGGTCATCCGGAACAGCACGGCTTGAACTATATTCTCCACTGGGAATGCCTATCTGTGATGGATAAAACCACCTTTCTGCTGTCCCTGGGACATTATATGCTGGGCATTTGCTCAATTTGTATGGATTCACCAGAGTAATGTTAAGGTACAACCTGATACCTGTTGTGAGGGTGAGGGGATGTTATATTTGTTGTTCTATATAAAAAGCCTATTTGAATTGTTTCTTTCAAAAAAGAAGGAAATGTTTGTATTAACTTTGTCTTGGAAAAATCCTCGATATTTATGAATGTATATTCCTGTGAAGTGCAGTCTAACAGATAGACAACAGAAGTGGTTCTTAATTCCGATCATCTATTACTCAGTGATCCGAAGATCTTATATCTTATAATCAACAATATCACTTGGAAACCTATTTGGACACATGGATGTCATTTATTAATGTATGTGTTAAAACTAGGTTTGATGAGTTATAATTTTTGATGGATTATTCTTATTGTTAATGGGTGCTGGTGGTGGTTTTTCGGTCTTTTCCCTCTTTCTTGTTCTTTTATTATATCTGCATTTTAAAAATCCACTAATAAAAATGGGGTGGGGTGGGGATTAGTTGCCCTGAATGGAAGAAAGGGATGTGAATGTAAGAAGCAGAGGTAATTGACAACCATACAAAGAATAAGCCTAGGGTTACAGAGTTTTAGATGAAGCAGCTCCTGTACTGATGGTTGTAATGCACAATGTAAGAAAGGAGAAATAATTTCACAAGAATCTGAAAATAAGGGAAAGGTGCAGATTCAAGATAAAGGTGAATGAAGTTGGGTGTGGCTGAAAGTCAAAAGGATGGTGCAAGATTCTGGAACTTGGTCCATTCAGTTCTCTGTATTTCCAAGCTTCACCTGGAAACCCAAACCCTTGCTATCATAGGACAGTTGTATTTTGAGGGCAACCACCAGGGCTCGTTTTACCTGGCCCTCCCTTGCCTGTGACATCTTGGGAGATTGGTTGCTTACTTCAAAACCTAACAACAGATAAAGCTCACGGGGAATATATGCTTCCCCAGGAAATATTTAAATTTAACTCCTCTTGGTTGGCACCCATTTTGGCTAAGTTGTTCTCTCATATCAAGTGGACAGAGAACATTCCTGGTGGATGGTGGTCTAATATTATTGTTCCTCTGTAAAAAGAAAAAAGAAAAGAAGTGAGAGATCTGATCCTAAAAATCATAGCCCAGTTAGTCTCTTGGATACTGGGTCAAAGGTCTATGGAAGGTTTTTGTTGAATAAGCTTCAAACCTGGGCTGAGCAAAATTACATCTCAGCTGAAGAACAGGCTGGGACCCAAAGGAAAGGAAAGCGATACTTTGGGCAGAAGCTTGGGTGCAGGAGTTGCCAGAAGGGAAGGTGTATAAGGAAATAAAAGGAAATCAGTAAGTTTACTTTATGAAAGTCTTAAGAATCAACAACCAGCTACTTTGACAGTGTTTGATGCAGAAAAGTTACAACAGGGTGGAAAGAGAATTTTTTTAATGGTGTTTTAAGTAAATTTGAAGTAGAAGAAAAAAGTCAATGTTGAATAACAGCATGTTATCATAAAGCAAGTACAAAACTATTAATAAATGGAACAATACAGAAGTAAGTCTAGTTAGAAAGAGGGGAATGTCTACTTTTCATCTACATTTTTTTTTTGTTGGGAATTTTGTCTTAGCTATAAGAAATAAACCAGCAAGTAAAGGGAAAGTTAGATATGTAAAAAACTGAAAGTACTTAAGAGGGTGATTCAGGAAACAAGAAGGTATCATGATATATGATAAATAGATCCAAAACAGAATTTATTTGGTTTTGCTTAGAAGAGGACAAAGATACAGATTTTGTTTGAAAGTAAAGTGGCATTAACACCCGTTTGATTTTATGGCATGTGGCTAACATCCAGTTTAGAGGATCTATATCCTCTCAGTTAATTTTGGTCTAGTGATAAAGACGGTTAAGAAGGAGTTTGTGATATAGAAAAATTTAAATATCTCTTAGTTTGCAAGAATATCATTAGTGAATATGTGCATATTGCTGAAGTTGCTTTACCTTTTTCAAAATCAACACACAAAAAGAAAACCCAAATGGAAGTTCAGTTACAGTAAAAAAAAAAGGGGGGGAGATATAATAGTTATGTAAATGTGATGTTAGATTGATTTTAATGATAATTGACTGTACTTGAGAATCTAAGAGCAACAATTGGCACACATCCCTCCTGGATGGTAAGTTTAAGGTAAGCAAGTCAAAGAAGTGGTACTTGTTCGTAATCATGAGTTGATTGAAAAAAGGAATACCATAAAATTTCCAATATATCAATATTTTCAATCCATAAATTGGGCACAAGATAAGTGAAGAAAAAGAATAAGGGAATAAATGTTAATGCACGGAAAGTGACCTCTAACATGTAGAATTTACTGATAAACGTAAATGAATGGAAGAACATGCATTGTGATATACAGTCTACTGATCTAAATAAGCAAACAGCGAGATTATGGGAATATATATATAGGAGAAGAGTGTGTGGAAGACATTAAACATATATTAATTGGAAAATTCAAATGAAATAATAGCCAGGTGGTACATGACTTCATGGAGGATGAAACATACTTAGTTAGAAGGCAAAACGAAAAGCTGGAGATATAAATATCACAAGACAGATATGATGCAAATTCAGTGCAAATATCCAGTTATTCATAGGTGCAGATGGTGGACACGTTTAAGGGACAGATTACCAGAATTCTATTGGGATTTATAAATGGAATTAGATCAGAAACAGAAAAAATGAATTTTTATTTATCAATAGCAAAAATCTTAGCAGCTCAATACTGGGGGTGGGGAGAAAGTAGCAAAAGTAATAGAATGGGAAATTGTGTTGAACTCTATTCAATTGTTGTTGGTATCTGTCTCAGGAGACAATGAAAGCATGTGCCTTCGTGGATAAAGTCAAACTGCCGGAGAGTTATAGCACCTGCTGTGGTTGCATTTAAATCCATGAAATGAACATACTGAAAGACAAGTGGGAAAACGGTAGAAAAAGGTGATTGAAAGCAGGAAAAGATGTTGGAATAGTTCTATTTTGACAAATTTTATTCTGTTTCTCACCCAGTATGTTTATGGATTTAAAGTCCAACAAAATTTCCTATTCCATGACCTTTTGCTACTTTTACATTTTTAGATACTACGGTAAGGACACTGTTTTAGGTACATTGAAGTATATTAAATTAATGAATAAGTAATATGAAACTGAAATCTTTTTGATGCATTAATCAGATTTGGAGATTATTAATATGTGTTTTACTGCATCCTGAGGCTCTTGGGAGGACAATGGATACATCAGCTGCCCCCATCTCGCTCTGGTGTCATGTCGGACCTCCATCTGCTTTGCCACAAAAACATTTGCAGCCATGCCAGCGCCAGAGACACAGTCTTGGTAGGGCCAAGAAAAAGGGCGTGACACCCCTTGATATATTATAATTCAGTGGTTTCACATTTCACTGCAAGAAGTTCAAGGCAATCACCTGGGGAATGTACCGAGGCCAAAGATTTTTAGCACATTCTGTGTGTCAATTGGCTTATCAATGCCAGGATGTCTGTGTCGTCCAGCAACTGGTTTTTTAATTACATAATTATCACTGCCCAAATTTCATTTCCCTCTGACCTCATTGCTTACAAACCTCACTTCCCCAAACGAAGTTACCTGTAACTCAGGATAACACTTCATGCATTTGATGAAGTGGACTGCAGTCCATGAAAGCTTATGCCATGCGACATTTGTTGGTCCTTAAGGTGTCACAAGGCTGTTTGTTGTTTCTGATTTACTAAAGTAATGTGTATTCTTTATTAGACCTTCCTGTTTCAGTATTTGATATTGCACAGTAGATCGCCCCCAGTCTGCTGCCAAATCAAAGGATTTGGGGTTATTAACAACAAAGAAAAAATGTTGGATTTGGAATAATTTTTCTGATAACAGCAAAAAGAAAATGTATAGCTGAACTGCATCTTATGTGTACAGAATCATAGAATTGTAGAGTTGGAAGGGAATTCCAACCCCCTGCAATGCAGGAATCCATGTAGTTCCATGATTGCTTTTGGAGACATTTTTCTTTCCTACAGTGCAGCTGGCTTGTATTTTTTTACTATTCTTACATAACAGCCCTCTAACAGGCAGTATCTGAGAAGATCACAAAGCAATCAAAAAACAAAACATTAAAATACAGTATAAAACAATAAAAATGATAGAAAATTGATTAAAAAACTAAAGCACAATTAAAACACACTTTAAAACTTAATTTAAAGGTGAGAGGCCCAGTTTTACCCCACTCACATTGCTTTTACCATCTTCATAAAAAGAACACTGAAGCTTTTTCATAACACGACTGCTTTTACCACCAAGGGGAAAAAGAAAGAAGTACAGGAAACCCACCATTTACGCAGTTCAGCATGTGCTCAACCATGCACGCGCGCATTGTGTCAAACCCAAAAGTGACCCAAAAACCTCACATAAAGGGGCAGAGTGGAATGGGGTGTTTGCATATATTTGAAACATCATTGGAATTTCATTTAAATGTGCCTTGGAATGTAACCTCCACGTAAATGGGGGGTTGCCTGTAGCCACATCTTTTCCTCTGCAGTGCTAAAAGCAGCTGAGGCAGGAATGATATTCATCAAGAAGGCAGCACAAGGGTTAAGAAGCTCCTGTCCTATGGCAGTGTCCCTCTTTGAATTGCTGTCTCAGTAGCTGAATTGCCGCTTTTTAAAGGACTCGTGCAGGAGCGGCAGGTGCAGTGGGGCAGCAACACACCCAGAAGGGAAGGGTGGCAAGGCTGGGACTGTGGGGCACATGGGCAGAATCAACCTGGCCCTCCTGCCAACCTTGCCACTGCCTGGGCCCACTCCTGCCCTATCCAGTAAAGCATCCAATATGGCACTGTTGAGAAGCAGGTGGAAAAATCCAAACCCTTAATAATATTGCTACATATTTCCCTAATAAGGCACAGAAGTACATAGCCATAAGCAAGGACAGCACTGGGCGCTCCAAGTCGATGGCTTTTAACTATCTAACTGCCCCAAATTGTGGCCTAAGTCAAGAACCCTCATTACACGGATTCCAAGTCTTTCCTGAACGCCCTATTTATATTTGAGGTAGATCTCTCGTTAACAAAAGGCAATGAGTAAAAACAGGGGTGTGCAGACAAACTCAGCCATCAAGGTGCCAGTATTTGGGCCCATCTTCATACCTTTTCATGATTAGTGCAAAGGTCTGTAGAGGACTTTTGCGCATGTCCAAATGAACACGCTTAGAAACCCTCCCACAAGTGGGACCCTGTCTTATCTGACCTAGGGATGACCTCCTCTTCAGACCTTTGCCCAATTGGTCCAAAGGTCTGAAGGGGTTTCTGAAGCAGATTCAGTTGAATAGACTGCGAAACTCTCCCATGGACGGAAACCCAGTCTTATCTGGGAGAGTTTCTAAGTGTGGTCAAATGAAGGCATTTTTAAGCCCTCTCCAGACCTTTGCACTAGTGCAAAGACCTAAAGACCAACCTGCACATTGGAGACATTGGGGTGGACCTTATGTATGTGCCCCTGACCCTGTTTTTACACATTGTGGGTTCAGGTGAATGCAATTTGCAAAATTTTGAAAATATACCAGAACTGGAAGAGCTGTTGTTTGTTTTTTATTACATACATACCACTGAGTAAAGGTCTGTTGAGTATATAGAGAGGGGGTAAATCTTCTATCTCTGCTATTCGCTGGTATACTGCTCTGGATAGATGGTCTCCATGGTACAAGCTCCCCAAGATAATGCTAGAGAAGTAAATTGGCTCAACAAAGAGGGTAAGTAATGCTCCTTGAATACCAAGCACGTTCCATCTAAAGGGAAACAAATGACACCATTTTGAATTAGGCCTACAAACAAAACAAAAAAAATATGAGTGACTATAGGAGAGTGGGGCAGATACCCTGCAAAAATGGTGGTGGCACCAGATGTGTCAGGGTGAGCTTCCTACCCTAGCTGTGCTTCACTGTGTCTAATGGCAAGAGAATCCCTTTTGAAGCCTAGCGAAGGTAGCTGAGTGACAACAAACAGTGCTAAAGGGCCATCATTCTGCAACTCACATAGAGCCTACAGGCTGTTCTAAGCCAAGGCTTAGAAAACAGCAGCAGCATCCCTCTGACAGAAGAGGCAGAGGGAGGATTTGCTTCTACTTTTTAAAACACTAGCAGATCTTTAAAATAATTTAAAACCAGTAGACCTCAATGGATAAGAAAAATAGCCGTTTGGGAGATGCTGAAAGGTCATCACAGGTGAAAGAAATAGGTGATTCTAGCACAAGTGCTGTAAGGGCCCAATGTCCCCTTGGCTTTCCTGTTTAGAATATCTGCTGTTCTATTCATTTGAGTATCAGGGACTAGGTTCAAATCCCCACTCAGTATTACATTCCAATTGATGCACCATCATTTGCAGGAATTGCACTGGCCCAGTTCTGGGACTATAAATTGAGCCCATCACAACCACTTCCCCGTTTATATATCCTTTGACAAAAATAAAGCCCCCGTGTTAATCTTTCAGAACATTGTGATGTGCAAACCACATGCCACCCCACACCCCAGATTTCAAAGTTCCCAGGGCCCTATACCATTCCCCCACTCCCATTGTATACAGTTCTGGGTGTTTTCCACCTTTCTGACACCCACCAGCTAAGCTTCCTGAATGAATACTACATTTGCATTGCTCTTTTAGCCACCTTCCAGCTCAGTCTCTGCTCTACGGTCATGGCTAGACACCTCACATTTATATTCAACTCAAACATTTTAATGTTTCAATACAGTAAACAAAAACAAATAAACAATGCAAGCCACCGTCCCTCCAACATTTGTCCACTGCATTTTGAGAAAAGACATTTGCTTTCATATAACACGGCATACACCCACTGAGTAGTTCTCTTTCTTTATTCTCGCTCACTGAAACTCCTTAACTCCCAAACAAACTCAAACCAATAACATATCTGTCCTCCCCCTGCCCCATCTCCCTCTGCCTTCAGGTGACATTCCCACAGGGAGACCTACATGGAGAGGATATATCTCTTCTCCCAACATTTTAGCCTATCAATACTAAACCCAAGTGTTTTCAGTCACACCTTAATCCCAAATGTATAAGTGAAAGATACCTGCAAACTCAGCATTTGCCCAAGCAGTAAAGCTTATCTGAGTTTTATGCTCTTGTGAGCAACTGTACATCCAATTTCTATTTAATCATTTTGTCATGCCTAGTCACACTTTCCCCCACTGATGAGGTTGAACCTGGGCAAAAATGGAGCAAGTCTGCAAACTTTCTGAATACAGCACCCAGGCCCCTCTGAAGGGGAGAGGGCAGGTACTCTTGCTCTGGGCCTGGGAGGGCTAAGCTGCTTGGGGGCTTTTGCCAGGCTGCTTTTTAGTTTGAGTTAAGCACTAGATTACACTGCCTCTCAATATTAACTTCATTGTAGACACAATACCTTCTTTAAATTGGAAAAAACCTTTAGAGAAGTTTCTTCTAAGCATATATAACTTAAACACATGAATACAAGTACTTAAGGGAGGCTTAAAAGGGAATCTCAGTGCTGCACTAGGTTTATTTCCCTTGTCCTCTTAGTCCTTTTTCACTCCCCTCTATGTCCCACACTGCCCTCTGTGTTCTTTCTGTCCCTATGTTCCCTACTGTGCATGAAAGACAAAATAAATGAGGGAGCTATAGGATGCAGTATGGTGCATAATTCACTGGCCAAGGTTCTCTAATTGATTTGTTTATCAGTCTCAGGGATTGCCAGGTGTAAAACAAGACAATTTTTCTCTAAATAATATAAAGGAGCACAATACTAACTACCGTATTTTTCGCTCTATAAGACGCACCAGACCATAAGACGCACCTAGTTTTTGGAGGAGGAAAACAAGAAAAAAATATTCTGAATCTCAGAAGCCAGAACAACAAGAGGGATCGCTGCGCAGTGAAAGCAGCGATCCCTCTTGCTGTTCTGGCTTCTGGGATAGCTGCGCAGCCTGCATTCGCTCCATAAGACGCACACACATTTCCCCTTACGTTTTAGGAGGGAAAAAGTGAATCTTATAGAGCAAAAAATACGGTATGTCTACTCAGATGTAAATCCCATGCACATCAATGGTGCTTAATCCCATGTAAGTGGAGTTAGGCTCCACCCTTACTGTGCTAAATATCCGGAAAATCCAGCAGGCTTTGCTCTACAATCCTCTGCATCATTTTGATGCTTGTGGGGTGGTGCAGGTTGCTAACATTTGTCATCCACACAACCAAGTGATTTGTGTTCTTGCTTCCAGAAACAAGGTGGGGCCCCCCTTCCATAAAGCAAAATATTGCCCTTGCATGAATATACCTAGTTGTTTGCTAAAATGGTCCTTTCCCAGTTGGGTGCATGTGTAAAGCAACAATTTTTTTGTTCTAGAAAAGTGATTCACACTAAAGCTTGCTAATGGCGAAAAGGTCACGAAAGCACATTAAGCCCGTCCTCGTGTGCTGCACTGACTGGCCCAGTTCAGGAGGTTGCTTTTAACATGGCTTGGGGACCCAATACCTGAAAAAACACCTCTTCTGGTGAGTGGACTGGCCTTTAAGGGCATCTTCGCAGACTCTCCTCAGTGCCCCATCCTGCTGAATTTGGAGAATAGCAACAAGGGGAACAGCAGTTTGTCTGCTTTACTAGACTTCGGAGACACGTGAAAACTTTCCCTCAAAGTGTTTTCAGCTGCAGTTTTAAGAGTAGCTGCTTTCACAGTCGGTGCTTTTAATATTCTCAATGGGGATTTTCTGTTCATTTAATCTTTTGTTTAAATTGGAATTTTGTTAATTAATGCAGTTTCAGTATTTGCATCTTACAGTACTGTATGCTGTGCTTTAATTGTAAGTGACCTAGAAGTATCTTGTGTTAAGTAACATCTACATTTAACAAAGAACAACGATAAATACTTAAGTAAGAAAAAGCATGAACTCAGCCCTTTGTTGCGATATTGAGTTTGTTTGCTTTGGGGGGGCGGGGTCACACTTCTCCCCAATCCAGTTGTATTGAAAACTTGGATCTGTCAATCAATTTCATTTGGCAATTCTTACTTCTCTTCCTGGGGACACTTTTGACACAACTTCTCAGTCTGAAGCAGGAAATGGTCTCTATGTGTTGCCTCTTTTCCCTCTTTCTTTCCAACCATTCCATTTAATTTCCCCTCCCACCTAGCAGTCAGTTTTTTTCCTTTCAGATTTTCTGTGCCATTGAGTCTCCAGTCGCCTTGGGGGGTTTCCTCCTCCCTAGGGTGTTATTTTTTATTTTATTTTTGGCTTTAAGAGGTGCCAAGTAAGGTGTTTGATGGCATCCTGACCCCCATGGCGTCACTGACCTGGGGACCCTCCATCTAGCAATATGGAAGCTGGACAGAGGAGAAACAGTTTACCTGGCTATCTTATCACTGCACGACATAGTAAGCAATCTTTCTCCCTGTAGGACTCCATCCCACGTCTGGATTGTAGTTGTAGATCTGACAGGGATTGTTCCTTCCCCAGATTCGATTTTCGTCCGTAGCTGTCCTCTTGCTTTCCGGTTTGGATGTCTGTCTCCCTGATCTAAGTGACAGAAGCAACCACTGTTCATGCAAGGAAAAACTATGCTTTCTAAGAAAATTCAGCCCTATTTTCCATTACTCATTTGGGACGACAGCAGTTAGGAAAAAAGTGGTGTGAACTAGAAAAAACCTTCTAGAGTGCTTCATTTATAGAAAATCACATCCAATACTTTTTTGCAAGGCTTATTTCCCACTGTTCTACCCGGTACAACCTTTTATTTATTTTAACAGAATATCCCATTTTCAAACTGAAATTTCCAATATGGCTTACAAGCAACAATAAAGCCATGATGAAATGATCCATAGATGCATAACAAATTAATTCCTCCACAATCTTTGTAATGTATGAAGTGGAAGTGAGGTGTTAGCCCTCCTAGATAGTGTTGCTTTTATAATATGAAGAAAACTAAACAATTTAATTTTCAGTAAAAAGCCAATCTAGATTTTCATAAACTACGAAAGCTATTTTCAATAAATTGTTTTCTCTCAAACATCCCCATTACTAGCGAAACTTGTCCTACCTTCTTGCGCTGCTTCATGTGGTGAGAAAATCCGAGCGTCGCCACAAGGAGAGGTGCTGATATAGAGATGAAACTGTACATTTTCTCTCAATTTAAACCCGCTTCGTTCTGATTTGATAAAAATAGATTTTTGCTGATCTTCCTTACTACTGAAACAAAGTGCAACAATGTTATTAAAAAGGTGTTTTGGTTTTTCTAATTACAACAAGCAAGACCCATAGTTTGCCATCCCTTGATTTTAACTCTTATGGTGTAATAGTCTGAGTCTAGGACTGCTTTTTCTTACTTAGCTGAACACTTTGCTGAGCAGGTTCCACATATAGCAGAATGTGTCTCAGGAGTGAAGCTTCAAAGTAGGGTCCAAGCTCCTTTGTCTAACAACCTCAAGGAGCATTTTAATTTATCCATGTTCTCCCTTCTCCATCCATTAAAAATTGTTGCAGAGAGAAATATAGGCATTACATAAAAGTGGGAAGATATACAGTTTAAGAGCACTGTTTTGTATCAATCAAGGTAAGTCCAATTTGCTCCAAACATGAAAATTTCATTTAAGCCAAGGTTATAAGTTTTGTATGGTTGTTGTTGTTTTGCTTTGTTTTGTCTTTTGCAAGGGCAATGGAATAAGATATCAAATATATACATCTGTTTCCATGTCTTATTGATCCATTTATAGTGGAAGCGTAATTAAATGAAGTCCCTAATTTGTCCAGAGGGATTAATCAGCAAAAGCTCAAATTTCCTGTGATTCACTTGGAAGATCTGAAACCTCACTATGTAGTAAATCAATTGCTGCAATGTTGGCATAGATATTGCAACAGTCAGGTATAAAACTGTTCACTGTCATATACTTTTCTGTTCAATATTACCTATCTTAATTCTTTTCATCATTGCATCCTGCCTAATGGCCTCTCCAAAAGGCTTATTGAATAAGACCAAAGAGAACATTTCTGGGCCCTCCCCGAATCAGGAACTTTTTGGATCTTATACTATTGACATTAGCCTGAGCAGCTGGTTGGGCATAAAAGAGCTAGAAGCCTGGAAGAAGTCAGGGCCAAACTGCATAACTCATAATAATTTTATGACAGTCTCCAAGACAAAAGTCCTCTCTGTGCCAAGTGACAATTCTGTGGACAAAATATTCTTTTGTTTACAGTAATGAAGTATATTTAGAGATAAGAATATATTATCTGCAATCTGTTTATCTGAAATAAATTTTGATCATAACTGATACAAAAGCCACTTATTATTTTGAGCTTTGAGGTTATTAAGGATGTAAACATGTTACCTTCTGCATTCAGGAGGGAGGTTTGTTGACACATCTAAACTGGGGTGCCATCCCTTCCTTGTTTGAGTACGACTGTTACTTTTGCTTCCCTCCAAATATAGGGGATCACCCCATTTTGCCTCTACAGACTTTAAGGCCCCCAAATTAAAGAGCAGTTTCCAGGATGTAGCAGAGGGGGCCACTCAAGAGGAAACAGATATTTTAAAAACCAATATAAACATACAGATTTCACCCAGATGCACTTTATTTTATTTATTTGTTTGTTTCATATAATTAATAAACCACTCAGAGGGGTTTCCAGCTATTCTTCTGGTCACCAATTCTGACTTTTAATGTACACTTCAACATAAAACAAACCATATGCTTCCAACTGTCAGTTCAGCATATGTTAAATATGAAATCTTACACATTATGAATTCTTTGTAAAATAAAAGGGCAGGATTGCACCAATGCAGGACAGTTTATGCCAAAGATGTAAAGAAATATTTATACTAATGCTAGTGTCATATCTATGTTCCAGAATAAGGCAACTAGCTATCCATCTCTGCTGATATTAGGACCCCGGCATCACTTATCTGAAGTTGCATCATCATCACAGAAGCTCACAGGATCACATCCCAAGACTGTAATCCTAAGCACAATGTGATCAATGGAACTTTCTTCTATGCTTAAAACTGGGATGCAAGGGAATTGCTCTTTAAACTTACCATAAGAGCAGTTCAAGTTGTGTATAGAGAAATTTAAGCAAGCATCTACGTGCTATAATTTCTGCATGGCAATCGTTCAATGCAAGACCACGATCACTCATATATTCTCCATTAATGCATTTTGTTCCTGTAGAAACACTTATAACCTGAGCATCTTTCACATCCGTACCTGGGAAGACAAGTTTTAAAAGGGAAAGCATACAAAGATATTTTTAGAAGACTTGTTTGGTGAAATATGGTAGCCTTCTTGAATGTTTTCTTGAAGGTGTGGCTTGGGGGACCATACTGCAGATGACCTTCAGCTACATCCCAGTCGTATATATTCTGAAGGCATACTTGGGGTGGAAATGAAGTCACACTAATATCTGTTCATGAAACTTGGGTGGTTGCCTTTAAAACTCTGGAACTACATAAAAATTCAGCAAAGTATTAAAAACTACAGAACCCCACATTTTGTGGTTTGTGTGTCAATTATTCAGTTTGGGGGTGGCACAAAATGCTGGGTTTGTAGCACAAAACGTTGGCATCAGTTTGGGGGGAATCCTGAATTTGGGGGTAACACATTAATGAAGCTCTTCTGGAGCAGACATCTAGTCTTGCAGGTTCCTCTTCTTGGTTTGTCTGTGTCTCTCCCGCCCCCCGCCAACAAACGCCAAGAGGACTAGGTTGGGAGACTCTATCCACCCACAACGGCAATATTTTCTATGTGCCTCTTCATCCAAACACCAAACCCTCCTCCCCACTCATTTACCTGCTTTGTACAAAAATTAAACAGATTTAAACTGCTGCTGCCACATGACGTTTGAGGTTAAAATTGGGGTTCTATTTCAATCCACTAGAGATTTTAGCGAACCATTAAAGCAAATGTTTTACTTTACCGGGACAGAAGATTCAATTCTAACAAAAACAAACAAACAAACCATTTCATCAACTTTAATATGCTAGGAATCAATTTTTTAAAAGCTAAATTTTGAGTGCTTGTCTAATGTATGCTGGGTACTGTTTGCAGAACACTAGAAACCACGGTGAGATTGGGTTTCTTGATAGAACCAATGCTTTCCAGAGACATTCTCTGAACACTCAATGCCCAGCCATATACACCTGGCATCCTATATGAAAAGAAAGGATCAGACCCTCAACTGGAAATTCCAGCCTCCGGCCTACAGTTATTGGTTACTAAAAGGGAGAGAGAGAGAAATTTTTCTCCCTCTTGCATAATACTAGGATATGAGCTCATTCAACGCAGCTGAGGGTTCAACCACACTTCTGCTTGTCCTGTGCCGAGAAAGGACAGGGCTGAGCAGTTTTCTGCTTGATCTGCACCTTCTGAGTGTTTCCGGCCCTTGCCCCCACTCCTTTCCCAGAACTAATGGCAATCTGCAAAAAATCCAATTGCCCTTTGCTCCGACGGAGTGCTAAACTGTGGTTTTCCCCAGGGGAAAGCAGGAGGCCAAGAGGAAGTGTAAAAGATCCAGGACAGACAAAAGGAACATAGTTAAAGTATCAAATTCACTACCACGTGATATTGTGATGGCCATCCATTTTTATGGCTTCCAAACAGCATGTGCACTACCTGCCGTGCCTCTGACTACAAGTCGGGAGAGGGCTGTAGTGTCTTGCTGCATGGTCCCTGTGAGAACCATTGACAGAGCGGCTGCCAAGTCTCATCAAGTCCAATGACCATTTCCCCTTCCTTCTGATCCATGTGGGTACAAATGATACCACCAGATTCATGGAAGATGGAGCAAGTTTGTTTTCTGCTGCTTCAGAGTGTAGGATCCAAACCAATTAATTCAAATTACAAGAAAGGAGACTCCAGCTCAACATTAGGAAGAGGCTGCAGAGCTAGCCTCACAAGAGGGAAATGATTTTTTATTAAAAATGAAAGCTATGTTTTTTGTACAAGTACACACTCCTAATATTTGCTGAGAGAGAGTAGAGAGAGAACCTAAAAATGTCACTCCTCTGACAGCACGGATTCTGTCAGTGAAATGGGAAGAGAAGCCATTTTCAATGCTTCCTCCTCCCACCTCTAAATCTGTTCCCCCACCATCTAGAAGCCTCAGCACTACCTGAGCAACACCTCTTGATACAACCTGTTACATTTAGAGACAAGCAGTTTGGACTAAATTTCATAATCCTATTTTATGAATGAAGAGATCTCAATATTTTAAAGCAATCTAAACTATATATAAAATGTAAATATCCATTCACCTTTACCATTTTATTTTGTAAACCAACAGAGGACAAAAGGCCAAATCAGTGGGGGAGGCATGTTTTTGGTTTGTTTTTACCTGTTGTCATGACTACTCCAGATAGCACTTTTCTGCGTGCATGGGGCGATGTAAAATTATCTGTCAAATCGCTGAATTTATCTACCACCAAGCGTGCAACAGCATCAGCTAAAACCTGCAAAAATCACACAAATATATTGGATAATTCATCAAAACAGAGCTGTCTTTAAAACATTTCAAAATGGATTTAAAAACCTGTATGGTATTTTTATTTAATTAGTTATTAAAGTTCTATACTGCTGTTCATCCAAGGATCACAGGGAATCTTTGTAATATTTACTAGAATTGATTGGTGCTGTTGTTTCGAACTACTGCTGATTCAAAGTGTTGAAGAGTTTATCTCCATGCCCTTCAGGCATATCTACAAACTATACTGTGTTTTTATGGAAGCCCTTAGTGCTGATCATGGAACAGATAATTTTAATTCAGGGAATGAGGCTGCATGCACAACATTCAATTTTTAACAAGGCTCTAGCCTTCATTATGAGATCTTCTGTAGAAAATTTGAGGTATCTAAGATGGTATTTCCATGGAATGCATCCATAATTGGCTTGTAAAGCATATTCAAAGGGTAAGAACTAATGGAATTCAAACCAGAAAGTTGTACCAAGTGGTGTTCCATTGAGGTTGGTCTTGAGTCCATTATCATTCATTACATTCATTAGTGACTTGAATGGAGTGAACAGTACCGCAACCAGATCTGCAGAGAATGCCAAATTTGGAGGGATTGCAAATACTTTGGTGGATCATGTAAGTTTATAATATATATAGATATATATATAACAGAAAACTGAAAAGCCAAGCAGACTACAATAAAGCATAAGCTGAACATATTAAATATAAATATATAGAAAAAGACACAGAGTCATAAAATGGTAACTCTTTGGCTAGACATTAAGACCAGCAATAAGGATTTTGAGATTAAAGTGAATTATAAACTGAGTACAAATTAAACGTATGCTTTGGGGGTGATAGTGCCAGTAAACTGTGGCTTGTATGTAGAATTATACAAATTTATGGGTGACATGCAACTGAGAAGAGTCCTCGTTGCTTGAGGAATAGGTTGGAGAAGGGTTTAGATCTAGGATCTCCTGTCTCATAATCTTACATTGCCTGACCCTTAAGGATCCCTTGCATTATGCGAGAGCTGCATAAATATACCTTCTAAATAAACCTGTTATAACAGGATTCAAATTTAATTTGCAGGAGATTTTAAGCCTAGTTAAAAGTGATACAAAAAGCACTCACTTTAAGAACTGGGCCATTTTCGGACTTCCCAACAATCTATGATTGATCTGGAATACTCTAAATTAATATTCTTGAAAGGATAAAAACAATTGGTATTAGTTATAGAAGTTTACAATGTGAAACGGGTGGGGAACCTTTTCTAGCTTGAGGGCCGCATTCCCTTCTGAGCCACTTTCCAGGGGCCAAATGCCAGTGGCAGGCTGGACAAGAGGCAAATGTGGGCAGAGGGATGAGTAAAAGTTTCACCTCCGTCCAGCAGGCTAGTTTTCACATGCTCACACGTCCCTCTCTATCCTCTACTCAGGCAAGCAAGTCCTCAGAGTTCCAACCAGGCAAACACACTCAAGAAGCATGTGCGGGAAGGGTGGTGAGGGGTGTGGCCTGAGGAAAACGGGGGCGTGTCTGGAGAGGGGGCAGGACCTGGGAGGAGTCTCCCAAGACCTGATGGAGGAGGCCTGCAGGGTTCCCCACCCCTGATATCAGAGGATTGTTACGGCATATTAGAGAAATTTGTTTTAAAGGCTGAGTACATTTTTAGGAAGGGACGCGGGTGGCGCTGTGGGTTAAACCACAGAGCCTAGGACTTGCTGATCAGAAGGTTGGCGGTTTGAATCCCCGCGAAGGGGTGAGCTCCCATTGCTCGGTCCCTGCTCCTGCCAACCTAGCAGTTTGAAAGCACATCAAAGTGCAGGTAGATAAATAGGTAGTGCTCCAGCAGGAAGGTAAACTGCGTTTCCGTGCGCTGCTCTGATTCGCCAGAAGCGGCTTAGTCCTGCTGGCCACATACGCCAGCTCCCTCGGCCAATAAAGCGAGATGAGCACTGCAACCCCAGTCAGCCACAACTGGACCTAATGGTCAGGGGTCCCTTTACCTTACATTTTTAGGGGGGGGGGTAAAACATAAGCATAAAGTGTGTGGAAAAGCTTCATGTAAATTCTCTCTGATTGTTTAGAATCCACTACCACTCACACTATTTACCATTTACACAGCACTCTTAATTTATACTCACAGCAGCCATACGTAGGCTATAGCATGGGCACAAAAAAATAGTGTGACAAATGGAATTAAGGTCACTTAACATACTACCGTGTATTTCCATGTATAAGATGACCATTTTCTTGAAAATCTTTCGTGATAAATTGGGGGTCATCTAAAACATGGGTTAATGCGGTAAGTAAGCAAGGGCTGGTGGAGCTGCGGCAGTAGCAGGGGACAGAGGCAAGGGGGCCGCTTGCCCGCTCTTCTCAGTTTAGGAAGGGTACGTGATGAGTCCTCAACAAACTTACAAAAGATGCTCAACAACTGTTTTTGCAATTTCCCCCCAAAGAATCCCAACTTTCTTAATTTTTAAATTTCTTAATTTGGGGCTCCCCAAAATACACGGAAAAATACGGTATTTACCAGGAAATCAATATGGCCTATGTTCACTTTCATTCTTTTCAAACTGAATCAGGAGCTTTATAGGCTTCAAAGAGTTTGTATAAAAATACTTAACAGCTATCGCCTCTCCATATTCCCAAACTTGTGGCTAATGTATGCAGAAGGAAGAATGAGACGACAATCGGAGGAGGCAGTGCCTGCAGACAGCTCCCATGGCAGCTGACTCCATGAGATCTAGAAGGGGGCATCAGAACGTCACTTCCCACTGACCCCTCCTGCAGGATCTTGTTCCCTAACCCTTGTAAGTTTTCCATTGTTCTTTCTACCTCCCCCGAATTCCAGTACTTAGTTGTTCTGACTGGTCAACCTGGTTGCTTATTTTCTCTCTCTCTTCATGTTGCCTATTTCTGACCTTCAGTTGCGATGTGTGGTTAATGGTGCTCAGGCAGTGATGTCTGATAACCTCAGGTACCACAGCATTGTGCAAGCTAGGTTTGGGAATCGGAGCAGTGTGGGGTTCACCACATGCTTCCTTTGGAGGCCTGATTTGACAGCACAGGTGTATTGTGTTCAGCTAAGACAGATCTATGAGCAACACTGCACTGAACTGGAGGAATTAAAAATGCTACCTACCACAAGTTTCTTGATCCAGCAAGATGGTGGAGGCAATGCTCATAGTTTCATTGCTTCCAGGATCCCTAGTCTCCCCTCTACAAAGGCAAGGTAGCCATACAATGGGAAGATGAGTGGCACCACAGAAAGTATGAGCACTAATTTCTCTCATAAAATTGCATGTAGCACTGCATTCTATAAAAAATAGAGCAAAGTATACTACAGTATATGGACATTGTTAGAATGGGATCAAAACCTGCCCCAAACATTGGAGTGTCAGGAATAGGGACATATTTGTCTCCTGCAGAGACCATGGAATAAAATAAGGGGTGGTATCCAACTAAAAACTTCTGTTAGCGCAAGGACTTTTGGCCATGCAATAAAACTTCCTCTCCCTCTCCTCTGCCCACATATGCTCCTTAAATCTGTTCTGGGGGTTCCCTCAGTCCTTCAGAGCAGATGTAGGGAGGGAGCAAGAGGAGAGGAGTGGGAGGGAAGCTCCACTGTACAGGCAGAAGTCCTTGCACTCAGGGAAAAATATGGCTGGGCACTGCCCAAGGGTTGAACCATTAACAGGGTCCAGCGGGTGGGTGGCTTTAATCAACTCCACCGTGAGCAGTTGGGGGAGAAATGTGCCTATGTGTGATTCTTCACCATCTTCCTCAGAAGAAAATGACAGCCTTGCACCTCGAGCGAGAACTTTAAAGGGGTGCCCTCAGGGTCTGATGGCAGAGTTCCCAGTGTATGGAGGAGGCAAAGGGGGGCTGCTACTAATGTCAGAGGTACAGCAGTATACCAGTGTAGTTAGCCCTTAAAAGATGTTGTTGCCTAGGTAAGTCACACCAATCCTTGCCTCTGTATATCCAGTTCTGTGTAGCAGAACCTCCTTTTTGCAGAGCAGCACACTGCTATTATACAAAGCAATGGTGGCTCATCAGCAAAACAGCCCTGCTGCATTGGAAATACGTCACCTTATAATGCCAGGGAAATGCTACAGTTCGTGGCATTGCAATGATGTGCAGTTCATGTATACTGCATTCTGCTTCACCTGCTCATTCAGTCAAATCATACATTAGGTTAACTTAATTTCTCAGGAAGTATAAAATATTCTGCCCATTCACAGCATCAAACACAAGAGAATTAACAGTCTAACTGGATATTTTGTATCCCTGCCAGAAATAACACACTGAAGGAACCCAAATACAACAAAAACTATTTATGCACTGTTAAAATGAAAGGTTGTAACTTCAGTATTTTTTAATTAACTCATTAGCCCATTATAACACGTAAAGGGAAATGTTTTCTCACCTGAGGCAGGTGTAACTGAAGTCCTTCACTAGGAATAGGTTGGTGAGATGGTGTTTGATCCAACTGCATGTTAAACAAGGATGCAAGAGCTGACTGAGCAGCCCGTGCTTTTGCAAGTTTTTTGTTTCTTCCAGATCCTTCAAATGTTTGGCCATCCACTGACACAGCCATTACAAAATTCTTAGCGTGACTCTCTCCACTTTCTGAGAGAAATTCATACTTTAAGCCTGGTCGAAGTTCATTCAGTATCATGACTGGATTCTTCCCACTTGTTGAGGGGTATGGTGATGGAGTAGGGAGAGACGACTGTACAAGGCTACAGGCCGCAGAAGATGACAAATTATAGTCTGCACTGGAGCTAAAGGAACCATCTCCGTTGGAATCCAGATAAAAGGAAAGATCAGACTGGGCGGGGTTTTCAAAGCCATTGAAGAGGGTATCTGGGAAATCTGCCTGATCAGAGGTGAAGTCCGTATTTACGGAAAGAGTTCTTCCCATGGCGAGATGTGCTTCGGAAGCATTTGGAAACTGAACAAAGGACCTCAGGGCCTTCTCAGCTGCATGGAGCTTGGCTTTCTTTTTTGTAGGGCCGGAGCCTTCAAACAGCTGCCCATTAACCTCTACTGCCATCACAAAAATAGGGGCATGAACGGGTCCTGTTTGGGAGAGAAGCTTGTACTGCAAGCCAGGCTTGATTTCATTCAGCTGCATGAGAGCATTTTTGGGCAAGACCGGCCCTGGTGTTTTCTTCCTTTTCTTTGTGCGGAACTTGGCGTGGCCATTGCTTCCCTCTTCCAAGGGTCGTTTCCTGCTGCTAGCGCCACCACCATTGGAGAGCTGGTTCCCCTCTCCGGCGCCTTGCACACTCCCATCTTTAGGTGAAATGTTGTCCATGTTGCGGTTCTCTTTAACATCAATGCTGCCTGAACCTGTGGTGCCCAGAAAGAGTAACTTACAATGCCTTCGTTGCAGGACCTTGTAAATGTAAAATTTACAGATTCCTTTATCTATCTTTGCAACTGGTTAAGTGATGTGTGCTCAAATATTAATATCTTTATTAGGTATATTAGTTGTAATAGGCAACTCAGAAACATACATTGAGTAAATATTCAGACATCTGATATTGGCATATGCTGATAAAAAGTTTTAATTCTGCACCAAAACACCTATTAGTATTTATATGTTAAATTACCCTCCCTAATTCTAAAGCAAAAAGAAATGAGCCAGTAACTGGCAACATGTTGTAACCCCAATTTACATTCATTTAATATCCAATTAACCTCAAACATCAGAATCCACAGGGCAATCACGTAAGATTACCTATGCAGGTAATATGAGGCACCTGCTCATCTGTATATTGAAGAAGATGTCTCTTCCTTTGAAAAAAATGACTAACTCAATGCATCTTATTGAGAAAAGAAGAGTATACTATTTCTTGCCTGCAAACATTCAAGTTATTGACTTATACAGTAAAACCTGCTTTGTGCTTTATGTGGTAGTCATGTTATATGGGTGCTCCAGAGCAGTCAACTCCAGAAGTAAGCTGAATGCAGGATCGCTGTTTAAACAAAGGGCTGGTTCACAGGTGACACTAAAGAATGAAGTTTCTAAACCAGAAACTTCAAATCACAGGTTAAGAACCAGGCTTGTTTAGCATTATGTGCACCATAGCCCTGTCTGTGGTTAGCTGAGTAAGGGAAACTGAAAGTAAAGGCTCCCAAAGTCCTCCTCCCAGCCCATGCGCAGAGTGCTCCATGGTGAAACATTACATCTGAATGCAGTGAATATGTGGAAGGCAAACTGGGTGAACATGTTCTCTAAAGACATTGAGGGAGCAAGAACATGGCGGAAAGCCAAGTCCCTGACACTGAGTGCTCACAGGCATTTGACACCTGCATGCGTGGAAGTCCCTTCACCTTGATTCTGAATGTGCAGCTGCCAGAGGGCAGACCAGAAGACAGTGGCATGCTGGAACAGGGCCAACCTCATGTGCTGGGTGGATGTTTGAGGCAGGTTATTGAAACACCCTTAAATTCATATCCCTGAATATACAGCGGGCATCTTTCTTATAAACCCACTATCATGTAGCAGGTAAACATATTCTAAGTAAATAGTATTTATGATATTTACATTTCTAAACACAAATCCCAACATATGCAGTGGAGTTCTCTGTTACAATCTCACTGTCATGTAATGTGCAAAGGTGTTCCAATTACAGATTTTGTAGTGGACTTGAAGATAAGATAGATCTATCTATTTGTAACTTTCAGCATCCATCTGAAGGTACAAACCTGGGGGGATGGAACAGTAAAATAGGGTCTTTGAAAACCCGAGCCTCCACCCCAACCCCATGGACACAAAGGGGCTGTAGAAGGATGCACACAGACATGTAGGAGAGGATACTTTTCTTTCAGCTCAATTCTCCCACCCCATGATTCCTTCGGCAGTGGAGGGGGGCCTCCCTTCACCACCAAAGTTGGGCCCAAGCCCACTGCAATAATCAATTATTGGAATCTACCCCACCCCCCAGAAAACAAATTCTCATACCTTGTTCATCAGCAATTATATGCCATTTCCTATTGGAACCCCCTACAAACTGCTGCTCAGCCACAGTCACATATAAAGCTACTATATAAATAAACAAGATACTACTTTGAAGCAGGTAGATGGAATATGTAAACTTCAAATTCTAAAAGACTAGAATTCCAACTGTCCTACTAACCAACTAGGCACCTTATCATAAATACAGGCAATCTTCATTTTGTGAGGGGCTACGTTCCAGATCCCCGCGCGTGTCGGCGGGGCCCGCGTAAAGCATTCTGCCCCTGCCCCGTCCTCATTCCACCCTTTTAGTAACGTTTTAGTGACGTTCTAGGGTCACTTCCGGGTTGGGCTCCATGCATGTGTGAGCGATTGCGTGTCAGTCGGGAGTTGCCTGTATTAAACATAAAACTTTTCAAGAGCTGTATATTCAGAATGTAAAAAAAAAAGGTTATTGGGGGCAGTAAACTTATTTGACTATATTAAAATACTTATCTGAACATTACATTAGATGGACATAATACTTTTAAACACTAATGCCTCGGTAGTAATACAGAAATTCAATTTTCTAAACACTTTGTTACAAATGGCAAGCTTCTTTAAATATGCCAAACATGAAGCAATACAATTAAACATAAAAGAAATTCTACTTTGCCGAAGAATCCCACCCAATCTCAGATGCCTAAAACATATTCACACCATTGAGGAGGCATGATTGAGATTCAAAATTTGTTGCTCTGGAAAGTATATTTAAATTTGTTTTAAATCCTACAATTAAAAGCACACAGACACCACTTCACCCAGTTGACAAAGTTGATGGAACAGTTATTAAATTTTCATTTATAACATCCTCCAGCAAAAGCTCGATAAGTTACTCCTTTCGGTGCTCAAAATAACAGAAAATTAAAAGAGAGTGGATAGAAACATACAGGTTAAAAAGAAGAAATAAATGTAAAATAGTGGCAAATAAAATTCAAGGAATCAATAGTTTTTCATATTTTTAAGAACTATTTCCTTTGAAACACGTTCTGTTATATCTTAAATTTTACCTCAAATAGAAAATTTTATATGTGTACAGACATAGCCTTTTCAGAGCAGTTACGTCTGCACAAAATGCTATTAAGCACATGGTTGATATTATTTGCAACATGGCAATAGCAGCAGATCAGGCATGCAGATTTATTCCACCCTGATGGATGTATTTAAGACTGATGTGTAAGGTGATGATCCTAGAGACACACATTTGCAAGTAACCTCCCCCTTCAAGCATACATGATCGGAACCAGATTAACAAGCAATTCAGTTCCTTAGAGAAATTTATAAAATAGATTGTTCAAGATGCAGGCTTTTCGTTAACCAGTCCTGAAATGATGAAGACAGAACATTCGCAAAAAGGGCTAGTCCTTGAAAGAAGCTAAGGAACATAAATACCCAGCCTGTTGAAATATTTGCTCTTGAAAATCATTTTCCAATTAAGCATAAACTTCCATTTGAAAACTGTAAATTCAGACATTATAGGTTTCAGTTTTTTAAAGTCCACTGCTCCATCTTTTCTTTCTTATTAAGTGCTGAGGCTTTCAAAAATGCTTAGCCGCACACTTTCTTTCCAAAAAGGAGCTTTTGTGAATTTTTGGCCATTTGATTTGCAACCAGAGCAATATTAATTGCCAGAGCTCTAGTGTCAAATCACTAAAATGACAGCATAACTGTATGATGTTTTCAAACAGTTCTTGTCGGTTTTTTGGGGTACATCCCATCCTTTAGATCCTTAAATAGAAGACAAGGGATGTGCAAAATGTGGTACTGAATTAATTAAAGCAGGAGCAGTCTATGAAAATGTCTAATAATAATAATAATAATAATAATAATAATAATAATATATTTGTACCCCGCCCATCTGGCTGGGTTTCCCCAGCCACTCTGGGCTGCTTCCACAGAGACCAAAAATACACTAAATGAAAATACATATAAATGAAGATAGTCATTTTAAAAACACAAAGTGTGGGAAATACTTTTGGTATTTCTTATTTCATCAACTCAAGAGCAATATGCATAACCACATCATCCACAGTCTTCAATCATACAGAGATGTGATTCCTTATTTATTCAATGACCAAGATGCGAAGAGATATTGAGCGGCAATGCCTAGCAAGATTTTTTTCTTTTTTCTTTTGAACAGTTAGCATTTAGTCATAGAATCGCAGAATTGTTCTCTTCACTTCGGTGTACCATGTGTACAATACACAGGCCGCAAACTCCCTGGGTTTGTAGAATTAATTGTGTGGTTCTTTGGATCTTCATCAGTATATTTTTGCTCTCTCTTGTATTGTACAGACAAATAAAATGCAAAAACGGGAATTATCTCCCCAAGAGAAAGACTCAGGCTGGAGATAGACAATAGGCTTTTTCAGAAAGTCAAAAATGGCATGGTGGAGACAGGATTGCTATGGTATTAACAATTATGCAACATTGGTTGGCAGCAGAAAGAGGTATACAATTTCCGGAGAGGTTGTCCTGTTAGTCTCTTGCAGACAAAACAATGAGTCTTGTGGCACCTTAAGGATCAACCAATTTATTATGGCATGACCTTTTATGGAGGGCAGTCCACTTCATCAGATGAATGAAGTGCATATATGATAAAATGCTGACACCCTGCTCCAGTGCCACTAAGTAGGGTAACTCACTGGCAACAGGCACACACTCGTGTTAATTGCCACTACCTGCTTGTCACCTAAGCCAGGGCTTGCGGGAGTCCTACTGACATATGGAGTCTACTCAGAAGTAGGGAACTCCCCTCCCAATCTCCCATCCACTTTAGCCCAGTAACACATCTCAAACATCAAAGCAGTATGGGGGCACAGTACTTGAGTGTGTTCAGAAACCCAGAGGGTCAACAAATCAAAAGGAGTATAATACACTATATGAGAATATTGGTCTATCAAAAACTGGGCAAACCAAGCCATGTGTTAAACATGCTTTCCTTCTTTTTCACATATGCTCATCTGTATCAGCCTTCTCCGATCTGGAAGGCTGATATACATCAGAAGCAAGGGAGGTGCCTGACCTATGGCTGCATCTATGCCATACTTCCACAAGAAGGAAAATGCTAGCTAAAATGTTCCCAGAATAAAAAGAGAGAAACAATCATGACATTAATCATAGCTGCTGAAAAGTGCTATGATCTTTAAAATGGCTAAAACCAGCCAAAAAACCAAAGGGGTATAAAAACCCACCTCGTGATCCCAAACGATACTGAAAATATGGTGTTACTGAAGTCTGGCTGGTTTCACAAAACCATTGCAGGTGCACATTTTAATTACATGCCCAGGCATTGAGCACAAATACTTTAGCACTTAGTAGTAAAGGCAGATAAGAAGGGATCATTAACCCTAATACTTTTGGCAGGAAATTCACATATGCATCCATGAAAAATTGCTACCTTGTCTGCCGTGGTAGGTAAGCAGGAACCAGGTATCAATGCACATTACTCAGGAGCATGTATTCTAACGGTAGTGAAGCTCTGCTATGACATCACTCCTATAGCCAATATTCTTAGATATTCTAGAAACTGCATTTTAAAGTGAAAACTGACTTAAAGGAACGGAGGATGAAAGTTAGGAAGGTCAACAATAATATAAAAAGGTGTGACTCAGTGACCACAGAAATTTAAGCAAGACTATGCACATCTATTCAAAAGTAAACCACATCAAATACAGTTAGGTTTACTCTCAGGAAACTGTGTCTAGGACTACCACCTTGGGCTTAACTTAGTGGGGCTTAGTTCTGAGTAAACATGCATACCGTTGGGCCTGCACACCCACTGAAGACAACAGCTCCTAAGCACGTGAAGCATTTAAAACTCATTAATTCCAGTAGTAATTCAGTATTCTTTTTCCAGGACTGTGCAAATTATTATAACATAACTCTTTCCATAGAATAAAAGTAGGGAACTCCTCTGAATGTCAGGCGGGATTAGAAGCAAAAGGTGACTGACTTGAAAAGGGCAAGCACTAAGCAGCTGCAGAAACAGTAATGGGTTTAGCACTGTATAACATGAACATCTTACTCATATTCTCTTCATCATCTATGTCCATTGTGAAAAAGTTCTTCAGCCTCTATACTGGTGTAGAGAGTTTCCTTCTGGAAGACAAAATGTGGAATCTTAGTTATCTGTATATTTTGAATGTTTCAGCTTGCGTGATTAAGATGTCTAAGAATTAGACCAAAGTAGCTAATTTTCCAATTTACCACCTGTTTTTATCCAGCTTGAAGAATTTATTATGTATCCCACACTTTCTTTAAAAAAAGGGGGTAGGGTTTTTTTTACATGAGATTTCCCCATTAAGGAAGGGGCAGCTAACCATCTCCAGGCCAAGGCCACAATGAACCACAGCCAGCTTTCTGGAGGCTGAAGTGGTGGTGGCAAGAATGGCTGTTAGCTGCCTTCCAAAAGGGGATGCACTGGAACTGTCATATATATATGTGTGTGTGTGTGTGTGTGTGTGTGTGTGTGTACCACAACAATGGAAGCACCATTTAAATAAATAAATAAAGACAACAGGGGAAGAGGGGGCACAAAATCACATTTGGGTGGACAGATATAGCCCACAGGCCACAAGTTAGAAACTCCTACACTATACCAAGCAGACTGCATGATCAGCCCAGAGCTACACTGCCTTCCTTGCTCCTGCTTTCCTAATTCTTTGCTGAGCCAGTGCCAGGGCCACTGCTGCCAAATGTGTGACTTTTGAATCTCTGAATCGACTGATCATTATCTGATATTGAAAAATACATGCATTAAAGACAATTAGCAATATATCACATCCATACTGGGTACTTTCTTGTCATATGCGGCAAGATGCCAACTGTGCCTATCCTTGGTTGTTTAGAACAGTATTTTTATTGTATTTTCAATAAAGTGCAGCTAAAGAAAAACAGTCCATTCGCAGAGGTTATTACAAAGCATACAAAGCTTGATACACAGAAGAGATAGGCTTAGAATCACATAAAGGCATGGTAAGCCTAAGAGAAAAAAGAGAAACTATGCTTTGCTATGTTGCTATGAAATTGTTACTATTGTGGGAAATTTAATGCTGACGAATATAACTGTACATAGACTGCCATTAACCAAGGGGTTAAGAACTACAAGGCCTTTACAGTCTTGAGCAGGCTGCAAGGCTCTGATTGGTTGAGAACCTTCTTCTCTCCAGGGGGAGAAATAAAAAGGTCAATTTGCCGTTTTCAAGTAGTAGACTTCCAGTCTGGAAGGACAGGGGTATCTGCACTGCAGACACATAAAACATCCTCATGCAAATTTCTGTATTTTGCTTTAAGATGTATTGTTCCTATTTCTATATTTCACACTGCATTAAAAAAAGTAAAACTTTTTATGCTCAAATAAAAGACTGGTCTGATTATTAGTGAAAAGGGGAGAGGCAGGGTAGCAAATCCCAGGTGCCCAGATAGGATTCCAAATAGGCTTAACAGCCTTATTCCCTGCTCTATTGCTGTGCAAACTATTAAACTCTACTGCAAAAGGCTTTAAACAGAGAGTCGAGCCTCACAGATTTGAATGTAGGTCCATTCAAAGTTATCTAAGGCTGTCCAGTGAAGTGAGTGCTGCAGAGGTTTTTAATTGCAGACAAATTTTTACTACACTTAGTATCCTATGGACAGAGTCACTTATATGATGTCCCAGCATAAAGTCTACTTTATATGTTGCAAAGAAAGTGATTTAATCTTGTTGCCAAGGGAGCAGATAAAACTTTTTCAGCCTGACTGACTACTGACCTAATTCTGCAGCCTCTCATTCAAACTGTGCTCAGAATCGTTTCTGCTTAAGAATAGCAACCCTGAGTGTCTAGGGGGCAACATGACTAAAACATTATTTATATTTACAATTGAAAGCTCTTCTGTAGCTTGCCCCTTACACTTACAAAATATATTTTCTTATACTACCTATGCTAGTTAAAGGTAAAGGTAAAGGGACCCCTGACCATTAGGTCCAGTCGTGGCCGACTCTAGGGTTGCGGCGCTCATCTCGCTTTATTGGCCAAGGGAGCCAGCGTACAGCTTCCGGGTCATGTGGCCAGCATGACTAAGCCGCTTCTGGCGAACCAGAGCAGCGCACAGAAACGCCGTTTACCTTCCCGCCGGAGCGGGAAGGTATTTATCTACTTGCACTTCGTGCTTTCGAACTGCTAGGTTGGCAGGAACCTATGCTAGTTAGTTGAGATAATTAGCTGAGGTAATTGCAGTTCCAGTGTCTAATTGCATCAAAAGTTATATTGTGATTATGATTTCTGTTGCCTTTTCCATCTATGAGGTCATCACATTTTACATCCCAACATAACAGATTCATGATTCTTATTTATAGCTAACCATGAGCCTCAGCATGCCAAGGCAACCTTAAATGGATTTTAAAAACACCGTGCTAGATGATAAATGACAGCACTGAGCTCTATAAAGATATGTCAACCTTTAAGTAAACAAAATATGCACAGTACTCTTTAAAAATGTATGGGTGGTATTCATTTACTTAGAGTAGACAAAATGAAATTAATGGGTCTAAATTAGTCATGTTCATTCATTTCAATGCATCTATTCTGAGTAAAACCTAGTTGAATGCAATCCTATGCCTATTTAAATAGAAATCACTAAAAAAAGCAATTTTATCAACATAAAAAAGCGTAATGTGTCTTTAGAGTAGAAGGAGGATTTCTCATGTATGTTTTGGTATAGGTACCCCTTGAAGAGTCACAAAGCTATTTGGCATAGTTAAATAATAATAATATTTGCTACACCATTACACAATAGTTAATGAACAATGGCATGACCGGCAACTCATATTCTGTTATTCTATAAATCTCATTATTGTCATTTTCTCTCCATGAAAATCCAGCATGGATCACTTCCAGGAAAGTCAGGGTCTTCTGGATGACAGGCTACCTGATGACTACACGAGACTAGCATAGGATTCTGGAACTAAGGATGGATGAACGTGTCAATTTCTGTTTCTCTTAGTTTCTAGTTTTTTCCAATCTTAATTTCAGTTCTCCACATTTCCACAACAGCCTGCAATTTCTCTTTTTCGTGGGGGGTGGGTGGGGTGGGTGATAAAATCCTCATGAAAATTCACCAGCATTTTAGTGTAGATTTAAGAAGACAAGAATAGCCAATGGCCCATATCGTGCAGCATCCTGGGGGAAACCAGCGAGCAGAACATGCGCACAAGAGCCTCTCCACTTCCTCATTTCCAGCAACTGGTATTCAGAAGCACTGCTGCCTCCAACTGTGAAGGCAGAGAATAGCCATCGCGCCTAGTAGCCATTTGATAGTCCTCTCCTCGTTAATTTCTCTTAAAATGCATGTTTTTGCAAAGCAATTTTCCCTAATACAATGTGTTTTGGTATATTATTTTCCACTAACATAGGCAGAAGTTACCCTAATATATACATTTTGTACACATTACTTGGCTGGAGAGCTGCTCTGAAAAATTCAGAGAAGTGCCCTTTTCAAAGCTGGGCTGAGTTTTAGTTTGTTTTTTGTTTCAGAAAGCGTGAATTTGGTAAGTTTGCCTTTAAATGTAAACTGAATCCAATTTTCCCCCAGTCCCTGTTTGTAGGTATGATTCCTCAGAATGGCTGCTTGGTGAGACCAGAATCCATGTATACATGATAAGTTATTCTGCCTAATGACAGGGACACATAACATAATAAAACAACACAAGACTAACCCTAGAAACTGTCAGTAATGATGCCAAATCTGGTTTCCAAACCTATCTACCAGGAGTGCAAACTCACTGCTGGGAAAGGAGAAACTACTGTAGAATCGTATCATCATTTAAAGAAGTTCTTACCTATCCTAATGGCTGCTTACCTTCTCTGAGTATAAATGCCCACACAGGTCTTCAACCTAGGAAGAAATACAACACTTTTAGAATCTAAATAAGAATGCAGCACAAGATGAATGAATGAAAGAGGCACAGTCAAGGTTGTATGATTATATAAGGTTGCCTTACATCTGGACATATCCGGAATACTGCAACTGCAAGCAGTGTCTGGTTGGAAATCGTCAAAAAGTCCAGGAAAATCTGGACGTATGGCAGCCCATGTCGGCAGTGTCGTTTTTGCCAACAACTTTGGCCAAAAAAGCAACAAAAAAACTCAACAACTTTTCTGTCCAGATTGTCACTTTCTGAAATATGGCAACCCTAGATTATTATTTTCATGATAATGCATTACTTAAGTATTTAGTCTTTAGAAGCAGGTATTTGGTAGCATGACAGGCATGGCAGGGGGAGGGGAGTTCTATGATCTCTAGTCTGTTGCTGCTGGATAATGGAAGAGCGATTCTTTTATTACAGAAACTGCGTCCCAACACCACAATTTGTAGCTTGCCCTGCATTAGACTAAAAAGGAGGTCATGCATCCTCTTTAATGAAGACTCGGGTGCATCATCTTCCCTCCTCTTGTGGAACCCACAGCTCAGATCTCATGGGCACGACAAACCTGAGTTGCACCATTTCATTCTTACATCATTGAATATGCTTCCATACACAAATATTTCCTGCATACAGAAAGCTACCATAGCAGAGAAAAGGCTCAGCTAGTGCACTTTTTCCTGGTATACTAGCTTTGTATCCAAGATTATCATAGTACCTTCAATATATTTTTATTAGGACCCATAAAAATACCACAAAATTGTGAGCAAATTCCAGTTTTCCAGGACTCTTTATCAAGCCATATGTTGAACAAAGAAACTGGGTGGGTAGAGGGAGAGAAAGTATGGGGTTTTTATTCCCAAGTCAGCAGTTCTTAAGGTGGGGTGTCAACAGTGTCATGTAAACATAACTGGATTTTATTTTAAAAACAGGAAGGATTCACTGCAGTCATAGAATCACAGAGTTGGAAGGGACCCGAAGGGTCATTAGCCTGACCCCCTGCACTGCAAATATTAGAAGCTGAAATTACCGTATTTTTCGCCCCATAGGGCGCACCGCCCCATAGGACGCGACGCACCTAGTTTTTTGGGGGGGGGAATAAAGGGGAAAAAATTATTCCCCACCCCCAGGCACGGGGCTGGCGTGGGGGAAGCCCGAGCTTCCCCCGACCCCAGCCCCCAGAACAGCCTGCTATCCGCAAGCCTAGGGAGCCGCACCGGGCTCCCTAGGGTTACAGAGCTGCGCAAAGCCTGGGAGTGCAGGCAGCTCTGCGCAACCCATGGGAGCCCGGCGTGAAGTCGCGCCGGCCTCCCAAGGGTTGCGCAGAGCTTCCTGAAGCCTGGAGAGCGAGAGGGGTCGGTGCGCACTGACCCCTCTCGCTCTCCAGGCTTCAGCGAAAGCCTGCATTCGCCCCATAGGACGCACACACATTTCCCCTTCATTTTTGGAGGGGAAAAGTGCGTCCTATAGGGCGAAAAATACGGTATACATATGCACAGATTTTCCCCTATATCTGAGGTGTTCTGAATGATCTGTGCACAGTATCCTTGGGCTGCCAGAGACCAACTTGAACAGTCAACAAAGCTGCACCAGCATAAGGCCTTGACCTATGTTGGTGGCACCCTACTTGCTTCTCTTCAGTCTGGGCCTTACTAGATGGTGGGGAGGGGAAGAGGCTGGCCTCTGAAGACGTGAGCTGTGTGCCGCATGTTCTGAGCTACTTTCCCTCACTAATTCCCAATAAAACTTTTGCAGCTTAAACAAGCACAAAGGGGAAAGTGGAATGAGCTCAGCTTGAATGACATACCGTACTGGCCCGAATGTAAGACGCACCCCGAAATAAGCCGCACCTTTAAAATTGAAGGGGGGGGGGGAGACAATACCCAGGCTGCTGGGGGGGGGGAGCCACACCGCTTTGCTGGTGGCCTTCCCCTCCTCCCCCCATGGCTCCGGGGGAGGCTTGGGAGCGGTGAGCAGGCTGCGCACCGTTGCCGCGCGCTCCTGGGCTGCTCTTGAGGAGGGAAGCTGCCGGCAAAGCGTTGCAACTCCACCCCCCACCCCCAGAAAGCAGCCTGGGAGCATGGGGCAACGTCGCGCAGCCTGCCTATTGCCTCCAAGCCTCCCCAGAGCCATTGGAGGAAAGGGAAGGTCACAAATATAAGTCGCACTTTAACTTTCCGCTGTCAGAATTTGGAGAAAAAGTGACGCTTTTATCCGAGCCAATATGGTATTACCAGTAAGGGGAAATGGAAGGATAAAGAAAGCAAAACATATGCAACCAATTACACATCTCTCCGTCTTTGTCTTTGTCTCTCAGTAGAATACTATTCAATACAAATTACCATCCCATCCCCGCAAAAAGCAAAACCAAGAGCAAGCTTGTTTGCACAGGTTGAGAACCCTGTGGGCCTGCCTGCTTCTCCATTAACTTTATCACCCATATTTCCGAGAAGAGAGACAGACACATTCTGTCTCTCTTCTCGGAAATATGGGTGATAAAGTTAATGGAAAAGCAGGCAGGCCCACAGGGTTTCCAGAGGAGCAGCTATGTTAGATTGTCGCAAGAGAAAAGGAGGAGGATCTTTTGTTATAGCAGAAGCTTTTGTGGACTAGAATCCACCGTAAGATGCATGAAGTTGTCCGCAGCTGGCAAAGGAGCTTACATTTGTCTCTACGGTGAGGTGTGTACCTAACATGCCAATTCATGCACCTAATGAAATAGACAGTCCACAAAAGTTTATGCCATAATAAATTTGTTATTTTTAAAGATGCCACCTGACTCCTTATTTTGTTCATTCTGCTCTCCTCTACAAAGCCCTGGTTCTACTGCTTAAAATAAAGGTTTGGAGGTTTTTTAAGCATCATAAAAAATACAGTCATACCTTGGCTCTCAAACGGAATCCATTCCGGAAGTCCATTCAACTTCCGAAAACGTTCGAAAACCAAGGAACAGCTTCTGATTGGCTGCAGGAGCTTCCGGCACTCAATCAGAAGCCCCATCAGATGTTCGGGTTCCAAATAACATTTGCAAATGGCAACACTCACTTCCGGGTTTGCGGTGTTCAGGAGCCAAAACGTTCGAGTCACAAGGCGTTTGACAAACAAGGTATCACTGAACTGTACAGGGAAACAAAAGGGGGGGTTCAAATATATATCATTTGTAGCCAGAAGATGGTGCTGCTGTTGCAGTAAAAATCACCCACGTGATTCAGACCTGTCAAAGAATAGAGCACTGTATTACATTGGTAGAAAAGGGGAATGTAAATGCCTTATGGGTCTACAAGACCGCCTTTACACTTGTGCGTAAAATTCTAATAGTCATCTTAATTAACTACTAGAAACAAAAGTTATAGCCAAATCCAAATCTTCTTTAACCCTAATCCATCAATTATACAAAAACATAAATCACTCAGAGCATGATTTAAAACAGCACAACCAACCTTACACATTACATAGTACTATTAAACAGCAGCATATTACAAAGAAGTGAAATGCTACATTTATAACTTAACTCAAACCCCATGTTATCTGGCTTTATTCCCTCCCCACTTCCATGGTCCTGAATTTTGCTGGGCCAATTCCATTTTTTAATAGAACTACGACAAGGAAGCTGGCAGGATCAAATACGCTCCTAATACATCAGCAGAAAGACCAGCGGGTCCACTTCCTCCCCAACCCCTATAATAGTTCCAGTGGTGTACAGAGCTCAAAAACTTGCCACAGTTCAAGAAAAGAGACAGCTCTGTGTATGCAAAGAAATGCATACTTGGAGTAGTGTATTTTTGTGATTAACCATGTGTCAATCATCACAATTTTATATTAAGGAGGGATTTAAAAATACAAATACAGTGCTGAAAGGACACAAAACCCTAGAGAAATACCTTGAATGCTTTCACACAAAATTGTGAATGAGTTTGAGGGAGACCCTCGCCCATCATCCATCTCTGGTTACCCTTCTCCTTCCTCCCACCATTCTATCCTTGCTCTCTAAAGATAACATTACTTTGCTCACCCTTAAGGCTGGTAAAATGAGGAAACACCTATCTGCCACCAACACACCGTGTACCTGAATCCATGGTTCTAGATTAGAAAGCAGCAAAGCATGCTTTCCATGCTTCCTCTCAGCGCAGCTAGCAAAACAAAAACAGATCTGTTCTAAGACTGGCATAACAGCAGCGTGACAGTTTCCATGTGCCTCTTTCTCTGCCTCCCTTTTGACTTAAACAGGCTGCAGCACTTAAGATAAAAAGGGGAAATACAATGAGCAGTCAGAAAGGCAGCACCTAGATATCCTTCCCTCCCACCCTTTGCTCTGCAATTCAAGTGCTCCTCCAGCTGCACACCAAAGGGATTTCTCCCACATTTAAGATTCAGAGATTATATTGTTATCCTGAGCTGCCGCCCACAAACTAAAAAACAGCAAATAATAGGAAACCAATTTTAATAACATTTTTATATGTCAAATACAGAAGCAGTCAACTGGTGGCTCATCAGCTTTATCTGATCCCCAAGCAATTTTATCTGGTGCCTGATGTTCCTACTATACAGGGCCAGCAAAAAGCATTTTATGGTTTGAAGCAAAGGATCAAATAGTGCTTCCTTTCTGCCCCATACCCTGCCAAAACAGCCCCACACACATTTTGACCTGATAAAGCTCTTCCTAACAAGTTGATGCAGAATGTGCACTCTGGAAATCCACCAAAACCCATTTCCTTATTATTAAAATCTGATGTCTTTACTGAGCTGAGCTCCTAGTCCTAAAAGCAGGCCAAAGTGTGCAAAAAAAGGGATACTTGAGCAACCTAAGACTCTCCCCTGGTGGATCATAACACAATGTCCAACTAGTTCTGTGCCAATCATGCAAAATGCGAGTGCAAATTACGTCCCACCCAGGCAGAAGCAGCCAAACTCCAAACTCCTGCTTCCCATCCTCCCACCCTATGGAGAGAGCCATGGTGGCTGCTTGAGTGGGTGACGCCTTCTGGATAAATATCCTGATATCACTGGATGCCTCTGTGTCTGTATGGCAAATGGGTACCATTGTTGACAGTCCCTGATTGGCAGCCTGTGGCAGAGATGAAGATGCACCTCTTTGCCCTGGCCTTTGAAGGAATATATATATGGACCGACCCTATTCTTATAGTTGTAAATTGTTTTAATTCATTTTAATATTATATTTTCATATTGCTGCAATCCCACCTTTAGACTTTATGGTGAAGTAAGGACTAGAAATCCTACTATTGTGTTACTAATAATAATTCAATCAGACATGGGTGTCTGATTGTTCACCATTTTGTTAAGTGCATGTGTTTTAAAGTATTTCCCCCCTCCAATCTCAAGCTAAGCTGACATAGGATCAGGAAGGCTTGCTGCTAACATATAGGTAGTGCACCTGCGAAAAGTTCAGGATTCCTCAGCCCCAATACATAAAGATAATGTTCAGGAGCAAAAATACATTCTGAGTTGAAGACAGCTATTTTTCAAAGGCTATGTTACAAATAATATTTATTTCATCTTGTTGCTTTATTTTTCCACTGAGATTACTGAATCATTACTGGAAAGTTTATTGGAAGAAAATTCACAAATGAGAGTTTGAAAGATATTTTAACAGTGCTGTTCTAAACATATGTACTGAAAGGTAAGTGCCACTCATTTCAAAAAGGCTTACTCCCAAGTAAATGAACACAGCCTAACCACTAAAACATAAACTTGATCGTCTTCACTCATTTTTACAGGCTTCACCCTTTGCATGAAATATGCTTTCTATCTGGGCCATGCACCCAAAATTTTGACCAATAAAATTATAAAACAACAGGCATTGCCCCATCTAATTTCTCTTTCTTTTCACAGGATTCAGGTAATGCAGCAGAAATAATGTCTCACTGGACTCAAATACCATGTTGGTGCATCACCACTTCTCTGTGGTTTATATATCTAATAAATTTGTTCCACGGTCAAACAGCTCTTATTGTTAGAAAGTTCTTCCTAATGTTTAGTCTGAATCTCCTTTCTTATAACTTGAAGCCATTGGTTCGGTCCTACCCTCCAGAGAAGCAGAAAACAATCTTACTCCATCTTCCATGTGACAGCGCTTGAGATGTTGGAAGATGACTCTCATATCTCCTCTCAGTCTCCTCTTTTTCAGGCTAAACATACCCAGCTCCTTCCACTATTCCTCATAAGGCTTGGTTTCCAGACCCTTTACCATCTTGGTCACCCTCCTCTGCACACAATTCCAGCATGTCAATATCCTTCTTAAAATGTCCTTTTTTTTATTTCTGTCCTCCCATATTGACAAAACTTGTCTTAATGTAATATTGAGGGGAGGGAATATAAATACACATGTCCTCAATATGCATTTGTCATCTTCCACGCCATGACTTTCACTCAGCTAAACACTATGCTGGTATTGAAACGTGGCTTCTGATCTAACTTGTTTGGACAAACCAAAATTTATAAATTGCAGCATCTAACAAGTGAGCAACCCTGCCCACCTGTAAAATTTGGCATGGCAGGGATGGGGAAATAAGAATCTGGTCTGCACCTGAAAAGTTTCGCCACCCGATTTAAATACTCACCTGGCATCCATAGGCAACACAGAACTCTGTGCAGAGTAAACAGGCTGCCAGCAGGGCAATGGGTCACTCCATCTCTCCTCTGTGTTCATTATAGAACTGAATGAATGTTAGCTAAAGTATGGTGTACTTTGAATGATACACACCAATAAAGTTTTGCATTTGTCTCTTATGTAAATGAAGCAATCACTTCTTGCTGTATTGTTGCAGTAAGAAAGCAAGGAATTTTGAGTTCTCAAAGGTTCTCCACCCCATTCCCCCCACCAACTGTAAGTACCGTATGTTTACATCTTACTAGGTCTGAACTTTCAAACTTCATTTAATGCTTAATTTTTTTTCTTTGAGAAAGGAAGAAAAGGCAGAAGCTACAATCACCAAACAGGAAGTAGCTTACATCCCTCTAGAATCTCCAGCCTGCAGATGACCTTCTGCAGGCAACAGATAATAAGCAATGTATTGTATTTTAACAGCTTATGAATAAACGGATATTGTATTTCCTTAAATGATAAAAAATAGGAAAGGAAGAAGGTGACGAAGTAAGAGACTTGGATATCTCAAAACATTTAAAAGAATTCAGGCCACATTCACACCATGACACACTTCTCCTCCAAAGAATTCTGGGAGTTGTGTTTTGTTAAGGGTGATGAGAGTTGTTAGGAAGCCCCTATTCCCCTCCCAGAGCTATAATTCCCAGAGTGGCTTAACAATCAATCCTTCTTCACAGGGAACTCTGGAAAGTGTAACTCTGTGAGAGAAATAGGGGCCTCCTAACAACTTAGTGTGGGACGCAGGTGGCACTGTGGTCTAAACCATGAGCTTTGGGCCTGCCGATCAGAAGGTCGGCAGTTCGAACCCCACGATGGGGTGAGCTTCCGTTGCTTAGTCCCTGCTCCTGCCAACCTAGCAGTTTGAAAGCACGTCAAAGTGCTAGTAGATAAATAGGTACCACTCTGGCGGGAAGGTAAATGGTGTTTCCATGCGCTGCTCTGGTTCGCCATGCTGGCCACATGACCCGGAAAAACTGTCTGCGGACAAACGTCGGCTCCCTCAGCCAGTAAAGCGAGATGAGCGCCACAACCTCAGAGTCGTTCGTGACTGGACTTAACTGTCAGGGGTCCTTTACCTTTAACAACTTAGCAACAAACTTGTTCCCAAAGTTCCCAAAATCTGTGGTGGAAGCCGTGTTAAGTTGTATCATAGCACTTTAAATGTATAGTGTGAATGTGGCTGCATGGTTCCTTGTTTGTCAGAGAAGAGAAACGGGCCTGACAAGCAGAATTGCCAATTCTCACCTATATTTGATGCAACTCAGTATCCCACACTGGTACAGACATTGGGCTACAACCACAAACGTCTCAAAACCAGAAACTCCAGAGTTTGTTCTAACAACAAAAATAGAATCCCGTGGCACCTTAAGGACTAAAGAAGTCTTGTGGCAGAGCCCTGTTCATCAGAAGAATCCTCCAATTGTGACACAAAATTATTTACAGTCAAATCTGGAGCCACCTCTTTCTGACCAAAGCACTTAGTCAGGAGAACAAACCATAGTGCAGAAGACAGAATGGTGGTACAGTTTGTTTGCATGACAAAAGCATGTAGACTATCATTCCAAAAACACTTAGCAAACAATGAAAATAACCTGCCAGGTACATGCCTAAGGACTGGTTCTTGTATTATGAATACAAAACAAAAACCATTCAAGTTGTTTGAAGGGAAAGTATTCAGGTTTTTTACAAACACAAGACCAAATGATGGCACAAGTAAAACTTTAGATGTCAAGGCTAGACTGATTTTTCCACAAATAGGCCATAATTTTAAACTCATACATATTTTGTAAGTGCATCCAACCTTGCCTAGAAACCAATGATGATCCATACAAATGCATAATTCCCTGAAGGCAACTATTCCAGAATTTTACATCTTTAAGAGCACATTCATATGCCCTAGATACAACAGCTGGATAGCTTTAGGGTTTACTAAAGTCCCCCTACACTGCCATACTATGAGATACATCTGCCAGTCCCAGCCCTGATGTTATGTCATGAGAATCAAGTATATCCCTACCACCCAGAGGGAAGAGCAGATTTACAACAAATCCCATGCTCTCATAGACCTCACTCCCAACTCCTGTACTGCAACAGAAGAGGTGATGCACCTTAAATTTCAAACTCCATGTATGCCAGGATCCCTGTTGCCTCCAACCCATACAGTGGTGGTGGTGGTTGTTAATTGAATTTATATACACTCTGGGGGTCTCAGAGCAGCTCACAGAACAAAATCAGAACACAAAACATATACCGTAATCAAAATAAAAACAACAAGTGGTTGCTACTATGCAAGGCACACTGTGCAGCAGATTGTGGTGCAGAGTAGTGATATCATGGTGCTGTTTCCACATCAGCAGGCATTAGATTGGCTCCTTTCACACCTGGCTGACATGGGGATATCCCTGGCATGCCAATCTGTGATTGGTGGGAGTTGACAGTGTTTCCATGGGCACACCAGGTGTGGGGAGCAGGGTTGTTCTGCTCTGTTTTTTTTGTGTGCTGATAGTGCACAGAATCCCGATTAAGTTATATTGGCATACATTGGCTGTCAGATTGCCACAATTATAGGATTGTCGGGTAATAGTGAGAAATCTTCCCAACCTAATACTTTCTATACCCTGCTTTCTTCAACATAATTATCTAAAGACTCAAAAAATCACAACAGAAGGCATCCAGTATGAAACCTAGTGCTGCAATTAGAAAAGAAAAAAGGAAGGAGACATACAAATTATCCACCTATAAATAAATAAGAAATTCAGGATGATTCTCTGCAAAATCAGTATAGCTAAAATAACTTGCATTGCCTTCTGCTGTAAGAAAAGAAGTAAGACCAGAACACAGGCAACAGCATAGGATTTTACATAAATTGCCATTCTGCAGTTTGTGTTTGAACTGCCAACATTCATATATTTCACCAAGTGATCTTACAGTGATCCAAAGGAATAATCACAGATCCACAAAAACAGGCATCCAAGGTACAGATTTGAATAGATCTTCATGGTATTTACGTGGGATGCCAACCAAACTGCCATCAAATCACAGAACAAGGCTGTGGGCACAGCTGAACAGTGGCAAAAAGAGGGCTGTTGAAGGGCTAAGTAGAGGCCAATGGGCCCAAGGTTTCACCAGCCCTGCTTTAGATGGTGAACAAAACCAAGCTCCATGCCTGTAATCTAATGACTGAAAATACAGTAGCAACAGATAGAAATACTATATCTAGTCAGATATGACCACAGTACATTTTAATTATTCAATAACCAGTTTTCTGTTGCTCTTGAAAGTAGTGCAAATGAAAAACCTTACCATAAATTATCTTTGGTTGATCATTTATTTGCCAAATATCAACTTTGATTAAAAAGGCAGGATTCAGTAATTCAAATCCACCTGTCCTGCAAAATGGTGTTGCCATCAGCATTTGCCAAACGTAATAATGCCTTACAGCAACACTGTCTTTTGTACTAGTAAGAGGTCATTTGAAAATCAATTGTGCATTCAATTACTTTTCTGTTCCATTTTGAACAGCGTTACTTGTTTCATAATCGTAATGGTTTTATCTGTTTGTATATTTTTTTATAATTGTATATTCTACTGTAACCTGCCCTGGGACCTTATGGTGAAGGACAGGTAAGAAATTATTACAAATAAATAAATACTCACTAGTAGCTATTTACCACCATGAATTTGTGACAGCTAAGGCTCAATTGTTTGCTCAATTTATATCAAATGAAATGGGAGGGGAGAGAGTGACACTGTGCATCAAAACAGGACTACAACACCCATGCCTATCTTAGGCTAAAGTCCTAACCCACTTAGCTGAGAATATGCTCCAATGATTTTAGTAGGACTTAGTTCTGAACAGACATGGTTAGGAGTGAACTGTTAGTAATGAAAAATAAATCCTAAATTTGTGCAAATTCATTTTGAACCCCATGAACTATACTGCAAAATATGGCATTCCTGGATTACATTTAAAAGTATAACACTTAAAATATATTTATTTTATTAGTTTGCAGCATTAAGAACATAATACACACATAAAATATCCCCCCAATGCAGAAGATTAAATTTAGATAATATATCCAAAATAATTTTCAAGTAATTAGTTCAAGTAATAGTTCCTATCCCTGACAACCATTTCTACTGAATGAAGTACAAGCAGGCTTCCTATCCGAACACAATGTGTTTTCAGGAAATTGTTTGTTAGGCAAGCATTTGCACATGGAGCCTGATGATTTCCACTGATTCCTATGGGAAGATTTCTAATGCGTTACCGACCATGTAACTTTTATCCCAAACTGATGACAAAACAAGGAAAATCCTCTGAAACTTTGCAAAAGGAAACAAGGGGGGAAAGAATGCTTTCTTATTTGTCTGATCTCCCCATTCCCCCTGCCATGGTTTCTGGCCAAATGGCTGTTGCTAACCAGTAACACAAAAGAGCAAGGCTTCTTTAAAGATGCTTATTTATTTAGAGTATAATAATAATAATAATAATAATATTTATACCCCACCCATCTGGCTGAGTTTCCCCAGCCACTCAGTACTGCACGCAGGTCCAGCTGTTTGGATATCTGAATGTGCAGTGTGTACAGTGAGGATTGGGTACTAATTCCTCATGTTTGGATAAGTGATTTTTTTGTATAACAAGTGTTTGAATAAAGGGACCAATCCTCTCGTTGTACTATGCAGGTGTACGCCTCCCAGCAGTCATTCCTCCTCTGGTCACTACTGTGAGTACCCAACCTGACTGATTGACTCCGATCCGGTAGTTGTCATCGTAGGGTTAACGTCGTCTGGCTCCGTAGAGTTGGCGTCGCCTGGCTCTGACCTCATCAGCGGAAAAGGACTCTTCATGCTGCTCAGTAAGAAAGGATGCCCACCTAAGCGCCGCAAAATTATTGTGTCCTTCCATGAGATGCGCGGCACCGCCCAGTATGATGACTCAGTATGATGCTCAGATGCCTTCCCGATAAAGGATGGTGTGAAGCAGGGCTGTGATCTTGCCCAAACTCTCTTTAGCATATTTTTCTCCCTGGTGCTCTCACATGCCTTCAGCTCATAGAATCATAGAATCATAGAGTTGGAAGAGACCACAAGGGCCATCGAGTCCAACCCCCTGCCAAGCAGGAAACACCATCAGAGCACTCCTGACATATGGTTGTCAAGCCTCTGCTTAAAGACCTCCAAAGAAGGAGACTCCACCACACTCCTTGGCAGCAAATTCCACTGTCGAACAGCTCTTACTGTCAGGAAGTTCTTCCTAATGTTTAGGTGGAATCTTCTTTCTTGTAGTTTGGATCCATTGCTCCGTGTCCGCTTCTCTGGAGCAGCAGAAAACAACCTTTCTCCCTCCTCTATGTGACATCCTTTTATATATTTGAACATGGCTATCATATCACCCCTTAACCTCCTCTTCTCCAGGCTAAACATGCCCAGCTCTCTTAGCCGTTCCTCATAAGGCATCGTTTCCAGGCCTTTGACCATTTTGGTTGCCCTCCTCTGGACACGTTCCAGTTTGTCAATGTCCTTCTTGAACTGTGGTGCCCAGAACTGGACACAGTACTCCAGGTGAGGTCTGACCAGAGCAGAATACAGTGGCACTATTACTTCCCTTGATCTAGATGCTATACTCCTATTGATGCAGCCCAGAATTGCATTGGCTTTTTAGCTGCCGCGTCACACTGTTGGCTCATGTCAAGTTTGTGGTCAACCAAGACTCCTAGATCCTTTTCACATGTACTGCTCTCAAGCCAGGTGTCCCCATCTTGTATTTGTGCCTCTCATTTTTTTGCCCAAGTGCAATACTTTACATTTCTCCCTGTTAAAATTCATCTTGTTTGTTTTGGCCCAGTTCTCTAATCTGTCAAGGTCGTTTTGAAGTGTGATCCTGTCCTCTGGGGTGTTAGCCACCCCTCCCAGTTTGGTGTCATCTGCAAATTTGATCAGGATGCCCTTGAGTCCATCATCCAAGTCGTTGATAAAGATGTTGAATAAGACCGGGCCCAAGACAGAACCCTGTGGCACCCCACTAGTCACTCTTCTCCAGGATGAAGAGGAACCATTGATGAGCACCCTTTGGGTTCGGTCAGTCAGCCAGTTACAAATCCACTGAGCTCAACTGATGACGGTGTGTACATCCATTCAAGGAGTGACAGGGGTCTGTCCAAACTGGCATATCTCCACACCAAGACAAAAGTGTCTTATCCAAGAGATGTTGTTTGCAGATGACGTGGCCTTGACAGTGCACTCCAAGGAAGCTCTACGGTGTCTCAGAAACTATTCTGCACAAGCCTGCATGGAATTCAGCATTACCAACGCCCTGGGTCAGGATGTCGCCAGCATGCCATGCATCAGCACTAGTGACCACATGCTTGAGGTGGTAGATGATTTTGTCTACCTGAGCTCCACCATAACCAGCAACCTCTCCATCGACACTGAGCTGGACAAGCATACTGGCAAGGCAGCTATAGCAATGGCTTGCTTCTCCAAAAGGGTCTGGGAGAGGGTGACATTAACGACCAATGCAAAAATAAAGATCTACCAGGCTTGCATGTCGAACACACTGCTTTATGGTAGTAAGACTAGTAATGACACCTCAATGCCTTCCACATGTGCTGTGTCAGGAAGATTTTGGGCATCACCTGGCAGGACAGAGTGTCAAATAAAGATATGCTCTCCAAAGCCCACATTCCCAGCATGTTTGCACTCCTGTGTCATCAACGTCTACGCTGACTTGGTCATGTCCCAGAAAGGAAGATGGGAGGATTCCCAAGGTCATGCTCTACGGGGAGCTGGCTTCAGGCACCAGACCCGGTGGCAGACCAGCTCTATGTTACAAAGATGTCTGCAAACATGACATGAAGGCTAGCAACATTAACCCTGCCATGTGGGATGCCCTTGCAGATGACCACAAGCACCTGGCGACAATCAGTCAGGTTGTGTATCCACACCAGAGGACAGAGGAGAAATGACTGCTGGCAGGAGCACAAAAAGAAGAAATGCCATGGTGCATCTGCAGCAGCACAACCAGGTGCCTTCATCTGGCCCAGCTGCAACCAAACATGTCTCGCTCGTATCACTCTGTACAGCCACAGCTCCCCAACAGTTCAACTTTACATCTGAAGGTGCACAATGTTGCCTTTGCAGACATCTTTTTAACGCAGAGTTGGTCTACCAATGGGTCTGATGCCTGAAGCCAGATCCCCATAGAGCATGACCTTACTTTTTCAATTTAATTTATAAAAGTTCTGACTACTTTGTTAGATGGGAATGCCAGTTTCTCTGTATTGTAAATAGCAGATCAACCAATGGCTACTGATGAATCAGTTTCTAATGAGGACAGTGTCATACTTCTTTTCTGCTTTGATAAGGAACATTAGGTTCCTTTGGAATAACTCTTTGGCTTCACTTTCTGTTGGAACATCAAAGCAAGCATGTACATCATCAATAGAAGGGCCCCAACATCCCAAAAAAAGCACTTGAGAAAATGAGGCTACACTCCTTTGCCTATTTTTCTGCAAGAAAGTATCAATGAATGTAACTGGCTGCATTTCTAAACAAACATGCAGAGGATTAAATTGAACCGGACCTACAACGCTAACCCTGCTAATCATGGTTATGAACACAAGCTGTGAACATCCATTAGGTTTTGTAATGTAACTTTTGGTGATGAGGGTTCAAACTGTTTACTATGTGCTTTCCGTGATGCTAGCTGCTTTCTGTCTCAGCAACATCTATGCTGGTTTGGTCCACAGAATGGAAAGTGGCAAGCTCCCCAAGGACATGTTCTACAGAGAGCTGGCTTCAAGCTCCAGCCCCAATGGCAGACTAACTCTGTGTTACAAAGATGTCAAAAAACGTGACATAAAGGCTGGCAGCATTAACCCTGCCATGTGGGAAACACTTGCAGATGACCACAAGCACCTGAGACAATCAGTCAGGTTGTGTATCCACACCACAGACCGGAGGAAAAATGACCACTGGCAGGAGCACAGAGAGAAGAAACACCATGGCACAGCTGCATCAACACAACTGGACACCTTCATCTGTCCCAGCTGCAACAAAACATGTCTCTCCCATATCAGACTGTATAGCCACAGCTCTCCAACAGTTTGACTTCACCCCTGAAGGTGCAGTCTTCCACTGCTTCCGAAGATAGACAAATGCCAACCAGGGAAGAAGAAAAAAACAGGTGTCTTGAGCACATCTATGTGGTGGGAAAATGGCATACAATATATTTATTTATTTAAAAAATTATATACTGCTATCTCGTAAAGATAAATCACAACAGTTTGCAACAATATAACAAAACCAAACAATAATATTATAAAAAAGTTAAAAACATGTTAAAAGCAAACATAAATTAAAACAAAGATCAATAGACCACTGCGGGGGGTGTACTCTTAATTGCCTGCATAGGCCTGGTGGAATAGGAAGGGTTTTAGCAGGTGCTTAGAAGTTGGTACAGAATCATAGAATTGTAGAGTTGGAAGGGACCCCAAGGGTCATCTAGTCCAACCACTTGCAATGCAGAAAGGCTCCCACTAAATATCTATTGGCAGGGTGCTCCACAGGAGTGGACCTATTACACTAAAGGTTTAGTTTTTCACTGTTGTCATATCAGCCTCACAAACTCAAGGAACACACAAATATACTCCTGCAGATAATCTCGGTGTTCGAGCTAGAATAGAAGGGTTTAGGTGAACCTTGATGTATCCTGGATCAAAGTTGCTTAGGGCTTTGAAAATCAATAAAATAACGGTGAACCTGGCTCAGCAGCAGATAGGCAGCCAGTGTAGCTGTTTTAATAATGGTGTCTTATGTTCTCAACCAGAAGCTCCCATCAGTATTCTTGCCACAGCATTTCGCACAAGCTGTTGCTTCCTAACCAGACCGAAGGGTAGCCCCACATAGAGTGCATTGTAGTAATCCATCCCCAAAGTTACTCATGCATGGAACAGTGGTCAGGTTATCCCTGCCCAGGAATGGATGTAGTTGGCGAACCAGATGAAACTGCTAAAAGGCACTTGCAGCTACAGAGGCCTCTGGTGACAAAGATGTGTATCCCAGAGTACACCCAAACTACACAGATTGCTCTGAAGAGATTGCTCCTTCAGAAGGAGTGCAGCTCCCATCCAGAACAGGCAACTTGCCAATTTCCTAAACATGGGAACCACCCACCCAAAGGGCCTCCATCATCCCAGGATTCAAACTCCCTCTCCCCACCTCATCTCTTGCCAGGCTTTGCCTGCAACAGATCATGACAGTGGCTCCTATAACCAACTTCTCCTTAGAACCAGCTTGACTCAGTAAATGCAGCACTGAACCACGGATTATTATTTATGAGTCATTTTTCTATTAATTGAAATACTAAAGTGATATATAATTAAAACAACATAAACAAATTTGGAAAATTAGAAAAATTATTGAGAATGTGAAATGTGATATAAAAGTAAAATGATTGTGTTTGTAATTTGAAAAAACAGCAACATAAACAACAATTCATTACTTGACCATAGCTAAGTAATTACTTTGCACCCTTAGATTCACAAGTGTAAAATGGGAATTAAAGTGATCTACTTTAGACTAGAGGGCAACTGTATGGAGAATGGAAAGCAAGACAGAGTAAGTGACACATAGATCATTAAACAAAGAAAGATTGCTTAACTTAGATCTATCTGAAAATCAAGGAAGTTATGGAAAGTAAGAGATTCTAAATACCAGAGATTGCCAGAGTAATATTTTCAACATCCCAACTTCAGTTACATTTTGACCTCACTGAGCATTCAAAAATACAGTTTCTCACACCCAAGTAGCATTCATCTCACATTTAAAATTTTGACACTTTGTGTCGTTCTGAGCTTCAAAGAACTGAAAGTATTCTGTTACCCTGAAATATTTCAAAACAATTACAGACTCAGAAAAACTCTAATGCTGATATATAAGCCTCCCATACATGCTGCTGACTAAAGACATAGTCATTGTCCCCAGCTTATTGTTGGCTTTTATTAAATTTTATTATTTGTTTTTAGTCACCCTGAATGGCACAAGGAAGGGTGGAATATAAATATTATAAATAAATAAAACAGACATTTATATTAATTTTGCACTCTACCAGTACCCCCAAAATCTTTAACCCTTGGATTTACTTCTTTCATAATAAACAGAAACACATAAATACATTCCTGTTGTCCTGCTATTCCTCAAGAAAACACGCAAAGAAATGCCCTATTAAAATTTCTACAAAATACATGTATTTCAATTCATAATTCTTATTTCCCAATTTCTGAGCTGTAGCTGTAGTTGCCCCTCTCTTGTTGCTTTTTGTGTATACCACAAGAGTCCTTGTTTCTGCTAATGCCAAAGCCGGAATCACTCTTAATAAAGGCCATAATATTTTGAGAAGCTTTTCTCTATCTGTAACTGTCTCACTGTATTTACAGGCGCTCACGTTTTCTATGAAAGGCAGGGGAATTCTCCCTATTTGTAACTCTCTTTCCTCAAAGCAAAATATTTATTGGCATCAGTAGTAAGTGCACTGGAGTTTATTTGAATCTATCCTCAGGAAAGTGAACGAAACCCATGTTTCTATTTTAATCCTATTTTAAACAAAGTTAAAGTAATTTTAACACTGAATACTTTAAGCTCATTTTGATCTTTTTCGCAGCTGAACCAAGACATTTAATCTGACCAACTGTTACTCTTTTATAATCCATATTGCAAACATGCTGCTGACTAAAGCAATAGTCACCGAGCGCCCAACTTGAATCAGCTATACTGTATAGATTTCTAGAATCAGCTGCGATTCAGCCTCTTACATGTTCACTAGCGAGGAGAAAAGGATCCCCGTGTAAACAGGTAGGGAAGAAGGAGAGCAGGTGCGCGGAAGCAAAGAGCCAGCTGCCTCCCGGGGGTCCCAAGGAGACGCTCCGGAGTCAAACCGCTTTTCGAGACGCTCAGCGCCCTGGGCGAGGCGGCCCCGATCCCGAGTGGAAAAGGCCAACGAGGCCCGTCCGACTCTCCCCGCCCCCCCCCCAGCCCAGCAGCGCCCGCCTTCCCCCTGAGGTGCTGGCTTTCTGCTTGCAGGGACCACCGGGTAGCTTGGGGGATTAAAAGCGGCCCCTCCATCCTTCCCTGCTTCTCCTCCTCCTCCTCCGCCTGAAAGCGTCGCCGTCCTCCCCGGCCCGCCGTCACGTGTGGACGCGGCCGCTTCCTCGGCGCGTGGAGGAAGAGCGGGCGCCGCGCAGGCCCGGCCAGCGGGGCGGGCGAGGGGCTTTGCCGCCCCAGCCTTCGCCTGGCTGCCTCCCGGGAGACGCGCGGCGGACCTTGGACAGCAGCAGCAGCAGCAGAGGCGGAGGAGGAGGCGGCTCCCTGGCGACCCCGCTCCCTCAGGCGCTGCACCTGCCTCCGCCGCGCGGCTCCCCCTCGGCCAGGGACGAGGCCCGGCAGAGGCGGAAGGAGAGGTGGCCTACCTCGCAGGGCGCCCGGCGGAGGCGACCACCAAGACGCTTCCCCGCCGCCGCCGCCGGATCCGCGCAGCCTCCCGCCTCTGCCCCTCGCCGCGCCGGCCCAGTCAGTCAGTCAGTCAGTCAGCCGAGGGCGGGCGCGCTCTCGCTCCTCGCTCGCTCGCTGGCTCTTTCCGTGGCCGCGCCCGGCGCCAGCCCCGCGGGACGACGCTGCGACGGGCGGCCCTGTGTCGCGAGGGGAGGAGCCACGGCGAAAGGACCGCCCAGCAGGCGCGGCTGAGGCGCGCATGCGTGGCTGGGGGTGCGCGCCCTCGGCTCTCTGTCTCCCTGCCGCCTCTGGACCCCGAGAGGAGTCCGCGCGCGAGGCTCTCCGTGGGCGGGAAAAGGGTCTCTCTCGGGCGGAAGGCCCCGTGGGAGCGGCGAGGGGGCAGCCGCTGCTCTGGCGCTCCCCCCCCCCCGGAACCGGCCCTTCCTTTCGGTTCTGGCAGGGAGCGCGCTCTCTTCCCCCCTCTTGCGCCCCGCTTTTCCCTCAGAAGAGCCCCCTCTCCCTGTAATCGAGGATTATCCTGCCGGGATCCACAGGGGCTCGCCAGATCCGCCTCTTAGTCCCCACACGATCCCAGGAGCGCGACGTGGAAGTGTGTGGACATCTGCAAAGGTCAGGGATGCTTCTCAAACCGCCAAGAGGCAAAGCCAAGGAGTCCCAGATGCGCGGGGCGCCAGTTCTCAACAACAAATGCATCAGACACGGTGTGCAACCCAAGTGAATCACTATTTTAAGCCATTGGGGGGGCGAGATAAAACCCATTCTTAAATCTTTCCTACTGAAAATGACCTAAAAGTGTTACATTTGGACAGATCGCTCCCATAGCTAATGTTGCATCATCTCACTATTTGCAGCAAGCATATACATTCTTTTCCACGGTTAACTTTTGTATACCTCAGAGCACCAAAGTTTATTTCCTAATTGCTTACTGATCTGCTGGTGAAGCAAGTTTTCTCCTGACTCCCCTGTGAACCATCAACATATCCTTTAACATCCTTTTGACACTAATCAATAAGTTACTTTTTTTTTTTTTAGCTATTTACCCACAACCTAAAGCTATCCTCCCCCCGCCCCAATGAAATGTTCCTATAAATGCAAGGCCATCTCTTTTCTCTTTTCTGCCTGGAGAGGAACAGATTGCTTTTGCCAGAGGTCAGATGTGATGGACTTGAGAGGGCTCCCCTGCTTTCCACCATTCTGTCTGTCTTGACTGCCCCCACCCCTGTTTCTTTTTCATCCTGCCTTCCTAAACTTTCTCTCCAGGCTTCCCCTATCAGCATAAAATTAGGCAGAATAAGCTTGGTTCCCCACCCCTAGCCAATGGGGGGGGGAGGCAAGCAGTTGTAGACAACCTTATTTTAAAAGTTCTCTTCATGTAACTTTAGTACAGTTACATCCTCTGTATATCATTTATATCAGGAGTGTGGAGATGATAAATTACGCTGTACCATGCAGCACTGGTGCCTGCTAGTTGATGAGGCTCTTGCAAATAAAGCTACTGGACTTTAGCAATGTGCTTCTTATGCTCTTGGGCAAAGTGCAAGCCCAGGTTGATACAAAGCAGTTATGCCTTTACTATTAAGAGAACTTCTGTGTGCATTCTTGCTTTGTCAAATTTAAGTCAACTGTCCCTTGATTTATATCAGAGACCGTTGGGTCATGAGGCCACCAGCTTTGGGCAAAGCTGTTGCCAACAGTTTGGACTCCAGCTAAGGTTGCCCACACCAAAGGGACCCTCCATTTGACATCTGGGATGGGACACAATCTTCTGATGAAACACTTGTTTTATCCACAAAGGTTGCAATGTGCCCAGAGAAAGGCACAACCCTTTTTCAATTAGATGCATGTTTCTGGCTGACTGTATTCTCCACCTTTCTATAGCTTTATATCTACCAAGAGAGCTCTGTATAATAAAGGGGCTCTATTCACTCCCTGTTTCCATGGCTTTCTACCCTTCTCCCAGAAGCAGAAGCATGTTGGAAACAGATGCTGCAGCAGGGCTTCTTGGTTGCTCATCATGGCAGTGCCAGGGAGCCCAGGAAGTGGTGGCAGGAGCCCAGTGCCTGCAGAACAGGGCCGTCTTTACCTGGGGGTGGAACCCAGGCGCTGAATTCTGGGGAGCGCCACCTAAGCTCTTAACTATCTACCTGTTATGAAATAATAAATAATTTTCATCAAGCTAGAAAAACAAAATACATATATACCTAGGTATTACCGAAATGTATACCTTACTGTTTCACTAAAAGACTTTCGACTTTGTGCACTCATTTAACAAAGATGCGCCGCACCAGCAGCGGCTCTTGTCATTCACAATTGCGGCGCTTGTCAGACTCAACGACAGCACTTGTCATTCTCAATGACGCCGTGCACTCGAAATTAACTCTTACATCAAAATTTGTTATGTATTGTATTTAGCTACACTGCTATGTGGCAGCAGGGTGAGCAGCACCTTTGACACAACTGATGTTTCTCCTAAGTAGGTGCCTAAACAATATTTATAAGTTTAAGTGTGGTATTGTTGTATTCTTAAGTATAAGTGTATTGTAAATAAATGAGCAAATAAAAAAGTTTGCTTCCTTTCCCTCCCTTTCATAAACAAGAGATAAGGCATAAGCATGGTGTCAGACATAAGCATAATAAAAATTAATTTGGGGGCTAAACTAAATTTGGGGGTGCTGGGCGGATCTTTGCACCCTGGTGGCACATATGCTAAAGAATGCGCTGCTGCAGATTGTGGGAGTCGAAGCGAGTGGGGACATCACATCCTCACCCCACTGCATGCAACCTGCAATAGCACTGGACCAGGGGAAAAGTTCTCTGCGGGACCAAAAAGGGGCATCCATATAGTAGGCATCTTGCTTTATAGCTAGCAAGTTCCTCGTGCCTCACGTTGTCCTGCCTCTGCTTTGCTTTCCACAGCTTAACCTAGACACGCATGTTGCCACTTCACATCCCAGACCACATGCACCTCCCCCCAGCCAGCCCCACAAAGGCTCTGCATTCGAGCTCATGTGTTCTGGTGAGATACAAGGGGGAAATGCTGTGTATATGACTATAGTAGTAGTAGTTTTCAATTTATATACCGCCCTGTATCCAAAGATCCCAGGGAGGTGTACATCATTAGAAACACATGACGAAACATCAATGATAAAAACATAATAAAAAGCACACTGGCAGCCTAATAATGAAATAGTCATCGTAATACCAGTCCTCTCCCCCACGCTTTCACAGGCCATTGATTATTTAATAGCCATAGGCCTGGGTAAAGATGAATGTTTTTGCCTGGCGCCTAAAGACATGTCACGATGGTGCCAGGAAAACCTCTCTGGGGAGTTCAGAAAAGGCCTGTTCTCTTCTTGTCACCCTCCGAACCTCTCTGGGAGGGGGGCATAGGGAAGGGACCCCAATGACAAGTGCAGGGTCCTGGTCAGTTAAGCAGCCCTTAAGGTATTGAGGTACTGAGCCGAGTAAGGCTTTAGAGGTCAACACCAGCACTTTGAATTGGGCCCAAAAACTAATGGGCAGCCAGTGACAGGGTTAGTGTCATACAGGGCCGTAGCCAGGGGGTGGTGAGGTGGGCCCCCACCAGGGACGCAGGCAATGGGGGGGCACAAAATCGGCTAAAAATATGTCCATAAATATTGATTAGTGCCTCATAAGAAATGGTTTTAAATAGAGGGTGAATTGAATGGGGGGGGGGGTTTGGAGGAGAGGCGGAAAGAAGAGCCAATTTGTGGCTGGGGGACACAATCTTGACGGTTCTGCCAGGGGCGCAAGATCACCCAGCCACAGCTCTGGTGTTATATGCTCAAAGTGTCTTGTTCTGGTGCACACTCTGGCCATTGCATTTTGCACCAGCTGTGGTGGGAGTAGATTTTAGTGGAGAGTGGAGAGGGACTCTAAACTGTTTCTATTTGCTTTATGGAAGTGTGATGGAATGCCTATAGGAAAGTCAACAGCATCAGGTGAAAGGAAGTAGATAGGAAGAAGACAGGAAGGCAGAGTAAGTGAGAAGGTAGAAGAAGCTGTGAGTTGAGTAATTCGTGAGAGAGAGAATTGTGAAAGAGGAACTAGGTAACAGGACAGGGAGAAAAAGGCACCAGCAGGCAATGGAAAAGAGAGAGAGAGAGAGAGTGCAAAAGGAAAGATAGACACTAGTTTTTATTTAATAGCAATGTGACACTTTACTGCACTGTGAAATACCATTTTAGGATTAACAGTGTGCATTATTAGCATTATTAAGTATAAATAAAAAGTTAAAATGGGTCCCATGTTGGGAGTCAGAAGTTGGTCTTGGGTTTGGACAGATTGCTGGCTTATCTCAATTCATAATAGAAGGCCTACAAGTGCTGAATCCTGTCATTACAGTTTGCAAACTGGAGCTGTGAAAAAATATATGTAGAGGGGAGGGCTTTCTCTCTGATCCCACTCCTCCCCAATGCACTTTCACATGTCTGAATTGTGCTTTTGTAATTTACAACATTAACTTCAATTTAGATAGCGTGCTCTGCCTCTAAGCTCCTGTCTTCGTTGACCTCTTAGGCTGCAGCATTCTTATTGGTACTCAGTTTACATTAGACCCGTCCTCAGGGCTGAAGCCTCCCATATGAGAAAAGTGTTTTTATCCAGGTTCCTAACAAAGTACTTTTAAATTGTTATTTGCAAAGTTAGTTCATTCTTTCAGACTTAAAACTTGTTTAATTGAAGCTTACTGAAACTACCAAGTTGATTTCAATTTTAAAAGTGAAAGTGGTACTTTTCTGCTGGGTATCGTGTCCGGCTGTTGAAGGAGAATCCTGCTGACAGGAATGTTTGCACAAAATGACAGCTTCGGACTTCTCTTTTATTCCAGCTGTTTCTTATTACTTTCAGCTTTTGCAGGCACTTAAAATAATGCCATTCACTATGCTTTGCTTCTTTAAGACTCCATTCTCTGGAGATAGTAGATAATTTATAATTTCTTGTCTCCAAAGGCAGGTAAGATTGGGATCATGATGGGAAGAATATCCATCTCTCCTTGATTGGTCCTGCTTTTCAATATGCAACTGTAAATGTTTGTGTAATCGGTCCTCCTTTTAGAGCTATGATGATATATAATTCCAAATAAATATACCTATTCACTCATTGTCAATGTTAGTATTTTTGTTGACTGACAAATAATGTTGTTTATTTGCTTCATGTACTTAATGTGGTTTTAAATATGCCCAAGAGACTCTCTTATTCTAAACACATTAAATCAATATAATTTACTTTCAGCTAATGGCCAGGATCCAAAGCGCTGCACAACTAGTTACATGGCAGGGGGCCACTTTCGGCAAATGTTTCTTCAACAGAATCCTTGCAGGTCACAAGACAAGCCAATTGTGAAGCAGAGCAAAGAGGATTGTGAAGTAGCCTGGCTTTGCAATGTTCAGTGAGAAGAAACATTATTTTGAAAATAATCTGGGACTATCTTTATAGACTTTGAAATATCTCTTTGGATCCTGGCAAATGTATTTGACCCCAGTACTGCTGGTAGAACTGTCTTTTTACCCCTTGGATTATCTATCTAGTCTTGCAGAATATTTCTTTGGCCATTCACTCTGTAACTAGACTTTGTTGCTGTTTAAGGATATAATTTAAGAGCCTCATCCGCCTGCATATTAAGAATTGAGCTGCCTCATTCCACTTCAGTGAAGCAATAAAATGTTTTCTGATGAATCACAGTGAATGCCAGATGAATATTTATAGACATCTTAAGTTTTCTATAGACATCTTAAGTTTTCTTAAGTTTTTCCAACCAGATCTACAGGGTATATTTATTATTATTATTATTATTATTATTATTATTATTATTATTTTAAAGAGGAGTAAGCAGAAACTTTGATTCCAGGGTTTGAAATTGACCTCAGGTTTGTTTTTGGTTACAGCTCATTGTTAGTCTGGAGAGAGTATAAACAGAAGCCTGGGTTCAGATGACTCACTAAGTTGAACCTTTGCTTAGCTCATGGAATGCAGTGGGGCTTACTTCTGAGTAATGCACAGAAGTTGCCACGCAGGACAGTTAACAAGGGCCCACCTAAATTTACAGACCTTTGAGGAAAGATTATTTCCTTCCCCCCAGCTTATTTACTTCTCCATCTTTTTTTCTAGAATGTGGAAAGTGATGTGTGGCTACTGCATAGAGTAGAAGCAGGCAAACCAGGGTACCACTCACCACTCAACCATGAAACTCCCTGGGTGACCTTGGCCAGTCACTCTCAGTCTATCCTTACAGAGTTTTTGTGAAAAGGGGAGGAGATCCACCAACGCCTCCTTGAGCTTTTTGGACAAAAGGTGGAACTGATCTTAAAAGTAATAATAAAAATAAAAAGTATGTGTCCACAAAATTTTTAGCAGGGGCAGAAAATAGTACAGGCGCCTGCCTGGTGTCAGTAGACAGGAAGTTCCAAAGCACAGGTTCGCTGTCACGCTAAGGAATCCTCCACAGATGCAGAGGGGGTCTTATACGGCACCTGTGGCGCTTCCGGTTCCACTGACCGAAGCAGCGGATGGGTACATGGGTGGGAAGGCAATTTCCCAGGGAAACTGGTCCCAAGTTGTCAAGGGCTTTCTGCTCTAGTTGTAACTCCTTGAACTGGCCTGGTAGCAAATCAGCAGTCAGTGAGGGTCTCCGAGCAGAGGAGTTAGATGCTGACAGGATTTTGTGGTTTCCCTCAGGTGCCAAAATGTATTGGGCTGGCCCTGGTTCCAGTATAATGGACTGATTTGCAGCCCATATTATTGTAGCTAGCTGATTTAGTCAACCCTGGCTGCATGCACCCAGCAAAGGTAAATGGACTTGCTACACTCATTTCCTTGCTTTCCCAAGTGTGAAGGTAACTTTGCTTGTGGCACTGCAGCAGCAGCAGCAGGGATGGGAAGGGGCATCTGCAGTTTTGGCAGCATGCATTAGTGCACTCTGTGTTCACCTTTAAAGTATAGTTTTTACCTTAAGCAAGGTGGTACCAATAGGAATCGCCATAAAGACTTTTAGGGGTTATGTCCTCCTTCAAGGGTATATTTCTGGGCTCCTTTATTTGAAATAAAATGCTGTGATTAAGGTTGGTTGTGTGCCAATGCACTACTGCCCTTCAGGAACCACATTGTGCTGCAAGTGCCGGCTGGTTCTTTGGCAATGCACATCCCAAGTGGCAGAATCCTTGAGAGTCTTATGACTGGTAATGAGATAGGGAGTAGATGGACCACAGATCCCAGCAAATCTGTCATGTCCTATGTCATCTGTCTGTGGTCTCCCTTCTAAACCAGAGATGGATGGAAATAGGAAATGACTCCGTTGTCCCATGGAAGCAATGTAAAGAGACTGCAAAGCCCTGTGCCCATGATGTGACTATACACCAGACCTGACGTCTGCCAGTTATTCATAAGTGGATCCATGAACAGCAAAAATATCTGTTAGGCAGGATGTGTTAGTTTGAAGAGAGAATCTTCTGGGTGACTTACTGTACTTCCCACTCTCTCAAGAAATGTCTGCTTCAGGTTTGTCATGTGCCTTCCATCAACAAGTGTCAGATTCATGACATGATCACAAATATAAACAGTGGAGAAACACACATGCAGAGTAATGCAAAACTTCACCCCACTTTTCCAAGCAAGTAGAAGTGCTGGGGTATTGTTGATGTTGTTGGCATCTGTCTGTCTCAAGAAAGAAAGGAGAATGTCTCAGTGGATGAAGTCAAACTGCTGTGTCAGCAGCACTGAAGTGACTTCCTGGGGCACAAGCTTGGGCTGTGTGTCTAGAGATCCTGGGCTGCCCATGACAAGACCCCCCCCCCCCCGCCTCACTGATGTGGTCCAATGGAAAGCAGAATAACATGTTCGGCTCAGCTTGGCTGCAGGAGTTGTGGGAAGGAGGGATACAAGGTGCCACCCAACAGACTTTGGGACTCCACTCCAGATTTTTGTAGGGTTTACTCATTAGCCTTTTCTTCTCCTGAAGATATCCCACATGGCAGCAGAGGGTTAGGATCAGAGTTTTCCTTCTCCTAGATGGGCTACCTTCCCAAGTGGATGAGCCCCATCTGCTCTCACCTCCCTCTATAGCATGTGCAGAAACTGCCTTCTTGACCATTGGATCCACTCTTGGTCTCCTCCGCTCAATCCACTGGAGCCTGTCTTCACATGCTGGGGATGTCTCTATCTTATCAAGGGTGTGAGACCCATGGGCTCCCCTCACCTAGTTTAGCCAGCCAGTGTAAGCTGTTTCCTGTCACATATAGACAGCTTCTAGGAGCCGCAGGTGAGAGCTGAGTGCAGGGTGGGAACCAAAGGTGGTCAAACTACCCCAGAAGGAGCACAATGTATCCCTCACCAGAGGTACTACCCCTCCTCTAACACCCCATACAGCCCAGTGCCCCTGAGAAGCAGGATTCTTACCTCTACCTTTCACAGAAGGAAATGAGAGCTTTTGTAGTGTTAGATTAATCTCTGTACTATGTCTTTATATAACAGAAATGACTACTTTTTAACTTCATTTGAAATAAAGCTCAGTGCACACACGTTGCGTTTTCTTGCAGCGCAGCAACGAAGGGTAGACTCCAGAAGGGCACTTTAGGTTAGACGCTGTTCTGTATGAAGCGTATTCCTTCTCCCTGCTGCTCCCTGTCCGTCCTTCTCCTTGCCAATGCCCTTCCAAGGACAGGCAAGAATGACTGTGAGCGCTGCTGCGTCTTGGCTTGCCAGACTGCTGCTTCTGAATGATCCGTCATGGCAGGTTTTCAGGCAGCGGTAGCTTCAGAACCAGGCTACAGAAAACAGATGTATTTAAACTAAAAAGGCAGGCCAAGCTTTGAAGCAATAGTAATTAAAACAATTTGATTTATTGAAAATGCAGGAATCAGATGCAATGCATTACATCTGCATAGATGTGTCTGCACCTGCTGGGAATAGCTGCACTGTCTGTGCGTCATCTCCATGTGGTGTCCCGTTCGTTGTCCTGGAAAATGTCACTGTCTCAATCAAGACAAGCATCCTGCAGTCTTCTTTGCACTGTCTGAACAGCATCTCTAGGAATGTTGCCTTGCCAAGCTTCCTGCTTTTAAACTGCAGGTGGAGAGGAAATTTGAATGCAAGTGGGCACCCCAGACTATCATTTCCACTGGCAAGGTAGAACGCAGTTGAAAGGAAGAGTAAGCCCGGACTAGTGCCTTCGTCATGTTTCCTTCAAATTTGTCCTTCATTTGTCTTTCCTTATTTTATTAGCTAAGTTTCTAAGATTTTTGGAAACCATATATGATGCCAGTGAAGAAAAAGAAGCTATAAGCTGCTTGAGATTTGGGGTGGAGGGAAGGGCAGACTTTACCAGGCCGCAGAGAGCCAGATGGTCCCTGCTCAGGCTGCAATCCCATCACCCTGAGGAACAAAATGAGGCAAAATTGCCACTGAAGATTTTTATGGGAACTTGTTCCATAGGTAACTATTGTCTAGATCTCATGCAAATTGCTGGAGCTGATCAAGACCAGTGTTTGAGCAGAACAGGCACATTCTGCGCAGCCAGTTGCTGGCCCAACTCCTTCCTTGGAGCAGAGAATGTGCTTGCACAGTAAAACTACAGTAGGACTTGCAGTTTTTGAGAGAGGGAAGCCCCAAACTCCCGTGCCATTCTCTCTCAAGAACTTCCTGTCTTCAAGTTCCTTATGAATAAGCAGGAGGCAGGTGCTACAAAGGACAAGGCGCCATCGTAAGCAGGGGCATTGATCCCAGGGGCAGCAGGAGCCTGCGTTACAGAATAACAGCACACCAACTTTGTGTGAGCAAATATTTATCTCACAAACATACACAGCATGAGGCCATGCCCCGCTGTAAAGACAAATCAGGCTTCTGTGTTTTGAAAGCTACAAAATGTATTAGCACAGGGCTTTTATTATTTGCCAACATGGAGCCATATGTCTAGGACTTGTGGAGTTTGATGAGGCCACTTTCTGCCATCACGGCCACCGTTTGTCTCCCAACCCTCCTGCCCAGGCAGTTCTCCTGCTGAGGCAGAATCTGCTGCTCACTAACTGCCACAACAGCTGCCAAGAAACCAATGCAGAGCACAAAATGTGGGCTATTGTGCACGTTAAACTTCAGTTCTGTTTCTCCTTCCAACATCAAACCTCAGCTAACATAAAGGTTGGAAAACACAACCTGCTCTAAGAGGGAACTAGCTGAGTGAGCCAGGAGAGCTTGCAGATTGCTGCCCTCCTATTGATTTGTGGATTTATTAAATTTCCATCCTGCCCTTTGTCCCAAAGGAGCCCAGGGCAGCAAGCACCAAAGTGATAAAACAATAGAACGAAGCTCCTGCAGGTTCTAGGAGACAGTAGGGTGGGGAGTGGGGAGTCCACAGACCCATCCATGGGATGAATTGTAATTCTATGTTGTGAACTGCCCTGAGATCTGAAGGGTGACATACAAATTTAATAAAAAACCACAGCCTCTTCTTCCACCACCTGGCATGCATTCCTCCATCTTGGACTGCCCTGACTCTCCCTGCTGGACAGCGTCAAACCCCATAAATTTCTAGTCACTCTCCTGGCCTCCTGCCTTCCCCCCACACCCTGCCAGTCATTCACACTGGACCTGGTCCAGGACCACCCACTTGAGAACCTTGACCAAGGGAAAGAGATTGTCAACTGGCTGGCAATTACTCCATTAACCTCTGAGGGCCAACCATTCTGTAAGAGAGGGAAATATGCTAAGAACCTCAACCACAACAGGAAGTGATCTGACCATGACAAAGGACTGTTGTTGGTACCCCCCACTTTCAGATCACCCTCTTCCTGCCCAGTTGAGAAAACAAGGTCCATAGTGTGGCCTGCCACATGTGTTTGATATGTTGTGACAGCCCCGGGGCCTGAGTCACCCCAGAGCTGACCACCTCAGCATGACCCTCAGGATCAGCAGTTTGGCTGTCCTCAATGCCACCTCTGAGACCAGCTCTGTCAGCTCAGGCAAGCAGACTGCAGGGCAGCGAGATGGGTGGTAAGCCAGCAGCATCCCTCATTTGTCCCAGTTTACCCAACACTAGGAACACACCCTCTAGAAAGTTGTGAGAAACAGTATTTTTCAGCCATCAAATGTCTGGGCAAACAGGAATGTTTTTAAGTTCCTCCTGAAAATTATACTGAGGGAGACAGAAAGCAAACGGGTTAGGCTCTGTCAAATTGGTTTCATGCCAGCAGCAATATTGCTGCTGCTTTTTATTCAGGAGAAAGACTAAGAGAAGAACCAAATTCTGGTTTGAAAGGATAGCCTGTTTGCCTAATGAAGGACCCCATGACCTCAGTGGCAAGACAAAGAAGCCTGAATCAGGACAGCGCGGAATGTGTGTTTGGATAGGGGGGGCGGATAGTGTTTTCCTTCACCATGGGACTGCAGGTCAAGTAGCACCCTAATGGAAGCGAGATATTAAATGCAACTGTGGTAGATCACAATTCAGGCGCACACATTCTACTTTTAGTATTGATCATTGTACATACATCATCTCTGGTGTATGCCTGCTCTCTAAGGACATTTCTCCAGCAATCTCTCTCTCTCTCTCTGTATAGTAGTTTACTTGCTAACTGATTTGAGCAGGGGAAGCAGACCCTGTGTGCATCAGGGAAGACCACAGCAGGTCCCTGTGAAGCTGTGGGGGCCATGGTGGGGCCCCATACTATAGATCTTAGCCTGCTTTATTTCCACACTTGTTTTGCTTGGCCCTGAAGAGGGACCACAACAAACCGTCTTTCGTTTGTGAAGCATCACTGTACTGGGACTTCTCACAAACACCTATGCCACACTGTATAAAACAGAAAGCCATATCTCGCCCCTGTATGCCTTTCCATGCCACATGCCCCTGCAAAGGGCAATAGGAGTGGGAGGGTCTTCAGTCCTATGGAAAGTGGGCAGTGCTTGAAAGGTCACTTTTGAAACATCTGTGGACATACACCTTCACATCTGTGCAGACAGTTACTACGAGCTAATGGAGAGAACATTCAAACCATCAGGCCAAATGGAAAGACAAAGACCATGGTCAAATCACTGAGCTGGTGCTTCCTTCTGAAAATCCTGCTCACACCCAAAGCTCATCAACTTTCAAAAACAATGGTAGGACGTGCTTAGATTTGGCCAGTGTTTGGTGCTCTGTGTACGCATCCATAGCAATGATAGTTCTTTAATATGTCATGTTATATTTAGACAAGTCTAGAAAGTTCGTATGAGTTTTAATATTAATCTATTCTATTGTGGTTTTAAATTCCTGTATGTTTTAAATTACGGTTGGAATTTTTTAGTGGATTTTTAAAATTGTTTTATCTTTTTTGTAAGCTGCATTGAGGGTTTTTTCTACCACCAAGTGGTATATAAATTTTATGAAATCCATCTATCAGTGATTCACTGCAGTGGCTACCGAGTGCTCAGTGGCGGCTGCTGCACATTTGCTTATTTTCCTCCAAATTCCTTGTTCATCCTTCCTTCTGTTTAGCCTCTCCTCCTCCTCCCACAGCATCAGCTCCGTTTGTCTTTCTGCCGGCCTCTGCGATTCCTCAGCAGCAGAAGCACCTGCACCAAGGCAGCCGCAAGATGTGCAACTTCTGCCCATCTGCCACTGAAGCACACAGCAAAACAGTATGGTAATTTTAACCTTTTTCATCTTTCCAGATTTCTCTGGCAGTGTCCCTTCCCCCTTCCACACACACACAATTAACAGTGCACAGGCTATCCCGTTGTGACGAACAATAGCAACAGTGTTCATTTTATTAGGAAATTAGTCCAAAGCCCTCATTAACAAAGGGCTCAGCAAGCCTTCGAGCTGCAGCCGGCTTCCATCCTGCAAACGGTCTGGGCAACGGCCCTTCATTGTGGTGGCCGCATGAGATACTCTGACTGATGGGCTAACCCAACTCTGAGCGTGACAGCGGGTTGTCTCTATAGAAACTAAGGCAGGCTGGCTTTTGCTATTTTTAGCTGCAAGGACTCAGGGGCGCCCAGCACATCTCCATGAAGCTGCATCATCTTGCATAGTCACAGGGAACCTTTTGGAGCAGAGAAAAATAATGGAGAAATTGTTCATTTCCCAGAACTTAACATGAGTGCTGCCATTTGTAGAGCCATTTTACAAGAAATGAATGGAGTAGTTTGTGTACTCTTTCCCACACAATCAAATTATACATATAAGAATCTCACTCTATGATTCTGCTTAGTTATAATCCCCTCACCCTGAAAAAGAGTCGTGCTGGCACATGGGGTGGCAAGGTCTTGGGGGTGTGTATCTGAATCTGGGCAATTCGTCAGTTGCTTGCTTTGGATGGGGTTCTACTCTCCCTGAAAGAGCAGCTTTGTAGTTGGGGTGCTAGAAGGGGGATCATTGGTTTGTTTTTGTTCTTATTTTTATTATGTGTTTTGTATACTGTAATTTTATGTTGTGAAATGCCCTATGGATAAAGGGCGGTATACAAATTTAATATATAATATAATTAAATAAACAAACAAGGTTCAGGTGACCTCATTGGCTGTACGAAACGCCTTATAGCTGTTTTGGCTGGTAAGAACTACAGTATAGCCATTTCTGGCCTAGCATTGCCTGACCACTGTTGCTTTTTTATACTAAACTTTATTGAGAGTTTTCAACAAAAGATACAGTAAAAACCAAACCAAACTAAAGAAGAAGAATAAAAACAAAACAGGGAGAAGAGAAAAATAAGAATATGAATAAGAGAGAGAAACCCTATATGTATATTGAATACCAAGCCCTCCATCACAATGATATGTTGAGCCTTATTCCACATACAGAAGAGTGAACCCTCCCAGCTCTCACCTGGGAGCTTCCCCCTCTTCTGTCAGCTCCACACCTGAAGAAACCTCTCCGACCCGCCTCTCAGGCAGGTCCCTTTCTCTTCGATCCATATCCTCTCTGTATGCAGCTTCATTTAACCCAAATATCAATCTTCAAAGAGCAAAACATACATGTAAATAGAATGAAGAGAGAGCTATCAAGGGTTTAAAATCTGAGAAAAAGCAAGATAAGAAGGAGGGGAAAAAAGATAGTCTTCCGATTCTCTGTCTGCCAATTATGTATGTAACAATTATTCAAAATATTTAGAGTATGCACTCTAGGATAATTTCCAGCTGTATTGCTATCCAGCTTTTTCTCATTCTTCTAGATGGCCTTTTCTCAACGTTCCTTTCTAGGCATCTCAAATTCACCCTTTTCCATGCAAAAAGTCCAAAAGAGCTCTTCAATTATTATTATCTTCAGGTGTCAAAATGGTCTTTCTCTGTTTCGTCATTGATGGGTTTCTCCTCTAGAATTCCAACATATCTTAATAATACAATAGTCCATACTTATTTGCCTGTTACATCTTCATTAAATCATATTTCATCCTTGTTTCCTGTCAGTTATGATTTGTTCCAGTTAAGAAAAAAGTTATTTCCCCCACTTTTCCCCAGGAGATGAGAGGCTTTTTCTGCTTGGATATTCATTTCACTCTCTACCCTCTGTAGTCCTATAATTTGGTCATAATTTCATTTATCTCTTCTGATGTTACATCAGCTTCCTTTGCTTGCTTTCACACCTTTAGACCGCTGTAAAGCTGTCTCCCATTTGCCACCTGATGTTTCTTTGTGTTTAGGTAAAATTCCAAGTCTTCTTCTGCAGTTTCTCTACATTTTTTCATCTGCTTTATATGTAGTCCATTCTGCCTGGACATTCCACACAATTCATCTCTTAGCTCTGCTAGCTGTTCTTTGAACGGTCATTGTAAAAGCTCAAGAATCAGTTAAGCATTCCATATTGCCATGATTGACTGGCTCTCTCCACTTTCCAGAACGTATGACATAGATAAAATTCAGCTTTCGCTTTCAGTCAACTCAGCACAAACAGAGATGGAGAATTGCAAACAACATAAAGTAAAGGTTATAAGCAACTTCAGAGCTATTAAACTTTTTCAAGGTAATCAATCAATTTAAGCTTTTTGATACATCTTCCAGGCTGTTATGTAATGTTCTTTTACCACCCAATTATGCAATTATGCAGTGTGCAGGCTGAAGATTTTTCTAGCTCTAGACAGTTCCCCAACCCCACAGGTTTGTTCCCCTGGTGTGATGAATGCCTTCTGAGCATGTGAGGCTTTACCCTTTGTCCTCTCTTAAATCACAATTAAATGGCAATCATATATCTTGATAACCTCTCACCACTGCATAATTATTTCTGCTGGCAAGACCACCAGCAGTCAATGTCCAGTCTGCCATTTCCTCCCCAGAAGTTGCCTGTCTACTGTTGTCCATGAGATTTAAGCTCCAGGCTGGATTACAGTGGTGCACTCTGTGGGACTCGCTTGAGGTCCATCCAGAAACTGCAGATGGTGCAAAATGTGGCTGCTCATTGGGGCAGGGTATCACCAACACATTACCCCGCGGTTGAAAGAACTGCATTGACTATGTCCAATGTGCTGGCTTTGGGGTATAAAACCCTAAACAGCTCAAGACCAAGACACCTGAAAGATTGTGTCATCCTTTATATACCCAGTTGATGGCCTTTTGCAGATACCATCTCATCAGGAGGGCTGTTGCATACCATAATAGTCTTGCACTTTATCACAAAAACCCTAATGATGCAGGGTTGGTTTCCACAGTGTCCATGCCATGATGCCTTGGCAACACGACAACAGGCCTTTTCTGCAGTGGCTCCCTCCTGGCACCTTCATTACATATTACATATCATAGTTGAACTGACCTGGGATCATTGGATGATGATGATGATGTCAGTTTGCTCAGAAAAGAGACTGGGAACAGCTGTTTTACTCCGTTTAGTTCGTACCTGACCAGCAAGGGCTCAGCATGGGCCACTTGACTCTAGATACACATAATCTCTGAATCTTATGAGGGAGCTACTTGCTCCGGAGAGGAAGACACCTAGTGTTGTGTTTTGAGCCACAGCCTCATGAGTGCAGAGGAAAAGTAAGGCTTCAGTGCCGGCCTGGACAGCTCCACGCAGCGCTCAGCTAGAAGACTTGATAAGAGCAGAGCCCAAAACATTCTTTTTCAGCAGCTGCCGCTCTGTCTCAGCGACTAGCTCCGCCTTTGTGGAAGGAGCCCATCTGCTTTCCCAGGCATTGCTGTTGATGGAGCAGGCGAGACGGTGGCTCTGCTAGGGCTGCTGAGCTGGGGTCCTCAGGGGGCAGCGTGGCAGGCATGCGCTGGAGAGGGACAGGCATGACACACTCCTCTTCTGCAAGTGCTTCTGGGTTGGGATCTACGTCTGGGGCTGGCCCTGAGGACAATTTTTACTTCCAATCTGACATACACAAAAACCAAGTCATTCGTTTAAAATAATATTTGCCAGGGTGCTTAAATAAGATTGGATGCTATGACTTTAAACATCACCATTAACACCAACAAAATCTTAACAAGGGGGTGGTAAGACTGTGTGTTGATGGCATTTCCTTAGGGTTATAGCATTCAGTTTTATTCCCTGAGCCACCTTTTAACATTGTTGCTCAACCAAGCCACTGAAAAGAACAATAGGGCTGTCTAAATGTAGAATTTGTAGGTACTGAAAGAAGGGGATTGTTTCAGTAACAATCTACCAGTAAATCCTTATTAGACCGTTCTAATTAGACCGTTCCCCAGTAAATTTCTGATCTCAGACTTTGGGCTTTCCAGATTTGTATGTTCCCCAAGAACTGCTTTTCTTCCCATTCTTTGTTATAATAAATTGCTGTGCAAGGTGAGACACCAAGGCTTAATTTACATTTATAAATACCCCATGCCCTAACATCTCCTGTGGTCTAATACCAAAGGATATATTTATGGTGTGGATAGATCCTGTTCCTCCAATCTAGTCACTTTGTCTAGAGTGAACCATGTCATTGAATGTCTTAACATACCAGCCTGATAATATATTGTCAAACATGGGAATGAGGTGCCTCCATTCTCTCCCCCCCCCAATAGTGCTCTGGCTTTAATTTTTGCATTGTTTTCGCATTATAACTTATTCATTTATTATATTTGTTTTAAAACGTTTTAAACAGTTTTAAAATGTTTTAAGTATTATTTTATTAAAATGCATTTTTATCACAGAAATGTTTGCTGCTCTTTTATGAGAGATAGGATATTAATTATATGAATAAATGAATAATTTTATTCTTGCCCTATTTGCTTTTGGCAACAATACCTCCTGCTGCAAAGAATTCCAAAAGGCAGATTTATCCCTTATTTTTAATTTTCCTTTTTATTGTCACAGGTCCTATTTTTAATTCTTAATCCAATGAATTGCCCTTCCACAGTATCTCAAACATTTGTTACCTCCTTGAGGAAGTGAGACCTTTAGCCAGATTCTTTGCTTCACCATCCTGATTTACCTGGCTTTGCAATTTGGCTGACATCTTAAGGCAGGGACAGCCAATCTGGTGCCTTGCAGACGATGTTGGGCTCCAACTCCCATCAGCCCCATCCAGTCTGGCCAATGGTCAAGGAAGATGGGAGCTAGAGTTCTCAACATCTGGAGGGCAACATTGTACACCCTTAATGTAAGGAAAGGTGAACCAAAGCAGATATTGAGCCATTTGGCTTTCCTTTCTTGACATGGTCTGCTGATTTCATTTTCAAGAAGCCAAGTCATACATGTGCTATTTACTCAAATACAAGTCACATGTTGGCATGGTGGGGTTTTATGATTCTGTTTGATTTCAATTACGATTACTGAATTTGGATGATGTGCCCTAAGTATAATTTTCCAAGGTACTACACACCTGTGGTTTGTTTTGTGTTAAGAATTTATTAAATGCTTTACAGTTTGTTTTGTGTTCAGATAAGAATGATTATTTGTTTGACAATATACTGTAGCCAAAACTTGTAGTATATCTGAATAACTAATAATAATAATACAACCAAGTTTCATGGACTGGCACCCTAAGGGGTTAATGAAGATAGGACTGTACATTGTGCTCCCCCTTCATGTTCTTCCTCCCAGCCAAAGCAAACCTGGCTGCTCTGCCAAAAAGAAATCAAATCAAATCTGGTGGTGCTTTAGCTGAATGCTATGTTTGTGTGAAAAACTGATTTTTTTCCAGGACTTTGTCCTTGAGGAGGATGCCAACTTTGGCTTGCATTAAAAATACCTGGGTGGATGAGCTTGCAGGAGTAAAGCTCCCCCACCCAAGTTATTCTTTTACCATTAGCACAGGTTGGATGGTCAAGTACCGCTGTACCACAACACACTCTCCAGTTTTGTTTTTTAAAAAAACTATTAAAGATTTCTTAGTTTACAAAAATGTGTACATTGTCTCTTTTTTCAAGTTGTGTTTCTACAGATCAGTTCCATTTGTTGTGAGACATTAGTGTTAGGTTAGGAAGAAAAGAGGGGGAAGAGGGGAATGGTGAGTGGGATGGAGTGGGGTGGCAATGCTTCTATTCTTTTACTTAGTGTATGTGTGGGGTTTTGTGTCAGTGTCACTCGTGTGTGTTCTTACTATTCGCTTGTTGTATTTCCTTGGTGGTGAGAGGTTGGGGTGGCCTAGGTATGGTTGGTTGTCTTTGGCTGTCTGTAGTGAGATATGGTTTTGTGTGTGAGTGTGTGGGTTTTGGGGTCAGGTTAGCCATATTGATTTGTATACTGACAGCAGATTCTTTTTGTTGTCTTGTTGGAGTAGGTATGTGATAAATGGGAACCATACCAGGGTGAAGGCATCTTCTATTTGTCCCCGTGTCAGTTTCACTACTCATCATTTTTCATTTGAAAAATTAGGGTGGTATTCCCTTTATTATTGCTATCTTACAACATCATACTACGGGGGGAAATGTTTATTATGTAGAAAAACTAAACTTTACATCATGCACCTGCCAAATCAGTATCAAAAACTAACAAGAACAGATATTTTTCAGTTGAATGGAAACAGGAGCAGACTTAATCTCTATTAAATATAATTTCAGGAGAATGATGCAAATGCTGCATTACTCCTAGAGGAGAGGATGTTATACTTCATAGGAACTATGGAAAGAAAAGAGAAACAACATTTGGTGCGTGATATAGCACAGAGTGGGAATCGAGAACAATCCCCCAGAGCTTCTAGCAAAACAGCAGACAGCTTTGCAGCTAGTACTGGCAATCATCAGTCTTGGCAGCCTTATTTCTGTTGGCGGAAAACAAGGTCACTGAATGTCATAATCCTGTGAACTCTTGCAAGTTATGCTGGCATACTGGGCATGTAAGGTCATCATGCAGTGTGTTTGCGAGAATCCAATCTCTTGTGCTCTCAAACAGTCCCAGCAATGAGGTCAGAATGGCTTTCCCTCCCTCTCCAGCTGCAGTCTTTTGGAAAGATGCTCACCAAGGACTGTCAAAGGGCTAGCTTTGAACAAAGGATCCGATATAGTCTTGTGAAACTGTGCTACTTCCTGCATCCTAGAAAAAAGGGAGAAAATGCATCAGATGACAGGCTAGCATTACAAGAGGCAAGTTAAAAGTACAGTTGTACCTTGGATCCTGAATGCCTTGCGAGTTGAACGTTTTGGCTCCCGAACGCCACGGTTTGTGAACATTCTTTGGAACCCAAACATCCGACGTGGCTTCCGATTGGCTGCAGGAGCCTCCTGCAGCCAATCAGAAGCTGCGCCTTGGTTTCCAAATGTTTTGGAAGTCAAACGGACCTCCGGAACAGATTCCATTCGACGTCTGAGGTACCACTGTACTACCAGTCCTTGAGTGAAGTAACACACTGTATTCAGGTGGGGCTAACCTAACCTGGCTCTGACTAAACTTCTAGCACACCCCAGGGAACAAAAAGGCATAAACTGGAGGGTGTCATCTAGGCACATCTGCTGTGTGAATTATGGGGGTCAGTGTAAGAGAGCTCACGAGGAAGAGTCATGTGCAAACAGCAGGACTCTCAACACCTGAAGATGCTCATATCCAAGTGTGTCTTCCATATTCCTTGAACGGCTCAAACTTATTCTATGAGAATAGCATAACATACCTACTACAGTGTGAGTTCAATTAAAGCCCTTTCCTTGCAGCTGTGCACAGCATAGAACCAGGAGTTCACAAATAGGACCTTTCATCCTATTCCTTTGAATTACTTGATGAAAGTCTGTAAACCAGGGCTTTGCTTCTAGGGTGGCTTGAGAAAAGTAACATAAAATCAGGAGTGTGTCATGTACACACCGGAGGTCTGTTTGTAAACCAAAACAGCTTGTAACCCAAGGCGCTCTTTTGCCAATGGGGCCTCCAAGAAAAATTTGTTTGTAATCAAAAAAAAAAAAGGGGGGGGTTTGTAATCCAAAAAAAAGTTTGCAAACCAGGACATGAACTTCCAGGTTTGACATGTTTGTTCGCAAACCAAGGTACCACTGTATCTGGCAATAGCACTCTTCACAGAGCAAAAGTGTAGCTATGTATTTAAAGGATTGCCCAAAATGTGCATTTGTTAATTTATAGGGAAATGAATATGGTCTTGGCTAGGGTCTTATCAGCTCTGGGCTCTACAGTGTGCTTAGCTGCCTTATAAGCCAAGAAAAGCTTAACGTTTTAAACTTTTAACGGGGGGGGGAGAGAGAGAGAGGAAATATGGGGCCCTCTGAGCTACCGGTATGTCTCTGAGCAGAAGAGCTCTCTGGATTTATTTGAAACACAATCTTACCTCCAGCGCTCTCATTATAATATCTCGCTTGAATTTGCAAGAATCCAAGTTATATTAGCCAGGCACAATGGAGTTTAGCTGGCGTACAGTTGCTACATGTGTTTATGCAAACAACACTACTGGGCAGCTCTACTGAAGCTAAGGGCAGTTCTGTAATTCTGCAAGCCTCACAAGGAGTATATGTGCTATCCAGCAGGGGTGTGCACTGAATTCAGACAAATCCTGAATCCAAGATGAAGTGTGGCACCTCAAAAAGGTTTGGGGCTTGTTGGAGGTGAAGTCGGAACTGGAACCCTTGAAGCACTTTGTGGGGGTTGGCAATTCAGATGTCAAAAAGCGACTGCAGACAAGCATATGCTAAAAGCAGAACTAAGCTTATCATATAAGGAAAACGCCAGGGTGGAATGCTGAGGGAAGGAAGAAGAAACACCCGCACTGGGAGAGTTACGTGAGAGATCGTTGTGACTAACAGGGCCAAGTTGTCATCAGAGGAACTGATTTTACCTGGAAAGTCCCCTCACCTCCACAAAAAATGGTGGGCATATTTCACGGCAGTTTGCCAGTTTTCTTATCCGGTGATAAGGTAAGCTCTCTTATGTATGCGATTTTCAGAACATTTGTTCACAAAACATCAGGGGAGAACATGATTCCTTTTTTCCTCATTCCAAAGAACCAAATTGGGGTCTGAACCAACTTTTGTGATTGGTACATACCTCTACTGATGCCCTGGCCTTTGGCTAGTGCAATAAAAGTTTATGAACATAGCCCTCGTCTTTGGGACCTGGAATGCCTTGTCTTTTTCAGTTAACATTTTAGCCTTTATTCCTCTTGCATGCATAACATTATCATTTCCCAAATTAGCTGCTTTGGATAAACAGGATGGTGTTGCGTCGGTGAGTACAATCATTTTCCTGACCTGTCGACTTTTCTCTGGCACAAACAGAACTAAGGTTACAGAACTCTGCCAGAAGAGGGAGGGGGGAGAAGAGAACAGGATATTGGCGCTGCCTTGGCTAAATTCTTAGGAAGTGCCCACCCCTATCCCCTGCAATCAGTGAACAAAAATACCCAAGAGGAACAAGGCAAATTGCCAAATTTTGCATTAGCAAAGCCCACTTATGCAGCAGAGCCCTTGGCCCCCGGCAAGTGAGTCATCAGATCAGTGAGACACAGACTGAGAACTTCCCAAGGACAAATGGACTTGCCCAAACCTCTTGCTTCTGCAAAAGCACAGCAGGAGGGACTCACTCAGTCCGACGTCTAAAGGCACGGAAGGTCCTGAAGAAGCAGATGACATCCCAACACCCAGCAAGAGACCATGGTGTCACTTCAGCTGCTGTTTTCAAAAGGGAAGCTATGATTTAGAGGCCCTGATCATCAGCAGAGAAGTTTAGGAGAAGCAACATGAAATTGCTTCTGTAATGAAGCGCCCTCTGTGGGGTTTAATTTTCACTTGCTAGGGATGGGAGGCCTTGGATGGGGGATGTGCAGTCGCCTATCTGGAGAAAGAAGGGGGGGGAGAGCAAGAGCAACCCCACACATTTTGCCATGCATTGAAGGCACCAACATGGGATGCTGGGATGGTTAGATGGCAGCAGAGTTCCTCGGAAATTATGGGATGGTGTCCATGCTGCTACTGCAGAGTTTGTTTCTGCTGCTGGTTGCGCAGAGGAGCATGACTTCACGACACCATGGGGAAGAAGAGCCACATCACTGGCCCTTATGGCATCTTCTTCTATTTTAAGGCAAGATAGGTTTTGACTTTGCTGCCCAGAAGGGCTTCTTGCGACTGTCCCACCATTACTCACAAGACTTGGCGTTTCTGGGTTGATTTCATCTGACAGAAGTTAGTCAGCAGCATCTTCTTTGCTGGGCTGAAGAAAACAAAAACTAAGTATTAATTGAGAACAGTATTGACACCAAAGACCTGCCAAAAACGTTGCCGTGTGCAGCACCTTCAGCTTGGCCTTCCAGCCACTCCAGGCCCCTTCCCTTCTCAAACCCCACCCCCCGCACTTACCTAGCATTCTGTGGCCACAGAGACCTTTGAGGTTTTACAAAGGACTTTTTGTCCTTCTACAAACTCTGAATTTGCTATTTCTCTCTCATAAACTACAGCAGCTAACAAAGTAGATGTTAAATTATTACAGCAAAACATTTTGGCTTCTGCCAAGGCTGCAGCAGCAGTACCCTTTGATTCATGTCAGAGCAACAGAAGCCAAAATGATTCGCCGTGAGAATGTTGGGTCTTCTGCTTCGTTACTCACTGTTATAAATACATACTTTAGTGATTAACTGCATTCTTTCATGATCTAGCACAAACCTGTCAAAACTACTGTCTGATGATTTAAAAAATGTCTATATTAAAATAGTGCTGAGACGAAATCCTCCCCTGAGAACTTACAGCTCTAATATATGGGAAAGAAAACTGGCATCTCCAAAATTGGGGGCACTGGAAGGAGGCTGCCATCGCCCCCCTCCCCTCGCAAGGTATGCTCTGGGATGGCTCCGCAGCAAGAGAAGGCTCTGAGGAAGCCAGCACATCACCCAGGAGAAGACGGCCTACAATTTCTGAAGAGACAACAGATAATCTGCAGCCCAGCAGCCCCTTGCTCCAAACTTTCAAAGCAAATTGCACTGCTCTCGTTACTTCTAGAAACATAAAACATCAGTTCCTAGTGAAGTAATCCCAGGTGAAACACGTTATTCCTGAATAAGACTATATTAAGACCACTCTCTAAGCTTCTCATTACAGATTTGAATCAATGTCTTATCAGACTTCAGGTTAACCCAAAGTTCTCTTTGAGATCAAATGCATGTGACCTGTAACTAACCCAAGAAATAAGACTTATTCCCATATACAGATGTCTGTGCCACTTGTGGAAACTTGCCTCAAGTGCCTGTGATGTGCTGCTGGGATGCCCGCCTCCTCAATTTTATTTATTCATCATGAAAGGCATCCTTGTTTCATTACATGTTGCAGACTTCATTCATTATAAATCAGAATAAAACCTCAATTGAATGCACTTATCCCCAGCAGGGGATCACATTTCTGGAGAATCTGATCTTCTATGACTAAAAGCTGACAAATCATTGGGAGTATAATTCCTCATTTATGCAATAACTGTAATCCTCTAAAAATTTGTGCTGATTAAATAGCACATGCAACAGATTCAGACTGTGAGCAACCAGAACAGCCCCTGCACAAAGGAGGAACTACAAAGTGGATTTACAACTGCAAAGTGGATTTACTACAAGAAGGAGCAGCAACCATTTTCTAGACTTTGAACTAACAAGTAGCTGCTTCTAAATAAAATAATTCAATGTGGAATGTAGAACTTTTATTTGATCCTCTGGGCTTGGTTATGAACCTTAAACATTTCTCCCCACCCTTGCTCACATTAAAATGATTCTGACCATTTCATTCTGAAGTTCATTCCTTTTCATGACTATTTAGCACAATCATTTCTGGAGCATCCTTGAGAAACTGAATAGGGTTTGTGTCAATCTGAAAGGGGGGGGGGAGAGTCTCCATCCTTTGAAAAATAAAACCTGTAGTGTTCCTGTCATGCTTTCACCTAGAGTCACTTCCTTGGCGCCCCCCCCGACTAGTGGGTGAGGGACACAGAGAGCATTCTCAGCACTCCCAGAGCAGGCGTGCCAAGACTTAAAGAACGGCATGTGCAGCTGAAGGCAGGCTGGTTAAAACTGCGCAAGTCAAGCTCCAAGCAGGGCCAAAAGCTTGAGAAATGTTTTTGCACCAGGTCTGCTTGGGTTGCCCCGTGCAAAAAGAGCTTTCCAGCTCCCCTGCCTTGCTTGGAGCTTGACTTGCACAGTTTTAACCGGCCTGCCTTCAGCTGCACATGGCTGGAATAACACACGTCAAATGCACATTAGAGGAAGGATTGCTGCCCTTCTTAAAAGTCCCCACCACAGGGGCGAGGACTCTCCGGCTTAGGGGTCAACTTGGCTGTCCAGGCTTCTCTATCTGACCCTGGGGACTCTCCCAAGGCCAGATTGCCCCCTCAGTCCCACACCCTCTGGCCACTCCTGCCTGGGGGTTTCCGCTGCCTGGAATGTGTCTTTGAACTGCAACGGAAGCATTTCGCCTCCTGTGCAAAGCTGATGTTTTGCCTCTGGCCCCACCCCCACAGGCATGCGGCCCCTGCAAGGTTGACCAGCAGGGAATGTGGCCCTCAAGTTGAAAGAGGTCTCCTGCCCTGAGCCCATGTGGGGAGTGCTTAATGTGTTGGACTGTGACCCGAGGGACCAGGCTTTAAATCCCCTCTTGGCCAGGAACTCCCTGGGTGGCCTTAAGCCAGTTACTGTCGTGGGGAAGAAACATGTGTGGCACTTTGAGATCCTTGGAGAAAACGGCAAGATATAAATGCAATAAATAAAAATAAATTACAATACCCTGGATCTACTGGCTTAAAGCATCTGAAGTGTTTCCAAGTTGGCCAACCGTAACACAATTCCCAGAGGGAATCCAACACAAAGCAGACAAAAAACAAGCAAACTTTTTTTGGTGTAAGTTGACATCTCAAAAATGAGTTATTTTAGGAAACCAGTTGCTAGGTTTTCTGAGAGACAGTCTTTGTTTATACATTTATCAAACAATAACTTTGAAGACAAGGTGCTGCTACATGTTTTTCTGTATTATGTTGATGTACATTTTTTCTTGTTTTCTCTTTCTTCTTTTTAAGTATTAACATAGCATTTTTCTAATATTAACATTGTAATGAAAAGTATAACAAATAACCAAAAATAAGAACCTATCCTATTCAAAATAAGTTTTAATCAGGAAAGCAAATGAGAGGGGATATAAACAAAATAACTCAGACAGCTGTAAATTGTAAGCAACAATCCATTAGATTTGAAAGTATTCTGAAAATTGTTCCACTGGATATCAAGCTATCAAAAAACATAAGTGAATTCACACAACCACTGAATAAGGCCACGTTTCTGAAAATGTCAATACTAAAATGCCTTATTCTGTGGTAAATCAAAGGAAGAAAGACTTTCCCATGCTAACAGTGCTTTGGGCAGCAGTCCTAAACATCTTTTCAAGCGGGGAAGTTCTGCTCAGCCCAGTGGGAAAGACTCCTCTATAGATATACACAGGATTGCTGGACAGAGTGTCTATTCAAGAGTCACAACAGCCACACAACTGAAGACTCCAGAAAGGCTAAATGCCTAAACCAAGTCTGACGACAAGACATTTTAGAACAGGGCTGAGGAACATGTGTCATTCCAGATATTCCCACCATCCCTGATCATTGAGCAAGCTCTCTAAGGCTGATGGAGCACAACACCAGGAAGGCAAAAGCCTCTCGCATGCCAGTTCTAAAGCTTACAATAAAATATGTTCTTAAGAAACATGCATCTGTGTCGAGAATTTAATTTTAGCCCCTATTTATGAAGTAAAAAGAATTGGGAACTGAGAGGTCAGTGGAACTCCTGCTCCGAGACAAGATCATGAGCATGTGAACTTTTAATGAAAATCTTGTGTGGATGTAGAGCAACTTCATTGTACCCACTTGGCACTCACTTGCAAATATTTTCTAAGCATTATGTTTACCTTCAGTGCTCAGTTATTGAAAATCCTGGTCTGCGCATGCTTATCATCATAACTAATTTATGGGCAGCGGGCAGCGGCTGAAGGAGGAGCAAAAGGGTTTTCTTGTGTGTGTTTCTCTGTGGCTGATTGGCTGCTCTCCCTGTGCAAAGGTCAGAGGGGGCAGGGTTTCTGTTGAGGCAGGTGATTAGCTGTGGGAGGAGCTTATCAGAGATTGCAGGGCAGCGGCGCGCGCAGTTTGATCCATCTTTTAGATTTAGGGGAGCTAGTCTCAAACGTTTGTTGGGGGAGACCTAGGTTTTTTTTTGTGGGGGGAGTTATTTTTCCTGTCTTCGCACTTTTTATGATGGAGGACCGCTGTAGCCACCCCCAACGACACGTTCTCAAGACAGAGGGGGAGGGAACAGCTGCAGTCGCCTGCGGTTCCTGCGCAATGTTTGCCATCTTGCCAAAGGTTGCAGGCAGCTTTACCTGCAGAAATTGCATGTTGATTGCCCTCTTAAAAGACAAAGTCCAGCAACTGGAGGAACGTGTAGCTACGCTCCAAAGAATTAGAGAGCTGGAGCTCTTCTTGGAAGCAACAGAGCACACCGTCTCCACCAAGGAGGAGACAGGGGACTCCCCTGAGAAGGACGCTAGTTCACCAACACAGGAGCCAGATATATGGAGAAACGTGACTCAAAGAAGTAGGAGGCCCAGGGTTCGCTCTAATTGTTTAGAAATACACAATCGCTTTGAGGTCCTCTCCCCTAGCATGGAAGACGAAGAGCAGACTCCATTTGAGGATCTCTCCCTCATTACAGTCGATCAGGTATATGAAGACGAGCAGCAAAGTCAGTCCTCAGGGAATGTGCAGGCGACCTTGGAGCGGACAGCTCACGGAAGAACCCCGACCAAACCTAAGAGGAGGCGTGTAGTGGTGATAGGGGATTCCCTACTGAGGGGAACAGAAGCAGTGATCTGTGGGCCTGACAAGATGTCTCGGGAAGTGTGCTGTCTCCCGGGGCTAAGATCCAAGATGTAACTGAACGACTGCAAGGAATCATAAAACCCACTGACAAATACCCCTTCCTCTTGGTTCATGTGGGAACCAATGACACTGCAAGCAATAGCCTCCAGAAGATCAAAAGAGACTACGAGGCTCTGGGCAGGAAATTGAAGCAATTAAATGCACAAATTGTGATCTCATCTGTCCTCCCAGTTGAACGACGTGGCCCAGGGAGAGAGGGGAAAATAGTGGAAGTGAACAGCTGGCTTCGCAAATGGTGTAAACAGGAACGGTTTGGATTCTTAGATCACGGACTGCAGTTTCTTGAAGATGGACTTCTGGCAAGCGATGGGCTGCACCTCACAACGTATGGGAGAAATGTTTTTGCCAAAAATCTCAGAAACCTCATCAGGAGGGCTTTAAACTGACTAATGTGGGGAGGGAGACAGTGCTCCTGAAGGTAGGAGTCTATCAATTGATGAAGATGATCATCCAAATGTCATAGACCAAATGGAGCAAACAGCACGCAGACCTAGTGGTGGGAGGAAAAAATCCTTAAATAAGAGACACGGGGAATGATTAATGGACTTCAATGTCTGTACACTAATGCGCAAAGCATGGGAAATAAACAAGATGAGCTTGAGCTCTTGGTACAGCAAACTAAATATGACATAATAGGCATCACTGAAACCTGGTGGGATAAGTCCCACGATTGGAATGTAATAATGGGGGATACAATCTATTTCAGAGAAACAGACCAGACAAGAAAGGAGGAGGAGTGGCGTTATATGTCAGGGATGTGTATACCTGTGAAGAGATCCAAGATTTAGAACCTCAAAGCCAAAGTGAGAGCATTTGGGTCAAAATTAAGGGAGAGAAGAATAACAGTGACCTCATTGTGGGAGTTTACTATAGATCCCCAAGCCAAACGGAGGACATAGATGATGCCTTCCTGGAACAGATGGCCAAGCATGCAAAAGGAAGGGAGATAGTAGTAATGGGGGACTTCAATTACCCGGATATTTGTTGGATGTCAAACTCAGCCAAGAGCATAAGGTCAAACAGATTCCTCACTGGCCTTGCAGACAACTTCATTGTCCAGAAAGTGGGAGAAGCAACAAGAGGAACAGCCATTTTAGATCTGGTCCTAACCAATGTTGATGACCTGGTTAGTGGGGTAGAAGTGGAAGGATCATTAGGTGCGAGTGATCATGCTCTTCTGAAGTTTACTATACAGCGGAAAGGAGCAGCCAAGCATACTAGGACTCAATTTCTTGACTTTAAGAAAGCTGACTTCATAAAACTTAGGGAAGTGCTGGGTGAGATCCCATGGACAGTAATACTAAAAGGAAAGGGAGTTCATGATGGATGGGAGTTTGTTAAGAGGGAGATAGTAAAAGCACAACGTCAGGCAATACCAATGAGACAGAAACATGGAAGGTGCCTAAAGAAGCCAGGGTGGCTATCTAAAGAACTTTTAACTGAGTTAAGATTAAAAAGGATGTGTACAAAAAATGGAAAAGGGGAAACCACCAAAGAGGAATTCAAACAAATAGCCAGCACGTGTAGACACAAAGTCAGAAAAGCTAAAGCACAGAATGAACTCAGGCTTGCTAGAGAGGTTAAAAGCAACAAAAAAGGCTTTTATGGGTATGTCCGTAGCAAAAGGAAGAACAAAGAAACAGTGGGGTCACTCAGAGGAGAAGATGGTGAAATGCAAACAGGGGACACAGAAAGAGCTGAACTCCTCAATGCCTTCTTTGCCTCAGTCTTCTCCGATAAAGAAAACAATGCCCGACCTGAAGAATTTGGAGCAAATGATTCAGCAAAGGAAACACAGCCCAGAATAACTAAGGAGATAGTAGAAGAATACTTGGCTAGTTTAGATGTATTCAAGTCTCCAGGGCCAGACGAACTGCATCCAAGAGTATTAAAAGAACTGGCAGATGTGATCTCAGAACCACTTGCAGTCATCTTTGAGAATTCCTGGAGAACAGGCGAAGTCCCGGCAGACTGGAGGAGGGCAAATGTTGTCCATATTTTCAAAAAGGGAAAAGAGAGGACCCAAAGAATTACCGCCCAGTCAGTCTGACATCAATACCAGGGAAGATTCTGGAGCAGATCATTAAGCAAACAGTCTGTGAGCACCTAGAAAGGAATGCTGTGATCACCAATAGTCAGCATGGATTTCTGAAAAATAAGTCATGTCAGACTAACCTGATCTCGTTTTTGACAGAATTACAAGCCTGGTAGATGAAGGGAACGCAGTGGATGTAGCCTACCTTGATTTCAGCAAGGCATTTGACAAGGTGCCTCATGATATTCTTGTAAAGAAGCTGGTAAAATGTGGTCTTGACTATGCTACCACTCAGTGGATTTGTAACTGGCTGACTGACCGAACCCAAAGGGTGCTCATCAATGGTTCCTCTTCATCCTGGAGAAGAGTGACTAGTGGGGTGCCACAGGGTTCTGTCTTGGGCCCGGTCTTATTCAACATCTTTATCAACGACTTGGATGATGGACTCAAGGGCATCCTGATCAAATTTGCAGATGACACCAAATTGGGAGGGGTGGCTAACACCCCAGAGGACAGGATCACACTTCAAAACGACCTTGACAGATTAGAGAACTGGGCAAAAACAAACAAGATGAATTTTAACAGGGAGAAATGTAAAGTATTGCACTTGGGCAAAAAAATGAGAGGCACAAATACAAGATGGGGGACACCTGGCTTGAGAGCAGTACATGTGAAAAGGATCTAGGAGTCTTGGTTGACCACAAACTTGACATGAGCCAACAGTGTGACGCGGCAGCTAAAAAGCCAATGCAATTCTGGGCTGCATCAATAGGAGTATAGCATCTAGATCAAGGGAAGTAATAGTGCCACTGTATTCTGCTCTGGTCAGACCTCACCTGGAGTACTGTGTCCAGTTCTGGGCACCACGGTTCAAGAAGGACATTGACAAACTGGAACGTGTCCAGAGGAGGGCAACCAAAATGGTCAAAGGCCTGGAAACGATGCCTTATGAGGAACGGCTAAGAGAGCTGGGCATGTTTAGCCTGGAGAAGAGGAGGTTAAGGGGTGATATGATAGCCATGTTCAAATATATAAAAGGATGTCACATAGAGGAGGGAGAAAGGTTGTTTTCTGCTGCTCCGGAGAAGCGGACACGGAGCAATGGATCCAAACTACAAGAAAGAAGATTCCACCTAAACATTAGGAAGAACTTCCTGACAGTAAGAGCTGTTCGTCAGTGGAATTTGCTGCCAAGGAGTGTGGTGGAGTCTCCTTCTTTGGAGGTCTTTAAGCAGAGGCTTGACAACCATATGTCAGGAGTGCTCTGATGGTGTTTCCTGCTTGGCAGGGGGTTGGACTCGATGGCCCTTGTGGTCTCTTCCAACTCTATGATTCTATGATTCTATGATTCTAATTTTCTTTTCTCCTTTACCTTCAAAGGTTTCCATGGCTTCCTAGGGCAGTTAACATGACTATTCAAATAAGAAAATATTCTCAAATGATGCAAGAAATCAACCACAAGGACTTTCAGTGGCAGCTAGTAAAAACTGGAATGGAAGGTCTCTACCAGGATTTACTTTGCTATAGAGTCATACCTTGGTTTTCGAATGCCTTGGTACTCATACGTTTTGGCTCCCGAATGCCACAAACCTGCAGCCAATCGGAAGCTGCGCCTTGGTTTTCGAACGGTTTCGGGAGTCAAACAATCTCCCGGAACGGATTAAATTTGAGAACCAAGGTACCACTGTATATAATAGCCATATTTCTATAACCCTAATGAATATAAAAAATTAGATGGAAAATAACTTCATGCTTTTAAACCCCAATTTAACAAGCAAGTGTTCCAATTTCAAAGTCTGTTTAACACCTCAGCTTACCTAAATTGTGTGTGCAGCACTTAACTTACGTTTTAGGATGTCTGCAGAACTTGCTGGCAGCTACCATGTCTGAGAGCTCAGGCAGAGCGTCCATCAGAGGATGCAGATCTCCAACTACTGGGGTAGCTTTTCGCTTTGCTTCTGCTTTTTGTTGTTGTTTTGCTAGTTTGATATTTTCTATTTCTGAAAAACAGGGGCAGGAAGGAGAAACAATTGTTAAGCGAGTATCCAGGGGTCAGCAAACCTTTTCAGCAGGGGGCCGGTCCACTGCCCCTCAGACCTTGTGGGGGGCCGGACTATATATTTTTTTTTGGGGGGGGGGAATTGAACAAATTCCTATGCCCCACAAATAACCCAGAGATGCATTTTAAATAAAAGGACACATTCTACTCAGGTAAAAACATGTTGATTCCCGGACCGTCCGCGGGCCGGATTGAGAAGGCGATTGGGCTGGATCCAGCCCCTGGGCCTTAGTTTGCCTACCCATGGAGTATACTTTAAATTCTGTTAATTGAATCTTTAAAATGTCTTTACCACTTTTTAAAGTCTTATGTCTGAGAAGTCTGTTTCAAGTCCATTTTTATTAACTACAGGGTCCTGTCATAGTTCTTTCTTTAGGAAAAAATATTTTGCTTGACCCATGAGGGTAACTATCCATACTGACTAATTAGGAGCTGAAGTATTATTTGGGGCAATAACATTATTTCTGCCACAATGCTAGAGTGAAATAGGAGAGGGAGGAATGAGGTGACCCAGCCTGGTCACTGGAAATATTCAGTCAGCCAGGGTTGGGGCTTACAGAACTGAACAAAAGGAATCGCACGGCATCGGAGCACCAAACGGAGCTTTCCAGGCTCACTCAGATGTAAGATCCAGTATAATTTACCTAAGTGCACAGCATAAAACCAGGAGTTAATGAACTTTACCCGTTCTGCTGTAACGAGAGAGGGAAGGGGATGGTTAAGCCAAATGTGCCCATTTTGAACCCACTATTATGTAGATTCAAAGAGGTCACAGTGTCCCTCTGATCTCCTTAGTATGAATGGTTCAGCTCGGAAAGTAAGATAAGATTCTACGGATTCAGAAGTGATTCAGAAGATACAATCCTTTCACTGTGGTTAGATCTCTTCAGCCCTTCATTGGACTCTTTGGAGCTGGAATTTACAATATCCTTGGTTCTTTTGGCTGTCCTGTTAACATTTGCCTTTTCAGATGCTTGTGACAAATGTGGATGTGTATACTTCACCTCGGATGGGCTCTCTTGGCTGGAAAGCACATGCATTCTCATTGCCAGTACCCCTGTTTCTGGTCCAGTACTATGAAGTTGTATTACTTCAAAGGTTTCCAGAAATGAGGCTTAGACATACCTGATTCTGAATTCTTTTCTTATGAAATCTTTCTAAGGACAGAGCCATTCTACCTGTGATTCTAGTGGCTGAAACTGCATCTTTTTTTGCTTTAGTTTGATATGATTTACGACTGCTTGGAATAGAATATAACCTGAATAATTTCTATTATGCCATTAGGCAGAACTTCAGTTCCCAGCTGGCAAACAAAAAAGGGGAGGGCAAAAGGCATCTACATCTCCTCTTCAAAAAAGAAATTGGGCAGAAAGCAAACTAATCCCAAAATACTTTTGAAGATACCAAAAATATATTCAATAGTCAAGTGATTAAATCTTACAACAATTTTCTGTATAAGTGAAATTTACTGTATACTAGGAAAACATTATCTTCTTTATAGACAAGTTACTGTTGAAGTAAAAACATATATCATTACCAAATGTCTAATTAAATTCCTTCAAGTAAATACCCTGTTATTATACAACAGGAAACATTATTCATGTGGGCCTAATAATGCAGTTTTCACATGTTTCTTTCCGCACCTGTGAGAATATCCAATTTTTACTTTTCAATCAAATCGAAGGAGGTGTCATGGCCCTGGAGGCAGATTCACCTTTTTCAAGGGATGAAGGTTGGAGACGCTGAATCAGAAAAAGAACTGCAACCGAGGGCAGAAACACTTCTACAATGGAAGCCAAGGGTGCTGGCTTAGAATCAGAGAATTGGAGAGTTGGAAGCGCCATCAAGTCCAACCCCCTGCAATCAACTAAAGTATCTGTGACAAGAGAACTACATCTCAGAGGACCCTCCTTCAGAAGCATCCATGTGACCAATTTCCCCGGCCTCATAGGATTAAGAGACTGCAGGTGAAGAGTAAAGGCCTTTCAGTAAAGGCAGAGCTTGCAACTGGAATACTGGTGCTGCTCTTATATAGGGACTGGCCTAAGTCTGACTGCTGCGGAACCAACTCCAGAGCTTTACCCCCTGTGAGTATTCAGCCTGAACCTTGCAAAAGACAGTCTCACCACAGAGCAGAACAGGGAGGATTTTGCCTTTTATTCTATAATTTTTTCCTGTGTCCTCATTTCCCCACCATGAACCCAAGGTATCCTCATGTATGACAAGGTTAAGGCTGAGATATCTTTGCTCAACAAAGAAGGAAAGTGGGGTAGAGATGTAATAAGCCCACTGGGAGAGAAACATGGGATTGACTAGTTCCATAATTCATTCCTGAGCTGAAGAAAGCAGAGGAAAAAGCATGCAAGCCAGAGGCCTATTCTTAATCTCATCCTGCAAGATCTGAACAAGTCTCCTATGAACTTATTTAAAATTCTCATGCAGTCATTAGTCATGTGTAAACCAGGTTCTGACTAATTTTTGTTGTTGTTACTATTATTATTATTATCTAGATTTTCTTGAATTACAAAAGTACATACAGTGTCTAAGTTTTCTGTTCATAGAATATTTTCTACAGATCAGTTTTATTCAACGTGAGGCCCAAATATTATAGGCGGATTAAGATTGGGGAAGAAGAGAAGTTGGGAGGGAGAAGGCTGGGGTAGTGAACTTTCTTTTTTAATATTGTGTGTGTGCGTGTCATGTGGGTGGCTTTTCTCTATCCATGCTTACATGAATTCTCCTGTTCCTCAAACCGCCACCCTTGGAAATTTAGCCACTAAAAGTGAAATGAGCATACAGTGACCCATAGAGAAAGGCTGTCCACAGCTCTATGAGCACATCTACTTTTCCCTTCTCACTTCCATGGGAAGTGACTTCAAAATTCGCAACCGTTGAGTTTATATGTAACCACTTTTCATGTAACATATAGTCATTTCTCTGGCTCCTAGTGCTTGTAAGTATGGAAATAACATTCACTTTGGATTGTCTAACCCTGTTTTTAAAACATTGTACATGAGTTTTGATAATCTATTACTTGTTAGATAATTCAGCAAAGTTAGAAGAACTGTGAGTATTACGAGTGCCATCTGCTGAACTTATCAATTACTTGAGCAATCAGCCAACAGAGCTTCAGGGAGCATCTGAAACTGCTTCCGGTCAGGTGGATTCCTATACAGATTTTCAGGTGCTTGCCTACTGCACATAATATTCTTAGGTAAAAGTCTAAGCATTGAAGAGTTAGCTGTCTTCTGTGAAAACAGGATTCATTAAAAAAAAGACTTACTTTGCAACCACCTCTCCTTTCGCAGCTTCATTTTTTCTTTCTTAGGTAAAAGTACCTTTTCATCTTCACCTGAAAAATCAAACAGATGTAACAATAAGTGAATGGCATTCAAAGGAGTAAAACTGTCATCACTATCCTTTATCATTGATAAAAGTGCCTAAAATATGCTAGCCACTGTACAGAAATCAAAAGCAGGCTCACAAAAACAAGACAGAAAATGGCAATTGGGAGGAAAAGGAGAAAACATGGCATTATAAAACCATCAAAACATTCCAAAGATCATGTTGAGGTGAGAAAATACGTAGGTGAACCATCTGTTCTCATTGTACACTTTAGGAGAGAATATAGCTATAAATGCCAAACCTATAGGATCGATTACAACAGCAGACTTGCAATGTTAACAACCTTATTTAAACCTCAGAGAGAATAAAGAGGCTCCCCTTCTCAGCACTTGCTAATTTAGTATTAAATTTCTCTATGCATTTAGGCCCAAGTTCATCCAAAAGGTATACAAGGCAGTGCACTTATGTTTGTGCTATTTTAAACCCAGAGCCACTGTGATGGGAACAAAAGGGATTTAGACCGGTAGGGCACACCTGCCACCCCATCCACTTTGGCCCACAAGGCAGATCCATGGAGCCAAAAAGGTCCGTCCCGTCTTCATCCCCAATGAGCCCACCTCTGCAGCCTAGCTATGGAGACCCAATTGGGACTAGCCTGCCTCTTGAAGGGTTAGGTTCTACAAGGTTCAAGAAAGGGTGTGGTGGTCCACAGGGGAAATATAAAGTGTACATGTTTCTTGATGTATCAGGGCGGAAGTTACCAAAAATTAACCTAGAAGGATAACTTTATATCTTGTCTTTCACACTGGAGCTTCTTGAGGGCAGGCACCTGTCTCTTTTCGTAAAACTCTGCAAAATGCCCTGAATGGTATGATGGTACACATAGAATGTTCTGGGGGCAATCCTATGGCAAGAGCTTCTGAGATGAGCAACGCAGGATGCAATGGAGCTCCCTGGACTCTCTATTGGCCAGCAGTGTGTGGTCAGTGAACTAGAGGGACTAGGATAGTCCACTGAATGTTCCCAGTAAATTGGAGTATTAAAGTATTAAAGTCTGGCACCTCCCTTCCCAAAGCCCTGGAAGTTTCTCCTGGAATAGAGGAGGAGGAGGAAGGGAGGGAGGGAGGGAGGGAGGGAGGGAGGGAGGGAGGGAGGCATGATGCTCAGGTACATGATGTTGGTGCCCCTGCCCTCACCCTTGAAAGCTGGCACCTCTGGCCCTGTTTCCCTAGGAAAACTTCCACCACAAAAGACTGCTTCTGACGTTAAGTCCCTGGCTCAGCGTACGTATGTTGACATGACTTGCTCATCCTGGCTGAAGCTGGCTGAGCCAGGGCAGGTTGAAGCCTCGCCAAAGGGGCACTCCAGTGGCGTGGGTGGGTGGGCAGAACCAGAGGTGAGGTCTTCAGCTGAGTCATGTGACCTAGAAACCCAGCACAGAACACTCTTATGAAGGCTTGCTTTCCCTCTGCCAAACTCAGGCAGAGCAGCAGCTCTGCTGCTGAAGAGAGTTTGGCTCTTGTCTAACTTTACTCCAGTTGAATTTACACCGGCTTGCTTTATGCCAGTTTCTTGTGCATGGGATTGCTCCCCCACTAACTGTTAAATTATCAGGGAGGAAAATATGAGAGTCCTAAAGAGAGGTTTGAATGACACACATGACAACACATTTCTGCTTTGTAAGTTGCACATTGTGGCGTTAGGTTGGTCACAGTGAATGCTGCATGTAAAACCCATTTCAGTTAATATCTCATCACATTTTCTTAATGTTAAGAATGTTAAAGAGGAGAATAAAGATAAAACATAAAAAATATTTTCATCAGTTGAGGTGGAAAAAAAGAATAAAATTTATTTTTATATGCAAGGAGTTAAGAACGTGTAGTTTGTAACTGTTGGGCAAATGCTGAATGTTTAGTCAATCCAGGATTATTTTATGCAAACATCAATGAATACCCCAATATCAGCTAGCTGGGCAGCCAGACAAGGCTTATCCATAAGCAAGAGATGAGTTCTCTTCACTCAGGAGCGCCCCATGTGGGCAGAGAAATCATTGTATTTAAAAGGGGAGAGCAAGGCTGGGTGCTAGGGAAGACAGATTACGGCAATGCAACTGAACACCCCAATCCAGCGCAGGGAGAGGGTCCACACACTACCCCAGGGATAAGTAACCTCTGACCTTTGACTCCAGTTCCCATCAGCCCATCAACTAGACTGGTCAATGGTTGGTCTGGAGGGCTACAGGTTCCCTGCATTACCCTTTCCAAAACCTAAAAGAGAGAGGGAGACTGAGTGGGATCTCCTGATCCTTTATTTCCCCTGCCCCTGGTATTATTTCGGGATTCTCTGTTTCTCTCCCCCCCCCAATATCTCTTTTTATAACAGCCAGCATGTGCACACAGAGGGCATTTGAGGATTGCTAAGGCTTACCCGTACTTTCAGTCGATATCTGTGAAAGAGCTTTTTCATTAGCAGCATATTGATTTTCCAAGCTGTGCACCTCAGCTATAATCTGCCCCGTTGAATGCTTTAGCATAGATCCTAATCCAGCATAGCCAGATATTTGTGAAGGGCAAAGTCAGCGTGCTTCACAACAACTATGCAACAGAATAAAAACCATAGCCTTCTGCAACTAGGAGACTAGAAGTAGTTATGCTATTCAATATTTGCAAAAGAAACTAATTCTTGTTAAAAGAATAAAGCAACCTTGTAAATAAACTCCCCAACGTTACAGCAATTTTTAAAAAAACAACCTGTTTTTTACTCATTAGGTGGGCACTCCTCCCTCCTTTTCCAGGGCCTTTTATGTATCAAAAGTAGGTAAATAAAAAAATAGTGTTCCCTTCCTCCTTTGCACATCCCACTGCCAATCCTGAGCTGGATTTGTGTGAAGACGACACTCCTGCTGCACATCCGTCTCCTGGCAAAAGCACCGACTGCTTTCTCCCTCTGCCACCAGTCCACTGTTTTTCTATGCTAGATGCATAGGAGGTTCACCTGCAGCTCATCTAGCACTGAGATGCAGCAGGCTGGCAGCATTTCTTTCTTTCCTCCACTTCCAGCCCTCTTGAGTTCTACACTGGAAGTGTAAGAGGGAGTTTTGCCCACTGCAGGTTCAGCATCATAGCACTCCATGTCTCCACCAGGAGCCGTCTTGGTTTCTGTGCTGGGCAAAGAGGAGGGGCTCGCAGCAGAGATGAAATGAAATGAGGTGCCACAGGTGGGCCCTTTTGAAAGCTCTATCATCTAGGCAGGGAGAAGACAACAGATCTTCTTCCACACCCAGCAAAGAAATGCAGCAGGCTGTCAGAAGAGAGGCTGAATGTGGCACCACTCTTCTGGCAGCTCATCCTCCTGGGTGAAGTCCTTAGTTGCTCATTTATGATGACAAGTCAATCAGTTAAAAACAAGGCTAGACAAGAGGTTCTGAAAAGGGATCCCTTCCCCCTCTAGATCTATGCAAGCCTTGCCAAATGCCAAGCCAAGCAGGTACAGGGGCTCAGGTGAAAAACATGCAATGCTTTTGGCAATGCTCTCTCACAAAGCAGGTTCCAGTTTACAAAAAAACTCAAGCTACAACTACTTTTTATCCTTAAGATGGCACATGACTCTTTGCTAGGGGTCAGCAACCTTTTTCAGTCGTGGGTTGGTCCACCGTCCCTCAGACCATGTGGTGGGCCGGACTATATTTTGGAAAAAATAATAATGAATGAATTCCTATGACCCACAAATAACCCAGAGATGCATTTTAAATAAAAGGACACATGCTACTCATGTAAAAACACGCTGATTCCCGGACCATCTGCGGGCTGGGTTGAGAAGGCGATTGGGCCTTAGGTTGCCTACCCCTGCTCTTTGATGTGACAGAATGCTGTCTTGTAGTGACAGAAACACTCAAGAAATTTTATTTTGTATTTTATTGCCACAATTCAGTCCCCAATTGTGCAAATCAGTCAGCTAGCAAACTTGTGGCCAACAACCATTTTGTACCAACTAACAAGGGATGCACACTTATTTATACAAGACTATGCAGTCACTGCTGTAGATGCTTGTGATAAAAATCTAGTCATAAAGTAGGGGCCTGAAAATACTTCTCTCTGTGGCAAGATTGCTTATTTCAATTCCAAGTTTTCTACTATTCTATGATAGCAGACCTAAGCTGGCACTGTGAATCAGTGTATCATCTGAGCAATTTAGCACCAGGCAAGTTTTTGAATGGCTTATATTTCTAGTGCTGTATATCCTGACATTCAAGTATGATTGCTGACATGTGACTAGATATGTCAAAGTATGTGTGAGAGTGAAGGAACTGAATACATCTTCCTGCTAGCAACTGTTTAGTAGCAGTTGCTTAACTCTGCAGTCATAAAGCATAATTGCTCTGATTTACAAGGGGACATTCAGGCTTTTGGGGGTTGGGCAGGCTAGGGAGGTCCAACACACTGAATCAAAATCTCTCACGCTCTCTCTCACACCCACACACACTTGACAATGCTTTGCAAACAGGCATCTTCAGTCTTATCATTCAAGTTTTCATTTCCATGTTCAGGCACAATGGTAGAAACACCCCAGGAGAGAAGATAGGTACCATTTCTCTTCCACAGTCCTCCAGTCCTCCCAATCACCTTTTGAGGATCAGCAAAGCATCAGCACAGGCCAAAACACCCTACCAATTCAAGGACACTAGAATAGTGCACCCAAATCCCCTAAAACTCTGTGGCCACAACCACAATCTGGTAATTGAGAAACTAGCAAGTCAATGCTAAAAAGAAACATAGGGAAGGAGACCGGTGAATCCTCATTTGCCTTAGTTCCAAGAAATATTTGAAAACCGTGCTCTATCAGGCTGTTCAAAGACAGAAAGGAATTATGAAGAAAAGATCATCATACTCATTTTGAGGGAAAGAAAACTGCATCTTAAAAGATGCATCTTCAAAGTGTTCAGTACACTTAACCTTAAATGCTGTAACACATCTTCTTCAAAAGAAATTGAATTTCATTTCTTTTACACCAACAGCACTCTGGTTACAGGTGAAGGTCTGAGGGAAAACACAAACATTTATCATTTTTACATGCCTATTTTACAGAAGGAACAGACACGTGGGATGCTCATTTCTTTAAGTGGCCTGGTGTTTTGAGAAACAACTGAAGTCATTCTCCTCCAGCAACACCTTGCTTAAGTACCATGGAAAAGTCAAACAGCTCCATGTAACAACCTCTTGGCATCTCAGAGAAAAATGCCATCAGTATTTGTGTCAGTTGTAACCACAATAACAACAGCCTAGAAGACACGTTATACTGAATGAGACACCTTTCAATTATCTTCTTCAGAAAAATGAGTATGAGAGCACAGGGCGAGACTGTAATGCCATTATTCCTTGCAGAAGCAAGTCTATGGCTGGACCCCACACACCCTTAGTACAGAACAATCACAGAGTGCGCTTGCACTAAGATGGCTATCAAGTTACAAAACTCCCTGCTCTTTCTGGTTTGAAACTCAAATCTCAGTTTCAAACTCAAAGCCTCACTTTACATAAACTAAATTGTTTAAAAAATAACCAACCTCTTTTGCAAAATCAAGGATTTGCCTTTGGCCAGATAAGTCCTGCACAGGCTAGCCAAGCACAACCTGAAGCCCAATACTTATTGATTCCCTAAACCACGTCCCCCAGTCCTCTCATTGGTTGCAATGATGACTCTCTATGCAGAACAACGACAAACACAATTAAAGGCAGAAATAAGTTCATATCATAGTTTCTTCAACCACCTATTTCCTCCAAGTTCCTGTCTGCCTGCTATTTTTTTTACCTTGCCCAGTTTGAAGTTGAAAGAGCATGACCCATGTGATAAATAAGGCTGGGATAGCTCAACTGGTAGAGAAGCAGACTCTTAATCTCAGGGCCACGGATTTGAGCCCCATGTTAGGCAAAAGATTCCTGCATTGAAGAGGGTTGGACTTGATGACCCTCATGGTCCCTTCCAACTCAACATGATGACAATAATATGTCCTTCCGAACAATATTGTCTAGTCTCTTGAGCTCTACTGAAGTAGGCTCAGTTGTGCACGCCGGGTCCACTCTTGCAGGGTAAGAGAAGTATCAGAAGGGGAGCCTGGGAGACCTCAAGCAACAAAGTCCAGCCTAAGAAGGTCAACACAAAATTAGCAAGGTTCTTGGGCTACATCTCAGGGATACTTACTTCACAAGAGTGAGAAGGCAGCCCTGTATCAGGAAGTTTTTAATGTTTGACTTTTACTATGCTTCTGTCACGGTGTCCCATTGCACCAGAAGCGGTTTAGTCCTGCTGGCCACATGACCTGGAAAGCTGGCTGTGGACAAACGCCAGCACCCTCGGCCTGAAAAGCAAGATGAGCGTGGCAACCCCATAGTCGCCTTGGATTGGACTTAACCATCCAGGGGTCCTTTACCTATTATTATTATTATTATTATTATTATTATATCATTTACCTGATATAGTATTTCTTATTTTGAAGGCGTGACTGAAGTAGGCTGGCAATCTACCACTGGCAGCAACAGGAGTTTTACTGTGCTTGCAACAAAGAATACTGTATAAACCAGATATAAAATGAGAATTGAAACTGAGCACTTTGTGGTATGTTTGAAGATCATTCCCCACAGCTGACCTTGGACAGATTTCCTAAGTTTTATTAAATGGGATTTTATCACACACACACACACACACACACACACACACACACACAGACATCTTGCTTCTAATAACCCACCAGATTCACACTAAAATAATAATGAAGGGATGAAAGGTTGTAATCTGGGAATATTATGGCCTTGTGTCTGCCTAAATTGCTCTAAGTAGATTAGCTGACTTGACATGACATTAAGCTGAAATCTGTTCCTATCGCAGCTGCACAGAGAAAGCAACTTCACTTCTGTTATGTGAATACTCACATTACGTATTAGGCGTAGTTTCTTTAGAAGAGAATAGTGACATTTGGTAAATAAAACAATATGGAAAATAACAGAGGGCTAATTTCAAAGTATGAGGAATTCTGTTTAACAAAAAATAAGCTAAAATACTACATTAACACACATGTTCATGAAGCCTTTGGTTTGAGCAAAGACTTAAGGTTTTGTTTCTTTTTACAAAAATCACTCAAGTACCACAAAGCATAGAAATTGAAATGTTAGGACATTCACTCGACCTTCCTTGCTGTGTAAGCAGCAGACTCATACTACAGTCTCACACAGGGTGAGTCCTTTAAAAGAGGCCCCATGGATACAGAGTACACACGGTCCACGGGGCCTCTTAAAAGACTCACCCTGGACTTCCGGGTTAGCGCCTCCGGCAATGGCGGATTTCCTCTGATCGGGAGGAATCCGCTTCGTGAGAATTAGGGTCTGGACCGCCACAGCGAGGCGGAGACCCACCACAAACCACAGGCAGGAGAAGCCTGTGGATGTGGGATTCGGCTGGCACCTTTTGCGCCTCCCCTACTCGCGGCGAAACCCGGTTTCGGGGATCCGGAGCGACGTGGGGTGAATGGCGCGGTGCTTCGAATCGACTGCTCTTTTCACGGAGTGAAGCCGCATTGCTGTTGCCGGAGAGCGCTGACTTTTCCTGTGGACAATTGGATTTTAAACAACTGCCCGTGAGTAGAACGGAAAATTGGACTATGAAACTTTTTAATTTGGCACCGAAGCGGGAAGGTCTAAACAGGAAGTCCGCCTTCCGCTTTTGTAAATAGATTGAAGCAAAGACATTGCAAGCTAGAGTCTGGAAAGTCGTTTGTAAGGACTAAATTTCCATCAGTTAAAATTACTAAACCCCCCTTGGAAGCAGGAGAAGAGGGGGGAAATCTTAGACTGTTTAAACCTGCAGAAGAGAGAGTAAAGAAAGATAAATTTCCACCGTCTTGAACCTGGGAGCGGGGTGTCAGAGACAGACGCTTTGGGGAAGTTCATTGACTGTGGATAAAACGTTTTTGACAGATAGTTAAAAAAGAGAAACATATTGATTCCAATGTTCCCTTTTGCACTTAAAAGGAACAAAATATCTGAAAAACGAAAGGAATTTTGTTGCTAGATCTGCTTTTAAAAAGACGGATACAAACAGAAATTGTTTCCTCTAGAGGGAGCTTGTGAAACTGTTGCTGGAGTCGATCTGGGGAATTCTACAGCTGTAGAGATTAAAGATCGTGAGACCAGACATTGACCTTGAACAAGAATGTGCCCAGAAGAAGCTTTAGTGCTTGCTTTTTGCAAGACAAGCGCTTTACTGGAACAGCTACATGAGAAGATGGATTTGATGACTGTTGCAGTTGGCAATTTTGGACAAACAGTGAATACCTATATAGAAACCACTCAGGAACCAACCTAGGAATGTGCTTTGACAGAGCAAGTTGTGAAGAAGATAAAGGAGGAGGTTGTTGCTGAACCTCAAGTAATAGAAATGGAGAGAGCTGCGGCCTTGCAGGAACGTAAGTTGTTGTTTCTGACGACTGAACCTGGAGAAAGTCAGATTTGGAGAGATGGAGTACTGTTTGGTCTGGAGATGGGAAGTTGGATAGATCCCCCTATGCAGGGATGTTTTGACTTTTCGGATCTGGTTTTGGGCCAGGGGGAGTTTGGAGTTGTGGGGGCCCTTAACCTTGGAGGGACTTTGAAACATGCCTTCAAATATCTTTTGGATTTCAGTGCTGACTATGGAGAATGGGCTGACTTGTTGAGAAGGGATAAAGATATTGTCAAGTTGGAGTCTCCCCGAGAGAAAGGAAGGAAATTAAGAATAAGATCAGCAGAAGATAAAGTAAAGTGCAGGTATAAATATGAAGAAGACCTGCAGAAGGGACATGGAAAAGACTTAAGAGCCTCGGATAGAAGGTCACCAGGTTGATGGACTAGATGGAAGGGATAGAAAGGACTGATAAAACCCGAGACCAGGAAGAAGAGACGATGGATGAAGATTGGAAGAAAGTTTTAAAAATTCATTTAGAAAATGATTGTAAAATTAATGAGCATTAGAAAAATGTTGGAATGAAACTATTTGGCTTTAGTAGAAATGTTAAAAAGAATTATGTATAAATAAGTTTTAAGTTTTAAGCTTTAGGGCTTTTCATGGTAAGATAAGGTTAAAATAAATTAAGGTAATCTAATGACAGAATATAGTGAAAGATGGAAAGGATTTGCTGAGATAATTAATAACTAGAATACAAAAAACGGAGGTGTGAGGAGGTCGATGAAACAAGTTAATGAAAGACAAGATTTGGGAATATTTTTTGTTTATTTTTGATTTTGGTTTTGATGTGTTGTGTGTTTTGTTTTTTGTTTTTTTCTTTTTTCTTTTTACTGACTTGTATTGTTTAATTTCTCTTTTTGTCTACCTTTTTTCCTTTTCCTTTTTTCCCCCTTCTCTTTCTCTGTAATATTAAATTCTCAATAAATATCATTTTTTTTAAAAAAAAGACTCACCCTGTATATTGTGCTTGCATACAATTTACCGGTAGCTGCAGTGCACTCACCCTTTTTTATAACAGTTGTTTTTATGAAAGGTTTTTCAGACTTAACAAGGGTACATGCAACATCTCTGTTTTCAATTCATAGAGTCCTTTCCACAGGTCAGTTACATTCAGTGTGAGACACTGCTGCCATAGACATTGTGAGGTTGTAGACGGGGGGTAGGGGGAGGAAAGAGGCAGGTTTTCATGGTCTTTCTGCCCTCAGAAGCTTTGGTCACTGCTTCTGTTTTATACATTCATGTTTAAACGCCCAAGTATCATCATCTGCTCCCTCCACACAGGCATTACCTCCTACTCCACATAAACACACAAAGCAAGTTGTTGTTGGAATGTCATAGGATTCTGCTCTTCAGTTTAAAAAGTGGCAAGAGATTGGCTATTAAATTTCTTTAAATGTAAAAGCATTATATCTTATTAAAACTTCTTTTTTTAAAAAGGACTTGGCATTAAAGCATTCTTAGCCTTAGGACTGTCTCATCCACCTCCACCAGCCTGGCCAGTTGGCCCACCTAGACCAAAAGAGATAGAAAAGGCTTTCCATTGGGGTTGGGATTTTGCCTGGGCAATAATGGTATTCCAACAGAGGCTGCTGAGGAGAACCAATGCCAGACCTCTTTTGTGTTCACTGAGAAACTGACCATCCATGCTGCCTACCTGTAAGTAACCTGAGATCATTGTGATGTCCTTGGTTGGAAGAGGCGGGGGGGCTGAGGAGGGTGTTTCTCTGCTGGCTCTGCCTATATGGGAAGCAAAGTGTCAGAAGGAGGCTCCACCCCTGCTTAAAGGATGCCTCACAAACGGGAGGACAATTCTGAGGTTGGAAAAGCAAGACAGATGGGGCAAGACAACTTTGCTAGGCTGTGATCAAACCCAATGGCACTGCAACCCAACTGATTTCCGGTTCTACAAATGAGGCAGAGGTTATTTACAACATATCCCTTTTCCACTAAAAATGAATTCTAACAACAAAGCATTGGGTTCTTGTTTGAGCTTGTTATTCTCATTTAAGGCCATAGGCACCTGAAACAGTACACACTGTAGCTAGCTGAGAATTAAATATCTGAGATGCAGTCTCATTCTTGTTTCACCCCTTCTTGCATATTTAGGATGACCACTTGGCCCAAACCACACAGATGACCTACAATGCCTATAGCTTTCCCATGGGGGTCAGTCTGACTCTCCAGAACGAAAGCAGTTGCCTACAGCAACTCCACCCGCCTTATTTCATTCCTCTCTTGTGGCTCTCCAAGGAGGCATCCATACATAATTCAAAACCTATCAGTTCTATAGTAATTAAGCCAATTGATTTGAACTCTGTTAAACTGACCTTCCTATCCGCTTACCACCTGACCTCCAAACATGCAGCAGTTTCTCTATGCAGGTCAACCCAGTGCGCTGGTATCTCATTTCCTCATGCAGTTACAATGTAGTCAAGAATGACCTGTCCATTCAAAACTTCTCATAAAAACCAAAAAACACTTTTTTACAAACCACCTCTAGATTTTCTTACAGGAAAGGGGAATATAAATCAAGCAGTATATAAATTTTGTGAAATAACTACGTAAAATAAATCCCCAAAGAAGATTAGGCACACCCCTTAATCTCACTCACAGCACTTGCTTTCCAAAGAGAATCTGCACAATCGACCTGAAATTAGATTGGGACACCACCAAAAAGCTTTCACTGAATGCTGCAGAGTCTGCATTTGCCCCATGAAGAGATAAAATCCCACATTGTTTGACTTAAGAGAAAGGCCATTTAGCCTTAGACAATCCACTTCTTTAGAACTGAATGGCAGAGCCTGTGCCAGCCAGGATTTAAAAGAATAGAACAAAATGTGCAGAGTACTCCTTGCACATTGATGCGGCACTGCTTAGTTTCAGGGAAGGTGTATTTTCTTTGCAAAACACTCAAGCAAATGGGGTCCTTAGGCAGAACATCTGTTTTCCCCAATGAAATCACTTTGCAGAGCAGTTATTCCTAGTTCGCCCCTTCTGCTGACCATCCCCTCAAGGTGTCTTCTTCTTCAGGGCTCCAAGCAGCCTGAAACAGGAGCCTGGGTGGGTGGGTGCTCAGGCCTCTCAACGCTGGAGTTGGAGGGACTCCTTTTCTCTTTAATCTATTTTCTATTCTGGGATCTCTACATACGGCAAGGGAAGTTTTTCACAGCACAGATGGGGAGACTTGGAGATATGCTCTGTACAGTGGTACCTCATGTTACGGACAGGATCCGTTCCGGAGGCCTGTCCGTAACGTGAAATGTCCGCAACTCGAAGTGCTGTGTCTGCGCAGGCGCGCGGCGCGATTTGGCACTTCTGCGTATAGCGTGATTTAGCACTTCTGCACATGCACAAGAGGCGGAACCCGGAAGTAACCCGTTCCGGAAGGGTTGTCACAGGACATAACGCGAAAAGATGAAACATGAAGCGGACGCAACACGAGGCATGACTGTAATGTAATGAGAAAGCCATTTCTCTGTCTCCCTCTGCCCCTATCAGTCCCTCATCTGATACGCTAACATTCTCTGCCTCAAATGGTGCCAACCAGAAACTGATACACATTCTGCCAGACACTGGATTCCTCTCCTCTCACCCCCAACTGCACAAACCTTGGGGTAGAGGTATTTCAAGAGAAAATAAATGACAAAACTCAACATTTCAGCATATCCCGCCCCCAAACATGCCAGGGGTCCCTCTGGAGCAGACTGTGCATGGCGCAGGAGACTGGGGGGAAAGGAAGGGGAAATCCATCCATGCAACACTGGATGTCACCCTTTCAGCTTTATACGTCACACGTGGGGCCCTGCAATAACTTTCTGCAGTGGAGAATGCGTCTGTTCAATGTTCCAGCCACCCCATTCCATCCCTGCTTTCTTCCCCGGCCCCCATCAGCAAGCTCTTCAGGTCCACTGAGCATGGTCTACAATCGTTGGGCTTCTTCTTTGCGTACTCAACCCAACCTACAATGTGAGGATAAAAGCAATCAACAGCACTTGCAGGGATTTATTTAAAAGGTTCATATCATGCTTTAATCACAAATGCTTTCAGGGCAGCTTACATCATGAACTATATCAGAATAATAAAAAAACTAATAAAAACAACAATTAAAACTCACATCAGAATAGAAATTAAGAAAAACAGCAGAAGTTTCCATAAAGGTCCACTCATCCAGTAAAGCTAGAACATCTGGTTTTCCAGGAATGGTTTCAGTTGGTGTGGAGATTGCCATACTTCTGGAGCCAACCAGACCACAGGGAACATGTTCTATAGTCAGGATGTTAACCCAGAAGAGGTCCTTTCTCACACTGCCACCAAATGCATCATTTCCTGTGGTGGAACACAGAGAAGGGTCTCCACGGTTGATTTTAAAACACAGGTAAATTGGACAGGGTGGGTGGGAGATGGCATCAATAGCTTAAAGTTAAAGCTCTCCTCCTGCCAAAGCAAAAATAAACTCCAAAAAGGATCTAATGTTCTGAGGAGTGAAAGATAAAAAGGACTAGTGGAGATGCTGTGCTGAAAGGACTGCCTGGAGCAACCAGTCTCCCCTTTTCCAAGTAGCAGAAAAGGGTGCAAATGCTCACCACAGTGATGCTAAATATTCCACTGAAGATGAAGGACATGAAGCTGAGGGCCTGCAGTTTCCCAATTTCTGGAGGGAATTCCTAACTCAATGGTAGATGAACCCTCCTATCACTGCCTTAAACAGAGGGCACACAGGATTGCCGCACATGAACCACCAAGGCTTAATGTTTCTAAACCTTGCTCTCCATAAAGACACCATTTCAAAAGAACCATATACTGGCAATCCAGGAGAGCCCTCAGCAGAGTGCCAAGAGGGCACTCTTGAGAAAGCAGCATTGCACAACAACATGAAGAGACACTGCTAGTGACAATTTTGTAAAATGACACTAGGTAACATCACCATCATTATTGTATTGCTGTGTTGTTGTTGTTGTTACTACTATTTTTATTATTTTTATTATGGCTATCCTAAACATTTCATGCACTAAAAAGAACCCTATTTCAGACATTGCCCTTGATTTTTAAGTCTTTCTAATAAATTGCACAGAAAGGAGTATAGCTAAAACACTGATCTATTTATTTCACAACTATACGTCAAGAGTTAAGCCAGCAATCTGCAGCTGTTGTGCAGGGAGCTGAACAGAATTCTGGGTTATGAAATGCTGTGGAACGGAAAGTAGGAACCAGCATCTTTATCTGAGCCAGGTAGCCACTCTGGAAATGAAAACACGACGGCTTTCTCTTATCTGATTATCCACTTCACCACTACATGAAAGAAGATAAAATTTAAATCTCTACACATGCAAACTGATACTGCAATAGGACAGCCGATCTGTTTCACATTTGTTATTTTTACAAGACTATTAGCCAAGGAGGTGCTGGCCAATCTTTAGACCATTCCAAGATTTCACGTGCCTGATTGGGAGCAGTGCTCCAAGCCACGATGCATCCTCATGGCAGTGTTACTCTTTCCCCATTTATTATGCTCTGGAAGAACAAGCTGCCATGAGTGCAATAACAGAACATGATGGTACAAAGGAGAGAAACATCACAGCACTTTGGGAGAGGTGCATAAGTCCAGTACCAAAATAAAATGTTTGTTTCAGCAGCACTATGCAGAGATTTATTACTAGTGTAGATGAGCAGAAAGACAGAACAAGAGATTGTTGAGGAAAGCCCACCGTTAAACACACCACCCAATCCTAGACTTCAGATGCTGACATCTTGAGTTTACAGCATCTTAAAGAGTTATTTGAATGTCCAAAGCTCACTGCCAACTCCACAAAATACGGTTCCAATCTTGATCTTTTAACATACCCCTGTGCTTTATGTCAGGGGAAGGGAACCTCAAAGATTCTCTATCTTCCATGGGCCCACATCTGACAGCACAGTTCAAGAAGGCAGAGATTCACATCTGGGATGCTGGAAGTACAGTTTTATTTCATATCTGCTGCTTTACAGGTGTGCTTCCACCCATGCCCCAGGTTGTTTTCACCTATATGTAAGATCTTTCAGTGGGCTTCCCCTCCTGGGGTGCCTGTCTCCAGCAGAAATACAACGGGAAAGTGGATAGGTTTGGGTAGAGCACTATAAGAGATATAAGCCAGACTATAAAAGTTTGCCATATTTTTTTTTCTAACTGTCAAGTTTAATATGATTTATAAACCACTGTCAATAGTAGTTAAACAAAGTTAAACAAAACAGATCCCTACTGAAAGTCTATAATCTAAACACTACAGAAAAAGAAAAAAACAAAGAGAGGAAAGGAGGGGTTGAACTGAACATAAATCCAATCAAAAGCACTAAAAAATTGCAAACATTCATATAATGACTCCAAATTATTATGAAGTGTGCCTCAGATATGGAAGAAGGCATCTGCATGGGCCAAAGCCAGAAGCACCTAAATCGCACTAATTTACTTTTGAATATTAGTTGCCAAACTGCTCACAATCTTTAATTTATTTTTGGGGAAGATGCAACTACAGTGGTACCTTGATTAAGTTTTAATCCTTTAAAGCCCTAAATCATGGTTAGGCAAACTAAGGCCCGGGGGCCAGATCCGGCCCAATCGCCTTCTAAATCCGGCCCGCAGATAGTCTGGGAATCAGTGTGTTTTTACATGAGTAGAATGTGTCCTTTTATTTAAAATGCATCTCTGGGATATTTGCGGGGCATAGGAATTCGTTCTTTTCCCCCCTTCAAAATATAGTCCGGCCCCCCACAAGGGCTGAGGGACAGTGGAATGGTCCCCTGCTGAAAACGTTTGCTGATGGTTCCAGCCCTGTATACCTGAAGGAGTGTCTCCACCCCCACCATTCTGCTCTGAGGGCCTTGTGGCAGTTCCCCCCCTGCGAGAAGTGAGGTTACAGGCAACCAGGTAGAGGGCCTTCTCAGCGGAACGCCCTTTCGTCAGATATCAAGGAAATACACAACTATATGACTTTTAGAAGGCATCTGAAGGCAGCCCTGCACAGGGAAACTTTTAATGTTTGATGTCTCACTGTGTTTTTATATTTTGTTGGGAGCTGCCCAGTGTGGTTGGGGCAACCCCGTCAAGATAGGTGGGGTACCAATAATAAAATTATGATGATGATGTTTTGTTAGGCTTTCAGGTACTAATGGGTTAAGTATGTTTAATGCGGCTGCGAAGTATCTTTTAATGTACCTTATGATATTTATTTTAATGCTGTGTTTATTATGAAATACATTTTATCTTATTTTCATAAAATGCTCCTTCTAGTAAAGGGTGGTTTAGAAATGCCTTAAAAAATGACTGGCAAAATCAGCTGGAAGTGGGGAAGCAGCCAGAGAAAGAACTGTGAGCAGACGTGTGTCCTGCTTGCCACTCTTTGCACCTCCTGTTCAGGCAAAAGGGCTCTACTCTGGGCTCAAGACAAAGGGGTAGGTCACCCTCCCCCCACTTCCTATAAAAGAACGGTGGAAAATATTTTAGATGTTAACTTGATTTTTAGCCTCATGCATAACCTTTTACTGCCTAGCGGCACCTTAAAAGAGTTCATATCCGTATGAGTCACACATCACTATACTCAAGCATAACTACGATGTAATGGTGAATAGGCAGCATGCTGGTGCGTGGGGCTAAAACTACACAGGCTTCCTCAGCTCCAGACAGCCAGGGCCTTGCGCTTGCAGGCCAGATGGGAAAAGGCTTGTGAGGCAGAGAGCAGGTCTTCCAGGGCTCACAGCCAAGGCTTTGTCCATAAACAACCACAGCAGTGTTCAAACAAATTATATTTAGCATGTCAAATGTGTACAGTAATTTAAATGTAGGGCTTATCCGGCTTTGCAAATGAATACAAACAGCAACCATTTTTACCAGCCCCTCTGGCACCTACGCATGTGCCAAACAGTGGACAGAGACACTCTTCCCTGACAGAGCTGCTACTTGCCTATCCTCATCTCCAGCTGGTTGTTAGTACTAGTTAGTACTAGTTCTGGAGTTTGCTTTGCTTCTCCTTCCCAATCCTGTTTCATCACATCTTTGAGATTGTGCAAGCCTGAGGGGAGGGACTGGATCACTGTAAGCCACTATGGAGGCCTTTTTGGGCTGAAGAATGGGGTAAAAATCCTTCAAATAAATAAGTAAATCTAGGGCAAATGAGTGGCTAAAACTAAATGCATTATGTAAATTCCAAGACCTGAATTGCTGGAATAAACAGCAAGGCTTGAAAATTTTGCTTCTGGTGTGTAGAATAAATGTTGCCACCTGCTGACAGAAAACGAAGTAGAGGAAGGGCTCATCCACACAGATGTTTAATATGCATAGCAGGTGTCCTGAACCTCCATTAGTTTTCCATTGTTCATATGAGGTTCTCTTCTGGCTCACTGCTTTCCCACACTTTCCCCTCCCTCAAACTGGATTTTTTCACATCCTCTTGTTTTGGGAGTACCCATGGTATAAGAAAATGAAAGACAAGGCAAGGGAAAGTGTAGGAAGGCACTGAGCTGGAGGAGAACATCACATGGACAAAAGAGAATTCATGGTGGTAGAGGAAGATTAAAAGGTAAAGGTACCCCTGACTGTTAGGTCCAGTCACAGATGACTCTGGGGTTGCGCACTCATCTCACTCTATAAGCCTAGGGAGCCGGCGTTTGTGTGCAGACAGTTTTCCAGGTCATGTGGCCAGCATGACTAAGCTACTTCTTAGTCATGAGAACCAGAACAGCGCATGGAAATGCCGTTTACCTTCCCGCCGGAGTGGTACCTATTCATCTACTTGCACTTTGACGTGCTTTCGAACTGCTAGCTTGGCAGGAGCAGGGACCGAACAACGGGAGCTCATCCTGTCGCGGAGATTCGAACCGCCGACCTTCTGATCAGCAAGCCCTAGGCTCTGTGGTTTAGACCACAATGCCACCCGCATCCCTAGAGGAAGATTACTATCCACATTAAACAACAGTATGGATTGGACTGCAGGGGGTTGGACAAGAGGACCCTGAGGGTCCCTTCCATGAGCCTGAAGAGAAAGGGTGTAAACAAAACCAAGCACACCAAGACCTATGAACATTGTGAAGACCTGCCATCATGCTGGAAGATACCAATAAAACTTGAGATTCATTAGTTAATGAGATCATTTAAGTTTTCATGCAACACACAGATATCAATCTATTGTGATGCTGAGAACCTCCACTAAGAGAACTGCTCATTCCCACACTGAAGCATCCAAATTTTCACTCACTGTGGCAAGTGTGCTATTTCCACTTACCATAGAAAGCCCCAGCTTCCTTCCTAACCCTGCCGCTTCAGATGGGAGCAGGTATTGTCCCATTGGTTGAACACACTGGCTAACACGGAACTGCATTTGCCAGAAGAAATGCAGAGCATTCTAGATTAGTGCCTTGCTATATGAAATGTTATCATCACAAACTATAGATGCAACTTGAGATCAGGAAAGTAACAGCTGCCACATTCCTTATTAAGCACTTGAACCTCTCTAAGGCCATGAGTATTACCAGGCCATAATTAAAATTAAAATACTGTATACAGTCGTACCTTGGTTTCTGAACAGCTTAGTTCTCAAACGTTTTGGCATGAGTGTTCCGGTCTGCGAACTATTTTTGAAAGCCGAACGTCCGACAGGGCTTCTGCACTTCGGTTTTCAAATGTTTTGGAAGCTGAACAGACTTCTGGTACGGATTCCGTTCAACTTCCAAGGTATGACTGTACTTAAAAATCTATTCTCATGAGCTAGAAGCTAGACTCTCAATTGTTAAACTCATTTCACCAACATTTCAGATTATATGACTATTAATACTAACATTTTTCTTCTTGAAATAAGGAACATTGAGTCCCACTCTCTCCAGCTAAAAAATAGCGCAGGGTCCAGCTCAATAATGAGCTCATCTGGAGCTGCGATCTTCAAGGCCCTTGTGCATCCCAGGGAGGAAAAACAGATTACTACACATACTATTTCAATTTTATATTACCCTGCAAAACCAGTATGTTAATAATGCAGAGAACAGCTATAACAACGACCTTTGTGGGCATTTACTAGACAAAAGCTTAATGCATTTTGAACACTGAAATAGAAACTGCTTTTATTACATACATCATAAGCTTTCATTTTCATTCTGAATGGCTTATCTCTCATGCTTTAGTTTTAATTTTAAATCAGAAATATTTATATCTGAAGAGCTCAGAAGCAACTGTCAGTAAGTCACAGAATGTATTTTACTGTACTTCTTGCAAACCTTTAAACACAAGGAAGCATCATTCTGCAAGGCCAGTTGAGTGCCCAAGGAACGGTGACTCTTTGGCTCAAGCCTTCCACCTCCCCTGACCTGCTCTGACATGGCCACAAGCAGATCCAATGCGTGCACTTTTGTTTTCAAACTCACTTGCATTCCCTACTACATCCAAACTCAAGAGAATCTATTTCGTTTGTAAACAGTTTGCCCCTGGCTTCATCTACCCAGTTTTAAACTAATCCGTTTTCCTGACTTTAGATTTAAAAAGTTGGTTTAAAAGCACATCCTCCTCACAGGGGTGCTAGAGGAGGAGAGGGAACAGGGAAGAGCAGAAAATTGAGGCTTGTGCACACAGCCTAAGAACAGAAGAACAGCTGGGTCTAGGACACTTCCTTGGCTGCGCCTCCCTCTCACGATAAGCTACAGTTTAGTGTTAAATGCAAAAGGTCAGGTGATTTGAGAAACCAAGTTACAATGTGCATGGATGCACTGCCTGAATTTCCACCCAATTAATGACTCAGTCCTAGCACGAGGATCCAAGAGGCATCTCACAAGTAGCACAGAACGCCCCGCCCCCTGAAGATGAGAAATGACTCTCCTCTTCTACCGTCTCCCCTCTGGCTTGGACCATACTCAAGCCTTCCAATTTACACTTGGTGTTTTGCAAGCCCCAAATAATTCCTTTGCCCCAGAAATCTCTCTTATTTCTTTTTCCCTCATGTTTGTGAAGCTGAAGCAGACGCTTCTGGCTACTTTATGGTGTAATTTGTATCGTTTTCATTAAGAAGTTTAATTAAAATATTGGGGGGTTGGGGTGGTAAGCAGCCCATAAGGGCTCATCTACACTTCTTTTGGTGACACATTTCTCGGCATCAGCCCATGCTTTAAAGCACTGTGTCAGAGTGCTTTTTTCTTCGTGCCCCAGTGCTTTCCCACACATATCCACTCTTTGCTGCTGAATCAGAACTGCAATCTGCAGAAAACCTAAACGGCCATTTGGTCCAAGTCAGCATTAAAAAGTGGGTTTGTTGCCGGGGACGCACAGGGGGGAGTGCTCAGACACAGCACTTTAAAGCATGGATCTGTGCCTAGAAAGCGTGGGGCAAAGGCAAGTGTGGATAAGCCAAGAGGTAGGGTGGGGAGTGTACTCTGCTACGTTATTAGAGAAGGGAGTGTCTTGTTCCAGGAAGGGCATTCAAATACAATAGTTCAGCAAACCAAAACTATGCCTGGTTTCATACAAACTGCTTCAAAGGTGTTGCCAGCTTGAGAAAAACCTTACATCTGACTGGTGTTGATTTAAACTGTATGCAAATAGGGTTAACATCTTCTGGTGGTCTAAAATTCAACAGCTAATGAGAATGCACTTTTTAGTGGAAAAAGTTGTAACCCATTCCAAAGAATCTAGCCAATTTACAAATTGTTGAAGCTAGGAAGAGAATAGGTTTGATTCAGTAAGTGAATTTCTGCATTCTTTGTCACTGTGAGGCAGATGTACTAGAAGATCCTTAATTCTTACCCTTTATGGCTGAAGAAATGCTTCTCACATCAATGTCCAACGTCTTCACCAGACTTTTTGGATCAATCTTCACTCCAGCAAAGACGTTTGAGGTCATAAATACCTGGTCCCAACACAGACAAGAACAACAAAGAGTCTTGTGACATCTTCATCATGGCATAAGCTCAGGTGGACTATTACACATTTCATCAGATGTGATAAAAAAAACATGTTAAGAATAAAATGTGATGTAACTATTCCCTTTGTCCCATGCACTGTTGTTGTTGCTGGCATCCGTCTGTCTCAGGAGACAATAGAAAAGGGCACCTTTGAGAGTAAAGTCAAACCATTGGAGAGTTACAGTGCCTGCTGTAGATTATAAAGGATAATAAAGAATGAAAAAGGAGAGACATGTTTTGTTGCAGTTGGGGCAGATGAAGGTGTTTGGTTTTGCTGCTACAAGTGCAACATGGCATTTCTATTAGGCTGCTATTTCTACTGCACCATCCATGAGTAGGAGGACAAAAGCCATGGGCCTAGCCGGGGGGGGGAGGGACTGCCCCCCCCAAGTAAATAAATAGAAATACTTAACTGGCCAATTGCATCACAGAACTCGTTCTGCCCCCTAACAGAGTCTGCCCCCCTCAAAAAACAAATCCTGGCAACACCTATGACAAAAGCATTAAATATATTGGCCAGAATATACTCGTTTGGAGAGTTGTTACTTTACCATATCTCAAGTATAAAAGCAAAATTTTGGTCAGTTTTTATTCTCAAAGAATTATTTCTGTAATCAGTGGATATTCTTTTACTTCTACTATAACTTTTGACCCAAATTGGTGAATAAAAAGTAAAGGCGATAAAATGATTGAAGAAACCACCCCTAAACTGAAGTGGCAGTTGCAGGATCCTGTCAAACCTTGCCATGGCTCACTCCTCACCTCCTCCTGTCCTAAGAAAGTTTTACCCTCCAGAAACATGTCCTGTATCACCATCTTGTGGAGAGCCTTGTTCCAAGCTCTGGAGGCACACACCGCTCCTTTTGGTCTACCGCTGTAGGTGCTCCCAAGTGCCATGGGCTGGACCAGGGCTTTTTTCCAGCTGGAACTCAGCCCTGGCCCTTCTCAGGTGGGCCCATTGCCATTCCAAGAGAAGGAAGGAGGCCTTCAGGGTGAGTCGCGGCACCTCTACTTCTGGAGAAACAGCCCTGGGCTTTGGACGAAGGATTCGAGGGATGTCAACTTTCTCAGGCGCGGTGTAGGTCAACTGCCCAGATGTCACTGGGAACTGCTGCTCTGCAACATCTGGCGGGCCAGAGGTTCCCACACACCTGGCACACGCCCTTCCCCCCTGGTGCCAGGGGCGCAGGCTGGACGTATTTGGGGGGGGGGGGGCAAGGCAAGAACAAAGTTATCTGTGGCGCAATGGGTCAGCGAGTTGAGCCCTTCCATTTACTTACTAGCACCTGCCCCCCAAAATGCCAGGTGCTCCAAAAGGAGCGGGAAGGGGGAGAGGAAGCTGTATCTTCCTTTCCTCCTCCGCCTCGCCAACTAACAATGGGGCGGACGAGGCGCTCGAAGACCAGATGCCCGCCATGAAGGGGCGCCTCGCCTCCCCGCCCCCCGCCCAGCCCCTTCCCGAGCTCATGCTGGGAGGGGGAACCCCGAGGGCATCCAGTCCCCCTGGGGGGGGAGGCGAGGGGCGTTCGGGCGCCGGACCCAGGCAGCCAAACCCCCAAGCGAGGTCGCGGCAACGCCGGACGCCGCCTCCGCCCGCGCGGCCTCGTGGAGGAGCGCAGAGGCCTCACCTGGCCCGCCGCGGCCCTCGCCGCCTGGGCGCCCGTCGGGAGCGGCGCCTCGTCCTCGCCCGGGGTCCAGGGGCCCTTGGCCGGCCTGGGCGCCGCCCGGTGCAGCCGCGGCCGCCTCGCCGCTTTGCCCACCATGGCGGCGGCGGCAGGAGGAGGAGGAGAGCGGGAGGAAGGCTTGGGAGAAGGCCGAGGGAAGTCGCCCCCTCACGGCGCCCCGGGGAAGCGCCGAGGCCGCGCGCCACGTGCTGCCGTCTCCCTCAGCGCCAGGCCGAGAAGGCCTTTCTCCCTGGCGCGGCCTCGAGGCGGCTTACGGAGGCCGCCAGGCAGGCCGGGGGAAGCGGGGGAGAAGAGGGAGCCGCGCCGGAACGGAGAGCACGCAGGCGGCCGCCGTACTAGACGCCGCGCAGGCAGCGGCCCTCGGGTCCACGGCAGCCCGGTCGCGAAGGCCCACCAAAGCCGCGAAATGCCCCCGCCCGCTCGCTGCCCCCGTCAGGCTGCCATTCTGAGGGGAGACCGTTGCGTCTCTCGCGGGTCTCTCTCGGTCGGCGAGCGCGGCCTGCGCCTTCCCTTCGGCCTCGGGCGCCTCCATCGGGGCTTGTGGCCAGGCAAGAAGAGGCCGTGAGGGCGCCTCGGTGTCCAAGATGGGCGCTTGTCTGGTTCCTCCAAGTCCGGCTTCTCTCTCTGTTCCAGAAAGGAGGAGAACCAATGGAGGAGGAACGGGCAGCGCCCTTCGAAGCCCCTTCATCCTTCTCCACCTGTTCACCCCACCCTTCTTCCCTCTGTCTCCCCAGGTGAAGCCCACTGACTTCAGCGGGCTTCAAGTCGCCCTCCTGACCCACAGGATGGCTCTCCGCAGGGAGGCTCGCCTCCCCCATGGTACGCCTTTAGGGGCCAGGCAAAAATGTTCCTCTTCATAAATAATTGTAGAATTGGGAGGGATCCCGAGGGTCATCCAGTCCAACCCCCTGCAATCTCAGCTGAAGCGTCCATGACAGATGGCCATCCAAGCTCTGCTGAGAAACCTCCAAAGAGGGATAGTCTGCCACCTTCCATACAAGCACTGTCAAAACAGCTCTTAACTCTCAGAAAGCGCTTCTTGATGTTTACCTTTCTTCTAACTCACTGGTTTGAGTCCTACCCTCTGGAGCAGGAGAAAACAAGCTTGCTCCATCTTCCCTTGAGATATTTGAAGATGGCTATCATATGGGATAGCTGCATAGTCCTGCCTTGCAGGGGGTTGGACTAAGATGACCCTTAGGGTCCCTTCCAACTCTACAATTTTATGACTTCTATATCACCTCTCAGTCTCTTCTTTTCAAAGCAAAACCTACCCAGCTCCTTCAACCATTTCTCATAAGGCTTAGTTTCCAGACCCTTGATCATCTTGCTTGCCCTCCTCTGCACTCGCTCCAGCTTGTCAGCATCCCCCTTAAATTGTGGTGCCCAGAACTGGACACAGTATTCCAGGTGTGGTTATGTGTCTGCTTTTGTTTGTGCCTTTATTATGTAGTGTTTTCATTTTGTATTTTTATGCTGTGAACTAGGCTGAGATAAAGGGTGGTTTGCAAAGTTAATAATAAACAATAAGTAAACAAAATCCTTTCTGCTGGAGGGAGTTAGTATGTCATGGACGTCCTTGTCCACAGCGGATGCCCTCACGGCAGCCATGGAAATTGCGCTGCATTGTTTCCACTGTACCCAGTGAGACTGGCTGGTGCAGGGTGGGGGAGCACAGATGCCATTCTCCAGGGAGGGGCTTGATCTGAGCCCTTCGACTTGCATAAGACTCGAGCTGTGCAACAGTTGTAGAAAACTCACACCACCCCATACCGTGCATACTGTGTGTCCTAGTCAGCGTGAGTCAGCAGATCTTTGGAGATGGTGGACCCACTGCCCTGCTCTGCCTTGCTGATTCCACCCAGAGCTTAGGATTCCTCCGCCACTCACTTATGTGCATCCTTAAAGCTGTAAGCTAAATCATGGTTGCTTCTGGGATTGAAAAATCGCCAAAAAACCCCCACCCCTTATTATTAGAATCTACCAAATCGGTAATAAAACCACAATGCCATTTTATGTATGCATCAATTACTATTTATTAAACAGCATCTTACAGTATACAAGGATCCGGCTCATCATTCTAATGGTATGGCCTGTTTATACGTAGTAATGGTTTCATTATTGGTATACAGTGGTACCTCGGGTTACAGACTCTTCAGGTTACAGACTCCGCTAACCCAGAAATAGTACCTCGGGTTAAGAACTTTGCTTCAGGATGAGAACAGAAATTGTGCTCTGGTGGTGCGGCGGCAGCGGGAGGCCCCATTAGCTAAAGTGGTACCTCAGGTTAAGAACAGTTTCAGGTTAAGAATGGACCTCCAGAACGAATTAAGTTCTTAACCCGAGGTACCACTGTATTTTGAATAAAGAAATCTAAAATAAAATATTTGTACAATATAAGACCCCAAAAAATGCAAAGTAACATATCAAAGGCAATTGTGGTGCAAATAGGTTATTTCATCATAGGATATTTCAGAAGCATGTAACCTTTTCAGAATCTACATTGCGTCCAAACATACTATGTAACTCATGTCTTTATGTCATAGCATATGTTTACATGGTGGTAGTGCCAGGTCACAATCCAGTGGGCTACTTAGTTTGAACACAGGTATGGAGAATATCTTCTCTTCCAAATTTGTAACTTCAATTAACATTTGTGGTGCAGGAACCATTTCTATTAACCAGTATCATGCCGCTCTAGTTACATTGAAACATGAATCATGGTTAAAACTGTCACCCTGTGCACTAAGAGTTGATGGTATTTTATGTACGACACATAATTTGGCCCCAGCTGCTTTTCCTACTGATAAAACTAGGAAAGATCTAGCATTTAATATAATACTATAAAGGAATATAAGGCTAGATGTAGCCACACATGTTGGTGTGTTGAGTGTGTGCAAGGAAAAAAGAAATGAAAAGCCAATAAACTTTTCATTAGAAGGTGCAGATGTACCGTTTAGCTAAGTGGGATTTATTGTTTTGTGAGATTTCCCCCCTGGACAGTCAAGATGCACTATTATCCAGCAAATGTTTTTGTAACAATACATATTGCCAGATAGTTATTTTTTACTTTAGGAAGTCTCAGAAAATGACTACGCAGATGTGAGGCATCTTTTACTTAACTCCTGATAGGTTGCATCAGAATCAGGATGTGCCTCACCCCCACAGGGGACTGGCGACATTTCACCACAATTGCTACCAATCTGCTTCCTTGTTTAGCAACTGCAAAAGTCTACGCTGTGATGCCAAGAAGCATAGCACTATCATGATGAGGGGAACAGAGGGGCTTGACCCAATATGTCCTATAATGACCCCTTATTTTATTATTTATTATTTTAGCCCCTTAGCCTAAAATTGTAAGGAATCCCTTGGCAGCAGGAAACCTGAAAGAACTCTCTAAGGTGGTTTGCTACAGGAAGCCAGCAGAGACAGGCCTCGCATGAGCCTCCTTGGCAAAGAACTTGCTCACATATTTTTCAAATATTTTTATTTCAGTGTTATAATATGGCATTTACCTTTGGAACAAATCTTGGTTATACTGTACACATATTCCACAGTTTCAGACACAACTCTTTGCTGACACTTTGACTCATTTGCAAGTTACAGTGTTGAAAAAGCACCATTTCCTTTCTCTCTTCCTCATTCTAAAATAGCAACTTACTACTGATCAGTTATCCTGCAAAAAGAAATGAGTGAAGACCCCACTATTTCCCTACAAGTTGTTTCTTCAGGTTCCAGCAACTTCTGATTTACCCTCAAATGTGTAACAAGATGTTGACATGGGTTCAGAAGTTATTCCAAAATAGACAATTGTAGAAGTGAAAAATGCAGGGTTCTCTTAGACAATGTTTGTTACATTTAGCTTTCTATTTTATCCAAACTTTTATAGCACTCTTCAGTTTAAAAGACTCCCAGGGTAGCGCACAACTGTATTGAATAGAAACATATAAATCAAATGAAAACGGCAGCAGATTAAGAAACATTACAACAGATTAAAACCAGCAAAATAACATGCCTCAAAATCAGGATAAATAAAAATACATCAAGAATGGCACCTGGTGAGCATCACTGGCCAGGGAATTATAAAGTTAGGGTTGCCCATATGAAAAGGCCCCTCCAGTCACCACCCATCTCACTTAGAAATGAAGGTGGAAGACTCTCCAAGGTATGCTGGCTCATTTGAGAGACCTCTAAAGGACTTTAGGGCAGCCGGCCTGGAAATGACTACGGTGGGCACTGTAATGGTTTCCTTTATAGTGTTTTATGCTGAAGGGAAAAAAGCTTCCAAGGGGTCTTTCTCAGGCTTTTGGCCAAGATCAAGATTTCACCAAGGGGTAAAAAGATCAAGATTTTACCAAGGGGTAAAAGTCCTTTCCTGAGAAAGATTTTAACTGAACACACATTATGGGGATTTGGGCACAGTTTTGAACTTTGGATGGCTTGAAAATACGCTTTCCACCCTCCCTCACTTCTCACTTCCTCTACAACCCACAGGGGCAAGATATGCAATATCAATGAAAAAGGAAGAGGCGTGGGCCTTTCTCTGCCTTCTGAGGAGTGGTTTGGCTTTTTCTCACTTCTACAGAAGGAACTGATCAGAAGACAGAGAACTTCACAACACACCCAAAAAAATAGCTGAGAAGAAGCCAGAGAGACTGAAAACTTGATGTATGTTTTTAAATTCTTTGTTTATTTGTGTTTTACTCTTTTCGCAAACTGAGTATGCAGAGTTTGACATCTGTATTATCTTCCTGTGGGCTTGGTATGTCCAAAATCTTAACGGAAGTACCACTAGCAGTCAATACATGTACAGTGGTACCTCGGGTTACATACGCTTCAGGTTACAGATTCCGCTAACCCAAAAATAGTACCTCGGTTTAAGAACTTTGCTTCAGGATGAGAACAGAAATCGTGCAGCAGCGGCAGCAGCAGGAGGCCCCATTAGCTAAAGTGGTTCTTCAGGTTAAGAACAGTTTCAGGTTAAGAACAGACCTCCAGAACAAATTAAGTTCTTAACCTGAGGTACCACTGTAACTGTAAAGGTAATTAATTCAATTGAACTTCAGTATTTGATGGAGGCACCATACCTTCCAGTTCTTTAGATGCTGGCTGCCCTCAGGTGTGAGTCTAGCACTGAAGGTTAGCTGTATGTTTCCTGTAGATATCTGTAATGGAGCCCCGACTGCCCCCTACCTCATTGTTGTTGTTCACTGAAAGGAAAGCATTTGGGGTCAATGCCTTCCCTACCCACTATTTTCAAGGTTGCAGTCGCCCTACACGCACCTTTTCCTCATGTGGGATTCAAAATGCAAGGCAGTTTCTCTCTTTGTAGCTGAGAGGAAAACAACAGAAAGAAGGGCCAGAGCTTTCTAGAGTCACCAGGCTGAAGAGAAATACTTCTGAGGAGAAACAGACCTTCTGCCTAGCATTCTGCATGTGAGGGAGCAGTCGTTGTCTCTGGGGAGACAATGGAGGATTGCACCTTTGGAGGTGAAGTCAAACCGTTGGAAGTGTTAGAAACAGATGTGAAAGCTAGAAGCTAAAGGGCACATTAAATCCAGTTATGGGCGCAACAATGGAATGTCTTGGCATGCTTTTTTTTACAAGAATACAAAGCTGAAAATAAATGAACTGCAGCTAACATATTATGTTCGTTTTTCACATAGTCTAGTTCTTCTCTTGCCCACCCCCCTGATATTCTTAAGAGGGTCTCTTTTCTAGTCTTCAGAGAGTAGCTGAAAGTGGGGAGGCAGAATAAGATCCTCCTTTCCTTCCACTCTGCAGTTTTAATCTGAAATCTTAGGCACAGTACGACACCCAGAACTCAGAAATGCTTGCACTAATGAAATTCCCTGTCTCAAAATGCGCCTAGAACAATGGGAATTTCAAACACTGGATACAGCACCTGTTGTGGCTGAGCAGACCAATGTGGGAAAGACATGTTCTGTTGCATCTGGGACAGGTACAGGTGTCACGTTGTGCTGATGCAGATGCACCATGGCGGTTTTTTCTCTATGTTCCTCCCAGCGGTCATAACTATATCCTTAATGAGCCCATTTCTTGCTGGCCTATAGTTCAATGTGCAACTTTCATCTCTGCTTCTGTGAAAGCGGTATGCTAGCTATTTTGTGGTGTGGCATGTGTAAGTTCGCAGGTCAGCTTGCTTTTCGCACTTCTGCGGAATATCTCATGAGAAAGCTACATTCTGTGGCTTCTGTTGAAACGTGGTGTGGAATAGTATTATATAAGCTTGGAATCCTTTTAAAGTGACAGGACTCCAGCAATGGAAGATCCAATACCCAAGATTTGGTTAAAGTTCTGTTTTTCCCCAGGCAGATATGAGTCTGACCAGGACTGCAATGCTAACCTTGCCTACTCAAAAGTAAGTCCTATTAAATTCAAAGAGACTTACTCCCAAGTAAGTGGGGTTAGGATTGCAGCCGTACATTGTGTAGTGTGCTACCTTTTGGTACGTTTGTAACAGATTGGTGTAACTGGACAGTAACTAATAGAAATACAGTACATCTTCTCTTTGCTTGTCTGCATTGGGTTGCCAACTTTTTTTGTGGCAGGGCTTCTGTGCTTTTATAACAATTGTATGACATGAAGGGATGCTAGTGTTTTTACTGATCCCGCTCCTGTCCCTTTAACTCTAACTTGACAAATAGAAATGCAAGAAGTGGAGCTGGGAACGCTCCACCTGCATAATTGCTGAGAATCACATAAATGCTAAAGGTACAAGAGGGAAATCAGTTGGCAACTCCAGTGATAAACATTAGTTTTGCCAGCTGGGAAGCTGAATGTTTTCCTGGTGTGTGGATTTTAGGCACAGGGTCACATGAGGCTTGGAGTATAACTTGGAATCATAGAATTGCAGAGTTGTAGGGGACCTGAGGGTCATCTAGTCCAACCCCCTGCAATGCAGGAATCACAACTAAAGCATCCATGAGAGATGGCCAGGCAACCTTTGCTTAAAAGCCCTTCATGGAAAGAGTTCACCACCCTCTAAGGGAGACAGCCCTGTTGTCAAACAGCTCTTGCTGTCAGAAATCATCATCATCAACCTTTATTATGGTCCAGAGACCCAACAAATCGTTACAAAGCAATACACAATTCATACCGCCTACCTCCAGGTTAAACAAGCATTTTGTTCAGAATATAGGGATCATTGGTTCTTGCAACCACCGATAAAAACTTTGCCACTGCTAATGTTCTACCGTTTGCCCGGTCTTCCAATAGGAACCTGACATAGTGAGCCTCTGATTTTCCCGGGAAAGGTACCAGCAAGGGTAATAGCAGTTCAACCCTGGCTTGCTTATATTTTGCACAGTGCTGTTAGAAAGTTATTCCTGATGTTTTGTCAGAATCTCCTTTTTTGTAACTTTAGGAATCCTTCTTTAAGATAAAGGAAGAGAATAACATCTAGCATCCTATTATTTCTATAGTGTTTCACCCTGTTTTTTCACACTGGTTCTCCAAAGGCAAATGCTTGTAGGAATATGCAGCATAAATTTAATGATATTTTAAGTAGAGGGGGGGCGGAGAGAGAAAGCTCACCAATTAGATTTGTTCCCTAGTATGGCTAGGATTGTATCTCTATGGTACATAGACAACCAGCCCATAAAATCTGAAATTTGGGCTTTTAAAGTCATATTTCGAAAGGTGTCTGACAACATTTATAATTATTTTCCCTTATAGTGAAGAGAAGAGAGGGAGATGCATTTCCTGCTTCAAACAGTACCTAAGACTATTTATGGAAACAGCATTCAGATGATGTTGCAAGATACAATCACAGGCACAGCATGCTTTTACCTTTGCTTTCCATATGTCTCCATCAGCAGTGCAAATGCCCCTTGCCCTTCCTTCTTCCATGCTGCAGGGAGAAAGACTCATCAAGAGTTCCCTTTTTCTCAGAGCTCTTTCAACACAACAACTTGAAAATAAGGAACATAAGTCAGAAAAGGCAAATGAGATGGGGACAGCCAGAAGCAAGGGAGGAATTCTGCAAAGAGTGAAGCAAATAGGCCCAGTCTTTTCCAGGCATCCTCTGCTGCTTTTATTTTCCCCAGGGAATTTGGAAGCCAATGGCACAGTCCCAACTTCATGCTAAACTATTGCTTAGTACTATATGAACGAGCCTCAGTCTTGTATACTCCCCCTCTCCCCTTCTCCTCTGGCTCATCCACATGGAGGGAATTGAAAGCATTCACTTCCTGCCTTAAATTAATCATAGTTTGTTGTTAAATAGTTGAAATTATGGCTTATTGAAACAAGCCAAGATCAAACCATGCTTTTTCATCCTGGCTTGTTTGAGCAAACAGTTCCTGGTTTTGACAGCATATATTCCAGTTTATTTAAACTAAGAGAAGATGCCTCCAATCTCCGAATTGCATCTACAACAGGGGAGAGCAGCAAGGTGTGCACACAAGCCCAAATCTCGTCAAGGCTTGTTCACATAGTGCTGAACTATGGTTTAGTGTTATGTAGAAACCAGGCCACTTTCAATAATCTCCATCCTCATACATCAGAGCAAGTCGGCTCCAAGACGTTTTGGAAAATCAAACACCTGTCTGAACATTCAGCTCAAGGAAAACGTTCTGCTCAAAAATTAAGTAGCATGTTGTAAACACTCATTGTGGTCCTAACATACCCTTGATTATCCAGGAGCTTTCCCATCATACTTTTAATTAATATTAGATAATTAAATACTTTAATAACCTAAACCAATTCCAAAAATGTTACACAGTTAGAAGGAGATACTAAACCAGCATATTAACACACCATCCATGCCAAGAAACGTATTTTACTTCTTAATATGTCACTGAATATTTAAATTGCCTGAACTTTTTCTGTAAAACCAGGTTTGCCTCCATGGTGTAGGACTGATTTTAATAGCAAAATTCATTGTAGATGAGAAGAGCTGATTCTGCCCCTGATTCTGTGGCTTTCTTTGCCACAGCCACTCATGAAGGATAATAGGTACTCATCAGGAAGGCTATAAATACTCACAGGGTCTGGGGAAGTGTGCACATTAATAGCAGCCCAAAGCAGGAGAGGGCAATGGTGTGCATGTCTGAACTAGGCTTCCCCATGGGCATCTGACTGAACCCTTTGAGAATAAAATGCTGGACTAGACTGTCTTCAGCCTGATCCATCAGGGCTGTCCTCTTCCACTTGTTTCCCTGACTTGGTGTCTGGTTCTGACTGAGAGCAAAGTAGCTAGGGTGGAAGACTGAAAGGAGGCAGGAGGCAGAGCAGGGTCAGTTCCCCTTGCCCACACAGCCCACTGGCTCTTAAAATTGACCAGCACTGCAGGCCACTGGATCTGCTGCTGCCACATGTAATTTATTCCTGAGGGAGCCTCCTAGGAGGGACATTTTCCATGTTCCATGTTGGACACTGCAATAGCCAACTTGAGACATACCTTCAACATCATATGAGAAAAGTGACTGCAAGAGTTGTCCTTTATTAGTGTTGTAGCATCATATATGTGGAGAGGGAGGATGAAACCTTTCCCACACTCCTGAGTTGCTTAGACAGAGGCCACATCCACAGCATACCTTTAAAGCTCTGTGATACCACTTTAAAAAGTCATGGCTTCCCCTAAAGGATCCTGGGAGCTGTAGTTGGTAAAAGGTGCTGAGAGTTGTTAGGAGGCGCCTATTCCCCTCCCACAGCTACTGTTTCCAGAGTTCCCTGTGAAACAGGATTGATTATTAAACAAATCTAGGAATTGTACCTCTGGGAGGGGGTAATGGGGTCCTCTAGCAATTCTCAGTAAGAACCCTTAGCCAAGTCCTGCTCCCAGAAATTTTCAGGTGATGCCAAGATGCCAGGATTCTGGGATGTAAAAACAAGAGCTGGTCTCCATCTCTGAGAAATTAAAATTTGGTTGTGAACCCAGGGTCTGTCCCAAACCTAACACAAAACGCACAGGCTCCTGGAGTAGGCAGGAAACAAAAGTAAAGAGAAATTTGGTGGCCTTTAATTTGGCAAAGCCAGGGATAAATCTGGCAGAGTGCTGGATAAATAGAGTCACTTGGAACCAAATTATCCAGTATTATCAAGTTGTAATGTAGCTCTCAAAAGGAAAAGCCCATCTACACAGGTGGTGGGCAATTAGCTTCCTCTGGTTGTACATTTCATCTTGAACAACTAGAATCGGTTTTCTTTGAAGCACAACAAGCAAAGGGAGATGTGTTGTTCCACAATAACAAAAAATCCCCAATCCACAGTTGAGTAATACTTAACTGGAACAAACCAAATGGCAAAAAGTGTTGCAAGCTTTTGGTTCTTCGTAACTATGATTAGATCATCACAGCACAATTGCACCAAGGCCTGTGAGGGTCCCTCTTGCCTTCGCCACCAACAGAAGCAGCAGAGGGACCTCTCAGTTGTGATCAGGTTGGGCACCATCCAACCTTGCCAATGATGGTGATGGAATGGTTGCCTTTCCCTGCTCCTCCTCACCTTTAAGGGCACAGTTGCAAGCAGAGGGACCAGCTGAGCCGCTCCTACACCTTGATGTCCAAGGGGATGGCAGAAGCAAGAGCTGTAGGAAGAAGCAGCCACAAGCAGCAGCAATGCTTAATGTGCAGCACACACGTGCACATCCTCACTGCCACAGTCTTCTGTGGTTCTTGTGATGCCTGCTTGCCGCTGTGGCCTTTGCAGCCAGGCTCACCACAACAGGCCTCCCCATGTGGGATGCAAGAGGGGGCCTCCCACAGCAGCAGCTCCTGGCTCCTGGCTGGGCTGCCCCAGGAGATGTCAGAGGAAATGAACCTGAGGATTAATACACAGGGACAGGTTGGTTTAAACTCTGGAAAGCCTGTGCATCTTTCCTCTGTGTCCACATTATTTAATTTACTTCTCAGGCGTGCTGCCTGTACAATATAATCCACAATTGGCTGGTTTGGGTATGTTTTACTCAGAAGTAACCACCTCAAAATAAGTGAGGCTTCTTGAGTAAAAAATTGTGACATTGCAATGTTGCCATCTCCCCGCAACCTCCGATTTTCTAAAGGCCTTCTCTCCGTTTCCACTCTTGGTCTAGTGGGTATCACTGGGGGGCGGGGTATTTATTACTGTGTAGCGAATCATAAAGCAAAAATATAAAATACAAAATACAAAACCAGCCATTAACTGCAATTGTAACCGATCCTTACCTTCAGCAGCAGCAAGTTTAAATTTCATTTGTCTGGACTTTAACTCAAGAATATATTTTTATTTATCAAGGTTGGTAAAATACTCTCTCTCTCTCTCTCTCTCTCTCTCTCTCTCTCTCTGTGTGTGTGTGTGTGTGTGTGTGTAATTCGTGGCCCTTTATTTCATGGGTTTGTTGGGGAGGGAGGGGCCCCGTTTTGGAAACTGCACTTGACCTTTTCCATAACTTGTCATCAGGCAAGATATTACACAAAGAGGGGCGAGGTTGGAAACCCCTCTTTTGGACCAACACAGCTACCTAGCTGTGCTTTTTATACCTTGTCTTCTAAATTAAAGTTTTTCTTTGTTGGAGGCGTTTCCCCCTCTTTTGGACCAACGCAGCTACCTAGCTGTGCTTTTTATACCTTGTCTTCTAAATTCAAGTTTTTCTTTACTCCTGTCCCCTGCCTACTCCAGGAAGCTTGTAGACGGAGATGGGGACTGTGTGTTGTTGGACTCCAACTCCCATCAGCCCAGCCAGCATGATCAATTGTGAAAGATAACAGAAGTTGGATTTTAACAATATGTGGAGGGCTGCAGCTTCCACACCGTTGGTTAATATTTGGGACAGATCTTACAAAACATATTTTAATTACTTGTTGCTTTTTCATCCTGGAGTCCTAAACATCTAACATGATAGCTCCACAGCACTTGGGAAGAACTTACTTAGCCCTGCATTTTAGAACTGGCAGCCTGATTTCTGAACTTTTTCGGTTTTTATTTTTCCTCCCCCTCCACCCACTCCTGCCTCTTGTGTAACACCTTGCCTGATAAAGAATTATGGAGAACTTAAAAGTTTTCCACACTTTTGTGACATAGATCTGTAGCTACACAGCTAGCCAGAAATATGCTTATATTTGTGGAAACAATGCCTTTTGTTGCTTGGGGGGGGGGGGAGTTGTCGAAATATCAGTACAGTAGTGCACTTTGCTAGACTACGGCTTTGAGAGGCATCTAGAATGCCCAATTAGGGTTTTGTTTTTACAGAAAGACATAAAAAGCAGTGGAAGTATCTTTTATTTCAGTGCTATTCTTCTGCTAGCCTCCTTGCAGAGCAATAGCAAAAGATGCATCCTTGCATTCTGGAGGGGTGCAGGGGAGAAGAACCACCCTGGTGCAAGGATGAAGGTGGGTGGGGCAGGAATATATTTGCCCGTTTTTTAAAAGAATACTCATGTGGTCCTGAGGTGTGTGCCAGGGCTTGGGTTGCCATGTGTCCTCTTTTTCCAGGACATGTCCTCTTTTTCAGGGGTAAAATTGCCATCCAGGTGAATTTTTAAAATTTTTAAAATTCTATGGCCTATAGTAGTGGTATTTAAAATGAGAGCCGTCATAGCGTGTTTTTTTTTGCTTTTCAGATATGGCAGCCCTCAATAAAATGTTCTGTAATGGTGAGACATTGCTGCAGGGAAGGTGGTAGCTTTGTTCATATTCAACACTTTTTAAATGTGGTCAGTGGGGCTGAAAATAACTAAAAATGAATAAACCTTTGAAAAATACCAAAGAATGTATGCGAACATGGAAGGAAGGAGTTAACATCAGTGAAGTCACTGCTTCAGCCACTTAATGCATAGCAAGCCTAATCGATTTCTAGACTCCCTTTGCAGGTGGGTAGAAGAATGCCATTGCCTCAAACTGCTGTTTGAGTGAATGCAAGCAAATTAGATTTTCTTGAAAAAGTGGCACAGTAGAGAGGGAACACAGCTATACCTCCCAGGAGAGTGGCATTTATGCGACCATTTACAAGATTGTAATCACTATTCAAAAAAGCAAAAGGAGATAGCTGACCAGACCCTTAAAATCGCACAAATTTCTCTAACTTTGCCTTTGAAAATAGTCGTGTTCATCTGCAGACTGCTGGGCTGAAAAGGATCCTCCTATATGTGCTGTGACTGAGGTGGAAAAAGCACATGAAGGAGACTGCCTGTCTCTTCTTTGATTCTCATCTCTGCAAAGGGTGACATTTCACACTCCTTACAAGTACCTCTGTAAAGTAGGCAAGTAACTAGCCCACATGGCGGATGGGTGAGGCTGAGCCTGAGAGATAAGGGGAGATTTGAATCTGACTCATATAGCTCACTCTTTTAACCACTGCGCTAGCTGCTTCCCAAAGTGTAAATGACTCCAGACTCACTGCTTTGTCAGAGGGATTCAGAAGTACAACAGACCTTTAATTTTCTGCACCGAAAGTGGATTAAAGCATCTTTTGTGGTTTGAAAAGTGACAGGGAGTTGTGTGGAAAGTGTGGGGTGAATAAATGACTAATGGGTAGACATGTGAGAACCCTGCGTGTAAAGCAGGATGAATGCAGGATATGTGCTCATTGTCATAAAACTGTATTATTATTATTATTATTAATAATAATAATACTCCATCCATCCGGCTGGGTTTCTCTAGCCACTCTGGGCAGCTTCCAACAAAATATTAAAAATATTTTAAAAACTTCCCTAAACAGATGTCTTCTTCAGATGTCTTCTAAAAGTCAGATAGTTGTTTATTAAATGTTCATTAAAGCCAGGATATCATCTAACTTCCCAGTAAGCTTTGTGCAAGCAAATTGGGATACCTGACTAGTTTGCCTCTAATATTTTTAGTCCGCAGAGTGTTGGAAGCAGACCAATTTGACTGCTACCAATTGTGCTGCTCCAGAGGCTGCCTTGCCTTCATCCAGCCATGTTTTTGAATCCAGTCATTCAAGTAGTTTCCTGGGGGTATTACCTGGGAAATGCTGCCTTGAATCGCTCTGCAGCTGTTTTAATATTGTAGAGTGGAATCCTGTTGAGGTCATTGGGGCTTCCTCTTACATACATGGGTACAGAGCTGCAGTCTTAGTCTGCAATCATGTCTCATGTCTGAAACTTGATAATCCAGTTTCATCCACTATTGGATTATGACGCTGTACTGGTGGAAAGGAGAGTGTCCCTCGCCATTTTTGGAAGCCAAACAGAAAGTAAGATGAAAAGCGTTCTTCTTTTTGTGCCTATCATCTGCCTACACAGGATCACAGGGAATATGTTGCAGTCCTGAGTACATGCGAGTAAGGGTGTTGCACTTCACTTCTTAATAATGATGGTAATACTTTTCTTGATATCATAGAATTGTAGAGTTGGAGGGGACACCAAGGGTCATCTACTCCAACCCCCTGCAATGCAGGAATCACAACCAAGGCATCCATGACTGTTGGCCAACCAATCTCCAAGGAAGGAGAGCCCACCATCTCCCAAGGAGTCTCTTCCACTGTCAAACATCTATAACATCCCAGTCATTACTATAACAACTGGTTATTGGAAAAGCTTACGGAAAGAAATAGTGTTATTTTAAAACCCATTTAGCGTTTTTAATATTTAAATACATTTTAAATACTCATAGAATTGTAGAATTGCAGGAATCTTTTGCCCAATGTGGGGCTTGAACCTGCAACCTTGAGATTAAAAGTCACGTGCTCTTCTGACTGAGCTATCTCCTCATGTAATTCCCCTCAGAAAGTCCAACCACTCTCAGATACATACTGGACTCATCTCCAAAGTCCCAAAACTTAGTATAAACTGGTAACCGAGTCTACTGTGTTTCATAGCAAAACAAAATTTTTCTTACACGTCAATTAATCAATGACTGCAGTGTTGCCGTAGCAATACCTCTTTCCCACAGGGCAGTTGGTGTCAGTTGGCCCTGGTGGGAGTGAGGCAGGCAGTCCAGATATTTAGGGATGATTTGCTGCAATGTTGTGAGATACCAGAATTAAATTTCATTTTAAGTTAGTCAATGCACTTGTAAGCAAATGCTGCATATATACTTCTGCTTTGTCCCCAAATTTCCTATCCTACCCCAAAATATCACATCTGTAACTGAGCTTCACAAATTGTGTGCATCCTTCGTAAGATGTTTGACTCTACAACTCCATACCAACCAAGTATCAATCGTCTTGGTCCATGGGATCAACAGGTGAGGTCTGGGTAGTTGTGCTGCCACCGGGGCCTTTTCAGTGGTGGCTCCCCAGATGTGGAATTCCGCCCCCCCCCCGGTGCAACTTTTGCCATCCTTGTTAACTTGTTTACTCACGCATTTGCTGGATGGAAAGCCTGAGATTATTGGAGGGAATAATGTTTTTAACTGTAAATGCTTTAAGATGTTTTAAACTGTTATTATATTTAGATTGTTTTTACTACAGTATTTTTGATTCGTTTTTTTTTTAATTAAAAAAGATTGTAGGATAGGTTTGCTGCCCTGGGCTCTTTCAGGAGGAATGGCAGAATATAAAGTCAATAAACAAACAAACAAAGTCACCTTATAGTCTTTTAGTGTAGTCATTTCATGGTATATTATTTCAATTTCACAGGAGATGCTTCACGAGCGATTCCTTCTGCTGTCTGGCGCTGGACTGCTGATTCTGACATCAGGTACTTGCCACTATTAGGTGGAAGTAGTGCTAGATCAGCATAATCTGCATTTGTAGCGGTGTAATGACCACCGTCTCCTTGTAGAGCTAAGCCTGTAAGGGCCTTGAACTAAGTGGGCTTAAGTAGGCTCAGCTTTCTGTTGGATTGTGCCCATTATCCTATCTTCAGTGGGAAATCTTGTTGATCGGTATTCCAAGTCGGTGGTGTTTTCCTGTGCAAGAGGCCCTTATCTGAGCTACAGGATCACATGTTCATTTTACTGATAGATGCCATCTACCATGCCATATTGCTAAAACATGGGCCATTGAGAGGGGGCAATACAATCAAAACATATTAAAATGACTACTGGTTACTTTAATAGCTGTCTGTGCAAGTGAAAAGGTGCACAGGACACTCAGGCTTTGGGTCTGCGGTGCTGATAGCTGTGAAACTGAAGCAGCAACCTCCAGGACTGTTTGCCTGAAGACCCCATAATGGATCAGGCGCACAAATGGTTTGTAAGAGAATGTACAGTCAATTCTTCTGCCCCAATCTGCAACAAACTGCAGCCCAAAGAGTTTGTGAAAAACAAGGTGGACGTGGCACCATTCTTCCTAACAGCGACAGAATGTAAGCCTGTCCTTGAAGGGCGTCTGCAGACTGGAGTTACTACAGAAAGCAGGGGCAAGATCCATGTTGTCGTGCCCGGCTCAAAGTGCTGCTTTCAACCAATAGCTGCTTATAGCTTGGAGCCTCGATATCAGAAGGATCCCTTCAGCACCCTCACTTGCTGAGATATTTTGTACTCCTGGCTACACTGTGAAGCCTGGAAACTGCGGGTGCATGTCTGGGCATTTTTAATAGCAGTGCCCAGACCATGGGATTCCTTGTCCTGGGATTTCAGCACTCTGTATCTTTGCGGGGGGGGGGGGGGATATATATAATATTTATACCTCTCTCTTTCTCATTCTCTCTCTCTCTCTCACACACACACCCCACAAGCTTTGCTGTGTTGCCTCGCTCTTAACCTGTTTGTGATTTTGCTGGGGGATGAGGTATGATGCTTCTTTTTGTATCTCTCGCTGAGGTAAAACGTTTTATGGGTTATTTTAATTATATTGTATTATATTGTATCATATTCACCTCAACTTTGTGGGCCTGTGTGGTTGAAGATGCACGATATAAGTAATCTTAATAATAAAATAACTGTGAAATCCTGTCCAACAGGCATATTCCACACAGGGAGGACTCATCCGCTTGTCCCTTCGCTTTCCCCCAGATAAGCCTGCTCTTTACAGATGAACTGGAGCAAACATCAACCAGAATGCCACACGACTATCTTGGCCAGCCAGCGGCCACCATCCTTTCCACAGGAGTTGTCTGGGCAGCCCAGAACCTCCATCCACCCTGCCCAGGCTTGTGCCCTGGGGGGGGTCACCTCAGTGCTGCTAATGCAGTGGTTTGACTTCACCCCCGGAGGTGCACTCAAGAAAGACGGATGCCAACCACTGTTTGCTCCAATTCAGCAGTAAAGAGCAGGTTTTCCTGGGGAAAGCAGTGAGTCAAAGGAAAACCCACTCAGTCCCATGCCTAGAAAGCACAGGACAAGCAGAAAAGTTCTTGGACCCAAACTTTGTAGGTGTGGGACAAGCAAAGTGTGGACAAGCCCTGCGTGTCCTTCTGAATCCAGGCTGTTGATAGGTTTTCAACTTAAGTGCCAGATAATGCAGCCCCTTCTCATCAATTAATATTGAAGTAGAGTCTTGAGATTGTTTTTGTCTCTGTTTTAATATTGCATTGGCATATTCATATATCAACCTTCTACATAGTTTGCCATGTACTCAGTCTGCGGTAAGTTTTAGCTTCATATTATGTGTAGTTTTTCCTCATGTTAATTCCACCTGCCCTGTTCTTCCTAAGCGCTGTCTCTTGAGTGCACCAAATACAATGTGAAAACCTGTCAGGACTGCATCCAGTCTGGCCCAGGATGCGCCTGGTGTAAGAAGCGGGTAAGTTTTCCATCTCTTGTTTTTCACGCATATTATTATGTTCCGTCAAATACTTTCCCCTCTCAACCTTTTTACTCTGAATGATACCTTTTGGTATAAAGATAATGAAACTTTTTTTGTTTTGGATAGTGGATGCCCATTTCAAGTTTTGCTTTTTGGGCAGGCCCACCGTCACTAAAAATAATAAACAGAATCTGTTGTTTTCAAAATGGTGAATGCTCTGCTCTTCTAGATCTCCAGCTTCATGGCACCCCTTTCCTTCTTTGTGGGCAGACCTGTGGGTCTCAAATTTCAGTGGTACCCTGTGCAATGCCAAACTGTGGCCCAAGAGATTGACTGGACAGCATTGACTTTGCATTGACTAAGGAGGATGGAAGCCAGCAACATTTGTTAGGATTTCTCTCAACATGGTGCAACAAAAATAAAAATAAAACCACACAAAACCACAATAAACTTAACGGTACAATAAACTTAAACCCAAATTCAAAACCAACACAATAAAACTTAGGTCTCTTAGATCCGTGCTTGAAACACGCAGATTAGGTGGGATAAATTAATAATGTTCAAATAAAAATTGAAAGCAAATAATGAGAAGTGGCATTGATTGTAGGTAACTTCACAGTTCATAGTTTCTCTCACTTTGATCTTTTAGCCACAGGTCATGGGTCAAATCTGAGAGGGGAGTTTCCTGGGTTTATTTCAAGATGGAGGCTTGATATCACACACAGGTCCCTCAGGTCTGGTACTTAGCTGTGCATGATGGCCCTGTTAGCCTCCTCCATTATGGGCATTAGTTGCTCTTCAGGCACTTGCTGTTGACACGAATGGATGCAGCTTGTGCTCTGGGGATTCTTCTTTATTTTGTCCCTCTCCCATCCATCCTCCTCCTATCTGGCCAGGCAGGCATGTATTTCCGTACCTGGGAACACCCAAAAGTAGTGCACAAGAGCAGATATTATTAGGTTTCATAAGAGGAAAAAATTAAGACGTGCTTTGTGGGCAGGAGTCCCCTTTTCTTTCAAGGTTTGTATACTTTTACAAAACCAATAAGAACTGATTTTTCAAGCAATAGAGCCCACCCACTGAAATGTTGCCCCACATGTGATAAATCACCTTTTAAAAAAAAGATAATCTGCTTCCACACTGGCAGTAACTACAGATATATAACACATTACTATTTCCTTATTTAATTTCTCTCTCTCTCTCTCTCTTTTGGCAAGGGTTGTTTCTCCCTCCACGCATAAAATTTTATTAATCCTTTTTCACAATACACTACAATTAAAAAAACAGACTAATCTAAATGAAAGTAAAAGCAGGAAGAAAAGGAGAAAATAATAATGAAAGTCCTCTCTCTCAAAAACAGATCCTAACCCTAGTCTCACACAGAAAAGTGTGGACCCTCCAAACTCTCACCTGGTTGGGCTGCCATATGTCTGGAATTTCCAGGATATAGCTGGGATTTGTCCATCAAAAATGGCATCTGGGCGAAATTTTCAAAAAGTGGCTGAAATGTCTGGGATGTGTCAGAAAAGTTGATTTTTGGCAACTTTCCTTAAAAATAGGTAAAAATTTTTTTTTTGCAAAAAAAGAAAAAAAAAGCTCAACATGTCCAGATTTTTACTTTTTGAAATATGGCAACCCTGTCACTTGGGGGCTTCCCTTTCTTCTCCCAGCCTGGAAGCTCTTACCTTCTTTGCCTCTTACATAGGTTCTACCACCCATCTCCTTCATGTGTGTATTGACTCAGAGTAGAGGACCGAGGAAGAAGAAAAAAGAGCAAAGCAAAAACAAGGAAGGAAAATAATGAAAGTATGAAGAAAGAAAAGAAATAAAAAGGGTTTCTGATTCTCCATCTGTCAGTTATATATATATCTAAAGATCATCCAAAATACTCAAGTATTCCCTCCAGGATGGTATCCAGCTGTTCCTTCTTCTGCTAGTCCTTACTTTTCCATTTTCCATATCCAGACATCTCAAGTTCATTCATTTTTCATTCTACACAAAAAGTCTAAAAGAGGTTCTCCAATTATTATTATTGATAAATTTCAGCAATTGTCTTCCTCCAGTCCAGCATAACAACTTTACCTCCAATGTTGCAAAACAATAAATCCCTCATCTTTATTCATACAGGAGTCTCTGCACTGTGGTCATATATTAAAACAGTATTTCATAGTTTTACTTATTGTATATTCATTAATTCACACCCAGTTCCATATATTCCAATCCCATTTCCTGTTGGTCATGGTTTTCCATCCTAATTTAGAAAAAAAATACTTCCAATTCCTCTCCCCCCCCCACGAGTGTTAATAGAGGCTTAGTAGCTTTTCCCTCTAAATTCACTCCAAATTGTACACAGAATCCTTTCTTTCTCCGCTCTATGTCTGTCAGCTCAGAATGTTTCTTAATCTTTATATCCATGACTTCATTCCACTCCTCCAACATTGTAAATCCACTGCTTGACTGTTTCATTCCTCCAGGCACCTGTGTGAAGGTCCTCTCCAATTCACCATCTACTGCCTCCAGCGATACTGTTCCACTCTCCTGTTCTGGCAGTCTTCCATCAAAATTCTTCTCCAAATGTTCTGTGTCTTCTTTAGCATCTTACTCTTGTCCATTTTCATTCACCATTTTATGCAACTCAGCTCTGAGCTCTTTCAGTTGTTCATCCAATAGTTGCTGCACAATGCCAACAGTCAGTGGGGTGTCCAGCGGTACTTTTGCCATTACCGAGTGTTCTAGGTCTTATTAACTACTCACTTTCTTGAAGATCTTACAGTCTTTGCTTTAAGTCTGAGTCCCTTGGCTTCTTATCAGAATGCATTCTTTGCATTCTTTTCTCATAGTAGCTTAATTATGTTAGTTTAACTTTGCAACCAGCGCTTTCAGGAGAGGATTAAAAATAAAATACAGTAAAGAATTTTAACAGTTGGAACACCCTTTTGCTGTTTAAAATCTTTCTTAGGCAAAGCATGCTTACTGTTTTGCTTTCAGCCTTGTAATTATCCTTTTTTCTTAAACCATCAGTCAGTCAGGTTGCATTCCATATGTATATTTCAGCTGGCAGACAGATCACCCCTGTTGTAATTTATAGTAGTCTCACAAGTAAGTAAAGAAAGGAAGGTTAGGCAACCTTATGTCCCTTAGGACGATTACATATGTGGTGTTTGGGCAACATTGTGATTTCTTCCACTCTTAGTCACTCACCCCCGTCTGAGTCCCTCAAAAACTTCTCAGTCTCTCAGGGTGGAAAGCAGCTTTTCAGAGCATCAGAGGTTAATCCTTGTTATCTCTGTTTCCCCAGAGAGAATGCAATAAGCAAGATTTATGACTTGGCTAACATTAATCACCATATCACTATCTCTGTTGACAGTACAGTGGTACCTCAGTCTAAGAACAGTCCTGTTAACGAATGATTCGGGCAATGCACTCTGGAAAACCGGAAGTAGGTGTTCCGGCTAGCAAACTTTGCCCCGGAAGACGAAAAGAAGCTGACTGGTGGAAGGGCACCGGCAGCTGGAGGCCTCATTGGGGAAAGTGCACCTCAGTTTAAGAACACTTTCGGTGTAAGAACGGGCTTCCAGAATGAATTAAGTTTGTAAACGGAGGTACCACTGTATGTTGACAATAAAAGTCTAGTCCGCCATCTTTCCTCCCCGAAAGTCCCCTTATTGACTTTTCCATGGCAAGGGGAAATATGGTTGAAATGTAAGAAAAGTACAGACTAGTACAGACTAGTATTTTAATAACATCATACATGAATACTATGACAAAAAACTTGTAAGCATGAGCAATGCTGGACCAATTCCACAACAGACTGCCATATGGAAGTTCCATGAATGCCTTTCCAGTACAATCCTTTAGAAGAGTAATATTTTAAGCTCCTGAATTCTATTCTGACTGTCTGTAGACAGGCTCTTTGGGAGCCTTTGGCTGAATAACTAGTTACAAACGCCCACCACCTCAGACAAAGGTATTCTCAGCCCTGTAGCTGGATATCCTTTTAACTAGAGACACTGGACATTGGAAGTTCTGCAGGCAAAGCATGTTTTTGTTCTTCTTCCTCTGTTGTCCAAAATGTATCAGACTTATTTCTGAAACATACTGACCATTTATTCTTTTTTTTTTTAATGAAATACAGGATTTCACAAAAGTAGGAGAACAAGATTCCAGTCGCTGTGACACGAGGGAACAACTCCGGCAGAGGGGATGTGGGGATGACATAATTTTTCCAGAAAGCTTTGCCCAGCCAGGTCCACCACCAAGTCAGATAAAGCAAATCCAGCCTGAGAATGTGCACCTGCAGCTAAGACAAGGTACTACTCTGAGTAATTATTAGACAAAGAAATATAAAGTGGATGAATAGGATGATTATTGTGACAGGGCAAAGAACAGGTGTGACTTCCTTTGTACAGGTATATAAATAGTTCTTGAATTCTTGGAAGGTGGGGAAGTACATTAGGCCTGGTTTTAAGAGTGTTGGATTTGATTGTTTAAATTCTATAATGCCTCTTTGGGAGCCTTTGGCTGAAGTACTAGTTATAAAGTGCCTGAAACAAATAAGTAGAGGTAAGATGTAGATGCTGAACATCCAGAGAAATATATGGTACCCGTGTTGTTATACACATGCACCTTGTTCACTTTTTCTGTTTTTTTCTCTCGTATTTGAATATTTATTAAAGCTTGAAAGAACAAAAAACAGTATGCAGAAATAAACATCAAATAACGAGTGTTTGCCACACCTTGTTCACTTCTAAGTATGGATGTTGTGAGAGATTATCTGAGCCTGACTTGGAAATGAGCCCTAGGTGGTTCCAAAGACCCAACTCAAAATGGGAAGTGTGTCTCCCAAACTCTGCCTCAGAATATGAGTGCTCTGAGGAAATCCTCTTCCTCACCTGCCAGCCCTCAATATCGCATTTCACCTTGGTGAATAGACAGAATGCAGGAGTGAAGGAAGGAGAGACAGCAGAGGGGACACCCTCCCCCAAAAATCTGTCATCCTGAGTGACAGGGTGAGAGGGGTAGTTTTTTCAGGGGCTCTTTCATTTACAAAAGCCACTGAAAGTACTACGTTTCCTGTAGAACATTGCACCCCATCATGCTATATCTTGGAGAGTTTACCCAACACTACAGGCAACTCCCCATTTATGCAGAGGTTGTGTTCTAAGCCACTATGCATTTAAGTGCAATCACACCATGCGTTTAAGTGCAACCACACCATGTATTTAAGTGCAATACCACATTTAAGTGCAATCACACCATGCATTTAAGTGCAATCAGCGTCATTGGAAAAGCCTGCAAACACCCTCAAAACCTCTGGAAACTCTTGAAAGAACAGTAAAAAACAACAACCAGTACTTACCAGACGCCAAACTCCACCACAATCACTCCCTCCAAACCTCCTTTCTCAAACTCCCAACTCTCCACAGGCCTCAACGGTCGGTGTAAAGGTGTAAGCTCATTCTTTTCCCTTTTGCTAACAGATCTACCTGCTGTTTTTAATGTGACATTCCGCCGTGGGGAGGACTACCCTATAGATCTTTACTATTTGATGGACCTCTCATACTCTATGAATGATGATCTGGAAAATGTGAAGAAGCTAGGAGGAGACCTGCTGAGTGCTCTCAAAACGATTACCAAACATGCTCGAATAGGTGCGTACATTTCTGATTAATCCATTTGTCCCCTGGTACTAACAAAATTAGCATCTAGGATTGTTTTAATTCAAAAGAGTGGAACTATATGGAGCACAACTCTTGCATATCAAATACAGATTTACTGAGATTTAGTGAAATTATTTTTGCACTGAAGGCGCTGTCAATGAGGCTGGGTATGGAACTTCTGCTGCTACTTCATACAGTGGATGGAAGATAATAGGCAAAATGAAACATGATTTTGGACTCAGCTATATTAGTAAAGAAACAATTATTTGAAGGCATTATAAACATGCAACACCAGATGGCGTCAGAGAGCAGGAAAATTTTATATGTGATTTTCAATAGGTTTTTTTTTGTTATAACGATATGATTTCTGACTTATATATAGCGTTTTTTGCCTGTGTGTAGATCTACCCTTAATTGCTTCGTTTCATTTATTTGCCTCATTTCTCCAGATGTTTGTGTATAGGATTCTTCTATTTTATTAACTGTTCCTTCTAGATTTCCCGTATTTTGTCTATTCCATAATCCAAAATTCCCAAATAATTTTTAATTTCATTAATCTCTAATTCAAGAGATATTGTTTGTTCTACCATCATCTGCTGGGTATCTAAAGATGCCTTTCTTTCCTCTGCTGCCCTTTTCCTGGTACCCAACATGCTGCGTTGGGACTGTTTTAATCCCACCCCCTCTGTTTTCTACTTTGCTTTTTAAGAATGTTAGCACAACTGTCTCTTTATGGGGGGTGGAGTATAAATAATAAAATGTTTATTATAACTGTTCCTGTAGAAACTTCAGCAGCAGCACAGCTCCTCTAGATACCTTGTTTTGACAGCAGTACCAGTAAGCTTAGCTCATTTAATAAGGGGGAAAAACAACAACAACATTCCCATGGAGGAAGTATCAACTGGCAAAGTAGATTTTATATTCTTATGCACATTTTTGTTAAAATATAATAATAATAATTCCGCTTAATAATAAAATAATGCACTTAAACATAGCAGAGAAACTCCTTTGTTCGTTTAAACTTTTGTTATCTCAGAGCAGCATAAATCAAGCCTTTTGCCTTCATTCTTCACTCAGCGGCTTCCTCCTTTCTAAGTGGTAAAAAGTAGCTGACTCTGCAGGATGGGTTTTCCTCCGCTTCCAAGTCAGGACCCACCCTACCAGGGACCCCAGAAAGACAGCCCTCTGGCAGCCCCCCACCCCCCCGCCCCAGGCAGAAAGGCTCTCAGGAAGCTTCAAGAGGAAATTAAAAGAAATTTGGAAACAACTGTTTGTTCTGATTCAGTGGCAAAAAGCAGTTTTCCCTGGGGGAAGCAGCAGGTCAAACGCAATACCACTCAGACCCATGCTTTGAAAGCGTGGGGCAAGCGGGAAACTGCTCAGATCAGTGCTTTTTAGGCAAGAAACAAGTGGAACTATGGATGAGCCCTTTCTTGAAGGAAAGATACCAACACTCGAGATCTGAACCATTGGAAGGATCCCAGCTCTTTCCACTTGTATTCCTCTATTTAACTTTAACTTTATTTTAAACAATTGCCCTATCCCTCTCAGTGGTTTAGAGTTCTTCCCTCTCTATATATCTTCGGTGACAATAACCATTTTGGACCCTTCTTTTCAGCGGCACTTTCCTTGTGTTCCCTTAGGGTTTGGCGCCTTTGTGGACAAGACTGTGTTGCCCTTTGTTAACACCCACCCAGAGAAGCTGCAGAACCCTTGTCCAAGCAAGGAGACCAAATGTCAGCCACCATTTGCTTTCAGGCATGTGCTCAGCCTCACAGACAGGGTAGAGAAGTTTAAAGAAGAAGTCGGCAAGCAGGATATATCCGGGAATCTTGACGCACCAGAGGGAGGACTCGACGCCATGATGCAAGCCGCTGTCTGTGGGGTAAGACTACCATATGGGAACAGGCACCGTGACAAAGTACTCTTGGGGAGTGAGGAAGTTGAATTTGGGGGACCATGGATTCCTGTCCAAAGTGGAAGAGAGTTCCCCCCGATAATCATAATGTTGTCAAGATATGCTGTTGCTGTTAATGTTGTATTTAGGCTCAGTGCTGAAGGCCTAGAGAGATGCTAGGCAGGGTCTTTATTATTGTTGTTGTATTGTTACAAATTAAATTAAAATATTACAATAAATAAGAGAAATATAAAAAATGAAATAGAGTAATAAAATAAACTCATGACAAATGAGATAAAATAACAGCACAAAAGATAAAAACAATCTGCCTGTACAAACATTCATAAAAATAAAGATTGATTAGTCTCCAAAATACAAGAAACAATGGGTTAATTAATTATACAGTGGCCGTTTTGTGGCAGCATTATTAAAATGTCCCATAAAATAATGACAGGAGAACAAACTGGTCATAAAGGTGCAAAATGTACAGGTGGATATTTAAACCTATTAAAGCCATTTTAGTGTATACATAGGTTATCCTGTCTTAGGACGGAGATCTGGACAGACATTGCGTCCCTTTCAGCTCTGATTTTATGTAGAATCATAGAATCTTAGAGTTGCAGAGTTGGAAGGGGCCACGAGGGTCATCTAGTCCAAGCCGCTGCAAAGCAGGAATCTTTCACCCAGTGTGGTTTGCTTTTTTAATCTGCTTGCTTTTTAAATCCAGGATAAGATTGGTTGGAAAAATGTAACACGCTTACTGGTGTATACGACAGATGATGGCTTCCATTTTGCTGGGGATGGTAAACTTGGAGCCATCTTAACCCCTTATGATGGGAAATGCCACCTGGAGGAAAATATGTATAAAAGGAGCAATGAATATGTAAGTACTCAGAGTAGGCAGCACATTTTATAAAGTGCCTGCCCTTTACCTTTACCTTACTGGATTTACTATTTTAGACTGGAGCCGACTGGACAACCCATACAACTGCTATATTAGGAAAAGTCCTCTTAATTTTCTAAGAACTCTTTTCTTAAGCAGAAAGACAATGGGTCCATGTTTTTTGTTTTAAAGGTTCCATAGATCTGTAAACCAAGCTGTTTGTTAACCCGGTGTGTGTGTGCTTGTTGCATCCAGGGCCATACCTTGGGAAGCTGAGCCATCGATTGTGATGGGGATACCTTTGTTTCCTGCAGAGAGCCACCTTCCTTTGGTGCCAGGGAACAAATCCAAGAGCACAGTGGACGAGAAGGATGGGGCTGGGCTCCTCCAGCAGTTTCCCTGCCGCCTTTGCTTCTGTTTTCACCAGTGCCCTCTCTGATAATCTCTGCTGCACAGGAATGAGCACATGTTGAGAGCGCTGCTCTGTTTCTCTGGGGGATGGAGCACCAGTGCGTTGGTGTGTGCAGCTTGTCTGAAGTCAGACTACAGTTGACTGACAGTCTCTCTGCTTTAACTACGCCAATGGCCCTGCCCTTAGGAACCAGGGAGGGAGGGGCCAGACTGAAGGGGCGGAGCCAGAGGGATTCTTTTCAGGCCAGATCTAGCCTGCAAGATCCCACCAGGATCTTCACTAACTTGGAGAGAGAGCCCTAAATACTGTTTCCTTTGTTACACAGGACTATCCATCTGTTGGTCAGTTGGTTCAAAAACTTGAAGAAAACAATATCCAGCCCATTTTTGCTGTTACCAGTAAAATGGTTGATACATATCGGGTAAGTAAAACTACCAGCAGTAAAGAAGGTTAAGTAAACAATGTCTGTGGAGAAAATAATTATTAGATTATTATTATTAGAAATAATAATAATAATAATAATAATTAGAAATGAGGCTGCATTTTAAGTAGTATTTTAATTTTGTTTTTAAGTTGTATTTTAATCAATTGTTTTTATACCTGATGTTAGCCACCCTGAGCCCGGTCTTGGCCGGGGTATAAATAAAATAAAATAAATAAAAGCCGAAGTCTATAATTTGATCAATATACATGGAACAATTAGGACAATAGATATTTACTGCTTTGCTCTTGCATTATAATCTGGTAGGCATTCTATTTAATAGAGTGAGACAATGCTTTCAATTCATTTGTTCTTTGTTGATAGAAACTCAGTGAGATGATTCCCAAATCTGCTGTGGGAGAGCTGCAGGAAGACTCAAATAATATCATCCAACTCATCCAGCGTGCCTATGATGTAAGTGTTACTGATATTATCATTTTAATCCTTTACAGTATATATTTAAGCCAGCCAGACTTTGCCAGACTTTGCACTTTGTTTACATGAAGCATGTTTGTGTAACTTTCTCACAATTATGCATATTTGGTTCAAATTTCCAAATCAGTTTTCAGGGGATGGCTGCCCCCTACCCTGCTCCACCTTTTCCCCTCCCTTTCTCCATCTCCCCTTTCTAAAGCTTCCCTGATTAAAGTGCCCACCAAGCCTAAAAAAGAAATGAAACAAAAGAAAAAGCAGCCATAATGGAAGCTGAGGGAGAAAATGGTCAACAATTGACATGCTTCTCTTCTATGAAACCAGAAACAGGAGGAGGTCATTTGAGCAGTTGCAAATGCTTTCTTCCTTTCTTTGCTGTAAACCATATTTTTGTGAGTTGCCTGTTTATAAGGGCAGGGTCTTAATTAGCATGAACAAGTGATCAAATTCACTTTCTCAAAGCTTAACATTAGTTGACCTGCATCCCACTGTAATTTCCTTGGTTGAACCAATCCTAAACTTCTTTTTCCAGTAATACATTTCTCTATTCCTTGCTTGAGCTTCTTAAAAGCACTAATCAGCTTTGCTGTGGCACGTTGGAAGTGACACACTGGCCAAATATTGTTATCTGCTCTTGGTTACATCTAGCCAGTACACACCCAGTAGTGAAGGTTTTTTAGCTTGTCAGCAGGCTATGTCCCCGATATAGTCCTTTTGTCCCTTGGGAAGTTCTTCTCAAGCCTATATTGCAGGAAAACCCCTGCCTCTGCCTCTGCTTCAACATGTTCACTTAAGCATCACTGTGTTGACCTGACAGTTCTATAAAGAAAGTGCATAACTGTTAGAGATATTGGCCCTGGCTCCCTTCTTCTCTCAAGGCTCATCTTTTCCAACAGAAGAACTGAGGCAATGGGAATGGAAGTTACAATTAATGCTCATATTTTTCTCCCTCGCTGGAGACTTGGGCTCCTATTCTCACCTCTTCCTTATTCTCATTTCCTTGCAGAGTTTGTCTTCCAAAATTATTTTGGACCATGGCCCTTTACCAAACTTCATCAAAATCACGTATGATTCCTTCTGCCCTAACCAAATACACACCAAGGATAAACCAAGAGGGGAATGTGACAACGTGAAGATAAATGATCAGGTAGGAGAAGACTTTTCTGTTTCTATCTAAAGCTGTTCTGATTGCTGCTGCTCTGTATGTGGAGAGAAAAGAGCAGTGTGCATTTCTTCCAATACCGCTGCTTGTGAGAAGGGTCTTCACTTACTCTCCTTTCCCAAACCCCTTAAAAGTTGCAGCTGGGTTAAGCCTGTTACTTTAAGCAATATGTAGGCTTTATTTCATTATGTAGAGTTACATTGGCTCCCAGTACATTTCCAAGCACAATTCAAAGTGTTGATGCTGAGCTTTAAACCGCCTTGGCCCTGTACCCCTGAAGGAGCGTCTCCACCCCCATTGTTCAGCCCGGACACTGAGGTCTAGCTCCGAGGGCTTTATGGCGGTTCCCTCACTATGAGAAGCGAAGTTATAGGGAACCAGGCAGAGGTCCTTCTCGGTGGTGGCACCCACCCTGTGGAACACCCTCCCATCAGATATCAAGGAGATAAAGAACTATCTGACTTTTAGAAGACATCAGAAGGCAGCCCTGTATAGGGAAGCTTTTTAAAATGTTTGATATTTTATTATGTTTATATATATATTGGAAGTTGCCCAGAGTGGCTGGGGCAACCCAGTCAGATGGGCAGGGTATAAACAATAAGTTGTTGTTGTTGTTTCAACCATCACAATCATCTCAATCACAGAAAAACAGGTTACACTACTTTAAGTAATATAAATGAATAGAAATCTCTGAAAACAACATACATAAATAAAATAAAAAATAAAAAGCAAACAGTATTTTAGGAGGAGGAGTGTCTGCAGAAGGCAGCAACCACACAATGGCCGTGTGTTTACACACCCACAAGAAAAGAGTGGGGTGACTTTTCCCTTTCCTGTCCACATGGCAACTTTACACTCACTGGTTTGGGTGGAACCAAATGAGGCATACAGCCCAAATACATGGAAGGTCCATTGCAATTCTACTTGCAGAAGAACAGTGTCTTTTTTGGCACTTACATCCTTCTGTTAGCATGCTCAGTCCTTTATTTATAAATGCACTCCTTCATGCTTTCCTGGTGGTTTTTACATTTAATGGAGAATATTTAATGGAGTTCTTTGTTTTCTTACAGATTACTTTCCAGGTGAAAGTTACAGCAACCAAATGCATTGACAACCAAACGGTTACCATCCGGGCTCTCGGTTTCACAGACTCCCTTTCTGTGCACATGCGCGGTCGATGCAACTGCGAATGTGATGAGGAAATATCAAGTAGCTCTGACTGCAGTGGACATGGGAAAGTAGATTGTGGAATCTGCAGGTAATCAAACCGCTTCACCAATATCCTCCCTCCAAATCACAAGGGGATATGCCAGTCCTAGTGGGAAAGATTAACTATGATCACCATCTGAATAACTGCTTATGCATGTCCCACATCTGCACCTGCAGTTTAATGCAGTCTGGGAACAACATCTGTTTTCACAGAATGTGCAAACTGCTTGAGTAAATTTTTTCCTAAAATGAAAAGGAGAATTTGAGAATTTGGCAATGAGGACAATTGGGAAAAAGACCTTGAGACTTTTTTCCTGCCAAATTCTCAAGCCACTCTGGGTAATGGACTAGGGTGAGGCTGACAGAGCCCCCAGGTCTCCACATTTGGCCTGCCAGACCATTGTTCAGGTCTGGTCTGTGCCTGGATGGGTGACCTTCTGGGAATATGCTGCCGTGGGTTCTGTAATGGGAAAATGTGGGTTATAATTACAATAAAACAATAAATCTGTGCGAGTTCAGGCAAATCAACCCTCCAACAGAAACAAGTATTACTTAGTAAGCCTTTCCTATATTCTGAACATTTATTCTCTCATGTCAGCTGTTCTCCTGGCTTTATTGGAAAGAATTGTGATTGTCAAACTGGAGGCAAATCCAGCAAGGAACTGGAGAAGAGTTGCCGCAAGGACAATGCCTCCGTCACCTGCTCCGGCCTGGGCGACTGTGTGTGTGGGCAGTGTGTTTGCCACACCGATGAAGCATCCAAAAAGAAGATCTATGGGTCTTTTTGCGAGTGTGACAACATGAACTGTGAGATTCACAATGGTCAACTTTGTGGCGGAGAAAGTGAGTAGCTGACGACTGCAGGACGTGGAAATATCCTTGACTCCTTTGCTTTACTTCTCCCAGCTTCCTGTTGCCAGAGTTCCAGCAAGCTACATTTTCTACTACAAGCTCTTAAAGGGCACACAGTATTTAGGGGTCTTAGTGGACCACAAGCTTAACATGAGTCAGCAGTGTGATGCAGCAGCAAAAAAAGCTAATTCTGTTCTAGGCTGCATCAACTGAAGCCTAGTGTCCAGATCAAGGGAAGTCATAGTAGCACTCTCTTCTGCGTTGGTCAGACCCTGCCTGGAGTCCTGTGTCCAGTTCTGGGCACTACAATTTAAGGAGGGTGTTGGCAAGCTGAAACGTGTGCAAAAGATACTGTTGCCATATTTCAAAAGGTGAAAATCAGGACACAAAAGTTTTTTGGGCAAAGTTGTTGAGCTGGGTCTGTTTAGCCTGGAAAAGAGGAGACTGAGAGGAGATACGATAGTAATTTTCAAACATCTTAAGGGCTGTCACATGGAAGATGGAGCAAGTTTGTTCTCTGCTGCTCCGGAGGGTAGGATCTGAACCAATAGATTCAAACAAGAAAGGAGATTCTGACAAAACATTAGGAAGAGCTTTCAGGACAGTGGAAGAGACTCTCTTGGAAGGTGGTGAACTCTCCTTCCTTAGAGCTTTTTAAGCAGAGGTTGAGTTGAGATACCTGCATTGCAGGAGGTTGGATTCAATGATCCTTTGGGCTCCTCCAAGTCAACAATTTTGTGATTCTGTTATTCTTAGGAAGAGTTGTTTGAATAGCATAATAATTTGGAAGCTAGCCAAGCTGCTATCAATATGCCTGTTTCATATAATGGCTTACCATCATCCAGGTGTGAATATTCTTCTAAGAAACAGCTTAATTTTGCATCGTTTTACAATGGCAGCCTATTCTTTCGTGAAAGGTAATTTCAGTGTTTTGCAGGTGATACCAAGATGGTCTTTTACTATGGAATGTGACTTTGCAGAATAGAATGCAATTAAATTGTAAAGGTAAAGGGACCCCTCACCATTAGGTCCAGTCATGACCGATTCTGGGATTGCGGCGCTCATCTCGCTTTATTGGCCGAGGGAGCTGGCGTACAGCTTCAGGGTCATGTGGCCAGCATGACTAAGCCGCTTCTGGCGAACCAGAGCAGCGCACGGAAACGCCGTTTACCTTCCTGACAGAGCGGGACCTATTTATCTACTTGCACTTTGACGTGCTTTCGAACTGCTAGATTGGCAGGAGCAGGGACCGAGCAATGGGAGCTCACCCCGTCGCAGGGATTCGAACCGCTGACCAGCAAGTCCTAGGCTCTGTGGTTTTACCCACAGCGCCACCACTTACTGGCAAACTTGGGTTTTCCAACAGAATTGCAAATACGGGGAATGCGTTCTGTCCTGAACTCTCCACTTTCTCTTCCTAGCACGAGGACGGTGTGATTGTGGGAAATGCAAATGCAATCCTGGCTATGGCGGCAGCGCCTGCCAATGTGAAACTTCAACAGACGGTTGCTTGAACATCAATGAGACCGTCTGCAGTGGCCGTGGGGAATGTCTGTGCAACACATGCCAATGTAAACCAGGCTATCAGCTTCCACACTGTGAAGATTGCGAAGGCTGTCCATCACCCTGTCCCAGACACGTGTAAGTGATATGAGAGGGACCACAGTGAAAATTACTGCGCTTTGCATTTCAGTATTTACAAGTCTCGCCTTTAGAATAGGCAGTGTTTCTGCAGGTAACAGGGCTGGGTGGGGGAAACTGATTCTGCACTGCCTCGTTTTTTGCTTTTCTTGTACAGAAGTCTCCTTTAAAGTCTGGGCTTTTATAGCTCAGTTATTCTGTCTTCCTCTCTCCAACGTTAGTCCATCAAACACACCAATAAGGTGAAGGCAATTTAGGCAGAAATAAAACATTAATACAGTATGATAAAACATAGACATAAACCTACCTTAACAAAGCTAGATAAAGGGATGAAAAACTTCTATCACTTAGAGGACAACCAGTGCCTGGGCACATGGTGCTGGTCCTGTCTGGAGTTTGCCCAAGGTGGTGTTGGCAAGTTGGCATGGGATGAATGTCTAAAGAGCAAGTTGCTGTTCCTTTGTGTTCTCACTTGGGTTAGATTTATATCTCCTGGTGGAAGCCTCTTGCCTCTAACAAATTGCCCTGGCTCTGCTTCTTAACCACACGGGAATCCTTTAGAACTTGACGGTACCTTTCTTGGTCTGCAGCTGATGTTGTAGTAGAGCTTCAGGAGTCATGGTTTTGGATAACCCACAAACAATCTGGAGAAAAATTAACTGTGCTGGGTTTTCTTGGTAGTTGTTCACTTCCTTGTATGTTGAAATTAGATAGCCAAATTAGATAGGTCAAATTTATTCTGTGGAGTCCAGCAGAGTCCCCTTTTTAACATGTACATGAAATCGCTGTGGGAATTTCAGAGGTGCTCAGCTAACTCACAGCCTGGGCTTAGACAAGCCTCTTTTTTCTCAGAGTCCCTGCCTCCTTTGCATCTCCTCTGCATTTGTTTAGGGAAGCTTTTAATGTTTGATGTATTACTGTATTTTAATATTTGGTTGGGAGCTGCCCAGAGTGGCTGGGGAAGCCCAGCCATATGGGCGGGGTATAAATAAATTATTATTATTATTATTATTATTATTATTATTATTATTATTATTATTTGCATCTGCAGTGTGAGGATGACAATACTGGCTTCCTTTGTATCTCTGGCTGTAACTGCACTGAATATTAGATTTATGTTATGTAGTATAGATCCATTGCATCTCTGTCTTGCTAAGCAACTCTTCTTGGAGACATGATTCTTGATGATTTTCCAGATCGTGTGTTGAGTGCCGTTACTTTCAGAGTGGTCCATTTCAGAAGAATTGCTCTCAAGCTTGTTCACACATTATTCTGAGAGATAATGTGATGTCCAGAAGTAAAGAATGCAAGGAGAAAGATTCTCAGAATTGCTGGATCTCCTTCTCTATGTTTCAGTTGGATGGAGAGGAGAGATACTCCGTTAAAGTGGAACCTTTAAAAGGTATGTGAGGGAAGGTGCCACCAGCTGCAACACCAGTTCCATGCTCTGGTCCCAGCACCTAGCGCCAGGGCTCAGTGGCTTAATAACAATAAACAATAAATGTTGTGTACCCCACCCATCTGACTGGGTTGCCCCAGCCTCTCTGGGTGGCTTCCAGCAGAATACATAAAACCATCATACATTAAAAGCTTCCCAAAACAGGGCTGCCTTCAGATGTCAATCGAAGGTCATATAATTGTTTGTTTCCTTGACATCTGAAGGGAGGGCATTCCACAGGGCAGGCATCACTCTGTCTGGTTCCCTGTAACCTCACTTCTCGCAATGAAGGAACTGCCAGAAGGCCCTCGAAGCCGAGAGATGCTCCTTCAGGTATTCAGGGCCAAAGCCATTAGGGCTTTAAAGGTCAACACCAAAACTTTGAATTGATACATGAGAGAATCACCAGTTTCCCCCATAAAGTCCCATTGTGAGGGGTAGGGTACTGGAACAGGAAGAGAGACTGTGGATGTCAGAGGCCTGCATCCCCCAAGGCTTCAGAGGGAGATGGCCCTCCAAATTGTGAGGTGTGACAGATGGAGGGGCCCCTGGGAGTGGCTTCCTTTCCAAGCTATCTGAGTGCAGGTGGGGACCGAGCTCCAGGTAAGAGGCAAAGGAAGCAGAGTGGAGGCCACATAGCCAGGTGAGCAAGGCTCCTCCGGTGGGAAGTATATGTGGCCTTAAGAGAGTTCCTTGCAATGTATCTGGAGCAGTTTCAGTAGTCTTTTGCATTGTGGAGGGACAGAGATACTTGATGTGGAGCTGCCCCATTCATTGAATCGACTTCCAACCTTTCCTGGATCTGTGGTACGCTCATTCCTGGCATACAGCACATGCACCCTTTCCCTCCTCCTTCAGATGAGGCACCTTCTCTGTTGTTTTTTTCTTTTCATAGATTGCCCACAACCCCCTAATGTCGCAGCCATTGTGGGGGGCACCGTTGCTGGCGTGGCTCTTATCGGCCTCCTCCTCCTCCTGATTTGGAAGCTGGTAACAGAGCTGATTGATCGCAAGGAATATCACCGATTTGAGAAAGAGAAGTCCAAGGCGAAGTGGAATGATGTAAGACACTCCCCTTTCAGCAGGAGGGGCTGGAAGAAGACTTGCTAAGGCATTGGCTCTTCCCTCCTTCTTCTGAGTTCTTGAGAAACGTCAGGGACATAACTTTTGTTTCAGTTCCACTACCTCAGGCAGGCCTGAATGCAGCTGCTCAGGCATGAGAAGCTAAGCTTCTCACATTAGCACACACAGGCTACATTTCCACTGTGACCTAACTGCCTGAAATAAATAGTATGTGTTCTGCAGGCGAGAATCTCTTGTAGATATCAGGAGGTCCATTCTGCACTGTGTAGGAATTAGGCCTTTAGTGTTGTGACACCTGCCTTCTGGAAACCAGCCCCTTGAATACTCAACAGACTGTTGTATTTTGGATGGCTACTGAAGACCTTCTCCTTTCAACAAGGCTTTTAAGTTGAGATCTTTCCCATAATGCATCTGCATTGGAATTGTTTTTAAGATGTTTTGTTGTTTGTTTGCTGTCCTGCGCTTATTTGGGGGGAAGGGTAGGGCACAATCATAATAATTGCTAGTATTCTTATTACACAATTATTCTGTGGAGAGAGATGTGCCTTCAGAAAGATTCAGAGATGCACTAACCACTGATGTGGTCCTATTTATGTTAGAGTGGCATGGTTGGGTTGCTCCTCTGCATTTCAGCCACACAGGGAGTTGTGGTTTGCTACTGTGCTATATAATGATCTTCTTTAGCCACATGGATTAAATTTAGATACATTAGCTGGGTGTAGAATGGAGGAAGCGATGGGAGAGGACCAAGGACCAGCAAGTTCAGCCACACAACCTCCTCCCTGTCTTCCTAGACCAGCAGAAGAGGGTCAGTGTTTGATCTACAATGGAAGTTCTCCTTCTTGAGTAAACTGTCCCCATTTCCTCATCAATGGCTACTATTTTTAGTAGCCTTGTATATAGACAGTCAGATCATTAAAGGAGACCAAGCTGTAGTGACATTTGTCCACTTGATCTGCTTACTTAATGTGGTAGCCTGGGATACTAATAGTAATACTATTGAACGAGTAAAACAGAAGCACCAGCTACAGTCACTTATGATGTTTTTATTGGCAGGCTGATAATCCTCTTTTCAAGAGTGCCACGACCACTGTTGTGAACCCCAGATTCAATGGCCAGTGAAGTTCAACTACAGCAACATGGGAAAGCACAAAGAAATTCTTCAGGAGGGAAGCAGAAGATATTGACTTTATTCTCCACTGTGCTTTACTCCTGTCAACCACTATCCATGTCCCATCATGTGTTTTCAATAACCCTTTGTGTGGCTTTTTTTCAAACATGCTTTGATACTGATGATTTTCTTTTCATAAAAAGGTCTCCCTGTTAAGACTGCTTAATCACACACACCATGGAATGATCTCAACTTGCCTTTCCACTTATCCTGCCCAAGGCACTCAGAGCACCACCTCCAGTTATCCGCTGTTAAAGGTCAACCCTTGAAACCCAAATAGAAGGGAAAGAGGTGGGGTGGCCATTCAAGCACCTACATAGACAAAGTATTTGTTGCAACAGCAGAGGTTAATACCACAGTGGTAGTAAGCCATGCATGCATGGTTGTAGAAAGGCATAATCTGAAAGAAGTTTTCCCTCCTGTGTGATAGAAAAGGGCTCATGCCTCTTAAGACATAACTTTCCAGCTACAGTTTTTATATGGGCTTCTATAATGCACATATAAAATAATGATAATAATGATGAAGAAATCTTCTACCTAACTGAGAAGCACCTGTTAAATAATCAGTTAAACATTGCAGTGCTACATATTATGGAAGCACATGAAACAGAAGAATGCTCTACACTATTGAATACTAGGTTGATGGGGTCCCCTGTTGTTCACATTCAGTGCTTCTAGGATGTAAAACCTTGACACACACACACACCCCGGCCCTTTTCTGCCTTACCAAATGGCATTAGCAGGCGGGGAGAACTGTCATCTTCTTTTAGCTCTGGGTTTCTGGGCAGATAAATCTCATGACAGTCTGCGCAGTGTACACTAATAAGGTAGGATGATGAATCCACGCTTTCCTAATTCTGTACAAGACCATCAGCGCAAAAGAGACCTCAGTCAAATTGAAAGATCTTGGAGAAACAGACAGGCGATATACAGTGATACCTCGGGTTAAGAACTTAATTCATTCCAGAGGTCCGTTCTTAACCTGAAGCACCACTTTAGCTAATGGGGCCTCCTGCTGCCGCTGTGCCACCGCTGCATGATTTCTGTTCTCATCCTGAAGCAAAGTTCTTAACCTGAGGTACTATTTCTGGGTTAGTGGAGTCTGTAACCTGAAGCGTATGTAACCCGAGGTACCACTGTACTCATGTGAAGAAATACGGCACTCGGAACCTAAAGCCTTCATTCTAGCCTTGTGTATTGAAGTGAATAAGCTCCCAAGTTGTCAGGTGCAAGAAGAATATTGCTTGAGAGCGCATAACTGCAAGTGTATAAACCTCTGTTGTGTGCCTATGATTTGCAGGTAATAAATCTCAAAACACCATTCCTGAAATGACGTGACGTATTTTGGAGTGTCATTGTGTCCACTGTTAACATTCTCTGCAGTATCTATTGGACTAAACTTAAGATAGGGAAAGGATTGTAGCATCTTTGGTCATAACTTTATTTCTTTTAAGTAGAGAATGGGTGGAACCTTCATCTGTTTCAGAGTGATAATAAGAAAATTGAATTGTGACATGTTCCATATATGTAGACATTCTCCATTGTGCTGCAGGCAAGCCTCAAGTTTGAAATTATATATATATTTGCTAGTTTCTATGTGACAAAAAAGCACCACACAAAACTGAATTTTCTATGCCAACTTTATTGCTGATTCTGTTTCTCGTTGACATTGTAGTTCAATAGTTCACTTAAGAAACTGGAAAAGTGGTTGACACTTTAAAAAAATTGGATACAGATCTATTGCAAGTTCAGTGAAGCTCATAACTTTTCTGAAACTCGCAAAATGCAGTTAATTTATACATGTCCTCTTGTGTGTAAAAGCTGATGCTGGTATTTGGGGAAGTATGGAAAAACAGCTTACAGGCCCTCAGGCTCTTGAGGGACGCATACCATTTCTTTAGGAAGATGACAGCAGGGCACTCAAGTGTCTTGTTGGGTTCCATATGGATTGCCTTCTAACACTTGGATCCAGCACCATATAGCACAATTAGTCCTTTGGGAATACTTTGACGTTCTGCCTTTCCAATCAGAGGTGAATTTAAAACACTGAATACATCTCTTTCTCTCTCTTGCTTTTAACACTATTCGGTAACCAGTGGTACATTTCCAAATTTTCTGAGGCTGAGTGTCCATTTCCACAGGTTCTCTGCACATACGTCAATTTGTAGCTTAATACCATTTCTGAGCAGATAGATGCCACTTACTGCTGTCACAGCCACAGTGAGAAAGAGGCCTCTATTAATTACCTTTTAAGAAGAAATCCAATTTGAGTCAGAAAATGTTGCAGGAGGAAATAGTTTGCAATATTTTTACTAGTCTATAGTTAAATCTTTTGGACTATTCCGCTAACTACATAAGATACCATTCAAAATAAATTTTAGAATCTTTAAAGGATCACAATAAAAGATTTATAATATTTGTATGCAAAAGACAATGCACAAGTTGCTTTAAGGTATGCATAACATATCACTCCATATTGAATTTAATAAATCATATATTAAAAACCATTCTAAAATCACAATGGGCTCCAGACATAATCATACTCAGAGTAAACCCATTGAAATCAATGGTATTTATGAATAAATTGGATTCAGCCCATTATTTTAAATGTACACTGCCTTTTGTTAAACAGATACTAATATCTGAGCATAAAACCCATATAAACAGAGCTAGATAAAGCCAAATAAAACACAGGTTCCTTTTTTCTTTTCTTTTTTGAGCAACATTCTGTCTCTTCTGTTTTTTCTCTTCCTTTCTTTCTTAACTCCATTAGGAGTGCATTTGGTTGTATTTTATTCCAAACTCTTATGTGACTCGTCACTTGGTTTATGCTGTGTGTGTATAAGTTTGACAGACAAAAGGACGTTATTTTGGTCTCTGGGGAGAGAGGTAAACTGCTCTCTCTGCTTCTTGTATACATGTACCTTGGATCCCAGGAAAGCCCTGTCATCCACGGTTAGAGGGAACCAAATGGAAGTGTGGTGGCAGACTATGTGGAAGCCTCTGGCATGACTGGCCTACCTAGATGGGCAGTTATCAAAGGGAGTAAAAGGTGTTTAATCTCCCCTTTCCATTATAGGATCTACTCTGAGTAGGACTTTGTTGGCTATATCCATGGGCGTAGCCGGGAGGGGGGCAAGGGGGCAGCTGCTCCCCCAGACCAAGTAAAACAATAGAAATAACTAACTGACCAATCACGTTGGTTCTGCCACTCCTAAGCAAGTCCTGTCCTCCCCCCCCCATACAAAAATCCTGGCTACGCCCATGGCTATATCACCCATAATACAATATGCTCCCAGCCCAAACAAATTCATCTAAGATGCCACTGACCTTATTCTGCCATTTCCATCTTTGCACAGCTTCATGGTATCGAATTCTGGAGAATGTGACCTGCATCAGATTACGAAATCATACAGATAATCACTGAAAGTGGAGGGGATGGCAGCCGGGAATGAAGAAAACAAGGGAAACCCTGCAATATAGCTATTGCTGGTCTTACCATGGTGTACAGAGGGATGATAGTGGAGGGGAAGAGGGCGTGAAGAACGTTGTCAATGTGCTTTCGGAAAATGAACCACTTTGAATTGACATGCTCCCGCATCTGAAACAACCAAGAGAAACATCTGAAAACATCTCTCATCGTTCAGCTGCCACCCACTCTCTATTTAACTATATGTAACTTACCTCTATATAATTATACATAGCTAAATCTGAAATTGCATGATCATCAGGTACTCTCAGCTTTGAGAACTCTGGGAGACAAATACCTGGGGAAGAAACAAGGTCATTTCACTCATTACACTGAAGGTAAGCCTTGGTTTGTCACTCAGCACAGCAGGTGCAGTTACTAATGGCTTCAATTTAGACTGCAAATTATTATTATTTCTAGACAATGGAATGGGCTATGTCCTCATCACGTGACGCTAGGCAGGAGCAAAGAATTGTGTGAAGCAGGCTCACTGAAATAAAAAGGTCTGCCTACTTCCTCTCTCCATGGCTTGAAAATGTAAAGAAAGAAATGTGCTAGATATCTGAAAGGCAAGGAAAGGCAAGGGTTTTTTGGCACAACCAAAAATACGGATTAGAAGCCGCAAAAGCGGTGATCTGAGGGAACAGGCGTTGTGGCTCCTAAAGTGTAGGTGCGTTCCCACAAGGCAAGACATTGCGATAACAGAAATAACCTTTATTGAACTACATAACTGGGAAACAGGCAAAGCAACTGCTTATATACATTCCTGAAAGCCTGGGCCACTCCCACTCCCAACGTGACTGGCTGTCTAAACTTCCAAGCTGCGAATCATGACTCAGAGTTCAAGAGCCAATGGCAGAGGCCTAAATCCTGAATTGTTCTGTGATTGGACATCATGTATCGAATCAGAACACAGGAGCTCAGAATCCTTAGTCCAGACTCAAGCTCAGGCAAACACAGACCACTGAAAACAACAGTTCCCACAGACAGAAGATGGCAAACACAAGTCTAAACAGCTTGCAAATGTACTTTGTTTCTTGGCAAGGGTGAGGGAATGAATGTGAGGGGGTAATGGAAATTAATTTTATGAAATAACCTTGTGAAATAATTCCTAAAACCCAGCAATCAGATACTGACATCTGCCAGGCAGGAAGGAAAGCAGTCAGACGCCAACCACCCCCCACCCTGGGTGTGGACCCATCCTTGGGTTCGCTATTTTGTGGCTTTGGTATTGGAAGAAACAATATTTTTCTCTTATCTTTGATTCTATAAATACTTCTTTCAACATCCCTTCTCTGAAAACTGACTGAAAGGTTCAATGGAAAGGTTTACTTTAGAGGCAGCCTCAGCGTTCCAGGACTTTAGCCACAGGGAGCGTCTAGCAGCTACCTGGGATGCCATTGCTCTAGCTGCAAACTGCAGGGGGTCCATGGAGACATGTGCCATAAAAGCTTAAAGGAGTTTGGTAAGAATCTGGTGCTGTCAAGCTGGATTTTGAGGAGATTGCAATAAATCCTCAAGCCAAACAATACATGTTCAAGCACATGAGGATGCTACCCAGGCACTCTCATAGAGAGGACCACTGCGTCATGGCCTTACGCAAAATCAATTCTCCTATCAGTAGTGTCCCAAAGTTGAGTATTTCCTTCCTTGGGGACCAGATGTCACGATGACAGATTTAAAACTGATCTGTCTATAGAATATATGCCATGAATTCCAGATCCAAGACATATACTGTAATTTCTTAGCTGAGATTTAACTATTGCCTTAAGCAATAGTTGGCTGGGGTACAGCTATTAGTTAACACATCACTCTCTGGTTCAGTGGTTGATTTGTCAGGTTGAGCAGTTACCGGTAATTCTAAGGCATGCATTATCTCACGCTCCAGGATGGGGGCGCTGGCCTCCTGAAACAGCCTCATAGATCATAGAATCATAGAATCATAGAGTTGGAAGAGACCACAAGGGCCATCGAGTCCAACCCCCTGCCAAGCAGGAAACACCATCAGAGCACTCCTGACATATGGTTGTCAAGCCTCTGCTTAAAGACCTCCAAAGAAGGAGACTTCACCACACTCCTTGGCAGCAAATTCCACTGTCGAACAGCTCTTACTGTCAGGAAGTTCTTCCTAATGTTTAGGTGGAATCTTCTTTCTTGTAGTTTGGATCCATTGCTCCGTGTCCGCTTCTCTGGAGCAGCAGAAAACAACCTTTCTCCTGAAAGAAGCTTCATCTTGCAAAGATCCTTCACTCCAGTTATCATCCAGCTCCCCTTCCCGGAAAAGGGTTGGGGAGGAAACCAAGGGAATATCCACATTCTCATCATCACCTATGGATGTGAAGGGGGGGGGGTCCTTTATATCCAAATGAACCTGAGCCCTCTGGGATGAGAAAGGGGCAGCCTTCTTAGGTTTAACAAATTTCTTCGTTCTGCAGTTGTAAGTGTGAAGCAATTATAGCTTCTTTAAATTGTTCAATAAGCGGGGCTGGAAAAGTTTGAGGGACAGAGGCAGAGGCAACCCGATTGGTGGGAGGGACGGTCTGAACCTCATGTCCCTGATCATCAGAAGAACATAAAAGTCAGGTTCAGATTCAGATAATGTGTCAACCTGAGGATGACCAGTAGGTGGCAGTGCATCCTTGGCATTCAAATGGGTGAAATCATTTAAACCAGCTGACTCCTCTGTCTCTGAAACTTTAGATTGAAGAACAATAATGGAAGAAAGACGCTTCCTGGGGTGGACAGGAGGAGCAGACTTGGTGCGTGTGCGTGAGGCAGTGGAAGACAGGAGTGCCTGGCGTGCTCTGGTCCATGGGGTCACGAAGTTGGACACGACTAAACAGCAGGCCCTTTAGAGGGCAACAAGTGCTTCAGCTTTGTATCATTTTCTTAAGAGGTGGCTCAGCCACAGCCCGGGCTGGCTCCATAATAGTCAGAGAAACACAAGACAAAGAGACAGACACCCTACACAGCCACAGCCCTGGACTGCAAAATCTAAGCTCTCAACTCTGTTTGCCACCATGGACCGGGAGGAGGATTGGCAGGATGCTGAATCTCCTTTTGCCACACCGTGGACCAGGAGAAAATAGGCCAAGTCCAACTGCCTCAGATACACACAAGTGCCCGTCAAGAGGTTAAATTAAGGTTACCAGATGTCCCCGTTTCCCAGGGACAGTCCCTGGATTTACAAATCAGGCCCCATACAAAATCCATTGAAGTTGAAAATTGTCCCCGGATTCATTGAAAAAAATCTGGTAACCTTAGGTTAAATTATAAATGTAGAGGCTCCACTCCGTTTGCCCCTGTTGCGTGCCAAAGCAACACAGAAAGCAAGAGAAACAAACTGCCAGAAGAGAAAACAAATCCCTTAAATCCACAAACTAAACAGAAAAAAGGACAGGAAGAAACCCTGGGGGGAAAAACCAGTGGCGTTTGCAAAAAGCCGCCAAAACACTGCAGGAATAAAGAGCATTCCTCATCTTTGCAATCAGTAAAGCTGTGAAACAAACAAAGCTGCCTCATGCCTGAGAGAGAGGCTGGAAAAGAAGGAAAGGAAGAATGAAACGTTCACAGGAACCCAGGAAATTTGCAGAATGGCAGCCATCACCTCAAAGCAGGGCAAAGATAATAATGCTGATCAGAAGAAAGCAGGAATGGGGTTTGAGGAGAGGTTTTGTTTTGTTTTTTGGTTTGTTAATGACAGGGATTTAGAGAAGAAACAAGATAGACTTATCTGACAAAAATGGAAAGCCAGGAGGAATGACTGTTGCGCCAGGAAAGAGAGAAAAAATGAGGAGTCGAGGCTGCTTCACACAACTCTTTGTGCCTGCCTAGCATCACAAGGACATAGCCATCCCATTGGCTCCAGCATCCCACAAAGTATATCAAAGAGTTACCCTCCATCTTTATTTCCCCAGAATGCTTTTGGGTGCTATGTTGACTCAGACTCGGAGGCATTCTTAGAAAATGACTGATAAACTTGGAGGTAGGTAAGGACTGTGGGAGCAATGGGAGATGTGAAAGTGGATGAAGCAAGAGGCACAGCAGAGGAGGAGGGGACAGGATGGTCCTGGAAGAGGAAGGTTGTGCATGTGGTAAGGGGGAAAGACAGATAATTTGCCCAAGAAGCTAATAACTGTCAACCCTGATATCCTTCTGAGGAGTCCAACTGGTAAAGGGTTTGGGGACGCCATCTTATGGTGCCTCCACTCCTACCCAGCTGGGTATTATTATTATTTATTTATTTACGGCTATTAGCCCATAAAGTATGTACAAACATAAAAGCACAGAGGCATAAAGACTAATATATTCGGCACCAGAAGGTGAACACCATGATGCAGGGGTGGGTCATTGAGCAGAGCCAGATAACAGCTTGGGGCCCGGAGAGCTCCAAGGGACGGATCCCAGAAAAGGAGAACTGAAGACGAGATCCGACATGCACTCTCTTCAAAACTGTCCGATTAGTTTTTGATGTTGTTGTTTTTGGTGGTTTTTGTGTGTGAGATAACTGCATTCAGGAATCTCGCCACCTGCAGAGTTACAGAAGGATCTGTATCCTGCAAAAGTAGTGCGGCATGTGACTCAGCAGGCCTGCCAACCAAGCGCAGTAGAGCAGGGCCCAGGAATTTAGTCCTGGCTATGCTATGTAGGGGGCAGTTGAACATTATATGTGAGAGAGAATCAACAGTTTTCCCGTCACACACGCATAGCGGAGACACCAAACCCTTGGAAAATCTGTGGCTCAGCAGGTTCGATGGAAAGACATTGAACCTTGCACGAATAAATGCATGTCGGTGTGGTACAGATGAAAGAGATGACATGTATGATGGAAGGCCAAGTGGTGAGGTTATTCCGTGATACCTGGGGGAGCAGACACCCTCACCCCCGGCGAGGTTGAGTTGATTTTCAATGTCTGCTAATCTCTGCTCGATAAGTCTTTTGGCTGAGCGTAAGTTCATCTTTAAGGAGTCCGCTGGGGAAATTCCGATGCTCAGAAGTTTGGCATGGATTTTTCCTACCCACGGATTGACAAAGTCGTCCCGCCAGAGGCACTGGAAAAGGTAATGGTTGGGAAGCCTGTGCCAGCTGGACAGCCAATAACCAAAGACTCGCTTCCAGATGACCGTCTCCAATGATGCAATCCTTAACTCCAGACGTATGGCTGCGTTGCTCACACACATGGGGAGTTTCAGGAGGCGACGGAGAAACTGATTCTGCAATGTCCCCAACGATGTTAAATTGGACCCTGGGGCCCAGAGCGAGGCAGCATAACAGAGGGTGGAAACCACTTTTGCATGGTACACCTTCAATGCAGAAGGGATGTGGGAGGCTCCGTCGGCCGCAAAAAATTGGAGTAGAGTATAAAGTATTGTTTTCCCTTTGTTTAGTAAATACTGTATCTGTGGCTTCCAGCTTAGGTTGTAGTGAAAAAAGACTCCCAGGTATTTAAATTTGAAAACTTGTTCTAATTGGACTCCATCTAACTTCCAGCTGTAAGTTTTCCGAGACCTGGTAAAGACCAGGACTTTAGATTTCCCATGATTAATTGTCAGATGGTTGAGTTTGCAATAAGCCGCAAAAATCTTTAGAGCTCTGCATAAACCGACTCTAGAGTAGGAAAGGATCGCTGCATCGTCGGCATATAAGAGCAGAGGGCAGCGAAAATCAGCTAGGCGGGGGCATGAATGTTGGCTTGAGACTCATTCAGAAAGAGCTTCATATCGCTAATAAACAAGTTGAAGAGGAGTGGGGCCAAAATGCAACCTTGGCGCACACCTCTATTTATTGGGACCTCGTTGGATAGGTTTCCCGCCGGTGTGAGTCTCACTCTAGCCGACGACCCATGGTGTAATTGGGTTATAAGCCATAACAGCCTTCTATCTATGCCCCATCTCTCTAATTTCTTCCATAGACAGTTTCTTGGGATACTGTCGAAGGCGGCCTTTAGGTCTATGAAAGCGACACATAGGCGCCCCCCGACTCGGGGCAGAATATTTTCTGGCAAGATGATACATGATTACCATATGGTCAGTGGTCGAATAATTGTTCCTAAAGCCCGCTTGCTCGTGGCCAATCAAATTTGAGTCGTTTGCCCAATTGGACAGCTTGGACAGCAAAAATTTTGCATAGATTTTCCCGATGATAGACAAAAGGCTGATGTTCCGATAGTTCTCCGGGTCAGCAGGGGGACCCTTTTATGGACTGGCACGATCACGGCCTCCTTCCATGACCTAGGGATAAGCCCCGTAGAATTAATTGCATCAAAGACTTTGGCCAGGATTTCAGCCCACCACCTTGGTTGCGCAACAATAGCCTCAGCAGGGACTAGATCCAGCCCGGGGGCTTTGCCCGTTTTCAGATCTAATATCAAGTCCATTATCAGGTCTGGGTCGGTAGAGGGCCACAAAGGTAGATGGTCGGCTCGGAATTCAGTGGATGAGTTGGATTCCTCTGCCAAGGAGAAATATTTGCTCAAGAATTGTTCCCATGTGGGCGCAGGGATAATCGTCAGTGGGTACTTCCTTCCTCTTTTGTTTATCAAAGCCCAAAATTCCTGTGGTCTGCGGGATCTAGAGGCCGCAATCAAGGCTCGCCAACGCTTTAGATACCACTCACGTTTGGCCAGCTTTAAAGTCTGTTTGTATGCTCTTTTGGCTTGTAAATAGGAGGATGGTAGAGCCTGGGCATTAGAGTTTTTGTATTCATTATAGATGGAACGAAGAAGGGATCTTGCTTGTTTGCAAGAGGTATTAAACCAAGGGGCCCCAGCACTGCAATGCGCTACTTTCGCCTTTTGAGGAGGTAATGTAAAAAAGTGGTAAGGTTTGTTGTAAGAAGGTTAAAAATTTCAAAACCGAATTGGAATCTTGTAAATCAGTAGCTATTTGAGGTAGATAGGCAGTGATTTCCCTATGGAAAAATCCTGGTATTTTTGGGCCACAGCCTCCGACCATTTGATCCCACTTATTTTGGTCGCTGATGAGGTTTCCAGAGGGACTGAGTGTTTATAGTCCTTCTGGTACCGGAACAATGACAAAGTGGTCACTATTGGGAGGTGATCACTGAAATGTTGGTTTTCAACTTGGAAGGAAAGTACATTGACGGCCAAATTTGCGGAGATCAAGAGGTAATCGATAACACTGTTAGATGCTGGTCCCAGGTGAGTGAACTCCCCGGTATATCGGGGGAAGGTGCCGTTCAAGAATACTAGATTCAGGCGAATGGCCATTTGGTAAAGGGTCACTCCAGCTTTGTTTACTCTGTTGTCCTTTGAAGTTCTAATTCTAGCATGTTCCAAGTCAAAGTTGCCCAAACATGGGGAGTCCACCATTTGGACTTGATTAGTAGGTCCCAATTTGTGGCAATTCGAGCATTAAAGTCTCCCCCAATTAAGGAGTACGAGTTAGGGCATTTGGTATGACATGACAATAGGTGATTTTCAAATGATTCCCATCTCCAATCAAGATCAGGTGCTGAGCCTTCGGGGGGGGAGATAACCATTAGTAATTAGTAATGAGGACTTCCCTTCTGCGATCAGTCCAGAAAGAGCAAAAGGCGGGGAAGCCCGTACCAGGGTGAATTTGGCGCGAAGTTGGAGTGAAATCCCAATCAAAAGACCCCCCTTTGGGGCGACCACCTTTCAAGGAAGGGGAGGCCGGAAGTGTTAGAAGATCAAAGCCGTCTATGGTAATCTCTTCCTCATCCCATGTTTCTTGGAATAGGATGATGTTAAATGAATTTATGTACTTCCTGAATTCGGGGTCTGATTTTTTGGTTCTCCAACCAGCAATGTTCCAGCTAAGTATTGATAATGTCGGGTCCTTGTGCTGTCCCGGTAATTGTCACTTTGAGTTGTTTAATGGGTTCTTGGAGGTAGAGCGAGGACCCATAAGGAAATCAGTAATTTTAGTTTGTGCGGATAAAGTCTTCTTCTGTGTTGATTGAATCCGTGATTTGGTAACATTAACAGGCAGGAAGGGCTTTGCCGGGGAGGAAGAATTAGGCAAAATTGGTGAGGTCGGATGCTGTTCATTGAGGTGAGTAGTAGCAAGTCTTTGATGGGCTATACTAGTAGATCCATCAGAGTTATCAGTCTTAACCAGGGTAGCACTAGGAGGTGTTCCAGTCATCACTTGTAGTTGCTGCGCAGCTGGAGAAGAATTATCACGCAGATGTATAGAAGGACGTGAACGCGGAGATGGTACATGCATAGTCATTTCCTGGTGATCTTCAGACAGGGTAGATTCTAGCTCAGGCATTGAGGCAAAGGAATCGTCAACTTCCATATTTTGATTGGACATAAGGTCTAAGACGGGAGTATTGAGTTTATCAACTTCCTCCACGGTAGAATGGTGCTGTTGGAGCTGTTGGTCAACAGGTGATTGCTGATTCAGATCAGTAGGGGGTAACAAAGTAGCAGGTTGAGAGATTATCAGGGCATTTGATGGAGACGCCTTGTGGGACGTGGAGTGCCTGCTCTCCTCTCTCATCGGCATAGAGGGGTCCCCTTGCGATAGGAGTCTTTGTTTGAGTAGATCCAATCTATCGAGAATAGCCTGCTGTTCTTCTGAAGGGAGTTTTCCATAGGAGAAGATAAGATTTCTCTCTTCAGGGATATTCCAATCTCCGCTTGCAATTGGATCATTCCTCAGTGTAGCTAGATGGGCACTTGAGGTCGCAGATGGAGCAGGGGGTACCCAGCTAGGTGTTTTCCCTTTATTATAGGAACAGAAGGAGGAAACGAGCGTTCATTGCCGGTTAAGATGTTGGCAAAAAGAGGTTTAACACTCGTGTCCTTAAAGACTCTTGTTGTTACAATCTCCCAGGGTGCCAGCCGATCTTTCTCTCTTGCAAGGAGATGTGGGATCCTTGCAGACTGGAAGGAGAGCATAAATTTCCTTGGCCAGGGCGTGGCAATTAGGGGTACTACAGATATAAGATCTATCTGAAAAAAGGAATATTTAACAAATCACGTAGGTACCCTTTAGCCATCCTCAGGTTATTCCACCTAAGTCTGGGGGCGTCACGGGAAAAAATGGCTAGACATATTTTATTAGGTTGAAAAATCAAGGATTGCCTATTCCTTTGGGGCAGTGGCGGCCTGCATCTTGAGCTCTTAAGGTGAAATTTCTGGTCAGGTTGTCTCTTTAAGGCACTTACAAGCTGCACAGGAGATTGATGCAAATTAGATAGCTCAGTTGAGGAAGGTAGATGAGCCAGAAGGGCCCGTGAAAGTTTATTCAATGTCAAAGAAATCCCTCCAATTCCTTGAAAATGAAGCTTAAAGTCCTGATTACCAGTTGTATTTGATCAGGTACTAATTCATGGGCAGTTTGCCCTAATGCGTCCTGTTTCAATGACGGAGGTGTAATTAGGGTATCAGGGAGGAGGGCTTCCCTATGGCTTCCGTCCCCCGCTGGATCAGCTAGCTTTTCCGGCTCTCCTTGATCATACAGAGGCCAAAAGCGGTTGTATGTTTCGACCGCAGAAACAATTACTTGCTCTGTTTTGCTGTTATTGTTAGTAGATGGTGGGGAGATTCAAGCTTCGACTGCTTTACTCTTGGAGGTGAGCAACCTTTCTCAGCAGATCTTGGTCGCTTGCCATGACCCATTTGTCGCTGTCTCACTAACTACGGAGGTTCAAAGTAGAGATAAACGGAGATAAAAGAGAGAACTTATCTTTTATGGGCGCAACTCCTCTGCTACTCCTCCTCCACTTCTCAACATAGCCCAGTCTTCAAGGCGGCGTTACTAATCAGCGACAGGCTTTCTCAGCAGAGGGTTTGAATATCCTTGTTGATACGTATATTGGCACCAACAGGCCAACCGTAGAAGTAAAACGATTAAAAACTTCTAACAGAAGTAAAATAATTTAAAAGTCTAATAAAACAACTATAAAAACGGCAGTAAAAGGCTATAAAAGGCTATAAAAGGTTTGTAATCCGGAGGGTTCACGAAGGAGAAGTTGTTACAGCCGCCATCTTCTACCATCTGGGTATTCTCTGCTGTGCCTCATTTCCTAAAGGAAACACAGATCCTGGTAACAAAGGGCACCCGGAACTCCCTGGACTCTCGCCTTGCTGTGGAGATTGGGGTGCCATGTAGCAATATTGGGGGCAGCTTTGAATCCTAGCAAGAGGAAGCACCTGCTTGGTGGAGGTTTTCTGTAACCAACTTCCTCGGGTTCAGGAGGCCATCAGAGCAACTGTGTTTCTCGGGGTGGCAGGGAGGATGTGAAGAAGAGAATGTTTGAGAAGAGGGCTAACAAGCTGGAATGACTCTTACAGCAGCAGCTTTCATTCAGGCTCATGAGGAATATGGTCTTTCGTGACAGAAACATATACTCACATATATCATTTTGGAACTGGTTCATTAACTCATCAAAAACCAGACAGTCTTCAAATCCCTGAAGGAGGAGTACAAGGGGAAAAAACAGCTTAGGATAGGACCTGTGGGCTGGATCAGATGCTTTGAATTCAGAAGGTCCCAGAGTCAAACCCCAGCATCTCCAGAAAACCTGGAAAGCAGCTGCCAGCCAGCATATTTCATTTCATGTTCATTTCACTTTTAAGAAACCATCTTTCTATATTGCTATACATAAAGCTGTATATATGTACACCCCCCAAAAATATCATGCATCTTATAACAATCTCAATCCAATGCAAATGTTATAACAAAAGATACAGCTTTAAAATAAACAGCTTATATAAAATAAAGTAATAGCCAATAATGCATTTAGGATATTATACAACAAAATTAACATTCAAAATATCAATATATAATAATTAAACAGAAATTCACTTGGCAATTACAACAAATCATGACTAGACTATAATCAACAAAAATAACAGCAGCGTCACAATATATAAAATATCACAATTCCTAAAAAAATGGGAAAATATTGAACCGAGCAACAAAGTCACAAACCTTATAAAATTACAAAATGCACTAACATAACTGATCATCCAGTCCAGATCCAGTATGTAATCCACAAGACTCTTCTCGCTGTGGACAACCGGACTGCTTGAGCCACCCACAAGGCCAAAGGAAGACCACAGGGAGCAGATGTCAAACACATAAACAGCTCTGTGATTTTCAAAAGACATCTGAAGGGAAGTTTTTAGCGTGTGATGTTGTATTAGATTCCTCTAATAGAACGCTCACTAAAGTCTGGCCCTTTTCACAAGGAAAAATGGGGTGCAACAAACTGAGCTGCTAGTTTGGTATGCTTGGGACATTTTGTCTTCAGTTTTTGCTTTACTTTTTTTAATTGGGGAAGAATTAGCCTGAAGTGCCACACATGACAAATCTGCGTTTCAGTTCTAAAAGCCAATAAACACTACACGGCAATTTTAAATCTTTTTAAATAAAAAAGAAAAGGATTTTTAATTCCCCAAGTAATGTAATTACAGAGAGGGACAAAGGAATGGCGGAGGTGACACTCTGACTCACAGCGTTCATGCCTTGTCCATAGAAGGGCACGACTGCGTGGGCCGCATCTCCCATCAGCACACAGCGAGAGCCAAGGTGGAATGAGGAGCACTTCACAGAGACCATGGCCTGGGCTGGTAACAAAAAGTAATCTCGCATCAGTTCTTGCCTGAAATTGAAATAGCAGAGCATGTATCAAATGCTAAATATGGCCATGTTATAAACCTAAGATACAGAAGGAAATGGTACACTAGTACATTTTCTATATGAAAGATTTTCTGCAGGCAAAAGCGTGGCTGAGGCTTCCCGAGGGTTTCTGTGCCATTGTAAATCATTCCTTCTGTCGATGTTTTGTAGCCATGAAAGAAACATTGATTAAAGCTTAATCCAGATATGGGAATGGGAATTTAATCAGAGTCACCAGGATTTTATAACTTGGGGTTGGAGGGAAGCGATGGGCAAGTTCCTCCAGGCTTGTTTTATAGCTGGTCTAGTCTTTTGAGGCTTTCTTGGTAAACATCCAGAGTAAGTTTTATTTATTTATTTAACACATTTATATGCCATATTTTATCAATTATTTCAAGGCTGTTTACAAAAAGATTGTTGCATGGGGATGATTTGCTCTGCACTGGAAACTCCTCAGCTCCTGTCGACTTTTCCCTCACTATCAGCTTAAAAACTGCTCTGCCACCTTTTTGATATGAGGCACCAGCAGTCTGATTCCATCCTGCTTCAAGTGGAGCCAGTCCCTTTTGCACAGGCCTGGCTTGTTCCAAAACTCTCCTGCACAGCACCACTCTTTCACACACACATGGAGACCACACAGCTGTCTGTCTGGCTGGTGTAGAACTGGCAGCATTTCAGAGAAATCCACCATGAAGGTCCTGACTTTCAGCATCCTAAATAATAAAATATTTCTTTGAATTATGCTAATATATGATATTTTCTGTTCATAATTTTAGTAATCATAAAGTTCATTTATAAATACTGTGATGATTTGTTTCCTGAAAATGAAAGATATTCCTTTTGCATCCTATTTCAAAAGGTAAGATAAAGGAGACAGATTCATTAATAACTGTTAATGCTGATTCACTAGATATGAAAGCACTTTGTTTTTCCTGGTTCACCTCCAGAGCCATTGTGCCATTCCTCTCCATTTTTATCTCTCCCATTAATGAGAGCGAGCTGCCTGCAAGACTCCATTCACTCTGAGATCTCATGTGTTCATTCAGTGGCTGTAAGTGGCAAACTTACTTTCCTATCAGAGGAATTGTGTCCGGAAAGTACATTTTGAAGAAATCCAGCACTTGGTCTCCTGTTGTGAGCTTTTCAAAATCGTCAAAAGGCATGAAGAGAGTGCATGTGAATGACTTATCCTATGAATTAAAAAGGGTGTGAGAACTTGAAAGAAGAGATATCACTGGTTAGTTTTAAAGTTAAAAGTAATTTCCTGAAATATCAGCAAAAAAAATTAAATTCCACTGATTCATTTATGTAAAATGTATTTTTGGAAACAAAGTTTTCAAGTGCTGTGGTAAACATACTATCTGCATTTTAGTATACACAGTATACATTTCTGTCTAAGATACAGATGTACATTACACAGCTTATTCCAGGTCTTATATTGTTTTCAACACACATTGCAACCTTCTAATAGCCTGGGACCCCAGTTGTGGTTGAAGAACAACTCTCATCATCCCATAATAACAACATAATTACAATAAAATAAAATGAAGTTTAAATGGACAGAAAAGCAGTGTTTGAGGGGGGAAATAAAATATGTGCAAAAAATGTTGTTTCTAAATTCTTCAAAAGTTACCTGTGATAAATATTCCCCCCCCCCCAAAAAAAAACCATTTGAGCACAGCAGAGTATCTTGAGTCTTCATCTGGATGTCCAAAATAAAACTGCTATCTTGGTTTCTAACTAACCTGGCTCCAAGCACCCTTAAGTCCAGGTAATTGAGGGGAGAATGTTACAGCAGTGAGGAACAACATGAAGAAGAAAGCACAAAGGTAAGAAAAGGAGAGAGACTTTGTTTTTTAAACATATTGATACTTGTTATATCTATTCCAGACATACCATGGAAAGTGGTGGGATGCCTCAGCCTACCCTGAAATTAACCTCTGATCTGAAACCACAACAGGAGCATTCCTCTTCAAGGATGGAGAAACATTGCAACATTACGTTGCAGGTCCTACTGGTTGCAATTACTTTTAGATGGATGTGGGTTTTGTGTCCATTAGGTTCAGCCTGTTGGCCTCTCAAGAGACAATGGAGTGGGCCTCTGGAAGTGAAGGCAAACTGTTGTTTTAGCAGCACTGAAGTGCTCTCCCTGGGGCGCAACACTGGGCAGTGTGTGTCAAGGTCCTAGGCTGCCCAGACAACAAGGTCCCCCTCTCGGCCTCACTGATGGGGCCCAAAAGAAAGCAGAGCAATACATTAGGCACCCGCTGGGCTGCAGGAGTTGCCAGAAGGAAACATACAAGGCACCACCCAACAGTCAGCGACTCCACTCTGGAACTGTGTAGGGTTTGCTCCATAGCCTTTTCTTCTCCTGAAGATATCCCACAAGACCGCATGTAAGATATTTGTTCGTTCTGGCAGTAGATAGAAAATATTGTCTCTTTCTCAACTAGGTACATTAGGTCACTGTAATGTTTGTACTTTGTTGTTATTCTAGTTTCCAGAAGTCCTAATCTAAATCTAAACGATCCTGAAATTACATCGACATTTCAAATTATGTGTTACTACTAAAAAGACAGTTTTAAACTGTTTCTCCTACCAGGTTTGGCAGTGCAATCATCATGAATGTATTCCTGGGCCAGATGTGGAGATAATTTGGTTCCATTGCAAACTGGAAGGAGACCAAGAGAGGGGCAGAAATATGTTTGTCAATGTTTATGCAGCTGTCAACTTGGAAAGCAAGGTCTATAGTGAGACTCTGTTACCACTACAGTTGTACCTTGGTTCTCGAATGTAATCTGTTCGGGAAGTCCATTCGACTTCGGAAACGTTCGAAAACCAAGGCGCGGCTTCAGATTGGCTGCAGGAGCTTCCTGCACTCAATTGGAAGCTGTGGGACCCGCATCAGATGTTCAGCTTCCAAAAAACACCCGCAAACCAGAACACTCACTTTTGGGTTTGCGGTGTTCAGGAGCCAAAACATGTGAGTACTAAGGCATTTGAGAACCAAGGTACAACTGTACTTACATTTCCATCCCTTGGGGGTATTTTCAGTTCCATGTATCCATGAGGAATATATACTTGGCTGTAGTCAAAACGTGCCTGTCTCATGAACTGCTTCCTAACGGTAGAAAAGGCTCCATCACAGCCTACAATTAGGTCACAAGTGACTTCTTTTGACATCTGGTCGGATCTAGAAAGGAGAACAGCAGCAGCAGCAGAGGATTTGTACTTCCTTGCACTAACTGATAATCAAACCTATCTTGCATGTTTTATTTGATATTACAGTATTTTCAGTGGTGGCCAAACCTGACATCTGTTTGCTTGGACCTGTCTTTGTAGCATTACATTTTAAGACCTTAAGGGTTTGCTTTTTTTCTTTCTTAAGTATGGACTTTATAAAACATATCACACACAAAATCTGCACTGAGTTTTGCTAAAATGGATTTGAGAAAACAGGGAGAGAGAAGGTTAACTTTCTTTCCAAGTTGTGGGTTGGAAATAACCCTATATACGTATTCCAAAAATAACAGTTGATCCCTGAAATAGTATTAAAAATGCAAGTATACGTAAAACTGATTATGCTTTTTATGCTGTTTAGTCTATTCTTCCACTTATTCAAGCAGCTGTAATCTTTTCAAAACATCCTCTCAGGCCTGTGCATACTGATTTCAAAAAATGTAACACAGAAAGCTACTCTTGTTAGGCTTATTCATACAAAAACAAGCTGTCTCTGCATATATACAAGTGTTAGTGTGAAAGAGTATACACTAGTTGATTTGTAAAGTTAAACAGTTGTGCAGGCAAGTACACAGACTGTCCACTTGATAATGTTACATTTGTAAAACTGTCTGAGTGTACAGTTAAGTCATTTGTGTACATGGACACACAGATTATACAGTTGTTGAATGTAACATGTAAACAATCCTATTGAATGTTTGGGCACAAAAATCAAAATTTTGCCCTTTATTTTTAAGAAATTATTTATTGAGGAGGAACTGACATTTTCTGATTATGAAGATAGAAGTCATTGCCCAGTATAAGCTACTAGGTTATTAGCTCAATGAAAGAGGCAGCTATTATTGTATTAGTGATAAAAAAATTTCATCAAAGAAAATTACTATCATGCTCTTAGACTACAAAATTAAACACATTTACTAGGGTTTAAGCCCCATTGAACACAGTGAGGCCAGGGGAGGAGGAAGGGGGGGTGCAGTGGATGTGGACTACCCCAGGTGTCACCACTGAGGGGGGTGACTAAATGCTGTGAGGCACTCACCGCGGGGCCTGCAGTGTGCCCGAGCCACACATCTCTCCTGGGAGAGACACGGTGGCTAGGGCGCGCACACACTCTGTGCTGCCCAAACGGTTTGCCCACTGCCCCACCCTCGCCCCGCCCCTATGGGCAGCTTGCCCCACCCCTGGGTGTACCGCCCCAGGCTCCCAAGCGTCTTCCTCCACCGCTGAGTGAGGCATACTTTCAAATAAACATGCAAAGTATTACACTGTTAATTTATTTAGGTGCAATGTTGTATTGAAAGATCTAATGACTCCTGGAGCAATTGCAACTGGTGGGCCTCTCCCCAGACCACCCCACCAGACCAAGAGGGATGGACAGAGTCAACTCGCCCTTTGGGTTCTGATTAATTATCAGCGTGTTCAGGAAGGATGGAGATAATGATTACCCTGAAAAGGTCAGTGTTCCCAGTTCCACATTGCAGTGAAGCAGTTTGTGTCCAAAGTATAATTTAGTATTGGGATATTTCTCAGCAGCTGTAGAAAGACATAGTATTAAATATATTGTATTGAACACAAATATGACCCAAACTGGGAGCTGCATAATGAAATTACATTTTTCCTAATGAATGGCTGAACAGCTATTTGCAAGGTAAAGTTCATGTAACATACTGTTATGGATTTGCAGGGGGCAAGGATCTCCCAAAATTCTTGGGCACCAGGTTCTCCCCAGAATTTCTGAAATTAATAAATGTGAGGTCTGAAGCCAAGCCAGCTTCCTCAAGAGTTGGGCTTCAAGAGGTGCCATCCAAGAACAAATGCAATGGTGGTGACAGAGTCATTACCCTGACAGTGAGACATTCAGCAACAGACAAGAAAGGAGGAGGCTGCCAGGATTATAGGGGGCATGAGGTCACCACGGGAAAAAGGGCTGTCTGGGGAATCTTCTTGTGACATTTGAATCACATAGAGAGTGAAGAGAGTAGCAGTATTTAAAGTTATTATGAAAGTGGTTTGAACACATTTGCTGTATTCTGAGGTATTTGTTTTCAGGGAAGAATCAATGGCCGGATCTAGAATCAATCTAGTTTGATTCTAGATCCGGCCATCCATAATAGTGGGTGGGTTTACCTGATTAGGTTTGATACCCCTTAATTAGGTTATCCATGTCTTTCCCTCTCTGCACCTACCCCAGGTGAAAGAGGAGGGAAGTCATGATAACCTTCTTGTTATCCCATCGCCAAGACCACTGACATCTGTCCTTACAAGGACACACTGTAAGGTGTCCTTGATCCAGATTGTGGATGAGCTACATAGAAAAAACAAGTACTCTTGTCTCCATTGATTCTAGAACAATCTGTCATATGTACGTAGCCAATGCATATCTAAACCACTTTGCCTATAATTAGAACCATGGCTTAGCTTTGGGTAGCACAGCAGCAGAACCGGGGAGGAGCAAAACAGCCATGAATTTTACTATAAGTTTCTGCCTGCTAGTAGTGCATTCACACCAGCCATGGTTTGGATTAGGAATATATGCACACTCAGCCAGTGGGCAGCACTGAGCTCAGTCTTTCTTATATCTCATTTTGATTGAGTAATTACAGTCTCCATCATCTGAGTCTTTAAGAGGTAAAAAATGACTGAAAAAGGGGGCGGGCAGGAATCATACTTACCAGTTAGCAGATCTTTGTTTAAATTTGCTCTATCTACAGAGAGAATGTACTGCATGGGGGGAAACACATAAGACACAGAATAAGTTTGAATGTCTTGTAACATATATGAATGGTCACAGTTAAGTCAAGAATCCCCTTTCCCTAAATTTCCATGCATCACAAACCTAGGATACGGAGGTCCTGTGATTTATCACTACTCCAATCTGAGTCTCCACATGCTGGAAGTTGTGTGTCTTTACTGCTCTCCTGAATGGAAGTGTGCTGGGACTGATCAATCAAGGAGCTGTTGTTTTTACGGTGATTGGCATGCAATAGAAACCCCAACATGATCTCCCACCATTATCAGCAGAAGCCAGGCTGTTGCTGTGCCACTGGGAAAGTAGCCCAAGTGGCTTGTCGTGACATCCAGATCCTGATCTGGTTTGTTTTCCCAAAACAAATCACAATCAGGAATCCAAGAACAAACCTTGAATATCGCTCATGGTTTGTTTGGAGAGAAATAAGCTATAAGCTTGGGTTTGGGCATCATGAGAATAAAGGTGTGCTGGCCTGTTTTCCAGAGTTGTTTTGCAGGTGACTCAGTTTTCAATGAGAAGGATTCTGAAGGGAGAGGAATGTAGGAAGATGCCCAGTGCACCCCCTCATGTGTGCTTGCAGTATAAAAACTCTCTCAACAGAATAGTGGGAATTGGGTATTATACACAAAAAGACACCACTAAAGACTAAAAACTATTTTATAAAGGGATATTTAAAATAATACCTGGCTCTTTGTCCCATATGGAATTGAATATTGTTTGCCTGAGAGCGTGTGAATTCTCCTTGCTCTCATAGGTATGCCTTTAGACACAATCTGAAATCAAAAAAGAGAAACATTTGCATCCTAAGAGACAGGGCATTTTTAAAAGTAGCAAGCAACAGGCTGGAGTTCCCAAAGGTTCTAAATCTTTGCAGCTTTTGTTGTATTTTAAGTTGTGTAAAATTACTTTAATTTTTAAATCATTACTTATATGGTTTTTAAAAGCACTGATTTTAAACCATTACTTATACAGTGGTGCCTCGGGTTACAGACGCTTCAGGTTACAGACTCCACTAACCCAGAAATAGTACCTCGGGTTAAGAACTTTGCTTCAGGATGAGAACAGAAATCGTTCTCTGGCGGCATGGCAGCAGCAGGAGGCCCCATTAGCTAAAGTGGTATCTCAGGTTAAGAACAGTTTCAGGTTAAGAACGGACCTCTAGAACGAATTAAGTTCTTAACCTGAGGTACCACTGTATTTATTGGTTGACTCTGAACTCCAGAGGTTGGTACTCCTTGGCTCACAGGCCATATGTGGCCCACCAAGAGGGTTTTTTGGGTTTTTTGGAAGGGGGCAAGACCCCTCACCCAAAAATTCACACACACACAATATTATAATACATAATACATTGACTGTTTCCATAGGCCTCCTGATGTCATTCAGGTGCCAAAAGGTTTTCCAAAATGTGTCCCCCCTGCTGATCTCTCCACAGCCACTTCTGTTGCACTTTGGCCCTTGGAGAGTTGAGCAGGGGTCAACGCAGCCCTTGGCCCACAAAAGCTTAGTCACATTGTGTGTGGGGAACGATACAATATTTCCCCCTAAGCTCCTTCCCTGCACCACCATTGGTTTCTCAAGTGTACGCAGAACACATCTCTCCTGTGCTTAAATAGTTCCAATGCACTATTTGCTTATCTATTTCCAGGCAGAATTAAAAGGGCTGGTAGTTACCTATAAAGCAGTAAATCACAGGGGCCCCAGCTATTATCTCTCTCTCTCTCTCTCTCTCTCTCTCTCTCTCTCCACACACACACACACACACACACACACATTCCTCAACTCTACTCTCTATGTCCCTGGAGATACGAGGGAGTTAACCCGGGTCTTTCTGCATGCAAAGGATGCATTTTATCACTGGAAAATGGCTCTGTCCACTTAAGCTGTATGACTGAAACTGGAAGGAATCCCGTAAGTAATTTTTTGTCTTGCATTGAAAACATCCCTGTCCCAGACTGAAGTCTTTCCTTAGAAGGAGGGAGATATATTTTTTTTTAAAGATGTATTGCTCAACAACTAAAAAAAACAATCCCGGTGGCTTCCTATGAAAAGCTCAACAATTCAGCGGTCTTCCTTAAAAAAACTTTCAGGGAGTCCTGGTTTTAAGCTCTTTTTAAAACCCCTGGTTCCTTCAAACTACCCAGCAGTCCAGTACTGAAAAACCCAACACAAAGGCATTACATTTTGTTTCATCCTTTAAATGTACAGGCACCTGGTTTTCCAGCCCAACAGCCTTGAGAGCTTGCCGTCCCCTGTGAGACAAGGCCAAATTAATGCTCCTGCCACGAGCCGCATTGGAACCACGGATATCTGAAATGAAACGAGGTGGCACTTTTGTCATGTGTGTGACACTGTTGCAATGGATGGCCACATTAATTTAGAAAAAGCTTCAACAGCCACTGCTGTTAGGTCTATTATAGTACACACTCACTTTCCTTAGGCAATGTCGAGGACCATGCTGAGAAGGGCTGCACTGAGGAGGAATGGTAGGAGCCTCCCCCTGCTCCTGAATCTTCCCAGGAGCAGGAGGACAGTATAGATTTGGAAAAGTGGTTTGCAGAGGGACATAGTTCAGAAGGCAGAAGCTGGGAAATACTGGATGGGGAACAGCTAGGAGAAGAAGCACTAGAAGAGAGAGAGTGAATAGATTCACAGTCTCTGGATAGTATCCGCCCCCCTTCCCCAACATCACGGAGAGCTCAGAAAGTGTCAGAACAGAAAGCACAGAGGGTAGGAGCTCAGGTTACAAGACACAGTAGTGGCATGGGTGACCAGGGAGGAAGGGGTGGAACTCTTAACTGGGAGCACCGCCATTCCTAGGAAATGAATTCTTTGTTCTCTCACTGTGATCATTAAAGTTTTAACTGGTAAGTTAAACTGGTAAGTTAAATTTCTAACTGGTAAGAAGACTCATTTTCTTTTGTTCTGCTTATCTACTGCCAAGGGGGAAGGAAGCTGATTCCCTGAAGCCTGACAGGCAACCACAACCTTTTGTGGCTGGCTGGAAAATAAATAAATGGGGGGCTGCTTGGGAAAAATAGGAAAAAAATCAAAGAATTCCAAAGTAAACTCCAAGAAAGGGACAGGCAAGCAGGAAACAAGAGTTGGTAACCCCATCAGCCACTGCAGTGCTCTGGGAGAGTGTTTGGGCATGGTGATAGAGTCAGCATTGGGGAATGTGAATGGGCCTAGCATGAACATGAAGAGCAAGTGAAGGTGATCTGAGAGTGAGGGGAAGGTGGTCTGAAAGCAAGCAGAGGTTCAGTCTGAGTGAAAGGCCCCCACACACAAGACAGCTTCTTCCTCAAGGTGGGAAAGCTAAAAAGCAGAATGTGCTCCCACAGTGCAAGAGAAACTGGCTGTGCTGGACTGCTTGACTGTCTGCACTGGCACAGGGATATGGCCTGAACGAGTCCAGCATCTGTGCCATCAAGGTGTGTAAAGAAGATCCATGGGGCTGTGGCATCAAGTGCTCCATTACCTGCCAAGGTGACCAGCCAGGGGTGTGCCAAGGCTTTAGTCAAGACTGAGAAGACATTAAACCTGTGGCTGGAAAACCTGAGTCAGAAACGGGTCCCTGTTGATGGACCTCAGTGACACCAAAAGGCTCTCTCCCTCTGTGCAAACATCAAACCTTCCAGAGGGTGAGCAGCCTGGAAAAAGGAATTCAAAGCCAGCACCAGCTGGCTTCACACTTCAACCTCAGGAACATGCATATTTCCAGGGAGGCTGCGCTGGCAGACAAGGAGGCGGCAAAAGGATTCCTCAAACACTTTAATCAGTGGGGAGACAACAAGGGATATGTGCCCCAGCCAGGTTTTGATGCAGATGAGACAGGACTTTTTTGGGGGAAGGGGGAAATGCCTGACCAAACCAGAAAACCAAGCCCCTGGCTTCAAAGCAGCTAAAGACCCTGTGACTGGTCTGTTCTGTGGCAATGGGGTTGGGCATTTGATAAAGCCCAGGATTTTTGTACAGGTATGAAACCACCCCTGCCCTAAAAGCAGAGTTTGAAACTCCCTTTGTTCTAGGCACGTTTTGCAACAGGGAATTTCATTAGTGCGAGCAGTTTCTGAGCTCTGGGTGCAGTACTGTGCCTAAGATTTCAGAGTAAAACTGCAGAGTGGAAGGAAAGGAGGACCTTATTCTGCCTCCGCACTTCCAGCTACTTTCTGAAGACTGGAGAAGAGACCCTCTTAAGAATATTAGGGGGGTGAGCAGGGGAAGGACTAGACCATGTGAAAAATGGACATAATATTTTAGCTGCAGTTCATTCATTTTCAGCTTTGTGTTCTTGTTATTGAAAAAGTATGCCTAGACATTCCGTTGTTGCCCTCATAACTTAGGTTTAAGGTGCCCTTAGCTTTCATATCTCAGTTTCTAACACTGCCTAAAAGGCAAGAATAAGAACCTCCTGTCTGTGTTTTGGCAATCTAGAGATAAGGTCTGGGTGATGGCAGCACCCTTTCTGGACGGATTTCCTTTGGATGAGGTTTGCCAGGTCTTAGTCTTTAAGAGCTAGCCCACCCATGAGGCAAGGTAAGGCGACCACCTCAGCGGCAGAATCCACAGGGGCAGCAGATCCCGATGTAGCTTTTTATTCCTGATTTGTACCTAGTGGGGGAGGAGGGAGCCATTTTGTGATTCGCCTCAGGTGCCAAAATGTATTGTGCGGCCCTTGTCTTATACAATGACAGAAAACACCCACCTAGAACTATCTAAAGATTGTCTTGTCTCAAGGGGAGTAAAAAATGTAGTTTTCAAAAAGCTGTTTCTGCAGTGTGCGTTTTAAATGTAATTAAACATACGACAACAACATAACAGCCAGGCTTGCCATATTTTGAAGAGCAAAAAAGAGGACTTTTGCTGACTTCTGCTTTTAACTATGGATCGCTATGATGACTCTACCCATGAAAAAGAGTCCGTGTCCTGGAAAAAGAGGACATATGTCAACCCTAGTAGATGGGTATTTATTGAAGTGTTTTTGGATTATTATTGTTCTGAGTTGTTCTGGATTATTTTTTGGAGTCTCATGCCTACTTACAATTTTTGTTGTGTATACACAGAGGTTCCCAGTGCAAAAATATAGAATAAAAGGCTAATAGACAATATAGATAATATCAACAGACAAATTCATGGATAGCACCATCAGTGGCTCCTTGTCATCATGGCAATGTTCTCCTGTGGCAGCCCTCTAAATATCAGCTGTTGGGAGTTGCAGCTGGGAAGAATGCTTTTGCTCTCGAGTCATGTCTGTTGGCTTTCCATCGGCGGCTGTGAGAACAAGATCTAGCAGGCTTCTTATGCTCACAAGCAAGCAACCTCCACATAAGTCAGTGGGATGTGCATGCATTTAGGGAAAGATTTAATTTCTACTGCAACCCTGCAAATATCAAAATGTACATACCTGGTCTGGTTTCATACATTTCCACTATAAAGCCCCTTCTTGCAAAGAAGCAAGCATTTAAAGAACCCACCTGCAAGAAAAGCATTAGAAGAATTTTAGAGTCGAATAGAGCACCACAAACAATAGTACATGGAAGGGGTGTGTTATGTGTTGAATGCAAACATTTTTATATCATCAGATATATTTATCAGATAAATGTAGTCCTGACATTGAGCCACTACACAGGATTCACTAAACAAAAAGGAAAACCCTTATACACTTCCCAATAGCTCATTGTGAGCCATGCTGACTTTCTGTTATTCATTGAAGAAGAGAATCAGCATTTGTGCCTATATCCAAAGATCTTTTCTGAAGTGGCCCTTATATTTTGCTGGCATAAAGGTTCTCTTGGCAACACTGTAAAGTGAGCGGGTGCTGCTGCTGATGTATATAGTGCCTGTAGGCTTTACACTGATGTAATGCTGGATCATCAAGCTCTTGTGCATTGCACTTCTGTGAACTTGTGCTCTTCAGCCACTGTCCACCTCTCCCCAAAGTCTGCATCTGTGAACGGGGCAGCGTGGGAGAATTGTGAGGCAGCTTCTGTGTAAACTGAAGGCACATCCTAAAATGCATCAGACACGCCATGGAAGCTGCAAATTGTAGGGAGATACAGGTGTTGATGCAAAACCTCAAGGTTCCTACAAGCAGTTTGAGAAGCACTAATCTAGTCAGCTAGTTCACAGACCCAGTTAAGTGGAAGCAAACAAGTGCTAAAGCATGAACTGTATAAGCAAAGATCTGTGAGAGCAAAAACCCTGAATTTAAGCCCAGGTGCAATTCTTTGCTATCTCAGAAACTGTAGCTTATACCAGTTTTACAGCTACATGTTTGCTATATGCCCAGAGTTAAGACACTGGCTCAGCAAACTACAAGTATGAGTAGACATACGTAGCTTATTTCTCCAAAATTTGGTTTATTTTCCAGCAGCTCTTGTATCTTTGTATCTTTGTGAGTATCTGGAGTTAAACAAGCCATGGTTTAAGGAAGCATGATGGGGGTGCACATAATACTAAGCCACAGCTAAAACAAACAAAGTTTTCTAAGCCTGCAAAAACCAAGTCTTCAAATCCTAGTTTACTGGCAGTAAACAACCATAGTTAAGCTGTTGCAGAGAGTTCACACATAGCACTATGAATGATTTCTTAAACTATGGCTTAGCATTATGTGTGAACCCACAGTATTAGAGAACAAAATAAAAGTGTCTTACCAAACCTCCTCCAATAATGGCCACTTTTTTCCTCTGCGGAGCTGAAAGATCCATGACTTTTTTCTCCAGGCAGAGTGCATGTATGTCTCTCCTGCTCAACAGAAAATGTTTTAAGGGGAGGAGAAGTGGCAGTTCATTCAGGCTCTATAGCATAAACAGAATACTTCTGAACATTTGACAGGGAGCACTCAAGTGGTTCACACAACCTGCTGTTTCTTCCATCCCAAACACTTCGCATTGGTCAGTGTCAATCTAACCAATATTGAATACATTACTGAATATCACAACTTCTTTTATCCATCCCTGCTGATTAAGGATCTGGAAGTCTCCCGCAGAGGAACACACTCTCCTACCTGTGAGACATTTTCCCCACTGTCTTTCCTGTTTGATCACTTACTCCCATTCCAGGCCACTAAAAGTAGCATGATGGTGGAGGAGGGGATGGAGGTGGAGGATGGAAAGGAAGCACGTGGGTTTTAAGAAAACTGATTCTAAGCTCCCTAGGGCTGTGGAGTACCTTAGCTCCTCAGGCTGTTACTGCTGCAATGGAGAATGGGCTGCCGCAGTCTGGTCACATTGTCCCACCTGCACTCTGTCCTCAAAGGTGCTGCTGTGCCTGGGTCCAAAGGGCAGGTCAGCAATGGATGATGTAAATGAAGTTGACTCACTTTTCCTCATTGATCTGCTGTGTGTATGTTTTGATGGAGTTCTCTGTCAATGATTCACTTGCTATCCTTGGAACTAATCCATGTCTTATTTAGACTTTTTGGCACTCCTTAGAAGGTCTGGTGGCTGTGTGGCGTTCCCTTGAGTCACTGCTCTCTCACTCTCTCCCTTCCCTGAACTGGATTTTCCCTGTGCTCCACAAATTCAAAAATAAGGGCAAAAAGTAATTCTAAGAGCTGGTGGGTGTATGATTCTCCTGTATGGAGCCTGGACTCCACCCCCACCCCCCAATAGGAGCCAACTCCTAGGGGCCAAGGTCCCTTCAGGGACCCCCACCCATAAAATATTTGAGAGGGCACAAGTTTGCATAAAATTTGCATACATTTTGTGTCCTGCAAATTTGTGTCCTCTTTTACAGACAGTGGGTGATTATGAGAGATCCTGGCAGTCCACTGGTCCGCTCTCTTTGCCAAGTGATCTCATTTGCCTGGGTATTCGGCTGATTTCCCTGATAAACAACTGTTGTTGTTTTATGGAACATTTGAATATGCTGACATTTGTTATGATATGATATACCTACTGTCACCATTAACATTTGATCTTAACTGTGTGCTGTGTGCTGATGTAGACCTGCCCAGACAACAAGGGAAAATGCCACTCAAAAGACACACGTAGGGGGGACACGTAGATAAATGTACCCTGGGATTCATGGAGCAAAGTTTGTAGGTTCATGGAAAGGGGTTCCCCCTTTTCCTTCACAGCACAGACTCCACAGGTTTCCCTCATTAGCGCAATTCCCTTGTTAACCTATTGACAGTACTAGCAAACTGAATGGGCTTTCTCATCTCCACTATGGGGAAACTTTAGCAAAAACTCACTAAGGAAACTGCATTTGCCTTTTCTTCTTCTATATTCTTCCTACTTGAAGTATTTCCAATAAAACAATGTGATTTGAACATGATTCACCCACCCTGAATCTAATAAAGAAGATCGCAAACCTGAACTTTTCTATATAGACTGTTGTTGTTGTCTAGTTGTTTAGTTGTGTCTGACTTTGTGACCCCTTGGACCAGAGCACGTCATGCACTCCTGTCTTCCACTGCCTTTTGCAGTTTGGTCAAACTCATGTTAGCAGCTTTGAGAACACTGTCCAACCATCTCATCCTCTGTCATCCCCTTCTCCTTGTGCCCTCCATCTTTCCCAACATCAGGGTCTTTTCCAGGGAGTCTTCTCTTCTCATGAGGTGGCCAAAGTATTGGAGCCTCAGCTTCAGGATCTGTCCTTCCAGTGAGCACTCAGGGCTGATTTCCTTAAGAATGGATAGGTTTGATCTTCTTGCAGTCCATGGGACTCTCCAGAGTCTCCTCCAGCACCAGAATTCAAAAGCATCAATTCTTCGGCGATCAGCCTTCTTTATGGTCCAGCTCTCACTTCCATACATCACTACTGGGAAAATCATGGCTTCTCTGAGTTATTCAAGCCCCTTCGCCATGACAAGTCAGTGATCCATGAAGGAGATATAGACTGTAGTATAGTTTAAAACCTATGTATAATGAAACCTTTGTATAATGGTAGTATTCTTTGGATGTACATAACCAATTGTGTAACCATAAATACAACATACTATGAGAATGAAACGAATAGCTGTGTATCAAAGATGCTAAAACTTTATTGAAGCAAACTGTAAATGGATACAACTCTTCCCTTAAGCAAACATTGCCCAATGTAATCTTCATTTACTGCATTCCTTCCTTATTTCGGGTCACAAGATTGTTGTCCACTTGCCTTCCAAGAAGGGGTTCACCGCACTCTTAATCTCATTTCATGCTGTAAAGAAAAGACTCCTTGCTAAATAGTTCTCACCACACATCTGAATGCCAGTTGTAGCAGATCCACCACTTACCACCAATTAATAAAGCAGCAGACTCACCCTGCTTACTGCCCCAATTAAATATTGCATGCACACCTCATGGTAAGCCCCTTAAAGGAATTTCTACCTTTTACCACAGTTCATCTTGTGGGGGTGTCTTTTGTGAGGGAAAACGTAGGGATTAGAGTCTTAGGCAGGAGTTGGTTAAACAAACAAGAAAAGTTTTATTAAAAAGGAGTTTGTGAAATAAAGTTGGTTCAGGAAATGCATTCTTTCAAGTAGAAGTTACCTTAAACTAAATATAAAGATGTCACTTGCTTCTAGAATAGGTGGTAAAAGGCTTAACTAAGTTTCTGCTAATTAGTTGTTACTGGTGTTACAGTCATACCTCGGGATGAATACGCTTCAAGTTAAGCATTTTCAGGTTGCACTCCGTGGCAACCAGGAAGTAACAGTTACTTCTGGGTTTCGCCGCTCACGCATGCGCAGACGCTCAAAATGTGTCATGCACGTGCGCAGAAGCGGTGAATCACAACGCGCAGACGCGTGTTAAGTTCGCTTGAGGATGCGAACGGGGCTCCGGAATGGATCCCGTTCGCAATTCAGAGGTACCACTGTAAAATTAAGTAATTTTTGCACAGCACAACTTCCTTCACAGATTAATTCTTTGGTTCACAAGTGAGGGGCACTTTTCCTCAGTTCCCCTCTTTCTTAACAATCCCACTCCTGAGGTATTTGAATTAGTAAAGCAGACCCAGGGGATCCCCTCACCCCTTGTGACTGGCTTGGGAGTCTTCTCTTTCTAGAAGAACCCTCCCCTCCTGACTGGAATGGGACCCAGGGAGTCCATATTACCACATCTTCTCCCTTTCCTGCCTCAGACTCAGCCTTCCAGGTAACTCCTGTCTATCTTCCCCAGACCCTCAACTCAGTCTCCCTATCTAAGCGGCAAGACTCCTTCCTTTGGCTATGGATAGTCTCCTCAGAGCAGATGTTCCAGTCAGATCTGAAACAGTTCTCCCTCGGACAAATCCTCTCCTAATCCCTTTCTCCCATCCCAAATCCAGCCCTAACGGACTTATCTCCCTCAGAAACAGCTTCTCTCCCCGAAAGTGCTGGCTCCACCCCCTCCCCTCTGGCTTGCTGTCTAGGTATCCAATGGGGAAGAGGCTCCCGCCTTCTGGTGGAGTTTCTGAGGAAAAGCACCACCGGACTGGTCTGGCTCTGCTGTCTGTCACTCACACCAGTCTTCAATTCTATTGTTATTTCTAGAATCCTTCTATCAACTCCAGCGAAAACCCTCTTCCTGATTGTCATGCCTGTCAAATGTAAATGTATTTGCACGCTGCATCTTTACCTTGCACCTGTGTACCTTTTGCAGCACCTCATTTCATGTGTAATATGACGAATCTATGACACCTTATGCTGCCCAAAAACCTAAGCTAGAAGGCTCCCTGCTCACCTTTCGACAGGGTTCTTTGCTGCTCATCTGTAAGGACCCAGTTGCAACTAAGAATAAAAGATCAGAGCTTAAAGCTGCCTTGCTTCACTTTGCTTGGTTACAATCAACCCCCTCTTTCCAACCGCAATAGACCCACAAGGGGTCTCAAACCTCCCTTCGTATTTTTACAACAGTGCTACTGAAATGTTTTATTATTTTTAACTTCTCTTTCATTGATTCACTGTTATTCACCCATGAATAACCCTGAGGCAAGATGTTTAACTCTGTGGGAAATTACAGGCCGGTTGAGTTTTCAGCCAGCTCTGAAATCTTTATTAAAAATGTAAACAATGACCTTATTTCTGAAAAGCTAAAAGATTGGATCAGGAATAGTTAATAGTGAAGAGAGAAGTGAAGTGAAAGCATATTGAGTGATGTGTCGGTTGAACTGTCATCTGAAGTCGTACCCAGAACTGGACCCCATTGCTGGTGGGGATTAAGGTGAGGATGTGGGCAGCTAAAGCATCTCTGGAGTAGATAGTTTAAGATGCAGGAAGGAGATCTCTACCTAGAACTGCCAGTTTCAGCCATTTACTGCCAGTGAAACAGCCAAGTACCCCCTTCTGGTGGGGACAGAAAGATGATCCCAAACAATGTCAGTCAGTTTGGACAGTTCTGAATTATGCACACTATCCCTGAACACATACAGTTTCTTTCACTCATTTACCTTCTGATTTAATTATCTTCCCAAGAAAGGGGTGGGCTGCTTGCCACCCACTAGATGCCTCATAAAGCTGGCTGCTTTAGAAACGCCATAACTTTAATCATCTTAAGACTTATTATGACGTGGGCTCCTGGACTACGAGGCCAATTTCACATGGAGAGAAGGACCAAATATGGACACAGGAAGACTGTGTTCTGGTTACCTTTGCTAGTCAGGCACTGTAGAAGTCTACAAACCCGGGGGTAATCCAAGCAGTCCATTGGTAGGTACACTTGGAAGACAGAACAAGCCATTAGAAATATGCATTCATTGCAAGGAATTAATTTATACATGCACCCTTGCTTTATCATTTAGAAGGCATTTGTATGACACTTAAAAACTGCAGCATCCTATATATGAGTTTGCAGAGGGCTGGGAGCTCGTATGAGACCTGGTGCCTGCCTTGACAATTGAGCCAAAGTAGCCTGAATTACTTTCTTAGTTCTCAAAATAATGTTAGGTATTGTACAGTAGTACCTCAGTTTTCAAAAGTCTCTGTTGATGAACATTTTGGTTTTTGAACTCTGTAAACCAAAGTAAGTGCTTCAGTTTTCAAACACGCCTCGGAAGTCGAACATACCACACGGCTTCCGCTGAGTGCAAGATCCTGAGAGCTAGCTGTCAGCTATTGAGTTTTCAGTTTTCAAACGTTTCAGATCTTGAACGGTCTTCCAGGAATGGATTACATTCGAAAACCGAGGTACTGCTCTATTTTTGTGCCTCTGTTACAGCCAGTAACAATATTGAAATAAAACTGAATTGGGAATACTGTAAGAAACCAGCACCTTTCTGATGAAACCATGTTCTTAGAGTAGCAGCCTGTTGACTTACATATATTGACTTACTCATACGCTGCAGATGTTGGGATGGGCAGGTGATGTAAATTAGATGGGAATCCTCCCAGTGGTGTGCCAAGGCCAGGTTGTATCACAGAAGGGCCCAAGGAAAAGCCAAGCTGAGATGGGATGGCTGGCATCCCTGGAGGTGTGTAGTGGTGGTGATGCACTGTTGGGGGTCGTGACTTCTCTGTTCTTACTAGAAGCGGAGCAGTCAGCTGCAGGTAGTTAAGAAAAGGAAGGTGTGTTACATTCACCCAGCGGTTGGGACAGGCAAGAATAAGGTTCAGATTCTGAAGCTGATCCAGTTTGTAGCTTTTTGGCTTAAGATCCCTCTATGTTTTAGCCCCACAAACAATTTCAATAAACCACTGGCCTGTTTCCTCTGCAAGAAATGTCAAGTAAAATTATAACCTTTCTCGTTGCAAGGTATGCAGTATATTCCTCTTTCACGTGTTTTATTTTTTTGGATCAAAGATCTTAGTAAAATCAATGCTTCTGCATAGTAAGAAATGTTTTCCAAACGGTTGGTAGCTAATTTCTGCCTGTTTCAGTAAAACACAACTTGCTTGTCTTTTCTTCCATGCTTGGATTGGCAAGGGAGCAGAGCATGTTGAACACATTAGAGGAGGGATGGGGAACCTCCAGCATGTGTGCCAAACCTAGCCTGCCAGGGGTTCAACTTTGACCTGTGAGGCAGTTTCCCCCAAACCACGCCCACCTGCCCCACACCTTAGATGTGAGGGAAGGAGGGATGAAGCTGCCAGTGCACAACTGGGAGCCTTAAAGTGCACTCCCAACTCCGCATTGGAAGGGAAAGCAGGATTCGGCTCTATTGCCTATCAGCTGATGGGTAGTAAAGCCAAAGTTTCCTGGAGTTTCCCCATGGAGAATTGACTCACACAGCAAGTGCCTACAGAAAGCAAACTCAGTGCTACCAAACAGATGAGCAGTCTGAAGCCCAGGTGATTTAAAGCACCGTGCAAGGGGCATACTTGGCCTGCAAGGCTGGGATCTGAGAAGAATTTGGCCTGCAGAGCCAAAAATGTTTTCCCCTCCTGCTTTAGAGATTAGCGTGGCTGCTCTACTAATCTCTGGTCAAATGCCCAGGAAAACAAAAGTCTTTGCCTAGCTAGTACCAAAATGATGACAATGTTGATGATGCAGGGTGGGTCTCCCTGGGAATAGCATTCCATAGATGGGGAGGCTACTACATAAAAAGCCGCTCCTTTCATCACAAACTTCTGGACCTTTTCTTGGAGGTGGCATGCAGAGAAGGGTCTCAGAGAATGATCTCAGGATCTGGGCAGGTTCATATGGGTAAAGGTGGTCCTTTATGTGTCAAGTCATGAGCTGCATAAGGCTTTAAAGGTCAAAACCATCCCTTTGAATTCAGTATATAAACCAGGGGTACTCAACCTTTTTATACCTACTGCCCACCAATGCATCTTTCTTGATGGTAAAATTTCCTTACCACCCACCTCAATGAAAGGAGGATTCAGCTTGTGTGTAGAACCCCCTACCGCCCACCTAGAATCCTGAAACGCCCACCAGTGGGCAGGAGGGACCAGGTTGACAACCCCTGATATAAACAATTGACAGCCAGTGCTGCCAGGTCAGAGCTGGTGCTATATGTTCATGCCTCTCTCAAAGAGACACAAAGCACCTCCTTGGCATAGCCAGTGGTCCCTCCCTACTAAACATTAGCATCTCAGCTCCAGGAGTTTCTGAATGAGATGGATTATCTAGATCCATTTCAATCTGGTTTTAGTCTGGATTTGGTAATAAAATCATGATGTCTTCCAAATTTCATACAATTGTAGCGTTGGAAGGAAACCCAAGGGCCATCTAGTCCAACCCCCTGCAATGAAGGAATCTCAACTACATCATACATGACAGATGGCCATTCAACCTCTGCTTCAAAACCTCCAAGGAAGGAAAATCCACTACCTTCCAAGAGAGACTGTTCCACTGTCAAACAGCTCTTACTATCAGAAAGTTATTTAGTCAGAATCTCATTTCTTGGAACTTGAAGCCATTGCTTTGAGTCCTAGCCTCCAGAGCAAAAGAAAACAAACTTGCTCCATCTTCCATGTGACAGCTCTTTAAATATTTTAAGATGGTTATCCTATCACCTCTAAGTCTCCTCAATACAAATCTTTATTACGGTCGTAAAGGTAAAGGTAAAGGGACGCCTGACCGTTAGGTCCAGTCACGGACGGCTCTGGGGTTGCTGCGCTCATCTCACTTTACTGGCCGAGGGAGCCGGCGTACAGCTTCCGGGTCATGTGACCAGCATGACTAAGCCACTTCTGGCGAACCAGAGCAGCACATGGAAATGCTGTTTACCTTCCCGCCGGAGCGGTACCTATTTATCTCCTTGCACTTTGACGTGCTTTCGAACTGCTAGGTTGGCAGGAGCAGGGGCTGAGCAATGGGAGCTCACCCCGTCGCAGGGATTCAAACCGCCGACCTTCTGATCGGCAAGCTAAAAGGTATTAAAACAGAAGGTGAATATAAAAGTCTATAAGAATTTAACAGAAGCTAGAAGAAGCCAATGGGCGGGTGTGGAAGAGCATAAAAGGTTGATATATAAAAAGACTTTAACTATTAATTTACAAAGTACTCTGATATGTTCATTAAATTTTGAGCACTGCTGTGCAGAATCTAGCAACAGTGTGTGTTGTAGCAGGATTGATATCTGAGAGCAGCAGGGAGGTATAGAATTGCCCCTGGTGCTTATGAAGTAGTGGGAAATCAGGCTAATACGAGTGTCTCTGTAGTACAGGCACCAGAGAAGGACATGCTCTACCATTTCTATTTGTCCCGAGTCACAGGGGCATTGTCTCTCCCGGTAGTCAATCTTCCTGTACTGACCTTCAATAAAGGCAGAGGGGAGGGCATGACACAGAGCCAGGGGAAAAACCCTTCGGTGTTTAGGAACTTTGAGTTTAGTTAGATATGCCATAGGGGGGCAAAGTACCTGGTGGATTCCTTGGCAATAAAAGTTGGAGTCCTGGCTAGATCCAATTGTTGCTCTGTGTCCTCTATGTGTTGTTTAATGAGTGCTTTAGCCTGATCATATCCCATGTTAAGTGGAAGACCTGGAGAGAAGCCCAGGGATGAGATTTTAGTTGCCACTGCAACTAAATAGTTAGTGGGGCAAGGCCACGGGGAAAGAAAGGTAGTTTAAGCCAGTAATTGAATATGGTCACCCACACTCTAGCCTCCACTTTTGTGAAGCCTGTCTGTAGTCTTAGAGTAGCATTAGAGACACATTTTGGAACATGAAGGACTAACCTTAGAAATTTGGATTGTACAAGTTCTAGTGGTGCAAAATTGGAAAAGGGACCAACTGGGCACCATAGAAAAGTTGTGCTATTGGCTTGGCTTCAAATAATTTGACTCAGTCTCCTCTTTTCCAGGCTGAACAAGCCCAACTCCCCCAACTGTTCCTCACAAGGCTTGTTTCCCACACCCTTGTTCTCTTGGTCACCCTCCTCTGCACACTTTCCAGATTGTTAACATTATTTAAGTAACAATTACAAGCTGCATGGCATGGAGGGGAGGAAGAGCTTCTGTGGAGCTCATAAGCTCTCTTTTCTAATGTACACTTTTTTATTTGTTATCCCCACCACCACCACCAATTGTTCTGCTCATTGGCCCTGAGCTGTTTTGTTTCTCTGAATTTGTGAGTTATTGCTGATCTTCTCCTGACTCCCGCCTTGGCAATCGGTTAACATTCAGTGTCCTTTAAAAACAAGTTTACCTGTTGTCCATGGTGAAGCACAGGAACTCCATGCCCACCAGCTGGTGAATAAGCAGGTGGTGGCAGAGATTTCAACATCATGTTCTGCATAACAATCTGATGCATCTGTGCATTTTGCATCAGCATCATTTCCACCATATCTAGGAAAACATGAAGATCAGGATCAAGAGACAACACTGCTTACTACAGAGATCACAACAGAATGCTAGGGAGAAGCAGCCTGCATCTTTTCAGCTCAGAAGCCTTTGAATAAAACCAGCCCAGCAGCGGCTCTGTCTGTTTCCTTTGTATTCTAAACTATGAAAGATCAGCAATATAAGTAACTTGGAGTGATTATTTGCAAACTAGTAAACAGGAAGGAAGAAATAAAGATGCCTCTAGAATTCCTTCTATCTGTGGAATGGCACATACTGTGTAGTTGTAGACAACAGGTCTGCCAGAGGTTGGAATAATGCACCCAGTGTATATGCAAATGTGTGGCAAGCAGTGCTTTTTCTTTTTCTTTTTTTAAGAAAAAAGGTGCCAGTACTCACCATGAAGTTGTTACAGTAAGTGCCACACCTTTAACTTTTTTTTTAAAAAAAGGTACCAGTACTGTATACCTTTGTGTATCCCCAGGAAAAAAACACTGGTGGCAAGACCAGTCCTTCTGTATGCAGGAAAACAGAGGCGAAGAGCTTTAACTGTATTATCTTGTAACTGAAGTGTCAATCTATATGTGATGCTGAAAATCGATGAAGCATCTCCTGATCTTTTCTGTCCTCATGGGAAACACCCCAAATATCCAATTTTCTGAACTTCCATACATAGGAAAGAAGCTAGGATGGATAATTCTGAAGGCAGCCCATCCCTTCTAGTCCAATAAAATTCAGACTGCCCCACCAGTTGCACAAAGTTTTTTCCAAAGTTGGGAGTTCCTTCAAATATCTGCTGTGTCACACCTGGTTTGGCCCTGGAAGTACGTTCCTAAAATGGAGATGGAGTAATTGGCAGAAGAGGAAAGGGACTAGCCATCAATGTCTTTCTGCTCATTAGGGGTAAAAGGTAGAAGGTAAAGGACCCCTGGATGGTTAAGTCCAGTCAAAGACGACTATGGGGTGCAGGGCTAGTCTTGCTTCAGGCCAAGGGAGCTGGCATTTGTCCACAGACAGCTTTCCGGGTCATGTGGCCAGCATGACTAAACTGCTTCTGGCACAATGGGACCCTGTGACAGAAGTCAGAGTGCATGGCAATGCTGTTTACCTACCCGCTGCAGCAGTACCTATTTATCTACTTGCACTGGTATGCTTTCGAACTGCTAGGTTGGCAGAAACTGGGACACAGCAATGGAAGCTCACACCATCACACAGATTCGAACCGCCAACCTCCCAACTGGCAAGCCCAAGGGGCTCAGTGGTTTAGACCACAGCATCACCCGCATCCTGCGTCATAGGGGTACCCAAAGAAAGACAGGAAGAGATCCTGGCTCTCCCCTTACTATGATTTGACTTTCCTACATACTTCAAGGGTTCACTCTCTGCTTTCCTTGCATGGAAGCATTCAGCATAGTTTACATCTCCATTATACTATAACTCTCTGAAAATGTGGTGCAGTTAAATAAACTCAGAAATAAGTTTGGTTCTATGTGAGCTGCCAGCTTGCTGCAGTTTGTAGCGAGGCACACCTTGGTTCACGCAGGCATCTCTCCATGCTATGCTGTACACGCAGGAGGGATGATGTGAGATGGAAAAAATGCTAGGCAAATCTGAAAAGGGCCTCACAGCCTGTTTCCATGACTCTTTACTCAAATGTAAATCTCACTTAATTCAGTGGATCTTAATCCTAAGTATGCACAGAGTTGTAAGATGTTCTGTCATTCTCTGCACATTTAACCTACATCTACCCAGAAAAAGTCCCCCTGTTTTCAATGCACCCAGAAAAAGTTCCCCCATTTTCAATTCATATGGGATTGCCCACCTTCCTTAATACTGCCAGAGCGAGGGCCTGGGAAAGGCTGCGGAGGTGGAATCTGGGTAATGAGCGGTGGATGCTGAGGAATTTGCTGAATAATGGTTGCTGGCTGCTGAGGCAACTTGGAAAAGAAAGGAAGCAAAAACAAAATAATAACTGATCAAAGTGTAGCCAAAATCCCAGACTTTGATTAAATCCTGTCAGTACTCAATACACTAGGCAGCAAATACTGTAAACTGATACATATTTTGTGTTCAGTTCATTATTGGACTAATCAAGGATTATTATTTTTTACAGTTTCTTCTATGTCTGGTAACCCGAGGTACTACTGTACTGTCCTCCTACTCCTGGGAAGATTCAGGATCCTGATCAGAAGCAGGGGGAGGTTCCCACCATTCCTCCTCAGCATAGTCCCTGACACTATGTTAGATAATCTGAAAGCGAAAAGTTTTTTAAAAATACTCTGCTATAGATTTCCCAAGCCAATTCTAAGTTTTACATTTATATATTAGTTTTGAATCAAACAAAGTTGATCTAAATCTTTCATGTGCAAAATCTCCATTATTACACCTGTGCAAGTATGCTTTCACACGCACAGTGCTGGAGCTTTCATCTGTTAATAGGAATGATCAACACCAGGAAATTCGGGCCAGGAATTTAGACAGGATTATCCACCGTCAGGTTTCTGTTAATGAAAAAATACATCATTCATCTATGCATCCATCATTTGCAGTTCCAAACTGTATAGTTCTTTTTTATAATAAGGCACTCACTGTCTGCTGGATAATCCTTGGCTGTTCAGGTGGAGGAGGAGGAGGAAGCGGAGGAGGAATTTGGTAGAAATGTTCTGGTTCTGGTCTGAAGTGCTTCCTCTGGAGTCTTGGCAAGCCACGTGGTAATGATAACTCTTCCAGGACATTTTGCTCCTACAATACCAAATATATAAGCTTTCTATAAGAGGAAAAATGAGTTATGTTGCATTTTTTTCTAATTCACAAACCTTGTTATGCCAAGTGTACCAGTGAGAAATGAAAGATTTGACTATTTACTAAAAATATTTAAATTTTTAATGACATAGGAGACCAGTGACTGCACTTCCCAATTCCATTAAACATTAAAGCTGGTATGAGAGATTCTGGATTTGATAGGAGCAATGACAGCAAGGTGGGCCAACAATATTTGTGTCTACTGGGAGACGCAAACCACTGAGATTTCACCCAGTCCATGGAATGCCATCAAGAATGAGAAGCCCAATGGATTTAACATAAGCCAAATGTGAAAAGCAAAACTAACTTATTCAAAGAAACAACATAGCTCAGGTCCAGTAAGCCCAGTAACTCTCGCCAGTAGATCTTGCCCCAGTGAGGACTGAACATCCCCGTCTTCCCACAGCTCCCTAAGATTCCTCCTCCCCTGCGTCCTTCCGAAGCAACCTCTCTGTCTTGTCTGTCTTTGCTCTGTCCTCTTCATACCTCTGTGGGTTCTGGGAGACCAGGGAGGAGGGGAACTAATCACTGCAGGAGGGGGAGACCTCTGGCTTCTTCAGCAGCCTGCCTGATCTCTGCCTCTTGCCCCCACCCCCCAGCCTCCTCCTCTGCCTCTGATTCTGGGCTGCTCTCTGCCACAACTTCTTCCTGCTCACTAAACCCTGTTGCCTCTTCAGCTTACACCACCTCCTCCTCCCAGTCTTCTCCCTCATCCCACCACCAGTCCCCTGGCTCTGAGCCTTCTTCCCTTGGGGGTCCCATCCACTCCTCCCACCACTCCTCTGCATCCGGCCAATCCATGGGAGGCAGTAGCAGAAGGAGACGAAGCTGACTTGAACCACATAAGTTTTAGTTAAGTTGAACTGCTGTACAGCTATGTGCTTTGCCCAGACTGTGGGGTAACATGTTGTCTGCCACCCCAGCCTCCAAGTAGTGAGAGATTCCAGGGGTTCCAGGCACTCGCACAGGATTCATGTTTCCTTTTGGGAATACGGCACAGTGGAGACGGCGGTGTCCTTATTTTTTATTTACACATATATACAACCTGAGCCTATGGTGGATGGGTTCACAGCATTGACACCCCAAGAAGGTCTTGTTTCTCCCATAGCCACAGCCTTGGATTCAAGCAGAATTCAGCTACGGCTTTCTCTCTGCCTTTTCCAACCAGCAACGTTTTTGCATCTAGCTCCTAGCTCACTCAACAGCAGACTCCCAACTCTGGCCTTTTGTCTTTCTAACTAACAGACAGTTTGGGAGGGAGGCCCCCCTTCTCTTCTCCCCTCCCCAGCACAGAGCTACTCCTTTGTTTCCTTAAGGACCCATCTTTAGCCAGCTATTACCAGGCTGGTCTGCCTATTCCATGCTGGATCCAAGAATTTTTCCCTCCAAAGAAAACTCTTAACAGCATCCTTAGAGACTTCCAAGAGTTTAACAATCTGACCTTATATATATGTGTCTCCTCAGAAGTAAGTCTATAGCAGTTATTCTCAGGTACTCTAATTTAGGACTGCAGGACTGCAGCCTTCATGTGTTGGAAGAAACTTCATAGTACTGAATCATAGAAATGTAGAATTGTACAGATGGAAGGGACCCTGAGGGTCATCTAGTCCAACCCCCTGCTTGAAACATACCCTGAGCTGCTGCAGAAGATCCTTTCTTCGTCTCAATGCACTTTGCAATGCATTGCCATGGCTGCCGTAATTCCCTGCAAAAACAGTTGGAAAGAGTCTGCCATCTCCTTTAGTTTTACAATTTTTCAGTAATTTACAAAACAAAGGAAAGGGGGATAGATAAAGGAGGGGGAAGAAGGCATTTAGTTGGTGCTTCATTTATGGATCCAATTCAAGGCACTCACACTAGTATTTAAAGCCCTAAATGATTCAGGCCCCAAATATCCTTCCCTACAGACCCTTCCAGGATTTCCACCACCCTCAGAAATTTGGGAAGAAGCAGCCTGGGAAAGGACCTCTGTTCTGGAATTCTCTACCCACAAAGGGGTGTCTGGCACCTTCATTGTGTCGTTTTTGTCATATGCCTCTTAAGCCTAGTTTTGACACCCAGGATGTGTGCTTTGGAACCCACCCTATTCTCTTATGTTTTAACTCTTTTTAGTATTGTATTTTAAAGTTGTTCTAACATGTCCTGGGACCACATGGTGAAGGTAACTAATCTAATAAATAATGATAATATAGGGTGGGTTTTCATTGCCTTCCTCACCATCAGAAGTCCCATAGGCCTATGGATCTGTAGAGGATGGAATGCAGAGAAAGTTTGCCACAATCCACATCTATCCGATAGTAAATGTTGAGAAATCCTGTTTAATGCATTTTCCCTCAAACCAACATTACAAACTGATTCATACGGAGATATGAATGAGCTTTAACTGCTTACTTGCTGCAGAAAAGGAAGATTCCAAATCATCAATGTTTTCGCGTTCATTTTCTAGTTTCTGTGGATCAAAGCAGAATGAGGATTAACAAAAAATTCAGAACCTCAGCTTTGACTGTCAACAAGTAATTGAACATCACAAAACCTACAAAGATATGTGCAATCTGTGTGCTGTGAAAGTGGGAGTTGTTAGCACTAGTTTATGTTGAGTCATAAAAAGGTAACAGTAAAGGACCCCTGACGGTTAAGTCCAGTTGTGAATGACTCTGGGGGTGCGGTGCTCATCTTGCTTTACTGGTCAAGGGAGCCGACATTTGTCTGCAGTTTTTCCAGGTCATGTGGCCAGCATGACTAAGCTGCTTCTGGCAAAACCAGAGCAGCACGCAGAAACACCATTTACCTTCCCGCCGGAGTGGTACCTATTTATCTACTTGCACTTTGACGTGCTTTCGACCTGCTAGGTTGGCAGAAGCTGGGACCGAACAACGGAAGCTCACCCCATCATGGGGATTCGAACCCCCAACCTTCCGATCGGTAAGCCAAGGCTCAGTGGTTTACACCACAGCCTCACCCGCGTCCCCTGTTGAGTCATACTTAGTACTTAAAGAATGTTTTCACCAGAACCCCTCTCCTCTAGCTCCTTCTTGTCCTAAGACCATTCTTTCCAGTGTGCTTGCATTCCTTCTTAGGATTTAAGTTGATTAGAGTGGTTAGAGTGCTGGCGTAGGACCCCGGAGACCAGGTTCAAATCCCCAATGGGGAACTGTGGGCCAGTCACTGCCTAACCTACTTCACAGGGTTGTTGTGATAATAAAATGGAGAGGGGGAGCTCTGTAGAGAAAAGGTGGGATATAAATGTATTTATAATTTATTTTCTATTATTTCATACAATTTTTATACTCCTGGATTGTAAAAAAAACAAAATTGTTTGTAAAAATACATTTAGATCTCACTTTTCCTCCCGGGAGCTCCAGGTGGCATACCTGGTTCTCCTCCTGCCTGCTTGATCCTCACAACCCTCTCAGGTGGGTGAGGTGGAGAGAGAGAAAATGACTGGCCCATCTTGGTCATCCACTGAGCTTTATGGCTGCGCAGGGATTTGAAGCCTGATCTCTGTGGTCCTATCCTATTCCAGCACTTCGTCCACTAGAGCAGAGCTCTCCCAACTTTTCATGGTGGATTTTGACATGCATCATTTCACAACATAGTAATTCAGTTTCACTAGCAAACCAGAGGTTAAACCAACCCCTTACACACTAACGGGTCGCAACACACAGTTTGGAAAGCTCAGCACTAGACTACCCTGGCTCTTTTCTGTGGCGTATATAGGGGGAATTCTTGAGTAACTTGTGGGATTGTGTTAGGCCAGAAATTAGGTAGGTCTGGGAGGATGAGTGGGTGAACATGGTTTTAGTAAGTTTAACATAGAAAAGGCTTTGAGAATGAAGGAAATGTGGGAGGGGAAATAGCTAAGAATAGCTATTTCAAAACATAAGCAAATCTAAATATAACCAATGAAGGTTAGTATGTTCAACTAGGCAGATATTAACTTTGATATTAGAAAGTTGGGAAGTTGATGCATCATGAATAAGGGTAGACTGTCAAAATATATTAAAAAATTGTCCAGTGGCACCTTAGAGACCTGCACACTTCTTCAGATACACACACAGGGGTAGCCTGGACATCACATATTAGCTGTCAGGGTGCTGGGTTTGTAAACTCCTTTGCTGATCAGCATGGATGGATACAGGGCAGAAGAGTTAACTAGTTAAAAATCCCGCTTTGGATATTTTTGCTTTGCCCACTACCAATTTAGAGCTAATTTGCAAAAACAATTGTGTTGGAAGTTATAACCTAGATGACCTTAGAAAAATTACCTTACCTTCTCAAGGAGTTTGAGTTTGAGTCGAGTCATGTGATCAGCCACCTCCGAGTCTGTCATCCTGACAAAATTTCAAGGCAACAGGCTCTTCAAATCACAAAGGACAGTAGTTTGTTTTTTAATGTGTGTTGCTTCTTTCTTCCTGCAAGTTCTTTGTCGAAATTTTCCATCAAGTCTCTGTGATAATTTCAGTCCCAAATTACAAAGGAAAAGAGAATCCTTTCAAATACACAGTGTCTCTTGCAGTTTGCACAGTATGGTTACTAAGATATTGCTCTGCTTGAACAACAGCAGCATTTTCTCAGTGGTTGCTGGCTTTCCCCATACAAAGTCACTAAGCCCAGCCCTGTGCGTTGCTAACATGCTCCTATGACTAACTCCGTTAAGCTCAGGTAACTCTGTAGCTGTTTGCATTGTCTGTGACCTAAACAAACTCAGGCACTAACCTGGTTCATATGAGGTTTGGTCAACTGAAAGAAACAAAAAATAAAAATCCAATTGGGCGAGGCTGTTCTTGATTCTATCAAATCAAATGAGGGTGTCAAACCAAGCATTTCCCAACCATCACTTAAAAGTACCTTAATCTAGGCAAGCCTCAAAGAAAGCCCAAACAGAAACTGGATATTGAGATAGCTTAGTTGGAAGAGCATGAGACTCTTAATCTCAAGGGTCATGGGTTTGAGCCCAATATTGGACATAAGATTCCTGCACTGCAAGGGGTTGGACTAGATGACCCTCATGGTCCCTTCCAACTCCACAATTTTATGATTCTGTGCATTAGACCCATCAGATTTTTCACTTTGCCAGATCTCCCTCTTCCTTCAAATTTCCTTTCACATGAAGTCACTGTACAATACAGGCAACACTTGTTTTGTGTGGGGTTTCTGTTCAGGCAGGACCCCCCACATGAGTCAACGGAGCCTAAGTCCGTTCTGCCCATTTTCATGTCATCTTTACAACATTTTGGGGCTATTTCCAAGTTCGGTGCTACGCTCATGTGCATGATTGCGTATCATTCGGACGCACCTAAATTGGTCCTTGCCTGTACAGAGAAAATAATGCATACCTTTTGATTCATTAATAAATTGTTACAAACTGAATAAAATCAAATAGTAAGAGGTCCCAGCAGATTGTCTCGAGCTATCTGGTTCCATCTAGCAATACAGGAGCAAGTATAGAACTTCACGCTGTGCATAGAGTACAGTGGTACCTTGGTTCTCAAATGCCTTGGTTTGCGAACTTTTTCCGGAAGTGAACATGCTCCGTTTTGAGTGTTATACTGACGATTTGAGTGCCATACTTCCATTTTGAGAGTTACACTGAGGTCTGTCTGTTTTTGCTATTTATTTTGCGGCTCGTTTTTTGTTTTTGTGACTGTATGGAACCCAGTTCAGCTACTGATTGACTGCAGTACATTGTTTATTGCTTTCATTTTATATATCAAAGGTCTCGTTAGACAGTAAAATTCATGTTAAATTGCTGTTTTAGGGTTGTTTTTAAAAGTCTGGAACGGATTAATCCATTTTGCATTACTTTCTATGGGAAAGCGCGCCTTGGTTTTGGAACAGACTTCTGGAACGGATTAAGTTTGAGAACCAAGGTACCACTGTAGTGTTTTTGAACATGACATGAGGCTTAAATTTGCCTTTATAACTGTAGAATTCAGAAGACACACTGCATCTTATTTATGTTTTAGAAAGCAAATTAACCAATGTAGATTTTGAGCATGACATGTGAAAACACCTACAATTGGATTCAGAACTCAGTGGGACCGAGTTTTAGCCTTTATTTCAGTGCCCAGGTAAACAAAAAGAGTAAATGAGGTTATATACTTCTTGTACCAAGAAATGTTCAAAATGATATTTATTCAATAAACACATGCACTACATTTACCCTTTTGTTGCTCAACAATGTTGACTATGAAATGTAATTTACAATAAAGAATGCTATCTCAGAAGGCCAATCCTTCACTACTAAGTAACCCATGTCAGCCCATTCAGAGAAGAAGAGGAGTTTGGATTTGATATCCCACTTTATCACTACCCGAAGGAGTCTCAAAGCGGCTAACATTCCCCTTTCCCTTCCTCCCCCACAACAAACACTCTGTGAGGTGAGTGAGGCTGAGAGACTTCAAGAAGTGTGACTGGCCCAAGGTCACCCAGCAGCTGCATGAGGAGGAGCGGAGACGCGAACCCAGTTCCCCAGATTACAAGTCTACCGCTCTTAACCACTACACCACACTGGCTCCCCAGAGAGTATGAATATGGAGCTAAATGTGAGTTATGGCTCACCTGGTCTTGATTACTGTATTTACTTTACTTCACTTATTAGATTTGTATACTGCCTTTCAATATTCAGTGATCAGAGTGGCTTACAAAAGTTCAAAACTGGAAAAAATGCAATAGAACAGCAGCAATAAACAAACAGAGCTGCATAATAGCAGTAGTAAAAATCCATGATAAAAACTCCTTCAGATAATAAAAGCCCAGGAAAATATAAAGGTATTTGTCTGATGTCAAAAAGTCATTACAGTACTCTATCATGAGGACATTCCAAAGGTGTTGCTCCTTGAATGAAAAAGTTATTTCCCAAGTCATTACCTTTATTTATTTATTTTTAATATTCCCCCAACAAGATTATACAAAATTCTGCAATATACAATGACAATATACATAGTCCACATACAATTATGGATCACTGTTGAACAAAAACATACATAAAATAAAACCAAAATAAAGAAACCACGGGCATCTGAATGTGTGGAAGGTAGGACTGGAACTATATATAGGATAAATAAACAAGGCCTTATGAGGAACACTTGAAGGATTTGGGTACGTTTAGCCTAGATAAAGACTAAGATGTGATAGGATAGCCATCTTCAAATCTCTGAAGGTCTGTCACATGGAAGATGAAGCAAGCTTGTTTTCTCCTACTCTGGAGGGTAGGACCCCAACCAATAGCTTCAAGTTACAAGAAAGGAGATTCCAACAGACTCCCTCGGAAGGTAACAGACTCTCTTATACCAATAAAGGCTAGAAAAGAAAAAAGAAAGGTAATAGACTCTCCTTCCTTTAAGGTTTTTAAAGCAGAGGTTAGATGGCCATCTGTCATGGATGCTTCAGCTGAATGACTGCATTGAATGACTGCTGAATGACTGTTTATGTGACTGAATTACGTACCTAGTAGATACAGTAGGTGGCACTGTGTCACTACAACCATTTTCTGACAGATCTCCATTTGTTTTCTCTTAAGTTACATTTCCATATGACAAAGGTTACTAGAGTTACAGCTGGAGTAATTAATAAAGAAACATGAGAACAAGCAGGAAAGTGGAAGAAGGGAAAAGGGATAGGCATAATACATTGGCTTTCATACAACGTAAACACGGGTGGAAATCACTAGGTTCCACTATTCAAGTATACAGCAGTATTTTGTCCTTTATTTGACACAGGGACATATACTGGTTTGAGCACAATTTTCCTTCAACAGACTAGATGGCCCTTGGGATCCCTTCCAACTCTAAAATACTATGATTCTGTTGCTTAATACTGTTTAGGCACTACAGGGTCTGCTAGACTTTAGTAGATCTTAGAAGTTTAAATTCAAAGAAGATTTCAAACTTTATGGTGTTAGAAACAATTTATTAATTAATGTGAGCTTACTTTGACATTGTTGTTGTTAGCTTTGTTAATTTCATAGTGCAGTAGTCTGGTACAAGTCTAACTTGCTGTGCCATAACCTTGATATGGCAACAAGATGAATTCAGTGCTTCTAACTTTCCTGAGAGAACATTAAAATTAAAAAAATGTTTTGAACCATAGAGCATCAACACAGGTTTCAGAGCCACTGTTATATAGCTAGATGAACACTTACTATTATCAAGAACTGGGAAAGTGTTAGGAGAGCAGTTCCCTCTTCCCACCTCAAACAGCTTCCCTCTTGGATCTCGTCCACACTTCTGCTTGTCCTGTGCCAACAAGAGGTTTTCCGCTTGTTCTTTGCTTTCTAGGGTCTAAACAGTTTTTCATTTGTCCTACTGCTTCCCCAGGGAGTACCCTTTTTACCACTGAATGCCAATCCTTTGAAGTTTGTTACGATTCAGCAATAAACAGCAGGTTTCCCAGTGCATATTTCAAATTTCCTGTGCATCACAACATCACCTGAGGCACGTCCAACCCCCAGCCCTCCCTGCTGGTCTTGCCTGCATTTCTGCCAGCCCCATCTCCACAACTGTACCCCCACTGCACTGCCAAAGGGGTGCTTGTGATGCAGCGAGAGCAACAAGGCTGTGTTGGTGGTGCAGGCAAAGAAGCCCCGGAGGGGCTGGCTGAGGTGCAGCCAAGGGGATGGGGTTGTCTGAAGCAAATGGCTTGCCTCCCTCCCCACACAGACAGGCAAGGGGGAGGAGACAAGTTCTGTGCAACCAGCCAAAGTGCAGGGGGGCGGAGGGGGGAGACGGGGACACCACCACCACGTGTTATCGTGACAAGATCATAAGCAAGTTCAAACAGAAACAAAAGACAGATTGAAATTCCCGCTCTTCTCAACCTCATTTAGTGTAAAAAAAAATGATAATCTAAAAGAAGTTTTCAAAAATTGCCCTGCGGTTTTTCTTAAAATAAAAAAGATCTTTTTATATTTAATCTGTTAGCTGCCTTGAGTCTCTGTCAGGGGAAAATGTAAGTTTCTATGACCCCCCCTGGTGGGGGGGGGGGCTCCGGCCATTCCGGGCCGAAAGAGACGACGACGGCGCCCGCCCGCCCCTCAACGCCGCTTCCCGGCCCCGATGCAGAGCTCGGAAAAGGCTCTTTCCATCCTCCGGACAGGAACCGTGCAGTGGAAGGGGAGAAGCAGCCGGGAGGCCCAACCCGCCTGCCGCCTCACGGCTCGTCGCTCCGCCAGGATCGGGCCCGGGACAGCAGCCCCGCCCCCCGGCGCCGCTTCCGGCGGAAAGGGCGGGACACAAAGTTGAATCGGAGGAAGAAAACACTACACGGCCGCGCATCCGAGGCCCCATTGGCTACTGGCGCTGCTAATCTGCCATCAGCACGGGCGCCCGGCGGGCGGCGACAGCGGGTTAACCGCCTCTCAGGGCTCGCCTCGCCATTGGACAGCGGAGTTCTGGGCGAGGCAGCCCATTGGCTGAAAGTTTTTTTCCAGCTCCGACGGTTGCGCGGCCGTTGAAGCGGGCCTGAGAAGCAGCGTCCTGAGGGGAGCAGCGGCCGGCCGTGGAAATGGAGCGAGAGGCCGGTGGCGGCGGCGGCGGCGGCGGCCCGGAGGTGTTTCTTTTCTCCGCTCGAGGGTCGGGGCTGCGCCGGCTGAGGCGCTTCTGGGGCTCCCGCGTTGCGGGGCGGCGGTGGCGGAGTTCCAACGCCCGCCTCTCGCTGAGGCCAAGCGCCTCACAGCAGCGGGCGGGCCGGAGGCTGGGCGCCCACCGTCCGTCCCGCTTGGCGTTGGTTTGCGACTACAGTTCCCATGATTCCATGCCCTGGGGCCACGCTGGCTGACGGGAGTTGTAGTCCGCCGTGCGCCCTCTTTCAGGAGCTCCGCGCAGAGCATGTCCCGACCGAAGGGGGGAGGGGCGCACCTTTCTCCTTCAACCCGCCTCTGCAGATTGTTGAAGGCTCTTCAGGCCCTCCTAATAAGCATTCACTTAAGTCTTCAGTAGTTCTGTCCTGCACTGATTTTTGTTTAAGCATTCTGAACAGATGGTGATGCATTCTTTTAATTATACTTTAAGAAAGGCCTTTAATGATATTTTCTTCTCCCTAGGTTCACGAACAAGAACATTATTGTGAAATACGTCAACTAATTGTTCAGCATGAGGAAGAAATCAGAGAGTTGCACACTAAATTAAAGGAGCAACAACAGTTGCTACAAAAAATGGAAGCGACACACAAAGAAGAGATGCAGCAAGCAGAGGTACAATATTAACTACAGCAATAATTCAAAGGTCCTTTGCTGCTGCAAATACATATGAAATAGGTCATTTAAAATAAGTGAACACAGGGAAGATTATAAACTGAATTCTAAACCAATATCATTTTTAAAAAAATAATCTGTCAAATGTTCACAGTTATTTGCCTATAGAATCAGAAATGCAGAGTTCTAAGGAAATATGAGGATCAGCTGGTCCAACCTACTGCAATGTAGGAATCTCAGCTAAAGCATCCATGACAGATGGCCATCCAACCTCTGCATAAAAAACTTCCAATGAAGCAGAGTCAATCACTTTCCAAGGGATTCCATTCCAGTCTCTGGAGCAGGGGAAAACAAGCTTGCTCCATCTTTCATGTGACAATCCTTTAGTATTTGAAGATGGCTAGCATATCTCCTCTCAGTGTCCTCCTGTCCAGGCTAAACATATCCAACTCCCTCAACCGTTTCTCTTAAGGCTTGGTTTCTAGACCCTTGAACATCTTGGTTACTTGCCTCTGCACCCATTCCAGTTTATCAATATCCTTCTTAAAGTGAGGTCCCCAGAATTGGACACAAGACCCCAGGTGTGGTCCAACCAAGGTAGAATAGAGTGGTACTATGACTTCCCTTGATCGGGACACTATACTTCTGTTGATGTAGCCCAGAATAGCGTTAGCCACCATCCATCCTTCAACTGCCTCTAGACACTCACATAGGACGTTCACCGCCTTCACTGTTTCTGATTTAAATCGGAGGTAGAGCTGGGTATCAGCAACATACTGGTGAACACCAAGCCCCAGCCCCCTGATGACCTCTCCCAGCAGCTTCATATAGATGTTAAAAAGGATGAGGGAAATGATGGAGCCCCAAGGAACTCCACAAGTGAGTGCCCAGGTGTCCAAATCCTCACCCTTCACACCATTTTCTGGACATAGCTCAGGGGAAGGCGCGGAACCATTGCATAACAGTGCCTCCAGCTCCCAATCCCTCTAAACAGTCCAAAAGGATACCATGGTTGATGGTATCAAAAGTGACTGAGAGATCAAGCAGAACCAGGAAGCTGCTTACACCTCTGAACCTAGCCTGCCAAAGATTATTGACCAATGCAACCAAGGTGGTCTCAGTCCCATGATAGGGCTGGAATCCCAATTGGAAGAGATCCACATGGTCTGCATCTTCTGGGCATGCTTGGAGCTGTTCAACGACCATCTGCTCAAACAGCTTGCCCAGGAATGAATACTGGGTGATAACTGGCCATAATGGCCAGGTCTAAAGATTTTTTTTTAAAGAAGCGGTTTAATAACCACTTCTTTAAGGGGGTCCAGGAAGACTCCCTCACAGAGGAGAGCATTCACCACTCCACTACAGAGCTCATTGGCCAGCCTTGTCTGGCTTGCTTTTATGAGCCAGAATGGGCAAGGGTCCAGGAGACAGGTGATCACTTGTCAAAGAAGCCTGTCCACATCCTTAGAGGTAATTATTAATAAGCTGAATAAAGATACCTTCCTTACTGTCTAGTAAAAGTCACTATCATTGTGATTTGGGAAAGGTGCTTTAACATTAACTTGCAGTACCTCACTTGTCACCATCACTTTGCCCCATTGTTAAAAGTGGAATCATGGTTTGAGGGAAATTAGGGTACTAACTAAGCCTGGCCCCTTTCCTTGATGTTCACCTTTTCTGGTTCCTGCAGAAACATAATTCAGTGCCACGTGACATCCCTGGTGCAAGGATGTCCAGCTGGCAAAAGTGAGCCATAGGATTGCACTGTAATAAACTGAAAGTAATTGCAAGCAGGGTTATGGGTTTCAATTATTGTCTTTCTTGACTGCAGGCCCTTCATAATCTTAAACTGGAAGCTTTAAGGCTAAGTTCAAATAACACACACACATCCCAGTTGGAACTGATGCAGACTAATCTGAGAAAAGAGAAAGAAACTGCCCTCATGGAGTTGCGTGAGATGCTCAACGATAAACATGCTCAAGAAGTAGCAGTTCTACAAGGTCAATACCATTTTGAGCTGGAGCGTATTAAAGAACAGAGTGATAAGGAAAAAGAAGAAATGGTCGTGAAACATCTAGATGCCATGGGTAATCTACCTTGTAGTTTTCAGCCAAAATATTGCAATCCATAGAATACTAGCACAGACATTTTGATGTTTTATTCAGTGCTGTTTGAGAGCAAAATAAATGTCAATTTTAATCATAGCAGATAATACTTTGAAAATGATTTAATAATATACAGAGATTATATAAAATATAAAATTAAATTCTATAATTTAGAAGTACATAATGCTTTTTGACAAGTGTGCTGTAAGAAAAGCTTTTTATGAAACGAAAAACCCTCTGCAAATTATGTAAAAACAAGTCATTTTAATAAGCATAAATATGCAAATTCAGAATATTTGTAAAAGTGAGGGCGGGGAGCCATAAGAACAAAGGAAGATGCGGGGAAGGTTATATGAAGTGTGGAAGTTAAAGAGTAGATAATTTTTCTTTGATATTTTGAAATTGTTATTTATATTAGCTGACATGCCAAATATATTTATGCAGTGGCGACAAATTTGATGTTTCAGATAAACAGAAGAAGGAAATAGCTCTGGAAATGGAGAAGACACACACCCAGCTCTTAGAAGTATTGTGTATAATTTATTGTGTTTAAATATTTTCTTTTTAAAACTGGATTTTTATATGATGAAAATTCTTTGATTTACATTACAGTTCCTCAGACTGTTCTCTCTCTCTCTCTCTCTCTCTCTCTCTGTGTGTGTGTGTGTGTGTACACACACACACACACACACGTGTTCCCTTTCTTAAAATGTAGGAATTGTGTGTACATGCTATCTTGCATGGCTAGATATCCAAACATGCTAATACAAATGCACTAACAAACTATTGATCATGCATCTTTAAAATAAGATCATAAAAGTGAATGTAAAGGCTAATTTAATGGTGGCATCCAGTGTTCTTGCTGAATGTTGTATGAAAACAAGTGGCAGCTGCTAAAGAGATCATGAGATAAAAGCAGAGATGTTAGTTTCTTTCTGAAAAAAGAGTTGCTTGAACACACATGGACTATTGGGTAGGTCTTGTCCAGGAAACCCACTTCATTTTTGCAAAGGCTCAACAAGTAGCAGCTGGGACTGACAAGTAACGAAAGTTAAAAGCATTTAAATTGAAAGAATGATTGTTCCTTTAATTTAAAAGGCTATGGATTTTTCAGGATACTGTGTGGCAATTTTCAATGTTAGACTTCATTTTCTTTCAGAATCTTAAAAGAGGATGTGCATCAAATACAGACCTCACTTTAAAAAACTTGCATGAAGAGTTATCTGTGAAACATCAGATTGAATTAAATGAGATGGAAAGAACCCTAAATGCAGCAACTGAAGAAGTAAAAAGAAAGTTGAAGAGTCTTTCTCTTGAAAAAGAGCAGGTTGAAAGTAGGTATTCTGAGAAGTTATTATCATTACTTTTGGGCGCAAGAAGCAGTATTTCATCTGCCTCTAAAAAAGTAGGTGCTTTCCCACTCTTGCCAATAGAATGACAGCTGCATCAATTCTTGAGGTATGTTGCTATCAAAAATGAGAGGCAGGTAGAGGAAGTATTAGTCAGCTGCTAGAGGTCTGCGAAGCCAGACTGTGCACTTCAGTTCATATCCAAGTCTTCTCCTCCTTCCAAAAGTCTGTGACTACCCTCTATCCTCCTTTGTATTTTATTTCATTTAGCACCATTCCACCTCAAGACTTCTTAAAAGTATAGATTAGCAGTACTGACATCACTTCAGTCATCCAACTCTCATGATTTCTTTATTTAATGAAATTATACTTGGCTTTTTGAGGAAACCCTCCACAGAGCAGCTTACATTATTTTAAAATACAAATCCATTTCATGAAACTTTTTCAAACATATAGGTGGAACCAATAAACAACAATAACTTAAAAATCACCAATATAAAAAAATAACACAATCATATATCAGTTAACTACTTTCATCCTGACACCCCATCAAAACCTTTTGAGAAAAAGTCTTTTAAAAAATAAGAGATTGGGGCCTGCCTAATTTCACTGAATTCTGTTATTACAAGAAGGCCCTATTACAGGCATAGGCAAACTTCAGCCCTCCAGATGTTTGGGACTACAATTCCCATCATCCCTGACCACTGGTCTTGTTAGCTAGGGATGATGGGAATCGTAGTCCCAAACATCTGGAGGGCCAGAGTTTGCCTATGCCTGCCCTATTACATGTCTTTACTGGTGGGCACTGAACTTGGCCCTTTGTACTGGTTGTTAAGGTATAGGCAGAACTATATAGGTACAAGCAGTGCTATTTCTCTAGAAAATGAGGTGCTGGAACTCACCTTGAACGCCTCCCTTGTTCTCTTACCATGGCAATGGTGCCCACCTGAGAGATGCTGGAACTGAGTTCCATCGAGTTTCAAGTGAAAAAAAGCCCTTTAAATAATCTGGTTCCAAGCCAGTCAGGGTTTTAATGGTAAGAACTAGCACCCTGAATTAGATACAGAAGTGCAGTGGTGAACAGTACAACTGATGCAAAAATCAGGGTAACATATTGTGACTGCCTGGCTTTCACCAATAACGAGGTGACCATATCCTGTACCATATGAAGATTCTGGACCATCTTCAAAGGCAACTCTTTGTAAAGTGCATTTAGTAATCCAGTCTGTGACAAGTGAATGGATTACTTATTTACTGGGTAGGATTACAGTTGGTGTACCTGTCTAAGCTGGTAAAAAGCATTCCTCGCCACCTCAGCTTCCCCAGTCAGCAGTGAAGCATTTAGTGCCCCCGAACTATGAATGTGATCATTCAGGGGTGTGCAGCTCCTTGAAGCAGAAGTTGAACACCTCTTCCCAGAGTTAATGGCTCTCTCATGCGCAGAAACTCTCATCTTCTTTGGAGAACCAGTTTGGTGTAGTATTTAGAGTGTTGGAAATTGACCTGGGAAGCAAGTATTCAAATCACCATTCAGTCATGAAGCTCACTGGGCAGGAGTGAACTAATGAGCCCCATCAGTGGAAGCTCTGCACAAGAACTTGCACAATGGAACTTTTAACCTCTTTCCTCCCACCACCCACACTGAAATTGGCTCATGTGGCTGGGGGGTGAGGGTGGTATGTGTTGGAAGAGCCCCAAAACAACACACAGGAGGAGAGGAGGCATCATTCTCTCCGGGAAGCCATAGTGATGGAACGGTCACCTTTGTGCAACATTGAATTCCTCTTAATGTCTCTTAGCCTAATCTACTTAATGGTTGTTTTTTTAAGGATACAGTGAAAAGAGTGAAAACTATGTACACCACCTTAAGCTCCTTAGAAGAAAAGTGGGATATAAATGTTACAAATAATAAATTAAGCTTCAGTTTTTTTCTCCTTATCCATCTGAGGCCAACCCTCCAGGAAGGACCAGAGCTACCAGGAGGATACCATGGTTGATGGTGTTAAATAGTTCTCTGTCTATTGTCCCTTGTGAATTATTTACCAGGGTGACCAAGGCTGTTTCCATCCCATAACTTGGTCCTCTGCAATCACACTTTACACTGAATCCACATTTACCAAGGTTTTCAGTTCTTCTTTGTCTTTTAGTCTTTTTGATTTTGCTAGTCTTATTTAGCAATGTCTGTCATCTTGTTCTCTTTGTGACATGATGCTATCCTGTTTCTTAGATGACTTCCATCTTCTCTCCTCTTTGGATTTCCAGCCCTTGTCTTGCTGGGGTGGCTTGCAGGTCTTATGTTTTATCTCATATTCTTTTCGCTCACATTGATTTTCTGTTCAGAGCAAAATGACTTTGATGTACCACCCTATCTAGGTTTCCTTATTCGTTGTTTCTCATTCTCTGATTTTTGTGGTCCACCAGAATTACTCTGAAATAACATATTTTATATTCTAAACCTTTTCCCTTCTACACTTCTTTTTATCTTCTTTTAATATTCTTGTTTCCCAGGCATGTAAATCTGGGATAAAAAGGTAAAGGGACCCCTGACCATTAGGTTCAGTCACGGACGACTCTGGGGTTCCGGCGCTGATCTTACTCTACAGGCCAAGGGAGCCGGCGTTTGTCCGCAGACAGCTTCCAGGTCATGTGGCCAGCATGACTAAGCCGCTTCTGGCGAACCAGAGCAGCGCACGAAAATGCCATTTACCTTCCTGCTGGAGCAGTACTTATTTATCTACTTGCACTTTGACGTGCTTTGGTACTGCTAGGTTGGCAGGAGCAAGGACCAAGCAATGGGAGCTCACCCGCCGACCTTCTGATTGGCAAGCCCTAGGCTGTGTGGTTTAACCCACAGCGCCACCCGCGTCCTGGGATAAGTTTCCTTAATGCAGAACAAAAGAAAGGAAGTCTGTAATTGTAGACTCTCCATAGCCGAATTCTACTTCTCTTTTGCTTCCCAGTTATTGGGAGACTAAGGCTGCAGTCTTATGCACCCATACCTGGGAGTAAGCCCTATTGAACATAGTTAGACTTACTTCTGAGTAAACAGGCGCACAAGGCTACTGGCTTGTTTAAGTTAATCAGGTCTGGGTCTGGTCAGTTCTTGGATGGGTGCCCATTTATGAACCACACATACAGGGTCTTGGGTTGCATGATGGAAGAAAGTTGGGATATAAATGTTAAAATTAAACTTGTAAGGATTGCATTGTAATATCACCTCTTTTAGACAAAGTACAGCATCTGGCATCGCTTTTCACATTATAATACTTTTTTGTCAGAAACATTGTTACAAAGATTGTGGAATTTATTAGAAAACTTAACAGAATTGTACGTATGAAGTAGAATTTAAATTCACTGCTGACCTTATATACCTCTTCAGACGTTTGGACTGTTGTGATGCCAGAAACTGGTTTGAAGCTGTCATCTCACAAGTAGGGCTGTATCTCAGGTGTAGAGTGCATTCTTTGTGTGTATTTTGACAGCTGATAAGAAAATTAATTTTATAACAGAACACAATGTTATTTTGTAGTGGAGCATGATATCCTGAAAAACCAGTATGATCTGGCCATGACAAAGCTGCAGGCTGAACATGAACAAAAGTTGGAAGATATGAAAGAGCAAAGCAAGAAACAAGAAGAAGAATTACAGCAGGAGGTAAATAAGCATATTTATGTTGATTTTTTGCAAGGCTCTTTATGTTTATCAAGATCTGCCTGAATATGAGAGTGAAATGGCAGAGTGGGAAACAGCAGATGAGGATCTCCACATAGGTGACTGGAGGACTGAAACAGGCAAATGAGGGTGTTGGGATGCTCTAAGAGAGGGGTGGAATTATGGATAGAGATAATAAGAAACATCTGGAGGTGGCAGTGATAGACGTAAGAGAGAAAGGATCTTCTGTACAAGTTGAACACAGAAGAAAACACCATCAAGCTGCTGGCGATCTTTGGGAAAAGAATGGAAGAAATAGAAATGGAAGGACTTTTTCTTTAAATTAAAGATGGGAAAGCATAGCCAAGAGGAAATAGGACTGGAAAATATGGAATTGGATAGTAATATTAATAACAATAATAAACTTTTATTTATATCCTGCCCTCCCCGGCCTAGACTGGGCTCAGGGCGGCTAACATCGAATATATAACATTGGTATAAAATCAAACAATAGTTAAATTACCTCCTAAAAACAAGTCAGGATCAAATTAAAATCTAATTAGATGGCTTTCCGCAGAATTAGGGTTGGGAACAGTAAATGTTCATCAGGCCCAGCTGTTTATGCTGTTCTTATATGGGCCTGTGAAAATGCTGGGAGGCCTCTTTCATACTACAGTGGTGCCTCGCAAGACGAAAAGAATCCGTTCCGCGAGTCTCTTCGTCTTGCGGGTTTCTTCGTCTTGCGAAGCAAGCCCATTAGCGGTTTAGCGGATTAGCGCTACAGTATTAGCGGCTTAGCGGGCTTAGCGGATCAGCTGATAAGCAGCTTAACGATCAGCTGATAAGCGGCTTAGCGATCAGCTGTTAAGCGGCTTAACGATCAGCTGATAAGCGGCTTAGCGATCAGCTGTTAAGCGGCTTAGCTGATCAGCTGATAAGCAGTTTAGCGGCTTGGGAAAAGGGGGGGGGGAGGAAAAAAACCCCGCAGGAACTCGCAAGACAGTTTCGTCTTGCGAAGCAAGCACATAGGAAATTCGTTTTGCGAAGCACCTCCAAAACGGAAAACCCTTTCGTCTAGCGGGTTTTCCGTCTTGCGAGGCATTCGTCTTGCGGGGCACCACTGTAGTTCTTATACAAAAAGAGAAGGGGAGTCAGGCTGAGTCCTGACCAAAGGCCTGGCGGAACAACTCCATCTTGCAGGCCCTGCAGAAAGATGTCAAATCCCGCAGGGCCCTGATCTCTTGTGGCAGAGCGTTCTACCTGGCCGGGGCCAAGGCCGAAATTAATGAAGATACAAGTAGATAGTTACGGACTATTACTCCAATAAGAGTTCTTGGAATTTCTTGAACAGAAAGTTGTTATACTGGACTGGAGAAAGACTTTTTTTTGGCCTTTAGCAATAATAACAATCAAAGAGCCCTTTTGGGACTTTTTGTGTGGAAAGAAGAATGTCTTGAAGTGTCTGGGATTGAAGATTGGAAAAACGCCAAGCGGATCGAGGACATTATCCTGGAATACAACGAGATACTAACTATTCTGGAATGAATATTTTGAATAATCTTTATGTACATAATTGGCAGATGGAGAACTGGAAGTCCTTATTTCTCTCATCTCTCTTTTTATTTTTTATGATTTCCAGCTTTTGTCTTCTTCTGTAAACTCTCCTATACTTACGTTTTGTTCTGTTTTTTGATGTCCTGTACTCTGAGTTAATGAGGATACACAAAGGAAGGTGATGGATGGATGATGAAGAACCCTGTGTGAGATGCAGAGAAGGGAAGATCTCCCAGAGTGGGAGGCTGACAAGAGGGCATTGCATTTTCCTTTCTTCCTCCCACTGGTTTTTTTTTGTGTTCTTCTTTCTTTCTTTCTTGTATGTAGATTTGCTTTCTCGTTTTTTCTATTTTTATTTGGATTAGTTTGGCTTTTATTGTATTGTATGTTGAAAAGTTTCAATAATAAAAAAGAGAAGTAACTCACTGGTGCACCTGAACCCTGTTGAAAGCAGGAGTGATGTCCCCATGCATCAGCTGATGCACAAGGAGTTTAATTCTGCTTGGTTCAGGTGTACAAACTAGTTCCTCACAGTGAACTAGTTGGCACACTGAAGCCCTGAAGGAAACTGGAACTTTCTGCACATCGCCTGATAATGTCATAATGACATCAGCTGACTGATAAGTGGCTGGTCCTGTCCATCTATCAGGGGTGCAGTGGGGGCCAAAAACGTTCCCCATCCCATTCAAAATCTACCAGTCAGTTGCAAAAGATGTAGAGTTAAAATGAAAGAACAGGCGGCTGCTGAGCACATTCTAAGCCTAGGAATGTTTTTTTTACTATCAGAATTGAACAAAGCAAAGAGTCCTTTCATGCAGATATGCACTACTGGTTAGCTACCTTAAATTTCAACAACCTAATTTATAAAGTGGTTTTATTGTTGCTGCTGTTAAGAAATTCGGAGCTAGAAATTGGCCAAAAATCCTGTCACTCCTGGTCTAGAAGATTTTGAAAACTCTTTTTATAAAATTGAAATTCGTAGGTGTACTAACTCATTGTACCTCTTGTAGATAGAGAAGCTAATGGCTATGCAAGAAAAACTAAAGGGAGAATCAGAAGAAGAAATCAAAGGACTTTGGTCTCAACTGGATAGTGCTCGGGCAAGTCGCCAAGAATTAAGTGGTACGTTTGTGGATTTGACATAGAATCATTGTAACCTGTAACTTGCTCTCTGTTCATTTTTAAATTCTAGGGTCTGATTCTCTATCATTCAGTGAAGCATTTTATTTTATGCTATTAAATAATGCCATATAAAGGAACAATATTTTATATTCTTCTTAATGACTAATTAGCTGAGGAACTGTTAACGCATGTTTGTGAAACTCTCAGTTTTAATTTCAGGATTTTAGGTTACTTTCTCAGATTTGAGGCTTGACATAATTTACATTTTATCCTGTTCAAAAATAATATTAAGTTTCTAAAAATATTTTTACTATTTCAGGTCTACACAAAATATAACATGCAGGCTAAATTTATGACACAAATAATCTTGATGCCATTCATTATGAATCTTAACAATTAATTTGAAATATTAACTCATCGATTTGTATTTATATAGTAGCTCTTGAATTATTATTATTTCCTCCCTTTTCCACTTGAGGTATGCTGTTTAATGAATATAACATAATGATATATTGAGTAGTTAACATTCATAAATGAGCTCTAAGATTTGTAATACCAATCTTCAGACTTGGCAGTGTTTATATTTACTTTCTTCATTTTATTATGCATTTAACCTGGCCAATATTAATAGATCCCAAGCCTTTTTGGGGTTTTATGCAAATCTTGAAAAATGTAAATATAGGTGGAGTTGTTAGATAGCCAGTGTTTTCACACAGAACAAGCTTTCTTATCTTCCCCTGCACCCCCTGATGTGTTCTGGAGGGTCCCCAAAATGTACATGACCAGACTGAGGGACGGCAAGGGGAAGGAGATCAAGTCCCATTACACAAGCAACCTCAGAACTTGTAATAAGTTCTATTCAAGTTAATAAACTGCTTCTTAGTGTCCAAGGCACTTAAGGTCAAATGTTAAGCTTAGTCGTCTTAATAGCGTTGTCCTGTGTGTGTTGTACTTCTTGAGAAGCTTGTTTTATTTTAATATACTGTATTAAAATAAGAGAGTATTATCTTGGTCTTTCACCAGAGTTGAAAGAACAGCTGCTTGCTCGCACTTCACACATGGAAGAAATGGAATACCTGAAGAAGGATTTTCAACTTAAATGGGATAAAAAAAAAAGTGAACATGAAAATGAACTGGAACAATTAAGACTTTATTTTGAACAGAAATTAAAGTCTGTGGAAGAAAACTACAGAGAAGAATTAACAATGCTGCATCAGAGGCTGCGGGAAATGAAAGATTATTCCCTATTAGAGGTGGAGAACAGCCAAGATCTACATGTGGAATCTGGGTAATGCTAATAATTTAGTAACTTGATCTGTAGCATCAGATTCTTGGAATGTGTAATGAAAACTACAGTGGTACCTTGGTTTACGAACTTAATCCGTTCTGGAAGTCTGTTCTTAAACCAAAGCATTCTTAAACCAAGCGTGTTACTTCCGGGTTTCGCCACTTACCAAGGCATGCTTTCCCATAACAGCGGGGGGGGGGGGGGACTCAATTTACAAATGGAACACACTCAACAGGAAGCAGAATATGTTCTGCTTGCAACGCAGACTTCACAAACCAAAACACCTACTTCTGGGTTTGCAGCGTTCTTAATCCAAGTTGTTCATAAAATAAACTGTTCTTAAACCAAGGTACTATTGTATTTGTAATTGTAGTTTCCTCTGGCAGTCTGGACAGGTGGTCATGTTGGAGAACTCCTGAAGCCCTCGTCTTGACTTGTGCTCCTGGCTAGGGGAGAACCTTTTTTACTACCATACTTTGATACTCATAGGAGCATCTAGCAGCTGTAGGATGCACTAGATTTCTGTTTGTCACAGCTAGGATTGGGTTAGCTTGATTGTCATGTATCCATTTTTTTTTTAAAAAAAGAGTTAATGTTGTTTTGAAGACTCAAGAAAATTAGACCCTTTTATGCCTTTCAGAATTTTGCCCCTGACCAGCCTTTCAAGGAAGTGTTGTGCAATTGCTTGCCCTCATGTTTTGTCTCTGGAAAAGCTATTATTTGTTACCAATGCTTATATTTATTACCAGGCAGACATTAGTTACCTAAGTTGGTTTTCACAAGCTCAGTCTTGCATTCTGTGAGTGACTTGTAAAATATTGGTTAGTTCAAACCACTTGGAGAATGGGAATCTTTTGCTAATCCTGATTTAGATTATTTTTTTCAAGAGGCACGCTGACAGTGTCTTTCATATACTGTTTTTGTTTGTATTGATTCTAGTGAATGCTTATGATCTGTCTGCAGCTGCTTCAAGTTGAGGGTGGCTTAGGAAACGTGGTTGATGTTTCTTACTGGGAACATGGCGGTGTGCAGTCAGTGTAAGATTACACCCTGTCCTCCAGCCTGTCAGCTGATTCCACCAGGGAGTTCAGTTGATAGGCGGGTGGGTGGGTGTGGTTTGAGGAAAATTCACTACCTCATGTACTTCTAGTGGAAATTTTAGGTACCCTAAATGCTTACAAACTAAAGAGAGAGCCTGTTGATAATAGCTGATAATAGCTTTTGTGGGATTAGTATATTTAATTGGAATTTAAGATTTATTTAAGGTAAAATCCTGAATGACTCCAGAGTCCCAAACAGCTGTTTCTTCCCACACCAAAGCAGCTACAGCTAGAGAGAACATGGAAAGAAGCTAAAACAGTTATTTTACTGTTTTCATGGGCAATGCAAAGCAACATGGTGCTGTGAATTTCTGTGGATTAGCCATGCACCATTCAGTACCTCTGTGAAGGCTGGAGCCTTCAATATGTGGACCTGTCTGTGCCTGGCCCTTCCCTGTCTGGGGAACATTTGTGAAAACCTGAGCTGCATTATCCAGGCTGTAGCATCATGGCAGGCCTGACTGCTGAACAATGGAAAATGCTTCTCCTGTAGCAAAATCTCTGTTAAGATGGCTTTCACCTATGTGAGCTCTAGATCCTAATTGCAACCAATTAGAAAAGTTCTGAGAGAGAGAGAGAGAGAGAGAGAGATGCAAACCACAACTCTTAATGAACCCTGAGGTTTATAACTAGTGTGATAGAGGAAAACTAGATAGAGGATAACTAGTGTGATAGAGGTGAAGTGTGAACAGGAATCTTAATCTCATGATTGTGGTAACTGAACAAAGTGAATCCGTGGTTGTAGAAATGAATACTACTTCATGCTAACATTTTCTTACATGATTACCATGGTTGCTTCTGTGTGACTTTAAATCACCCCCAAATTTACAGTTCAGTACATAGAATGATGGAGCTGGGTGATCTAGTCTGACTGTTTGCTGCTACAGGAAATCTACTGCTGTTGTATTCCTCACAGGTGGCCATCCAGCCTCTCCTTTAAAACATCTAATGTGGGAGAGTTCATCACTTTCTGAGGCATTCTGTTCCACCACGGCTTATACCGTTAGGGTCTTCCAAATATTTCAGTGAAATCCTCTTTCTTGTAATGTGAACCCCTTATTTTGGGTCCTATTCTGGAGCAGTTAAAAACATGTGCTCCAGCATCTTATATGATAGTCATTTGAATATATTAAGAAGGCTGTCATATTGCCTAATAATCTATAAATCTCTTCTTCATGCTAAACATACCCATTGTTAAATATACTGAAAACTACTTTAATACTTTATTATAGTTATTGCTTTATTATATTATAATATAGTAAAGTATATATGTAATGCTATAAGAAAGCAATGTTATAATAAAACATTACTTTATTAAAGTTATGAAGACCATGTTACTTACTCTTTTGAAATTTCCCCCCATACAGTTCATCTGCCATATTTCTAGAAGAGATGACTGAAAAGGAGAGACATGATCTATTTGAGCAGCTAACTCAGCAACTGGAACGCCACAAGGTAAATTTGGTGATGTTTAGTCATTTAGTCGTGTCCGACTCTTCGTGACCCCATGGACCAGAGCACGCCAGGCACTCCTGTCTTTCACTGCCTCCCGCAGTTTAGTCAAACTCATGCTGGTATCTTCAAGAACACTATCCAACCATCTCGTCCTCTGTCGTCCCTTTCTCCTTGTGCCCTCCATCTTTCCCAACATCAGGGTCTTTTCCAGGGAGTCTTCTCTTCTCATGAGGTGGCCAAAGTATTGGAGTTGCAGCTTCAGGATCTGTCCTTCCAGTGAGCACTCAGGGCTGATTTCCTTCAGAATGGATAGGTTTGATCTTCTTGCAGTCCATGGGACTCTCAAGAGTCTCCTCCAGCACCAGAATTCAAAAGCATCAATTCTTCAGCGATCAGCCTTCTTTATGGTCCAACTCTCACTTCCATACATCACTACTGGGGAAATTACTAGCTAGTTATAAAAAGGCATATTTGGCTTGCCAGACAAAATGCCCCCCCCCAACATGCGCTGTTCTGGGGATTGTTGCTGAGGGCCACCAAAAAGGCCTTAAGGGCAGCATGCAGCCCTTGGGATGTACATTGAGCCATCCTGCTGTAGTGGATAGTCTAGAGCAGAGCTTTCCAAACTGTTCATGTTGGTGACGCACTTTTTAGACATGCATCTTTTTGTGACACAGTAATTCAGTTTTACTAGCAAATCGGAGGTTAAACTAACCCCTTTCCAGCCCTGGGAGGAGTGTGGGGAGCATTTGCACGACACACCTACACCCTGCAGCTGACACACTAACGTGTTGTGACACATAATTTGGAAAGCTCTGGTCTAAAGTGTCACGACCCCTACGTTCAGCAGTCGCTACAGTGAGCTAAGGTTCCAGATTGGGTTCTGCCTCCAAGCCTGATGCTGGTGTTGAAGGACAACTGATCCTGCCGCTGCCAGAAGGAGACAACTGAACCAGTTGCTGCTGCACCAAAGCCTGTAGAACCAAGCCAGAATCGTCATGAGTGCCTTCCCATGTGCTTAGGGAAACAACTGCCTCCCCCCGCCCTCCATCTCACCAGTCTAGGCAATGGAATGTAGAAATGTCTGTCTTCAGGCCAGAGGGTGAAACCTTTTAAGATTATAGACAGAGGCTTTGAGATTGCTGCATCACACTGTTGACTCACATTAAGCTTGTCTACTAAGACCCCTAGATCCTTTTCACACGTACTGCTAGTAAGGCAGGTGTCCCCATCTTATATTCGTGCAGCTGGCTCTTCCTGTCTAAGTGCAGAACCTTACATTTGTCCCTATTGAAATTCATCTTGTTAGTTTGGGCTCAGTTCTCCAATCTGTTAAGGTCATTTGGAATCCCAATTTGTCTTCTGCAGCATTAGCTGCTCCTACCAGTTTGGTGTCATCTGCAAATTTGATGAGCATCTCCCCAGTTCCTTCATCCAAGTCATTTATAAAAACATTGAACAACAATGTGCCTAGGACAGAACCCCACTTTTGCCCAGGATGATGAAGCACCATTAATGAGCACTCTTTGGGTTCGGTCAGTCATCCAGCTACAAATCCACCTAATAGTTACCTCAGTCAACCCACATTTTACCAGCTTCTTCACAAGAATATCATAGGGGACTTCGCCAGAAGCTTCACTGAAATCAAGATACACTATGTCCACAGCATTCCCCCAATCCACCAAGTTTTTAACTCCATCAAAAAGAGAAATGAGATTTGTCTGACATGACAGATTTTGGGAAACCCAGGCTGGGTCTTAGTAATCACCACATCCTTTTCTAAGTGCCCACAGACCAACTGTTGCATTATCTGTTCTAGGACCTTTCCTGTTATCAATGTCAAGCTCACTGGTCAGTAGTTATCTGGGTCTTCTCTCCCCTCCCCCTTTTGAAGATGGGGATAACATTTGCCTGCCTCCAGTCTGCAGGGACTTCACCTGTTCTCCAAGAATTCTCAAAGATTTGAGGCTCTGAGATTACATCCACAAGCTCCCTTGGTTGCAACTCATCAGGCCCTGCAGATTTGAGTTCATTTAATGTAGCTAGGTGTTCCCTTACCACCTCTTTTCCTATCTTGGGCTTCAGCTCTCTCTCTCTCTTTGCATTATTTATTCTGTTATCACCAGGTTGGGCACTGCTTTCCTTTTGGGTGAAGACAGAGCCAAAGTAGGTGTCTAACAGTTCCTCCCTGTTGTTGAGAAGCAGGTACAAGATAGATGATCCCTTCACCTTCAGGAAAATGAAATTGTCTATGAGGCAGCTGAGGAATTTGTTGGACCTTACATTGTTGGCAGAGTTTTTGTTCCAATAGCTATTGGGGTAGTTGAAGTCTCCCATGACTACTGTATCTCTCCTTTTTGAATGTTTGGCTATCTGCTCTAGGAAGGCATCATCCAAGTCTTCAGTCTGGCTTGGAAATCTATAGTCAGGGCTGGCCTTCCCATGAGGTAAGGTGAGGCATTCCATTCATCCTAATGGACCAGTCTCCATAGCATAGTAGTGTTGCTGTTGCAGTCCACCTTGGGTAAGGCTGCAACCCAGTAGTGGATATCAGTGCACATGAAGACCAGTGCTACTTGTGGCTTATGATCAATTCTAATTCTGTTTATTAATACATTAGCATTCAGTATTACATCCTGATTGTGGCTGTACTAGCAACTAAGGCAGAGCTACTTGTTGCATTTTATTGCTGATGACTGCCAAGGGGCTGTGAACAATTAGCTCCATGTAAACTGCTTGTGCTAATTTTAGTTGTTGGCACCTGTCTGTCTCAAGAGACAATGGAGTGAACCTCTGGGGTGAAGTCAAACTGCTGCATTAGCAGCACCAAAGTAACCTCCTCGGGGCACAAGCCTGGGCAGTTTGTGTGGAGGTTCTAGGCTGTCTAGACGACAAGATCCCTCTCTTGGCCTCACTGATGTGGGCCAAAGGAAAGCAGAGCAAAACATTTTGGCACCAGCTTGGTTGCAGGAGTTGCTGGAAGGAGGAGTACAAGGCGCCATCCAACTGTCTTAGGGGCTCCACTTTGGATTTGTGCAGGATTTACTTCTTAGCCTTTTCTTCTTGTGAAGTATAGTTTAGTAAAACAAGTGTTTTGCATAGAAAATTTAAAATGGATATGTTTCATAAATCTTACCAGTGTTTTTCTTCTGCATGCTGGCTTCAGGAAGAACTCTCTTGTTTACGGTTGCATTTGGATGATAAACACAGAAGTGAGGTAGAGTTACTAAGGTCTTCGCTCACACTTCAGTATGAAGAGAGCCTAAAGAAAATGAGGATGGATCTTTCAGATAGATTCACTTCTGAAATGGAGCAGCTGAAAAGAAAACATAGTTTAAGTCTTGAACAGCTCCGTGCCAAAATGTCAGAAGAGCACCTCAGAGGTAAGCAGTTGCAGGTCATAAGAATAACATGTGAAATTTTAATTTCCAAAATTACATTTATATGGAAAATACTAGCTCTGTGTTCTAAACCAGTGAAATACATTGCTTTACTACAGTGCTCAGGCTGTCACTTTCTAAGAAATAGGCTTTAGTTGGCTTTAGAATAGAAAAATAGGCTTTAGAAAAAGGCTTTAGTTGATTTACCCTGTGAAACTAATAGAAGGCACTCCTAGCCACAGAGGCCACCTATGCGTCAATTGATAAGGATGGTTCGAGGAGTTCCCCCAAACAACGGACCTGCTCCTTCAGAGGGAATGCAGTCACCTCGCCTGTCTCCTGGATCTGAGAACCATTCGCCCACAAAGGTGCTGCCTCCCCAGGATTCATACTCAACTTATTAGCCTTCATCAGTCCACCACTGCATTCAGGCACCTGTCTAGGTCTTTCACCATCTCTCCTGAATCAGATGTAACAAAGAAATAGAGCTGGGTATCATCAGCATACTGATTACACCTTGACCTCAAACTCCTAGTGGCTGCTCCCAAAGGCTTCATATAGCTGGGGACAAAATAGAGACCTGTGCAGATGCTTAAAATAACTTTTGTTAAAAAACCAGAAGCTTTTTTTGGTAGGCATTGTAGGACAGGAATTGCCAAAAGAGTGGAAGAAGTTATTCATGTATTCTACAACGGAAGCTAGGATTCTACTAGTTCAAAAATGGAAAGATGACAAGATACCAACAAAAGAAGAATGGCAAGTCAAACTTACGGAATACGCATAAATGGCGGAACTCATAGGAAGACTCGAAGATAATGACAATGAAGACTATAAAAAAGACTGGGAACTGTTCATGTTGTATCTACAGAAATATTGTAAAGAAATGGACTCACTAGCAGGGTTTGAGTAAACACAACTAAGAAAACAAGTGTAAAGGTTAAGAAACAACAATATGGAAATTAATCAAGTGTAAGATGTAACTTGAAAGAAAATTTGGTATAAAAATGATAAGAATATAAGAGCATTTAGCTAAAAGATCAGAAAAATAAGACAAAACTTAAGCAGAAGTAGCAAATATTTAAAGAAGTGGAAGTTGAAGGAAGTCATGGTGTGGGGGGGAGTTTCGTTTTCTTTTTTCTCTTTTATATGGTAAATGTGTTGGAAGACTTCCGGGTCAGCGCCATCGGTGAATGGCGGAGTTCCTCCGTCCGGAGGAACGGGCTCCGTGGAAACTGGGTCTTCCCTCCGCGGCGAAGGTGGGGACCCGCTAGAAATCCCAGGCGGAGGAAGCCTGGGAACGTGGGGTTCGGCAGGGCACCAGGAGCGCCCCCCTACTCACAGGGAATCCCATTTAGGGGCTCCGGAGCGAAGTGGGGTGAGAAGCGCGGTGCTGCGAACTGACTGCTACTTTCACGGAGTGAAGCCGCACAGCCATTGCCGGAGAGCGCTGACTTTTCTTGTGGACAATTGGATTTAAAACAAGTACCCGTGAGTAGAAACGGAAAATTGGATCAAGAAATTTCTTAATTTGGTAACGAAGCGGGAAGGTTCAAAACAGGAAGTCTGCCTTCCGCTTTTTGTATATAGACTAAAGCAAAAACTTTGTAAGCTAAAGCCTGGAAAGTCTAAATTTTCTTCATTTAGAATTACTGAAACCCCCTTGGAAGTAGGAGAAAAGGGGGGGAACTTTGTTCAACCCTAGCAGGAGAGGGAGTGAAGAAGGATAAGTTTCCACCGTCTCTAACCTGGGAACGGGGTGTCAGAGACAGAAATTGTTGGAGAGGTTCATTGACTGTGAATGGGATATTTTGACAGATAGCTAAAGAAGAGAAACAAGCTGATTCCAATGTTGCCTTTTGCATCCTAAAGAAACAAAGTATCTGAAAAATATCTGAAAAATGAAGGTAATTTTCCTTTGTTGGACTTGCCTAAAAAAAATGGATACAAATAGAAATTGCCTCCTCTAGAGGGAGCTTGTCAAATTGTTGCTGCAGTACATTTGAGGGCTCAACAGATGTGAGATTAAGACCGTGGGAACAGGCTTTTCTGACCTTGACTAAAGATGAGTTGGAAAGAAGACTGGGTGCTTGCCTTATGCAAGACAAGTGCCCTGCTGGAACAGATGCATGAGAAGATGGACTTGATGAATGAGAAAATGGATTTGACTGTTGCAGTTAATAACTGTGGGCAAACAGGGAATATTGATACAGAAATTATCCAGGGACCAACTCATGAATCTGTACTGACTGGGCAAGTGCAGAAGATAATGGAGGAGGATGCGGTTGCACCCCAAATAATACAAATGGAGAGTCCCGAGGCCCTACAGGAGTATGAGCCGCTGTCATTGAAGATTGAAGTTGGAGTGGGCCAGGGGGAGTCTGGAGTTGAGGAGGTTCCCAACGTTGGAGAGACCTTGGAATATGCTTTTAAATACTTTTTGGACTATATTGAGGATTGTGGGGAGTGGGACTGTGGGGAATGGGCGGGTTTGATGAAGGGAGATGGAGACAATTTTGGCTTGGAATCCCCCAGAGGCCTACCCCTCAATGAGAAAGGAAAGAAACTAAGAAAGAGACCAACAAAAGACAAGGAAAAGGGCAAGTATAAACAAGAAGAAGAAGAATTGCAGAAGGGACATGGAAGAGACTTAAGGGCCTCGGACATAAGGCTTCCAGGTTGATGGACTAGATGGAATGGACAGTAAGGACTGACATGATCCGAGACCAGGAAGAAGGGACGTTGGATGAAGATTGGAAGAAAATTTATAAAGAAAATTTTCTATTTGAGGAATTGGCTAAAAATTAATGAATATTAGGGAAAATGTTGGAATGAAACTATATGACTTTAGCAGAAATGATATCAGGAGTAATGTATGTTTGATAACTAAGATTCAAGCTTTAAGGTGTATTAGGGTAAGATAAGGTTAAATTAATTAAGGTAATGTGAATAATAGAATATGGGGAAAGATGGAAAGGATTTGTTGAGTTAATTATTAGATTAAATTAGGTTAGGATGAATTTTTTAACAAAAATTGAGAAAGATGGAAAGAATTTGCTGAAATAACTAATTAAACTAGAATACAAAAAGGGAGGTGTGAGGAAGTCAATGAAACAAGCAAATGGAAGTTTTAGATATGTAATTTGGGATTTGTGTTGTTTTCTTTTTTCTTTTTATCTTTTTGTTGTATTGTTGTATTGGTTTTTGTGTTTTTTCTTTTCTTTTTGTCTATTATAGTGTTGTTTTTTAAAAAAAATTAAATGTTTTTCTTCTTATAATTCTGAAAACTACTAATAAATATTATTTTTTAAAAATATATATGGTAAATGTGTTGAATATTAAATTGTAAAATCTAATAAAAATTTATTAAAAAACCGAATAAAAAAATAGAGACCTGTGCGATCCCATAGCATAACTGCCATGGGCCAGAAGAGCAGCCTCCCAGTACTGGGGCCACAACCCTGCAAATAGGAATGGAACCCCTGTAACAGCAGTGTTAATAATCTTCTAATAGTGTTAACATTCTAATCTAAACTAAGATTATAGCAATGAAACACTAAATATGTCTTGTTCAGTATTTTGTTGCAATTATGAAAACGGATGAAAAATATTTTAAACTTTTATTATTTTCAGAAATTGCTAAACTTGGTCTACAAAGTGCTCAAGATGCTGCGCGTCAAGTAGAAATGGAAGTGGCTGAGCGATGCTTGGCAAGAGAAAATGAGTACAAAGCTAAACTTTGTATTCTTCAGGTTGACACCCAAAAAGAAGACATAGAAGAATTGAGGAGAGAAAATACAAAATTAAAGGAAATTAGTGTGTGTCAAGAAATGCATTGGAAGGAGGAGCTGGAGCAGGTAAAATATGGAGGGATGTTGATATATTGTGTTTCTGAGAAATAATTAAGGATTTTAATTAAGAATACATATGTGTATCAACAATTTTTTAAAAATAAATTTTGTTCTACATTATATTTTCAAAAATAAATTGTTCACTTGGACACCTCTAAATTTGGCACAATAGTTCCTGAGATCAAGGAACAGGGTTTTGTTTTGTTTTGTTTTGTTTTGTTTTGTTTGAATACTGTTGGATGGCATGTTGAATCAAGCTGGCCGACTGAACCTTTCAGAATTGTATTTATTGTCAGTGAGGGCTGCTGTTAGCTTCTTTTAATTCCCAAACACCAGGAGTTCCTTGCTAGTTACAGTGGTACCTCTGGTTACGAACTTAATTCTTTCCGGAGGTCCCTTCTTAACCTGAAGCTGTTCTTAACCTGAGATACCACTTTAGCTAATAGTGCCACTGTGCCGCCGCCACCACGTGATTTCTGTTCTCATCCTGGGAGCAAAGTTCTTAACCCGAGGTACTACTTCTGGGTTAGTGGAGTCTGTAACCCCAAGTGTTTGTAACCCAAGGTGTTTGTAACCCGAGGTACCACTGTATTAAGAAATGTATCTTAAGAGAAACATTTACAGCCCTTATTTCGAAGTAAATATGCATAGAAAATTCCTCTTTAGTTTATGGGTCTTACTTCTGAGTAAATGTGCATGGGATTGCAGCATAAAATCATTGGCTAATTCTGTTAAAATATAGAGAGTCTGGTTTGTGTAAATAATAATAATAATAATAATAATAATAATAATAATAATAATAATAATTTATTTGTGATCCTCATTTTTATAGTGCTATCCTGTATATGTTTATGTGGAAGTAAGAAAATTTATAGTAGCAAAATGTCCTGTTCCCTTCTCTGGCTACTGTTGCCTGCACCCTCTTTACAAGTCTTTGTAGCAGGACGGGGGCTTCATGCACCAGGTGGAGAAGGACATGATGGGCTGTTGGGAGAAGGAGGCTTTACAAAAGGAACGCTTTCCATCCCCTTCTCTCAACAATTGCTTCCACCCCATCAGCTCTTCTTCAGGAGGGATCTCCTTGATCCTCTGCAAAAACTTTCCAGTGGTGGCTGTGGTGGGGAGGGCTGGGGAGGGAAACTTGGTTTCTCTGAACAGCTTCGGAAGAGCTACAGTATTTCAGAAGTGCTTTGGTATGCTTGGAAAAGGGACTTAATATGAAGGTTTCTTCTAGTCAATGGATGAGGTTATCCTGAGGGCTCCTCGGTTTGGGAATAAAGTATAGCTGGGGCAAGCAAAAAAAAACTTATAGTTTGTGTCACATTTTTTTACGTTGTTTCTTGAACAAATGGAGGAGGAGGAAAAGGATAAAAGTGCCTTCCCCAGAATTCAAGCTGAGCCTAACACTGCCCTGGGAACTCCAAGGAACTGTGAGAGCGCCTCCATCTGTTGATAAGAAGAAAACTTATTGACAAGTCCAATGCTCTTACCTCTGTCAGCAATGAAGGCTATCCATCGCAGGTTGTTCAGTAGTAGTACTGGATTGAAGATGGGAAGGCTTGGGGGGGGAAATGGAAAAATTTGAATAAAACCAGGTCCCCATCCCCCCCGTTATTTTCCAAAGTTGTTTGGAAAAAAACGAGGGGAAACCCTGTTATCCCCCCTCAAATTTTTCTGGGTTTTTTCTAGGTCTTCCCATCTCTAGTACTGGTGTCTGGTTGATTCCCTTTGCTGTTCAGAATTAAGGGGAAATAATCTGTTGGATTCCCTTATTCTTCTGACCTCATTGGCAGATGCAAAATATCTCCAATTGATAAGGCCTAACGAATGAGCAGACTGGGGGCCAGCTGACTCCTCTCTGTGTCTTCCAATGGAGCATTGGTATTGAAAGCTACTGAGGTAGTACTCACTTGCCAAAGGAGCCATGGTCCTAGAGGGAGGAAATTAAGAGCTAAAACAGCAGACTAGACAGATGTAGGACTATGCTTTGACTTGGAAATTAGGATGATCAAGGTTCTAGAAGCCAAGCCTTTATGAGGAAAGGTTGAAGGAGCTGGGTATGTTTAGCCTGGAAAAGAGGAAACAGAGGAGATATGATAGCCATCTTCTAGTATATTAAGGGCTATCACATGGAAGGTGGAGCCAGCTTGTTTTCTCCTGCTCTGGAAGGTAGGATTCAAACCAATGACTTCAAGTTACAAGAAAGGAGATTCCAACTAAAGATACGGAAACAGTTTCTGACAGTAAGAGCTGTTTGACATTGGAACGGTTTCCATGGGAAAGTTGTGAATTCTCCTTCCTTGGAGGTTTTTAAGCAGAGGTTGGATGGCCATCTGTCATGGATGCTTGAGCTGAGATTCCTGCATTGCAGGGAGTTGGACTAGGTGACCCTTGAGGTTCATTCCAGCTCTATGCTTCTGTGATTCTAACCTCATCCATAGAAGGCAGGTGTCTTGGGAAAAGGTTTGATATATCCAAGTGGGGGCCTGCAACAAAATGCTGCTTCTATTCAAGGTTTCAGTCCCATACATGTCTACTCAGCAGTAAGTCCTGTTGACATAAATGGGACATACTCCCAGTTAATTGGGTAATTGGATTAGTGTCTAATTTACTGATACTTTCTATATTTGCTTTTCCCTGTATTAGCTTTCAGCAGTTTCGTGTGCACTAGAAAATTGCTGAAAATGTATAAAGTTAAAATATATTGGGCTACAATCCTGTGCACATTTATGTGGGGGTAAGCCCCATAGAAAACCATGGGATTGCTTCTGAGCAAATATTTAGATGATAGTGCATGTTCATTTCTTAATATTATATTATATAAAATAAGATATTTTGAATAAAGTTAATAAAAATGCATCAGATTGGTAGTTCATAATTTAAATTCAAGCAATTTGATATTGAGAGTTTATATGATTGAAACTTCAACTGATTTTTTTTAAATTCACAGATTAAATGCAAACTTATTGAAGATCATGCAAATGAATTACGCAAAGCTAGAGAGGAAATGGAACAGACTCATAAAACAAAAGCTGAAGAATGGAAACGAGAACAGCAGGAATCAAGAAGAGAGGCTGAAGAGAAACTGTCATTGTTGCGTAAAGAGCTTGAAAGCAAGGCAGAGTGTGAGAAGCGAGCCTTGCAAAAGCAGTCTGAATTCCATGAAGCTGAAATGATTTGGCTTCAGCAGCAGCAGGCTGCTAGAATTGTAGAACTGGAGAAATCCTTAAAGGAGCAGCAGAACAGCGTCAGGCAGCTGGAGGACACTTTAGTAAATGCACAGAAGACTTTGGCTCAGTATGACAGCGAACTCGCTTCCACCAAGACCCTCATGACTGAAGAGTTAGAAAAAGCCCAAGAAGTGTTACAAGAAGAGTGGAAAGCTAAACTTAAAGATGTACAGAGCAGGTTTGTAATTTACTATATTATCATTGTGATTATGATTTACGGTAAATCATTTTTTTACCAGCTCTTCATTACAGCAATTTCATTACATTTCATTAAATTTCATTACAGCAATTTCATTACATTTCATTAAATTTCATTACAGCAATTTCAGAGAAGGTTATTTAAAGTTTCAAATGCACAATATAGTTATTAAAAATGTAAGGTAAATCGCAAACAACTAACTAAAAACATCCATACTGACATCAAATTCCACTAAAAGTGGGTACGTCTATACAGGAGAAGGTATTCTTTGAATTATCCCAGCCCCAGGTTGTACAGGGCTATGTAAGTCCGTACATAATCAAGGTGTAGTAAAAGACTGGGAAGGATAGGCAAATATTGCTTTGTTTATGAATTACAATTAAAATGTAATTTCCCTGTTTCATGGATGCTCAGAGCCTTCTTTTGAAAAGAAGTAGGCAGAAGACCCAAATTGAAAGGGTTTGTATGGAGGTTAACCAGGTTTCCTGTTTCAGAAACAAATTGGGGGGCAGGGAATGGTCCTGTGGGTGTTGAGTTGAGAAGGGAAATCACTTAGGATTCATAATACAGTCTTCCTTTTCTTCGGAGAAAGCTGGTGTTATTTTATTCTTTAGAGGTGTGTGTTTCAGCAGGCTTGCCTTATTAATACTTGCTCCTAATGACTTGAAAGATACCTTCTCATACGGAAATGTGTGTTTTTAAGCCAAGACATTTCCCATTTTCTTTTGGTAAATGACTATTTTTGTGGGTAAGGGAGCTCTCCATTGTTAATATGGGAAAGAAAAGTGGAAGAATTGTATTTAAAATATAATGGACGTTGTAAGCCTTGCGTTTTCTGTGCCTGTAATGGGAACGTATCTAGCACTTCTAGAATAATATGCAATCTCCTCAAAAGCGAAATACCTGGGTATTTGGATCACCCCCAAGAACATAAACTTATTTCAGGATAATTACACCAAAACTTGGTTAGAGATTAGAAAAAGCTTTGTAACCTGGAGTAAACTAAAATTAACATTTCTGGGTAGGATTTCCATTATAAAGATGAATGTGCTTCCAAAATTAATCTTTTTATTTCAAATGATTCCAATACTGGGCGAAGCAGGTTGTCTCAAGATATGGCAAAGAGAAATTTCCAAATTCCTGTGGGAAGGGAAGAAACCTAGGATTAAACACCTGATCTTAATAGACATAAAAGAGAGAGGAGGCTTTTCCTACCCGACCTAAAACTTTACTACGAGGCAGCCTGTTTCACCTGGCTAAAAGATTGGTGCACGTTGCAGGATTCGGACCTCCTGGACCTGGAAGGTTTTGACAACCGTTGGGGATGGCATGCCTACCTAATATATGGAAAAGCGAAAATTCATAAAAACTTTACCAACCATATAATAAGAAAATTCACTCTTTGCTGTATGGGAAAAATATAAAGACCTGATGGAGCCTAAAGTCCCGTGGTGGACTTCTCCAGTAGAAGCCATAGCAGTAAAACGGAAAAATACTCAGGAAAGCTGGCCAACATATAAAATACTTCTAAAAAATGAAGATAACCAAATAAAATTAAAAAACTTTGAGGAAATAAGAGACCACATTTCAGACTGGTTCCAATACCATCAGTAATTTGAAAAATTTAAATCTGACAAACAAAAGGGTTTCTCAACAGAAATTTCCCGATTCGAATCTGATCTTGTAAATTCTAAAAGAAAAACTCTTTCCAAAACTTACCGACTCCTCCTTGACTGGACAGTCAAGGAGGAGGAGGTAACAGTGGCAATGGTGAGGTGGTCCCAGGATTTTGGCCACTCAATAACCATGGCCCAATGGGAAAATTTATGGAAGATCAATTGGAAATTCACAAATTGTTACACGATTAGAGAGAACTTTCAAAAATGCAACATCGATGGTATCTAACACCATGGAAGCTTTCAAAAATGTATAAAAATGTATCAAGTAATTGTTGGAGATGCGGAGACTCAGGAACATTCTACCATATGTGGTGGATATGTAGGAAAATACAGGTATTCTGGGAGAATATACATGCAGAACTGCAAAAAATGCTAAAGATCTCTTTCAATAAAAAACCAGAGGCCTACCTCCTGGGAATAACAGATTTGGATATTCCACAAAAGAGGAAGGGTATATTTTTATATGTGACGGCAGTAGCAAGAGTTTTGATCGCAGCAAAATGGAAGAGTAATGAAATCCCCTCTATTCAAGATTGGATCCAAAAGCTGACAGAATATGCTGAATTAGATATAAGAAATTAGATTTAATGAGAATAAGTTTAATTATGAAAAAAATGTGTATTGGCAATAAGTAATACGAATTTGAAGTATGGAATAGACGGGAGGTTGGGTCTTTAGTGTTAAGACCAATAGATGTTTTATTGTTTGCTAAGAATATTATGTGTCTATGGTTATTTTTGTAATTTGTGTGTAATTTGGTATTTGTGTTTTTTGTTTGTTTGTTTTTCTTGTTGTATAAATAAAAAACAAAAAAATAGAATAATATGCAACAATGCTCTGAGAGTAAAATTGTGGTGTGGGGTAAAAATGAAATTGTCTTGTATGATATCAGTTCTGACATGTGATAAGGGTTTTGATAGGCGCAGGTCAATTCTGTGTCCAGGGCAACTGTCTACCAGCTCCATCTGGTACACCGGCTGAGACCCTCCCTGCCCGCAGACTGTCTCACCAGAGTGGTGCATGTTCTAGTTATCTCCCGCTTGGACTGCTGCAGTGCTCTCTATGTAGGGCTACCTTTGAAAGTGACTCAGAAACTGCAATTAATCCAGAATGTGGCAGCTAGACTGGTGACTGGGAGTGGCCGCCAAGACCATATAACACCAATCCTGAAAGACCTACATTGGCTCCAAGTACATTTCTGAGCACAATTCAAAGTGTTGGTGCTGACCTTTAAAACCCTAAATGGCCTCGGCCCAGTATACCTGAAGGAGCGTCTCCACCCTCATTATCCAGCTCGGACACTGAGTCCAGAGCAAAGGGACTTCTGGTGGTTCACTCACTGTGAGAAGTGAGGTTACAGGGAACCAGGCAGAGGGCCTTCTTGGTAGTGGCGCCCGCCCTGTGGAACGCCCTCCCATCAAATGCCAAGAGAATAAACAACTATCCCGACTTCTAGAAGACATCTGAAGGCAGTCCTGTTTAGGGAAGTTTTTAAAGTTTAATGCTGTATCATGTTTTTAATATTTGGTTGGGAGCCACCCAGAGTGGCTGGGGAAATCCAGCCAGATGGGTGGGGTATAAATAAATTGTTATTGTTGTGTTATTGTTGTATTATTGTTTTTCCTTCCTTGTAAATCTAGATTGGTGGAAGAGCATGAAGCTATTACTAAAAAAATCACAAGAGAACATGAGATTCTCTTTCAGGAGCTGAGGGAAAAACACACTGAGGAGCTCAATCTCCAAAGGACAGAATTGCAGCATAAGCATAAGGAGCATATTTCGTCCCTGACATCCATTCTGCAGACAAAGCACCAAGCAGACACTGAAACTCTCAAGTCTGTATTTGAGAGACAGCAGCAGGCTCTAGAAACTCAGATAGCAGACATGCAGAATAATCATCAAGCACAAATTACAGACCTGGAGACTAAGCATTTATCAGATTTGGATTCTCTAGAGTCTACATATATATCTGAAATTCAGCTCCTGCAAGATGAGCACAGGCAAGCTCTTGAAGATTTGTGGGTAGATTTCAGAGACCAGTTGCTTCAGAAAGATAAGGAAAATCAAATGTTTTTGGCTCAAGTAGATGAGATGAAACTTCAACATGTTGAAGAGCTGCAGATTTGCCAAGACAATCTGAAAATAGAGTTGACTACAGTTCACATGGGAAAACTTAAAACAATGGCAGCAGAACTAGAAGAAGCACATAACGTGAGTGAGGCTAACCATTAATTACTCTTGGGTTTGAGTTCTGGGTTTGAGTGATGCAGGTTGAACCAGATGTCACAGGTGGTGCAGGCTTCCAGTGTCTTTTTTCCTTGCACATATGGATTCCCCCCTACTTCTTGATTTGTAACAGCTATACAGTGGAATCTCGGGTTGCGGACATAATCCATGACGGAGGCATGTCCGCAACCCGCAGCATTCGCATTCTGAAGCGCCATGTTTGCGCCAGCGCAATTTGGCACTTCTGTGCATGCACGAAGTGCGATTTAGCGCTTCTGCGCAGGCGTGAGAGGCAAAACCCAGAAGTAACCTGTTGCGGTACTTCCGAGTTTCCCGCGGTCCGCAACCTGAAAACATGTAACCTGAAGCGTTTGTGACATGAGGTATGACTGTATAGTAGTTTAGTGTGTAAAGTAGTATAGTATTGTAGATTTAGTTCTAAACCTATCAAACTATGGATAATAATCCACAGTTTCTCTCTGCACTAGAACAGAAGCATACTTTCAGATGCGTTTCTGGCTCTTGAATGTAAACGGCTGTAGGCAGCAAATATAGTTTATTCATTCTGGACACCACAGCAAAGTAGATTTACTGTGGAAGGGGAGGGGGGCGTCAGCAAGTGAGGAGGGAGCATGTTGGCATGCAGTATTTTCACGGACAGCCAAATCATGATTTGGCCAGCTATTGTATAGGCTTTGCTTTTGCTTTCTTTTCGTTTCTCTTTTACCGTTTAAGTTTCTCATTTTATTTGATTTTTATCTGTGACCAGAAACATGTATATTTTATTTGTGCACTGCACCTGCTGCGTATGTTATAGGTATAGGGGAGGGCAAGATGGAGTAACTGACATTTGTGCAGCAGAAAGTTTGTAACCCTTAAAGTTAGCGAATTTGACATTCTATAGCTGTTTAGGGAAACTGTTTAAAAACCTGTATAATCCTGTAAGTGAAGCAGCAAAATGAGCTACAGCAGTTACCGTATTTTTCGCTCTATAAGATGCACTTTTCCCCTCCTAAAAAGTAAGGGGAAATGTGTGTGCGTCTTATGGAGCAAATGCAGGCAGGAGGCTCTGCTCAGCGCTCCCTTTAAAGAGTCGTGTGGAGCGTGTGTGCGGCTCTTGGGGGCTTTTCTTCGAGGAGGGAGAAGGGCTGCCCTTTAAAGGGCACGCTCTTTAAAGGGAGCGCGGCTCTTGGGGGAGCCTTAGCCGCGTGCAGCCTCTCCCAGGCAGGGGATGAAGGCTCCCCTTGCCCAGGAGAGGATGCGCGCAGCCAAGCAAGAAGCCAGGACAGCCAGTGGGATCGCTGCACAGCAATCCCACTAGCTGTCCTGGCTTCTGGGATTCAGAATGATTTTTTTTCTTGTTTTCCTCTTCCAAAAACTAGGTGCGTCTTATAGAGCGAAAAATGTGGCATATTTTTCTGGTACAAATGTCTGCCTTTGCTTTATTGTTTTGTAAAGGTATATTATGTGTAATTTGGGATTCCTGTTTTTAACTTTTGATTATGTATAGGAAGATTTGGCAGTAGTGCTAGGAAAACAACGACGTTTGTTGAAAGATGACTATCATAATGCCCTGGATGTGCAGCAGGAAGAAATCCTCCATATAGAGGAGCAGCATAAAAAAGCAATACAGGAACTTCAAGATATTCATATGGTGGAAGTTAATCAAGAAAAAGAGAATTGCCAGCATCTTCAGAGAGAGGTAAAAAACAAGTTAGACAAACAACAAGTGAGGATCTGCTTTGATTTTTAAAGAGAAGCAAAAATCTTTTAACGTTGTTTCTGTAGGTTGCCTTCATTTGAAGCCATCCTGTTTGAGGAACAATATCAATTGACACCTTTCTCCAGTTCTGCTGCAGCTGTAAATTAGATCATACATTGAGTGCATAAATGCATTTAACATATTACCTAATTAGTTCTGATAAAACTTTGTAAGCAAATGCAGCAAAGGTACCAAATGCAGTTTCCCTCCCAGGGTAGATAGCTGTGGAGGAGGAACTTGTTATTTAGATCATGATACAGAAGGAAAGACTTGATCCCTCCCTCCCTCCATCTATTTCCTTTTAACCATTAAAGGCAGTTCATGCATTTGGCATCTCTCTAATTTGACCCTTGCTGGGAAAACATATGATATAGAAATTTTCTTTTTCTGGCGTTAGTCAAATAAGCCAGTCTGTGGGACCAGCTATTGGAAGTGACTCACTCAAAGGACTATACTAGCATTAATTACTAAATAAATTGCCTTTCAAAGGTTTTAGATATTTCATTCCTTAGCCAGGTGTGAAAATCATAGTTATGATTACATTCTAAGGTAAACTGCAGGTTTATAGAAAAACAATTTTTTGGACCAATTCTGAATTTGTTTTATCAATGCCCAATCTGAAGGTCTTTGAAATTTAAGTACTGATAGTATAGAGGAATTCACAAAAATACTTACTACTATAAAATTTCAGTGAGGCTTAGATGCCTAGCTGTTTTTGATTTCTTTTCTTTGCTCTCTAGCATAACAAAACAGGGTTAGCATGGGGCAATTGCAGAAAGTAGAGATTGTATCATTAATACAAGCATATATTCCTGTATGTGCATGGCAGTCGTTGTTGTCAAATCTTCTTTAAACAGGAGGAAGATCAGTTACAGGATTTCACATGCAGTACTGTCCATCCTGCTGTCCACTGTCATCCTGGGCTATCCTGGATTGTATTCACAGTGATACTGGAGTCTCCCAGGCTTTTGTTTATGGGTGGAGGGAATTCAACATTCAATCTTGAGAGTGACTCAGGGCTTCATGGTCTCTGTGGGAACCATGCGACTGCTACAGTTTTAACAATGAACTTAGCCATCAAAGTGCAATAAAAGTTACATTGTAGTATTTAGCATATTAAAAAACGAATTTTCCACCAAAACCTCTAAATGCTGCTTTTGCAAAATCTTTTAGCTCACTGTTACATTTTCTACAGATGGAGGAGAAAGTCAAATTCTTAGAACTAGAAGATGCTGATGCTGAACTGAGAAACCTCCAGCAGCGAGACAGAGAGAATCAGGAAGGAGAGACACTAATGGCCTTACTGAGATCTGATATGGACATTTGTACTAATGAAAGGTTAGTTCATGATATTCAAAATATTTTTTGGCTTTTATATAAATTAGGCAAGCAGTATAAATTACGGTTCAGAAAAGAGAATACCATTGAAGCAGATAATGCTAATAATCAGTATTAGAGAATAAGAAGTGGCTTATTCTGAACAAGATTGACATTAGGCAAGTGATTCTGGCGTGTTGACAGCTGCTTTGTGTTTTCCCCCCATAGAATTTGAAGGGGGTTGTTCTGGAAAAAATTGTCCATTTGTGCTGTTGTGTGATTTGTTATGTTAATTCAAGGGATGTGTTGTATATGTGGCTTTTTGTAGTAGTTTAAAAAATGTAGTTTTGTGACCAACGTTAGTCAAGTCAGTGGGATTTATGAATGTGTCCTTCACACATGCTGAAGATTAACTTGTAAAAGAAGGTTGAGTGGAGGGGAGGGTTTGAGTGGGAATGTTGGATAGAGTGAGGGTCAAGTATGAGGGTCAGATGGAAAATGACAAGAGTGTGTGATTAGGGACAGAAAAGCCCTGAGGGAAGAGGAAAGAGTGAGACAGAGACAAGGGAAAGTATATTTGATGGATGTATTTATTTTATTGTTAAGGGTGAGTTGGCTAAATCTCATTCCGCTGTTATAATGAGAAATTGGGGGCTTATACAACTTATACAGTCATACCTTGGGTTAAATATGCTTCGAGTTGAGCATGTTCGAGTTGCGCTTCTCGGCAACCCGGAAGTAACGGAGTGCGTTACTTCCGGGTTTCGCCGCATGCGCAGACGCACAAAATGACATCATGCACGTAAGCGGCGATAAGCGATGCGCGCGTGCGCAGACGTGCCGTCGCTAGTTACGTTTACCTCTAGATGCGAACGGGGCTCTGGAACGGATCCCGTTCGTATCTAGAGGTACCACTGTAGTTTGAAAATGGCTTAGCTAATTGATTTGAAACTTGGCAATGTAGGAGAGTAAGGTTTGAGGATGGTTGATGCCAGAATTGAGGAGGAAAAGTTAATGCATGGTATATCTCCAGGTAGCATGGCAGTAGGGAGATGGGGGAAGGAGGGAAGTGGCTGAGATTTTCTCTCTGAATCCCTGCATACTTGCTCCTTTTTACTAAGCCATGGTTAGGCATGGTAAGACATCCCCTTTTATTGTTAGAGATGGGATTAGAATTTTTACTTCATTTGCAGATGGACCCTAGAACTTTTGCACTCTGGAAAACCCGGGGGAGAAATGTAACTGATGTCCCTTTAGGTTTTTCATGGCCTTCCAGTTGTCTTGCAAACACATTCTATCCCAGCATATATATTTTTTCAAAACAAAAACTATCTTCACCCTTTGTTTTGTGTACTGTGTTACATTTGCTATGCTTCCCATTGATGTTTTACCAAGTAATAAAGATGTTAAGGGTTGGAAAAACCAGAGTCCCCCCCCCCATTTTTCCAGGGTTCCCCCATTTCCCCCCCCAAAATGGGGGAGGGACTGAACCCCCCTGCAGTTTTCCAATCTTTTTCCATGCTTTCCTATTTCTACCCATCCTCTTCTCAAATAATGATATCTTTCTCATCCTTGGTATTTTTTAAAAAAAATTCTTTTATTGCATTTATATGCCAGCCTTTTCTCCAAGGAACACAAAGTGGTGTGCATGGTTCTTCCTCTCCTTATTTAACCCCCACAACAAGCCTGTGAGGTTAGGCTGAATGGCAGGAACTGGCCCAAGAACACCTAGTGAACTTCATGCCCAAGTGGGGATTTGTGGCCTGGTCTCCCAGGTCCAAGTCTGATGTTAATCACTACTCTACACTGGCTTATCAACCAGGGTGCCAAAGTCTCTATTACCATACTTTTCTTTCATTGCAATAGGTGAAGGAGTCTTATTTAGAGAGAGAGAGAGAGAGAGAGATTGATTATGTGGTTGAGAGGAGAGATCATTAGGAAAGGAATTCAAAATAAAACTGTTGATATCATAACATACAAATCTATGGTGTGACTGAATTTGGAATACTGGTTGTCTCACCTCAAAAAGGACATTGTAGAGCTGGAGAAGGGTCAGAAAAGAGAAACCAAAATGATTAAAGGGATGTATGTAGCACAAGAGAGCAATACCTTTTTCTATAACATTTTAATTAAGAAACTTTCATGGATAAGTGGAATGCACTGTAGATTCCTTCTATCTCCCACCCTGAATACAAATAACTCCAGCTAAAATCTTACGTTCATTTTTCATATGATGCTGAACTATACCTCGGCCCTTCCTGGAAAAGAGAGAAGTTTCTCCGCTTCTCACCGATCAGTTGGAGAAGTTAGGTGCCAACCAAGTGACAAGAAATATTGGCTTGACCGTGATTGGATGGTTCCCAAACACTAAATGCACTTGGGGAATTTTGAACATTGCGTAGGTGCATTAGTGTATGAAGGAAGATAGCCAATGGAAGGCGTGTGGCAGGCTAAGAGTAAAAAGGTCATAGGGAGAATGGGTCAAGAGAATGGTAATGGCAAGAGTCCAGAGAGCAGGCAAGGTGGCAGCAAAGCTGCTGAGAAAGACATTGGATCAATGACCGCATAGAAAGTGCAGGAGGCAGATTATTGGGAGGGTAGATTTGTTCAGTGTTAAAGGAGATGTGCTAGTTATCAGACAGAGGGAAATCTATGGCACAGATTTCAGAGACAGAACAGCTCAATATATATGTTTTATTCTAGGAAAAAGCTGCAAGAGTCTTATCAGCATGCTTTGAAATTGCTTCTGAAAATGGTGAAGGCTACAAAAGATACTGAAGACCTCATCTACAAGAAGATTGGTCTTTGTCTTGATGAGAGTCTAGCATCTGGAGATTCAGGAGAGAGTCGCAGTATAATTGGAGAAATAGTACTTGCACAAAATCGTAAAACTGTGGAGAAATGGGGCATAGAGAAAAGCAGTAGAGGTAATTGTGCACAGAGAAAAACTAAAACTACCATGGGTTTCAAATACATTGTCTTCAAATACATTTCCTCCAAGGCTTCTCAGAAATATGGTGCATTCTAGCCAGTATTAAAACCAGACCCTGTAGTGTAACTTGAAAGCTAAGCATGTGTTTAATCTCTACTACTGAAAGTGCTTGACTTTGGATGGATCATGCCATAAGTTTTTCCAATATCTATTCCTCTTTTCCATATTTGAGTATTCCGAGAGCCTGTTCAGATGTTACTTTTCTTGGTTCTACTCAGGTTGTGATGGGGATCAAGCCTTGGGCTGACTTTTACTCTTTTTTTCTCCTTTGTTTCTCCTTCACCATGTATAGAAACTGATTAATAATCTGGAGGTTTCAATTTATTTGAATTTTTTTGGTAAATGTTCAAATAGGAAGAAATGAAGAAACATTTTTTATACTTAGCACTGCCTGATAATAAATACTACTAATAATAGTTTAATATTTATACCATGCCCACTTGTCTGGGTTGCCCCAGCCACTCTGGGCGGCTTATAACAGAATATAAAAAACATAAGTACAATTACATAATTCTACTATGCAGAAATTGTTATATCTAAACAACAATTTCTGCATAGTAGAATTATGTAATTGTACTTTCTTATGTTTTTTATACAGTGATTCCCAAATCTCTTTTTTTTGGGCCACCCCCCCCCCCCCGGTTCCCTAAACTGATCCCCAGTGCTCCCATCCTACTCTGTAAAAAACATTATTCAGAATAGCAATTTGCACATCCAGTTAAGGAAGATAGTAACACAATGAAGAGTATCAATTTATTCAAACTACTGTTAAAGTGATTTAGTTTAATTAATTCAACAAAATTGATGAACTTGATCCTGTGAAAACAGCTTTCCAAAGTCTGATAGTCATTTAACAAGAGTCTTAGATACCACATTGTTTTTAATGCAATGGATGGGATTGATCAAGTGATACCTGTTCCTCAATGTCAGGTTTAAAGTCTCTTAGCCAAAGTCTTAAATCATCATGTTTAGTAATCTGGAGTAGATTTCTTTGCTTGAATAGAAGTTGGATGACCACACCAAAACGGCCTTCCACCAAATGTGATGCTGGAAATTTGACAAGGAGCTTCTTAACAACTGCTCATTATGTAGGAGAGTGACCAGAAATTTCCTTCTGTAACCAAATCTCACTGTAACATTTCTTAAACTTTTGCTTCAGCTCAAATTACGTTAGTTTTTTCTTCACTACCTAGGTTCCACAGTACAGTCGTACCTTGGAAGCCGAACAGAATCCGTTCTGGAAGTCCATTCAACTTCCACAACGTTAGACTTCCAAGGCAGGGCTTCCGATTGGTTGCAGGAACTTCCTGCAGCCAATCGGAAGCCCCGCCGGACGTTCAGCTTCCAAAAGAACATTCACAAACCAGAACAGTCACTTCCAGGTTGCAGCGTTCGGGATCCAAAACGTTCAACTGCTAGTCAACCAAGGTACAACTGTATCTGAAAATGGATTTATCATCCGATCTGAAATTTAAATACACAGCAAGGAATGTGCTTTGCTCTGGCCTCTAGCCTGGTCAGTCATACATAAGTGATCAGTGCATTCAGAGGGGCTCACCTCCAGAGCTCACCTGCTTGCCTCTTAGCGCCCCCATAGGTAACATCACCTTTCCCCAGAGGGCAGTACTGCCCACTTTGGGAATCACACTGGTATAACAAGTTGTTTTGTTTTTAAACCTATGACATTTTAATTTCTTGAATTCTTGATCAAACTCTGCCAGAACACAGCTTTGATTCTTCGTTGCCTGATGAAGTATCTGAACTGAGTGAGCATTTATGTGAAAGTATTTTTGAAAACCCAAACCTGGTGTTTGAGAATGAAGAGAGGATTCATAAAATTTGTCATTGTTTTCATATTGCTGTGGAAAAGCTTCTAGAGCTGGTTGCTGAATCAACTAAACAGGTAAACTTATATTAATGTTTACTTAATTTTAAACTGTAACCATATATATTAATAGTGTGATGTTGAGCATTGCTGAGGATCTGTATCTTCTAATATATTCAGTAGAAAAAAAGGAATGGGCACCAGCTCCCCAATCAGTAATTGCTTTCATGTCTGGAAAGGAATATTGTTACACCGTGAATAGAGATAGCACTTTACTGAGCAAAAACAGGATGAGTTTTTATTGCCAATGTGCAAGGTCACATCCACACCATAGCACTATTGCACCACTTTAACAGTCATGGATAATCCTGGGAGTTGTAGTTTATGAGTGCTGGGAACTGTAGCTCTGTGAGGTCAGCACCCTTAACAAGAGTGGTTTGATAGTGCTTTAAACTGCATGTGGATGGAGTAAGGCCCATTGAATTCACTAGCCATCTTAATAAGTAGACATGTCAGAGATTTAAAATAGTGTGAAGGGGAAAGCCTTCAAACAACATATGGCTTTCTTCTAAATACCAGCTTTTATTCCCAACCATATGATCAGATGAAGTACAACCCCCCCCCCAAAAAAGTGCTATACTTCACTGTTCAGAATAGTGATTGAAAAGTTATGTCAGAGGATTTTGGTGGCCTAAGGATAAGGTAAGGATAGGATAAGGATAAGGTAGCTTCTTAACACAAACAGTGATTTGTTGTATGGTTAGTTAGCAAAGCCTATAATAAATAATCATATAAGAAGTCTAAAATATTAGAAATACAGCTTAGCCTTTTATTTAGTGTCTTAAACATTTATTTTTTTTAAGCTGGAGGAAACTCAAAAAACTAATATTCACTATGAAGAGGAATTAAAGCGTAGGAACTGGGAAGCATGTCAGGTGGTTCACGAACGCCAAAAGCTAATGGACTGTCTTAATGAAGAAAGTGAGGCAAAGAATAATCTGGCACTGGAACTTCACAAAGCAAGAGGTATGGAAATAAAAACCAAAATTTCTTGTGTGGTACTAAAACTTTGCAGGGATCTAAAGCAGTTCTAAATGGTGGTTTGCACAGGTAATTTTCTCCTGCGCCTGAGCAGCCTGTTCAGCATATGAGCATGACCACAATTGCATAGTGAAACAAAAGTCTACATATAGACACAGTGACACTCTAGTTAGCATGGCACCCTTTTTCCAGTTGCCATAATTGTTTCCGTTGAGGTTGTATATGTGTATAGTTCAGTTTCTGCTACTATCTTTCTGTCTACCATCTTCTCTGAAAGAATGTCACATAGATATAGAACAAAAAACGCACACAGACTGCAATCCTATGCATACTTGACTGGGATTACATCTCATTTAATATACTGGTACTTGTTTTCTAGAAAACATGTAATAGATTGTATTTACCCAAATATAAGCCACACTTTTTTCCCCAAATTCCGACTGGAAGTTAAAGTGCAGCTTATATTCACAACCTTACGAATCGGCGGCGGGATGGAGAACAGTGGGCGTTGAGGCTCGCCGAGCTGCCTCTTCGACAGAGATGAGTGGAGCGCTATGCATTTTGCACGTACGGGCCGCTCCCCTCTTGCGTTCGCTTTGGGCGGCGGGCAGCTCACAGCGCCGCCCCTCCTGGCCCTGCATGCCATTACAAGGACATCCCATCGGGCATGGATTGCAAGCTGGAGGCACAGCACATAGTCAACATCTTGCTGCGCAAGATGTACAGTGTGTGGGGCCAGCGCAGCGTCGTCAAGCTGCACAGGAACCTCCTGGTGTCGCTCGTCTTGCGCAGTACCTGGCAGGTCTACCTGAGCGAGTGATTTCATGGTCAGTGGTATCAAAGGCCGCTGAGAGTTCCAGCAGAACTAGGAAACAGCTTTCGCTTTTGTCCCTAGCCTGCCAGAGATCATCGACCCATGCAGCCAAGGCAATTTCAGTCCCTGAAGCCTGAATCCCAATTGGAAGGGATCCAAATGGTCCGCATCCTGTAGGCGTGCCTGGAGTTGTTGAGCGACCACCTGCTCAGTCACCTTGCCCAAGAATGGAAGATTTGAGACTGGGCAATAGTTGGCCATACTGGCCGGTCTGAAGATGTTTTTTTAAGAAGAGGTTTAATAACTGCCACTTTCAGCAGGTCAGGGAAGGCTCCCTCACAGAGGGAAGGACAAAGATGAGTGGTTAGAGGGAGAAGACTGGGAGCAGGAGGTGCTGGAAGCTGAAGAGGCAACAGGGCTCAGTGAGCTGAGTGAATCGGTGACAGAGAAAAGTCCAGAATTGGAAACTGAAGCAGGAGTGTGGGAGGAGGGAGGCCAAGAGGCAAAGATGAGTCAGGCTGGTGAAGAGTCACACATGTCTCCCTCTGCTGCTGCAACAAGCTTCCCTCCCCCACCTCCCAGAACCAGAAGAGGCATGAAAAGGGTGGAGGAGAGGTTGGCTGCATGCAGGCACAGGATTTGATTGCTTGGAAAAAGCCCTGGAGAGGAGGGAATTTGGACGGCGGTGGGGAGGCAGGGACTTTTGGTCTCGGCAACTGATTCATGGGGTAAGACTTATGGGAATGAGCCACTGTTTTTATTAGGCCTGACACTCAGTGAAGTTTGTGAAGATCATGGTTTTGCTAATAAAGAGTTAGCTCCAACTTTGAATGGTGTGATTTACTGCCAGCTAGCGATGTCACTTCACTTGGAAATTATTTTTATTGGAGTATCTGTAAATCCATAAGTCATGACAACTTAAATAGCATATATTTTGCTTACATTATTTAGAGTTTGGGGGAGTGGGGACAAAGCCAATAAAAAATTTTTACATACTAATTTGGCATACCTGAAGAGCTATTTACATAAATTTGGCTAGGTTCACATGTCACATATAACCATAGTTTAAAACAAACTGGTTTAATGTGAATTAGCAGCGTGTTGGTTGATGCTGTTCAAAAGTTCCGTGACGCTCCTCCCACACTCCTGCTACTGCCACTACACAAAGAACAGAAGCCAGAGTGTGGCTTATTGTGTCCAAAGGTGATTCTTCATTTCTCCCAAACATACCCTGAGCAGTAGCCAAGCTCTGTTCTTATACAGAGTTAGCTTAATATTGTATAAACAAAATATATCGGGAAAGTTAATCAGCTGTGTTGGGGAAAATTAGGGTTTATTTTCTCTGTTCTTTAACATCTTATTCTTTGTGTAGTAAGTTTTCAATGAAAATAGATGTGTAACTGTTAATCTATTTTGGTATATTTATATATTCTTTGCAATGTTGGTATAGTTATACTTAGGTACTCCTACCTTGCATAAATGTCATCAGTGCCTGATCATTATGCTTTCATACAATGTTTGGATTTCAGGCCTCATTGAAGGCTGTTTAACAGAAAGACATGCCTTGGAAGAAGCCTTGAAACTGAAAGAGGAGTCTGAATGCCATCTTGTTGCAGAACTGGAGAACTTGAAAGCAAAGCTCCAAGAGTTAACTCAGGAACATGCAAGATCTCTTGAGGAGCAGAAGCTGCTAATAAGTCAAAAGAAAGCGTTGGCTGCCAATGTAGGGGAGAGAGAAGATGGTAAGGAATAGACTGATATATTAAAATATTAAACACACACAAATCCTGAATTGCTAAAATGTTTGAAAATTTCGCTAGGTGGAAAATTTCCACTGACTTAAAACATTTTTAAAAGGATTGCAGTTTTTAAGTATGTAAAGCAAAAGTTGGTATTATTTATTTAAGAAATTTATACCCTGTTTTCACCTTCTGCCTCAAAGCAGCTTACAGCCAAAAGCACAGAAAAAAATGCAATAGATAACAGATTTCTGTTGGGTTAAAACACAGCACAAGACAAGGTGAGGTCATCTATATGATAAGCAGAAAACTAAGATCCAGAGGCCTTGGTAAATAAGTATGGTTTTCTCCTGGTGCCAGGCATGCTTCCTTGGCGAAAGCATTCCCTAAACGGAGAGCCACCACTGAGAAGGTGCAGTTTTGTGTTGCCACCCTTTGCATGTCCTTTGGAGGGCCTCAGGTGAAGAATACAGAGTGGAGTGAGGCAGTTCTTGGTATTGTGGTCCTGAACTGCAAACGGGTTTATGAGTTAAAACCCACACTTTGAATAGGGCCCAGAAACTAATTGTTAGCCAGTGCAGCCATGCCAGAATCAGTTTTATGTGATGCTCATGCTACTGAATTATACACCAGCTGCAGTTTCTGAACAGTCTTCAAAGTCAGCCCCCCATATAACACATTGCAGTAATCTAATTCAGTGGTTTCCAGAGCATTGACAACCAAAGTTAAGGGTATAGCTAGGTCACCAAATGAAGCTGATGGAAAACAGGTCGCACCACTAAGGCCAATTGAACCTTGATGGATCCAGAACATACCCCCAGTCTGCACACCTTCAGAGGGAGTGTAATTCTATCTGGAACAGGCCATGTCCCACCCATCCAATATAGGGAACCACCCACCCATAGTGTTGTATTCTTATCTAGTTTTAAGCTTCAGTTTATTAGTTCTCATCCAGTCCATTAGTGAGGCCAGACATTGGTTTTGTACATCCACTGCCACACCTGCAGATGCAAGGGACAAAAAGAGCCATGAGTCATAAGCATATTACTGACAATGCATACCAAAACTACAGATGACCACTCAGCAGTTTCATGTAGGTGTTAAACAGCATGGGACAGAAAACCAAAGCACAGAAGGCCCATCGGGCCAAGCAAAACTCCATAAGCACCACCCTCTGACGCCGGTCACCCAAGTAGGACTGGAATCAGCACAAAGCATTGCCCCCATTTTCAATTCAGATAGCCTCTCAGAAGAATACCATAGTTAATGCTATTTTAAACTTCTGAGAGACCAAGGAGGATCAACAGAGACACCCTTCTCTTCTGACAAAGGTCATCTTACAGGCCAAGACAACTTCTGCACTTTGTTCTAGCTTGGCATGGGCAGGGCTGTTGTTGTTGTTTAGTCATTTAGTCATGTCCGACTCTTTCTGACCCCATGGACCAGAGCACGCCAGGCACTCCTGTCTTCCACTGCCTCCCGCAGTTTGAGGTCAAACTCATGGGCAGGACTGAGGAGGGAGCTAAAGCAAGGAGAGTTCCAATGAATAAGATCAGTCATATTTGTCTGACTTGAATGAATCTCAAGATGCAACTCACCACATGGATGTATTCTGATGCCAGCCAAGAAGTTCCAGTATGATAAATGATCAGTGTTCCTTTTTAATTTTAAAATAATGTGTGATATTCATATCTTTGGTAATGTTATTTTTTATGTATTAGTTTTACTCAAGGAAATCGAACATCTAGCAAAAGCAAAGTTAGAACTGCAATGTCAAGTAGAAAAGGACTGTTCCACCTTGAATTCTCAAATGAAAATCTTGGAGATGGAACTTGAAGAACAACTAAACAAAAATCAGAAGATAACAGCCATGTCGTTAGAGGTTACTGACCTGAGGCAACAGATTCAAGCCCTTGAAAGACAGCTTAAAAACCAGCGAGATTTCATGGATGTAAGAAACCAATGCATTCTTTGCAATCTGGACAAAATAGCACTAAATCTTTCAGTTAAAAGTCTCAGTAGCCTTAAAACGGTTCTTGTAAATTCTAAGATCTGGAAACACAACTCTTATTTTCTTGACAGAAACAAGCTGTGGAACGGGAACATGAACGTGATGAATTTCAGGAAGAAATTCATAAACTTGAAATGCAGTTAAAAGTGACAAGAAAATCCCAAACCTCTGAGCAGTCCAGAGTGTATGAGGTAGGTAAAACATACATTCTTCAAGAATGGATCATCTGAACTAGGGCAACTTTGAAAAAGTTGATTATTTTTCAGTATTACATTGATCAGCCCAACCCAGAAAAAGTATTACAATCTTAAGACCCCGCCAAGCTGGCAGCTAGCTTGTGTCAATGTATCCTAGACAACATCCTGTGTACATCCCATAATAAATCTCCAAACCACTTTCCCTGTAGCTATGGCAACACTGCTTAATGCATCCACACCACAGTCATGCATGGACTGAGCCAATCAAGACATAGCAGGAAAGAGCCTCCATGGCGTCACCACACTATATCCCACACACATCTCACTAGACACAAGGCCATAATATCTTGGACGTCAGCCGCCCACTGTGGCACAGAGACCAAGAGCCCAGCAACAGAGAGCTTTCTGGAATCCCAGCATGATGGATTTTGAATCCCCATAGGCTACTAATGACACACAGATTGCTAATGAACACTTTGCTAACTTCACCATTTAAAGGGAAGGAATGGTGGTGGTATAGCAAATTATCACCATAGCTCTCTTGGAAGGAGATCTTCACAGTAAACACAAAGGTCTTGCCCGCCAAGGATTCAAGGCCACTGAAGTGTGCAACCGGGTCCATCTGAGGGGCGGGCAACAAGGGAAACTAACTTACACGGTTAGTCCATACATTGTTTGCTCATCATACTGTTTTTCAGTATTGGCAAGGAGTTACTGGGGCAATTCTTAGTTTATTATTATTTATTAAATTTCTGTACTACCCTTCAACTGAGGATCACAGGGGAGTTTACAATATTAAATCATAAGAATGCATACAATAGTAACAAACCAAAATAAGGACATACACCCGGTTTAAAAAGCCATAGGTTGTTTAATTAACCAAAGGCCTGGAAGAAGAGGAATGTTTTTGCCTGACGCCTAAATATATGTAATGAAGGCAGCAAGCGAGCCTCTCTGGGGAGAGCATTCTACAAGTATGCAGCCATTGCAGAAAAGGCCCGTTCTCATGTTGCTTCCCTCTGGACTTCTCATAGAAGGGGCACAGAAAGACAGGCTTCAGATGACGATCACAGGGTCCAACTCGCTTCATATGAGGAGAGGTGGTTCTTGTGGTATTGCGGTCCTGAGCCATTTAAGGCTTTATCGTTCAAAACCAGCACTTTGAATTGGGCTCAGAAAATAATTGACAGCCAGTGCAGTCAGGGCAGGATCGTTGTGATATGCTCAAACCATCTTGCTCCATTGAGCAACCTGGCTGCTGAATTCTGCACTACCTGAAGTTTCCGAACCATCTTCAGAGGCAGCATTGTGTAGAGGTTACCAGAGCATAGACAACAGAAGTTAGGCTATCCCTGTCCAGATAGGAGCTTTGAAGCAAATTATGATGATTTACATAAATGTGTTTGGGGTGTATTAACTATTAGATTAACTCGCTTATTTGTCAAACAGCATGAAATCTTTTTGTTTGTCCATTCTTATAGGTAGAGACTCTCCACAATGAAATAAAAGAGAAAACAGAGGATTATAATACGCTTTTCTTAGATAAAGAGCAGATACAGAAAAACCTTGCTGTTCAAAAAGAAGAAATAGAAAAGCTGGAATCACGAGTCAGAGAACTGGAGTTTATGAACAGGGAAGAAGCAAAGAATGTCAATAAACTCACGCAAGAGCTGCAAAAAATGAAAAAAAAGGAAGCGGAACTAAAACAAGTAAATTTATGTAAATTACTCTCTTTAACAGAAAGAAGAATTTAGGCATTACATAGGAGTGATAGCTGGCATTTTTGTGTTGTGAGTTTCTAATGGTGTGGGATTTTGTAGTCGTAAAAACACTAGGGCATTCTGCACCAAGAAGTATGTTTTCTCTAAAGAAAGATTTGGCTATACTGGGATGCACCTTCTATGTTCTCTCTGTGTCATTTTTCTGCCTCTGGGCTGAGCAGTCTCAGGTCTCTGATCTGCTTGGTTGGTTTAATCCTGTTCAAGTGAAGTTTGAAGGCCAGGTTGAAGATGATGAAATAAATACAGCCACCAAACTCTGCTCTTGCCCTTGGCTCTTAGGTGCCCATAAGAAACCTGTCTTAGCCTCTTGTCAGAATGCTAAGAAGATGGAGGAGGGTGAGTGGTGTCTTGGTCACAGCACCATGACTATAGCCTGAGGGATGGTTCAGCCTGCAGTGCGAGTTCTAAACCTTTCACTGCTCATTCACAGGTTGTGTGACTGAACCCTTTCCTGTTTTTCCCACAGTGATTTACCCTCTTGTGTATGGCCTCCCTCCTTTAGCCCAGTGGCCATTTGTAGAATCTAACTGCTGGAAGAGATGTGCTGAGGTGGTAGGAATTGTCACCATGGATCTCTGGGGGGTCAACTTTTCAGATGGCACTGCCGTGCTAAGGCTGTGGCAACTGTGGTTGCTCCACTCATGGCCCTCTGTCCTACCTTAAATTTCATTCTCAACTTTCTTTGCTGTCTGTGGAGACTGTGAAAATGTCCTGTCTATCTTCATTTGTTCCTGCTGCTGGGTTTGCTGCTGCCTCTGCTGGCCTCTTCACTGATTCAGCCTGGGGCTGAATTTTCAGGCTGTCCCTGCATACAGGCTATCTACTTCTACCAGTGTCTGATCTAGAAAGGTATGGCAGTCTGGATTGATCCTGGCTAACTCCCAATAATGTGATTTTTACCTGTGTTGTGATTGATTGACAAGTAAAAAAAAATTCCTTCTAGAAGCTGATGATTCCTTTTCTTAACCATTGTTAATTCTCTTGTAAAGGATTATTTGATCTTCTGAAGGCTTACTGTGCTGTTTGCCACCTCTTCTATTTCTGATCTTTTTCTCCTTTCATGGGACCTTGTTGTTGTTGTTTAGTCGTTTAGTCGTGTGCGACTCTTCGTGACCCCCTGGACCAGAGCATGCCAGGCACTCCTGTCTTCCACTGCCTCCCGTAGTTTGGTCAGACTCATGTTTGTTGCTTCGAGAACACTGTCCAACCATCTCGTCCTCTGTCGTCCCCTTCTCCTTGTGCCCTCCATCTTTCCCAACATCAGGGTCTTTTCCAGGGAGTCTTCTCTTCTCATGAGGTGGCCAAAGTATTGGAGCCTCAGCTTCAGGATCTGTCCTTCCAGTGAGCACTCAGGGCTGATTTCCTTAAGAATGGATGCGTTTGATCTTCTTGCAATCCATGGGACTCTCAAGAGTCTCCTCCAGCACCATAACTCAAAAGCATCAATTCTTCGGCGATCAGCCCTCTTTATGGTCCAGCTCTCACTTCCATACATTCATGGGACCTATTTCTCCCCAAAAGGGCATGTTGTATCCAAAGGTCATACAAGCAGAAGGGGGCCTGTGTGACAATATTTCCCTATTACTATAGCCCCCTGAAAGGCCTATCTGAAGGCTGTATATCTCCATCTGTGCAGAATTGAGCTGGTGGTCCACTGCAATAGGGAGACGTTTAATGCTTGATGTTCTATTATGCTTTTATATTTGTTGGAAGCCACCCAGAGAGCCTGGGGTAACCCAGTCAGATGGGCAGTACTAAAAGCAACTTACGTTTTGGTCAGCCAAAAGTTTCCAGCCCTGGCCTTGCTTTGCTCTCTGCCACAGTGACTTTTCAAAGCCACGGCTGTGCCTGTACAGTGGTGCCTAGCCCCTAATATCTGCTTGTTGCTAAATAGCAGGGGTGCACTGAAGTCCTACCCTGCTTTACTGGTTTTAGGGAGACTTGTCTGTCTGTCCTTCATAGTCCTAGAGGCGGTGGCAGCTTTGCTCTGGCTTCTGGAAGAAATGGCTAGCATGGGAAGAGGTCCTGATACTTGACTTCCTTTGATTTAACATCAAATAAACCATGGATGAATTGGAACATTAGTAACGTTTTTTGTTTCAGGGCCAGTGATATAAATGGAGATTGCAGAACAGCAAAGACAGCCTGTGGTAAATTCAAATGATAAAAAACTAATCTCGCCATTGATTTATAATAGGCTTTGTCACATGTTAGCAATCAAAATAATCTGAAGGTACTATTACTTACATATATGATGTTTGTGTTTATATTTACAGGATAAAGAAGCATTACAGCAGCAGCAGTATGATAATTTAATTCAGATTTCTACACTGCAATCCAAATTGGATGAAATCAGGCACAGAGTACCTAGGGAAGACAGCTTGGATCATACACTAATGGAACAATCGAAAACACAAGAGGAACTTTTATCAAAAAATAGAAATGTAAGTTTCAATGAGAATAATAAAAGGGCCAATTGATTTTTAAAAATCCTGATCCTCATATTGATTGTTTCCGGGTTGAAACTATAATAGAAGTTCAAAAACCTATTTTAAGAATGTAGGTTATAAATGAATAGTTACCTCTACTGATTTCTCTCCCCCCCCCGCCCCTTTAACCTTTGTGGTATTTGAAATCTTACAATGTCTTTGAAAGAAAGCTGCAGGATAGCTGTCAGGCTCGGGAAATTCTATCCCTCCCCCGGCGGCAGCTCGAAGCAGGAAAAAACAAAGAGAGTTCTTAGTAATGAGTTTATTCAATCATCATGGTGAGAAGCAAAGAAATCCAGTCAGTCTCCCATAATGGCATTGTTGCAACTGAGCTCCTCCCTTCCTAGTAACAGCACTTCCCCTTATGGTGGCCGCCAAGGGCTAATTGTCTTTGCAAGGGCTAATTGCTCTAGCACCCTCAATGAACGAAGTGTTTTAGGAGAAGGGGGGGTCAAATACTTTCCAGTGATAACGTGTCAGTTGGCTCCCCTGGCTCTGGCTCTCCCCTCTCCCAACACCTCCCAACTTTTCTGTTCATCTTTCTTTGTGCTGTGACCTTTGTCAAGCCACTGCTGTAATTCAATACTCCCTTCCTCTTCTCTAGGAGCGTCAGGAGAACGGGGGGGGGGGTGTGTGTGATCTCCACCATTCCTCCTCCCTTTCAGTCCAGTCGGTGACAATAGCACTTGCTAGTTGCATTGAATTCCCAGTTCAATGCTGTGAGTTTCATACGATAACTGCAGGTGCTGGAAAATGGTTGTATAGTTGCAACAGGCTCCTTGGGCCATTTTGTGTTGAATATAAATTCCTCTCAAATTCTTGGCATTTTTATGCTCTCCAGTAATACATAATGGCTATTCATCTGATCCTCACCCACCCCCACATTATTTATATCTGTGTAGTTTATTCTCCCATTATTTTCCATGTTACTGGAAAGTACAAAGACCCTGCTCAGGGTATCCTGGGCTCTAGCCTTATTGGCAGATGATGCATTATATGTTGTTCAGTTCTCTTCTAGATCCCTGGTAGCCAGTTCCTTTGTTCGCCACTCTCTTTAGTTTCACCACTGAGAGACAGATGTGCTTTCTTGTTCCAATTTGGTCATGGAGCCATGTGTTGGGGGCAAACTATTTGGTGATGAAGCTGTGAAGGATGTCCTATCCTAGTATAAGCCAAAAATAAATATGCCTATTAAAAAGCAAAACAGAGTTCCTTTCATCCTTCGCGGTCCTTTTGGGTTCCTAGGCCTGGTGGTAGGGAGAGAGAGTTTTGGTCCAACGTCCCTCCTGAAATTGGTCATGAGGTGGAGGACAAGGGCAACAGCAGTCTGCTTCTAGATTTGCTTCTTTCCTTCTGCAATCCTGTTGCCACCCTGCCATAGGATGGTCTTTCATGCACTTCACCTTGAGTTATCTGAGGTTCCCCCCACATATGTTTCCTGTCTCCCATTTTCAAGAATCCAGTAAAAAAGGCTGGTGTGAAGCAAGCAACCCAACAGTTCCAGGACATTGAAGCAGTGGAGCTAGTTCCACTCAGGGATCTCTGTTCTAACTTTTATTCTTCTTTACTGTGCCCAAGAAAGATGGCTATCTCTGGGTGGTATTGGATCTCAAGCATATCAACTTGTTCATTTGTTACCAATCAAAATCATTTAGTTCTTAGGATCAGCCTTCATAATAATATCATATGATTACATATAACCATTTTAAGTGTCTTTCCTTATTAAGACTTTGGTTAATTTCCCTATTCATTAACTGTCTCCCAATAGCCTCTTTCATCTGTCTATATAATGCAAGATAATGATAATTGCTGTACCTTTCCCATTCTCTTTTCATGCATACAGTGGCCACCATAGATTCTAACAGTTTATTCTTTTCAGCATTCTGGAATGGGCATTTACTATGTGCAATACTAGTTATGTACTGTAAAAAAAGTAGACAGGCCCAGGCCTATTCAGTTTAGCTAGGCCGTAGGCTCAAAGGAAATGGAATCATTAGTGATAAAGTTTTATGAAATTATTATATTTCCATCACAGGTACTTGAAATTGAAGACTTGAAGTCTGTTATAGAGCATCTTCATGATGACAAGGAACAATTGCTAAAGGATAAAACAGAAGAAATAGAGCAGCTGTACAAAGTAATTGAGAAGCTTCAAAATGAATTGACTCTTCATGAAATTCGTGATAGCCCAGACAATTTTAATAATGTAGCTCTAGAAGAGCAGGAGGAGAACCTTCATAATAAATTGAAGAAAGGATCACCACATCATCTGGAGAGCAGAGATGAGGGTGACAGCTGTCTGTTACTTAATTCCAGCCAGAAACAGATTCTGGAACAACTAGAAAGTCTTTTGGCAGACAGAGAAACCTGGCAACAGCTGCTTGAAGAAAAAGAATGTCAGTTTCAAGCAGAGATAAAAAACCTAGAACAAAATGCTCAAGAGTCCTCTAGACAGCACTTCACTGAGCTAGCCGCTTTACAGCTACAGTATAAAGAATTACAGGAAGAACATAAGCTCCTGAACATGTGCTTAACTCAAAAAGAAAGTGACATGACTGTGACTGCTTCTTGCATTCAGGAACTTAAAGATAAGCTGCGAGACAGCGAAATAAAGCTTACAGAGACAGAAAAACAGTTCCAAGCAGTGTCAGAGCAGAAAATAGAGCTGGTAGTTAAAGTAGAGAACATACGAGGAAAGGTGGTGCAGCTTGAAAATGAACGACATGTCTTGGCACAAACGCTGCATGACAAAGAGGCCACTTATCAGAGGGAGATTAGTGAACTTCATACTGCTGCTGCAGAACTCAAATCTCAGATTGAGAAAATGACAGAAGAACTGGAAACAGTGAGATCTGAGAAAGATTTTTTTCACTCACAGTTGAAATCCTACAGGGAAAAGGTTCAAGATAATGATAATAAGAAACTTAAACTTGGTGAGCTGGTGCCAGAACCCGTTCCCTACGTTTCTTCTGAAGAAATTGAGGAAGGGGGAGAAGAGAGAGAACCAAATAACAAGCCCTCAGGATCAGTGGAATTTTCTTACAGAGATGAAATGGTATGTGCCAACCATAATATTATAAATACCCAAATAATGGTTGAAATTAATAATCAGGATATTAAAATGAGTCTGGTTAAGAGATGTCCAGATGTGTCACCGTCAATAAATTATTGGTTTCCTCCAGATAAGCAATTTTAAGTTCTGTTTTGTCCTCCTAAAGAGCAGGGCTGACATATCTTGAGCAGGACCTCCTGGTCTCTTAGCTGACCACACAAGCCAGGGTACATTGGAGTCCATGCCGCAGCAGGCTGTTGCCGTCTTCCTAACTAGGTCTTTGGTGAGCAGTAATAACTCAGTCTGAGCCCACCATCCAAGAGGGAGAAATAGTGGAAATCAGATGGGAGAACCTTCTGCAAACCTGGGGAAAATAGAAAGATACCATTGGAGATACTCTTCTTGCCTGTGTGTGCAAAAACAAAGTGGGATAGCAAGGTACTGATTAGCAGGGGCATAACATGTGACTCTGTCGCCTGTTGTGCACGGGCTGGGGGTAGGGGGAGTTCACCCCACCGGTCCAGCCCTTGCCGCCAACTTCTGTTTCAGGGTGCACTCATGCTGCCCAGAAATGTAAGCAGTTAACATTCAAAGCCTGTTTTCAATATGTGAGCAGGGAGGAAGGCAGCAACACAAGAATTTGTCTTTTCTGCAGTGGCTCTTCTCCCAGGGCTTTGAATAATTAAAAAATCTATGGCCTTTTTAACGGGGGGGGGGGGCGGGCTATTGTTTTGTTTGTTATTACGGTATATATTTTTGTGGTTTTATATTGGAAACCACCCTGTGATAGTTGGATGAAGGGCAAATAATTTAATTTATAATAATAATAGTCTGGACTAAAGCTAATGCAGAAGGAACAGCTGAGCAAAGCTGCAAGGAGGCTCAATTTGGAGTGCTATTGCCAGTACCTAAATGCTAGGGAAGGGTTCACTGATGGGATGTGTGTTGGGAGGTATGCAGCTCTCCTGCAAATGTTTTTAACCCACGTAGAGCATGCCCCCCAGTAGATGAAAAGGATGGACTTTTATTAGCAGCAAAAATGTTTGCAAGAAACACCTTCCCTCTGTTTTGTCTCAGCCTTAAGTTTCAGTGATTTCATGTTATGGCAGGTTATTAAATGTTTGTGTTTCTTTCTAGGAAAAATATATTACTGTGACTAATCTGAAGTCTTCTAGTAAAAATCTTAATATTCAGGATACACATCTTAAAGGAATGGTTCTGGTTCATGGAACAGAAGTAACAAATACTGTTAAAGAACATCAAGATCCACAACCAGTTTTTCAACAAATGTTGCAACTTAATCATGTTTTTCAAAGCACACAATTCAGTCAAAAGATAACAGAAAACTTTGAAAGCAGGGTCATAGATAAGACTTCATGGGACTCACCTGAGATGATGCGAAAACAGAATAACAGCATGGAGCTCCAGATAAGTCTTCCTTTAACACCCTTTTCAGAAGTTGATGGTATGCATAGCACAGGCTCTGCAAGCCTGTGCTCAGATTCCTCAGTCCTACCGGGAGACATCACAGGGTTGTTGGAGTACCCAATTTCCTATTCTAATGGCAGTGAAGAAACGGCAGCATATCTCCTTCAGTCTCAACATTCCAGTCTCCACATTGCAGCCTCGGCAATCCCAGAAGCAACTGACTACAATGGTGCGCAAGAAAATATTTCAGTAAGTGATTATTCTGTAAACACACATTATTTTATTGCTGAGTCATGTGCCTTCAGCCGTTCCCATGGAAACAAAAGGAGTAAAGAATAATAGGTACCGTGTCATAGTAGCCAGATTTGATCATTTCATCATGAACTCCAGGCAGTAAAGTAAAGGTAATTATGGTCAACGTTGCAGTGCCCTTTAATAATCAATTGTATGTAAGTGACTAGCTTTTTGAAAAGTAAATGTGGTTGCTTTGAAGTGAGCAATGGATTGGACTTATTCTTAGAGAGATCTAACCCACTGTGAGAAATATTTTAGTATCGTATTTTAACATAAGACCACTTTTTTCAGTCCTTAATGTAATGGTGGCAGTTCAGAGGTCTCATCTAGATCCTCCAAGATCCTACCAAATCCTGGTGACCAAAGAGAAAAACTGAAATAGACACAATGCAGGGGTAGGCAGAGCGCAGCGCCCTGAGGAGGATGCAAATCAACTCCCTCCAATCATCAGATTGAGCGTTTGAGCAGAGAAGGGGTGATAACTTCTTTGGCGATCACTTGTAGCTGAGTAAGATTGTCTTCCATGAACATGGTCTTAACAGTGAGTCCGTAAGTGACTGTGGAAGCCAATTCTGGATCCCCACGTCCTTCCACAATGGGGACATAGGTTTCTGGGTGGGAGTTGATCATGGTGAGGGGTTTCCAAACATGCCTTCCTCTTAGCGCACTTCTCCCTTTCATCCTGAGTTCGAGTATCTTCAAAGTCCATGACATCTTGGTAAGGCTGTTCTCCAGTTGGAGCGCTCGCAGGCAAGTGTTTCCCAATTGTTGGTGTTTATACTACATTTTTTTAGATTTGCCTTGAGAGAGTCTTTAAACCTCTTTGATTGGCCACCAGCTTTACGCTTTCCATTTTTAAGTTTGGAATAGAGTAGTTGCTTTGGAAGACGATAATCTGGCATCCATACAACATGACCAGTCCAACGAAGTTGATGTTGAAGAATCATTGCTTCGACACTGGTGATATTTGCTTCTTCCTGTAGACTGGCATTAGTTCACCTGTCTTCCCAAGTGATATGTAAAAAATTTCAGAGACACGGTTAATGGAATCTTTCGAGGAGTTGGAGATGGCATTTATAAGTGGTTCAAGTTTAACAAGCATACAGTAAGGTATAGCTTTGTAAACAAGCATTTTGGTTTCCCTGTGACTGTCCCAGTCCTCAAACACTTTGCACTTCAATCAGGAAAAAGCTGCACTTGCAGAGCTCAGGCAATGCTGGATTTCAGCATCAGTATCGGCCCTTGTGGAAATATAACTTCACAGGTAGGAGAAGTAATTGACACTTTCCAACATTACACCATTGAGTTAGATTTGTGGCACTGCAGAGGGGTTCTTTTGTGCTTGTTGGCATAGCACACCTTCCTCAACTGATCTGTACTGTCTGCTATGTGTCTGTGTTTGTGTGTGCGCACACATGTTGAGTGTGTGTGTGTGAGAGAGAGTGTGTGTGGCACCGCCCACTTTTGGCCACCACTTACGTATGGCCCCTGGGTGGATGCACCACTTGAACCAAAAAAGGACCAGCCACACCTTTATTGAGTGATGTAGTGGGGAGAGCATGTGAGTCACAAGAGCATCCTTGGCAGAGCAAACCAGCACTTCATTTGGTCCAGCTTTGTGTTTTCCACAGTGACCAAACCAGTGGGAGCTCAAGGCCCTCCCCTGCTCTCAAGCAAAAAAAGAAAAGAAAAGAGTGAATAGCATTTGCTTTGATCGGAATCCATTCACTGGTTGGGTATGATCTCCTCCAGTGATGAGGCAGGAGAGCATAGAATTCTGGGAGGCAGCTGTGTCTGCTCTGCTTTTTGTCTCCTGCCTGATGAAGGAGTCCGCAGAGCCTTTTCTCCTCCAAGTCTCCTATGAGCAGTCAGTATACCTTTCTGAAAGGTTCCCCCCTGGAGGAGTAGAGGAGCAGGAAGGCGTGCAAATAAAACATTTCACTGCTGCTTGCTAAATCTCTTCCTTGCTCTAAGGCAGGCATCCCCTCCAGCTGTTTTGGAACTACGATTCCCATCATCCCTGACCACTGGTCCTGTTAGCTAGGGATGATGGGAGTTGCAGTCCCAAAACAGCTGGAGGGCTGAGTTTGGGGATGCCTGCTCTAAGGGGTTGAGTGACCAAGGAAGCCAAGGATATATTAGTGATTTAAAAACTAAGCATGACTTGGGAAAGGAAACTTGCTCTCAGCATTTTCCCACAAGGAAAGGCCAGTGATTCTCTCCCATCTGTTAAGAGCCCCGGAGTGCTTACTGACCTAGTATTTCCTTATAATGCGGGCCCATTTCTCTCCTAAACAGACTTGTCTAGCATCATATTTTTTCCCTCTCTGCTATGTTGTTCACTGTCATGCATAGATACAATAAACACTAAGAAAAGGAGGCTTATTTTCCTATGCTAGGACTGCAGAACCTGGATAACCAAACACAGGAGAAGTTGGGCAGGGAATGTTCTTTGTTCTTTTGCTCTTGTTATTTTTGTTTTTGGCTATGTGGACAAGGGTGCTGTATAGTTCTGTATATTCTGCATATTTTTGTGCTTGTTATGAAACTTAATAAAAATTATATTTAAAAAGGAATGTTTCCAGTTCCCCACCACATTGAAGGCAGGGCTCTGCACTATTACCCTTCCCTAGACTTCTGAGTGGCTGGGCTTCTTCCTGATCAGGAGGGTATCATTTGCAAATCCATGGTGACCAAACCTACTTTCAGATTGATTTATTCTGCAATTAATATCAAATTCGGTAACTTTTTTTGTATGTGGTATATATTCAAGTGTGCGTATGGCCTCCTATATATACATGGGGCTCCCTTTAGTAGAAAATTCAGTGTGATGGGATTTGTTGTGCCTGGTTTGTCATCTGGTAGTAAAACAGTGAAAAAAATGAAAGCTGTGTTTTGGTGGGCACCAGAATGGGGGCAAACCTGTTCCCTCAGCACTGATGCTGAGATCACCTATCTCAGTCGTGTCCTTGAAGGGGCTGTGGGTTTCTTTAAACATCAGTGCTTTCCTTCAAAATACTAAATAGTGTGGGATTTGTTCATTCCTGAGTGCTGGTAATATTTTTAAAATATAAACTGCAATTTATATTTATGATTCAGTATTCATAACTAATATAATAGATGTACAAAATGTATTGTGAGGTGTAACCCTAAAAGAATTAGCACACTTTTCCGTGTATTAGACGAGGGGTTTTTTTACTGTAAAAGAATGTTTAAAATGATTTATGGGGACTGGCAATTGGTTGTCAGCTGCGATTGGGTGGGAGAATGGAGTCTGCTGCATGTGTTGCTGTGGATTGGCTGATGCTGCTGCATTCGGGCGTGCAAATGCCGGCTGCTGTTGGCTTGCCGGCAGACACTGTTGCTTCTTCTGCGTGTGTGTTTTGTAGCGTTTGTCAGTCGGGTGAGTGTTTTTCGGCATTCCCCCTCCAAAATACGTCAATAACTGTAAGCATCCCACCCCCGAAAAAGCTCAACAACTGGGCCATCTCCCCCCATTGTCTAAAATTGTAGTCCCCAAAAATAGGGGTCGTGTTATACGGGGGGGGGGGGGACGTGTTATACACGGAAAAATAAGGTACTGTTATTCATTCCTGTGGAAAACATAAAGTAGAATATGTACGTCCATTGCTGCTGTAGGGGACTTGTTAATGAAGCTAGGACTTCATTGTATTTTTGTATATTCATTTCTAAATAGGTTAGAGATGCTGAAGGCTTCACTCTGTTGCAATCCAAGCTGCAAGATGATCTAAAATCAACGATGTCCAGACGTGAGGGTGCAAGCACTGAGTATGGCAGCAGTGAGTTAATGAATTCATGCTATAAATGATTTCAGTGGGCATGCTCCAATGTGGCTTGGGCTCCTGGGATTTACCTTGGGTCACTTGGAGAGCATGTCTTAGGCATGCAGACTCCCCCAACAGGTAGAGATTAACTACTAAATTGGGGGTATCCTGTACTTATTTCCGTAGAAGACTACCCTGGTCCCATGAAATAGAGCCACTCTCAAGCCTTGTCACTTGGAGGCTAAGTGATTTTGAACAAATTTTAGTCTTAGAAACTGAAACAATAAAAAAACAAGCTAAAATTATAGCTTGAGCAATGAAAGCTGGCTGACCAATAACCTATGGAACTTTTTTCTGTAATATAAAATCCTTGAACTTGCCTACTAAACTGGCCTCCTGCCAACCTAGCAGTTCAAAAGCACAAAAATGGAAGTAAATAAATAGGTACCACTCCGGCGGGAAGGTAAACGGCGTTTCCTTTCGCTCCTCTGGTTCGCTAGAAGTGGCTTAGTCATGCTGGCCACGTGACCCGGAAGCTGTACGCCGGCTCCCTCGGCCAATAAAGCGAGATGAGCGCCGCAACCCCAGAGTCGTCCGCAACTGGACCTAACAATCAGGGGTCCCTTTACCTTTACCGTTACTAAAGGTGGGAAAAGTCATTATTAGGTTGAAGAACTCATCAGGAACATTATTTACCATTATTTCTTTAAGCTAAGTAGAGTTTGTATTCAGTGGTACCTTGGTTCAAGAACAGCTTAGTTTATGAACAGCTTGGATTAAGAACGCTGCAAACCCGGAAGTAGGTGTTTTGGTTTGTGTACTTTGCCTTGGAAGCAGAACATGTTCTGCTTCCTGTTGAGTGTGTTCCATTTGTAAATTGAGTCCCCCGCTGCTATGGGAAAGCACACCTTGGTTTAAGAATGCTTTGGTTTAAGAATGGACTTCCGGAACGGATTAAGTTCATAAACCAAGGTACCACTTGCACTTTATCTTTTGTCCTGTTCTCTTCACCCATAGTATTCATGAAGATCCTGGTAGCCCTAGTTGCACTGATCAGATATGTGAGAATGAGCATCTACCCATAGTCTTGAACCCTTTGTATCTAGTACCCTTCTCCCCCCCACCCCCCCATCGCCTCCTGGACACAGCCAGGACAATCCAGACTCTATGGCACCACAGGTTCATCGTCATGAAGAGCATTCTGATGCCTTGATGGTTTCTACTTTACCCAGCAGAAGTCCTCAGTGCACTGTTGAACAAGGTCATCATCTCTGGATTGGTAAAGTGCAGTACACAGCCTGGTATCTTACCTTAATAAGATGATAGGGTGTGCCAAAAGTATCTAGCCATTCTTCTGGGAATGGTGATAAGTCAATGCTAGGCTAGATGATGTTACAGTTAGGTGGATTTGTAGCTGGTTGATGACCAAACCCTAGTCATATGAACGTTCTTGCCATTTTGTTTTTCAGATACTAGTTCAGATTTAGTTCTTCAGCTTAATCAGGAAGATCCAGAAACTATTTTACACCAAGACAGCAAGATCATGACTTATCTGCAGTGCTTTGGAATTGTTCCAGATATCACGGAACCAGCAAGAAAAGAAAGAGAAGTGTTTTCGCAACAGTTGAAGGTAATGTGGGTAAGCAAATTGTTGGGCAACTTGAAGCTCATCCAGACTTCCTTTTGTGCCGTCTTTCAGGCTTTAAAGCTCAATGTCTGAGCAATGGGGTTTTTTTGTCCCAGCACTTTTCTTGGGAAACTCTGCGTTTTATCGCTGAATCATAGCAAACAGCAATTGGGTTTTCCACAGATTGCCATTTGCTCCACTTTAGCAGCAAAATGTGGGTTTTCTTGGGGAAAGCGCAGAGACAAAAACAACTGCTAAGACATAGAGCTTTAAAGCACAGACCTTTGCCTGGAAAGCCCAGCACAAAAGGAAGTCTGGATGAGATTGTACTATATGTGTACCACAATTTTAAATTGAAATAACAATATTTAAAATACTGTATGACATATTCCTTGCTTGATTTGAATAAATGACGGAAAAGGTCTCCTTTTTCCTGGCAGACTAGCCCTACAGTCACTGCTGGGCAACCCCTGAAGGGGAAGCTCTATGATTCATTTGAATGCTCCTCCTTCCTTCTTTCTCAGCATCTTATCGGTTCTGGTTTTCCTGACAGCTCATTCAGAAGTCCTTCTCTCCTCTATGTAACATGCTAGCTTTCTGCTAAATTTTTTCCTTTCCAAAATTCTTTTTCAGAACTTCAGCTTCTTTCTCTCATTTCTTTCCTCCTACCTCCCTGCCTCCCCCGTGTGTGTGTGTGTGTGTGTGTATGTGTACACACACACACAAGCTATAGAGAGAGGAAAATATTTTGTTCATTTTGTTCTCTGTGTTTGGATGCTTCTCAAGATATCATTGCAAAACTTGGCACAAGGGTTGCTGGGGTGGGGAATTTTGTTGATATTTGAATGCTGGCCGCCATTTTGAATTAGCTATTTTGAATCAAGCATGTTTTACTCTTCCAGTTAGCGAGAAAAGAGGCACAGTGCCAAGCCCCGCTCTCTCTGGTGCACGTCCATTTGATTCTCTTCATCTCTTCACAAGTTGGAGTGCTAAATTTGGAAACAGGGTACCAGTAAAACAGGAATTTTGTGAGATTCCATGATTTAGCAAAATTTGTCTTCCAAAGAGATATTGAAGTAGTTGAAATCTCCCATTACTAATAACTCTTCCTTGCACGAAAAATCTGTTATTTGTTTCAGAAAAGCATCATCCACATCCTCTCCTTATTTTGGTGGTCTTTGCTAGGTGGTGACTGTCATGTTATACTTCTTTCTCCTGTTTAGTTTTGCCCAGATGCTCTCTACAGTAGTAGCTGTATTGGATTTCTGTGCAGCTCTTTGGTTTTTAGGTCTATAATGCTACTCTGCCTCACTTTCTCTTGCATTTATACTTTTGGATCAAGCTGTGTCCTTCATTTGCTACATTCCAGTCATGAAGGTCATCCCATCAAGTCTCTATCAAGTCATATTTACTTTTCTGTTACAGATTTTCATGGATTTATTTCCTACATTCTCTATGTTAGTGTGTAATCAAAAGCTACATATGGTCCTAGAAAACCAACAGTGATTCACGAAGGTGCCTTGCCGAAATGTTGGTGGGACTGTTCTCTATCCGAGGCCTACCTACCTACATATGTGGTAGGATGGATGTGCTAAGATCCATCTTGGATAATTCGTCTACTAAATCCAGTTGATCATGTATTGGACTCTGTGTTTCTTATGTAATATTTGCTGGTTGCAGTATGGATTTTGTTTCCTTTGAAGAACTTTGCTGCAGTGTCTATATTATTTTCAAACTGCAGAACAGTTTCAAGTGGTAAATGTCTTGAGGACTGTGGGCTACCTGTTATCATCAGCTTGACGTATTTTGCTTCCTTCTCAGAATGTGTTGAAGATGGTATCTGAAGAGAGCTACAAAATACTGGTTTTGTCAGAAAAATCTCTGCCTCATAATGATAAAAAAAATGTACAGAAATCTCCATCGAAGGAGGGGTGGCAAAAAGAGAGTCTAGCCTTGCTTGATACAGTTCAGTCACTGAAGGATTACTTCAACAAAGTACCAGATAAAGAAGACAAGGTATACAGATATCTTTATAATTTTACTTGAGTTAGAGACCATTAACAACAGCTGCAACTACAGTCATACCTTGGTTTTCAAACAGCTTAGTTCTCAAACATTTTGGCTCCCGAACGCCGCAAACCTGGAAGTGAGTGTTCCTGTTTGCGAACTCTTTTGGGAAGCTGATGGGGCTTCCGATTGGCTGCAGGAGCTTCCTGCAGCCAATCAGAAGCCGCACTTTGGTTTCCAAATGTTTTGGAAGTCAAATGGACTTCCGGAATGAATTCCGTTTGACTTGGTGATTTCTAAAAAGCTGAGCACTTGCATCCCAGTCAGTTCAGAAGTCTGGCAAAGGAAAATTCTGTAGAGACAGATGGGGACAACTAGTCCTTCTAAGGCAAACAGTTCTAGTGCAATTCCTCCTAAGGTGAATTGGATCATAAAATTAGCATTTCCACATTGGGGCAGATATGGGCACTTCCATTTATGGCTTGCTAGGAATATAAATGGTATGTCAAGGGATCCTGGCATGTTATCTGTTCTGCCCATTTACCTAATGGGGCAGGGGATGCAAGAGTGCTATGGTTTGATTAGGTACCTGTGGATTAGTGGAAGCTCTTTCATTTCTGCAGAGAAACCATGAAAAGAGCAGCAGCACCAAAAATATAGATTGGTGTTCCTTTGTGGTAGGTGGATTTGATTTAAATCAGGTGTTTAACTTAAATTGATTATTTGAAAGGGCCAATTTTATATTATTTAAATCAAATTTCCCATTGATACTTTATATATTTCTTAAACAATAGTGCACATTTGACAACTAAACCTTATAATTTTAGCCAAATAAAATATTATTTACACTCTGAAAAAGAGTTATTTGTCACATAGTATACATTTTGCATACTTTTTTACCTAGAGAGGTAATGTCTTTAAAATATTTGAATACAGAGTTTAAGTATAATAACTCCAGAACGCTGAACACTGGACAATTTTTTCTTCTTTCCTGTTTTACATCATTCTGCTTTGCTCTATCTTAGACCAGCCTCACCCTAACACACACGCAAAAAGAAGCAAAATGAAATGTCTGACAGTTACAGGGAAGAAAAGTGTTCTTTGTTTTCATTAGGTGAAAGTGAAATGCTAATGTCTGAGAGGTAAAATATGTATAAACATATTTGAGAAATCATCAGATTGGTTCTTCATATACATAGAAAAACCTCTTTCAACTTAATGTATGTGATAGATATATTGATTCAGTTTAGAGTTAATTGTGGGACTAACAGGTTTTTATTATGACTATTTAATATTAATAGTTATTTGCTTTTTTCTCTTTCTCATGTATTTATTTTTGCTTAGATCAGTTTGTTTTTTATTGTAATGTATTATGAAAATATCAAAACTTTTAAAATAAGTTTTCCAATCTTGTAGAAAATGGGAATTGTGATTTATTGTTGATTATCCATCCTGTCTTGTAGGAAAATACACCTGCTTTTTTTGACTGGAGAGGAGACCTACTTCAAGCAGTCCAGTGTGTATTGGAAAAGGAGCGAAACATGTTACAAAGCTACTTACAGACACATTTTTGCAATCCTGGCTCTGGAGACGAAGGATCATTAATAGAAAAGCTGGAACATATAGTGGAACAACAAGTATGAGAATTTTCCAGTGGTTTACTATGTAATATTCGCCTTCTGAAATCGGGACAAGAAATGCATCCTGTTAGATATTATTATTGTTACCACCACTCTGGGCGGCTCCCAACAAAATATTAAAAACACAATAAAACATCAACCATTTAAAACTTCCCTGAACAGGGCTGTCTTCAGATGTCTTCTAAAGTCAAATAGTAGTTTATCTGTTTGACATCTGATAGGAGAGGCACCTCTACAGAGAAGGCCCTCTGCCTGGTTCCCTGTAGCTCCATGTCTTGCAGTGAGGGAACCTTCAGAAGTACCCCGGAGCTGGACCCTAGTGTCTAGGCTGGACGATGGAGGTGGAGGCGCTCCTTCAGGGCTATAACCAACACTTTGAATTGTGCTTGGAAATGTAGTGGGAGCCAGTGTAGCTCCTTTAGCACTAGTGTTATATGGTCCTGGCGGCTGCTCCCAGTCACCAGTCTAGCTGCTGCCTACTGGATTAGTTGTAGTTTCTGAGTAACCTTCAAAGGTCGCTCCATGTAGAGCACATTGCAGTAGACCAATTTGAAGTTAACCAGAGCATATACCACCCTGGCAAGATAGTGTGCAGGCAGGTAGGGTTGCAGCTGGCATACCAGATGGAGCTGACAGACAGATGTCCTGGACACAGAACTAACCTGTGCCTCCATGTAGAGATGTGAGTCCAAAATGACCCACAGGCTGCACACCTGGTCCTTTAAGGGCACAGTTCAGGACCAGGGAGTCCCCCACTCCTGCCTACCCCCTGTCCCCCAGAAACAGTACTTCTGTCTTGTCAAGATTCAACTTCAATCCATTAACTGCCACCCATGATTTTGTGATCAGATGATCATCTGTTACAAGGAATCCCTTTAAATCCAAGACACTCCTTCTAGCCCCCTCAGCTGCACGTGGGATTCCTGAAGAGAAACTCCCTAGTGCAGCTGACCCCAGCTGAGGAGGCTTGCAGAGATAGATCCCTGTGCTAAAAATCAGCTGGTTGTAAGGGCGTCAGTGCATCATGCAAAGGGTTTTGCAGCTGCTACCAATCAGTTCATCACCTTTTGGCCCAGCTACCTGCCCCGTACTTAACATCATATATGTTATCAGGTGTAGGGCAGGTGGACCTAGCTGGCCAATTTGACCACCAAAATGGGGAGACTTGACAAGCTTAATTAGGCCCACAAGCCAGGGGTTCCCCACTCCTGATTCAAATTATTTCACCCAGCACTTTATCTCAAAAGGTTCTTAGAATAGCTTACAAAACTGTTAGTCTCTGCCCTTGGGCAGACGAAAAGGCATGGCACATAAGGAAAAGGGAAGGTGAGGAAGGAGGAAAAAAGCAAGCATCTATTATTATTATTATTACTTATTATTATTATTTATTATTTAATGATTGAATTTATATACCGCCCTATACCTGGAGGTCTCAGGGTGGTTCACAGAAAAGTTCAACATAAAAACCACAATATATATAATCAAAATAAAAACAATGCAATAACCCCCTCTCAAAGAAGCACATTTTAAAAGGGCATAGAATGTCGATCAGATCAACCAAAGGCCTGGTTAAAATGGAACGTTTTTGTCTGGCGCCTAAATGTGTATAATGAAGGCGCCAGGTGAACTTCTCTGGGGAGAGCGCTCCACAGATGAGGAGCCCCTGCAGAAAAGGGCCATTATTGTGTTGTCATCCTGCGGACTTCTCGTGGAAGCGGCACCTGAAAAAGGGCCCCAGAAGATGATTTCAGGGTCTTTAATATGGAAAGAGGCGGTCCTTGAGATATTGTGGTCCTGAGCCATTTAAGGCTTTATAGGTCAAAACCAGCACTTTGAATTGGGCCTGGAAACTAATTGACAGCCAGTGCAGTCGGACCAGGATCAGTGTAATATGCTCAAACCATCTTGCTCTGGGGAGCAACCTGACCTCTGAATTCTGCTCCAGCTGAAGTTTTCAAACCGTTTCCAGAGGCTATATGTATAATGCATTTCAATAATCTAACGTTGAGTTTACCAGAGCATAGACAACAGAAGTTAGACGATCCCTGTCCACATAGGGATGCAGCCGGGCCACCAAATGAAGCCGATGGAAGGCACTCCACGCCACCGAGGCCACCTGAGCCTCAAGTGACAGCAAAGGATCCAGTAGTTAGGCTATCCTTTTAAGCTACAGTAACCAGCCTAATATAACAACCTAGGTTGGAAATTGGTTATGTAGCTTAAAGGATTGGATGTAAGAATTTACATCCTCAAAGAAACTGAAATAAGTTATTTAATATGTAACATGGACTTGTTTTCATTTCAGGAACAACAGCAAAAGCTAGTTCTGGAGCATCTTCTTTCTTCAGATAGGAACAGCTTGCTTACTGAAATACAGGACCTCGAAGCAGAGTTGCGACTGATGCATCTTCAAAGCCAAGAGAAGCTGCAACAACTCCAAGAAACACTTATAAATACAGAGAATCATCAGAGTAAACAAGAACATCAACTTCGAAGGCAGGGTAGTACCTTATAGAAGTTTACAAAATGTTACTTACTTTTTACCATTCCTTCATTTGACTGAGAAACAGGATGCAAGGAGTTATATCTTTAATCTTTATTTTGCAAACACTTTTATCATGTAATAATAGAATTGTAGAGGTGGAAGGGACCCTAAGGGTCATTTAGTCCAAGCAACTACAGTGCAGGAAACACAACAAAAGGATCCATGCCAGATAACCATCTAACCTCTGCTTAGAGATCTGTGAGGAAGAAGAGTCCACCACCTCCCGAGGGAGTCTGTTCCATGTTGAACAGCTCGAACTGCCAGAAAGTTCTTCCTGGTGTTTAGTTGGACTCTCCTTTCTTGTAACTTGAAGCCATTGGTCCTACCCTCTGGAGCAGAAGAAAATAAGTTTGCTCCATGTGACAGTCCTTGAGATATTTGAAGATGGCTATCATATCTCAGTTTCCTCTTCCTCCTCATTGTTAAAATTTATATACCATCCTTCATGTGAAAATCTCAGGGTAGTTCACAAGATAAAAATACAGGATAGAAGCACAAAATAAATACTTAATAACAAAACAATAATACCCGCCCCCAGCAAAAAAACCCACAACATTTTAAAGGCCGTAAAATATTAATCAGCCTAAGGCCTGGGGGAAGAGGAATGTTTTTGCCTGGCACCTAAAGGTGTATAATGAAGGCGCCAGACAAACCTCCCTGGGGGAGAGCATTCCACAAAGAGGGAGTCACCACAGAAAAGGCCTGTTCTCATGTTGCCACCTTTTGGACCTCTTGTGGATGAGGCACACAAGGAAGGAGGGCCTCAGAAGATGATCACAGAGTATGGGTCCGTTTATATGGGGAGAGTCAGTCCTTGAGATATTGCGGTCCTGAGCCATTTTAGGCTTTATAGGTCAAAACCAGCACTTTGAATTGAGCCTGGAAACTAATTGACAGCCAGTGCAGTTGGGCCAAGATCGGTGTAATGTGCTCCAGCGGTCTTGCCCCGGTGAGCAACCTGGCCACCAAATTCTGCACTAGCTGAAGCTTCCAAACCATCTTCTGAGACAGCCCTACGTATAATGTGTTTCAGTAATCTAACCTAGAAGTTACCAGAGCATAGACAACAGAAGTTAGGCTGTCTCTGTCCACATAGGAACGTAGTTGGGTCATCAGATGAAGCTTGATGGAAGGCATTCTGCTCCACTGAGGCCACCTGCTGGTTTTTTATCAGTCAAGAGGGGCAAAGGTCCAGAGTGCAAGTGTTCACCCTGACCGATCCCAGCACCTTGTCTGCATCCTCAAGTCTTACTAACTGAAACTCCTCCAACACAACAGGACCAGACAGTGCTCTGGACACCCCATGAGATTCACCTGCAATAACAGCAGTGTCAAGATCCTGGTGGATGTAAGCAATTTTATCCTCAAAATGCTTTGCAAACAAGTCACAGTGAGTTATCGTCAGTTCTGCCACCTCCTTCTGCCAGACTGTAACAGGCGCCACAGTACCCGGAAAAGCTCTGCTGGATGGCACAATGAGGATGCAATGGAGCTGACAAAGGAAGCATTCTTTGCAGCCTTCACTGTCACTAGGTAGACTCAATGATGAGTCTACCAGTGTGCAATTACCTTCAACCAGATTTTGCTTCACTCGTGTTTGAACCATCTCCCAGCTTGTTTCCTCGCCCTAAGCTCTGGAGTATACCAGGATGCCAGAAAGACTCCATGAAGCAGGAGAAGGTGTTCAGGATTATCGTGTCAACAGCCTGAGCCATTTGGTTGTTCCAGAGGTCGGCCAGGGCGTCACCAGGAGTGCCAATCATGTCAGCTGGGAAATCCCCCAGAGCCATCTGGAAGCTCACTGGATCCACCAGCCTCCTCTGAAGGCAAACCATCCTAATATGTTCCTTGCCTCTGCAGAGCGGAAAAGGTGCTGAAAGCCTAAATCTCAACAGAAAGTGATTGGAACATGACAAGGGACTGATGTCAATGTCCCCCACTTTCAAATCACCCTCTTCCTGCCCAGTTGAGAAAGCAAGGCCCAGAGTGTGACCTGCAACATGCGTTAGGCTGGTGACATATTGGGACAGCCCCATGGTCATCAAGACAGCCATGAAGTCCTGAGCCACCCCAGAGGCAGTCACCTCAGCATTGTTGTTTCCAGTATGTCCCAGAGCCAGCCACTGGGTCTTAACTGCTGCTGTCTTAGCCACTGCAAATCATCCTCCCCCTGGTCTTGCAACACCACCACTTCTCTGTTCTTCCTGTCCGTTCTCCCAAGCATTCTTCCCTGCTGACTCTTGGAGAATTGAGGCTGGGATGAGAGGAATTTCTGGCACTGTACCTCTTCAGAAAAAAACATGAGGCCTACCCACTGCCTTGCTCCTTCCTCGTCTGGATGCAAAGCCTCTTTTTAAAAGGTTTTTTTCTTTGTCAGTTAAGTGGTATATAATTTTATGAAATAAACCATACATACCTTTTTTTGTAACAAGCAGCAACAAAGTAATGAGTACAATGGCCATCTGTCTTCCACTCATGAAGAATCAAGTATGGTTACTGCACTGTGACAGTAAATCCCTCCCCATCAGACACAGGGGGATGAACTCCCACTTGCCTGTATGTAAGAAGAAAAGGAAGTACCAACACAATTACCCTGTTTGGTCCGTCCCCCTCATTTTTTGCCTTATGGGTTTGGTATGCCAGATGTTCTGACAGTGCTATCGTGCATATGCGTGAGAACACTTCAGGGTGTTAGACGCTTCTCCAGAGGAGTTTCTACCCTGTATAACCTAAGTGCCATATACATAGTCAGAATTCTACCACATTAGAATGCAGAATTAGCAGCCATTTGGTTTTCTGTCACTGGCTTGTCATAGAGCTGTTCCTGTATCTCCCCACTGAAAGATTCTTGCTAAGGGTGTTTTTGAGAAGCTTTTTCAGGAAGACACTGGTAGAATTCTATGCATGCTCTAACAAAGTATTCTACATCACTGCTAAGAATGCCCATAAAAGATAAGGCAAGCACTGTTGGTACCTCAGGTCACTTGTTGGAGAATGTTCATACCTGTTTAACTTCACCAGTAAAAGCGTAGGTCAAATGTTCTTGCTGGGTTTCTGTGAAAAATGAGTTCCACAACTGAAGAAACTGAGAATTTGTCTCTTACACATAATGAATAATGATGATGATGATGACATACAGACTTACACAAATCCTTCATATATTATTATTTCACTTGGTCAAGTGAAATTTCATACAAGTAAAAATCTACATGAGCAGTGCACTGAATCTGGTTTATTGACTTGGCCTTCTAAATTAAATGTGCCTTGGATAGGTGAAATCTGAAAGTAATGAATGGCAGCCTTTTTATAGCCTAATGTGAAGCAAGTATGGGAAAACAGAAAGTGAAGCAAAGTGTTGCCAACAAGTCCTTTCATCCAGAAATGTCACAATACATATTGCATTTATGTGCCTTTAAAAATCCACTTCATTTGTCATTTTTTAAAGTTATATTGGGGAAATTACTTTTAAGTTATTGAAATGGATTTAATTTTTAAAATTTTGTTGTAACTTTGTATTTGTTCTCAGTTGAATTACTAGAATATAAACTTCAGCAGGAGAAATCCATTGCAAGTGACTTGCAGGCTTCTCTAAAAAGTGAACAAGAGAAATCCTCTGAGATGCATGAACTACTGAAACAGGAACACAGCGCAATATCGAACTTGAAATCGGATCTCTGTGAAAGCAAGCAAACAAATGAGAGGCTCCAAAAATCCCTACAGGACCTCCAGGAAGACATAGTTAAGTACAGGTAAGGACTTCCAAGGGCAGTTCAGTTTGCATTTAGAACAATCTACAGCTACAATTTCCAAGTAAATGTCTTATTGTGAAGTTCTTCCTGCTCTCAGTTTGTATCATACTGGAGACATTCAGTTAAGTTCTGGGGTGCCTTTGTACCCCAATCCTCCTGTATTACAAAACAGTCCTCTTCTAACAACTTTCTGCATTTCAGTATTTGCCTAAATACTGTGGTTTAAACCACTGAGCCTCTTGGGCTTGCCGATCGGAAGGTCGGCGGTTTGAATCCCTGTGACAGGGTAAGCTCCCATTGCTCGGTCCCAGCTCCTGCCAACCTAGCAGTTCAAAAGCACGTCAAAGTCCAAGTAGATAAATATGTACCGCTCCGGTGGGAAGGTAAACGGCGTTTCTGTGCGCTGCTCTGGTTTTGCCAGAAGCAGCTTAGTCATGCTGGCCACATGACCCGGAAAAACTGTCTGCGGACAAACATCGGTTCCCTTGGCCAGTAAAGCGAGATGAGCGCTGCAACCCCAGAGTCGTTCGTGACTGAACTTAACTGTCAGGGGTTCTTTACCTTTACCTTTTACCTACCCACTACCTCTAGTTGTGATTTTTAATGATTGATTTTACTATACAATCAAAGAACAACATAATTGTTGTCACAAATTTCTTATTCCAGTTCCCCTTTCCACATGTCCCTGGGGTTTCAACTGCAGAGTCTCTTCCTGATTTTTGTTTCTAGGACTCTAGTATAGGAAGTGTTTCAGCTTGAGAATTCACTGTTTATACCAACCTGTGCTGAAACGTTAAAAGTTAAGAAGTGTTGTTCCTGACATAATAAAAAGCACTATGCAAAGTGTTTTATTCATTCATTTATTCATATTCCCACAAAAAAGCCTGCCCAAAGAGGCTCACAATAAACAGATGCATTGCAAACAATTTCATAATGACGTAGCAAAACAAAAATATAATAACCTACAGAACACCACGTTTGAATACTATAAATATGATAAGATTACTTGAACAACATGCAGCATCCAATAGCAAAAATAACAAGGGAACGTCACAGCTTCACCTTAGTCCTAGAAACACCCCTCCCATGATACTTGATTGTTTTTTCTTCTTGCTCAGTTACTAAAGGCATTGGGTTGTGTGTCCAGGTGTTCATTTTACCTGGAGCAGATCCATTGAAATAAATGGGTGTGGTTAATCTTAGGTCTATTAATTTTAGTGGATTATTCTGATTAGAACTAAGTTGGATACAGCTGCATGTCTGCTATAAAAACAGAAAGATGCAGGTTAGCAGTTTTTTTTAAAAAAATAATACATAGAACTTTTGTATGTTGCAGTTCTGCACTGGAAAATAAGGAGAAAGATATGACAGCTGTTCTTCAAGACTTCCAAAATGAACAAGTTAAAGAAAAAGAACTACAGCACATGTTAGATGAACAACAACATCAGCACAAGTTAAAAGAGGAAGAGAAGTCAAAAGCAATAGAGGTAAAATCTTGTGGGGAAATTATAGCCTTTTTTGCTACTCAAGCGTATGTATTCTGTTTTACCATGCCTCTAAATCCTGCTTTCAGGAAACCATAAGTAAGATTTTATTTAATTTTTGTTTGTTTTAAAAAATGCAGCAGGGAAGGCCTTTTAATAAATGAATGTATTCTACATCAGGGGTGGGAACCTTTTGCTTCCAGGATTGACCTCACAAGTCAAATATGACAGGTGGGCAATCCCAGACACCTGTCATTCACCTCTCATACTGATTTGCATGTCTCAGCCCTCCGCCTTTAAACTCCAGTGTTGGAGGTTGAAAAAGGGAGGGCAGGGATCTTTGCAAAGGGCTTAAGGTAGCCTCCAGAGGACTGTCTTAAAGCCCTTTGGAAAAGTGGTCTTTGAAGCAGCTTTCTGTGTATTGACAAAATGTACTTTTTTCTGACTGACGGTCGAATAAAAAGGATGTTGATGATGAAGCAGCTTTCCCCCTGCTTCTGCTTAAACTTCGGGCTGAGTAAAGGAGTTCCTTCCCCCCTGCCTGATCACTCAGATGTTTAAAGGACAAGACTGTTTTTGCAAAGGACTTGCCCTTTGATGCAGCTCTGCTTCTCCTTTAAGTAAGGCAGTAGCGAGAATCCTTCACCACACCTGCTTGAAAGAAAAGTACACAAGGGGGCAGAATTAAACCTTGTCCTTCCACTGCCTCACCAGTAACATTGGTTGATAAGTGGGTGGCAGTCATGGCTAGTAACATTTTAACTTTGTAGAGCTGCAATGGGGGGGGCTGCAATTTTTAATTTTGCTGTTTTATCATAACAGGACTTGTACGAAACCTTTTTTTTTTTTTTTTTGGTGCCACAGTACATGTGCAGAAAGTGCCACTGTCTCTACACACACACACAAAATTATTTTTTCTCTGCACTTGTATGGACAGGGAAAGAGCTTCTGTGTAAGAGGGCCCATGTATGATTTTCAAACAAGATTGACCACATACCTCTTTCTTCGAAAGTAAGCCATACCACACAACATAAGTTTCTGAATTAGGGTATTGATTATACCTATACATCTATTGCCAAAAAACTGAACAAACACACAGAAACGTTTCAAATGTGAAGAAAACTTGCTTCCAATTGCATGCAGTTTTCCTCCCCCAAAATACCAATTTAACTTTTAATAATCCAAAACATATTTTTCTCTAAATTAAAAGTATTCCAACTGATGGACAACAAATGATGGCCAGGGCACAACAGAACATGCATATTTGCAGTGCATGGCTCATTCCTGAAAATGTGAGGTACCATGCTATTATGCGAATGCCAACAGATAATTAATGCCAAGAAGAATTGTCCATGATTCACAGTCTGGTCCTGGAGTTGATATATACACATTATTTAAAAGGCTGTGGGTGACCTGCTGAGTTTGAGGCATCAAGCTCCACCCTAGACAAATATGTGAATTGTCGCTGGTCAAATTACCAATAATTTAGTTAGAATTAGCAAGTTGTGGGCTTCTGGTTCAGAATCTGCTTTTTAATTTTAATTTACAAACTGGAATTCCTCTGAGACATTGAAAGTCTTGTGTAATTGTAGTGATATTTCCCTTCTTCTGTACAGGAGTTGCAGGCTGCCTTGGAACTACAGTGCATTCAAAACAACCAACTGTCTGTGGCTTTAGAGCATGAACAGTCAGCAAACAGTAATCTTCGTAAAGAACTTGAGATTGAACATTCTCGCTGTGAAGCATTATTGTCCCAATATAAAAATAAACTCTTGGAACTGCAGAAAAGTGAAGATGTTGAGAAGAATCGCAGTTTAGAACTTTTAAGTGCTTTGAAACATGAACGTATTTTGACAGAACAGCTGAGCATGAGAATAAATGAATGTGGGTCTTGTAAGCATAACGATTCATTGCAGGAACTGAAAGCTCAGTTGTACAAAGAGCGGTCCCATGCCAGGAATCTTTTAGCCATAATTGAGAAGACGCGGCAGCAAGTACTTGATTCAAAGAAGCAAATGGGTGAAATGCAGATGCCCTCTGAACAAGCTCCGAAAGAACAAGAGCTCCACACCACTTTACAGGCCGCACAGGCTGCTCTGCAAAGTCAAAAAGAGGACATTATCCATGCCTTGAAGATACAGACAGAGAAAGATATACAAATGAGAAAGAAATGGGATCAGTTGCAGTCCATTCTCAGATTACTGAGGGAGCAGGAAAGAGGGACAGAACAAAGAAGAAGAGAAATAAAGCAGGAACAACAAACAGAATTTGGCAAACTGCAGGAACTACAGGAAGCTGGAGAAAGTCTGGTAAGAACATGTGGTTTCTTTTTACTTTTTTCAGCCCTGGCTTGAAAAAGTTCAGAGGCCTTTTTACTTATTTATAGCCATGGATTTGTTACCTCAATAGTCTGCCCTATGATACAATAAAAACATCACCACAAAGATTATTTTTTATTTTTTTTACCAGTATGCTTTCCTAATTTGTATTATTCACATTGGGTGTTTGTGGAGAAAGTTGCACCTTACTCAGCTTTGCATATCCCAGGATAAATGAGACACTGGTTTTACTAGGATGCCTTCCCCCTTTTCAGATTATTTTAGCCTTTTATACTTTGAATGTATAAATGAGAGAACCTGATATGAGGGTTCAGGTGAGTTAAGGATTTATTTAATAGTAAAGAGACATAGAAAAGTGTGTTTCAGAGAACCAGTAGCGGCCCACAGGGAAGGATAGCACTGTGGACCTGGTCTCCTGACACTGCCACATATCGGGGGGACAAGAAAGGTGTTGTGGGTGCCCTGGCAAAGCTAACCCAGTACTCTCACTGGTGCTCACTGCAGCACCACCCTTCCCACCAACCACTTCTGCAAATAACATTCCTCTCCCCCCCCCCCCCCCGCCCACTTCATCTTGTTAGTAATGGATTTCATGGCATGGAAGAGCTTAGATACTAACTTCTTCCTACAGCTTGTGAATTATTTCCTGTGTGCATTGCAAAGTGCTACTTTATTTTTATATATTGCAAATAGCTATGCTTCTATTCCCATAGCATGAGTTGGAATTGCAACATTGGCAGAACACTAGAAGAACAAAGGATTTGCAACAGATTCTAGAACACTTGGAGAAACAGGAAAGATACCTTAATTGTCATAAAAATCAAGATGAACTTCCTCCATGTCCTTCAAAAAATCATTACACCCACTTTACAACAGATACAGTAATGCTCCGTGTGGAGCAGCAGAAATTAGAAAACATCAGAGAACAGTTGCTCATTGCTGCAGGTTATCTTTCTGAGTTCATATATAAAACTACAGAGCGGTGAGTATTTTACAGGGATCTTAATTGAAACCAATTTTGTATTTCTCGTGTTTGAAATACCTTATCAAAACTGAGGGACCACCACAACTATGAGACCTGGTTTCCATAATTTGTTACTAATGTCTTATCCAGTCCTAGTAATTGGAAATTTTCTCTGCACCAACTAGAAACATTAGTTTCCTTGGATAAAATCCTAAAACTATTACATGTCAACAAGATTCTTGACCCTAAGGCCCATCTAAAACAGGCTTCCTCAGTCTCGGCCCTCCAGATGTTTTGAGACTACAATTCCCATCATCCCTGACCACTGGTCCTGCTAGCTAGGGATCATGGGATTTGTAGGCCAAAAACATCTGGAGGGCCGAGGCTGAGGAAGCCTGACCTGAACTATTATTACATTTTAAAAATTACATTTTTCTGCTTTACCTTCAGTAAGGAATATGAATACACTCACACACACATACATATACACGTGCTCGTACCTGCACACGATGCAAAGCAGCTCAAAGTTTGCACCTGCTGGTGCTGATGTAACACTAAACAATGGTCTGAATCAGGCCTGAATGTGGCAGTTCATGACACTTTCAGGCCCCAGCTTACCATATATGCTCAGTCTACATGAACGTGGAAGGTAAGGTGTGCCTGAAAAAAGTGATGCCTTCATTACTTTCATAAAAACGCATTAGTACTTTTTTACTGGTGAATGTTATTCCTTATACAGTTGGTGAATTACTTCTGTTTTATATGCTGTCTTAATGTCAAATGGTTCAGGCTTCATATGTACAGAGGCAGATCTGTTCCATGGGACAGCAACGGAGTCTACAATTACTTGGATTATTTCTTTTTTTCTACCCTTTATTTAACAGAACAGTTAACTGGCCTCCTTCAAATGATGAAGCAGTTGCAGCCTTGTTGCATATAGTTGAGGAACTTAAAGCAGAGTTACTGGCCTCCTCCAAATCTCCAGTAAGAGGGTTCATTTTATTTTATTTTCATAAGCCATTGTTCATACTTCAGTTAATGCTTATAAGCAATTTTTTTTAAAAGAAAAAAAAGGCAGGTAACCCATTTCACCTTTTGAGGGGGTTGAAGGAAGAGTTCATCCTAAATATCTGTGAGCTATTTTCCTAGCAGACAAGAGCTATGCAGCAGCCATGCTTGATTCTAACTGCTCTAGCAACTTAAGAAGGAAAGCTCTGTCATTCTTTTGACTGCTTCTCCTCATTTTCCTATCAGCATCTCTCTAGTTTTGTCTTCCTGCCAGCTCAAGTAGATGTCCTTGCTCCTTTTCTTTGTGCTTGCCTTTTGAGCTCTCTTTAACTTTCTCTTCTCTTTATACCTTTTTACTTCAGTTCAGCTGTATTCCTCTTTTTGCTTCCCCAAAATCTCTCTCTTTACTCATCCACTTTCCTAAAAAGAAATCTCTGGGCCCCATAATTAAAGTAAAGAAACCAGCGGCTCCTCACAAGAAGAGCCGATGTATTTAATGTAAGGCAGCAAAGGCCACAGCCAAAGAAAACAGCCACAGAATCAACTCTGCTACAATGGGCGCATCCCCTGGTGGACACAACACTGAGTGAGCCAACAGGCAATGCAGATCTTCTTCAAACAAAAATGGTTTGTGTTTTAGAGCCGTAGTGGAGAGGGAGTGCCTCAAAAGGAACCGTATTCCTCCTTTCTTACCATCATACAGGAATGTATTTCAGAAGTGGAGGGAATTACTAAATTAGTGGCTGCCAGAGCCCTCAGCAGACCACATGATGCTCTTAATGCTCCCCTAGAAAGACTGCACTTTTATGCACCAGTTGAGAATTTCAGGTGGCTTTCATCCACCTTGGTGGCTCTGGATCCAGTTATCAATTCAAGTAACCCCAGGCATCGAATCCAGTACACAGCGCTCAATCCTCAAGAAAAAACAAAAGTCGAGACCCTGTAAGAGACGCTCTCCTTCTCCCTACTCTTTGCCGTCAGAATCATGACCCACATACCAAAGCCAAAAAGGTACACAGAAAACATGAAAACAACCAAAGGCCAGATTTCCAGACCTCTCCTCAAATCAAACTCTGCCTAGACTCCCTGGCATGTGGGGCCTTATCTGCTCCTCAGACTGCATTCAGGGAGAGCCTTCCATTTTTTAATCTGATGCCAGTGGGGATCTGAAGAAGGAAAATGCGCAATGGAGCAGCACATCAGACCAGGATATGGGGGTCGAGGTCCCTGAACTTCATTTTGTAAAAAGAATTTACCTGCCCCCCGCAAGGCTGCAGGACTTTGCCGGACTTGTGACTCGTCGCCACGGAAGATGGCTGAAATTCCATCGTCTCCATTTTGCACGGGCAATTAGAGGCTGATATGAGAGTAATCAGCCTCCCAAATTCCTCCAGGGCCAGTCACCCAACACCTGGCCCCAAATCTGGAGGGAATAAGGGGCTGGGGAGCACTAGATGGAAAGCCTCCATGCAATTCTGGCACTCTCCGAAGCTGTCTCCGCGAGCAACAAATCTCCATTTCTTAAGATGAAAAATTGGATTTAAATAATGGGCATGCTTTGAGTGAAGAGGGAGGATTTTTTCTGCTAATTAATTCAGCCTCTGAAGATTTAGAAGACTCAGTTGGAAAAGGGACTATCAGCTGAGATGCCGGTTTGACAGAACGGAAAGTGGGGGGGTGAACCTTTATTTACTTTCCTTCGATATTTGCCTATATGATTACATTTGGCAAATCCCCTCTGGAAGGAACAACTGCTGGACTTACTAAAGCAAGTGAGACTAAAAATTTTGCATTTGTTGATATAATAAGGTTTTAATAACTCTAATAATTACTAACTGTGTGGAAGTGACTGGGGGAAAAGGAAAATCAAGGCTTTCAACTCTTGGTTTCCTGGAAGAAGATCAAAAGACTCCCCTGGAGTAGAAGAGACATCTCATTAACAACTGGGGAAATGCCAAAGAACTTTGGATATCTGCTTGGGAGGTTTCTGACGCAGTATTAATTTAACAAGGAGCCAGGAGTGAAACCGAAAGTAGACTGACCAGCTAGCTGAATCAAATTATATTGCTAAGGAAAGGGGGGGGGACCTATAACATTTTACTCCTCGATATTTGTACTTCCAGTTTACTTGGTAACCCCCCTCCCCGGGAAAAGCTAATGTTTGAATAGCAGCTGGTTAAGGAACAACATTGGGCAGACGCCATGATTTGATTTTATCTGGACTGTGTGTCGATATGTCGATATGGCAGCTACCTGCAGTGGAAGGCTTCTGGACTGATTCGGCAGAAACACCAGTTTGTGACGAGAGGATGTGAATTTACAGAGGGGAATCTTGGATTACAGATTTGGACTATAAAGAAGAAGAGTAAGACATAAAATCCACACAGAAACATTTTATTTGGACTTAAACTCACTTGCAGAATGAACACAGAGGAAAATAATGAAGGATTAACATCACAATGTATTAAGGGAATTATTGTAATATTTTGAAATGCAGCAGAACTATGAGAGGATTAGGATTCCCTCCGATCTCGAAGCATGGGAAGTCAGCTAAAAAATAATAATAATTTATAATTAGGCATAATATTGGGATTTGCTTGACTATTGGATAATTCGTATAATTTGGAATATATAATTTGGTTTCATTGGGGTGGTGGGGGGAGACTTTGCCCAGGTCAGCAACAGCCTAAGGTACATGGGTAACACAGACAGTTTTCCAGAGACTTCTCCTTCTTGCTCACTGATGTGGTTTACCCCATCCCTCTTCCCTAGTCACAAGGGAAAGCACACAAGCTGTATCAGGCCATTATATTTAAATGTTGCTGAATTTCATTGCCTATATTGTATTGAATTTTGAAGTTTTGAACCAGTCTTTAAATGTCATGCTTAGATCAAACCTACATGTGTTATTAACTCCATGCAAGAATCGGAAGGGACTACTTATCAGGAGGAGAGACCTATTTTGCACAATGGCTTGCGAACAACAGAGCATGAAGAAACAAAAACTAATTTTGTGGCAGAAAACAAGTCAGCGATGTCATCTTCCAATCTGAAGGTAAAAATTTCTCTGCATATGAGCTGTTCTTCCTTTGAGCTGTTCTCGTGCATATCAACAGTAACATACGAAGCAAAATTTAGCTGGCAATAGGAAGGGTGGGTAGGTGAGTATAGTCCTCAGAGCAGGGGTTAAGGGAATCTTGTGTTGAAAATCTTGAACTCCCAAAATGAGTATTTATTTATTAATAAATGTACAGATTACAACATTTAAATCCATATAAAACATAAGATGTTAAAAATATTTTTTATTAAGAAACCGGAAGCATTTCTTCTGGGTTTAATCACAAACGATATTCCTAGCAACAACAAAAAAGTATTTCTGTATGCGACAACAGCTGCCAGGATGCTTATAGCAAAAAATTGGAAGGGGGTGGAAATCCCATCAGTAAAAGAATGGCAAATTAAACTTTGTGAATATATAGATTTGGCAAAATTAACGGCAGTCTTAAGGCGACAATCAGAACAAAAATTAATAAAAGAATGGGACTGCGTTAAAGAATACATGAAAAAACGTTGTTCTGGAGTAAAAATAAGGGTATGTAATGAGTGAAGTTCTGCAGGGTCAAAGAAATGAAGAAATGGTTGTAATAGGTATAAAGCTAGAAGCAATATAAATATAACACAACAATTAAGAAAATTGAAAATTTGAAGTCCCAAAACAGTGGAAGGAAGTCAAAGTCTATGTATGTTTTGTTATGTATTGTGAATGTTATGGTTATGGTTTTTCTTTGTTTTTTTCTTTTTCCTTTTTGGTTTTATATGTATAATTTATGTTGTAATTTTGCTGTAATTCAATTTATTTTATTGAAAAATAAAAACAAAAAACATAAGCAACATAAATCAGTCATAATAATAGTAATAAAGATACTTCAGTTCAATATGTCACAGCCAGCCATATATAAAACTAAAAACTCCTGCCTATTGAGCCCCCTCATTAAAAACAATCCTCAGCCAGTCTCAGTGCCACTGAAGGGGAGGCTTTTGATCATATATCTCCAGAGAGGATGATCCCTACCTATGGGGCCCCTCCGAAAACTGTGCCCTCTCTTTCTGAAGGGCACACAAGCAGGGCCTCCATTGCACAGTCCTATGACCAGCTTCTATGAGGGAGGGGCCCCAAACAATTAAAGGCTTTAAAGTTACTGCTAGCACTTTGAGTTGGCCTAGAAGCCAGTGCAACAGATGCAGAATAGGTATAATGTAGACTGAGCATTTAGCCACCGTCAGCACCTAGGCTGCTGCATTCTTCATCTGCTGAAGCTACTAAAGGAGATTCCGACTCAACATCAGGAAGAACTTTCTGATGGTAAGAGCTGTTCAACAGTGGGACGGTCTCCCTCAGAAGTTGGTAGACTTCTGCCTTGGAGGTTTCTCAGCAGAGGTTGGATGGCCATCTGTCATGGATGCTTCAGTTGAGATTCCCTTGGGTCCCTTCCAACTCTGCAATTCTTTGATTCTATGAAGTAGTTTACAAAGGCGGACCCACATAGAATGCATTGCAATAGCGCACTCTGGATATGATAAGGTCATGGATTACTGCAGAGATTTGTTATGCACAGATAGGATTGCAGCTGGTGCATCACCCCAAACTGATAAAATCCCAAATCTTCCCAAACTGAGAAATGGCAAACTTGATGAAGAATTAGCTGTTTTTCCAATAAAGCTGAGTTCTGGCTGATCAGACCAGGGTGAGGATTGTGTAAAGTGTTATTAAAACATTGAGGCACTCAAGGGGGAAGAGGAACCATTAATGAATTAGGCTGCAAGCATTCATTCATACTCACACATGACCTGTAAACATTTAACTGCTAAGAGCACATAGGCCAGAGCTTTCCAAACTTTTCATGTTGGTGACACGTTTCGCGACACAGTAATTCAGTTTTCCTAGCAAACCGGAGGTAAAACCAACGCCTTTCCAGTCCTGGGAGGAGAGCGGGGAGCGTTTGTGCAACACACAATTTGGAAAGCTCTCAGCCATAGACAAATGGATTGCAGGGAAATATTGTTGAGGTAGGTACTGTTTGTAATCGGTTTCTGTAAGCTCAATGTTCTTCTCTCTTTAAAATTTAGATGCAAAAGTTATACAGGAAGTATTTGAGAGCTGAGAGCTTTAGGAAAGCTCTGGTTTATCAGAAAAAATACCTTCTGCTGCTTCTGGGTGGATTCCAAGAATGCGAGCAAGCAACCCTGTCCCTCATAGCGCGCATGGGCATCTATCCTTCTCCTGATCTGACCATCTCTGAATTACGGAGCCGTTCGTTTACAAAGTTCAGGTCTGCCATTAGAGTGGTGATTGCAATATCAAGGTAACCAAACACTTTTCTTCAAATATCACCAAATTGTTCCCTATTTCTACATTTCACTACATGTTATCATCTATTTTTTCTTTTTAAAGAGGAATAAAAAGTCCCCACTGAATCAAAAGAATTTAAATCCTCACTCAGTTGGCAAGCCATGTGTCCTAATGGAAGTGAAGATGGCATACCTGAAGCAACCGGGGCATCTGCCAGTCAAAGTGCCTTGTGAAGTGTTTTTATTGAATGGGGGGTGTATGGGTAGGGAAAGAAGAAAATAAGGTTTTATCAGTTTGATTTTTTAAAGACTTTATCCCAGATTTTCCAGGGTTTATTCCCCAGGGCCTTCACATTTGTTACCTGCTATCCACTTTGGCCTGGCAGTGGGCACTTGCTGAGGTGGGTGGAAAGAACAAAAGAAGTCAACCCGTTTTCTCAGCTGTTTCATGCCCACTAGCCATGTAGAGCTGGCAGTGGGCACTGAACCAGGGGTGGACTTTGGTAACCTTTGGCAGTACAGCACACTGAGTGAGGCCAAAATGAATCTTCTAAGTGATGGATCTTCTCAGTTTTGTGCCCCTTCGGCTCAGCCTTCTAAATCCACCCGCACTGCCCCCCCACTGTATATGACAGGGGAGGTATGTTGTCTGTCTGCCTGCCTGTTTGTTTGTTTGTTTGTTTGTTTGTTTGGCAAACTTGATATGCTGCTTGATAGTTTACAAAAATCTGCATGTGTGGCCTGTGAAATGTAGAAATGCCCTTGGATTGGGGGGGGGAGATGTATGTGGTGGGAGGGGCGTGTGACCACCTTGTATGTTTTTCCTGGAATTTTCACAGTAAGTGTGGTGGGTGGCATTTGTACAGATTTGTGACATCTTGCAAGTACTATGGAAACTATTTTGCACACTGATCCATGTCTTTTTGCCTCAAGGTTAAAGTTTCTGGTGAAAAAATGGCACAAAGTTGGCAGGAAAGAGATGCCGTCGGAATCTGTTTCTCCAAGCGTTAGACACAATTCATGTGAGAACTCCAGAAGAATCCTGTGGATTGATTACAAGTTATTATTAGTATATATCTATTTGTGCAGAAGTGAACAACTAAACTCCTATCATAATTGTGTATACTTGTGTTCCTCTTATTTCTGAGTAACCTATTAGGCCACATATCTTTCGAAAAGTATAGCTGCTTCCCTCTTGTGCAAGCAGCCACACAAACTAAGGGAAATCTCTCGATTCTGGATATATGGATGGTGATGCGGAAAGCAGGAGTTGGGAAGCCATAGAGAATGCTCAGGACTTAAGTTTGCTCTTGTAGCAACTCATAGTTAATAGGCTTTTAAATGTTTGACTGACTGCTGCAGTATTGATGCACGGCTTATACAGTAAAAAAAATTTCTGTAGGCTATATCTTACTTTTCAAATGCACACGTTCCTTCCTTCCTGCATTATAAAATTGTCTTCATTGACCATAGGTTCAGGTCTAAATGAATCACTGTATACTGTTCAATGTAGGTACCAGGGCTAGAATCGAGGTGCTAAAGCAGCACGAGGTGTTCCCAGGTGATGGAACTCAGGAAGCGAGACACAGCAGCAGGAGCAATCTCTTGAGTCTTGGGAACTCCTCACCTAAACCACCACAGCAGCTGCATAACAGGTTGGTGTAGAATTTGTTTCAAATGTGGGTGTCATCCATGCTCTACTTTTTTCTAACTAATGTACCATTCTGAATCATTCTATAAATAAAAACTGCATTTAAGGCTTGAATGATTTATGACAGAAGCAGGGAATTTGTGGTCCTCCAACTGTTGCGGCATGGCTGATGGTTAGAAATGATGGGGGTTGTGATCCAACAGCACCTGGAAGACCACAAGGGGCCAATCCAAAGCTGTGAATATACTGCTCAGCTCCCTTTTATAATTAGAGTTGTACCTATCCACAAAACTGAAATATTTTTTTTCTGTTTTTCGGTGGCATATTCGTTGCAAACAACGTTTAATATCTGCACTTCTTCCAATTATTGCTACACTTCATGGTTTTAAAAAAATCTAGTCTGTTGGTCAGACAAGGAAGTTTAAACTGAATATAGCTGCATTTACTTTTTAGCATGAAAACCAGGATCTCCTTAAACAGGCTTTAAACTTCATATGAAAGCTGGAAAGCAGCTGGCGCCCCCCCGGGCTTCACATGGAGGGGGTGTGATAGTCAGGGCCTCCCAAGTCTGTCTGTACTATGTTTTGCCCTTCATGCTTATGTCAGTGTGTTTGGCTACTTTATGTACTGAGAATTTTGTGTATTGGGGAGGCTTAATTATTTTTATATTTATGTCCTTACAGCACTTCTTCAGCTTCATCTAAAGATCCTGAACATTCATTAACTGAATATATTGCTCACCTGGAGGCCATTCAGCAGAGACTGGGAATTATTATGCCAGGTAAGGTAGTTTTGATGAATTCTGAGGCATGCATTTGCCTTTCAGTCTTAAAGCATGCCCAGCAACCCACATGGAGACAGCCTTTTTTTGTTGCCATGTCAAAAAAATAAACAGAGATGGCCCAAAATACTTTCAAACAGGAAATGAAAATGTATAACTTTAAAAAAAGAGAGGCTGAAATGCTACGCACTTATTTGGGAGTAAGCCAACCTAAACTCAGTAAACCTTACTTCAGAGTTAAATGTGCATCATATTGCATTGCGCGTGTCCACAGCGCTAGCTCAAAACATTGCTGCCTGAGACAAAAGATCAAGTAGTGTCTCACCATTCTTTTTTTTTTTTTAATGGATTAGGTGTTCAATGCTATAAACATGACAGCATCTTCCACTATACCTGAGGCCAGCAGGCTAGTTTGGGGCAGATCAAATGCCCCTGCCTTACAGCACTTCCACTGCTCCCTTGTTCTGAAGCAGCTGCCTCCCTATTGAGAGGGCTGCCTCTGCATGTCTAACTTGCTCTTGTGTAGTTTTATATTTATATTTTAGATCCTTTAAACTTAGCTGGGAGGGAGGGTGGAGCGAAGTGTCCACAGTTTCAGCAGCTCGTACCAGCACCATAGCTTAGTTTAACTATATGATTTAAAGTGGTGTTTGAATTAACTTGAATTTGTGTTAATTTAGGACAATCTCGACAAGAGAAACTTTGAAAGTATTGAGATCACATCTTTGACATGAACTACAGAAACTTTCAGCTATTGCTTTCTTCCCCAGTGAACACCTTGCGCAAGCAACACGTCTGCATGTACAGAATCTGTCAACACTTTTGTTCAGTTGAATAAAAGTGCCTGTGTTTGCTGTAATTTTGCATCATGTTTTTATACAAAGTATTTTTTTATAAATTTTAGTGCACTTTGGGTCTTTCAGGAGGAAGTAATGCTTCACGGTTTTTTATTTGGATTTATTAGGAAGTTGACAACTGAATGTGCCATGCTGTGTTATTATTAAGAGAAGTGCCATAATGTCTCTGTCCATGCTTCTTTTTACTAAAATTCAAAAACAATTCAGTTGGATTTCTCACAAACCATTATTAAAAAAAACCTTCTAAATCTTTACTTAGAACTATTGTGTTTGTGTTTCTTTCATCTTTATAATTTCAGTGTATATAATCTTAGAATTGTAGAGTTGGAAGGGACTCTGAGAGTCAGCTAGTATGTTCCACTAACAGAATCTCTCCCGATGTTGAAGTCACTGTAAACTTTCCCAATCAAGAATCATCTTGTCTGATTAACAGATTTGAGATGCATCCATTTCGTTTGTTGCCCTTTTGAGAAACCGCAGTGCCTTCCATGGTATTAACAGATATAGCTGGAAGCCTGGAGTGCCCTTCCACCCCCTGCACTTCTCTTTCAGTAAATCAAACTCTCTGATGTTTCCAGTCTGCCTGGTGCCAGGGCAGGGATGCAGCCAGTAATTAGCCATGCATGGCAATGGAGCAGACAGCCTCTAAGCATACTCAGAGTGCCTTGGCAAAAGAAAATATCTATGAGGCCATGAGGTTTTCTGGATAGTACAAGGGAAGGAAACCTCTGGACATACACAGAGAGTTGTGTCCCGATGACAGTCATACTCAGAGTAGACCTACTGAAATTAATAGGCATGGCGAACAGGAGCATTAATCTGAGTAGACATTAGTTGGGTACAACCCAGAATGCCTCCCCCCCCCCGCCTCCCGCTGAGGAGAAATGAAGTTGCCTACATGGTACAAGGGAAGGAAAGCCCTTGGCATGCACAGAGTGCAATATAACTGCCGGTGCTACTGGACTTAAGTATATCAATAAAACTGCAGTTTTTTGTCTTTCGTGATCTGATGAGAGAGCCTCACAGTGTGGTCCTGGGCCTTTATCATGGAAGAGGATTTCTCTTGGGAGACCTTTGCCATTATTGGGCATCCTGAGCCTGTGGGGCCACCTTGGAATAAAAAACGAAGAAGTTTTGACGTTTGAAGTGTCCTGCTTCTTCTGACCCTGAAGGTTTGAAGACAAGAAACACAAGGACAAGACAAGATTCCTACCCAAGCTCACTCTGCCTGCATTGGACCAGTACTGGCAGTACTTGTGTATTGTGCACAACTCCTCTCACACCTTTGATGCCAATCGTGGAAAAGTTCTCTTTCTCCTCACCCATCTATGGATTTGGTATCACTGGCACTTATCCTTGAACCCAGAGCTCCAGATGTTTGATCAGTGCTGGACAAGGATATTATTGACCTCGCCTCAGAGGTCCTTTATTGAAGGCCTGGAGTGGATACCATTTCCCCCCCAATCAGACCATCTAGTCTCCCCAGCACAGCTTGCCAAGGGGCTTGAGGGCATCAGTAATGTCTAGAGGTTATCTGACAAGAGAGGAGGACATAGAGATTCCTCCCAGGAGTCCCAGTCTCAACATTTGTGATGTCATAATTGGGACCAGAGATCCCCACCATATACAAGGTGAGAATACTCTTCTTCTTTTTTTAGGAGTCTATTCTTGTAAAAAAAGGGGCCTGTCGGCAAAATGGCCAAGGAGCTGAATCAACCCCTGCATATGAGGAGAGGATACAATGTTTGGGCTGTTTAGCTTATTTTAGACAAAAAGTGTGTAAGAGGTGAATGATAGAGGTGCATAAACTTGAACTCCCCAAATAATACTAGAACCCAAGGCCATTCAAATAAGTTGGGCAGACAAGTTAAACAAAGGGGTTCACTGTCATAAGATGCAGTTATGGCCACCAACTTGGATGGCTTTAAGGGTCAAATTAATGGCCGATGAGGTTATGTATGGCTCCTAGTTATGATGGCTGTACTACCCCCATGATCACAGGCAGAAGGCTTCCATATTAAAAGTGACTGAGGAGAGCTTGGCCTCAAGCAAGTATGCAAATGCAGGTATTCGGTCAAGGAGCAAAGGCCAGCAAAGACAAACACCTGGTCCATGTGTCTGGGAAGGGATGGGAACTACATCCTCATAAATGTAACACTGAGATTTAATGCCAGGACATTATCTTTTTGAAAAATGTGAATACTGTTAGAGGCACTTGGGCATCATTTAATCCTCACAGAGAGCGGATTTCAATTTAATCTGGATGTCAGATTCAAGCTTTAGGAATTACAGGCTGTTTTGCGGGGGGGGGGGGGGCGGAGGCAACTTCCTCAGTTGGATGAGATACCTGATGAAGCTGAATATTTATGCATTGTGCAAGAAAAGGTAAGTAATTATTTTTCCTGATACTACCATCAATTTATTCACCCTTACTAGATTTCATATTTCAGATACTTTAGGTGAAATAATCTAAAACCTTTTGTTTAAAATGATTTAGATTCAATTATATATTAATTGAATATCTGTTGACTACAAGATACTACAATAGAGAAGCCAAAGGACTATGGCAATGATGAGGAACCTGTAGCCCTCCAGCTCCCACCCCCTCTGACCGTTGGAGGACCACAGGGGATCGCTGCATATGATCTTCCATATGAAGTGGGCAGGAGAAGCGGTGTGCCGGTCTAGTGCTCAGCTGCTGCTGCTGCTGCTGCTACAGTCGCCTTCTGCCCTGGCCTCCTTCCTCCTTCTCAAGCTCCTATTTCTGCCAGACCGACTCGCCATCCTAATTTGCCAGCAGCAGCACGGGGAGATCTAAGCCTTTTGCAATCTCCCCTGCCTTTCTCCTTTGGACAATGGAGAGAGGGGGTTGTAAAAGGGTTTGGGTGAGCATTAAAGGGATGGGGTGGGGTGCGCAAGAAAAGCAGAGGGGGAAGCCTCACTGCCAAGTGCATGGAGGGAGTCAACCAGTGGAGAGGAGGGTATCTTATTCCTTGACGCCATTAGCTTCTGATTGGAGAACTGATGGTGGCTCTGTTGACTTATGGCTCCTTGATTTCTAAGATTTGCTTTGAGATTTCCCAGTGCAGTTTCCCAACTTTATGCAGCATCATTCAGTACCGGATATTTTGAACTGTGGTAACATCATCCCTATGGATTTCTGTGTGTCTCCCACCCTCTCTGGGACATAGGCTGTGCATTTATATCTATAAAAACACATTCTGTCATCCTTTCATATGTGTTTAACACATCATTTTGAACACATTTTATTTATTTCACAAAATTTATACACATTGATTGGGGGGGATGGACCTCAAAGCAGTTTAAAAAACAGTAAAATCAAAAAAATTACAGCCCTGATTTAAAACATACAAAAGTTAAAATATTAAAACAGAATAAAATTACTTCAACTTTCTAAGCATCTGGGTAGCCTTGTCTAAACAGGAGTGTTTCCAACTGCCAATGAGAGGAGTACAGTGCAGTCTCTCCCATCTGATCTCAAGAGGCAGGGAGTTCCTAATATTTTATTAAGGATTTTCTTGTTTTACAGAAGTAAGTGTAATGCCTTGTATTTTTTTTTCCCATGTAACATTTTTACAAATCCATTTCATTTGTTGAGGCATTAGGGGGAGAAGGAAAAAAAAAAAAAGAAAGAATGAAAGGAAAAAGAAAGGGGGAGTGGGGGGAGGGAAGATGGGTGGGGGTGGGGTCGGGTGGCGATGTTTCTATTATGCTTAATGTATGTAGAGTTCCAAAGTGCAGTTGCTGCCACACTAAACGTGTCCTTACAAAGGCAGAAAAGGTATCATCATGTGACACTGTTGCAGTGCCAGTTCCAGTTAGCGCATGTGACTTAAGGCATTCTCATAGGTAAATGGGCCCCTAGTTGCTAAGGGCTTTGCATACTAACAGTAGCACCTTGAACTCAGCCTGGTAGCAGATTGGCTACCAGTAACGGATCTCTGAGCACAGGTGTTACATGCAGACAAGGCCTCCTGTCAGCATTGTGCTGAAGTGTTCTGCACTCACTGCAGCCTCTGGATCAAGCGCAAGGGAAGTCCCACATGGAGCACCTTGCAGTAGTAATTCAGTCTTCATGTAAGAACTGTGGCCAGGCTCTCTCAGTCCTGGAGTGGCCATAGCTGTCAAACCAGCCACAGTTGCTCAAAAGCACTTCCGGCCGCTAAGGCTCCCACAGCCTCCATAGACAGTGTTGGACCCAGAAGCACCCCCAGACTGTGAGCCTTATCCTTTAGAGTGAGTGCAACCCCATCCACAGTTGGCAACTGACCAATTTCTCAGGCGCAGGAGCAACTCGCCCACAGAGCAGATTGTCAGCAGCATACTGATAGCTCCTTGCCCCCCCCCAGCTCTTAATGACCCAGGTGAGCCAGCTTGGGCCCCACATTGTGGTTGCCCGGCACGCCCTGTCCTGCCATGGCGCAGAGCACCAGAGGTAAGGTGGTGCTTGGCTGCAGCTTCCCCCTCCCCAGCTCAGTGAAGGTGGTGGGAAGGCGCAGCACTGGGCCACAGAGGAGGCGGCCTCCCACCACCAATGATTTTTTTGTGGGTGCTTGGGTCCCCTGGAGATGGCGTGCCTGTAATGACCACTCCCAACGGCTACATGTAGATATTAAATAGGAGATAAGATAGTCCCCTGCAGCACCCCACATCGTAGCAGCCAGGGGGCTGAAAGGCACTCCCCATGGAACTGGCTGCACTCAGTCATGAAGGTAGAAGAGAAGAAGAGTTTGGATTTGATATCCCGCTTTATCACTACCCAAAGGAGTCTCAAAGCGGCTAACATTCTCCTTTCCCTTCCTCCCCCACAACAAACACTCTGTGAGGT